GACCGTAGGTGGGCTTCCTCGTCTTCGACTTCCTCCAATGAAACGGGAATTGTCTTGCTTCGAGGCGGCATTTGGTCACCGGGCCGAAGAGGGCCCCTCGGCGGCACTTGGTCACCTTCCGTCGAATTGGTGGAGGAGGGCTCGCTGCCCTGTGTTCGGCCCCGGCCAAGGGCGCTTGTGCGCGGCATTGTAACCTCCACTGTAGATCCATGCTTACTGCTCTTCCTACACCCGGCGGTACTTCGGGTAACCCTTCGTGGGTGCACACGTCTTGGCTCGTCCGACAGGTCTTCACTGTTTGCTGATGAGGCGGCTACTGGGTGAAGGTGGTCTGCCGGGTTCATCGCCTCAGCTGCCTTCCCAACGCCTCCCAATGGAACAAACGGTGTAGCCGCAGGCCCATCAGGCTGGGTTGCCGGCCTTTCTCCCTCTCCGGGGTGACCTCCCCACGTCTGGGGTGCAGTCGGACTCATACCTAGGGGGCTCTGCCCTCGCGGGGCTTTCCCTGTGCGGTTGAGTGGGGGTTCCTGAGCTCGGACGGCCCCTTGGGGTTCATTGCTCGTCGCAGACTGCGTGGAGCAGCGGAAATCCCCTCCTACGCCGTCAGGTTTTTGCGATTCATCGTTCTCGGTTTCTTCAACTGGTAACGCGGCGAAAAAGTGGGTATATTGTTCATAGGGAGTACCTACATATGTAGTATAAGTCCGACTAGAAGTACATGAGTGCGCACCAGTAGAAACTAAGTCCTTTGCTGACGCCGTCAAATCGCTTATTTCGACGCCGGCTCGTCTTTTGATGACTCCTCTCCCCCCTTGACCTCTTCGATCTTCGTGTCCTTTCCATTCTCTTCCTTCTCGGCTTCCACGAGTAATTGGCGCAGACATTGGGCGTTGGGTTTTTTGCGAGGTGGGAGTTTGACGGGGAGCCACTTGGATTTGTCCGTCGGGCATTTATGGTCTCGGCTCCACCCGGTATTTCCGCACTTGAAGCATCGTTTGTTGCTTCGCAGCTTGTCGATTTCCATCGGCTGCCCGGCACCCCCATACGTGGTTCCCGTGGCGTCCTTCTTGTCGCTGCTAGAACTTTGACCCCCACCCTTCTGTGACTGATGTTGATTGCCTCGACTCGAACCGCTCTGGTTCTGGGAGGACTTATTGCCCAGTCCTTGGGCTACTCCATATCGATAATTGGCGTCGATCCTTAGGACTCGCGCCTTCCATTCTGCGTAGGTTGTGGGGCGCTTGTTGTCCCCATGCATAACCATATTCCGAACCGTTGGCCTTATCGTGGCTTCCACTGCTTCGAACATCTGCTTCTCGTCGCCGAACTCGTCGCACTTGTGAGCTAATCGTTCGAACTTCGCGAAGAACTCTACCGCGGACTTGAAGTCCGATTGGCGGATCTTCTTCCACTCCTGCTTCCAAATGGCCAACTCGGCTACTTCGCGGAACTGGGCAGTAAGGTCATGGGAGAATTCCGCCCATGTAGGGAACCTCCAGTGTCCCTGCGGGTCCCGATATCGGTAGTATTGGTCGACCCACCACTGCTGGGCTTCTCCACGTAGGTACCCCTGGGCAAACGTGATGCGGTATGGGTTCTGCCCTTGATCGTTCATCGTGTAGTACATCGGGAAGACCTGGAAATAGACCTCGCAGTGGTGGAGGAAGCGATTAATGTCGGACGAGACCCCAGTAAAGTATTCTGGCTGAGTGATCAGCTTGGGCTTTACGTCGTTCCAGGGATTATTGGCGGCCCCCGGAGCCAAAACCCAAGGGTTAATGGGGTCGGGCGGTGACAGCGGAGCAGGGGGTATAGGTGGTTTAGGCGGTCTCGAGAGGGACCGCAGGTTCCAATTGTCTCCCGGCGGGGGGTATCCCCCATAATTTTGAGGTACCGGGGGTGGCACTGGTGGCACCGTGGATCCCTTCCCCTTATCGGGGTGAGAGGGCCCGGCCCCTTCATCTGCATATCCATCGTCATCCCCTCCTCCCCCTGCAGCGAAGTACATGGTTTCCAGGGGGTTGGGCATTGGCTGGGGTCGCCGATAGGGTTCGCACCCGGGTTGGGGGGCCTCGGGGTTCATCATGTTCCACACAATAGCGGCCCGATGCCACGTTTCTACTTCCAGTATGTTCTTCATCAAGTACACATCGCTCATGTACTTGGCATGTCGATAGTCCTCCCCCGCCTCGGTGAACAGCCACTGCGGGTCCTTTTCCATGTCCTCCATCATGATTTCGTACAGCCCGTGCCAAGGGAGGAGGTTGAAGATATCGGGCCGCGGTAGTGGTCTGTTAAGAAGGACCGTCCTTACCGCCGCCATTACCGTTGGTTCGAGGGCTTGATTCGGGGGGCGGCTTGGCATCCTCTGCCTCCTTCCTCTCTCGGGCGAGGCGGTCGAGCTCTCTATTCCTTCTCCATCGTCCGATGTCTGAATCCTCATCGCTGATCTCAGCCTGGTAGGAGTTCCAGGCTCTTCTTCTGGCTTCCAGGTCGGTTCCTGCTCGTCGCACGGCTCCTGAATATCTGATGGTGGCAGCGTGTATTCTGTTCTCGACTTCGGCGTCAGTGGCATCGGGCTCGAGGGGTAGATCCCACCAGCCTCCGGGTCCTTGGAGGGCATCCTCTTCTGCTCTACGGATGCGTGCATCATGTGCTCTTCCTGCGTCCATTCTGGCCTCGACTTCTGGGGCGCTCCGGGCAGCTCTAGGGAGTCGGAGGGACTCGACGTACGTGTGATATAGGAGTGGCCATGGACACTGGGAGGCAGGGATGGGACTGGCGAAGGCTCGCGATGCGATGGACGGGGTAAAAGCGGGCTCTCGGGTGAGGTCTCTGGCCCCGGCAACTGCTCCAAGTTCCTCGGGGTCGTACTCTGGGAACTCGCTCCAAAGCTCCCCATCCGTCGGCTCGTGTGCGGGGATGGCGGGAGTGAGCGCTGGGGTCTCGGGCCCCTCAGGGACCTGGTCGGACTCTGGTCTGGGCACGACTCTGGCCACAGGAGTCTCTTCCCTGTTGTCGGCGTAGACCCAGCTGGTGCTAGGGTACCAGGCGACTGGCTCTCCTCTGTCTGTCAGCCACGAAGTCGGAACAGGTCTTGTTCCATCTGAATGGGCGGTAGTTGCGGCGGAGGCCCCAAGGGCAAGCTCTCCGGGATCCTCGTTGAAATCGTCTCTGGTCCCCCGCTCATTGTATCTCCTCCTCTCGCTCCCCCAGTCGGCATCAATCCACTTTGTCTGGGAGCATCCGCTCCAGCTGTCTCCGGTATAGGTTGCATCTTCCTCCTCGTTCGGGTAGAGGTCACCGAGGATGTTTTCGAGTCGGGTCCTTTCGAGGTCGGTGAGCTCGTCGCCTTTGAACTCGGTGTCAGTGCTTTCCTCGCCCTGGTCCAGAGGCCTGGTGTCTTGTCTTCCGGCTCCGTCGGTGCTTGACTCGCCTTCGACTGGAGGCTGGTAGAAGAGGCCTGGTACGGGCGAGTCTCTTCCATCAAAGAATACGCCCCGGGTATCGGTGATGTCGACGGAGTCTGCTGACTCAGCAGTAGCGCTTCTGTAGGAGTCGGTGCTCGATCCTGAGGATCCCGAGCTGGATCGCGACGATCCGTAAAGGGACCCTCCAGGTCCTCTGGGTGTGATGGGTCTGCCATCGCGAAGGGTTTGTTGAGATGCTGCGGGGATAAAAATCACAGGCGGTGGGTAGGCCGGGGTTGCCGGCACATAATGAAATGGAAGTTGTGCCCGCACTCGTCGTTGTTGGCGGCAGCACTGGTAGATCTGGAACAAGGAGATGGATAAGAAAAAGAGAATAAAAACGGCGGAGATTGCGGGAATGGCATCGGATAAGGGCATCCGTTCGTGGACTTATTTTGGCGTGAGTCCGATGGTTACGGTGGACCATACGACGGCTAGTGCAATGATTGTGAGGGCGGCGAGTACTGCGATTATCAGGTTAAGGTCGGTTTCGTATGCGGAACCGGTCATTAACGGTGAGTCGTCGAATGAAAAGATGTCAGTTCCAGCTAGCAGTATGACTGCCAACAGGGATGCCGATTGTAGGGATATTTTAAAGAGGTTCGTGGTCATTCAAATTCGATGAAGGTACCCTAGTATCCCCACGTAGAGTACTAGGAGCAGTGCTGCTAGTATTGGGGCCGGGATACACGTTTGGATAGCGAACGCGAAGAGAACGATAAGGAAGGTGGTGAAGATGGGGTCTACTAGGAGGAAGGGCAAGGCCTGCGCAACTAGTAAGACCAGTAGGGCGAGGTAGAGTAGCTCCACCGTTGGTCTCCCGAAGCACGCTGACAGTCACTAGACTATCCACACGAACGTGCAAACACCGAAGACCCTCTCTGGTAGAGCGGGGTAATACAACTGTAAGAAGGTTGAGCAGTGCCCGTTTATCAGACGCAACACTGGGCAACGTAGGCGAGCTTCGGCTAAATGTTAGCCACTAACTCTTATCGACTTAGATCAACCTAGGATCGCCACTCACACTTCGGTGGACAATACGCAAGGAGGTCAAAGGCGATGAAATAGAGCCAGTTGCGAACTTAGATAGTCACGAAGAAAGGAGCTTTGAGTTAGGTAGATTAAACCTTAGCCGAAGCTGGGGTTTAGACCAGCTGAGGCTCTACTTAAATACACATTGACTACACTAAAAATAGTACTGTGAGAACATCCGATCAGGACCACGTGTTGGAGTAAGCATGAATATGTAAGAAAAAGAAAAAGAAAAGAATAAACCGTAACACGCCTACTCCACCACTTAAATTCATTTCTGCAAGCTGTTGTCGGGCCTCATGAAACCCACATGTGCGTTTCAGGTCTATTTACTGCATTTTCGACTCACGTTTGAATCGTGTAACAGTACGTTTACCTGCAGAAGATGCTACTACGCTCTTTAATGGACGCTTCACACTCACAGGGCTTCCCATGGTTCTCTGTTTAAAAGGTGAGTCTTCAATCACCAGTACTTGTAATACATTCTCATTGTCCTCCATGTCCACTGAACCACAACAACACGATGTCACTCCTAGGCAAGGAACTCCCACAGAGTCTGCCTCGGATGCAGCCCCTTCCCAACCGCCGCAGGCCGTGCTCGATCTCACACAAATTCAAGAGTATTTCTCCACAAACGGCGTTCTTGATGTGGTGCGTCTCCTTGAAGGCTATCGGGACCTGAGCAAGGTAATATTCATTTTCTCAGAGTACCATCCTTTAAGTGCTTACAGTCTCTTTGCAACCAGACTCTTCGTGACACCCAGCTGCAAGTCAATGCGCTCATCGACGCAAAGAGGCTCCTCGAACTGTCAGCCACAAGCTCTACCAAGTCTAAGGGTAGAGGTTCGGATTCTGGATTAACAGCTGAGCAAGAAAAAACTATTCTCCAGTTTGGGAAGCGCTGCATTGTCACTATCGACTTGTGGCCAGAAGACGCCGAAATCTTCGAGGAGAGACCATCAGCAAATGCCGGCCTCATTCTCAGCGCTGCACGATATGCGTCTGCAGAATCAGAGCAAGATGCACTCTATGCTGAAATCTACTCCGCACTCAAGGAAAATTTTCACTTCTGCTTTGCTAAGAATTACGGTCCGGCGAAGAAAACTTGTATGTTCTCATTTTAGTTTCACTGCGTTGTTGCTGAGATTCATTTCAAGTTCCTGAAATCCGCCTCTGATGGCCAATCCACTTTCCTCAATCGCGTGAAAAACGATGCCTTCCACACTATATTCGGCGCGTTGGTTCCATCTGCCAGTAATACCAATTTTGATCCTTTGACGGATCCTCATTGCCTTGACCTCCTCGGGTATAGGCCATCAAATAAGACCTACTCATCGCTGCCCCCCATTCTTTGGGAAGATGGGGTGAAAGGTGACCCACGCTCTATCTTTCGAAGCACCACACTGATGAAGGTACAGTCATTGTCCCCTTCTCTCGGATTTAAATTTATATCACTCATACTAATATTATATTTCAGATTCTCTTTGTTATATTTTATGGTGGCGCCAGTCTCAAACAGAAGTCCACGAAAAAAGCTGTCAAGAGCAAGCAAACCAACGCTTTTCTCTGGAAATTAACCGAAACTTCGCCAGGGACTATGGCATATGCTGCCACTGTTGTAAGTCTATTTTTAGTTGATCTCAATTACAGTATTAACGTGACTATCAGGCTCGTTTTGTCCTCTCTGGTGATGAACGCTTTGATAAGCGTGGTGGTCGCTCAGGCATCAACTATGCTTCTGACTACTACCAATACAAGAGAACGATCATTGAGGCGATTTCGACATCTCACATGAAGCAAACCATCGCAGCATATAATAGGTTTCTCTTCGATGAGAAGCCCTCGAGACTAGGTACAAACCAGTGTGGAACATCATGTGATGATGACAATGAGTTCATCGAGCTTCAGGAAGCATTTGCTGATGTATCAGATGCCGAATCAGACACTCCCATGGCTAATGACGCACCTCCTGATGCCATGATGACTGTCACTGCCAATCCAGAGGTCCAAGAACTCATTCAAGGTGTCAAAATGGTTAATTTTCAGCTTGAAGCACCTTCCAACAAGGAACAGGAGGTACCGGAAATTCGGCGTAGTCGACGAGGCCATGTTGTTCCAAATCCCGGAGATACTGATTTGACAGTCAGCACAGAAACTGATGTTACTCAAGCAAAAGGCCGCGGGCGTGGTGCTAAGTCTCGTGGGAAGGCGGGCAGCTGTGGCTGTGGCCATGGAACAACTCAGACGCAAACCAATCAGCCTCAGCATGACGCAAGGCCCACTCGTCGAGGTACATGGGCTGATACTCAGTGGCAGGTGTCACAGGTCCAGGAGGAAGCAGGAGATCTAGAAAATGACGATGTATATGGGTAGCATATTTCTTTACATGAATACATTTTTTTTTCAATGCCTCGCACTTGTGGAGTGGTAAGGAAGTTAGGCGCATGAAGTTGCTTATTCCTGTCACAAGCGTGTCATGTAAACTGGGGTTGCATAAAGAAATATAGCAATATAGCTTAACTGTACTAATATCATGAACTTATGTATTATTCTTAAGGTCGCTGGTTTGATCCCTCATCTTGTAACTTTTCTCACTAGTAGCTCCAATTGATTACTTAACCTGTTAGTAACTGCATTAGCATTGTAAGCTTAGAAAGAGGACTAGAATGGTACTACTATTTTTCCAACGCTGATTTCACTTACTGGATTATCGGGAACGTTATCATGACCTTATAATCAGCCGGCTCTTATCTTCGGTCCGGTAGGCTGCTTCCTTATTACTAATCTTATCGTGGCCGATAAGATCAGACGGCAATCCTTATACGGTTTCGTATATTCTGGAACTTGTTTCTTATCGGGCCGTATCAACCCCACCGTGGCATTACAGCATTACGGTACCTTATACGTCACCATAACCTGTTTCGGACATTTCCGACAATACCGACGACGATGAGACACAATCTGATGATTCTACTGATTTCGGATATTCTGGTCCTGGTTCAGATATCTCTGGGTCTAATAGTGGCCCAGACTACTCCGGGTTCGGGTCATAGCATGGAAAACTTTATGTACAATTATCGTTGGGAGATTGGGACTGCTGTAGCTCATTGTAATAGCGCATAAGAAACCTGTACCGTATTATTTTCCGAGAACAAATTTCTGAAAAGATGACCTGTGTGATTAGAGTCTTCATAGCACTTAACTTCAGGATAGTAAGTATTTCGAGTGATGAACGATGTTAAGTACTGATTTACGTACGGGGCAGCGTCTAATTAGGGCCGGTATTGAAGTGGTGGCCGTGGGAAAGAATTGGCTGCGCGCAGCAGCGCAACGCGCTCATGGTCCTCCGCTCTGCTTGCGGTCGCAAAATGGCCTTTCGTGCCATACGGCGAACAGCATTCATGCTCCTTTTAATGCTGTCCGTAACAGTTTACATCGCCTTTCATGATTTGCTCATTCCCAACCAGACTAAGCTAGCTCCAAAATATGTGTATACTGCAGGCCAGGAATCTCACAATCTCGCCGAATACATTCAACTGTCGAGTCGTAATGACACCTGGTCAAGACCAAGCACGCCATGGACCCCATTCAGCTTGAGCAACTGCACTTTTGGCCTGCCTCTTTACTACGCACCTTGTGTAGCACAAAGGTTGCCGAAACAGGTGTTATACGCGGAAGAACTGATATATCCCGCATTCGAAATACGACAGCCCTATTTCGCGACGTTGGACCATCGTGCACAGTGGCGTAGGGCTGTGGCAAGCATTAACGATCGTGGAGTATTGCAAGCCAATAATTGGCTTGTGTATAAGGGTCAGTCTGGGCAGAATTTTGTGCGTACTGTAATTTTCTTTCAATTGTGACAGCATTCTGAGCATAGCGTGATTAGGTCTTTGAAAATGTCACATATCTATCTCCAAAATTGTACGACCGCTGGTCTGACGACGCATGTATGGCCAAGCTAGGCTCATCCGAAGGCATCCAGCCATTTGATGTGAGCGAAGTCCTGGCTCGACCCAACCCTCCGCGTATCTACAACACTGCCCTGGTTGCACTTTCACCCGAATCCTATGCATTCCAGCATCATCTTGATCGTATAACGCACATCATTGCTCAAGGCTCCCATCTCAGCTACGGTCGTGAGACTCCATACGTTATCACCGGTCGACAGGGAAACGGTTTCGTCAAGCAGCTATGGAAAGGACTTGGTTTTGACGATGAACACGTTCTCTATCGAACCAGAAAGGATATCCTCGCCGAAAGAATGATTTTTTCGTGTCGAACGGTGTTGGTGCATCCATGGCTGTCATTGAAAACGTTAGAGGCATTCGGAATAGATTATATGAAGCCGTCTGCTACGCGGAACAAGGTGCGTGGCTTCATTGGTCCTTGAATTTGGTCTCATCCATGAAGTAGATTTTGTATATGTCACGATCCGACCGTCATATTCACACGCGGAATGCAGGACGGAGAGTCCTCAACGAGCCAGAACTTCTCAATGCCATCGAAGCCCATCTCGCAGAACGAGGGAAAGGCGAAGAAGTTGTCATCTTTTCGGAAGGCATGCTCGATGACGTTCCGAACTTCTTCAAATGGTGCAACGAGAATGTTATGGCGGTAATTGGCCCTCACGGTGGAGCGATGTACCACCACCGCTGGGCTGCGAGAGGAACGTTGGTAATCGAGATGATGCCTACCAGCTACACGTCGATGGCCATATACGAAGAAGCATCAGTACTCTCGCAGACATATGCTGCATTGGTAGTCGAGCCTAGTAGCCAGGGAGGTACGAATATGATCATCGATCCGGAGCACGTTGTTTCGCTTCTGCGTCGACATCTGGGCATACCGATGCAGAGACCACATCATTTGTTCGAAGAAGATCCAGACGACGACGACGACGACGACGATTCACATTTAGCCGAGGATCCGCTGAGGATAAGTTATCAATGGGGAGGCAAGGAACTTGGCGTATAGGACTCGAACGGTCAGGCCATCCCTCCATGTTCATGTATGTATTGGAGAAAATTTTACTTGCACATGGGAATGGATGTTTCGTACTCATACAACAGTAGTAATCCACACACAGAATCAGTGGCCCTCGGCCTATACTAGGTACATGATTCTCTTTTGATTGTACTATACCTGACACACTCTACTGTAGCTGCACGTAGGGAGGAAACCCCAAATAGACCGTGACGCTACCGATTTTCCAACATTGTGAAACCGGTGCTACATGATGCGTGACGGTTTCAATAATAAGAAAACCATTCATGGTGGGATGATACAGAAAATTAGACTGTTTAGGTCATGGTTCTTCGAGGATGTTGATGGATGAAGAGATTGTAGATGACCGCAGAATGTCGTAGAAATTTTCCTTGATTTTATTCGATTTAATACATCGTCACGGCCTAAACTGTGAAACCACCCCACCGTGATGCGTGATGGAGGAGGAAATAGGAAACGAAACCGGTGGACTGTGATCCGTGACGGTTTCCTCCCTACGTGCAGCTACAGTATAACCAGACTTGTAGGTTGCTTTGACGATTACAGGACTATAATTATATGCCAATCACGTCGGGCATCAGCCTTCTCGGTTGATACGATTGATGAGCTAACAACCCCAGGGATGCTTAACTTTTGAAATTCGGGGTCTTGTCTTACCGCGAGGGTTACGTTCAACTTGCAGGGATGTGGGCATCTAGCTCTTCGCGCGTGCAATCGACAATACATTATTCAGACTCCGCAGAATGGTTACCTGGGACCCACCTCGGTAGGATAAAGGCGTCCGCTGGCTAGTCTTTTCAGCCATTATCGACACCCGTACGCGTGAAACAAAGGAGATCAGTACGTGTCCTTGCATTGTTCCTCTTTAGACGGTAACAATGGCGATGCAGACACCCAATGTTGCTGTGGTGGCCCCATACAATGGCCTAAAAAGAAAGAAACAAAGACACCTGCTGCCTCCAGTAAGCATATGGCAATACCTTCATCTAGTGCCACTATTCGAGCGCTATAAGATCCTGCAACCGTGTTCCTTTAGCTTCTTGTTCACTGTCACCGTTATGGGTCCCCAGTGTGTTATATGTCTCTGTGGTTTTACGAATCCCGTCTGCATTCCATGTGGTTAGTACTTCACGAGCTATTCTACGCTTTAGTGTCCTTAACGATTTTGTTTCCCAGGACACGTTTTTTGCTCTGAATGTCTGAACAAGTTTATTGCAGGGAAGAATGATAGCGCTGATGATGGATTCAAGGCTACGTGTCCTTTTTGTCGGGAGAAATTTCCTATTGGTTCGTCTTCGCTTATCACTTCCAGGATGACGTTCATTTTCTCGCTTCGCCTACAGCCATCCCTAATGTCAGCGTATCCTGCGAAGCATGTCGTCGTTCATCTCTAACACTGATTTGTAGCTTCGATACCTGCCGGAGAAGTTCCATCCGTTCGTCGTCGATCCCCTGAGGAAGGTGTTCATAACTTCGGACGACTCCGAGAAACTGCAGCTTGTCGGCCGCATCGAGAACTTGGAGAAAAAAATTCTCGACTTGAAGCAGAGGAATGCAAATCTCGAGTCCGAGCGTGACCAATTGCAGGAAAAGTGCTCTGAGGCGGAGAGATCGAAGCAAGTTTGCTTAGATGAAAATCGACGCCTTTCTGCTGATTGTACGATTGCGAAAGCGCAAGCTTCTATTTGTGGTTCAAGGGTAAAGAAACAAGAGGTATGTCTCTTCTTGTTGAGGGAAACTGCATGACTGATATCCACATAGAAAAAGCTTGATGAGTTGAAAAGGTTGTTTGGCATGGTCACAGATGCCCTGGAGAAAGATGACCAGAGTGGATGGTCTCACAGGACTCTGGGAATGTCCATAGGGTTCGCGTTTTTATCGTTATGTTGTCGGTTTTGGCTCATGGGCTTCGTCTGGACAGATTACCTCGAGATTTTAATTTCAATTTCATTCCACACACCATCAGCAATAGTACCGACTCTCAACAACTCTCTCAGCCTGTCTCCGACGGAACAAATGCATCCGAGACTGCAGGATTATTGCAAGATCTTACGTTGGGTGGGACTGATGCGCCTTTGATTCCCTTGCCACCCTCAACCCTTTCGACCCCGAATCCAACTACTGCGCTTGCTGTGACGACAGATGTGTCGAGGCTCGAAGCTATGAGCGGATAATTTCCGCCACAAGTGGCTGTTCTCTGCGCCAAACGACCCTATTCTGTCCTGCGTTTGTCAGTTTTTTTAAATGAGTAGTTGTCCAAAAGAAGGCACTGTAAATACGTACGTCGTTACAGTAGCCAGTCCGTTGTGCCGAAATCAACCTGCTTATTTAGGAAGCGATTATTGTTATGATTTTATAAGATCGACCGTTCAACACATGTCTTTACACGACGTACCTTGGTAGCCGATGGTCGTCCTTCTTTCCTTAGACAAAGCAAGTTCGTCTGAAATGAGGCAATCTCAAATGTCCAAGTCATGGAAGCCTTGGTTTACTTTGTTCTGATGTAGACCAATTAGAAGGGGTGCGCTTGGTGCTCTTTATGACAACCGTGAGCTACTTCCTTTGTCCAGTTTCATAATTCCATACTAATATGTGTAGGCTGTTCTGGTCGCCTTTGTCTTGACTCGGAGCCTTGCTGTGCGTAACCTTCGAGAAGACAAGAGACAAGAATAAAGTTCCTGATGCAATCCCTTGTGCCACTTTCAGTGCCCGCTTCATATAAGGCTCAACCGGCCTCTACAGTCTCTCATCTTTCTACTACATCATGGCTCCTCAATGCGCTATATGCCTCAGTGATCTCAGGAATCCCGTCACCACTCCTTGTGGTAAGTGCCAGGCAGCTATCCGTGTCTAGGTCATTCATGATATTGATTCTCAGGACATGTCTTCTGCTCTGAATGTCTAATGAGAGCCACTGCACGGGCTACTGATGGGTTCCATACTTCTTGCCCGTGTTGTCGAAAACGGTTTCCTATCGGTATGTATCCATCATTCTCTTAAAGACGCAGCGCTGTTGAGCTCATTACTTCTTCAGCCGTTCCTGATGTTCGTGCTTTTATGCAATAAATCGCCACTGCTAATTATCTGACCATAATGTTGATTTAGGTTCGATATTTACCGGCACAGTTCCGTCCATTTGTCCTGGATCCTATCAGGAGCATCTACTTCGCTACGGATGACCCTCACGACCGGTCGGATATCATACAACGCAATGAATCTTTGGAAAGGGAGAATGAATTATTGAGGGCCAGAGTCCAGGAGCTGGAGGCCGATGGCGCGTCATCCCATCCGGGGAATGAGGAGGAGGAGGGATCTGATCCTCAGGAAATCGACACCCCTGTGTTCTTAGATCATCCGGACCCCGACCTCGTTTTATCCGAAGTGACTTCGAACTCTCTCGTTCCCCTGTATGTTGCTACGAACTCTGCATATCCAAGAAGTGCCCCGCTTTTCAGGCCGGAAACGCAGCTCATTCCTCCTCCACATCCAACCCACACCGGCCCAGCCCGTTCATTCGCTCCAGCGTCTGTCATGGGGCTCAATAGGCCGACTTCTGGTCAGACCATCTCCGGAACATTCACCTTTTCTAGGTCCGAAACACGATCCAACTATTCCACCGCTTTAGCTCGTCCGACAGGTCCGGTTGGGCCAACGTCATCTAACATGGGTAACGTGCTGGTGCCCGGTCCTAGAACCTTCATATTTAATTTTCCAGAATCGCATCATTCTACCCCTTCCATTCCAGCTCCTCGGTGGGGTGCAGGCCCATCTTCCACAGTTCGCCCCACTAGTTCTGGAAATACTGGCAATCTCTCGTTCTCCCACCCAGGCGCACAATGGACCGTCCCATCGAATTCTGCCTTCAATTTTCCGAACCAATCCGCCTCAAATTCGGTTTTAAATGCAACTGGACCTCGATACCTCTTTTCCAGGCGAGAGTCACACCCTCGCATGGCCACAGCCGCTACCCTTGGTCTGGGTTCATCTGCAACGAATTCTACCGCGGACGACGTTCCAAACTCTTCTTCAACAAGTGGATCTGAAAGTCGACGGCCATCGTCATCTTAATTTCAATTCCAATGTCTTCTCATAAAATATTATACATTCCATGTTCTCGGTATACTACTGCTATCGCCATTGATATGCATCCAACATATGTAATGTGGAATAAATATTTAGAGTCAATTTCCCTATGCCATGCGTATCACCTGCTATTACCATCCTCCTGAGAGTCAGACCGTGCCATGATATCACGTGCCCGTGTCTTTCCCTGCCACATCATCGATATACGTCATCGCCAACCATCCCTCAATCTGCTGCTGCTGCTCTCGGCCACATCAATCTGAGCTGGGGATATTTGCAGGACTATTCACAATGTCGCTATCCGTTGCATTTTACTCCTTAGTCCGAGTTACCGAAGAGTTGCCAGTTCCTTGCGGTACCGAGACCTGACAGCGCTTAGTAGATATTATGAGACGGATTTTGCTTCGAAACCTGAAGGACGGTTCAAAGGAGAGGCGAATGCTGCTATCGATCATGATGTTTGACCTACATCACGATGGTGTATGATAATGTGTTGAAGTTTCAAGGTGAGTATCCCATTTATCTCGACATCCGGCGTCGTTATCTCACTGCTGGAAAGTATTTGATTAGTAGAAATGCTCGTAACCATTATCTTAACGCATCAAGCTCAAGTATAAGGTCTGAATCCCAGTTCTCTTGGCATCATTTCCTCCTCTGCAATAACCCAGGAGCCATCGCCAACAACAGTCAGCGGCAGTGCTGATTCAGTTTCCAAATTTTCTTCACGAGCAGGGAGAGTGGGGTTGTGTGGTGGGCCATATAGCAACTTGCCTTGAGCGTCCATCGTCATTGCTTCCCGGAGGCAAGTATTGATGCATGTAAAGATATTTCACTCATTCTCTGCGACTCCGTTGCGCCCTTGTCTGGTGGGACGATGATGACGATGATGATGTCAGTACTGCCCACGCCAAATACTCAACGATCACTCCTTTACAATCACCCGCGATACTTGGACTTCCACGTCAATGTCCCCTACCTTCCTCCCGCCGTTAGGCGTTCAGCCAGAAGCACGGTGGATTTTTTTCGCAGTACGGCGGATGTCCGTCGTGCTTCTGGTTTGCGCGAACCTCCTCATCATATCTGGAATCGCGTACATCAACTTTCGGAATCTGCCTGTTTACAGTCAGCGTTCCATGGTGGCCTCAGCACCGAAACAAAGGTCGTATGGCATATCGGATTACCTTCGTCTGTCCACAACGAGTAGCGATACTTCGACATTGCCAAGTGCGGCATGGACGCCGCTCAGCTTGAGCACTTGTACGTTTGGCATGCCCGCTCATTACGCCCCTTGCGTAATGAAAAGACTACCTAAGGACGTTGTCTACGCAGAAGAGCTATTGTATCCTGCTTTCGAGATTCGCCAGCCTTACTTTGCAACCGAGGAGCACGAGGAGCGCTGGAAATACATGGTGGTGGGTATCAAAGAACGGGCAGTATTACAGGATAACGGTTGGGTGGTGTATAAAGGACAATCGGGCCAGAATTTCGTGAGTGTATAACAGTGAACACTGGAGGAATGTCGGGGCTAAGCCTACTTCCAGGTGTTTAATAGCGTCTCTTTTAAACATTCGGTTGATGGATATGACCGCTGGACGGCCGACGCCTGTATGGGAGGGCTTGTCTCGTCGGAACGACTTCAACCCTTCAATGCGGCCGAAGTAATTTGGAAAAATAACGCCACGACGATTTATCGCAACGCCATGGTTGCCCTTTCGCCTGATTCGTATTCTTTCCAACATCATCTTGATCGTATAACGCACATTGTCACGCAAGGTGCACACCTCACACTTCGCAGTGAAGTCCCGTTTGTTATAACAGGCCGCCGTGGGAGTGACTTCGTTCAGCAGCTCTGGGAACGACTAGGATTTGACGAAGAACACGTCTTGCATAGTGTCACGGACGATATTTATGCGGAAAGGATGATTTTTTCTTGCCGGGCGATTTTGGTGCACCCTTGGTTGTCCCTCAAGACTCTTGAAACATTTGGGATCAATGTCTTGAGAGTGTCATCGACGAGAAATAAGGTTTGTCTAGTTCTGCATCTTATGGCGGAAGCTTATACATGGCGGCACAGATAATGTACATGTCTCGATCCAACAGTCGTGCTCAAAATGGCGGTCGCAAGGTTATCAATGAGTCGGCTCTTCTTGATGCGATACGGGAACTTCTCGAAGAACGAGGCAAGGGGGAAGAGCTTGTCGTGTTTGACGAGACACGGTATGGCTCCGCCTCCGAGCTTTTCACGTATTTCAACGAGAACGTTATGGCTATCATCGGTCCTCATGGTGGAGCGATGCATCATCATCGGTGGGCTGCCCGGGGTACTCTCGTTGTGGAGATGATGCCGACAACATTTACGTCGATGGCGATATACGAGGAGGCATCAGTGCTATCGCAGACGTATGCGGTCCTTGTGGTGGAGCCGAGCGAGCTGAAGGGGACGGATATGGTCATCGATCCGGGACATGTTTTGAGGATTCTAAGAGAGCATTTAGGTGTGAGGATGCATAAACCTCATCATGCGGAGCATATGGGATTTTTGGCGTTGAGGAATGGCGGAAAGAGAACAGATCGTGTTGAGTACGAGTCTTTAGCTGAAGATCCGCTGAGGATTAGTTATCAATGGGGTAGGCAGGAACTTGGGTTGTAAGTGCTGAATACAATAAAATAATTGGTCAAACTACAATGAGTCGGATATGGTGTAACGGCTAACATTGCCGCCTCTCACGCGGCAGCTCGGGGTTCGATTCCCCGTATCCGAACCAAAATAACGACGAGCCCGAATTTTTTTTGCAGAAGTTAAAACTCACTGCTGTGTAGTGTGCACCTTGTTCAGACTTGAAATTCGATATTTAAGTGCTCATTGCTATCATTCTGGTATGCAGGTATCTTTTACGGAAAACCACGAGGCTTTTCTTATAATGTACAATACTTTGCCGGAATGCCGCATCCTGGCAATTTTGAACTCCGCCCATTCAAACTTCAATCAGACAACTTGAAGTCTTGGAAGACTTTATGATCAAACATTTGTTGTTTCTGGAACACTTGTGCTACTGTCGTATCCACAACCCAACGAGTTTGTTACTCAGTCGCTCCCCGTCAATCCATTTCCTTTTGCTGCTCTCCCTGAAATCCACAAGGCATCCAATGTCTGCCTTGGCCTCGAATCCCATGCACACCTGCTTCCCTCTGCTTCCCTGACCTGGAGAGAAACGCCTAGACACGCTCCTATCTGGTCGCGTACTGGGATTCACTCTTATAGAGATCTCGTCCGATTCTGGTCATGTAGCCACAGTCACAAACATGGACGGGACCGATGCTTCTCTGCTGGCCTTGGGCGAGGGCTGTATCCAGTGTCTGATCCGTCCATTTATGTCATTCGTTAAATGATATTTCAACGCAGTCAGACTAAATTTTTTTGGCAGTTCGCAAGATATCAATAAACCGATTCCTTCTGAACACCTCGTGGCTCGCTTGTCGGTCGGTCTAGACTCTAGATCTAGTCTGTCTGCTGACGAACAACAGGAATTCTGTCGATACATTCAAGAACAGCCGTCTTTGAGTTATTCTACTGCGACGAAAGCTGTAATTCTACCATGCTTTCACGCTTTCACATTGCTCAATGAATAGGTGTGTAGGTACCTCTCCGTGATGACCATCGCTGCATGCTCGATCACAACAAGTATGATGCAGAGTATGTCATTAGGAACGTGCGAGTAGTCACGGCCTAAAATTCCCGTCGGGTACTAGATAATCTCAAGTGCACCCATATCTGTCCAGAAGGTTTCAACTCGAATACAGGAGATAATATTGGAGCCTCATCTGAGAGAGTACGATTCTTGCGAGTGTATCCAGGTATAGCTCACTATCTGTCTATCAGCGTGAATCGTCAGCGTCGGTCTGGGACGCGAGGCGCATCTTCGTGGACATGGACGAGCTCAGTATTGGGTTTCATCGATTGGAAAATATGCTCACGCTGTCTCGTACCTTTCATGGCCTTTTCCATGGCTTGGCTATTTGGCTTCAATCTGCGGTATGCCTTGTAGCTTTATAATTGTGATAATTCTCAAGATCCTCTTAAAATGCTCAACAAGACACGTATGTGATTGTATCTAGTGAAGAGCTTCTGCTTGAAGGCCTTCCTAGTCGCGTTGTTACCTTTACAACGCCTGATCCAAAGGCCCTACTGCTCCCCAACCGTTCTTACCTTCGCATTCATGCAGCGTGTTGTCGTGTTGCTCGTTTGTCGGGTGCTGCCACGTACATGGAAACCGTTCTTCAGAAAGAAGAAAAGATGCGTGCATATGTTGAACGCGTATGCAATCTCGCTGAAGATGGCTTGTCGACAGACTTTGGTGGACAGTATCTGGCCCTTGCTACCAGACATCCTGGTGTTTGATCTAGTAACATCTAATCGCATCGTCGGCTTACGATACTAGACGCTAATGTATGATACCGTCGCAGTCTATACTTGGATAGCTCTTCTCTGGCTGAGACTTTGTTTCATTCACTGACTGGATTTGCTGATGAACAGATCCTGACGAGTCCGGATCTGTTCGTCAGATCTCAGGGGTGCAGAGAGCCACGTAGCTGGGGTGATGTCCTCCCGGTCTGAACTCGCGACTCTCAATGTTCAACTCTTGTTCTTCCAAAACTCTTAGCCGAAACAGACAGAACGAGACTCCTTCTGCAAAGCACATCATCTTCACATCTTTATCGTTTCCAATAAGGCACAAAGTCTGTTGTCTCTATCTCAGTCGATTCAACCCACTGCCTCGGTTGGAAGAAAACCCTTGGACCCGAAAATTATCTGCGTCCGTCTTCACGCCGCCATGAACCTTAACTCTAGATAACAAAACTTTAGTTGGCGGTTCTGTTGGCGGCCGGTTACTCGTGATCAAGATAAGGGTGCCCTGAGGCTATGCAACGCAGACTGAGAACGCTCACTGAAGGTGCTTGCTCGGCAGCATCTTGATGCAAAGTTTGGGCAGTGCAAAAACGAAAGTGCGTCGACGAGGTATTCCGCACTCTCCGGAGACCCAAATCGTACGACCTGTTTATTGGCTTCAAGTTGAGGGCACCGCATACCGTTCGTCCAGCGACGTTTCTCCACCCAAATAAGTACGTTGCCCACTGGTCCTGTGTTCTGTGTTCATTATGTACCGGATCTTACAGTTGGATTCTCTGATCGTACGCCACCCGGTAGTGGCGAGGACTATGTCGACATCAAAACGAGTCGCAATGATGATTTTCTGATATAGCAGTGTATTAGGATAGGGTCCTTATCTCCTGATTGTCTCCCTCCTTCCTTCCTCAACCACAAATCGGTAACCATCTCCACTTCCACAGTCACAGGAAGCATGCCATATGTGAATCCAAGCCATGATTCACGGGTCGAATTTACCCCAAGCTCAACATCACGGATGTCGGACAAAGTCATTGTCGATCCTTACATACAACCTTCCTTCAAATTCACCGCAAATTGCTAGTACCCTTTTTCTTACTTCTTCATCCGTTCAGATCCGCTCAAGCCCGCATTCAGCTAACAATCTAGGTCTTTCATCAAAGGGATCCAGGAAGATTTGTCGCGGAAGACGCATATCCTCACGAGGAATATCTTTTCCATGAATAAATGACATGATACTGAGTTTCATCCATTTAATTATTGTGCAGTGCGGGTCCAATTCGAACTTGGCGTATGCGCTCGGTTGCTATTGACCTCACATTGCCGGAGAAGATTGCCGGTGTGAATACGCGCGATTTCAAATTCCATTTTTTGATGTTGTATATAACATGCCGTCTCTTCTCTAGCGACCCTGTTTCCCCTATTTGACTCTACTGTGGGTCCAGGAGCTCACGGTTGTCAACTTGGCCCCGGACCATTCTGTTGGTCAGCCTGGAGTTCTTCGGGTATGTCTGAAGTTCTTCGGGTATGTCCGAAAAGTACTATCCTGTCCTATTCCTAAAGCTTTACACCACATGTAGCAGGATCATGTGTCTATTCGTACGATAAAGGCCAACCACATTTTCGTGTCTGACGCTACGAGGATGTTGTTATTGCTCAATTCTGCGTGTTCTCTGTTCCTGGTCTATCCCATCTTTATTCACTATCTTAATTGATCAGCCGTTGCTGCCTGTCGACGTTGCCTACAGTGCGCAACGTAGGTGCGGCCATTGAACCATGAAAACGTGGCGTATCAGACATACCATTGTTTTGTGCGCTAAGATGCTTCGATGAATCTCTTGGCTTGGTGCACATTTCCATACACTTTTTTCTCCTCATCATTTGTCTATCAGTGCTGGTTTCGCTGTCGATGCAATACATGGCCCGAGAACGATATTGAGCCCGAGTGCGGATCCTATCCGCAGACGCTGGGCGTCCTCACCACTTCTTCACGCCCCGCTCCTCGTGTTTCTCTCGCTGAGTGTCTGTGTCCGATCTAACACACTCGGAAGTTTGCAATTGTGACACCACGACGCTGTATCAGCAGCCGCTACTTGTCAAGTTCCAGAAACTTACATGAGTAACATGCCGAAGTACGCGCTTGTTTCTTGACTTTGATACAGTATCTTGTCTTAAGATCCCGCAACATGGCTCCAGCCCAACAGCCTCGCATCGAGTTTGGCGGCCGACTGGTTTCCTTCCGTTCATGGTTTAGCGGCTCTGAGGACGTTCTATGATGGTTACACTCTTCGAACGTATGATTGTTCCGGTCACTACTAGGTCGAATGCGTAGCAATCTTAGGACGGGGACCGCGAGAATGTATCACTCTTCTCTCGCTATAGATGAGGATATCTGAGCGGCTAGACGATGGACGTCTCGACTAATTATTGCCTTGACGGGACCGTCAATGGTAGGATATATATCTAGGCGCTGAGGCCTGATTGACTTCGGTGGGATTTTCCGTTCCGAATGACGCATGTACTGTATAGTGACCGGCAATTTGATGGAAGGTCAACCGGTTAGTGGTATGTACTCCGGACACTTTGGCGATTCCATTCTTACAAAATTGCTTTGTTCCAGAACGCAAGTAACCAATACGGAAGCACCTACCAAGCCATCAAGGCACGTGCAGAAGGCTATATACCAGGGTACTATATATATACAGCCAATCCTTTCTTCATTACCATCACCCCCTTCCCCCTTCCGGTGACACCACGCCGTCCTCTGATTGTCCAGCCCATTCTCACGTCCCAACACATACTCTAAACCTCGAGGACATTTCTGGCTGCTGGTCATCAGTATGCCTCAGAGCATTCGCGGTACCTTATGTGAATCCGCTCGAAAGCTGGGCTATGCCCCAGTCACTGGCTTCGAACCTCTGCAAGCCCCTGAGGTCGTCAACGTTGACGAACCTCGATTAAGCCCTATCTGGTTCACGCCACCAGGCCCTCCATGCGCGTCGAGTACGTCCCGTCGGTCGAAAGTGCAATCCCCGATCACTGACCATTGTTGCAGATGATACCGACACGCAAGAGTTGCCGAAGACGAATATCAGGATGACGCGATATCGTCAGAGAGGCCGTCCTCGAGAAGAATGCGAAGTAACGCAAGAGGAGGCTCTCGCCAACATGCTTGCCGCAACCAGTATTACTTCAGGACCAGGCTACGAATTGGGGGGTTCCGCGTCGTCACCAAGTCCTCGTGGTGAGTACGGTGAGCATCATCATTGTATCTGGCTTGGAAACACTCGTTCCTGATCATCTTCTCACAGTTACAGTCCCCCGGTGCCTATCAATGGACGATACCCCTACCCCGACACCCGAAACAGAGTCGAAACTCGTTCAGAGGTCAAAAACCGAGCCGAGGGGAAGAAAAGGTAAGGAACCCTCGGGCTCGGCCTTGTCTCGTACTGATTCAATTGTAGCTCGACGAAGCGTGCCTTATAGCCCGTACCAATGTTGTCCAGCATTGAAACAGTCAGACCGAAGCCGAGGGGCGAGGGATTCTTCCCCTATGGCTGTTGTTTTTGACTAGTATACTGTGTATACTTACTTGATGTGTATTTCTATATCTACACCGTCGTTCTACACGAAGACAATCAAAAATTGTTCAACAAAGAGGGCCTAGGGTTGTCATCCCATCAGGAACCCCAATTTCGATTCTTGTCTATCTAAGTGGTTACCGATTACTGTATCGCCTGAATTCCCTCTGCCATTTCGCTGGGTATTTGGCGCACCTACCCACCCGCCGTATGTGCGCCATCGGTACCATGGAAATTGGTGCTTCACTCCGTGGCGTACTTTGAATCCTTGACGGCCAAAAATTCGTAGGTCAGTCCACGGTTTTTGCAAAAATCGACATTGTTGTTGACGTGATCATATTCAGAGGATTCTATGACCTATTCACATCCCAAGACTTTTTCAATAGCTTAGGGCTCAGATCTTGAGCCTGATCTGGTCAATCTAGATGTCCTCTGAGTTTCGGTATTGTCGGTGGATCGTGATAGTAGAGGTCATCGAACACTTTTCACGTTCTACACGCCGAAGAATTTTGAGGGAGCAAAATCATTGGCGGTAGTGAATGCAATGCTCGCGATGACATCACTTCCTAATATTTTAGATTCTGGTCCACGCTGCATCAGCGGGCGTTTTTATGTGGGCTCATCATTTCCATGGCCACGACCTACACCACAAAAAGAGGGCAAGTTTTAGGAACGGGTACATACCAAAGTCACTCATCGTAACACTAGATAAACAAGAGAACCCATTATAAACAATGTAAACGGTAGCATTGGTTATAAAGATATCTGACGTAACTCCAATTTATCGTAAGAGGAATATGAGTCCAAATATAATAGCAAATAAACCCAGTGAACGATGAAATACCTTTATAATCTGAGCCGCAACAGGTTGGAGATAATATCTATAGATAAGGGTTTGAGGAGATTATAATACTTAAGAAAGATTTTACGACAGATTACTTTGAATTACTGAATATCACAGCTCACTAGGTCCTCACAGCTCGCACATATCAGATGGGATTAATGCAATATAATATGTTAACAGTAAGCAATAGTAGTATTCTAGATAAAAATCGCTGCAAGCCAAGGCAAACTTCAAGAGATCAGTTAGATTGCAAAAATGGCAACGGAAAAAAGCACTGACAAAAATATGAAGGCATCTAGGCAGTGACTGGTGATAGCTTCAGCCCAATACGAGGCAGCGTCCATCCTTGTGATGGGACTCTCGGGCGGACGTGCATGTACATTGCCAGTATTGGTACATCCGCTGGGTGAATCAAAAACGTGCTTAAAGAACAATATTAGCGAAAAGGCAGATAAATGAGTGAGAGGACTTATCTCACGCGATCCTACTTGTGCTTTGAATATATGGAACGCGCATTAGTCACACCGAAGAACGTCAGTGTACTTACTAAGGTGGAATCCGATGCTGAGCATGAAGCGTTGTCTAGCGTTCACAAAAATGAGAACATATGCACATATATGCTCCAGAATTCACTCACTTTTTGTATATCCTGCATGCTTCGACTCGCCATTGTTCTACTCCTACCGTTCTCATCCCTCTTGACTCTCAATATCACTGTCCTCACCCTTTATCCCCTCTTCCCACTCGTCAGTGCAAATCTCATGCGTCCTCGGGAGTCGTGATCCGTGCTAAGGTCCTGTCAACAGATAGGGACACAACTCGGTCTTCTTTGGCTTGATGTTGGTCTTCTATGGGGCTGATCTTGAGAATCGGGAGAAGAATAGATGTAGGATACAGGTTGGGGTAATGTCATAGATGAAGGTGGGAGGGAAGGACAAAGCTCAGATTGTCACAATCGTAACCATTGACGTGTGACATCACGTGACATCCAGCCTCAAAGGCCGGCTATTGCTAAGTTTGGACGTCAGCACACTTTGAGGCTGCAGCGTTTGGAAGATACAGAGCAAGAGAAAAGAGCTAGCTGCACCTAGGATTGAATGTAGGTGACCAGTGATTGAGCTTATATATCTCATAACCAGTTATAAACCTGAAAGAACCCAGGCCAAGATTGCTTTCCCTTACTAGCAGTTATAACCTTGCTCAGGAGGGGATATAAAGACATATTACCTGAAATAATAATATGGCCCGGTTATACTGTTTTATACTCCAGCGCCATAATTGGATTCACTTATATACCATCCAACAGTTTGTAATGTTCAATAACATATTCACACTTTTTGTGGTGACTAGTACAATCATAGACATTATCCACCTAGAACGTTCCGGCTTTGGAATGAGACGAAATTTGTAGCTTCTCGAAGTTTGCAAGTCTGCGATACACTGCCTAAAGAGTGTTCCCGAGTGATCAGATAAGTGTTATCGCTGATCCCTGTCTAAATCAAAGCTTAGTTCCTCGTGATAGTGTAGTAAGAAGTCTTCCATGACACGATCGACATAGATTGCGAGCGATGAGATTGAATGACATGACCGATTCCTAGTGAGGGACAGCATAGGACTGGTTGAAAATCCATGGATCACGAAGGGGAATATCGGATACAAAGCTGTACGTTATGGAAGTATCGTAACACCGAGGAAAAGGAGGACTTCCAGAACCCGGTGGGTGATGTACATGATTGAAGGGCGAATTCTATCTCTCTTCTAATGACATGGGACGAGACAAGATTATCAATACAAGAAGAGATGGACTACGTGAAATCTGGAATATGTGCGCCACAATACTTAACATTTGCAGTTCGGGGTAAGTTGGTTGATTCCAGGGAGGTTCAAGTTCGGGCTCGTAGACAAAGGGCGACGAACTTCGAAAAATACATCGTCCGTACAAAGATGAAAAACACCATTGGAGGAGACGTCGAAGAAGTCTCATCGCGGTGCACTTTGCAGGCTGAACCTTCACCGCTCAACTCAATTGGTGTCCTGGTTTATACAAGTGTCATATACCTTCATCGATGGAGTCATCGATTGAGTTAATTATAATATCGATATCGTACAGTTACTGGAGTATGAAGCCTGAGTGCTGAGTACTGAGTACTCAAGTTCTCAATGTCAGAACCTCAGCGACATGATGGGAGGATGAAGAGCGCTGCTCGGCTTCCGGGCCGATGTGACGGGAAATGAGCTAGTCTTCCAATCTTTCCGCTCGTTCATTTGCTCTTTCAGGACTTGCTCGAATTCCAAGAGCGGTTTTACTCCAAGTGTCTTACTGAAAACAGACATTGCATTCCCTAGATACAAAACTTTGCATGTTCCATTCCACTGCGGGATGCGGTACCACTGACTGGCGGGTCGCTCCCGGGTCATCATATACATAGACCAGTCCGCCGGACTATTGTCCGTTGTGATATGGTGGATGACCGTTGCTTTCTTGAACAATCAAGTTTGGCGAGATTTATGGTATTATTTCTTCTCTGGTCCAATGAAGACTTATCTAATTCATCAAGGTCCGTCAGCGTGTCACACGGTTAACTAAAGCCATAACAACTTACAGTACGGCTAGTACCAGCGCGGCACGGTATTCGAGCCTCAATTCCGTCGGTTGACCAGGTCCTTAGAGGACATAGCAATCAGGACATAACAATATCATCTCGATGGTCTTTTTTCTTGCGCAATTCCTGGGATGCCATTGACATGGCTCCTTCAATGGTCCATTCATGCATTTTGGGTTCCAATTGTGGCAAGTTGATCGACACTTTGTCGATCTTTCCTTTGTCCAACTCGCTACCCGGAGCCACTTGGTTTCCCTTTATAATGGGCCACTATAACTTATTCTTCTTGCGACACTCAGCTTGTCCTCAAAGCGACGTATTTTATCCACACTGCAACCATACCTTTGAACCTGAGTAGGTAAGTCGCTCGTCCTTATCACATTCTTACAGTCACTCACACTGACAGTCCCGGATTAGTACTACGACTTCCTTATTTCCTCATCGACTTCCTTCAGTCATGGCGGCCGTACCACAAGAGTCTTTGGCGCCACATCGACTCGAGGACAAATACATCTACTCGCCTTCGTTCATCTGCCTCCTCCAGACCAACGACCCACCCGACGCCGACACAGATGCCACTCGCGCTATCTCGGACACGATCGCACAAGCAGCCGAAGACACAGTTCTCGCAGAGAAGGAGATAGCAACCCTCCAAACCAAGATCAAGGAAAAGCAAGCCAAGATTCGCGCCTTACGTCGAGTTATCGACGATTGCAATACCGTACTCTCCCCCATACGCAGGCTGCCAACTGACATCGTATTTGAGATCTTTCAATCCGTCGTCCAGGACAAGTACGATGTCTTCGACGTTACGAGCGGCCCGTGGCTCCTCACTCACATTTGCAAGCCGTGGAGAACCCTGGCATGCGAGTACGGTGCCCTCTGGTCGTGTGTTAATGTCACGAATGTCATGGCCTATGGAGAAACACGCCCCATCAATGAACCTGTGATGCTGCTTCGAACGGCCCTAAAGCGATCTGGCTCGTTTCCTCTCTCCGTGTGGTTCGAATACAGAACCAAGAAGAAATGGAGACAGTATGAGGAATCCGAAATCAACTTGCCAGGCTCTCTAGACAGTGACAACGGGGAACTTAGCGATGACGACGATGAAAACAGCATCTTGTCGACAGAAAGCGGTTACGAAATCGTTCATTCGAGTTTTGCTTCGCTTCCAATCGACTGCCAACTCGTGAAGGTGTTGATGCAGCACTCTCGCCAGTTTCAACACCTGAACATCGAAGTACCGAGCCCTCCCGCGCTAAAATGTCTCCGTGTAATACACGGACGTCTAGACAGCCTGGAGACAGTGCACATATCCTTACCCTACGAGGCATGGGTCCACAATGAGCTTCAAGAAACCTTCGCCCTGGCACCGAAGCTCCGTGTTGCTCGTCTGAACCGGCTCTCTCTGGACAGCGTGCTCGATCTCCCCCTCAGCCTGCTAAAATCTCTCGACCACCAGCTCGAGGACATGCGGGCAGAAGTATGGCTCTCCACCGTCCAAACCATCCTCCAAAAAGGATCTCAGCTGACCGAGTATGCGCCACCTTCACCACGTAAAGCATATAACAGCAAAATGCCTCGATTCCGCAGTTCTACGATTCGTACTTTTCATGTCCGTGCGTGGTACGTGCTCGACTATTTCCAACTCCCAGGACTCGACGAGCTACATATCTGTCATTTCGGGTTCGCTCGCGACCCGCATGGAGGAGACACCCTATCTGCCTTCATTCATCGTTCGGGATGCGCTCTGAAGAAGCTCTGTCTCCGCGGTGTCCCGGATAGTATCATCTCGGCGTTTCCGTTTGTCCACAAGAGCCTCGTCGACCTTGATATCACGATTACCCATTCGAACGATCGACTTTTATCTGATCTGAAGCACCTTCATGCGTACGGCTGGTCATTGCCCGCGTTTATCAAGACTCGTGATAAAATGTTCGAATGAGAATTGTGGGTGGCGTGATGTGCTAAAGGAATATTTGGAGCGGATTTTCGTTTTCGTCGAAGGTCTCTGCAAGGCAGGATCAAAGGTGCGGGTTGAAGTCTGGTTCATCACTCCCAACTTCCGACCCCATCAGGTATGTGACGTGAGGAAATTCAGGCGTTTGCTCAATGAAGGATTGGATATCGCAATTTTGGTAGGACGTAAAAGTAAGCCCTGGGAGGACACTATGGGTCGTGAAGAAGGGGATGAGATTGTGGACGTGCGTGATCTTTTTGAAGAAGAGGATGGTTATGACTGGGATTCGGAAGACGATGATGATGATTTTGAGGATGACAATAGTTGGAGTGAAGAATCAGATGCGTGCTAGATTCCCTTCGGTATACCTATATGATACGATTAATGATGATCTTTGAATGGAATGATAGTACCGAATCACCACGAGTTACAACCACGGTACAGCTGATTATTGGAAAAAGTAATGACAGCGGAACGCTTGTACGGTCCTAAGCTGAAACCGACTACCCAATCAATGTTGCTTGTGGGAACCAGTCTATCAGCTATTCTTGAGGACTGTATCTGTGAAGTAGAACCCGGTAATATACCGATTCATCTCCAGCCTCGACGTCGTTCAGGCTGGGCACGCCATGTTGAAATCACCTCGCCGAATCAGAATGTAAAGCATGCAGTCAGCCCTTCGCATTGATGGTCCCAAAACCGAAAATTTGAAGACATAGAATTGTTTGCCTTTGTACGAGATGACGGTAAGGGTCTGACTTTGCCCGTCGGAGATCAAATTCTTCGTCTCTTCCGTCTTCCAGTCATGTCGCTCATTTTCAATGTTTTCGTGTAACATTCTGCGCTCGCCTTCAATCCAAGCCATGTTTGGTATCGTTGGACCGATTTCTTTGGACAGCGATGCGACTACGGCACGCGGAACGCGGAGCAGTATACTTTTGCTGTTTAGAGCTGGAAAAGTACGTGTACAAAAGTCATCATTCCAGCATATACTCACTGCCGTCGTGAAGTCGCCTGATCTTGTTTATGCTTGAGTCTATACTGCGCTTCATTCCAGGTGCCTACAAAACTAGCACCCATCAGCACAAAATTTCATCATATCCACGCACGCTGGCAAGGATAATCCACTCATGCTGATCTTTTCGCCAACGCTCTCTAGTGTCCACAGTACTGGCGAGCAAGGGAGAGCGCTTAAATGGTCGAACGTGCGTCCAAAATTAGACCACCACTGCAAGACTGATGTTCCGATCTGATGTTTAGACGAAAGGCAGATGCAGATGGGGCCAATCAAGGGCTTCTGATCCCTCTCGTGTGCTGTATCGTCTTATTTATGCAACCATTTGGTACCTTACGGGAATCAGTTTAAGAGCAAAGATCGCCGTCTCTCCCTTCAAGAGCTCCACCATTTCACGATGAACGCTGACGACCGAAGAGGTGTTTCCTTGCCCCAGCTATCCAAGGACCACGATGAGTCTAGGTTGGAGATTCTGACGACGAAGGAAAAGCTATCCAGCGCGTTCACTATTGCTTGCTCTGGTACGAAACCAAGTCTTGCCTGTCTTGCTTCGTTCTCATTTTAGTTCTAGGGTTCGCTCTTATCAGCGACGGCTTACAGAATGTAGGCCTTTAACTGGCTCGTATCAGACCCGTGCTGATTTCTACGTCTTAACAGAACATTATGTCACTCGTAAGTCCACTCTAGGTCCTGCTTCCCGGTACTCGTGACCCTAATTCACGGATCTTTCGTCAGACGAATGTTGTCTTTGCTCAGGTCTATGGCTCAGCATACAATTCCCACTGGTCGACGCAGTTATCTAATTCTTTGACCGTCGGAACTATTCTCGGTCAGATTATCATCGGTTACCTCTGCGACGTCAAGGGCAGAAAATGGGGAATTGTGCTGTCGACAGTCATGATCGTCATTGGAATCATACTCTGTACCGCATCCCATGGTGCCAATGGGAGCTTTATAGGCTTCCTTTGGATGTTCACTGTTTGTACGTTCACCTATTTCCGCCGAGTTATGTCTCTGATTCGCTATTTTCCAGGTCGAGGTATCACTGGTATAGGTCTGGGAGGAGAATACCCGAGCTGCTCAACGTCTGCTGCGGAAGCTGCCAACGAAAAGATCAGGAAGCAACGCGGTCCAGTCTTCATCATGGTCACAAACTTTGTGCTCTCTTTTGGGACGCCTTTCGCTTGCATCCTCTATCTGATCGTCTTCGAGGCAGCTGGTGAGTCTTACTTCATATGTTTGAATGTCATAATGACCCCTTTTCTTAGGCGGTTTACAGGCAAATCTTTCAACTGTATGGAGAACTGTTTTCGGTATCAGTTGTATACCTCGTCAGTGTAATACCTTGACTACTATCAAAGCGAGTGCTGATTCCTTGTTACAACGGCAGCTCTCGCAGTATTCTATTTCCGTTTCAAGATGCTCAACTCGCAACTCTACCGGAAAGGTGCTATCCAGCATAATGTACCGCACCTATTGACCATCAAATACTACTGGAAATTCCTTGATCGGTACTGCGGGGGCGTGGTTTTTGTACGACTTCATTACCTTCCCCAACGGTGTATGTAAGTATACACTCCTCCATTACTGTCTCCACGAATTTAATTACCGAATGACAGTCTCGGGTCAAATCATCTCTTCTGTCGTCTTAGTCAAAGGAAAAGAACTCGTTCGTAAGACTGCGGAGTACCAGCTTCTTTTGGGCACGATCGCGCTTCCGGGATGTGTTGTTGGCGCGCTATTGGTCAACCATCTGGGGCGGAGGAATACAAGTATGTCACGTCAATGCGCCTTCTGAGGCGATGTTGCACCTGACCCTTCGCGCCACAATTTTTAGTGATTCTCGGGTTCAGTGGATACCTTATTTTTGGTCTCGCGGTCGGGTGTGCCTATGACAAGGTCATCAAGAATGTCCCAGGGTTCATTGTATTGTATGTTGGTTGCTATCCTCTTGGTAGTCTTCGGTGTTCTAATCTGGGTGGGGCAGATATGGTCTGATGAACTCTTTCGCTAATGCCGGTCCTGGGGACATGCTCGGATTGACTTCGAGTGAATCATATGCGACTGCTGTCCGTGGGACATGTTATGGGTTTTCAGCAGCGATTGGCAAAGTTGGTGCAGTTCTAGGCACCCAGGCTTTCAAGCCAATTCAGGACAACTTGGGGAAACGATGGACTTTTGTGAGTCGCTGGCCGAGCTGCCGAATATGCCTCTCAATTTTATAAGATCATTGCGGCTATCTGTGGTTTGGCCGGTATGACCGTAACTTGGTTCTTCATTCGTAACGAGTAAGGGTTTTTCGACTTGTACAGAGGACTAACTTTAAACCTTCTTTCTTTAGTTTGGATGGAGATTTAGCTATTGAGGACGCGAAGTTCCAGGTGTTCTTGGAAGCAAATGGTTGGCACGGAGACGTTGGCGCGGCAGAGTCCGTTGATGCTTTAGTCGTATCGGAGAAGGGCAAGGTATCTAAAGAACGGACAGATTCATAGATGGTCAGGTGAAACGAAAGTTTCATTTTCGCACAATGACTTGTTCATATGAATGATATAATCTGCTTTCTTTCTCAGGCTAAGGTGTCCACCGGGTAGCATATGCGAGGAGGCGGGTCCGGTAAAGCTCAAAATGTCGATGACGCGTGACGTCATTGCGCCTTCGTAGCGGGAACCAATTACCACCAATAAGTGTTGACTTTTCCCATGCTTCGACGTCCGTGATTTATTCGGGACGAAGTATATTCCTTCACTCTGTGGAACCGTCTTCCCCTTTTGAGCCTGCTCGGAACATAATTCTGCTCCACATGGTCTGGGATCCAGCTGCTTGATGAGTATCCGACCCCTCGTAGCTTATCGTTGCCATCTGTACAGAGATCAACGGTCCTCAGCCGAGCGCGTTTTCATTAACGGACAACTATACCGAATTTTGAGTCACTGACACCGTGCATGTGCGCCGTTCTCAAGCAAACTACCCAAGTTGGGAACTCTTGGCGTCCAAATGTCTAATCCGCAAAGTCCACCTCCATTGCGGCACTTGTCACGTCGCGATGTTTCTGTTTCCAAAAGGTAGGAAGCTCACCCTCAAACTGGCTGACACGTATTCATTCATACCTTCGGACATTCACCGACGAATGGATTTTTCCTTCTGGCGCTGTCCACTATCATGTGTTCGTGTCGAGTTTTGAGTGGTGGCTTGTCGCTGCAGTTCTCACCAAGAAGTCACTTTGCCTTTTCAGCTGAGGCTCCCTTGTGGTCTGCCTCTCGAGCTGGACATGCTGCTCATGGTTGCTCACGTTGCAACAATGTCCGTTGTGCGGAGCAGCTGAGGTATAAAGGATACGATGGAGGACCTATCGACTTCATCGAATCCGACTGCAGCCTCTTTTCTCAGTTCAAAGCACGGTTATCATGCTCTTCTTCACAGCAGTCGCTCTCGTCTCTTCTCTCGTCTCCCCAGTCTTCGGCGCGACGTACCAGCAGACCGACAGCTTTGTTGGGTCCCAGTTTTATTCTGGTTTCTCCAATCAAGCAATTTCTGACCCTACCAACGGGCGTGTGTACGTGACATTTTCGATACGCAGTCTCTACTCATTCTAATGTACTGCTCATCGCAGAAACTATGTCGACGTTTCGACGTCTAAATCCCGCAATCTGACCTACGCGTCTGATAACACCTTCATCCTACGCGCGGATGATACGACCGTCTTAAGCGCGAGCGGACCCGGTCGTAACTCCGTTCGTCTGATGTCAAATAAGCAGTACGGCACCAACACCGTCATGGTGTAAGTAGTATAAAGACGCTTACAGAATCGGTGCTAATTCATTTATTCAAGATTCAACATCCGGCATATGCCACAGGGATGCGGGTTCGTGATTTGTAACATGGGCTGAGTTCAAACAATTCAACTTTTCTTTTAGCACCTGGCCTGCGGTATGGACTGTGGGCCCTAACTGGCCCAACGGGGTGAGATCTCGAGACCCTGAAAAAATCCCGCGCTTACCAAAACAAAATAGGGAGAGATTGATATCATTGAAGGCGTCAACAACCAGGTGTACAATCAAGCTACTTTGCACACGTCATCTGGTACGTTAGTTTCTTTCCCGTGGGTCCAGTTCTCATCTTGATATACAAGGATGCACGATGCCCAGCAATTCGCGCACTCAGTCTGGGTATTTATACTCCCTTCTCAATTGAACCCAATTTTTCATTGAAAACCTCTTCAGGGTCGCTCTGCAAAACAACTGCGACGTAAACGTTAACAGTAATGCAGGGTGCGGTGTCCAGTTCCAGAATGCGAACAGCTACGGAGCGGGCTTCAACAACAACGGCGGAGGCTGGTTCGTCCCCCGACTGATTTCTTGGCAACTGCGATTGACTGCGGATTCCTAGGTATGCCGTGGAGAGGACCAACTCATTCATCAAGGTATGGTTCTGGGGCAGGCATGATTCCAACGTTCCCTCTGCCGTCAGCAATGGTAGCGGCTCCGTCAATACCGATAGCTGGGTTAGTATTTCGCTCAATTGGTAACTTAATTATCTCAAAATGCCTTAGGGAACACCCTTCGCGTATTTCCCGAGCAACTCTTGCTCCTTGGCGAGCCATTTCAGCGCCCAGAACATTATCATCAATTGTAAGTAATGCCTCATAAGACATCTTCTGCAAGCTGACCTAGACGATTATTTCAGTGACTTTCTGTGAGTATCTCTTTCTTTTATTTCTTTCCCTTGCTGACCATATTATTAGGTGGCGATTGGGCTGGAAACGTATACGCGAGCTCCGGTTGCCCTTCCTCTTGTGTTGGTAAGTACACAGGCTACATGAAATAAAACATGAAACTAATCCTGCATTTTAATAAGACTTTGTCAACAACAACCCCGGTGCCTTTTCCAATGCTTACTTCGACTTTGCTTGGGTGAAGGTATACGGCTAATTTAGTGTTTATACTCTTGTTTATTTTAGTATTTTACAATGAAGAATATGACACGATGGTTCAGGATATCTCGGGTTTCTTCAACTGAATTCCTCTTCTCCTGTCAAACGATAACCGGTTCAACTAAATAAAGTTTGTCAGTGGTCATGATGTTCAAGAATAGCTTCATACGAAGTCTGAATTAACGGGAAAAGAACGCAAAACGGTCGCACATGTGAAACAAGACCTGCCATTTTGTTAGCCTGTGAGGAATACTAGTAAATTTAGATGCATAGCGGTTTCCTGGGTGGGGCCTCCGGGTCGGCGTGGGCCGCGTGGCAACTCGATGCTGATTATAGGAAGGTTTTGACTCTTCTTATAGCTACATTCAAAATGGATTTTACAACGCAATACATAGAGGATTTAGAAGTGTATCATGCAGTAACAACGCCGATGAAAAAAAAAATTGGAGAAAACTGGATCCGGAAGGAGACAAGCTGAGTAACCCGCGCTTCAGGGGCTTACGTACTTGTGTATCGTTATGGGCGTCAGCTTCCACCACGAACAAAATGAAATACAGAAAAATAAATTATGTATGTAAACCAAAGTGCTATCCAAATCTCATCGTGATCATTTCTGATTCCTCAGGCCTAGACATAACTTCCTGCCTTCTTTGCGCATACTCATCCAATCTCTGATTTCGCCCTACCTTCCCCCTACCGCCTCGTTTGCTGACCCACTCCACTCCGAGTACCTCAATAGCACTCCCATCGTGACCTGTTCCCCATCCACAGCTCATCATTCCCCGTCCATCGTCCTCTTCGCCTTCGCCCTCGCCTTCACCCCATCCACCCAAGAAACGGCCAATGACCTCCTCCTTGGAATGACCGACCTCCGGACCTCTTCCCGAGACCCGGATGATCCTTACACGTACTCTCAAATCGTTCCCTTCCTTCTTAGCCTTTCTTGCACCGCTATACGTGACCCAACCTGCGTGCACAGCGCATGAAAAGAGATCAGAATCGTCCGTGTAAACTCTCCTTTCCGAGTCACCGCCACCCCATACTTTGGTCTTCCCGGGGGGTGGCCGGGAATCGGGAAAGAATCCACTCGGCACGAGGATGTCAGCTATCCGTTCACAATCCACAATGATTGCATCTTCCTCGCCTTCCTTTACTGGATTTGGTAACGGCGGGAACTCCTCCTTGGGTGTCGGCGGAGGGAAGTGAAAGGGGAATGGAACCTTAGGCCAAATATATGTTCCCATGTGTAATTTCACCTTGCTCCGAACGGGTCGAGATAACCTCGGTCTCTTTCCTCCCCGAGAGTCTCGTACCATCTCTCGCTCCTGTTTCTTGTTTGAATTGTCGAAGACGATCCCTGGAGGTCCTCCCATTGGAATACCGGCAGGACCAGATGCGGCTGGAACGAACTGCGTGTGGAACTGATTTTGGAATTGTCGCTGAGGGAGTGAACCTGGACCGAATGGCTTAGGTGTATGGCGGTCCATGCGTTCTCGGTCAATACGTTCCCTCTCTATACGGTCCCTCTCCATTCGTTCACCTATTCGTTCAGCCCGCTCCCTTTCATCAACGATTGAGCGTGCGGGGTTGATGGGAGTAGGGTTAATTGGTCTGGATGCTGTTTTGTCATCTGGAAGATTGTATGAGTCGCCAAGTCAACGAGATATCTTAACAGCACAGACCTCTCCTCAAGGCTGGCCCGTATGGGTTATCCATACCAAGACTCGCCATCGCTGGAGAGCGGAACACTTCCCTCTCTCTCTCTCGCTCCCTCTCCCTGTTCACATCATGTATCGTGCGCCCCTGAGGCGAAACTCGCTCCCTCTCCCTCTCTCTTTCTCGCTCTCTTTCCCTTTCCCTCTCCCTTGCTTCTAGACGTTCTCTGTCAATGGTCCGAACATCCATTCTCTCTCTTTCCCTCCTCTCCCTCTCTCTTCCACCAAACCACCAACCCTCCTCCCTAGACCACGGTGCCCATCCACCCGGTCCTGCCCCACGATCACGTTCACTTCGCGGCTCTCGAGGCACTTCTCTTGGTTCCCTAGGTACGTCGCGTATTTCTCTCGGATCCCTAGGCAACTCACGTATATCGCGTGGCTCTCGGGGCACATCACGTATCTCCCTGGGCTCCCGTGGTAAATCACGTATATCACGAGGTTCCCGTTGCAAATCACGAATTTCTCGTGGTTCCCGAGGTAAATCGCGTATCTCCCGGGGCTCCCGCGGGAGGTCACGTATATCTCTTGCCTCTCGCGGTATATCTCGTAGATCTCGGGGCTCCCTAGGCGGCAATCTTTCTTCCCGGATCAGGCTTCTTTCCCGTGGAGGCATACGAGGCTCCCGCGGGGGTATCCGTTCCATTTCGCGAGGAGTGAGTCTTTCAATTTCACGGGTCGGTATTTCACGCGGTGGAAGTCTTTCATCTCTGCGTTCCATGTCCCGGGGTGGTAAAATCTCCCTCGGGACTCTATCATCTCTCGGTTCGCGGGGTGGTATTCGCTCAATCTCCCGTGGTACCAACCTGTCGGCCATGGATGATTAGTGTAGACGAACGGCAGTATATAACTCACCTAGTATCATCTCTAGGTTCGCGTGGGGGGAGTCGTTCCAATGGCCTGGATAACGGAGGGGTGAATACTGTCTAGCACAAAATTAAAGACAAGGAACTTGCCTGTCATCTCGTCGCTCTATTTCCCGTGGTACCATCCTTGTTAACGTCAGGTAGATGGAATGAGTACAATGAGGAGATAATTACCTATCATCTCTAGGTTCGCGAGGCGGAAGTCGTTCAATTGGCCTGATACAAAGCAGTTATTATGATACCCAATGATAAGTAAAGGGTCTTACCGTTCATTTTGTCGCTCAACCTGTATATCTCGTGGTACCAGCCTTGCTCTATATTAGTGTAGGAATAGGATGAATTGGAGCAAACACACCTGTCCTCCCTGAGTTCACGAGGTAGAAGCCTTTCAATTTCTCGAGGAATCAATCTAAAAGCATGATATTAATGAACGCACAATCTTCAAAAGATGAGAGACTCACCTCTCTTCTCTTGGCTCCCGAGGGGGCAACCGGGAATCCATAGTGGTTATCTCCCTCGGCAGTGCACGTTCACTCATCTCCCTCGACAATCTCCGTTCTCTATCCTCCCTAGGTTCTCTTGGTGGCTCGCGCACCATCTCCCTTGGTCCAGTTGGTGGTAACCTGGTATCAACGGCTCTGCCCCCCATGCCAACACCTACTTCCGGCAGACGAGCAGCACCATTGACAGCAACATCAGGTATCCGCCCTGAGTCAGACAGTCTCCCTCCACCACCTATACCGCTCCCGCTACCACCACCACTATCGACAGCAACTCCAGGACCAGCCAACCTCGTGCTACTGCCGCTCGCAGTTCCAGGCCGTCGATCGTCAGAGGGGGAATCTTGTAGCAGCGCGGCTACATTCATTTTGACGAGAAGGTAATTTGATTGTAAGCAGCGACACACTGCGGATTGTTAGTGATGGTCGGCAGACAAGGAGGATCAACGTCGAAGATGAAAATGAGGAAAACCGTTCAACACGTGGAATCGGCCCGGGTTACCGTTTAATTATGATATTTAAGAATTGAAAATTGTAATATTAATATTAAAATAGCGGATATCCATGGCGAGTCGGATATGGTGTAACGGCTAACATTGCCGCCTCTCATGTCTATGACCTCATAGCTGTGCGCGGCAGCTCGGGGTTCGATTCCCCGTATCCGAATTTCCAGTTGTCCTTTTTGGTTGCTCAGGTTGTCCCGTCACTCCAGTGACTCCACAGTGTCCGCTGAAGAGGGAAGGGACTCGGGGCAGGTTCCTAGTTCGTAACTCGTAATTATTATTGCCTAGCTGCCTTGGGCAAGATGCCACTTTTTAACTGACACCTCCTCAAGGGGTGACTTTATACGAGGTTTGGTTACTTAGGTAGTCTGAAACTCGGCATACCAATACCGCACAAAAATCCAGGTGATGCCGGACTACTCTGATTCCTGACTAGGGACTCCTCTGTCAGTCGAGTTCAAGGCTAGGCTCGATGATGTTCCTTCACAAAAGCATCGTACATATACTACAGATTGTGACACCAACTGCTATATCTTTACTTCGTAGAAAATATATGTGCGAGCCTGCCCACTGATTTCTCGTCCTATCAGCGAATACTCTCTCACGGCCTTGAAAATTGATTGTTCAAGTAACACTATTTAAACAATTAACTGATGGTAGTTGGTAGGGCTCGTAACGTTGGCTCGCATTCGTCGCTCATCTAAATATATGATGTAGCACCAGGATGTTTCAGCCCCACATTTCGTACTCTTTTATTGGCCCATGAGTACTACTAAACACCAAAGGAACACAAGTGAAGCTGTAAGAGGGGTCTCGAATGATATCCAAAGTTTTGACAATATGACGTGGGAGCTGAAGCGCTGATTCTCAGACACGAATCGAAATAATGAAAACGAGAACTTACGTTGAACGTCGCGACCTCGCCAGGTCCCTCTCATGAGGTAATGAAGTCAAATTCCTGCGCCGCGGACTTGAAAACTTCGTCCGTATATGTTTCCAAGATTAACGTTGTCTGTCGATCAGCATCCGGGGAGGCAGGAGTGTGGAGGAGGTGGCGTCGACAGGATCATTTGATGTCGGTAACCAAGACCAGTGGCCCAGGGAATTCGATGAAGGTCGAGCCTGCTGCTGAAAAGTTGACGTGGCGAATTAAGAGAACCTTCAGCAACGTACGGTTGCTGAGGGACAGGATAATGATCAGCGTGACAATGGCGGGTCCGAGGCGACATGCCAATGTTAAGACGCCGGTCAGGCTTTACACTGCAAGAAGAGGCCGAAGGGACAGCGGGCGTAGGGCGGAATTCTTGAGCTTGCGTGACCAGAAATACTGATTATCCGTGGAGAAATGTTAACAGCTTCAGTACCCAATAATCGGTCAGTGTGAGAATACATCATAGTGCAAGACCCTGCGACATCGAATCCAAGCTTGCTTGACGGATCGTCCGTGGGGATGAGCACGAAAAGATGCCGTGAAATAAAGGCCGAAAGAGCTTGCTTGACTTGCTGGTGTATGTTTGGAAAAGCGACTTCTCTCAGGCTCCCGCCCCCTCGGCGATGTCGGGACTCGGGACAGGAACGTGGCCCTGTGGCGTCGTGTTTACTAGTGCCTTCTTGCCTCGTTCATTCTTGGCGTTTGCTTGTTCCATTTTCTCGAGCTTAACAGCTCTCCCCTCCTGTCTTACCGCTATCCTTTCTCTTCTTGTGGGGCTCCTTCCCGGTCCTTATGACAAGCTCAAATCCAGGCTCACACCTCGCGCCATACCTTTATTGTCTCGCAAAGTTTTTTGACATTTGACCCACTCCCCCTCCGTACCGAAGGCGCAAAAAGTTCCGTAAGTTTCACCTTATGTTTTTAACTTGGAAGCCGCAGTCACGAGCGAACCAAATCTGATGTTTTGCGTTGAAATGGGTTTCTCTTTCTATCTGCAGGGACGATGACATCCATATGCCGTTCCGTAGAGGTTTAGACCTTTGCTTTTCCTTTTCGAGAACTTGTCAACCAGCTGACGAGGCAACCGTCTATCCGATTCCTGTGTCGTCTACAAGCTTCGAGCTGGGGCCTAATAATAAGTGAACAAGGGCTCGATTGTATATGTTCTCAATCACCCGCGGGTACTCTCCGTCCAGTATCTCTTGAGCTTACGACTATCATATATGACCGATCACCGACGCTAACGCAGTTGTACATATGTTGCGCCCCAATCATTTTAACCAACCTAGGTTGTCATCATGTTTTAGTTCTCTATTTTATCCAGTCTAGATCTTGCCGTTTATTTTCGCCAAAGTGGCGTCGGTTTTTAACATGAAAGGTTATCATCTCTCGGCGATTTGAGCTGTCAAGTTTCTTTCTTGATGGTCTTCTCCCGTGTGGTCTCTATACACGTTTCTGCGTATGTTACTGTTGTCAACGACATCGTTGACCTGGATGCTTTCCATCAAAACTATTATAAAACTCGATCCCTCCCCTCGTATATGTGGTTTCCATTATTCATACCCGATTGGATGTAACTGTATGCCAGTTAGTCTACTACTATGTCATGCACAGCCAACATGACGACCGAGTCTAAACATGTGTGGACTGGCCGCTGTCCTAGGCCGCTAAGTGAGGTAATTCGAACACTCAAATGATTTAATCCCGACGATAATGGTAACGACTATGGAGACCTCGACGACAATTGCTGGCTCGTCCCATATAATAATCACGTAACCCAGGGTGTGGCTTGTAGTATGATTAGCAACACGCGCGCCTATAGTTCTTAGAGCCTCGATCAGGAAATTTCCTATTATGTGGGGGCTTCTCGTCGGCGCGGTGCGTTGTTGTTTTTTTGAATTGATCCATATCAGAGTAGTGAAACAGCGAGGAAAGGAGTAATGAAGACTTGACAGGAGGGAACTTATCGACGCTATGAAACTTGAGAAATGAGCGTGAGCCATTGGAGCGGCGTGGATAGGGAATGGCAGGATCATTTGATGTCAGTTCCTGGGACGAGGATGGAAAGAGTCTATTTCGGCGCCGGCGTGACGGTTACGGTGGGGACGCCCTATGGGGATAGGCCGAGGTACGAAGATCATCAGACAGTCGATATCTTCAAAATGGCATACGGCTAGACGGGGGGCTTTCAGGGAAAATAGGAGGAAAGTCCGACAGATGGGATCCCGAAAATTGAGTTCGAGGTGGAGCATGATATGCATGGGATTAGCACGGACTCTGTTTCAGCTGAGACAAGGATGGATGGACAGGATGATATCAGGGTCATTACATTCCGAGTGACGGTGGTGAGTCATTGACGGTGGAGATAGTCATCTGTGGATATTAAGGGCCTGTCACTGGCAGTTCAGCAGACAGAGTTCAAACAGAAGAAAAGAACAGAACAGAATATAGGAAGGAAAGTCTAGTCGTTGGTAGTTAAATCGGGGGATTAATTGAGTCTAGTTTGGGTCGCTAGCAGCCTAATTGAATGGAGAGACATGGGCATGGTAATGCGGCGGAACATGGGTGGAGATTTGAGATGGGTGGATGCTACGATGAAAGCCTATTGAATGGGTAAGACTGACCATGATGGAATAGGCCAATGACTACATTGGGCTGCCTGTTTTCCGGGAGTCAAGTCAGACATAGGAGCACCCGAACATGTACGTCTTCGGAGGCAGTAATTCAGCGAGACGTAGGCTCGATACCAGCCTGTTTTTTCTTTCTGGAGACCCACTTGGGCTGATGATCGTTTAATAGAACAATCACCATATGGACTGGGAGTGGAGATTACCTGACAAGTGGCCCGATAAATGGTGAAACGTGCAACTCGAATGAGGACTCGTGAGTAAGTTTGGGATAGTCTTTTTTCTCGGAGAAGAACTGAATGAAAACACGGGACTAAAAACGGGCCTGGCTGCTATATGGAAGACCATCCCGCGAAGCACGTACGAGTCGCAGATCGGTCCTGGACTGCTGTCGAATGAACCTTCTCCGCTGAGCAAGTCGCCGGTTGCTGCTTCAAGGTGAGGATCCGCTACGATTGTGTAAAATCTTGGATCAAAATTAATTATCGATTTGATCCGTTTACTGTTTTGTGACCACCCGAGGAGGCGAAAAGAGGGCTGTCCGCGGAATTGACAGCCTCGAATACAGTATATGGCTCTCTTTGAACTTTTCGAACTAGGAAGAATACTAAAAATAGAACATGTGACGCGCGTGACATACATATCTCGATAATATTTTTAATTTTGGCCTTTTCATTTTTGTTTCCGTCTACGACAAACTCGTAACAGTTAACATAATGGTGAGCCGAATATGTAGCGAGTCCGTCCATGTTAAATATCGTTATCCTTGCCATCCTCCATGACCATTTGCTTTGTTTCTCTGCATGTCGTCCCCTGCTGTCCCCTCATTCGCGCTCGACGTCCCGTTCCCCCGTCGATGCCGTCACTCCCAATGACGCCGTAGAGCGCGCCACCCCTCGCCGTGATCACTCCCCGCCGCCGCGACTCGAGGCAAACACCCCGCCCGTGAACACCCCGCCCCCGACGATCAAGCGCTCCGACTCCCCGCCCCCGACGCTAGGAAAGCGGCCCCGTGCGGCCCTCCGCCTCCAGTATCGACAATAGGCCACCCGTCACAGAGGACAGGAAATATCGCGGAGACAGACCCATCCAGCCATCAGAATATGAGAGTGGCCGCGTCATATGCGAGACCTGCAGCACCAGCGTCTCTTTCCGTGACGAGAATAACGGCGAGTTTACCCTCAAGCACTGGGATGCTCATAGGATGACCTGGTCAGTCGACCCTGCCGACTATTTTTGACTGTTGTCACTCATGTTTTATGGATCTGATACTACAGCAGTGAGCCGAATCCGACACCGCCGCCTCCGACAAAGCGCCGTCGTGCCAAGCGCACAGAAGACGAACGGATTGATTACCTCCGGAATGACCCCTACGTCGCTCAGTTCGAGGCATATAGGGTGCTGTGTGCCTCGTGCGACAAGTGGATTAGGCTCAGGCCGAACTCGACCTATTGTAGCATACCCTGGGACGCCCACCGTAAGAGCTGTCTCGCCAAGAAGATGTACGTCTTCCCTCGCGCTTATTCCCACAAAATATTCAATGAAATTTCTAGAACCTCCTAAAAACACCTACGCTCTCGAGCAGCGCAATGCCGCATTCTCAAAGGATCCTGACGTCCGAAAATTCGACGCTGAGCGCGTGCTATGCGCCATTTGCGACTGTTGGGTGCCCGTCCCTGTCCCGGATGATCGCAACCTTCTGGGCTCAACACCGTGCTGCTTGCCGAGCGCGCTCCGTCAGCAACCATCATCATTCTTCAGCCAACCAGGGTGCTAATTCGCCGTCAACTTCGTCACAGCCTCAACCTCAGCCTCAGCCCCAGCAACCCCGCCGACCGACAGATTCCCCGCCAGTTCAGCCTTCGTCACAACCGCCGCCCTCGTCCACTCCTGCCCACGAGAGTAGGAGACGCAACGCCGAGCAGCGAGCAGCTACTCTTCGCGCGGACGCCCTCATTCTCTCTGTCGAACCAAACCGAGTCTTCTGCAGCCTCTGCCAGAAATGGGTCCAACTCCGACAAGACTCGAGCTTCTGTGCCTATCCGTGGCTGCAGCATCGCGGCAAGTGTTTAATGCGGAGGTACGGTTGCTCGAATCCTTGATTTATTTTGATCTTTTATTAATCGGAGTTCCTGGATCTAGTCAGAAACGGGCACAGAAGGAGCGCGAACAGCGTCACTCGACTTCGGCACCGTACCCTGTCCACGCCCATCCACCACGACCGCGCGCGGTCGTGGAATCGGAAGAAGGACGAGGATGCGGAGGGGAGCTGGGATGAAGACGTCGTCGGTCCTCGTGTCAGCGGCTCTGTGTCGTTCACACCGGCCCAACCGCCTCCCCCGCGAACCTCATCTTCATCGACTTCTTCCTACGTCGACTTGGATAGCCCCGATGGGCGGTAAGTCTATCGATCCATCTTTACTTCACACCTACCGTAATTAATATCGATTGTGATGTAGGTTATCTCATATCCATACGTCGTTGATACACCTCTTCCGGACAACGTATTCTGTTCCTGATACGGATTTGACTGTGGCCGCTTTGGTTGGGTTTCTCAATGCAGGTATGCCGGAGGATCGATGGGAGGAGTTTGATTTGCGCGAAGGTCGTGCGGGGCGTTGGTGTCTTGGCTCGCGAGGGAGGGGGGAGAGAAGGGTCGAGTTAGAGGGGGATATCGTTAGATGGAGATGAACCTCCACACCCCCTTCACTGCATAGATATATTATTCGTGCTATACTCTTGTTATCTGTTTTTGCTTTCGTCAGTTGCTTTCTTGGAATTTTGTGATTTCTGTATGATATACGGCATTTATCTTATTATTGGACCCTTAGTGTTATGGTGGATTACTTTACAAGACGTGTGCGTCGTGTGGCGATATTGCAACTTTGACTAGAATTTTGATTTCGGTGATTGACACGGAGCACTTGAAGGATTCGATGATCTTTGGCTGCTTGGTATCTATTATCACCGTGGTGGCCGACATGGGCAAATTTTAATGGATCACAATGTGTACATTGCGCGTTCTTCGTGTCTACGTACTGCATCTGATATTTATGTATGGCTAGGATCACAAGCATGTACGCCGATGGTGAAACGGTTATCATGCTTGCCTTCCATCAATGCGGCTTGAGCCGGCTACAGCAAGCGGTAGGGGTTCAACTCCCCTTCGGCGTAGACTCAACATGTTTACTTGGATATCTCCTTTTTCTGGCCGGTTCATGGTTAGGCTGCGCACGAAACCTCCAAGGACGGTTTGGTACCAATCCTTCCTCAAGGGGGGGTGTTCCGATACGATATTTTACCGTTACTTACCTATCACATGACTGACGCGTCGTAACTGCAGGTTTTTTCCGAAACTCCTGCCTTCGCGTTTTATACATTTTCTTGATATAATAAAATGCAGTTCATTTATAAGGATAACTCATTTGTGAATTTACCTTAGAACTCGAAATATACGTCTAGTGGTATGGAATTATTTTCCTCAAACACCTGTCACATGACAGGAAGGGGAGGTAAAATACTGGCAGTAACTAATCAGTAACTCACCGGTCCGAAACCCCGCAGTGTATCAAAACCTGGAGTTTCGTGCGCAACACTATTCCGGCGTCCGTACAACAGTGAGCACAGTGAAGCACACCAGAGTGACGAAACCTTCGGCCCCCGGGGGGATAAACTACTGAAACTTACCAAACCTCTTGTACCAAGCGAGTTTTTTTGATACATTTTTTTACCGTTACTTACCTCTCACTTGCAGTGTCACCTGAACGGCTTCGCGGTGATTTGCAGATTTTTCCCCAGAATTTTTCGTCCTCACATTTTCTTGAAGTCAAGTATTATAAATTACCAAAACGACAGCCTATCTATAACTGTATTTTGTTCATATGCTATTCATGAAATATCATTGGATTCTTACGCTGAATTGGCAACAACTTGACATTCACATGGTGGGTAAGTCAGCGAGAGAGAGGGGGGTAAGTTCAGTGATGTATAGAGTGTCTGACTCTCTGAGAGACTAAGAGGGGGCGTTTTTATACCATAATTCACTGAGTCCATACGCATTGCAATTTTTTCCCAATAGCAACTCGAAGAACCTAAATAGAATATATATAAAAAACAACACTCATTGTCAAATTTTCTGCTCATGTATAGTCAAATGATAGATAAGTTACGGCTTCGAAATCCCGGTGTATGGGATGTCGTGAGCTAGCGGAGGCAGCGCATAAGATGCTAACTAAATGCAACCTAACAGGTTTGTGGACTGCGCAACCTACCGGATGTCCAATTCAATCCCAAATGCCCGTGACCCATCCTGATCCAGCCCTGAAAAGCCCGACTCTAATGGCGGGCTCATAAGCTCGGGCTCGCAGTTCAGCCTCGCATTTTTCCAAGTGACAAGTTATGACGGCCCGTTGCGGCCCAGGTACCACCAACCGGCCCGATGGTACAAGCCCGCTTTCCTTTCTTGTTGCTGAGTATGTTATTCTTGGTTGTTTCACTATTCTATCACTATTCTATGGTCCATTAATTGTACAGACATACACGGCCTGGGTATCAGCTTATCTGCTTCTTCATCATACTACCAGTGATGAATTGATAACGGCCTTGTAGCTATTCTCGTAATGAAACGTTCCACCTCCATATCAATGACTTCGTCCATCTATCGGGGATACCGCGTGAGTTCGGTGGTAAGGGTATCGAAGTGGCACGTCCCTCCCTGTGCTCACGCGCCTCTGGTTACACTGTCACTGCATCGATTATATTTCCTTCTAGCTGAATATGATTCTGAAGTGGTTCTATGTTGTATTGTAGTGCACCGATCCTCCCGATTCCACAGAATCCGTACCGTACGCCATTTAGGACATCGTTTAAGATTCTGCATGTTAGCCAGCGTATCTTGACACTTGCACGCCCTCTTGAAAACCTTTCACACAATCAGGAAGACGTCTGAACCCCCTCCTTCCCCAGAAGTTTAGCCCATGGAGACTTCAAAATCCTTGAGAAGGCAGTGTCTGAACGCAATCCGAGTGTGTAGCTATCATTGATCGAACTGTCCATCGAGACTCTACAGCAGCTGTTCATCCCATCTTCAAACGCGATGGTTCGAGGGACATATAGAATAGAGGATGAGCCGCTGTCATTTCAGTGGGTGTATGGTCACACATAATAATAGTGCGCGAAACGGAAGCAAAGGAAGCTCTACCTTTTGCTGATGCCGGATCGTTACCGCACATTGAGGATGTGCGATCAGGCATTGGATTTTTGAACGAGGCCCCATAAGGCATTATTTGAAGGGTCTAAACCGTATCATCTGGAATCTCCTAAAACCCGTTGAAACTGGAAGTTAAAGCCTCGACACCTATACCTGACATCCATTAAGATCGAGAACAGCAGTCGTTGTTGAAGGTGAACCAAGCTGAACTCGATACTGAATTTTGTTGTATAATTCCTGTTGTGTTGTTGTTCCCACATCGTCAGTTCCACAGCCAGAGTAGTATTCAACATAGCTTTAGTTGACCTTCGCGCGTGTAGGAACAAGATGAATTGGGCACCGGTGTTGCGAACGCATTTAATTTGCTCGTTCACGGCCACTATCAAATCGAGCGGTGCAATGGGAGCATATAGTCAATAAGATTCCGGTTCGGAACGGATGGTGATAATGTTGGGAATTAGAAAGTGATGAATAGGCCAGTTTACTTATAGGATGGAAAGCTAAGATGATCGGAAGAAGGAATAGCATCCGCTAATAGGTACCGGATAGCACGATGATGTCCGCCGAGATTCACACCGCATTCCACGAGCGGTTATATAGGGTCCTTCGCATCCAACCTAGCGTCAATTTTCGCACATTAATGAGCGACGCAGACCACCATGACTTTGACGACAGTGAAAGATCTTCTTCGGCCTCCTCACAACTGGCTCGAAGCACATCGTCTACCTCTCGCACGAGTTCCTCTACACGTTCGGTGTCGCCCGCACCTTCTGTCTGGTCCATGACGAGCTCATTGCATGCAGAAGCATATGTCCATCAATTTGGACGCGACCTGAATAATATCTCGGAAATATACGGCCTCCCCGCCGATGCAGAAGAGTTAGAGCGTCTAGGTGAGACAGACTTCGGAAGTTCCGATTCGGCCATAACATCATTTAGACCGCCAGCACGAGATATTTAAAGAGGTCATGGGAAAGTATATTCCGCCGCTGCCGCAAGTTATGGCGGACGATATGCCAGGAGAGACGAGAGCTGTGTTGGACTTGGGTTGCGGTAGTGGCGCTTGGTATGTCATTTCCTTTCGCCTTCGCAATTCAAGTTCACCATCCGGAACAAGGATAATGGAAGCAGCACTTGACTTCCCTCATAGTAACGCCGTTGCCATTGACCTTGTGCCTATGCAATCACCGTACGTCCCTTTTCGTTCTTAAGTTCCAAAATCATTGACATGCATTGGTATTCCACCAGTTACATGCCTCCTAACTGCAGGTACGAAGTCGCGACGCGTTTTCCACCCTGAAATTGATTTCCGATCCGACCACCGGGTAGGAGCGAAGTCGATGACATCAATCTTGGGTTGGAACATTTCTACGGGGACTTTAATGTTGTCCACTGTCGGCTCATATCTTCTGGTGTAAGCCACATTTCCAAATCGTATGCATCCCCCTTGAATCTCATTCTTCCAAGATCCGAGATTATCAACATATGATCGACCAAATAAGCCATGTCCTACGGCCGGGAGGATTGATTGATCTTACGGAATGGGATTTTCATTGCTACGACGAAGATTTCCACCGCATCGAGGTGGATGTAACCACGATTGAGAAACCATGGTGGCCACGATGGTTGGCATACCTCGAGATGGCTGCACGACGCAGAGGTGGAAACGTTAACGCTGCGACTCATATCCGTGATTGGGTTTCGCATCATCCGCGGTTTGAAGATGTGATATACAATGAGTATTTCATTCCCGCGACGCCGTGGGTGACAGACAGCGCGTTGGACCTGCGTATCGGAGTGGCGATGAGGGAAGATATAGAGGTAAATGCGTTTTTAGAGCTGTCATCACTAACGATCGACTCTGAATTGTCTTTTTGCAGGTATTCCTAAAGTCGGGGCGGCCGTTGTTATTGGGCAGTGGCGTGCCGGAACAGCTTGTGAATGAGCTTCAAGCGAATGCACACAAGGAGGTGATGGAAGATGATACACGCTATTACATACGCGTGCAAAGCGTCTACGCTCGTAAACGTCATCGGTCGCTGGCCTATGGTTGAACGGAGACTAGTGCTGCCTCCATGCCATAGCTACAACATATGGTGGGTAGTTGGCTCGATCCGCACATCAACGCTCGTTGCTCATTTGTCTTGAGGAAAGACACAAGCAACAGTAGGATGCACATGAGAATGCTGTTGTGGTGTGTGGTGTGCGGCTTGTTCGCTTGTATCTGCTTGTTGTTGAGCCGCGCGGTAATGTGGTATGAGGTGATTCCGGAGCTACATGGACGGATGTCATTCTGGAAGATAACTTGCTGAGGTGTGGTACTGTAGCTGTTCAAGCGATAGTGGAGTACTAGAGGGAATGCATCGGTGGGAATGTCCTCGTATTCGGTGCGGCGTCGGGTTTGAACCCCGAGATAACAGCTCAGCTCAAGTACTCTTCATCCAATTGCGACTGGCGACGCCACTGTAAGAGGTGACGTATGTGGTCGAATCAAAGTGTGATGATGCCTCGTGCCTAAAGACGTGGTCACGAAGCGCCGAAATAAAGCAGAAAAACGGCTCACCACTTGACCTAACGTGTTTAGGCAGAAATGCGGATTACGCATATCCATCGCCGATTCGATCTCGCGTTTATATTATCTGATTGCTTTTGGTAATAACGAAGGATTCTCCGTCCTCTTCAACCAGATTGCAGTCTACGACGGCAGGCAATCATCCCATGCAACATTCATTAGCCGGAGTCGCCCGACTGCCACGACATCCTCTTTTTCTCCAGAAAGGTGAAACAAGGCAATCGCAGGATGCAAGAGATTAGATGTAGACTTTAAGCTATTGCTTAGTATGATAGAGATATTGCGGGGGAGATGAGAACAGCAAAGAACACTGCCAAAGGTAGGTGTAAGACTTCGGGTAGAAGACCGGTAAGATGTTGGCACCGGCACAACCCAACATATCAATACTGTCATGGATCGGGCCACTCCGGTGGGAAGAGCAATGTAATGGCGGAGACACTGTTTGACCCGAACAGCCACGACTGTCGTAAGACCAAGAAACAGGCTAGTGCGTGCACCGTAATTTGTGGCCACCGGTATGGATATGATGTAGGAATTGTAAGGAAACGAGTTAATGGAAGAATGTATGAACGAGGGCACGTTGAAAAAGAACGATGCCGACATCTTAAAGGCTGCGGAACGGCTAGGCTCCAAATTCAATGACGACCACAAAGAAGAGGTCTGCCTGCATCCGTATTGAGCTACAATATAAAGAAGATGCCCTGAGACTCACGAGACTAGCAAAATATCAACATTGCTTTGAGACTCTTCGACCATCCGTAAAGCGTACTTTCGCAATCGATGCTCTCCGTATTGAGTGCAATTAAATGGACGGTCCTTACGCCTATCACCAGCAAGCGAAGGTCCTCAAGACAAGTATCCCAACGTATGAGATGTGGCCGCCCATATAGGACCAGCAGCAGGATAGGCATGTTAGTTCTTCTTCTGCTATCTGTTTTCATCATCTCCATCTTCTATGCCTTCAGGATCCCTTGCCCTCTTCATCGTTCGACTCGACGTCCCATCATGCACTGGCATCAGCCTTATCGACTGGATCTGGCATGTGGTACTTGCTGAGATGCTGAAGCCGCGCTGCAAAACAGAATAGGATAACGCTTTGACGTAACCAAGTACATGATATCGGAGGTTCTGTTCACAGGATGAAGAAAGGATAGCACTGAGTGCAGTGAAGCTGGTCAACGATTGAGTCGAAACCTGCGGGGGGACTAAAAGTTTTGACACGATCACGTGCACTGGAGAGAACGACTCGGAAGCTGACAAAAGTTGACAAAACGAACAAAAAGCCTTGGACAGGGATCTCAGCTGTATCCGTTGAAATTAATTGGAATAGAGCTTTAATGTACTCAGAATTGCTGGCTAATACTTGATTAGACCTTACACGTTAATGAACGACGAAAGAACAAGGTATGTGACCAGGTAGAGTGCACCAGGTTCACGGGAGCGGAAGGTGGAACTATCTAGTGACGGTAAGCAGATCACCATTTCTCATTATCGACAATGTATGAGCTGCTGCTCAGTCACCTGAAACAGACTTCAAATTCTGTTTGGATCGTATCTAGGGCGCCCGATAAAAGTGAACCGCAGTTCCTCATGATTCTGGGGCTTCCACACTCCAAGAGAACCGCAAGCTTCCTATAATTCAAACTGTAAATCTGATGCCGAAACGACAGCCGAATGGGTTTAAGACGTCCCAATGTTTAAGCTGCTAAATGGACGGATTCTGGGAAAGCCGTATGAGGTTTGCATCGATATACATTGGTGTATTTCCAGGCTAACGTCGAGGTACTGGCCTTAGAGCAAGGACGAGGCGCGGAAAGTGGGAGCACCCTCCTCGCCCATTATTTCGAATAGCCTCCAAGAAAGTAGGTAGAAGAAGTCCAAAGTGAACGGTGGCGTCATCTCTAGCTTCTTCCGTCCGTGAATGTCATGTCCCAGAGAAAACTGCCAAACATGAAGTTGGAGAAGGCACCCAGGCCCCGGGTAAAAATCATTACACATTAATATGCATCTGAAATGAGCGTATGCGAGTAAGGGAAAACGTGGTTGTATGCGTGCGTGAAGAACGTTAGTGTTGTGCAAAAGTGACCAATGTCGAAAGCAAGAGACGGAATAAATATCCACAAGAGGAGAAGATAGAATGGATCATGACGATGGCGTGGGTATTGATTCTGCATCCTCTTTTGCGCCGGTATTGGAATCGTCTTCAGATAGTCCCCTTGTACGCTGCATGAGTCTTCTAAGACGCGCAAGCTCATCCGCCAGTTGCCTGAGATGTCAAGGTAGTTAGTAACAAATCTCGAGCAGCCCAAGAATCTTACTTGGCAGTAGCACTGTCCTTCTCGCCCATCCTTACGCTCTCCCCAACTTCCGCTTTCAAGCTTTGAATATCGCTCATCCACATCTTCTCAGTTTCCTCTCCACGTTTCCGATTTTCGGCCCTTGTTCTCTCTAGCTCTTCTTTGAGCCCTTTGCACCCTTCAACCTCCTCCAATAGCGCCTGGTATTTGACCGCTATCGTCTCTGTATCCTTCTTCATTCCGTTCCTCTCGTTTTCGCATCTCTTCTCGTAGCCGGTCGGTATCTGTTTTGAATGATTCAACCAAGCCTTTGATCGAATCTCTAAGCGTAATGTATTCTCTCTCCGACTTTTGTGAGAGCGCGGTGGCCTCTGCTAGTGAAGGATTCCATTCCTCGTATCGCCTTTTTCGATGTGGATGTTTCTGATTTCAGCTGGGCCTTTAGTGAAGAGGCTTCGGCTTCGGCCTTTCGCGCGCGCTCAAGAAGCTGTGTTCGCTTTAGTTTGAGACCTCTGTAGACGAGGCGAGTCGTACCTCCTGCAAGAGTCTCTCCTTCCTTGCTACCACACCATTCAGACCCTCGTTCTCTAGCCTCAACCTTTCTAGTACTTCTTTCTGATCTTCCGTTTGTCGAGTCAGTTGGGCGACGCTCCTCTGCGACAACCTCAACTGCGATTTGGTATTTTCTAGGGCATTGCGGGCGTTGACCACACCTGTCTGCAGGTCGGCCAGAACTTTCGTCGTGCCACCGGGCGTTAGGGACATGCGTCTCGGACTAGGCGAAGATGGAACATTAGGTGAAGATGGCGGATACGGCGAGAGGGTTGCATGGTTTGGGGTAGGCGGGGCATCAACGGTAAGCCGTTGTGTTGGAGGCTGGCCTTCATCAGCTAGGGCCCGAGCGTTCCCTGTGGACACGTAAATGGGAGCAGGGGCGCATAAGCTGCCGGAGTCACTTACCTACAGATGAAATGGGTATCCCTTTCAACATGACTTAACGAAAGGCTGGGAATAAATATAAAAATACTCACTACTCAACGTCCTCGTAGGGCTCGGCAACCGCTTAGTAGTATTAGGGCTCACTGATCCAGCACCAAATGACATTGGTATTCCCTCTCTTATACCATCGTCTACCGCATTGTCGCGTTCCCGTCTCGGCATGGGCAAACCGCTGTCCTGTCTAGATATCCCCTTGTCAAAACTCGATCTCTTTGGTATCTTTGACGGAGTGAACGGCTGTGGTGGAGGTGATGTCGCTGCAGCCGCCATTGTTGGTTCGAATAGGTCAGGGTAAGGTCGTGGGCCACGAAGTATAACGTTCTCGAGATCGTGAACCTGCGCCTGTTGGTGGCGTATGCTGTGTTTGAGGGTGGATATGTGGTTGCGAACAGCAACTACGGAACAGATTGGTTACAATTGACTGGTGATTGGCATGACTTACTGGGGTCGTCTAAAGAAAAAGAAGGACTGGGGGCGCGTCCAGAACGGACAGATGTCCGCGAAGACGGTCTTGACAGCGATCTGTCGTAAGAATGTGTGTGTTTATGCGGCGGAACGGCCGGTACTGGAATTGGAGAGCTCGAGCTCGCAGACATCCACTTCGAGGTGTGACAATGGCCGAAAATTTAGCAGACAGCCGTCGCTAAAGAATGGTCGAAAGGGAAACAGTCGTGACGGGAACAGCAAGTCAAGCACTAGCTCGCGAGGTGCCAGATTTACCCCATCTATTTGTTGCTGATTGTTTCGGAGACTTTCGGCGCCATGGTCCAGTCCACCCATGTACTTCACGACAGTCAAGTCAACGTTTTCTACAGACGTCATAATGGCTCTCTAAATCCGTCGTCCAAGAGGCATTGTCCAGATAAAAATTTCCACCGGGTCTGGGAGATGGTCGCCCTCGAGAAATTTTTGCTTTCCCTTCCTGCAGGGTAACTCACTATTCTGCCTTTTGACAGCTCGAACTGCGATGTGGCAAATTATCGCCGTATCAGCAGCGACGGGATATGAATATTTGAATACCAACATGGCACGTTTCCGGAGAAGCGGTTTCATATGTCATTGAGTATATTAGCTCCCTTGTATGTACAGTACGAGAGTTGGCATCTCTAGCATCTTGATCGTTTCATGATGCGCTTTGATATCGCTCACGGTATTTCCCACGTTATAGACCCATGCCTACACGAGGCAATCGCCCACCGCGCAAGTTGCGTGCCATTTGAGCGGCAGGAAATCATGACCCGAAAAATGCATTGACCTAGGATTCTCTCCACAGAGCGTTGTTCCAAGCGCCTCTCATAGTTTTCTATTGACTCTGACTTCTCAGAGTCCATAGAAAGGATTCAATGATGAGCGGATGATGTGGGCCTGGGTGGCTGTGGCAACATCCATCAACCGCTTAGCGAACTGTAAATATGGACCCACACCTCCTTATCACAACCTGACGGCTATACCGAATACAGAGGTACGACTATGTCACGTCATTCCCAGTTGCTTCGAAGTAAGCTTTTTCGATCTGATACAAATCCGAACTGCAAGCCTCAGATCAAGGCGCCTAAGTACGTGTAACGTGGCCCGTGGGTGAAAACCAGATCCCGCAGACTTGGAATGAACGCTGCCATCTAATCATAAATCGTGAAGACGCTGCAATAATCGACAATCAAACAGTGACTGGAGCTTGAAGAGCCGCAAAATAATATATTTGAAGCGTTAGAATCGTTAAAATTACACCCAAGACATCAGAGACTTATCAACCGCCGACTTCAACGCTTTGACGGCATTCCCGAAAGACTTCCGGCGCTGGCTATAAACACTGTTGGTTGGAGCGGTGGTAGCTGGATCCTTCGAACTAGATCATCATCTATCAGTCCTTCAATTCAAACCAGATACTTACTTCGAAATCGATATACCTTGTACCGGCCTGCGCGGCTTCGTCCTCTCTGTTCGTTTTCTCTAAAGCTGCAAGCCTCACGCTGGCCTGATCCAGGCAACACCCGGAAAAGAACAGCTGAACCCTCGCAACATCTCGTTGAGTCTTGATATCCTCCATTTAATCTAATTGTCTCCTGAGGTCGTAAAGCTCTTTCATCAGTTCGGGGATATTGTATTGTACCGGGTTTTGAACAAGAGCTCCGTTTTGTTCCACCAACGCCCGGTCAAAATATCCATGTCGAAGGCGGGGCATGATAAATTGACGAAATCTTCCAGGAAGGAGTTTGACCTGGACGGCGCGGGTGTAGCTAGATTAAAGAATGAATTCATGAGTGGCGAAGTAAGATCTAGATGAGCTTTTAGACTGACCAATTGGAAACTAAATGCGGCATTTAGGACAAGAGCCAGTGAAACCATCAGGCGAAGTACTCGAAAGGTGATTCGTGACACATTGCAAACAAAAGAGATATCCTGCCAAGGAAGGAAAGGTGATGAGCCAGTATTGCATGGACTCTAGCTGAGACGAAACTCACCGCATGGAGTACAAACAGGCTCATCATATTGTCGAAAGACAAGCTGCAGAAGCCGGACATCCTGAGCTTACGCACGAAATCAGGCTGGTATGTTGGATGCGAAGATACAGGACCTGTCCAAGCTTATATAGGTGCTAGTTTTTCATATGTAAGCGGTTGACTAGGAACGAAAGAGGTACTTTAACAAAGGCTTCCGGATTTCAGGGTTGCTAGGGAAGGCCTAAGTTAGCAAGAGCCTGTGAATTCGTACACAAAGCATTATCAGAGTGAAACACATAGATACGGCATAGGCTGCGAAAACAGCGTGAAGATAACAGAGAGACGTCAGTTCTACGTCCGAATCTGACTGAGGCAGCAGATGAAAACGACAGCATGATACTTGGCGCTAGGTTGTCTTTACTTCGGCTATTGCCGGACTGGCAGAGCGCGCTGAAAATCGGGCCGCGGACTCTTTGATCACGTCGGACATCCTGTAATTTCCGTGGACACAACAGTTTCGTTTCGTTGCTACGCTTGACTATATTGACATTGATTATTCTCCGTCCGTTGTGTCATTACGACTTTCGTGACCTTCCTAGGAGGTTCTCTATCCAGTTTCTCTGCCCAGGTGACCTCTTGTTCAGGCAGGCTCATCTATTGCAAATCCTCACAGGGACGTCCAGAATATTGGGATCTGTTCCGCATGGTTTTCTCTTCTCCTGGATATATGCGAAGTGCCTATGCCACAAGTCCGACCTTGTGAAACCGGGCCGTTCCGTCCCACCGCTCTTTCGAAGCCGTTGTGTTAGTTCACTTTTCAATTTTCGACCCTACCTCTCCCCTCTATGCTGCCCAAAGTCGTGGTTTACTGTGGCGCTAGATAGCTCTTAGCCTTACTGCGGTACGGCCTTTCAAGAATATTACTCTTCCAACCCGACCATCTGGAGCCCGACAAGATGGTAACCCGCCCCCAGAAAGAATATACGCGGTTCCATGTCGGAAGAACATCGCCAGTTTTTTTCCGTTTCCAATGCGAAGTCTCAGTCCTGTCGCGGTATAAAACCCAAGGGTCTGTTGGCTACAACCTCATCGCACTCTCCGCGTTTCACTACTGAACAAAATGCTCTCTTTGTCTCTTGTTGCTTTGGCTCTCCTCGCTGCCGTGAAGGCCGACTCCTGGGGTCCGGCATACTCCTTGGGCCCTACGAGCTCTGCTATCATTGAGGCGTCCACGACCTTCACGCCCGGAGCTCCCCCAATCACCCCTAAGGAGTCTGTCTTTCATTCGCGTTAAAATGTTATCCGTCTGACTGTATTACAGCGCTCTTTTCTTGTGGATAGGTAATCCGCAGTTTTTTTTCTCCGAAGATTTGGTACTTGAACACGTTTTGAAGGCATAAGCAACTCGACCAGCGGTCTGATCCAGGCTGGTGTGGACCAACTCGCCGACAACAACGCCTAGTAAGCATGTGTGTGGCTTCTAGCTCTGTTACTATACTCATACGATCGATCAGCTGTGGCGCCTCGTCTACTCAGTGGTGTGCTACAGCCAGTTACTTCGGGTCTGTTTCCATCCTCAAAATGCCCTGCTGTTATCTCTGACAAATATATAGTGTTGTAAACGGCGCTACTACTCAGTTGAACGGCGACTTGACTCCTCTTGACGGCGATCAATCTATCACCATCCATTACAAGGTTCGCTCTTCTTTCCTATACATCTGTTTCAGGTTAAGCTTCTGATATGTATCATAGCTAGGCCGATGACAACCTGACTTGGGACCAGGTGCGTATTCGGTATCATTTACTTCAAACGCCAACAGGCTTAATACACTCTTAGACCTGTCACCCTTGATGGAAAGGTTATCTCAACCCTTCAAAGCTGTGCGTATATTGTTTCTCACACTTAATTAAATTCCTGGTCTTGGCGCGCTTAATCAATGCTTTCTTCTAGATGACGGCCCTCTTTTGAACGGTGGCTTCGGAACCGGAACTGAATGCCAATCTGATTGCACCGGCTCTACCTCCGTCCAGGTAAGATACAGCCGTCGCGCTCAGCTCAGCGCCTACTGACAGCTTTGTAGAAATACACGAACACCACAATCGTCCTTCAATCGGCGGACCCTAGCTTCTCTTCGACTCTGGGCAAAGGAACGGGCGTTGTAGCTTCCGACATGGTGACCGCCGACGGTGGGAAGACCTGGACCATTGCCAGCATCCAGATCCCAGCCATGGTTTGAAGCGCATGGCGTAGTAAAATGCTGTATTGTGAAACAAACAAATGAATTTGTTCCTCTTTTCTCTGTCGTATCGGATTCCTCCATTCTTCCTATTCCTCAAGCTTGCATCACTAGTCGGCTGTTAAGGGACTCCCGACAGCAAGCATATTTATTAGCTGTGAATCAAAGAGCTTCCTGTTCAAGTATAGGAATTGCCTCCGTGGAACCCATTCCATTAGTACATATGGACCTACTACAACGCGGCCTATTTTGCTAATTATATGTCACCCTCGACGGTAGGACCGAGATACTTGATTAAAATCATGGAGTGTCGGTCGGTAATGAAAGTTCATCTAAGCTTACGGTGTTTACCTTATCTCTTTTGGTATACCTTCAGTCCAGCGATGCTCTCTACATTGGCACATTATTTTCTTCCCATCCATCATCATAAATTTGACTCAAACAACAGCTACACATGTACAATAGAAAAAAGAGAACCTTGCTTTAAGCGAGAACGATGCGGACAAAATCGTATTCTACCCTCCATCAGCGAGAAGAATTCGCGAATAGTCAAGGGCTTATTTTCCTGGAAATCTCATTCGTCCCAAATACACACCTACGCGTCGTTGTCGATGAAGGTTGAGCATCGGCCAAGGTATTTTGTACCAGAACATAGTCGACAACTTCGGAATTAGCATCGGAACTCTGAGTTTCATCTTGATCTCCCAAAACAATGGTATCGTCATCCGAGAGTTTACTATTCTGCGCTCCTTCGCTCACAGCTGATGGAGGCACTTCCAAGGACGAAGAAGGCTTTTCTGGATGTGCGAAACCGAAGTCTGAAGAGGTCGACACAACACTGGAGTCTGATCGTTGGCTAGGAGCTTCGACGGATGACTGATCTCTGAACAAAAGCCGAAATTAGCCTTTAGAAGAAAATAGAGAGATATAACAACTTGCTCGTCAAGGTTAAGAACGGCTTCTTCGACCTCTTTCTCCTCCTCGTATTCTCGCAGTGCATCCCGCAATAAACCAATCTCGTCCGTGAGGCGCGCCGTTTTGATCTCCAGACCAGTAGCATCAGTCCCAAGTTCAATAATTTTCTGGAGGAGGACTTCGTTGTTGGTCGTCAGAAGTTTCACCAGATGGCGGGCAGAATCTAGATCCGGAACCAATCGAGTGTTGATTGCCTCTAGTCCCGCGGCTCTGTGTCGATGAGCTTCCAGTTCCGCCACGAGTTTTTGTGAGTCACTGAGCTCGGTCTCCAAGCATCGAATACGCCCTTTCAACGCCCTCATCGTCACTTGAGATCCGTTCAGCTCGATCTGCTTCTTTTCGTTTTGGTATAAGAGACGCTTGACCTCGCCCTCTAGGTGCGCCTTGTGTCGCCGGTATTCGTCTCCGGAAGCCATGAGTTTCACGTTAAGACACCGGATACGAGCCTCCAAATGGTCCATCCTTCGTCTGAGATGCGTCTAAGTGCGTATTCGTCTGATCGTCTTAGATGCTCTTCGTCGTGGGTTGTTGGATATCAGCCTTCGAAGTAGACCCTTGGTCGTCGAGGGTCGTCTCTAGAGCCGTGAGTTGCTGCGTCACTTGGTCTAGCTTCGACTGAGATTCGTTTCGCAACATCTTCTCCCTCTCTAGCTCGGCAAGCAACAAGCCTTTATCGCTCTGCAGCGTCTTCTTCTGGCTCTCGAGAATGGCAACTTGGTTGACAGCACTGTCCTTGGATTCTCGTAATGACGCGAGTAGTAAAGTGACCTGTGCCTTCAACCCCGGAATTTCCGACGCCATACATTCCCCTTCTTTTAGCAAAGCGCAAGCACACTTGTCCGGATCGATGGTCATATTGTATTCCAGGGGAGCGTTCACTGACTGTGGAAGCCGGGCCGAGTAACTCCTGACATCCTTGGGCGGGCCGACGGTTGCTCTCCTCCAAGCCAAAGATCCGAGCCATTAGCTCTGCTACTTCCCTTCGGTGAGAGGTTACGAGGTCGTCCTTTTCCTGCGTAAGACGGGCCCTCTCCTTCGTGAAGGCCTCTTCGTATGCCTGTAAGTTCTTCCTGAGAGATATGATCTCGGCCTCGAGGTCCGGAGGCAACGATACAGGCCTAATAAATAGCTCGCGGACGTCTCTCATGGAGCGGGGCTTGCCCTTGAAGGGACGGTTGTTACGTTGCTCCTATCCAAGGCGGTAAGAAAAATGCATAGCGGGAAATGAGTCGACACGTACTTCGGTAATAAAGTCTGTGTTAGCCTATTCGTTAATGGTATCGACATCGAACGACAGGAATGAAACTTGCTCATGTTGAAGTGCGTGTGACAAGCGCAGCATGCAGGCCGGTAATAAGAGCATGTCTTGATAGCTTCAGACTTAAGTTGAAATAAGCATATTTTGCAGTAAAGATGTCCTAAATGAAATCAATAAGATAGTTAGCTTGCGCTCAACAAGTGAATCAGTAATACTCACCACAGGGGATACAGACAGGCTCTTGCAGCTCTCGAAGACATTTAGGAGCATTGTCCAATCATGTTTACAGAACAAAGAAAGTAGAAATAGGGTGAACGTCCGGCTTCGTAGCTTTACGAGCTGGAAGAGAGAGAAGAAGAAACTTGTGCACTGGCCCTATGCCACGTTGATCACATGGCATAATATCTCAACACCGAAATTCGGCCGACTTATTTTGTTTTCTCTTCGCTGACCGGACCAAAAACTCAAGCAAGTGCAGTGCTATCCTTGGGAAGACGTTACTAACTTGAAAAATCTCAGGAATCTCTACATTGGATGTAACTTCCAATATGTACACGCATCACGCCTTGAAATGAAGTCTTGTCGTAGCAGAGCGTCCTTTTCAACCAATCAAATAGAAAACTCTCAGGTTCAGCAGTTGTGGTAGCTGATCCCTGACTTTCTTTCGTTCAAGGTAATACGCGATACTTACCGTTGTATCACTTAGACTTTGATTTCAGGCGTGACGGTGGTCCGAATCAGTCATTTAACACTGCATGTTCACGACTACGATGTTGCTCATAGGAAGAAATTGGTGATTACATTGACCAAATATTGTTCTGTAGCCAAAGATGATGCCAATCTCAAGGATTGTCGGTTATCCGAGTGCACGGCAAGTCACCGTTTCAGCCCCACAGAACAGTCATGAATGACTTCAGCAAAAATAGCTCCTATTCGCGTCGAGGAACTGCCACCGCGGAAGTATTTCTAGCGATATAGACACATATAACCGCCCATGAGGACCTACAGTACGACTCAACTGACTTCCTCTTCCTGTACCTGCCCTACCACAGAACAAATGTGTTTGAAAGGCATTCAGGAAGCTCTCAGGCTCTCTAAGAACAGAGATTCTGTTCTACAGGCTTAGGTAAAGTGTCTCACTATGGACTGCTAAGTACTCCTATACTCACCTCGATCGTCCCCCTTCTTGCGCATAAATACCCCCGCGATTCCTCACAATTTCCCCACCAAATATGATTACCAACAACAACACCGAATTGATCCAAACCACCAGTTCCCATTTCGCCGTTGCAATTGCTATGGCACAGGCCGTATTCGGTCTTTTCAAGGTATGTCCCTTCAATTGCTCACGTTACATCCGTACTGATCACTTTCACAGAGCATCATTGCTCTGTTATTATTCTGGGCGTGTCCGTCGATGACACCTTCCGTGCCCGAATACCCCCGCATGGCTGTTACGGCTAAGGCAGGGCGAAGCACATCCCGATATTCAATGATGGTAGCCCCATCCTCATCGATGTCTTTCTCACCTTCCAGCTCTACCTTGGTCGAAACACCGTCAGAATGCGACGACGCTATTGCGGAGCCCAAGAAAGCGGGCGCAAAGAGTAAGCTTGTTTTTCGTGGTAGGCAGATCGTTTTACTTATGTCCCGTTTACAGAACATTTCCCGCCGGCGCCTGGCCATATGAAGAAAGAAATCAGGCGTCTCGCTAAGACTGCCAAAGCTGAAATGAGGCCGTTTGCATGATGCATGTCGTCGTCATTCCAAATCGCCTTCTCTCCCGTCGCCTCACCTTTCACCACTTCGTCGGACTCTTACTTCCCTCGGAAGGTGTCTCATCCAATTGAAGCACGTCGGACCGCTTGTTGACGAGGCGGTGGTAACATCCCAAGAGACCATCTTGGTTGCGTCGAGGAAGACAAAGAAGGTTTCTATTTCTATTACGAAGACGAAGACTACGAAGAAGATTGCGAAGGTTGAAAAGAAAGTCAAAGGGTTTTTTCTCGAGAGCATTCACGAGGTGTTCAAATCTTTTCTTGTACATTACATTTACAAATGCTCAATTATCGCAACATGCGTTTGCTGGAACAAGACTCATCGGTTCAACAACCGGTCCCCCGGAACAAGGTATTTTAAGTAAGTACAGTCAATGTATATATAAACCTACAACTTGTCCGCAGATACAGGACCTCACAAGCGACTGGGAATATCAGGTTGGAGAATGGCCACTGCAAGGAAAGTAAGTCAAAGGGCGAACGTTCGGGAGACCATTGGGATCTCAACATCGGTGGTATGCGTTTCTTACGCATGTAACCCAAATTCCAGAGAGAGAGCTACTCAGAACATAAAGACATAGTGAACGTGAGAATGGGGTTCGAAGAGTTATGGACAGCTTGAGAGGACACGATGACATGAAAACAATAACGAGAACAACAAATGCCGGCCAATTAAAACTGCTTAGAGTCTGCCTAGGGGAGACTATGGCCGGCAATCTTTGGACTCAAACTCCATGTGAAGTTTCGCGAATTCGAGGATGTCAAAGCTGCCGTCGCGTCGCGCCCAAATTATGCAGGCAATGCTCTTGTCTCCCTTGCACTATAAGAGCCTAGTCTTATTTAATATGATCTCCAGAAGCGAAGACGAAATTAGGAGAGAAGTCTCTTACCTCTGTTAGCAGCACTGTGCTTAGATTCTATGATTGCGTACTCTTGTACATGACATCGTCCTCACCAAGATGGAATTTAAACTAGAACACTTCATATCTCCGCATACCAGCGTGACAAGTACTTACCTCAAGAAACCCTCATCTCATGGCTAGAGAAACATTGGCACCTAGAATTTCATCAGGATTCTTCAAGACAAAATAGAAGTGCTTCATAATCGACACAACGATAATTGGCACCTCGATATTCACTAGATTATGTCCAGCACAAGACATGCGCTGGATAGTCCCCTCGGATACCCTGGATACTATACATTCTAGTTGACATAAAGGATCCCAAGCCTACAAAGGTTAAGTGAGCCAAATACACACAAGACTATGAACGAAGTTTGAACTCATACAGTACATACTGCGATAGGAAGAACAATTTCTGAGGCAGAGATCCTGATGAAGATGGGCCAAGCCAGGAGCTGGTAAGAACGTTGTTGGAAAACGGGGTATCAGTTCGTTCCCAGTATCACGTGTGTGGTAGCAAGCCAATAGTATTGCGCTTGGCTGAGCTCTGCAAACGCATGAGGATCTACTCTACAGTACCTACTTTTATACTAAATGTACTTTTACTAGAACTTTCCACGCTTTTCCTCCTTCTTCTACCTTAATAAGCATCTTCGGCATGATGCCGGATTGCCAAATCCCAACAAACGTGGTGCCGGTAACGAGTTAATCAAGATGACTTACACGAGTTTACATGTCAGGCAGGGTCGGTCGAGCTTCAGCCCGTTCGGATTTACTCGGAGTCTTCCGATCCGGACACCCGAACTTCGGCAAAAACGAACCATCACTCATCGGCAATGCCATCTGTAATCTTCACTCGTCTCGACACGCTTACTTTGTTTCCACCTCGATATAACCAAGCAAATATTGAGCTCTTCCGCTTTATGTTGAATGTCATGAAGAGTAAAACCCTGTAGTCGAACCCGTAGTTTTCTGTCCTATGGAACGTCAACAAGCGAACACTATCGGATTTCTTCTGAAGATGGCTTTTGCAGAGCGGTCATTTTTCCTGTTTACCCCAATGGAAGCGTAGGCGCCGACATTTTCTTTGTGGAAGGTCTTGCTCAGTTTCGTTTTAGCTTTAGGTGAAGCCGTGGGTATCTTGGTACGAGGAGGTAACACGAACGGGTGTCCACCACCAAATAATCTCCCCCTCCTTGCTATGCTCCCCATTTCAAAAATCCCAACAGGGGGGGTAGTTCGTCGTTGTTTCAGAAACAGAGATTTCTGTCTTGCATACATTGCCTCCGCGGAGCCTTTTCTCGCTCGGCGACAATGCACCGACCCACAACATAGCTTCGTATTGGCAATTGACTTGGAAAGGCCGCAAATGACTTGACCGAAAGTATTTGCACGTTCGCGGGGATGGATCTGAGAGGACTTGTAGTGAATCTCTTTCTCGTTGGTGAGACTCTTGTTTCAGGGTACAAAATTTTTACTCCCAGACTCACCACGATCAAGGGGTAGGGGTGGAACTCTCTGGCGTATATATACCCTCGCCATTCGCCCAATTCTCCTCACTCAACACAACCATGATTACCAACAACCAGTTTATCCAAACCACCTGTTATATGTTCGCCGTTGCGATTGCAACAGCACTACTCGTCACGGGCTTCGTAAAGGTACGCAACCATCTCGTATGGCTACCCCTACTGTTCTAACGTGGTGTGTAGGACATCCTCACTTTTCTTGAATTCTGGACGTGGTCCACGAAGGACACTATCTCGCCCGACCATCTACGCATTGCCGTTATGGTCAAAGTGGAAGTCACAACCACCCATTATTCTACGACGGAACCGTTGCGTTCCGTATCATCCGACTGCGCTCTGGTCAATATATCGTCAAAGTGCTACAGTGGTACGCAGGGAGTCCAAGTATGAAGGGTATGTCACTTCGTATCCGTATCTCAAGGCATCTCACTTACAGCGGACAGAATCGCTCTTTGAAGACAAAGCCGACTACACTCGCTCCGAGCGTAGGGTGGGAGCCTTCGTTCGTGACACGACTCGTCCCTATGTGCCGTTGGATGTGTTCTCTTCGCACACTATCGATTGGACCTCTCCGCTTGTCGTCGAAACTGGCTTATAAAAGCGCACGTCCAGAAGGAAGCAGCGCCAGAAATTGGAGAGGAGTATGGCCATCGGATATCGTGATCGAATATCTGTTTCTACAAAGACGAGGTCAACGAGAATAGTATCGTCGGCGAAAGAAGGCGATTGAGCCAATGCATGCAATCTTCGAAGCTTGATTATCGCAATTCATTGTATTCTATTTGCACATGCTCAATCATATTTGTTCCTTACATCTGCTATACTCCAGTCAGGTCGTTGGGAGAGGCGTAAAAGTTCTTCGGCTTCACTTATGAGTGAGGATGGTCGAAACACTATTTCTTTCTCCGCCCGAATCTCGGGCCTCTTCTCGATCCGTCCCCGAAATACCTTTCTGGCATACATGCTATGGAAATGTTTTGGGGTCTACGTGCTTGGATCAAGATGTTGGATGAACGCTATCCGACCAGGTTTAGGAGCATTCGCATCCTGTTTGGCGGAATATTTTCTTGTTGTACGTCTCCTGCGTAGTCTCTTGCACTACCCTAATGCTTATTAGTGATTCCAACAACCCAAAACGCCTTTTTTTGGCGTGTTAACGCCCTTCAATACTGCTCGCTACAAGTCACAAGAAGAGGTTACCTTTGGTAACGAAGAACATGTTTTAGCTGGTTGGCTGAAGAGAAGGCGAGTGTTAGAAGGAAGGAAGGAGCTCTTGTTAGAACTGTCCGATTTATTCGTAGAAAAGAGCCTCGAGGTAAGGCGTCAGTGACTTTCTTTATCTACGCTAATCCCGTTCTAAAATTGCAGCATCTTGAGGACTGTCATTGATCTGCACCCCAGACGCCATCTCACGAACACTTCATGAACCGTGAAGAATATAACATTATCTTCTCAGCTTCTATCTCCTCATTTGCCTGTAGCCTTGGCTGCAACATCGACCCCTTATTTACCTAGATGCGCCTGACGGATCTACGAAGAAGCTGGAGAAGCTGCTCGCCGTTGGTCATCAACAAGAAATCTTATCACTGACGGACCTCAGATCTGAAGATGTATGAAGGATGCTCGATACCGTCTTCGACATCTCCATCATCACAGCAATTTCATTTCATCGCCTCGTCATGATGCGCTTTTCACCCCTTCAACAACCGCTGGTCACTCTCCGATGTCTGCGTATCTTACAGGACGCCTCAGTGGCCTTTGCCAAGCTGACACGGTTCTGTTCAGTATCGCCTTTGCCTTTCTTTTGGGATGCGGAAGCTCGTATCTTCTCCCTCTTATCTTGGTATGTAAGCATGGCTTGGACTTGCAGCTGCGCCACGACCTCGCACGCACTCGCTCACTGTTTTTGTCCCACCGACACATATACCTTTGGCTTTCTGATGCAAGGTGTATAATTCTGTCAAGGACAGTCACTGGACTCTGGGACTTGTTTCGGCCTTTCAACGGCGAATCGGAACCACGACTTGACAGCGTTCCTCTGTTCCGAGAAGCTGGTATACTTTTCAAAGCACTGCTTGATCAGGAAGATGGAAGCTATGCTGATGCTTTCAGGGATGTCGAAGTGTGCTGTACTTTAATCACAGCTTTATACATATCTACTGTTTCGTTCCTTGAATGTCATCGATTTGAGGTTCTCTAGCTTCTTGTTGCAGAATGGAGACTGGGTATAGATACTTAACGTGATAAGAAAGAACGCATGCCGTGACAGACTGTTATGGTAAGGCAAACACATTGACCTGGCGAGTCCGGTTGTATTATGTACTCGTGGAACCCATGTGTATATAACAATAAAAGCAGGCGACAGTCAATTAACATGATGACACGTAAATGTGCAACTTAAGAATAGTCCGATGGTAGTAGAGTTGTAGTCGAATAGATTCATTGAACATACGGAGGCGGTGGGGGCCCCAAAGCCAAGAAATGTTCACTGCCGCCAAATTCCGGCTGTTCGAAACAATGAATAGGCGAAAGGTGAATCAAAGAAGGGGAACTCGCATCAAACATCCTGTCTCCGTCCAGCTCATATTCGTAACGTCTTCGAGCCCGCATGACCTTGTCCACTGATCAATAGGTGGCGCTGCATCACTTCTTGGTAAATTATCTCCTTGTTAGCACTGAATAATACTGCGTAGATGAAGTAGAGATCTATAACGAAAATGGCTTCGAAAATGGCGGCGGAACGGGCGTGGAAGTAGAAGAAATAGGCAGAACAGGCTTCCTTCTGGAGGGTGCAGTATATCCAGAATAGGCGCATGATTGGTTGCTTGAACGACGATAAACAGCAAGGTATGCTTCATCTAGCTTAAGCCGACTGTGAAATAGGAGCCATGTCAGTCAAAGGGACCTAGGGAAATAGCATATCAACCTACAGTCCGATCGCATGTAGAAGTTGAAGACAAGTGACGAAGAGCAGAAGTATGAGAATATGATGAGGTTGTAGCCTTCACGGTGTACCACGTATGGAGCGACGCAGATGAAGACGAGCATGGTGAGGAATGACAGAACAGGCAAGACGAAGCCAGGAATTTCTTCGGATATAAAATATATCACAACATTGTATATCCAGATAGTAACGAGGATATTTTCGAAGAGGTTGATGGTTCGGTTCATGGTAAGTAATTAATTAAGAGGGGGGGAATGAAGGCGAGTGCTGGAAGAAGGATGGGGTCCTTGTTTGAGTTCTTGCGGAACGGTCCGGTATCTGTTTTGACCCGTGCCGAGACAATGCCGTTCAGTTCAGGCGAAGGTCCGTGATAACTTTTGTTCCTTTTCTTTCTCTTGGATAATACTCTACAGCTCCTTGATGTTTTCCATCGGTCAAGTTTCGCACTCCCCAGCGCAAGCTCACCGACACATCTCGTGCAGTATGTAGCAATGAGTGCTGACCAGGGAAAGGGGAAATGTTGATATTCCTCGGCTTCTACCGCCTCGTTTGCCTGCCAGGTTGTTGAATTGACCAGATGAGGGCCGCACTTGATGGATCTGAAGGCTATGGAGAAGCCATTCGTTGATGGAGTTCAGATCTGATGTATCTGGGCGTCCTTCGCTGGCGTACGCATCTTCGACGTCTCCTTCATCACAGCAGCATCAGTTTTTATTTCACTGTCATGATGCGCCTTTCGCCTTTGAGCAATCGCCATTCTCTCTCCGAGATCTGCATGTACTTATCGAACGCCTCAACGACAACTGCTGACCGCACTCCGTTCGTTATCGCCTTCATCTTTCGTTTGGGGTGCAAAGCTCGTATCTTCCTTACTCAACTCCAGCTAGGAGCCGGATCTCGGTGTTCGATCCCAGCTTGAAATGGTGGTAGGCACCAATGGTCGTGCGGAACATGGTTGCGCCACGCCGCCACTAGAAACATTTCACCTTTCCACTCTGGCTAGTAGGTCACCTGTACTAATCCAGCCTTTGGTTTGACTCTGCCGGAGATCGCGCATGAGAACTATCATTTCATTCTATGTGTCGGCGGCTTTTGTCTTTGTGTTCACACCGTCACTCGTGAGATAGCGTCCGCTTTCCATGGCACAGGACGGACAGTGTTCACCGTTGGGCATGGGCCTGAAGATCCTCAATTCACCGCATGCGGCCCCGAGCCCGCAGAGATCGGTCCAGCGACAATTGCGGATTATGGAGTCACAAGAAAGAGTGTTTGTCATACTCAGTGTGTACAGGTCGGATGGAGAAGAATGAAGAAGATCGAGACGCGGTGGCGACGGCATGTTCAAGCCGGGCAGTGCGAACAGCAGTAGGGGTTTTACCCAGTTTCACCAACGCAAGGCTAGGGCTAAGTACACCGTTATGTCAATCTAGCTCATGTGTCCAGTGCCAAAGGGACCATGTTACAGCTTACCGGGAGAAGGAAATTGAAAGCCAGAGTAAGGCGCAGGCGTAGGGTAAGCACCGCATGTGAAATGATGACGCATACGGCACTGATGACAGAACATTCTCGCACCTAGATCCGGCTCAGCGGCATCATTTCTATTCTTATCGATACCAATGTCATATAAAAGGTACGCAATGGGCTACCATTAGAACTCGTCTTCCTGACCTTCCTCAACCAGTTCAACTAAACACCTCCTATTAATCTAACGACCTCATCATGAAATTGACGTTCTTCATCGCCATGCTCACTGCTCTCGTAGCATCTGCTCTCGCCATCCCCCATCCTCATTTCTCGAGATGTATACGTTCCCCCCATTACGAGCCCCGATGCCAGCACAGTGTGGACAGTTAACACCACACAGACTGTTACCTGGGATGTATCCGACCCCCCAGTAAACATCACAAACCGATATGGCTTGATTATGCTCAGGAAGGATGGACTCACTACGCCTTGTATGCCTTTTTTATTCTTTTCATTGATCGTCGATGCTGATATCGGTATAGTGATCCTCGCCAACGGGTTTGATATTCTCCTAGGAAATTTCGAGGTAACAGTGCCATGGGTCGTGGAAGGCGATGATTATTCTATCGTTCGTGCGTACTATTATTCTCTGTTACAGTAGATGGTACCTTGACTGATTACCCCTTTTGTACAGTGTTCGGAGACTCTGGTAACTGGAGCCCCGACTTTACCATCACTGGCAGTGGCATCGCGTTTTGAAAGGGCGTAAAAGCCTTGGACATCACATAAATTCGCAATTGTACCAACATCGTTACGAGTGGGTATTTAGCCCTTCATGGACATGAACTTTGGAACCGGACATTAAACAAACATGTTGTGTATGTGTTGCATAGTTGTACCATTTGCGGACTTGTTAGTATATTGGTGTAGGTAGTTTTTGATGACTTCTGACGACTCGGTTCAAATAAATGAACAGATTTATATGTATATGGTGGAGAATATTAAGGAATCGTTTAAGCTCCAACTGCAATGAATTACTTGAAACGCACAAATATATGCAATCTTCGCGTGACTTTACATTCTTCGAGTACCGACTGCGGTAAAACGTCAGTTTTTGGTTTGTGAGTGTAATATGCACTGCCTGCCGGGCTCGACTTTTTAAAGACGTTCAATTGTAGGTGCAGCTTGGCAGGGGATACATACCTGAGTTCAAAATAGATTGATCATCATAAGCAATATATCTGCGTGGTTAAAGGCAAGAAACGAGAAGAAATGACGGAAACACTGAACAGGCTAAAACGCCATTGGCTCTGGGATTAGTCTAAATCCGGGATTCCGATTTATCGCGACGCGTCAGTCACGTGCCAGGGATAGCCGCTGCCAGGGCCCAGTGCCAGGGGTTCCTCGTTCCGCTTGTCTTACTTTCAAGCATCTTCCTAGCATCTCTCTCTTTTCTTCCTCTTTTCTACCATGTCGGACCAGTGCACAATCTGTATCTGCGAATATACAGAGCCGGCCTCTATTCCATGCGGTAAGTGGTGCTTACAGGGGCTGGACAAACTGTTCTTTAATGCTGCTCAGGACATGTCTATTGTTTGCAATGCCTAACCGACTATATCTCGTCGAGCAGCCCCGATGGACTCACAGCTGCATGTCCAACCTGTAGAACCGAGTTTTCTATTGGTATGACGTTCACGCATGTTCTTTCTGAATTACTGCTGACCGATTTGCCCCAGTCGTCCCAGAGGTTGCCCTGCCTTGGCTTCATCTCTTTTGCCTAACTCTCTGTCCTCCTATAGCTCCACGCTCTCTCTAAGCAGTTCCATCGCTATATTATCCCAAGCATCCGGCGCGTCTTTATCGAACCAAACCCTTCAGAGTCCTACGAAGAGCTCAAACAGAAATTCGAAGCATCCGAGGCACGCAATGCCACCCTCAAGCAAGAGAACCGCGAGCTTCAGAAATCCTGCGGAAAGTATATGGCCGACGCCGTTAAGCATGCGAGAGGAGAGAGAGCTGCGAAGGATGAGGCAGCAAGGCTCGACCAACAGTTTGAGATGGAAAAGAAGAAGACGAAGAACGAAATAGCACGCTTGCTTCAGGCGTTAGATGATGCACGCTCAGAAGCGATCATAGCGAGGTACGTGGGCTGACAATCTTTACCATCGATCTGAACCTTTTGAACTAGGCCGCATTCACCTCCTGTTCCTAGCAACAATACTGCTAGTACCAAGCGCGCTCGGTTCGATAGCAGCAGCTCTGATGTAGACGAGGAGTCGTCTCAGGATCATCTGACCCACTCTCTCCCATGTCGTGTCATCAAGCGCGTACGACTGGGCCCAAACGGTGATAACGGCCAAAGCAACGCCGTCCCTTCATCTTCCCGATTCGGTTCTTCGTCCTCGGAACCCGCTCTTCGAATGGATCTCAGAACAATGAAGCCGATGCAATTGCCGAGACCAAAATTGCCTCGTCGTTCCCTAGTATATGCAAAGTTCAAGAAGGGGCCTAACAATTTGCTTAGGACTCCAGCGAACGCTTCAAAGCGCCCGGTACCTCAGAGTAGTCCCGGGGAACAGGACGCTTCGGCTCTATTTGATTCTGATTCCGACTAGTCTTACTACCCGCCCCCTACATTTCTACTTCATCTACATCATCAGGCGTGCACTTATCGGTACACAATGTCCCTCAAACCTTCAAGGCCTCTGTTCTGCGTAGGGAAATTTCTTAAGGCTTTCGTGGCACGTACAGGGACGATTTGGTCCTGAGGCATGACCGGATACATGCTAGTGAAAAATTTTTATCTACTCAAAACCTTTCTACCTGATCTGCTTCGTTCTTGTATATACCTGCGCCTTCAACACATCTCTATCTGTGAGCCTCTGGCCTTTCCTATCACCAGTCGAGTTCGAAATCGCTATGCCTGTCTTTAATTGGGGGCGCAATCAAACAAGAGCTGGTTCACCAATGGTTTGACCATTTTCGCTGTATTCTGTCACTAGTCAAAAAATTAGCCAGTGAAGACCGAGGTGCTGGAACGTCGCATCACTGCTTAAGTGCTTAACACCGAGGTCATATTTGTATACTTTATCCATGCCTCCACCATTACTGATGATCATTTTCTCTCACCTAGATCAACTTCCTCAAGAAGCCAAGCCATTCTTGTCATGATCAGGTTTCGTTGCTGTCCACATGGGGGGTTTCATAAAACCACGAATTGTTCTTTAATCCTGCGGACATCACCTTGCTGCACCTCGCTCCGTTTCGAGTGCATCAAATATCCTGGCGCGTAACCAGCAGCGGCTCCGTATACCGCAGCTTCCAAGCCGGTACCAACGCCCGCAGGCGAAACCCAAGTATGCGGTTGTGACTATGCTGTGTTACGTTGATGCCATAAGCTCATCGTTCCAGTTCCAAACTCGCGAAACAAGCCCCTATTCACGTTCTGAAATTGCCTCCGCGGAAATATTCTTGCATACACATGGACCCACAACACGACTCTATGTTCATTGACTGTGCTTTCTGATAGCTAGAACACTGAAAACTGATAAGTATTCGAAGAAGTGCGCGTGGATAAGAAAACATTCTTCAAAACCAAAGCTGCGTGGTCTCACTGTACGGACTGCTGCGTACTCACCTCGATCACGCAGAAAGGGGGCCCTTTCTGGCGTATAAATACTGCCGATTTTCGTTCGCTTTCCCTAATGAACACAAACATGATTACCAACACTCAATTTATCCAAACTACTAGTTCCCATTTCGCCGTTGCGCTTGCGATGGCACAGGCCGTATTCGGTCTTATCAAGGTGTGTATCTTCAATTGCTTTCGTCACACGCGTGCTGATTGCTTTCATAGAGCATTATTGCTGTGCTATTGTTTTGGGCGTGTCCTTCGATGACACCTTCCGTGTCCGAATACCCCCGCATGGCTGTTACGACCAAGGTAGAGCGTAACACATCTCGATACTCAATGATGGTGGCGCCGTCTTCATCGGTGTCCTTCTCATCATCCAGCTCTACTTTGGTCGAAACGTCGTTAGTATGTGACAACGCCATTGCGAAATCCAAGAAGTCAGGCGCAAAGAGTAGGATTTCCTTTTCTTGCTGCTAGACCGTTTCACTCATGAGTGTACGGAACGTTCGCCTCCTATGCCCGTCCACATGAAAAAGGAAATTAAGCATCCGACTCATACTGCAAAGGTTGAGATGAGGCCTTTCGCACGGCACATGTCGTCGTCATTCCAAATTGCCTTTTCTCCCCTCGCCTCACCATTCATCCCTTCGTCGGACTCTTATTTCCCTCGTAAGGCGTCCGTCCAATTGAAGCGGGTAGGAACGCTTGTCGAAGAGGCGGTAGTAACATCCCAAGAGACCATCTTGGTTGCGTCGAGGAAGACGAAGAAAGTTTCTATTTCTATCAAGAAAACGAAGACTACGAGGAAGATTGTGAAAGTTAGAAAGAACGTCAAAGGGTTTTTTCTCGGGAGCATTCACGACGTGTTCAAAAGTTGACTATCTCCGTGTTTCCTGTGCATTACATTTCTTCTACCAATTGTCAATTATTTCAAGGCGCGTTCAGCCAACAATGTTTTCTCTATTTTTATTGCTTGAATTGCATAGCCGGCAAATTGACCGGAGAATCCCGATACATCCTTTCCTCCCACCACAACCACGGTCCTTTCGCGAAACCTTTTTTGTTATATTCTATCCCGCCTTGTCCAGATGGTTCAGTCTTGTGCGATTTGTTTGTCTCAATGCAACAGCCCCGTTTCTACGCCCTGTGGTACTTGACCTTTTTTGCTAGTGCTCGACCAATTTCTACATCTTAATGGCTCCTGCAGGACATATATTCTGCCAAATATGCATCTCCGAGCATATTCTCCAGTCCAACGGATTCCAATCGTTCTGCCCTACCTGTAGAGAAAATTTCCCCATAGGTCGGTTTCCCGGTTTCCTTGAAGGCTCTGTCACCTCATCCTTTCACGTATAGGCGCTCCCGAGGTAAGAGTCCTCTTTATGAATGTACCGTTTGATCTATTCACCATGTGTCACAGCTTCAGCATCCGCCCCGTTCATTCCACCAATTTGTCCTTCCCAGCATACGTCGCGTCTTTCTTGACACGTCTCCGGATCCAGAGGTCGAAGTTCTTAAGCGACGGCTGAAGATGGCCGAGGATCGTCTCGAACAACAGTCTAGATCCCATGCACTGACTATCTCACGACTTACTCGCCAACTGGAGTTTGAGGCCATGAAGAAGCGCCACGAGAAAGAACGAGCTGCGCTGCTTGAAAAGATATACGGCAAAGAGAAGTATGAAAGTCTTAGAGATGATTTCTATTGCAAACCGTGCGCTTTCTTGTCGATTCTAAGAAGCTCGCCGTTTCAATTCCATTAGGTCTTCGTCTTCGCTTTCCTCTGTTACGAATGGTGTCAAACGTCAACGCTCTGATAGCTCTGGCGATCTCGAAGAAGATAGAAAACCTTCCCCGTCCTCCTTTTCGCTCCCTGTGCTGACGCGAAGCGTGGCCTCCACGAGTAAACCTCGAATCTCGGTGACGATGTATCCCCCGCATCACTCAGCCAAACCTCTGACTCTTGAACACCTGGATAAACTTATTCGGGAGGCTCGCCAAGCCCTCAAAAGCCTTTCCCAACCTTCGACGCACTTCTATCGGATCGAATGTAATAACGAAGAGCCTGTCGAATTACGGTTTGGTCCCTGGACGAACTTGCGTCGGTTCGAATCATTTTTACATGCTCTTTTCTTGACTTGGTGTTGGATTGTTTCGCTCTTTCTTGTTACTTTCTTTTGTTGGTAAGTATGTTATCAACCACTGCTGACTCCCCCCTGATCTTCTGTTGTATCTTCATAGGACTGTGGATTTGTACAATGAAATGTAATGTATGACAATGGAAATCATACGGCAACGAGTAATGGCATCTATCTGGAGATGGGCACAAATCTAAGCTTTGAACTTTGCGAATATGAATTTAAATTCTGAAGCGAAGGTTAGGCTTTTAGGATTGGTAAAGGCGGTCAGCATGTCCTTTGCAGCTGTTACATCATGTTCATCCAAGCAGTTTGTCCAATGATCCATCCTCGGTCTATGCGAGTTGTTTGGATTCGTAAGGTGTAGGTTAGAACGTGACGGAGGTGACGAAGGAACAGGCTTGCGATAACTGTCTGAATCCCTTGTTGGCATTGTTGAGAGGCAGAAAACTACTCATATCTCGGGTCCACTCAAATATCCAACATCCAGGCAGGCTGGTAAGTCGAAGAAAGTTCGAATTCGAAATTCCCAAGGCAACTCAGCGGAAAAAGCCGAACCCCTCTTTCTTTCACATCCTATCTACCCTGCGATACCTCCTCGACATAGACCCTTCGTGCCGTCTTATATAGCTTGAAATATGGTCCAACCATGTGCGATTTGCTTGTCTCCATATAATGACCCTGTTTCTACGCCCTGCGGTTCGTTGGCCTCTATATTTTCGCTTGTCGACTTGAAATTGACATAATTGCGGTTACAGGGCATGTTTTTTGCATGGAATGCATATCTAATCATGTCGTTGCGTCCTCCGATGGATTCAAGGCCCCCTGTCCTAGTTGTAGGACGAGATTTCATATTTGTAAGTCCTCGTTTCGCCTACGGTCTACATGACATCAACCATACTTTTATATCGTCGTCTAGCAGCCCCTGAGGTTAGTATGTCTTCTAAAGAGACCTGCATTTATTCAATTATTCGTAGCTTCGGTATCTTCCCCATCAATACCATCAATTCATGCTTCCCAGCATACGCCGCGTCTTCCTTGACAGCACTCCAGATCCGGAGGTTGAGAGATTGAAGGAAGAGTTGAAGAGAGCAAGAGATTGTATTTCGAGCCAGAAAAGGCGCCTTAAAGAGCAATCGAAGGAGCACTCCCTAGCCATGTCGCGGCTCACGAAGCAGCTAGAAGCCGAGAGGAAGCAAACTGAGGGATTGAAAAACGCGTTTGCTGAAATGGAGTACCACAGAGATAAATATCACGAGTTTCGGAGAGTTTTCCGTGCAGCAGGGTATGTTCTTTTTATTGTCAGTCCAAGAGTCGTTGTAGTTACTCAAGTCTTTGTCAGATCATCCCTATCTTTGTCGACGGCTTCGACTCCGGAAAGGTGCTGTCAATTTAATCGTATTAATTAACATTTGGATTCTTAGAGGCAACCCAGCAGAAATTCCTCTACGTCTTGCAGTGCTCATGATCTACCTGGGCATGGCGATCCTGGTGAACGCCGGAGCCCTTCGACGGTGTACCATCGGCGTACAGCACCAACTGAACTGACATTGACATGGGACGCTATCCTTAAGGCCAGCAAGACTTTGGAGCAACGCCGGGCACTTCCCGTGTCGCATTCGCATACCAAATAAATGGCGTTCCGTGTATGTTTTCTATTCCCACTAGTATACGTTGTAATTCAAGGTAGTGCATAAGAATTTGATCTTCTTTACGAAAACCGTGGGGAAAACTTTAAGGTCATCATCACCTCAACAAACGAAGCATTAATCAACCGTTTCGTATATCCGATCGTCGGTTTTCGGAACGCTGTCCACGCCTGATTGCCACAGCATTTTTTGTTCGTTTTCCGTCTGCAGCCTGTATAGCCAATAACCAACGGGGTCTTGCTATGGTGCGTTTCGCCTTCTTTATGGAATTATATCCTTTTTTCAAACGTCCTTCCAGGATTATGGAGGCCATCCTTCATGCAATGTAGAAAAGAGAATACAATGCTATAGGAGAACGTTGGCGTTCATTGATTGTTTTGGTCTTCCCTGTCACGAGTAGAGTTCGATATTGCGATCCACCTTTACTATTTTCGATTGGAGAGTGAATCAAAGAAGTTCTGGTTCACAAATGGCTTCGTAATTTTCTCTGTATTTCTCCACCAGTCAAAGATTGACAGTGAAAACCGAGGCACTAGAACGTGACTGCCTAGTACCGAGGTCATATTTGTATTTCATCAATGTCTCCGCTATTACTGATGGTTGTTTTCTCTCACGTAAACTAACTCCCTCAAGTAGGTAAGTCGCTCTTGTCATGATCAGTTTTTGTTGCTGTTCTTACCCACTGGGTTCCATAAGACACCGAATTATTCAGATTATTCTTCGATCCCTGTGGACATTAGTTCTGCTCGTTGGTACGTTTTAACGTGGAAACTATGCACCTTGCTGCACATCACTCCATTTCAAGTGCATTAGATATCCCGGCGCGTAAACAGCAACGGCGTCGTGGGTCTAATCATTCGCTAGCCGGTACAGAGGCCCGCATGCGAAACCCAGGTAGGTGTGCGTGAATATCCTGTGCTAATTTGATGTCACATTCTTCCCCGTTTCAGTGTGAACCAAGCCCCTATTAACGCTCTAAAATTGCCTCCGCGGAAGCATTCTTGCGTATACATGGACCCACAACGCGACTCTTATTCAACAGATTGAACGTGTTTTCCGATACTAGGAGCCGGGGAACAGATGGGTATTCGAACAAGTGCGCGTGGTTAAGAAAACATTCTTCGAACTCATAGGTGAGTTGTCTCACTATACGGGGCTACTCCTCCTGTACTCGTCGGGAAGGGGGCCCCTCTTGGCGTATAAATACCCCTAATATTCGTTCGTCTTCCTTACTGAACACAAACATGATTACCAACACCCAATTTGTCCAAACCACCAGGTCCCATTTCGTCGTTGCGCTTGCGATGGCACAGGCCGTATTCGGTCTTATCAAGGTGTGTATCTTCAATTGCTCTCGTCACACGCGTGCTGATTGCTTTCATAGAGCATTATTGCTATGCTATTGTTTTGGGCGTGTCCTTCGATGACATCTTCCTTGCCCGAATACCCCCGCATGGCTGTTACGACCAAGGTAGAGCGTAACACATCTCGATACTCAATGATGGTGGCGCCGTCTTCATCGGTGTCCTTCTCATCATCCAGCTCTACTTTGGTCGAAACGTCGTTAGTATGTGACAACGCCATTGCGAAATCCAAGAAGTCAGGCGCAAAGAGTAGGATTTCCTTTTCTCGCTGCTAGACCGTTTCACTCACGAGTGTACAGAACGCTTGCCTCCTATGCCCGTCCGCTTGAAGAAGGAAATTAAGCATCTGACTCATACTGCCAAGGTCGAGATGAGGCCATTCGCACGGCGCATGTCGTCGTCGTTCCACATCGCCTTTTCTCCCTTCGCCTCACCATTCATCCCTTCATCGGACTCTTATTTCCCTCGTAAGGCGTCCGTCCAATTGAAGCGAGTAGGAACGCTTGTCGAAGAGGCGGTAGTAACATCCCAAGAGACCATCTTGGTTGCGTCGAGGAAGACGAAGAAAGTTTCTATTTCTATCAAGAAAACGAAGACTACGAGGAAGATTGTGAAAGTTGGAAAGAAAGCCAAAGGGTTTTTTCTCGAGAGCATTCACGTGTTCAAATCTTGACTATCTCCGTGTTTCCTGTACAGTACATTTTCTACAAATGCTCAATTATTTCAACACGCATTCAGCCTACATCAATATTTTTTTCTACTTTTATTGTTTGAAATTTGCATGCATAGCCGACAAATTGACCGGAAATCCCCGGTGTCTCCTTTCCTCCCACCACAACTACGGGCCTTACGCAAAATTTTTGTCCAGTATTCTATCTCGCCTTGCAGATAGTTCAGGCTTGTGTGATTTGTTTTCCTCGACGCGACAGTCTGCCAGAAATGCACATGCAGAAAATCTCCTGCGGTTTACTGTGGGGGAATGTTCTGAAATCCTGATATGTCGGTATCCCGTATCGGTTAGGATTCTTCTGTCGTCTTCTGTCGGTCAGTATTCCTCAGAGATATAGAGATTACCATGCTCACTGCCTGACGCAGCTACCTCGTTTATTTTCCTGATTCATCATTCCCAGCATTATTTCAAGACTTTTCTGAATCCTGAGCTTGAAGATCTCAAGCAACAATTGCAGACCGTCAAGTGTCAAAGACTGCTGCACAATGTTGGTACGGAGCAACTGGAGGCCGAGAGAAAGCAAGCACCACAGCCCGAGCATCGAAAATGACGCACCGTAGAGAAGAGGTTCCAAGGAGAGTTCCACAGGGAATCGTGCGTTTTCCCGCTATTCATCAATTATAGGTTGCCATCATCGTCCTCGACCATCCCATGGATGAAATGTTACCGTTCTGATAGCGCAGATAGTTTGGATGCCAACGGAGACCTGAGACGACACTGGCGCATAGCCGCACAATACAGGATTCGAATCCTGGAGTGAATGATTGGCACGGGATTGGCGAAGGGCGAGCGCATCACATCCGTCTAAGTAGTTTTTCGTTTATGTGTCTCTTGTTCTGTTATCCCTTTTCAAGCGGTGTAATCGTGTAGCAGAGTTCCAGTCACAGGATACCTTGTATGGATATCCAAGACCTCAATCCGTGTCGTTCAGAGGACGAACCCCAGTGGTATCCATCATTCTGGCTGTGATAAGCTACAGATAATACGGGGATTCGAAGTTCTAAAGGCAACTCAACGGAAGATGCCGAAACACTCTTTCTTTCACACACCACTCAACCTTGCGATACCCTCCTTAGCATAGGCGCTTCGCTCTGTCTGGCATAACTTGGAGATGGCCCAGTCATGCGCGATTTGTTTGTCTCCATACGACAACCCTGTTTCTACACCATGCGGTTTGTCGTCCTACTTATGTCACTGCTTGTCGACGATTGACACGATTGCCTGCACAGGGCATGTCTTCTGCATGAAATGCATAAATAATCATATAATTGCGTCGTCCGATGGATTCAAGTCATCTTGTCCCAGCTGTAGGACGAGATTTCACGTTTGTAAGCCCTCGCTTATATCTACCTGACATTTACCTTATGCTATTGTCCAGCGGTCCCCGAGGTCAGCATGTCTTTCGTTGAGACGTGCTCGTTCATTCAATTGCCCATAGCTTAGGAATATACCCCGCCAATATCATCAATTCATGCTTCCTAGCTTGCGCCGCATCTTCCTTGTCACCTCTCCAAATTCAGAGGTTGATGAACTAAAGGAGGAGTTGAAGGACGCAAAAGATCGCATCTCAATCCAGAGTAGGCGCCTTAGAGAACAAGCAAAGGAGCATTCCTTGGCCATATCGCAGCTCACCAAGCAACTGGATGCCTGAGCGAAGGCAAACTGAGAGGCTGAAAGCCTTATTAGCTGAAACGGGATACCGTAGGGATAAAAACCATGACTTTGGGAAAGTCGCGTATGCATCAGGATGCGTTCCTTTCCCTATCAATCTGAGAGTGCTGTACTTATTCATGTCGTCAGAACATTGTTGCATTCGTCAACAGCTCCGACTACCATAAGGTTTTGTTGACTCGATTGTATTGGATGACCGTTTGAATTCTAAGATACGACCCAGGTACTCGGAGACTTCCTGGATATGGCGATCGCAGTGAAGATTTGTGCCCTTCGGCCGTGTGCGATAGGCGTACAGCACTGACCCAACTCAACTGATACTGATATGTGAATCCATGTTCAAGGTTCCTCCGCTTGCATCAAATGGTGTTCCAGTATGGTTTGTTCTTATTCTCATGAATATGTCATGTACATCAAGTACTGCGTAAGAATTTAATCGTCTTTGTAAAACCACCTGACCTCCGAAGGAGCCTCACTTCGTCACACGAAGGCATCGATTGATTCATTCGCATATCCCATTGTCGGTTCTCGGAATGCTATTCTCGCTGGTCACACGTGAGAGTCGATACTTCTTCCTTTCCACCCGTCATCCGCCTATCCTATAGCCAATATGGCCTTTACAATGGAAAGAATTCAAGAAGACATTAGCTTCTTAGGTGTAATTCCCGGTAAGACAATGCATGGGTCTTGGCAGAGAGTTGCGCAGCACGAAAAGCTGTGAGATGCTCCCAGCTACAATTTTAGTGCGGCTTCGAGTCAAGAACTCAATCAAACGGCACGGACCTGATGCAGCGCGTAGAATGTATGTTGTCAGTCTTGATATGAAAATGCTGACAGCCAGAGCCGGTGCGTCGTCACTACTTACGCTAATACATACCCAAACCGTAGCATAGTTGACCTTCCTGCATTGAATTATATGCGAATATATGTTTGTACTTGGCAACATGTCTATTGTCGACTGAGGTTAACTCGATTGAGCAAGAGTCTAATCCTGGAAAGACACGGTACGTTCTGTATTGAATACTTTCAAAAACCAGCTTTGTACACGAAGCACCATTCACTATTTATCCTTTTATCCGTGACCCTGACGTGAAAGATCGGCATCGAACAGACTTGCACGTGAAGTCGACTCGGAATCCACGTGGATACAACCCTCGTCTAATAACCATGAAGCGCTATAAAAACGAAGGCCCTCTGCTCCTGGATCTACCACGCATTTTCTATATTTCTCTGCTTCTATAACAATGAACGCTGCTGTTCTCATCGTATGTCAACCACCCAAGTTCCTGTGCAACAACTTGCCTCATCCTTGTATATAGGCTGGCGCTGGACCTTCAGGCCTTGCTCTGGCACTCGCGTTACTTCAGAATGGCGTCTCCGTTCGAGTCGTAGAAAAGGTGCCTACGTATCGGGTTGGCCAGAGGGGCGCTGGTGTTCAGGTATCTACATCTCTTCGTTCATATTAACATGTTAGCTTAAACCACAACGTAGCCTAGGATCCTTGAGTTATACAAGTTCCTCGGTATTTTGGCCGATATTAGGAAAAAGAGCGTATTCCTCTCGCCTATAATGTATTATCTTCCGGGGGGCGAGACGAAGACCACTGAGATAATGCCCTTCATGCAGGACACCTCCGACCGACCTCACGTGCGTAAAATTGATTGTATCATTCTTCAGGTTTACTAGGATCTCTTATTCTGCAGATAAATCCTGTTATGTTAGGCCAAGACCGACACGAGGAGATATTGCGTGAACATCTGGCCAGATATGGTGTTACAGTCGAGTTGGGCACCGAGCTCGTGTCATTTGAACAATTCCCCGATCGAGTGGTTCTCTCGCGTCGTCAAGACTCGTGATAGGCAACAGTCTGAAGACTCCATTGAGAGTCAATGGCTCATCGGAACCGAGGGCGCTCACAGTGTTGTGCGTAAGATGCTGGGCTTGACGTTCCTCGGAGAGACGCGTGAAGGAGATCTTTTTGTTGTGGGGGATATCCATATCAAGAATGGGTCGCTAGATAAAGACGTGCGTTACGCGTCAGATTCTTTCTGCAGATACTGATGGTTTAATTTGAAGCTATGGCATGTATGGGGCGAAGCGGCCACGAAAAGGTGCATATCTCGTTGGTTTATCTAAAACCCGCATTCTGAGTCATTTACTAGCGTAACTGTTGTACCTGTTGAAACCAAGGGCAGCGACAAGTATACCATGCTTTTCATGGGTCGCGATTTAGCTGCGGCAGAAGCAGCATCCGGCCGGGAGGGATTTATCAAGGCTTTCTATGATATTACTGGACGCACCGATGTCGAGTTTGGTGATCTCATCTGGGTATCCACCTTCCAGTGAGGACTTTTGAATAACTGTGGACACAAATAATAACATACTGCCTCAGGCCCAACACTCGAATGGTGAACAGGTTCGGTTCTGGAAGGGTGTTTGTTGCCGGAGGTAGGATCCATTTATTCGATGCTAATGTTCTTACGCTCACTCGCAACAAGATTCCGCCCACGTCCACAGCCCTACTGGTGGTCAAGGACTTAACTCGGGTATTCAAGATGCCGTGAGTAAAACAAATATTTTGTGTCGCTTGAAAGTTTTCTGACACACTTCCAGGTGAACTTGGCTTGGAAGCTCGCCCTTGTTCAAAAAGGCTTGGCTCCTCAGAGTCTCCTAGACAGCTATTCCCAAGAGCGCATCCCCGTCATCGCAGCAATGCTTGACAAGACCGCTGAACTTCTTACCCAGACCTTCACACCTGGAAATGGCCAGACAAGTTGGACAAGAGGCTTCGAGCTTCGGCAACTAGGAGTTAATTACCGTGGCAGTCCCATCATTATCGATGAAACTCCGGTCAAAAGTGAAGAGGCCATTGACCCGTATCGTTCAGGTGACGACGGTACCGTCCGAGGCGGTGATAGAGCTCCCGACGCCCCCGGTCTCATTTTCGCTAGCGACCCCATGCGCAAGACGAGTCTCTTCGACATCTTTGGCTCGTCATACCACACAGTGCTCGTCTTCTCCGACGACAACACTGGAGTTTTGGATGCGCTGAAGAGTTATCCCGTAGGTCTCGTCAAGTCCGTGGTCATTCTTCCTCAGAAGCCGACAGCTGTTATTTCTGCTGACTACGTACTGGTGGATGGTGATGGATATGCGTACAAGCACTATAATATGGCGGAGAAGATCACCAAGGTAGTTGTAGTGCGGCCCGATGGGATGATTGGTGGGCTCGTCCGCGGGAAGGACGGGTTAGAGCAGTATTTTAGAGGGGTCCTGGTGTGATCGATATAGGGTGCACCGGCCCAATGGTAAAGTTGTATATATTTCATAAATCACCTACCTCTCATCGATAGGATTTGAACCTGAATGATCGAGGTGCCTTAAGTAGAATCACAGAAGGGAAAGAGCAGGAGATAAAATTACAGTAAAACTGCAAGGGAAACCGCGTGCATAGTAGGATGGGCGATGACTTTGTATGCAGCGAGTTCGTTTGGAATTCAGTTCTAGATTTTGGAAGACGCGTTATCTTACTGTATTAATCCTCATGTAGCTCGTATCGGCGTAGAGACGCGTTCAGTTGGTTATCGCTTGTCACGGTCACTGAAGTCACCGTTCGAAGGCGCACTGCAAATTAAAATTTCACGCGACGCGTCAGTCACGTGCAGCGTGGTCCTTTGTAATTGATTTTCCTCGTCGCTTTTCTTCTTCTTCCTACTATGTCTGACCAGTGCACTATATGTCGCCACAGCTATACCGAGCCAGCTTCGATACCTTGCGGTCAGTAGAAACAACCTGTGGATGGGAAATGCTGAATATTTCTGTCTTTAGGACATGTCTACTGCCTCAAATGCATATCCAGCCATATATTGTCGAGTAGCCCTGACGGATTTACAGCTACGTGCCCTGCTTGCAAGACAGAGTTCCCTATTGGTGAGTCTCTCGCATTTTTCAGTCTTTTCTCTCCCTCACTCATCCTATGCACCTCAGTCCTTCCAGAGGTGAGCGCCAGCTCTTCCACTTCTCTCCCCTTGCCTGTTTTCTTCCCCCAGCTCCACACTCTCCCCGAGAAATTCTATCGCTACGTCGCCCCGAGCGTCCGTTTTGAGTCGTCCAATATCCCTGAATATTGTTTGGCTTAGGACTACGACGCCTTCCCGGAAGCGAGCCAGGCCCGGCATGTACAGCTTAATTTTCAATGCACAATTAGCCCGCCGGAGGCGTGACTCGTTACTCTCGCAGCAACTCGACACTTGATCGATAACTACCTTGATTTCGATTTGCCTCCCTTTGCTCCTTTCACACAGACCGTGTTCTTCACAGGGCTTGATTTTATGGTACCTATGCTCACCTGTACATCAAATGTTCTGCGCGATCTTCGTGTAATTTCTGGTATTATAAACGTACTGTAACAATAAATTGGTATTGAAGCTAGGGTTCTCACTTGGCTTCTGTGCTGTTTTTGTTGGCACGTACGCACGCAAGGAGCTGCCTTTAAAGCCAGCACTTGAACTGTTCATTTATGTCGTGCCTCCAACGGCCCCGTGGACCAATCACGCATGTTGGCTCTGCATCTCAACTTAACTTGAGTCTCCGACGCGCCAATCACGTGTAGCACGCTCTTCCTCTTCTCCTTACCACCATGTCTGGCCAATGCACGATATGTCTATGCGGTTATACAGAGCCAGGCATCGGTACCGTGTGGTCAGTAGCAACAAGCTTCAGATGGGAAGTACTGGATATTTCCGTCTTCAGGCCATGTCTACCGCCTGAAATGCGTATCCGACTATATCTCGTCGGACAGCTCTGATGGATTCATCGCCTCGTGCCCTAGTTGCCGAACAACGTTTCCTATTGGTGAGCTTTTCCTTTTTCCCAGTTTGTCCTGCCGCCTATGCAGTGCATCCTAGTCCTACCAGAGGTGAGCGCCACGCGGTTTCCATGTCTCCGTGACCTCTTCCCTCGCCCAGCTCCACTCTCTCCCCAAACACTTCCACCGCTATGTCACTCCAAGCGTCCGATACGTCTTTATCGAGCCGGAAGCGTCCAAACAAAGGCTGGAGGCATTTGAGGCGCGTAATGCTGCGCTCGAGCGACACAACCGTGTCCTCATGACAGCAGTCGAGAAGGAGAAGAACGAGCCGCAGGTGAACTGAAGAAGTTAGAGCCGGAAGGGAAGACATGTATGCGTGATGATTCCAGGCGCGCGTGTATTGCAATTGCTGTCGAATCTTTCTATATCGTTTGAATTAGATCAGATACGTCTTCCTCAAAGTATGCGCAATCAGACAACGATGCTTCCTCACGACGCTTATCTCTAACTGCAACTTCGCTAAACGCTGCCCCAGACTACTGGAAGAAAACTTGCTCATGACTTTCACCATGTCAACGCCGTTGTTTGGATCGAGTCATTTGCTTTCACTCTGATTCAAGGGAAACTCTATGAACGTTGCTCTGCCTGGTACATAGACTTACCTAGATTTTGACTCTGGCTTGCTGGCTTCTCAGGAAACTTTGTATGCTATCATATCATAATGATGATTTTGTAGCAACGAACGTCGCAAATGCAATGTAGAACCCTACCCGTAATATATCTCAGGATCCAAGACTGGATGTGTACCAAAAGCATCGTACAAGATGAAGCCTGCAACAAACCCTACCGTCATTGTCAATCCAAACCTACGACAGCATGAGCATTGGTTTCAAGCTCCAGGCTGACAAGACTCACATAAATGCGCTCGTCAGCCACCTCATGCTCGACACATTATGGTCCTCTCGCGGGAACCACGACGAGAATCCAGAACCCGTGCGGAGTGTACGTGCAAGCCATGGCACAGACATGCTGTTCCTCCCACCTTCAGAGCGCAAAGATCTAGATGGCAGCAACAAGTCCCTATTTCGCAGTCGCCGATTCTCTCGCTCCAAACTCGCGATACGCTCCTCCAGTCTCTTCACCTGATCCTCAAAGTTGACCCGTATTCCATTCACGTAGAGCCTCCGGAGGGGGTAGCCGAAATATTCGGGAAAGTCGCGTGAGAGCTAGATGTCTGATGAGCCTTTGATTGATTATCAGGGGAAGAGCACGAACGGGGTCGTCACGTATAGAAAACTGCTTGCGACAGGCAGGACATGGTGCCGTCGTTGATCCCTCATTACGGAGAATGCTGGTTGCCTGTGCGATGCAATTCGAACAGTAAACATGTCCTGCCACCGATAATCAGTCAGAGTCCTAACGCCAGGAGAAGAGAGCGAGCGTACCACAGGGCGTGCAAACGGGGTCGACAAAGTCGGAGAGACAGATGCTGCATACGCAGGAGGTGGACATGGCGATAGAGTAGTAGAGAGCTCGAGAGGCATCCAGCAGCGACATTTTATAGCTGTGCATTGTCCGTGGATATTGTCATTGTTTTCGATGGCCAAAGCACCACGAATTTGACATATTTTCCGAGTGGCCTCTTGACCATAAATGTCGATAATTGCTTACGCATATTGCAAGGGTTAATAGAGGAAGACAGGAATCTGGATGAGAACGGACATGATGGTAGGGAGGCAGGGACGACTTTAGCTTTAGGGTCGGTCGACCGTTGGCCACTTCGGGACTTCGGACCCGAGCTCCGACAAACTCACTTTTCGTGATTCTTATCTTCGTGTTCTCTGTACATTCATTGCCTACTTCCCATTTGATATCAAGTTATCTTTGCAGCGCAGCCCGGCGATTCTCAATCCACTCGTTCCAGTGCTAGCTTCGCAGTACTTGCCTTTGAACTGGAACCAAGCAAACTAGTTTTACCTCTTTAGTTTCTTCTCTGACCGGACGCGATTCTTTCTTCGTTTACGTGATTAACAAGATTAACGTGGACTGGTACAGTATGAACTGATCCTAGTTCTCTGATCTTTAGCCCTTCGGTCAATTGATGCACGTTACTGAATTCCCTCTGGCACTGCTTAGTCGAACCAGTGTCACCAGTCTCTGAGGCTTTGGAGCGGAACGTAAATGAAACCCTTTCTTTTTTTCCGTCGGACCGTTTCAATCGGTAGTCCCTATTTCTGTCTTGCATTGCCTCCGCGGACTCTTGGACTCTTTTTTTTCGTCCGTCGGTCATCATATGGACCCACAACACGACTCCGCATTGCCGACGGACCCGGACAGGCGACACCAACGCAAACGCCTCCGAAAAGTATTTCAAAGCTCGTAGGTGAAGAACTAAGAGCACTTGTAGTAAATCTCCTTCTCAAAGTCCGTGGAGACTCTTGTTTCACTGTACAAGCTTCTGCTCCAAGACTCACTGCGATCGAAGAGTGGGGTAGATGCCTCTTTGGCGTATATATACCCCCGCTATTCTCCCAATTTCCCTCACTTAACACAACCATGATTACCAACAACCAACTTATCCAAACTACCAGTTACTTCTTCGCCATCGCAATTGCGATGGCGCTATCCGTCACGGTCTTCGTAAAGGTATGTATTCTGTGTATATACCTATTGGCCTCATTGAACTTGCTCTACAGGACATCTTCACTCTTATGATATTCCGCACGCCATCTACTGCCGCAGCGGAATATCCTGGCATTGCCGTTGTGGTAAAGGTCGAGGTCACTACCACACAATATTCGACGATTGAACCATCGTTGTCGGTATTCTCCGACTCCACCTTCATTGCAGTATCTTCGGAGTGTTACAACGGGACACGGACAGGGAAGCGTAATCGGTAAGTCGCCTTGTCGCTGTCGTTGGCCTATATCTCATTGGCACGTTTAGCTTGTCCTAAATTATACGATATTGAATGAGATCACCGGTCGACCAGGCTACAATGGCCAGAAGACGACAGAAGAATCCTAACCGATACGGGATACCGACATATTAGGATTTCAGAACATTCCCCCAAGTAAACCGCAGGACACTTTCTGGATGTGTATTGCTGGAAGACCGTCACGTCGAGGGGGGGAAAAATCACACAAGGCTGAACTATCTGGACAAGGCGAGATAGAATACAAGATAAGAATTTGGCATAAGTGTCGTGGTTGTGGTGGGAGGAAAGGAGATACCGGGATTTTCCGGTTAATTTGTCGGCTAGTATGCATTCAAATTTCAAACAATAAAAGTAGAAAAAATATTGGTGTTGGCTGAATGCGTGTTGAAATAATTGAGCATTTGTAAAAAATGTACGGTACAGGAAACACGGAGATAGTCAACTTTTGAACACGTGAATGCTCTCGAGAAAAAACCCTTTGGCTTTCTTTCCAACTTTCGCAATCTTCCTCGTAGTCTTCGTCTTCGTGATTGAAATAGAGACCTTCTTTGTTTTCCTCGACGCAACCAGGATCGTCTCTTGGGATGTTACCACGGCCTCTTCGACAAGCGCTCCCACGCGCTTCAATTGGACGGACGCCTTACGGGGGAAGTAAGAGTCCGACGAAAGGGTGAAAGGTGAGGCGACAGGAGACGCCTGATTTCCTTCTTCATGTGGACGGGTATAGGAGGCAAACGTTCTGTACACTCGTGAGTGATCCACAGAGTTTACTGGTGGTGCGGCAGTGGCTAAGGCGTTGACGGCAGTGGCGGCGAAACACCTGAAGCCTTGCATTTTCGAGTTGGGAGGAAAAATCCTTGTATCGTATGTTCAAGTCACGTATTACTCTTCAGACACGTTCGAGTCTCTTGTCAAGGTACTGAATGATGCGGAAGCCGCTGCCAAGAATATCACTTTTGGAGCAATGTTCAACGCCGGACAGGTTCGTGATTTTGTTTTTTATTTTGCAAAATGCTTGATTGACGTAAGACTTGCTTAGGTTTGCATATCGACGGAACGCGTCATTGTCTAGCGCGATGTATCCAAGGCTCTCATTACGGCTGTTGTGGAGCTATGCAAGAAGCTAAGGGCCGGAGACCCGACGCACAACTCGTTACCTGCGTTGTTCAGTCAGGCCTCGGCTGAGAATGTCATTAGACTAATTCAAGATGCCGTAAATTCTGGTGCAGAGCTTCTCCTAGGAGACCTTACCAAGGATTGGATCCACCGTACAGCCTCATTTGTTGACTAGCGTCACCCGTGAGATGCCTATCTGGAAACAAGAAACCTTCGGTCCTGGTAATGGACTCTTTGTCTTGGTGCACTGATCGTGGTGTTGATATTGCGTACAGTTACGGTATACGACACTGTCGATGAGGCCGTCGATCTGGCGAACAATACCGAATATTCCTTGGCTGCTGCGTTATGGACGCAGGACATCATGAAGGGTGAGGAAGTGGCAGATAGAATATTTTCCGGTAAGCAGGTTTACGTTCTAAGAAGATTATCGCATTAGTAAACTTTGCCTAGGTTTCACCAACATCAATGGATGCACGATACACGGCGAACCCTCTATTGAACCATTTGGGCTAGGGCAAGTTACTTAGCGGTGCCTCCGGTGACGGGCGGTTTGACGTCGATCATTTTACTCAAAAACGCGTTTGTGTAATTCATGCATCAGGCGCGAAATATCCGATGATTGAAAGGCTCAGTGAAAAGTAAGGCAATGTGTATATCAAAACGCACTTGTAATTCATCTGCTTTCGCCGAGCGGACACGTTTTGCGGAAGCTATACTGTCCATTTAATACAATTTATCCCAGTAACTACTGGGGAAGGTGAAATATAAAATAGCCAGTAACTACTGAAGCTGTCAAGAAGCTGTCAGAATACATGCATTATAGAGATTCAAATATATATTAATATTTGACACGTTTCCAATAATTGTATTCTTCCGGCTGTCACATGACCCTCGTATACCGCTCCTGCCCCCGCCTGTTGGCCGACCGATGCGCCTTGGATTTCCCTTTCCGTCGTATCCTATATTTGTCACCGATCCAGCATTGTTCCTTCCCTTGATGGGATCTCTGCCCGTCTCCTCTCACTCCTCCACATCTGATCTTGTACCTTTGACCTTGTAGATCCAACCCTTCCCGGCTTCTCGGCTTTGTCATCGATGCACGTGGGGCGGTACTGGAGTGGTATGCCATTTCCTTCCCACCATTCCCATCAGTTTTCCCTATCCCTCCATGCACAACTTTAACGGCCGTGCCTCAAGTTACTATCCTATAGCGAGAATTCCCCAGATGTTGCTTGCGTCATGAGCATCGGGATAATCATGGTCTGCTCCAGTAATCCCATTATCCATTTCTCTGCTGCGCTCTTACTGCTCTCTGCTCTCTCGCTCGCTCAGGTACCTTGATGCTCTCTGGAAGACCGTACGGCATCCCAGCCCCCACGTCAACTGCATCAAGCTTTGTACCATTCCGCAGGTTTTCTACAGGCAGGATCTCGGCATTCCATCACAGGTGCTAGTATTTCCCTATTATTCTAATGGGATACTAACATCTTGTAGTGTACATCAGACACCATTCTTTGTACTCCCTTCATCAGCCGTAACCCTCCTACATCCCATCCCAGACTCACTTCTCCGCACGAAGGAGCGCCCTAGCTTTGTGCTACAGATACCTTCACCGTTAGTTGTTGGTAGAAATAATGTCAGCATGGATGGTATGTGCAAACATCCATATTATGGATCGCTCTGTTGACTGTACTACATAGATGTCAATGTAAAATCAACGAACCTATTCAAAGCTATCTAAATCGGACAAATGAAATGCCGAACAGAAGCGCTATGGTGAGTTTACAATAAATTTATATTTGATGGAAATTGTACTTCGTTGAAACCTAGGCGTTCATACGTGACCATAAATTTATATTTGATCGAAATTGTACTTCATTGGAGCATACGTCCGTTACTATAAATTTATATTTGATCGAAATTGTATTTTATGGAAACGTACGTCCGTTACTGTAAATATATATTTCTGACATCCCTTCTTGGATAGCTAGGTCTTATAAAAGAGAATGCATGCGCGACTCTTCGGCAGTTATGTCTCGCCCAGCCCCCCACTGAGAATCCGTCTACTGGCTGTTCCACCCGACAAGCCAGACCCCTTTGGTTTTGATCAGATCTTTGACTTTACTTCTTTTTTGGATGAGGACTCCTGACAGGTGATTTCGAAGATCAGCATCGAGAGTTCTGTACCAACCATCAGTGGGGATCTCCATGGGTGCCATCCTTACCTGGATGTTGGCAGCATTGAAGAGTAGGTCCTTTTCGCTTAATCTTCAATCTGATACTCACATATTCCTGCGGCAGCTTGATCATTGGTGTGCTGCCCATTCCGGGTCTTTATCGCTATGCCGTTCGCTTGGACTATTCTGGCGAACAGCTTCTATGGCTGGCGGATCAGGGACCTCTTTTCGAGAGCGCCGTACTTGCCGATTGCACGTTGACATTTTTTAAATGTCTGTACTTGCTGTGGTTTCATAAGTGGCCCACCTGTTGACAAAGCTGAACGAGAGCAACAAAAAATAGTATGTCTTTACAATGTCTAGGCCCATCAATACAACATTAATACATATAATCAGGAGATCTTCACCCTTTACATCATGGGACTCAAATACAGATGGATTGATCATGGGCTGAAACCCCGGCAGTGGACTATCGAGCAGGTCTTCGAAAAGTTGGATCGTTTGGAAGAGATCGTCACCGCTGAGTATGATAAAATCAGTCATGTATTTAAGAAGCATTAGTAAACACTAATAACATTGCGGCCAAAGTCCATAACATGCTAAATTAATACACTAGGAGGACGATGCTGAGATACGTCCAGGGGAATCAAGGTCCAACGTCGGGTCAGGCATTTCATGGGATACCGGAGGAAGGGAGGCCAGTGTGTCGCTCCATTGTTTGCCGGCATTCTCACCAAGTTCTTGCCAGAGAGCAGCCTGCTTCAACGCATATGCTCTCGCACCAGGTAAGCTTACCTTCCTTGCCCTATCATTCCATACATTATTGTAGAACTGGAACGTCACCTTGATGCGACGGATCTCCTCTGTCAAAAGTTCACACTCTTCCTGCCAACGCTGCACTCGAGCACGAGACTTGCACCACTCGATACGTAAGGCTGTGGAGTGCATGTTAGTCATGGCGTGAGGATTTGAGAAGAATCTGACCTTCTTGGAGCCCTTCCTCTCCACTTTGCAAGTTTGTCTTCCAGATCCATGACAGTGAACGATGACCCTCTGATGTCATATCGTCATAAGAATCCAGACCACGAATATCCTCATCTCTTAAGGGAAATAGACCCGACTTCCATTCGTGTCGACCCAGATGAGTTGATACCGCATCTAGTGCGGCGTACACTCTTCGATATCGGGCTGCATCTGCTGAAACTTTCATTTCCACCCTACGCATAAGATTGTTGGCTCTCGTTCCGTATCGTTGACCTCGCGAGAACCGCTCGTGCCATATCATGAGATAAGACTTGAGGAGTAAATGATCACGTAAAATGGCTAACGTGTCATGCGCTTGTGCTAGCCGCAAGCGACGCTTGTCGTTGAGAACAGTATTGGTTGGACTGGGATCAACTGCACTGAGTCGCAAGGCCGCCAAAGGCAGATACAATGGAATCTTGGTAGGATGGATTTCAACACCAGGAGTGCGCCGATCATCATCCCGGGTGCGGAGTAGACTTGTCTTTGGCATGTACACCTTTTGAATCTCGATCCAGGCTTCGATTTTGCGGGAGATGCGGTTGGTTTGCTGTTGGATCCTGGTTCGTTGCAAGTCGGTTGAATGGGTCCCGAGTTCCTTGATGTCATCAATTAAGCGCACCCTGCAAGCATATTCGGTTCAGTGTAATATTCAGGTGAGCTTTCAATGAATAGACATACTGTGCTTCCTCCAATTGTAAACCTTGAGCAATGAATTCACTAGGACTCACATCGTGGTGAATCTCAATACTTTTTTTGGCTTTTTCTTCTCGAGCCAATTCTAATCGTACAGCGTTTTCAGTTACCACTGAAAAACTGTCAGCGTGTGTACTGACTTTAGATCATGGACAGACTCACGACATAATGTAGGAGAGAACAGATTTGGTTTTGTGCGATCACTTTCCCATGCAAGGACCATCGTTCTCCATTGATGAAGAGCGGTCGAATGGTCAGCCCGCAAAGCATCTTTGTAACTGATAAACTCGGTAACATGTTGAGCTCTGGCAGTAACAGCATCCTTATATTTCTCGCAGATAGTCGACGCTAGGTATTGTAGTATCAGTTAGCATGCACTTCCTGTGTTTATGCATACTCACCTATGATGATGATTTTTCGCCAATTATAATCGCCAAAGTGATCATCTAACGTGTCCCGATGAGACCCTGGACCCATTTCTTTCGTACTATTAGCCAAGGCATTCGTCGTAGCCCAGCCCCGCTCAGGTGCCTCCCCGTCCGTCCGTCCAACCTTAGCCGAGAAATTGAAGGAAAAGTCATTGCGGCAGCTCAAGATATGCGCTGGGAGATGGAACTTCGGGACAAGATACAAGATATTACGTTTGCTTTGATGCAGTCTCAAAGAAGCCGGATATTTCTCCATGCGAGCGAAAAACTTCTTGCGCCATTGGCACGCTATATTGTAGGAGATGACCAGGTCAGGGGGCGTGTCATATGAGAGCGTTGATAGAATGAAGTAATCCATGTTGATATATCTACGGGATCGACAGTCAGTGACACGAATGCTTGACACAAGACCTGATGTACCTCTCGCCCTTTTGCAGATCTCCAACGGACAGAGGGCGTTTCATGTTGTGGCGTCCACATACAACGGCACCGACACCTGTTGCCACAGCACCCTTCCCTCCGCGACTATTTGCAAGTTTCACTGCATCGTGATTGTTGCATGTACTCTTCTCCTCCTCGGGAATGACACCACTATATTTCTCCAGGTGAGCTTTGAAACTTTCCTCCTCCACAAAATAGGCATATCCCTGGTTCAAGCTCGGATCATTGATTTCATCTGATACATTGAGACGACGTAGACGGAAGTTCGCATCGACTGTGATGAATAAGCGGTACAACCATCGCTTCTGCCTGAACCATTATTCTTTAGTTTGATTACACGTAAAGCGGATATTATTCCCTTACAAATTGTGTGACCACCCATCTGGCAAGTTAACATGCGGGTGTGGACATGCCAGACAACAAAGCGCCAGTTCGCCTGGCTGAGTCTCTTCAATACCTTCTTGCTCGTGTCCTCGGCCAAAGCGTTTCAGTGCGCGGAAGTGATGCCATTCACGCATGATTTGAAGAAATGAATCATAGCGATCCTAGAATACGTTTAGGACTGTTATCTGTCATCTTGATAAATAACACTCATACCGGTGGTGGATGGAGTCCTGTGTTATCCGATAAGCGAGCTAGAGTATGGTAGAACTCATAAGTGGAAATCTTTGACATAAATGATAGAACTTGAAACAGATTAAGAACTCGAAAGGTTGCCGCCGTTTGAGGATAGACAGTCGTGGCAGGCCAGAGATGGCTTCGAAGAAGCTGTTGATAGTGGTCCAAGTCAACGTTTTGCGTGCATTCACAAAAACCCATTTGAAGCGTGTGGATCCCATCGACGTTGATCACGACAAAAGAATGAACAACCGCAGGAATCAGGCATGTCTGCCCTAGTTTGTGTCCTAGCTGGACAACGAGACTAAGGTCACCCAATGAAATCTTCTTGAAATAGGACCCATTCCAGACCTGAAAAACTTCATGAGAAAAGTGAACAAAAGAGGTGTAAGGGCCTACCTCCACTCTATGAAAGGGCATACCCCGATGACGCTCAATGATACACGCACGACACAGCATCTGACCATCGAAACAAGATAGACAGCGATGTTTACCCTGCTCTAACCCACACATATCACAGTCAGTACAGTTTGTATGTTCCGGCGACTCTGATTGCAAAACCTCCTCGAGAAATTCCTTGCGCTGGGATTTCCAGACCAACAATGGGTGGTCCTATGAGATAAGTTGCACTATAAGAAGCAGGTCAGCAACAAGAATTTACTCACGCCCATTGGTCTGGGAAGACGTGCCCCCTCGCTGTCATTTGATGCCAATGCGAACTCAGTAGGAACTTCGTGGTCTGGATCAAGGAACGATAATGCGGACATGCCCACTGCAAGCGAGCCATCCCATGCAGAAGAAGCCAAACTTTCTTGGGAAGTGGGAACAATATTGTCAGAGGCCAATTCTAAAGGAAGATGGGTCGTTGTAATGTGAGTGCTTCTGCCGGTATGTCGCTTTGTGGCGGATGACGCAGATAGTGAGTGGTCAGTATGCCAGTGATATTCTTGTGTTGGTGGGAGATCAATGCTTATCTGCACCGTATTGTCATCGTCTGCGGTATCGAGGATATCCATTTGAGCCCGTCGACCCTTTTTGCGAGGATTGTAATTCATATTGGTAGATTTGGTAGATGAAAGGAAAGAGTCGGTAGGTTCTGAGAAAGATGGGAGAAGTAACTCGTGATTTTATTGAAAGAACGTATCTCTCTTATACAAGAGTAGGAAACTACTGACATCCTGTAACCCAATGGTAAGAATCCGAATCCGAGAGACAAACAGAACTTCGGGCATCTGCCGTCTTACCACCAACACATGGTCATCTGAAATCAATCTTCCTAGTCCATGTGTCGTACCTTCAAGTCACGCAGATGCATTGAGAGTATGTGAGGCAGCAACACAGTAGAGAGCGTAAGAGGGCAAGTCTGAATAAGCATGATTACACGTGTTGGTATCACGATGTTACTATATAGAGATAAAGATAGGAGCCTATGCGAGTTCTGATTCGACATTATCAACGAGCTTCCGTGGTTTGGGCATCCTCTCACTCCTTCGAACGCCCGATACCCCTTCTTCCTGCCCATTGCTACGTGTCTGTGCTGCAGCCTTTGCAGCCTTTGCGACCTTCGCCCTGATCTTTACTCTTTGGGCCATCTCCCGTTTACGACCTGCGGCATAGAAGGGTTCCCACATTTCAAGGGTACGAATGATTGCAGCAAGATCCTGTGAAGGAAGTGAATGACTTCAGTGGCACTCAAACACAACTGGCTCATGGGCTTACCTTCTGGCGGCAGGCGTACCAGTGTTTACAGGCATCCTTATCGGTAGGGTCAGGCAGTTGCAGCTGAGCACGGAAACGATCCTTCCAGAGTAGCCAGAGCTGGGATTGAAAGACAGAGTATGGTTTTGGATGTTTACAGGCATCTGCTTTCAGGCGGCGATAGTAGGCGATATACGGCTCCAAGAATTCCTGCTGTTCTTTGGTGGTGCCGACCCATGAAGATCTAGACCTGGTCGACATGTCAACAGCCTCTGCAGAGCAAAACCAGGAGGAGTACGTACATTTTGCTTGCCGCTTCAAAAGTGGATAGTCTGATCTAATTTTTGCTGGTTGTCCCCTTTTAAAAGCCTGAACCACCGGGGATCAGTGCAAGTAAGATTTAAATTTGCTCCAGTAGAGATGTATCCTTGACATTACAGTAAATATATATTTTTGACATTACAGTAAATTCAATTTTCAGCAGATTCAATTTCTGACATTTCCAGTGGATTCAATTTTTGACATTTCCAGCAGTCAATTTTTGACGTTTCCAGTCAATTCAACTTCGTTATTCGGTTGGAGGACACCGCCACTTTTGGTCTCGACTAGGTTCTCTTTCACCATTTCAGATGGTCACAGTGGATTATACGGAGGAGCGCCGAGCAGCGCACAATGCTAGTAGTCGTCGCAGCTACGCCAAGTACGCCTACTCTTTCTATTTGTTGGGTTGCTGACCTCTTTTGCAGGCACCATAACTTGATCAATGAGAAACGACGGGACAACTATCGAAAGAAGAAAAACCAAAGACACGGGTGCAGGTGCGTGAATTCCCTCCATGGAGGCGTCGTTTCTTACCAAATTAACAGGCTTGAGCCACTGGTTCGACAGGCGGCACGCCTTGTCGAAATCGAAGTGAACAGTGGTCATTCACATGCTGAGTGCGTGTTTCTTCCTCAGCGTTATCATATAGTCATTCTGAGCTTCACAGGCGTTGTTCATCACTAGCTGAAACGATGGATCAGATTGAACGCCTCTATGCTAGGTTTGGAATGCTTACGCAGGACTCACCGAAAGGTTTCGCCAACTCCGTGTATCGGCAATACCAGCAAACTGTTACTGTCAATTGCCCTAAAGGCTACCGCAGTCTCCTCGACAATGCCGTTCTGGAGATATCTGCCATCGAGCGGTCAATGTTGCAGCACGAATACATTATTCTAAATACGACGGGTGTCAGGAAGGAGATGAGACGGCTTCGCATGGTACTAGATCCGGTTCACACGTTGGTGGGCTGGTTGGAGGAGATGCTCTTGGAGGCGATGATCAGTCCTGCTGGTTTAAAGGAGAAATATAAGAACGGGGAGCTTGCATTTCTGATAGATTAAGAATTCAACATGTATTCACTACACAGCTATATACATCTTCGCCTCTCTTTGCCACACTAGCCTGTAGTTGTTGTATGTGACACGTAAATTATAAGGACCATCGATTGCAACGCGCCATATGTCCTCCATGTTGGGATAGCAATCCTGAGTTAGTGCTAGAATGCACTCGAAGCTTCGGCATGACTAAGCGGCATGAACATTTAACCGCAATAGTAGACACATATAGTAATCCGTAGTAAATTCTAGAAGTAGTACAACTTGTATTTAAGTACGATGCCTCTCCCTCAAGAGGCTAATTAATTCTCTCTCACACACATTCTCCTCTGTACTTCCAACAGGTTATGGGCCCCGGCCCTAACTGAACTACTTACCTCATTACCTACTTCACACTTTTGTACATTACGTACACATACAGAACCACATGGAAAGCCAGTCCGTTTACAGAATTGACCCTCTTAAGGGCCCAGAAAATTACCCGACATGGAAAATCAAAATGATCGATATCCTAACCGATTTAGGTCTAATTGATTATGCAGATGGAAGCATCAAGGCCCCAGCAGAAGCGGCACTGGTGGCAGATTGGAAGAAGAGCGATAGGAAGGCTCTTTCGACAATAAGGTTGCGGGTTTCGGATGGCCCGCTGGTGTATATTGCTGGTTCGAAGACTTCAGAAGAAGCATGGAATGCTCTAAAAGACATGTATGAGTCCAGGGGACCCATGGGAATTGTCCTTGTTAGAAGGAGATTCTTTAGAGCTCAGTGTGAAGAAGGGGGAAACATAGAGGAACATATCAGGACTATGAGGTCCTATCAGGAGGAGCTGGCATCCCTCAAGCAGAAAGTTGAGGAGGAGGACTTCTCTATTACACTGCTTACATCACTCCCGGAATCATGGAATTCATTCATTTCATCAGTGGACACTGCAGATTTGAAAGATTCCTACAAATTGATTTCCCGAATTCTCCAGGAAGACATCCGATTATGAGAAAAGACTTCTGATCCGACCACAACACTTGCAGCACATGGCAAGAAGAAGTCCAACTCAAAAATCACATGTTATGGATGTGGAGAAGCCAGTCACATCAGGGCAAATTGCCCAAATGAAAAGAAGAATTCTGGAAAGTCATGGAAGGGGAAAGGGAAGGGCCAGACCCAGGCACATGTTGCCAAATCGGATTCAGATGAAGAAGATTACGCGTTTTGCACTACAGACACTGCACTTGTTATGCTTGCAGGGTCATCATGGCTGGGGGACTCAGGAACAACTAAACATATAGTCAAGAACAGATTGCATTTTTCTGACTATGTTGAGACCCCAGGACATGAAGTTATTGGTGTAGGAAAGTCAAAAGGCTTGGGAAGAGGAACAGTAAAGATTAAAATGGTTGAAGGGGACAAGACTACTTCAGTTACACTGAAGGATTGTATTCACTGTCCCGAGGCACCATTCAATCTTATTTTGCTAGGGCGCATCATGGATGCCGGGTTTGAACTCAAATTCAAAGGATCCCGGATGGATATTATCTCACCGCATGACAAGACAATTGGTCATGGAGATAAGATTTCGAAGCTGTATAGCCTTGACATCATTGCGCCAGAAATAACTCAAGCCCACGCAATTAAACCAGCCCGATCATGGCAGAAGTGGCACCGAGTGATGGGCCACTTAAATATAGGATCGGTAAAGAGATTATTCAGAAAGAAGATGGTCAAGGGTATGGATGTGGATGAGTCAGCTGAGCCCCAGAAGGATTGCAAAGCCTGCATAAAGGCCAAGCACCATGTTGAGCCATTTCCACAAGAAGCTCAAAGAGAATACACAAGAATAGGTGAAATGACATTTTCGGACCTATGGGGGCCAGCCCGAACTCACGGTATCCATGGAGAAAGATATTACATAAGCTTCACAGATGGCAAATCCCGGAGGACAATATTGTATTTTCTCAAGTCAAAAGAAGGTACGGAGATCCAAAAGAAAATCCAGCAGTACCAGAAATACATCAAAGTCCACAAAGGGGAGGACCTGAAGTTTATGAGGATTGATAATGGGAAGGAATACATTAATGAGGTGGTGAAGGAATACCTCCATGGCAATGGCATTCAGTTGGAACTGACTGCCACATATTCCCCACCCCAAAACGGAATTGCGGAGAGAGTCAATCGGACCCTCGTGGAGCATGTGCGTGCCATGCTAGAAGAACATCACTTGCCAAAATTCCTATGGCCCGAGGCCGTGGCATATGCCATGTACCTGAAGAACCGATCACTGACTAAGGCCATCAAGAATGATCTAACCCCCGAAGAAGTGTTTTGGGGCATGAAACCGGACATTTCAACACTCCAGGAGTTTGGAGCAAAGTGCTGGGTGTTGCAGCAAGATAGCAAAAGGTCAAAACTCGACCCGAAATCAAGGGAATTCATTTTTACAGGTCTTACAGATGAATCTAGGGCCTGGAGATATTATAATTCTCAGACCAGACAGATTCAGACCTCAAGAAATGTTATATTCCTTGATGACAACACTAAAGAGCCTACAGACAATGACTATATTGTATCCCACCCTTCATCGCTCGAGGGGGAGTTAGGGAACAATGTCGAGCAGACTCCAGGTGACATTTCCGATGATTCCGCGGCTGCCGAAATTGCCGAATCAAAAGGGGAAATGCCCCTTGATGCCCCGGCAACCAAATCAAAGCTTCCCATTTGGTGTGGGAAGGTGATCGAGCCACGTACCAAATCGGTCCAGATCGCATCAATCAATCAACCAAGTTACCGGTTGCTCCATAATCCAGCTGCAAGAGGCATGAAACCGCCAGAATTGCAGCGCGAAATGACACAGGAACCTTTGGAAACTGCAAATATAGCAGCAGACTATGCATGTCTGGGGGAGACTGCAGATAACCTCAGTGATGAGCCATTAAGCCTTGAAGAAGCTAAAACAAGGCCAGATTGGCATCATTGGAAGAAAGCAATGGATGAAGAATATAATCTATTGACTTCTCTGGGTACATGGCAGTTAGAGGAATTACCCCAAGACAGGTCACTTGTAAATTGCAAGTGGACTTATAGATTAAAAAGGGATGGTGATGGGAAAATCACCAGATACAAGGCCAGACTCGTTGCGAAAGGATTTTCGCAGGTTCCCGGCATTGATTTCTTCGAGACATATGCACCCATTGTCAGGTTGGACACATTCCACCTACTTATGGCCATTGCCGCACAAAGAAACTTGATTATACATGGAATGGATATCGTCGGAGCTTACCTAAATGGAAAGCTCAATGAATCTATTTACATGGCTCAACCGCCAGAATATTCTGATGGAAGCGGCAAAGCGGCACACCTCAAATTGACATTGTATGGACTCAAGCAATCTGGCCGAGTTTGGAACGAAAAATTAAACGCTACATTTTTGGGACTTGGATACACGAGATTGATCAGTGATCAATGTGTATACATCAGACAAGCGAAATCAGGCCCCATAATTATAGCTGTGCATGTAGATGACATGACACTGCTTGCCCAGGATGATGAAACCATGTCTAACATGAAAGAAGAACTTAAGAAGAAGTTAAATGTTACAAACATGGGGGAGATTCAACATATATTGGGCATGAAGATAGACAGAAATTGGGAGAAGGGCACTATTACCTTATCCCAGAAGGCATATATTCTCAAGGTACTCGAGAGAATGGGCATGAAAGACTGTAAACCGGTCAAAATGCCTATGGACCCGAATGTACGGCTAGAGAAAATCCCCGAAGGAGATTCCTGAGGTGTTGACACAGCCATCAGACAGTATTACCACACTGGTGTCGGATCTCTGATGTATGCGGCAAATGGATCCCAGCCCGATATTGCACATGCTGTCACGGAATTAAGCAAATATGTGCAGAATCCGGCTGCTGAGCATGTCACAGCCCTCAAATGAGTTTTCTGTTACTTGAAGGGAACTCTAGACTTAGGAATTACATATGGAGAGACTACAGATGAACTGATACCCTATTCAGATTCAGACTGGGGAGAAGACAGAACAGATAGAAGATCAACATCTGGTTATGTCTGTACCTATGCAGGGGGAGCTGTTACTTGGAGTTCAAAGAAACAGCCCACCGTAGCCCTATCCACTATGGAAGCAGAGTATATGGCCCTCGCGCACACAACTAGAGAAGTAATATGGTTGCAAGCGCTTCTAACCAAATTAGGGTTGCCACCTGATGGTGCAACTACTATTATGGTCGACAATCAATCAGCGATCAAATTCGCTGAAAACCCAATATTCCACGCATGATCAAAACACATTGATATCCGTCATCATTTTGTTCATGAGCGCATGGCTTCAAATGAAGTCAAAGTTCAGCACTGCGCCTCAGAGGAGAACTTAGCAGATATATTCACTAAAGGACTACCAAGACCATTACATGAATATTTATCTGCAGGTATTCTAGGGACTCGGAATTGAGGGGGAGTGTTGGGATAGCAATCCTGAGTTAGTGCTAGAATGCACTCGAAGCTTCAGCATGACTAAGCAGCATGAACATTTAACTGCAATAGTAGACATATATAGTAATCCGTAGTAAATTCTAGAAGTAGTACAACTTGTATTTAAGTACGATGCCTCTCCCTCGAGAGGCTAATTAATTCTCTCTCACACACATTCTCCTCTGTACTTCCAACACTCCAACCACGAAATAAGCTGTCCAATCTTCTCTCCTGCAGATTCCAATTTTTTTTGGCGCTCACTGGGGCCGTCCGTTTGTAGTGCCTTCGCCGAAATAGACTCGTATGCCTTCTGCATCTCATAAAGGTCGTCCAAAGGCTCCACAAAGAGGCCTATCTCGCCTTGCCGCCGAGAGTTGTCCTTGAAATAGCGACAGAGGAGAGACTTGACGTAGTCAGAAGGTGCCTTGCCTACAAGGAAATCTTCAAACTCCTGTAGGACCGTCAAGGCTTCTGCATCGAATTTTGGGAAGGGGTCTGGGGGAGGGGCAGGCATAGGTATGGTGACAGGACTAGAAATAACGAGTTCAGGTTAAAGTAATCAGAAAGAAATGAGTGTCTTACATTGGTGTAACCTCGTATTGGCTGGTATTCCGTATTTTCTTCAGTCGAGTTGTGAATTTACTTGTCGAAGATGGGACTGGTTGGTGGGCGGCTGACCGGTTTGCATTTCGAATTTGAGAGGGTGATGTAGTTTGTGGGGCAGTCCGAAAAGCTTCCTGCTTATCTCTAGTGTATTCTATATCAGAACGTCAAAGTAGGATTAAGAGTGTACCTATCACGGCGACTGGATTGGGGTTGATAGCTAAGTTTTCGCCGAGCAGATATCTCCCGTCTATGACTAGCAAAAATAAGCACTACTTTTGAATACTACATACATAGAGAATTACACTTACTTCGCATAATAACATTGACTTTTATCTTGAATAGCGCGTAGCTTTTCTTCTGTAGTGTGATATTTTTTGGGACGGCCCATGCGAGAAGAAGTTACGGAAGAAGAATCGAAGCGGGACTATTAACTCTCTTTCATCCATTTTGGGTTTTTCGTCTGATTGTCTCACCAAAACTCTTTATGCCGTCTTTCTACTGCCTTTGGCGACAGTTAAACTTATTTTGAGTTAAATTATACATCTCTAATGCATTAATACTTGCAAGGGCTCGGTACATCCCTCATTTAACCCAGTCCGATAGATTAATTGCATAGGAAAGGCTGTCTCAGCTTTTCTCTGTCGGGACTACTTGGCGAAGTTTCGGTGCACAGTGGTAAATATAGTTGCATGAAGACTCGGATTTAAAGGTGTTTCTCTTCAGTTGGAAGCTAATGCAAGTGTCGGTGTATCAACACTATTCAAGTTCTTTGAGCGGCTAGTACTATTAAAGGTCCTATTCCTTGCGATCTACAGAGGATTTCAAGCTCGGTTTTCTTATCGATATTTACCTGGAAATCGGGACATCTCATCACGGTAGCATGGACGCCTATTTTTACGTGTGAACATATCATTCACTGGCAAAGAACTTGGAGGAAATGGCTCGCTTGTTGACATGGCGGTCATAGCTGGACTCATCGGAGCAGGAGATTAATTGGGTGAGTTGGCAGTAGTGGTCTCAGTCTGAGATGCATCGTCGTTGATTATGATTACCGACTTATTTGCTGCATACAGTGAGTTTCTCACTTTCTCGAAGGAATCCTCATGGCACCATTTCACGTGATCCTGTATAGGTTCAACTTCGCCGTGTCTCCCTGTATATGTTGTCTCTCACTCACGCGTCGAAGCGACTGTTCTGAGCATGGAATCTGTGAGTCTTTTCTCACCTTACTTTACTAATGCTGAGCACACGCATTCCGGCAGAAATGTTCTCTCACCGGCAACGACACGGGCTTCTGCTTGATACAAGAGTACAAGAAACAATTACTGGTGGGTCCTCTTCTGAATCCAATCTCGTAGTGCACTGCTGATGGTTGAATTCAGGCTGCTCTTCAACTCAAATATGACCAGCGCGCCTTCCAGGATAACATAAATGACTATGCTCACACTGTCTCTGATGGCCGTGGAAGGGCGTGGCAGAGCCTCTTTTTGTCACGGTTTATTGCACTTTACCCAGACACTGTCCAGTCGCTGCAAGTGGTTAGTATCTTCTAGCTTCTTCGATACTCCTCTGCTGACACAACTGCCAGCACTTAGAGGAGGAGATGGATTACGACAGGAGTGGCCTGGCCAAAGACGGGCATGCCCTTGAGCAACATATGCTTCTCCCAAGCACCCAACAAGCATCGGAAGGCCTTCAAGATGAGCAGAGCGTGGACGCTGAGAGAGTGACCATGGAAGGTTCTGTCTCTGATGAGTCTGACGGAACGGTTGATAGTGGTACGACTGCACGGATTAGGCGTTGGAGGGTGTTGGCATATGAGACTACGGATAGTGTGGTGGATAAGGACTTTGAGAGCCGACTCTCTCTCATGGTAGAACTCAAGGAGCAACGAGATGAAGCTCATCATGCCGCTATTGCCCTCTGGGTGGCTACTGTTTTTGAAGCAGAGAACCGTTCTGTTTGATATGTCTATGTCTACATGTATCTCTGAATAAGAATGATCCCCGTGTTCTAACAATAGCTTGCTGTATGTTCCAGGAGCAATGACGACCAATAAACTTTCTTTCTTCCTAATGAGAGACTCTTACTTTAGATGCATGAAATAACTACGTATACTCAAATCAGGCGTGTCTGGGCTCACGTTGGTGTCTCGATGAACTTCTTATTTCTCAATGGGGTACATATTTTCTCAATAAAGATATATAACAAGTTGACAACGCGCCGTGTGCATATACTCTCAATGGGTTACATGTTTCCTAACAAATAGATGGTTCTTGGCAACGCGTTGCACTGCATACACACTCTCTGAGTACATATTTTTACAGCCTGTCAGCAAAAAGATACGTCTTAACTATGCGCTGCGCCGCTTGCATACTTTCTCGCCGGGGCCCATATTTTCCCAACAGATAGATACTTCTTGACAGCGCGTTGCACCGCATATACTCTCTCCATGGAGTAAAATAAATAAATCTTCTTGGGGCTTTTTACCTAAGGAGACTGAAGGCTTCAGAATGCTATTGCTCTAGGTCATGTTCGAGAGTCGTCCAGTATCTGTCAGGAGATGTCAGGTGATCAGCACGAGGCAAAGAATCCCTTATACGAAGCGGAACCCGATACCGGTGCTTCGAAGAACCCGAGACGCAATGAAAACAGATGAAACAGACGAAGGTTGCATCATTGGTGCACATTGTCCCCTCCTTCAGGTTTCCATTCGAGTAGGCTGTTCCGACATCTGAAAAGAGGGAGTAAAGCCAAGAGAACGTGGCAGACACTTGCGAGAACGGCGGCATATGGCAAACCCGACCTAGGGATGACATCGGAAAGAAGAGGTATAGCAGACAAGAGGATAACATTTGATTGGCGGTAGGTATGGAAGGACAAACTGGGGAGGTACATAACACTAGGTCCAAGAAGCGTAGATACTGAACATTATATACCAAAAATCAAGTAAAGACTGTCTTGAAAAGGAGTGTGAAATATGAAGGATATCAGTGCTAGGAGGCAGAGGGAAACAAGAAATACCACACCTTACAGGATTTCCACAACTCCAGTGCAGACTGCTTCATCGAATGCGGCCTGAGCAGCTGCCTGAGTAGGGTAACGAAAGAAACAAGCCCTCCCCACGCCAGTCACCAGGGGGGTTACGTTTTGCCTAGCATATTTGTGAGAATGCAGCTGAATAGGATAGGCAAGGGGCCAAACATACCAGCCACTGTAGACTCCGATGGCACGGCCTTTAGTGATGGTATACCAAGGACCATCTGGTCCGACATTTGCCTGAACAGAAGGGCTAGTAATGGAAGGAGGTGCTGAACCCTGATGAACCGCATGGGTACTGGGTGGCGCATTGGCGGCGACCTGGGAAGCACTGGCACTGGTGGCAGGGGTTCCAGCGGAAGCGGGAGCTACACCCGCAGATGGGGCTGAAGGTTGAACACTGCTTCGCGGTGCAGGAGACGCCGAGGGCAGGGCCTTGTGATGGTTGGCAATGGCGATAAGTGTTGGAATAGCGTTTAGAGAGATGACATTCGGATAAGCACAATTAAGACAATAGAAACTGTGTAGTGGGCCTTCGACAACTTCAGACGAGTTGTTGTTGTGAGCATCGCGGACGGCGGGACCCGAAGCTGGTGAAGACGGATCAGCACAAAATGACTAGAATAACAACAAACACGCACCGCTTGGGCGGATTCCCAAAGTAGCGAGAGCTGCCACAAGTTGTTCAGTGGTGATCGGTGTCATGATTGAAGCTTGAAGGCTGATTTGCAGTAGACAGGAAAGTTTGGTGATGGGCACCAGTTGTATTTTTATGAGATTATATACAGTTTCGGGGTACAATTGAATTGAATTTAATTGCACTTCGCTGTGTACAATTGAATTCAATTCAAAGCGAAGTACCATTGAATTCAATTTAATTGTACACAGTGAAGTACAATTTGAAAACCCACTTTATCTGCGACGGACTCGCGTGCTTCGGTCTGACAGAGCAAAGCACGTCTTCCAAAAATCCTGTGAATATAAAATGGCAAGTGTCCGAGTCGATTCCCCATTCTTGCTTTCAGACATTCCTCATGGTTCGCCCCCTTCTTGCTAGTCGCAGATTTTATTTTGATCACGTATTCGCAGGGCGACAGTCAGACGAATATTAGACAAAAACCAAGAACAGAATATACCACGCGCAAGTAAGTAGAGTCTTTCATCATAATTCTTGAGGCTTTAGCTCAATTGATTCTGTACAGCCATGGGACGAGTTCGGGCTATTCCTACTACCCGTGTCCCTCGGAAGCAGCTGAAGAGTAATTTGGATCGGAGCATATCACACGAAAATTCCCGGTGCTCACTTGTAAAATGCCTACAGCAGCAGCAGACTGCTGAAGTCTACGATCCTTCTGACCCTCTGTTAACGGATTCGGCAACCTCGACGACCTCGACGGATGTCAACACTTCCATCCAATTTCACAAGAACAGGAAGACGAGCCATATGCAGACTGGGCTTCTGAAAGAACTCTTGCCTGAATACCACTATCACTCCGCTAATGGCCTCTTGCGCGTTTTTAGGGCCCGCACCAATGGAAGATGGCACAGGCAGTTTCCAGAGAGTTTTGGGTCATACCTCCTGGATTGTGACGACAAAATTTGCCTTATTCCATCTTACCTCATAGGTGTGCATGACTCTCCTCCTGGTGCGAGCTACCCAAGGATGTCGGAAGGGTGTCTGGACTTTGGTCCCACCATGAAGCCGTGTTATGACAACTGTCCACTAGTCAACAAGACCCAATTACCTGACTACGACAGAGTCCTTGCTGTCCTGCTCTGTTTCGTTGTGATGCGCCGCAATGTGAGCTCAGTCATCCTCTTGTTTGTCTCCGTACTCATAATATTTTGCTAGCAACTGAAGAATTGGTTTAATAACAATCGCATCACTCATGCTATCCCCAAGGTAGGAAAAATCGGACGACTACAAGTTAACGTCGTCCTGCCACGCATCCCGCAAGCCGTTCACTTGTATTCGGGCAAATATTACCCGACTAGAGTCTATCCACACGTCGCCGCGGAGGCAGCTCGACGCGGTATCCCTACCAACAATATTTCGCTCGTTCGAGACATGACCAAGTATATCTGGGACAACGAGACACCAGAGATCAAGAAAGATATTAACGATTGCGTCGAGAAGGAAAGAGAGCTTATCACAGCATTCAGGGAAGGCAAGCTGGGGGCTTCAGATCTCAGCAGCGACAAAAAGGCATCGTACGTGTCTCATATGCTAATTCTGCTGCTATTTTAACCCTCATTTTCACAGTGTCATCGATTCTCTTGATCACGAATTCGAAGGCATGACCAAAAATTTAGTCAATTACCTCCAGTGGGGCGTCGTGGTTATTGCCGGCGGCGTTGATCCTCGCATGGGAAGAATCAGAACAATGGCATAGGTGGAGTCATTTCTTTCTTGGTGTTATCAAACTGACTATCTTAAAGATTCAACTATGGCTGTACCACAAGTGACGGCAAGAACTTCATCAATTCGTTCAACGACACTGCAGAGATTGGGCACATCCCTGGTACCCCTGAGGGAGAGAGCAGGGCTTTCAGTCAGTACTATGGTCTCCCCTTCATGTATCACATGAAAAAAGTCCAGGGTATGTGTTCTGCTATCGTCTTTACCTACTAGCCTTCTAACCAAGGGATACAGTAGGTCGCAATGGACCTGCACCTGCCGTTGAACCAGAGGCGCACATCGAGAGTCCTGCGGACGTTGATCCGGCAACATTGGTACATGACGATGCTGCTGGAAATGGTGTTGCAGTCTCAAGAGCTTCCAATGAACAGGATTCATTCCAGCTTCCTGAAGAAGCAACCACTCCTGTTGCCCAGTCACAAATGGCACCACCAGCTCAAATGTCATCGGAACCCCTGCCCTGGTCCCGCATCCCATCACCAGTAGTTCATTCTTCGCCAGTCACGACATCTTCAGCATCTATTTCTTCGTCACCGATCACTACTGAAGCAGCTCCCCCCCGAGAGACAGCGCTCATCTCTCCCCAATCCGGAGGTCAGGGCGTCGAGATGGATACCAACCCTGATTTGCACAATGTCTTGTGGGGATATTCTCATTCTGACGATTCGATGAAACCCTTGGATTCGATTATGTTGTCTTCACCGGCTTTATCAGGCATCAACGACGATCATTTCGGTGCCAATGTAGCCAACTCTTCTTTTGACATGGATGTGGACTTGCTCCGGTCGCAATGGCCTGACTTTTCGGGTACCGTCAAATCCAATTCATCTTGGAATGCCGAAGTATCTGGTTCCGACGGTGACTTGTCTCAATTCATGGAGTCCTTAGGATTGTCTGACATATTCGCCTCTCCTGATCGATCTGCACAAACCGTTACCGAATCTCATTACGCTGCCACCGTGTCGTCTGCTACCTCGTCTGACTCCCAGGCCCCGTCGGACCAACTTGCTGCTGACGTAATTATGCATGAGAGCGAGCCGGCCACCAACTACCACATGACAGCGACACCAACATCAGACCTTCGCTCGACCCTTTCCGCTCCTTCAGTGCTTCCTGACATCGCGAACTTGCCCAGGCAAGCGAGGCAGCGTAAAGCGCCCCCTCCCAGGGAAGTGATCACCCTTTGTGGTGCCGAGAAGGATTCGGGTCCACCACAGTGGCACCAAGAGAGCTTGATGGCTATGCAAGATCAATCTTTGGGCCCCATGTGGCTTAGTCTCGTCGAAAAGTGGTATAAACTGGAATCTGACATGTGGAAAGTCAAGGCAAAAACAGAGGTATATATTCCGCACTCGACATGTATGATCTTAACTGATTGTCTTGTAGGGTAAGTACTCCCTTGGGAAGCGACGACCTCAAGAACTCACCCAGTGGCTCGACGGGACCCGTTACTTCAATGTCGAACTCTTCATCGTGGATGCATCTCGTTATGGTAGACAGCTGGTCAACTGGTGGAACCACCTCAACCCTGCCTGGAGACGTTCGAATGACAATTCCGGGCTTCCGAAGCCGGATTACTCGAAGCCTTTGAAGTGTCTTTGGAAAGGAGGGCGTCAAGGCATTGTTACTGTCATTTTTGGTTTATTTTGGTGGGGTCACGCATGTAGAGGAACGGAGCAGCTGTGGTTTCGAATGGTTTCAGATGTATCGAAGACAATCGATGTTCTCATGTAACAGCTCAGAGAAGACCGAGGCAGTGCATCTTCCAGTGTGGGACAGGAGATGGCGTATATGTAAGTTATTGCTTTTGTCTATATCTTCTTGGTTGTTTTCTTGGTTGTTTTCGACGTTCGACGTCTTGCACAGTACGTGATTACTGTCTGTTCCCCTCTGTTGTCTTGCTTACCATACTGGAACTCATAATGTACAACACAAATTTCACTTCTTGGCTTCTAACATTTCTTATACTTGCTGTAGATATTCTCATCATAGCTTTTAGGGTTGATAATCTCTTTATTTTGGACAAATAAATATACTTGTGCTGTTGTAAAAAAGAGTCCCTTAGGCAGGAAACGGGCTTTCCAAACATGTATAAACAGTATACTTGTCCTGCCCTCTCCACTTTCTATGACTGTTCTCGCAGCCTTGGTGGCAAGCCAAAGATGACTACGCAGAAAGCAGAACGCAAGAACCATGCTTTAGTGTGCGAGCCGAGTCCGCTACCATTAGCGGTGCTTTCTCTGTTGCGAGGCTTTGAACCATGATGATAGTACGTGTGCGTTTTCTCTTCACCCTACCTTCTCATTGATGTAAAGTTTCCATTTCAGTTTTCAGGTTCTCGAAAGGATAGGATTAGTTTACTTCACCTTCTCAGGTGCAATCTTTCTCGTCGCCAGCTTAAACTTCGTCATCCCTATATTTCTGTGCTTTCTTGTTCACTGCTGCAGTGGGGTTTTCAATCATGATTCTGGGTGTTTGGTGTCCCAGAACTACTGGATCTTGTGTAAGAAGACTCTGCTTGCGCCGTTTACCGTATAGTCTAATGCTGCGAAATTTAGGAAGCATTTCTTTGGGGTCCGCGCTGAAAGGTACTGGGAGCTTTAATAAAGACTATGTTTATTCTGTGGGATCTACTGTCATCCAGCGCAAAGGTATGTTTTCAGTATTATTTTCTCTGGCTTGGTGTCTGATATTCAGTCTGTTAAAGCCCACAACACGGTCCCCTAGCGTTGTCGTTCTGTCGGGATGGCATACCTTAATTTGGCATATGCGTGCCGACTTGCCGGTATTGACAGCAGCATCGACAGCTACCACCAAAATGAGAATTGCTGCCTCATTTTTTTGCAGGGCTGACTTGCCAAGAAAGAAACTGTCCCAGTTTCCGGTCCTCCTCCCTCCCTGGGCATCGGCTAGTCCTCAAATAATCCACGGGAACGGGATAGAGCAGGGTGACCCAAAATCAAAGGTATATTTTTTGTTCTTTTTTAACAGAACACATCTGAAACAGTAAATCAACAGTAAATCAACGGTATATTTCCTTCAACGCTTTTCAAAATTGTGGTCCTCTGCTTTGATTCATCAAAATTGGGGCACCGAGCCAGGAGGGAAATATGTGCCACGGCGGCGGATGTTGACGGGAACATTAGTCAGAACGAATGACTGAGCCGTGATGCCCTGAGCAGCAGGATGCGTCGACGGTACAGAGTTGGTGGCTGTAAACACCGGTGCGGGATTCGGAATGAGTAACTGAGATGCGACATTTTGAGTGGCGGAATACGGGGGTGGTGCAGTGTCAGACTCATTGCTGGTGGATGGCTGCACGGGAATGGATGAATATGGGGGCGGCGCAGTATCGATCTCAATAGTGGTCAATGGCTGCACAGAACTTTGAATGGATGACAGTTCTGCAGCAGGATACGGGGATGCGGTGACGGTGTTAATGCTGGTGGATGATGGTACGAGACTTGGTAGGGACGCAACGACTTGGGTAGCGGGTGCGGGTAGTGTAGACGACGATGGTTCTGGATCAGTGGTGATGGGAGTAGCAGTGTGGGCGATCGGCGCGGCAGGAATATAGTTGCCTTTCCCCACAATAACTTCAGCTTCGCCGACACAAGAACAACGGAGGACTCACCTGAACCCGAACCTGGACGACGCACTACAGCCTTCAAGAAAACCTTCACGTGCCTGCGCCAGTCAGTCTACCACCACAATGCGTACCACGGAAGTTCGCTTACTCTAATGCCAACTTGAACTTCGAGGACATTCTGAAAAAATGGTAAGTCCTGATGACATGTCAGATGAAAATGGTGAAACTCACCTTTTTTACAGACTCAGATAGGCCTGGTGACTGTGGAGGGGCTGGAGATGAGAGGCTAGGAACCAACGACGAGTGAATATCAGAGTCGTTGGCGGTAGTGTCGAAAACGGCACCGTCGAGAGCGAGAGTGATGGTAATGGCGACGGTCAAGAGCACATGCTTAGATAATCATGCAGTGACAGACTCACGATTTCTCTGTTACTCCCTGTACTACTAGTACTACTTTCAAGCTTTCGATGGACTCTTCACTCTCCTGAATTTTGAGAACGGACAACAAGGCTGGAAACCTCAAAGATCTAGGCACAAAGCACGCGTCCGAATGCGTCAGTCACGTACCTGAGAGCGGCTTCCGTGAGCAAGATCTGACAGTGGTCGTTCCTGCCTGCACAGATCGCCTAGATGGATCTCGAGGCAGCAGATCTCGATGGGATAGTAACATACTAGGCAAGCGTCGGGATGATGCCATGGCATACGGTGGGTTTGGTTTGGAGCACGTGAAATTGCGAATCATTGGATAAAATTCAAAATTTTCAGATTTAATTTGGTATTTGACACGCTGTCAGCTCCCTATTGTTACTGGAGAAAATGTATTTTCGGTTCCACTATAACTACTGGAGAAAATACACTTTTCTGACAGGATAGGTTGTTTTGCATTAAACCATGCAGCTTAGGTGGTAGGTATGGTGCATAGCATATAAGGGCCGCTATATGTGAAACATGGCGGGGGTGACGCAACGAGTCTTTACCATCGCACAGCCAAGTTCGGTTCTAACCTCTTAGCAATGCGAATATCATTTCACGAAGTCAAGCATATTTGAGAGACAGTATGTAAATTCAAAACATGTCAATTGCAAGTAGTAATAGCGAGAAAAATCCGGATGCCGACCGACGCATGTCGTTGTCGTCAGAGAGAGTCAGTAATGACAGTAACAGAGGACAACGTACATAATAAGTGAAAGGCAACGGATCGTAACTGGCAGGTCAGAACGGGTAAGGCCGAAACGCAGCGATACCTTAAGATACAATGTAAGTAATGAAGTTCGTTAAGCAAGTCACGGTACCGGGTTGAGTTTAAGGGTCATGACGCATGATGGGGCCGGAAGATAGTCGGTTAGTATTACCGTCCATTCTGCCTTTCATTAATCACAAATTCTTCTAGTGGGTTTCAACATATGGTATATTCATGGACGCGCTGCAGATTCTGGTCTTTCTACAGCAAGGGGAGAGCCTTACAGTTGGTACTGCATGGAAAATTAAGCGCCAGGGTCAAGGGATCTTCTATTGAAGCTTGAAGACCGATCAATCTTCAAAAATTCGCAGAATTCATCTCTGGGGTGGCGCTTTGATCAGGCTTACGCTCAGGTTTTTCCAATACATTTTGGCGGCGGCTGGGCATGGGACCGCCGATGGAGTTGATGCTCGGTAACGGCTTGGTCCTTGATGTTTTACGATCTTTTTACGTCGAACAAGGATCCACGATGACCTATAAAACGCGCACGAGTGTCCTCAGTTCTTTTCTACTCATCTCTTCTCTTCACACTCATTCAGAACCATGTTGATAGCGCAAAAACTACTTGTCGTTGTGTCTGCGGCTGCTGCTCTTGCCTCTGCTCAGACACCTTCATATCCTGGAGAGCTACTTATTGAACCCCTCCTTAACAATGGTGAGGACGAAAGATTTGTTGAGGCGGTCTCCATTAACGTTGTCATCGCAGGCATGTGTTTGAATGCGGCGAGCGACAGCGATGGCGCCATTGTCACTATCGAAGCCTGTACTGGAGCGACTTCTCAAAAGTGGACCTTCACTGGCGGCACTGTCCAAGTATTCGGCACTAAATGCTTGGATGTCACTAATGGAAGTACTGCTGATGGTGTCAAGCTGCAAGTCTGGACTTGCTCCACCAACTCGAATCCCAACCAGCAGTTCTATTACACCGTAAGTCTAACGGTCCTTTCTTTCGCACTTGTGTTGGCTCAGACTGTTTGTAGTACGACAACCATCTTGCTTGGACCAGTCACAGCACGTGTCTCGATCTCACCGATGGAAACCAATCAGCTGGGAACCAGGTCCGCGTCTTTTTCCCCGCCAGAACGATTTTGGCTAATACGATATACTATTAGATCCAACTTTGGTCTTGCGGAACCAGCCCCAACCAAGTTTGGAACACTGATGACCATGTCTCTTCTCTTCCTACTGTTTCGATCAATAACTCCGGAGGTGACACGTATGTTTAGTTTGCATGCGGTTGTCGAGCTTAGCTGAATAGTATTGTAGCGGCGGAGAGCTCGATCCTCATGGCGCTGATCAGAATGGAAATCCGAGTAAGTAATCAATCTGGCCTCCAATCTGCAGCATGTTCTGAGCGCAACTAGTTGGTGGCTAGTGCTGCATGAAAACCCTTGTCCGAGGTTAGTTACGGTAAGTTACCAAGAAAGGGGGTGGTAATTTACCAAGTATATTAGCCTGGCAAGCCGTCTTTATTATATACTCGTGGAACTCGTATCTGTATATAATATATTACGGTAAATTACCAAGTCACATGGTAAAATCGAATATTTTTTTCTCGCCGCTTCACGGCACCATGGTGAGTACAATTGTGCATCTTTTATGTTTGCTTCATCTATCTCAGCCAGAAGCCTCAGACTATCTTTTCCTGCACTCCAGACTACCCGTCATTTTTCCTTCTCTGTGTTGCCTGAAGTCGAGCTCTGAATTTGGTAAATAACCTATCCATGTGCCAAACCCCTACTCCCAGCCTGGTAACTTATTGGAAAATTACCGTGAAAAACTAATTTGGTGAAAAACCTCTAATTTTTCACGCAATACATTGTGGTCCCGTCGGTGGTACGAATGTAAGCTACAAGTCAACTAGCAAAATTACAAGCAAGAAGTTTGTGGTCCTCACTATCGTCTTGTAAACACAAGTGGCGTGTGAACAGGTCTTCATTTTCACAACATCAACATATACATCCTTAGCCAAGAACAAAGACACTCACGTCAAAGTAATACCGATTCTCGTTTTCAAAACTCTGTACTTTGTTTCTTCGAAAGTTTCCCCAGGCTTTTCTCTGATGGTTATTTTGTATTTCGAGATGAGCATTGTGAGTACAGCGATACCCTCAGTTTCAAAAAATCTACACATGCTCATTAGTGGTCTATCATTGAACGACTGGAGAACATGCTTCCGACCCATGCATGCACGCGCACCCTGACTGAATGACATAAACGCCTCCCTGGGCCAATTATCCAGAAATATCGACGGATTGAACGTCTCTGGGTCTTTCCAATAATGCGCTGAAATTGAAGGTAGGTCAAACAACGTGCGAAGGTTTGGTCTGGCCAGCGATGGACTCACGATTATTATGTAGCCTTACCACGTCGATTTTCACTATAGAACCCTGAGGTACGGGACCGTCGCTTCGTTGGTGGAAACCAAGACGGTATCTTCAGCGCTCATATTAGGAATTGACGTCCCAGGAGGGAATAAGCGAAAATCCACTATAACGGCGCTTAAATATCCAAAAATCAGGTACGAAGTCAAGCCGCATCGCATCGCAGGTGAGGTTGGTTCTGGTGTGTGCACTAATCAAAGGAGCCACTATCCCGAAGTGAGCTAGCGGCGGATTGGTCTGCGAAGGATTCCCGGATACGGACGAGAAATGAGAGGAATGGTGAGGATAAATTGGCATTAGAAGAGACGCGCTGGCCTTCCGCAGAAGAGAAGGCAAATACCACTTCGCAGCATACGTCTTGCTCCTGCAGATTCATGCGCTCTAGACAGGAACTCGCAATCAACCATCCATTTCGTGAGCATTTTAATTCTGAATGTACATGCAAGCGCTTTAATACGGCGGCAATCTCGAAGGAGCGGAAACACTGTCATGGCCTAGCGAGGTCACATTGACATCGAACCACATGCGTGGGAATCCTGAACCAGTACGGGGGTGTACGTGCAAGCCATAGCACAGACCGGCTGTACCTCTCGCTTTGATGGTGCATATTTCTAGATGGCAGAAACAAGTCCTTCTTTCAAAGTCGCTGATTCCCTCGCTCCAAACTCACGATGCGCTCATCCACTCTCTTCACCTGGTTCTCAAAATTGACCCATATTCCATTCGTGTACAGCCCCCGGAGGGTAGCCGAAGTATTCGGGAAAGTCGCGTGAAAGCTAGATGTCTGATGAGCCTTCCTGCGGTTGATCAAAGTTAGGGAAGGGCATGCACGGGGTCGTGGCGTATGGAAAACTGCTGGCGACAGGCAGGGCATGGGGTTGTGGTTGATCCCTCATTACGCAGAATGTTAGTTGCCTGTGCGATGCAATTCGAGCAGTAAACATGTCCTGCCACCGATAATCAGAGTCGGAGTCCTAATGCCAGGAGAAGAGAGCGAGCGTACCACAGGGCGTGCAAATGGGGTCGACAAAGTCGGAGAGACAGATGCTGCATACGCAGGAGGTGGACATGGCGATAGAGTAGTAGAGAGCTCGAGAGGCATCCAGCAGCGACATTTATAGCTGTGCATTGTCTGTGGATATTGTCATTGTTTTTGATGGCCAAAGCACCACGAATTTGACATATTTTCCGAGTGGCCTCTTGACCATAAATGTCAATGATTGCTGACGTATATGTTCAAGAGTAAATAGAGGAAGACAGGTATCTGGATAAGAATGGACATGATGGTAGGGAGGCAAGAACGACTGTGGCTTTAGGGTCGGTCGAGTGTTCGGCCACTTGGGACTTCGGACCCGAATTCCGACAAATTCACTTTTCGTGATTTTTATTTTCATGTTCTCTGTACATTCACTGCCTTCTTCCGTTTGATTGGTATCAAGTCTTCTTTGTGACGTAGGCCGCGATTCTCAACTCACTCATTCCGGTGCTAGCTTCGCAATACTTACCTTGACATTCGAATCAAGCGACACCAGTTCTACATTTCTAGTTTCTTCTCTGGCCGGACACGAATCTTTCTTCATTTACTTGATAACAAGATCGTTATAACGTGGACTGGTTCGGTATGAAAAGGTCCTAGTTCTCTGATCTGTAGCCTCTTGGTCAACTGATCCGGGACGTTAGGACCCTTTCCTCTCAAGTACTAAGTAGCCACCACTGCAGCACGAACACAGTCGAGCCAGTGTCGCCTTAGTCTCTGAAGCTTTGGAGCGATACCCTAAATTATACTCTCTCTTTTTTTCCCGTCGGAGTGGAATTCGCATTTCAGTTTCAATCGGTAGTCCTTATTTCTGTCTTGTATTGCCTCCGTGCGACTCTTTTTTTCTCCGTCAGCCATCATATGGACCCACAACATGACTCGCGCGACGCCGATGGACCTGAAAGGTGACCAACAATGGCTCGACAGATGATTCGCGTGAGACTAAAAAGAACGCCTAGCTTGTTGTTAAATCTCCTCTCGTGGTGAAACTTTGACCAACACGCTTCCGCTCAAACTCACGCGATCAAAGGGTAGGGTAGATACCTGCGTTATTTTACCCCCGCATCCTTCAATTCTATCAGCCCCACACAAAACATGATTTCCAACAACCAATTATCCAAACTACGTGTTACCTGTTAGCCATCGGCGATTGCAATGGAATATCCGTCACGGTCTTCGTAAAGGTATGTGCTCCACGCGTTATACCTACTGACCTCCAGCTACACCTATTTTTACAGGAACACATCCTCGCTCTTATCACATTCCGTGTCGTTTCTACTGCCACATCGGAGTATCCCGCATTGCCGTTATGGTAAAGGTCGAAGTCACTACCACACAATATTCGACGATTGAACCATCGTCGTCGGTATTCTCCGACTCTACTTTGATTGAAGTATCATCGGAATGCTACAGCGGCACACGAGTAGGCAAGTGTAACTGGCCAAGTCATCTCGTCGTTGTCATGGTTCATCACTAATTGTCACGTTCAGCTTGTTCTAAATCGTACGGACTTTGAAACGTTGTCTGCCGGCCAGGAAGCCAGGTTTGGAAGCCTTGTCAACCGGAAGGCGGTCTTCCCAGTCAGTGTACATGGACCGCTTGTCTTATCGATTTGCCTTGCCTCCTTTCTCGACGGCTTTACCCTTTTCGAGGAGTGGTCGAGGGGTGAGGGTTGGCGGTGTAGAGGTGCAAAAGCACCAATAAATCACCTCATGCGAGCCTGGACGAAAGTGTCTTATTTCATCTCAGGCTTGATGACCGGGCACACGTCTAGTACGCAGCATTATATAACGCAATTCTTCTTCTGGTATTCGCGGTCTCCCTGGCCTGTCCCACTGTGCCATGTATTATACATCTTTTCTGCATTTTTTTTAAGCACATTTGAGTATATAGCTATGAAAAAATATTGACACATCGCATACCGGAAAACAAAAGCGAATCTGCTCGAGTAGTAGATTTTTCAAGCCTATCTTATCTGCTTGAACACTGAGCGCTTCAGCGACTGAAGGTCCCAAGGCCAAAAAAGGATTACACCAGTCCTTCGACCGTTGGACAATAAACGGCAGTTGCGAACTGTCGCAGAGTAGCGACTTGTGCAGCAAAAGCTATCCAGAATAATATAAGCGGATCAGGCGGTCTGGCGGTCAATTCCACTCTGAACTCGATTCAAATGGCGACGCATGGTAAGTAGCTGCCTCCCTCGATACAAAATACTTATCTCCTTCGATGGTGCGACTCAGGGTCATCTGGTGGGATTTCTAAAAGCGACGGCATTAACCGGAGAAAAGAGCCTCCGCTTCAATAAATTCTCATCGGGATTCACGTATACATGTACATTTTATGGTCCCAACACCTTACCATGATGAACTAGAGCACTTCGCGCGCTTTATATCCAAACACGACAAGGACCTGGTTTCCTCACGAAGCTCTCGTCGCACTTGGAGCTTATCCAAAAGTCAGCAAGACACATGTCAAAAACAGTACCGCCACCACCTTTTCATCAGGATTCTCCAAAACGAAATGGAACCGCTTGAAAATTGACGCAATGATGATCTGCAGTTGGAGGGTTCGCTAGATTACGCCCAATACATGCCCTGTGATGGTATAAGCTCAAGCTTGAACGTCGATAAAAAACTAGAGATCACATACCGAGGGCCAACAGAGAACGGATTAAACGCTTTAGACATGCTGGCGCTGTCACGTTCAAACCATCTCTCAGGTCTGAACTCTTCGACATCATCCCCAAACACCGCTGGGTCCCGATGAATCGTATAAGTAGGGACACTGACAATCGTGCCAGCAGGGAAGTAATTTCCTAAAATCATCATCCCGCCCTCAGGTGCTACACGAGGAAGCCCCATAGCCACCGCGGGATACAGACGCAGCCCCTCGTTGATGACTGCTTGCAAGTAGGGGAGGTTCTTCGCCTGCTCGGCTATAGCGACGTCAGAGCCCAAGTGCTCGTCCAACTCTTTCTGAAGTTTCTCTTGTACGCTCTGTGTGCGCGCGAGATGGTAGACAATGGCACATGTAGAGCTGGGTAGATCATTGAGTTTATGCGTTGCACTGACGGAACGGAAAAATGCCTACTTGGCTGTGGTATCAGATCCTGCTATGAGAAGAGTCAACGCTTCTGCAGTGAGTTCTTCGCGACCCATTGGATTGCCCTAATAAGTTCAGCACGATTGCAGAATAATTGGCAAAAAGCTACTCACATCTTCATCGTTCCCGGCTAGCAGCTTGCTAAGCAAATCATTCCTGTCTGTCGGTACTTCCAACCTCTTCGATACCGCCACCATCGCCATCCCTATCATGGCGTCAAAGTCTTTTCCTGCCTGCCAAAGCCATGGAGTGTATTTGACTAGTGGCCTCCACCATCCAGGTAAAGGTCCCGCCGTCGCCACGAAGGGCTGTGATCCACCTAAAGTCTTGATAGCCTCAATCTCCTTTGTAGAATACTCTGCCCCTACTTTCCCGTAAGAGCTCAACACGGCATGTTGATCTTTAGGAACCAGAGCAAAATCTTTCGCTGCTGTGATCATCCCGAATGGAGCACCAAACACCAGATCACCGATAATATCGAACGTAAGATAGTTTGCCCCTACGAACAGCAGCGGTAAGCACGAGGTGGAAAACGAAAGAGGAAGCTCATTTACATGGCAAGCAGTCCAGCCACATCCTCCCATCACGACCCGTCCAGCCTTCACCTTCCTCCCCTGACATTCCTTTGAGAGCCTTGTCATATAGCTTGTCCCATTGTCCTAGCAGTTGACTGATGTAACTGCGTACATGCGGCTCAAACTCGAGGACGCTCTTCTGTGAAAAAGCGTGCGAGATGATCTTTCGTTTGCGAGTATGGGCCTGGCGATCGCGAATGTCAAATAGGGAACGGGATGTGCTCGCAAACACATCATAGAACGACGATTTCAGTGCCCCATTTCCGTGCCCGTATACCAAGGGATGCGCATCCGACAGGGCCACAGAAATGTGATTGGGCGCTATGCGGACAAAGGGACCTTCAGTCACATAAATTAGCCTTGAAGAGCACGAAAAGATCTCAACATGGACTGACCATATTTGCGATGCAGATCATGAACAACCTCCGAAAGATGTTCGTGGTAAGCCACGTATCCCAGCCATGCATCGGAAAACTTTGCGACGTAGAGGACCAGGATACTGAGCGAAGTCGATGAGAGTCGATGAAGGTAGGGGACCAGATGAACCTAGGATGGCCAATGCAATAACAGTGGCGATAACTGTCGGGAGGTCGGTATGCAGTGATTCAAAGCTGAGATGGAACATTGTTGTGCTGTTGTTACCTGATACGAAGACCTTTTATATGGCCACGTCTCAAAGATTCAGAGGGTACTGCTATGCTTTGACACGGTTACACGGTTACATCAACGCCGAACTTTTCCTCCTACATGATAGGTCTAAAGCATCGGACCCGGAAATATACGACGCATTGCGTCAAGGAAATGACGATGACTGGGGCTCATGTGGACAGCAGCATTGAATCTTGAGAAGATATTTGTCATACAGAGGAAGAAAATGTCGACATCACGTTGCCGTTTTAGTAAAAACGTATCGAAGAAAAGTGCGAAGCGACTTCTCGGACACGATATCCTTCTAAAGCGGTGCTCTTTGAATGTCAGGAAGGTGTGGAACAACTACCGGATGAGTCGTCGTGATTGTCATTAGTCAAAGATTATCCGCATCAGAGTGTATTTGGATACATCTGATTTCCTGGACCGGAAGCGAGATCCCGTATTCAAGTCGTATTTAATGGGATTCTCCAAGGGTGTCAGGCATGCAATAAGAAGCAGACGAACTTTAGGAGGATACATACCTTCGCCGATGAATTCATACATCGCGGGGTCGAATGGTACTCTCGTTCTGGACCGCAATGAGTCAGTCATGGCATACGCAAAGAAACGCGGGATTCTATGCAGCTTCTACGAGAGTTTGAAAATCCAGACTTGAAACAATCATGACTCGTTCTTTCATCGACCTTTTTCTTTTGCAGACGAGATTGATACTGCGGCTTGTCGGTCCATATTGAGAGACACTAAGATACGCTCGAAATTTTCAATGACGAAGATCCACGTAGGTGTAGGTAGCGACATCTTTGAAGTTGGAACTTGTTGATTGGGAGAAGATAAAGCAGTACCGGCAAATGCCGGGTCCCGAAATGTGGCTTGAACGAATCGTTCCTAGCTATCCTGATGTACGCTTATGTCAAAATTTGAATGGCTTTGAATAATCTCGTCAAAAGGTCCATTCGGATAGGATAGTTCTCCCTACTTTATCTAGAAAAGAGAGCCCCCCCTTGGTCCAACGGTGAGAGTACTAAGTATAAGATATACTGCAAACCTATTAATCGTGTGGCAGGTAGGCTACACCACAAAAACTCCATATACTTCATTCTCGTCTGGTAAACACAAGTGGTGCATTAACAGGCCTTCAATTTTACATCAGGAAGATATACACGCAGTAGCCAAGATGAAATGCACACTCACTGTCAAAGTAAGACCGTGTCTATTTTTCAAGATTCTTTCCTTTCGTTCCCCAAAGGTTACCCCAGGTTTTTCTCTGACAGTTATTTTGTACTTCGAGATGATCATCATGAGTACAGCAATACCCTCAGTTTCAAAAAATCTAGGGGCGGCCCCCCTCACTACACATGCTCATTAGTAGTCTATCATTGAGTGACTGGAGGACATACTTCCGACCCATACATGCACGCACACCCTGACTGAATGGCATAAATGCTTCCCTGGGCCAATTATCCAGAAATCTCGACGGCTTGAACGTCTCTGGGTCTTTCCAGTAATGCGCTGAAATTGAAGGTAGGTCAAACGATGTGCGGAAGTTTGGTCCGGCCAGCGATGGACTCACGATTATAATGTAACCCGACCACGTCGATTCTCATTATAGCACCCTGAGGTACGGGGACCGTCTTGCGCTCTCCCGCTTCGTTGGTGGAAACCAAGACGGTATCCTTGGGGCTCATCTTAGGAACTGACGACACAGGCGGGAATAAGCGAAGACTCTCGTAAATTACGCTAGAGAAGATTTTCAACACCGAGCTGTATTATAATGAAGGAAAATTGCACACGCTACGGAATGTGTGAAGAGTGGCATTTCTTCATAGGTCTGTGGGTCATGATGCATGATCAATGGGCGGAAGGAACTTGTAATGGAGAATACACACCGGGTTCCGTCCGTCAGGAATGATGGACTTGATATGGCTGTGAAGGATCTCCTGCTGATCTGGATAAAGCGCTAGCAGGACAAATGTAAACGCCAGTGTATGGGCCGCAGTCTATGATTATGTGAGTACCATGATTAACGCCCTTAGCCACAAATTTCGACTTACTTCATGTCCAGCAAGCAGGAAGATGTAAATGTTCCCTTGAGAAATGACTTAAATTGCAAAGAACCAAGATGCAATGAAATGGAAATATACCCAGTAATTCGTGATCTGTCAATTTAATCTCTCCTCCGACGAAGGCTTTGTCATCATTGGCATCCAGAAAACTGCTGAATAAATCGTATCTTTCCTCCTTCCTCGCCACTGTCCGCCGATTTCTGATCATTTCTAGCATGTACGACTTTCCATAGCTTCGTTGAGGTCAAGGAACTCAAGAAAGGGCGATTTTGACTGACCTCTAGCTCGTCAAATGCAACTCTCACCTTAGCCCATTGGCGCGTCAACCCCATGGCCCACGAGGGAATACTGAGTTTCAAAATTATTCCGGTACTGGCAAGATGCAAAGCGTCATGAAAGGGTATCGTGTGCCCCGGAGGGACTGACAGTGTTCGCTTGCCAATTCATTTTCCGACCAAAGCCTGCCACGCCAATGACATTCAAGGCTATCTATACCACTTCAATGAGTTGCGTGATGCGGCAATTACCGGGAGAGTAACATCAACCACATGCTCTACTTCCACCACGTCCTTATTCTTCCAGACGGTGTTCATCAGGTCCCCCGTGATTTTCAACGACTCTTCCCATACGAGTCAGTTATTTCTCTGTGGTATGTAGACAATGATGTGAGGAGGATCCCTAGATGAACGAACTTACATCAGAAAATGCCGGAGCGCTGATCTTTCGGTATTTCTTCCACGTATCCCCTTCGGATGCGACAATATTAGGACCAAATATGGATAGTCCGCGGTACATGAACACAGGCTTAGGGAACGATACGCGGGCTGCAGTTATGTCCTTGAAGTCCGTCAGTGGAGAACCTTGAGCATACAATGAAGTCATACTTTGACGATTGTAGCGTCCGCGATAAGGAATTCAATCCTCGCTGGGAATGCTGTTACGCAAGCAACAATGTCCCACCCTGTCTGTTTGTACACTAGTAGAATGATTAGTAGATGCTTGAATAACGTTCGTACGGATTTGCTCGCCTTCATATTTCTTGTTAAAGATATAGTTGGCACCACTCGTCAAACCAGGAATTGGTGGAAGGAAGTGGGAAAGAATATATTCATGGTAGAGGATCGTGTGGTATCCCAGGTGGTTCCTACAAGGTGTCCGTGATTTCGTAACAAATTTGAGAGATGCGCAACTCACTCAGCTACTTTGACATTTCGATAAAACTTGATAGATTTCTGGACGACCCAGAGAAAGATGATCCCGAGAGTGAGGGTCGCAAGCATGGTGATGAGAGTCGTGAGAATCCACCATAACGACGCTTAAATATCCAAAAATAGGTACGAAGTCAACCCGCATCGCATCGCAGGTGAGGTTGGTCTGGTGAGCGTGTATCAATCAAAGGAGCCACTACCCCGAAGTGAACTAGCGGTGGATTGGTCTGCGAAGGATACTCGGATCCAAAGAAGGAATATGAAGAATGGTGAGGATACATTGGCATCAGAAGGAACGCGCTGGCCTTCCGCAGAAGAGAACGTAAATTTTACTTCGCAGCATACATCCTGCTCCCGCAGATTCATGAGCTCTAGACGGAAACTCGTCATCAACATCCATTTCGGATTTCAGGTTTAGGAAACGGACATTGGGTGGTGGGAGTAAGCCAGGAATTTAATGGTCAGGAATGCATTGGGCTTTTTCTGCAGGCAACATCAGTAGTTACACCTGTTTGCCGCCCGTAGCATAGATATCAAAGAGAAATCACAAAGACACAGTTACGAAGAGACCCATGTAGGAAAACAAACAGCCATCAGCGTTACATTCCACAACTGAATTTGTGTAAACTGCACATGAAATGATCGTAGAAGCTTATCGTAATGAACTAGAGAACTTCGCGTCTCTTCAGGCCAACACGACATCCGACCAGCTTTCTCAAGACGCCCTCGTGTACTTTGAACTAACCCAAAAGTCAGTCAGCAAGAGGCATGTCAAACAACACCGCTACTTACCTTTTCATCAGGATTCTCCAAAACGATATGGAAGCGCTTGAAAATTGACCCAATGATAATCTGCAGCTCGAGGTTCGCCAAATTACGCCCGATACATGTCCTGTGATGATATGAGCTCAACCCTGAACATCGATAAGATGCTCGACATACCGAGGGCCAACAGACGGGGTGTGCGTGCAAGCCATGGCACAGATTGGCTGTACCTCTGGCTTTCATCGCGCATATTTCCAGATGGCAGCAACAAGTGTTTCATTCGGAGCCGTTGATTCTCTCGCTCCAAACTCACGATGCACTCCTCCAGTCTCTTCAATTGGTCCTCAAAGTTGACCCGTAGTCCATTCGTATAGAGCCTCCGGAGGGGGGTAGCCGAAGTATTCGTGAAAGTCGCGTGAAAGCTAGATGTCTGGAGCCTTTGGTTGATTATTAGAGGAAGGGCACCAACGGGGTCGTCACGTATAGAGGACGGCTTGCAACAGGTAGGGCATGGGGCTGTGGTCGATCCTTCGTTACGCAGAATGCTCGTAGCTTGTGTGATGCAACTAAAGCAATAGACATGTCCTGCCACCGATAATCAGAGTCGTAATGAGAGCGGACAGAGCGTACCACAGGGCGTGCAAACGGGGTCGACAAAGTCGGAGAGACAGATGCTGCATACACAGGAGACGGTCATGACGGCAGAGTAGTACTGAGCTCGAGGGGCGTTCAGCAGCGACATTTCATATAGTTGTGCATTGTTCGAAGATATTGTCATTGTTTTCAATAGCCAACGCACCACGCAAATTTGAGAACTTTCTCCGGTGGCATCCCGAATTTAGGTGTCGATAATTTCTGGGGCATATAGAGGGCGTCTGGGGTCTGGACGAGAATGGACATGATGGTAGAAAGGCAAGGACGACTTTAACTTTAGGGTCGGTCGAGCGTTGGCTGTTTCGGGACTTCGGACCCGAGCCCCGACAAACTGACTTATGATTTCTCTGCAAGTACATTCACTGCCTTCGTATCATTTTGTTATCGGGCCCTCCTCGCGAGGTGCCGGTTATTCTCAATTCACTCGTCCCGGTGCTAGCTCCACAGTACTTATCTTGCTAACTGAACCACGCGACGCCAGTTCTGCTGCTATATTTCTGGTTTCTTCTCTGATCTGTAGCCCTTTAATCGATTGATAGGCGCTACTGGATTCACCCGGCAAGTAGCTACCACTGCAGCACGAACGTAGTCGAACCAGTCTCTGAAGCGTTGGAGCGATACCCAAATTAAGCTCTTTCTTTTTCCGTCGGAGTGGAATTCATTTCAACTGGGTCCCTATTTCTGTCTTGCATTGCCTCCGCGGACTCTTTTATTCTTCCGTCGGACATCATACGGACCCACAACACAACTCTGCGTTGCCGACGGACCTGGAAACGTCACGTCAACGCAAATGACTCGACGAAAAGTATTTCTAAACTCGCGGGTGGAGAACTAAACGGACTTGTAGTAAATCTCCTTCTCAAAGTCGGTGAGACTTTTGTTTCACTATATAAGCTTCTGCTCCAAGATTCACTGCGATCAAAGGGTAGGGGTAGATACCCCTCTTGGTGTATATATACCCCCGCTATTCACTCAACTTCCCTCCCTCAACACAAACATGATTACCAACAACCAACTTATCCAAACCACCGGTTACTTGTTCGCCATCGCGATTGCAATGGCACTATCCGTCACGGTCTTCGTAAAGGTATGTGCTCCGTGCGTACACCTATTGACCTCATCTTACCTGTTTGACAGGACATCCTCGCTCTTATCACATTCCACACACCATCCGCTGCCACACCGGAATATCCTCGCATCGCCGTTATGGTCAAGGTCGAAGTTACTACCACACAATATTCGATGATTGAACCTTCCTCGTCGGTATTCTCCGACTCTACTTTGATTGAAGTATCATCGGAATGCTACAGTGGCGCACGAGTAGGCAAGTGTAGTAGGCAAGTCATCTCGCCGTTGTCTTAGTTCATCACTAATTGCCTCATTTAGCTTGCTTTAAACCACACGAAGTTTGAAACATTGTCGGCGGATGGTTCAGGCCAGAAAGGCGGTCCTGCCAGTATACATGGACCGTCATCCCCTCAATTAGTAGCCTCTTCATCTATACGGCTTTACCGCGTTTCGAGGGGTGGTCGAGAGGTGAAGGTTTGGCGGTGTACTAGAGGTGAAGAGGCACCAATAAACTACCTCGTGCGAGCCTAAGACGAATGCGTCTTTGTTCACCTCATGGTCAAATCGGGCACATATCTAATACGCGAGAGGCAGATACCGTTCTTCCGGTGGTACTCGCAGTCTCCCTAGCTTGCCCCACAGTGCCATGTACTGTACATCCTTGGGCCGCCACGTTTGAATCTTAGCTATGAAATATCACCTACTGGAAATAAAAGCGAATCCGCGCAAGGCCTATCTACTTGGACAATGAACGCTTCAGCGACTGAAGGCCTCGAGACTAAAATGAGAACGCCGATTCTTTAACTGATTGGAAGATAAATAGCGGTTTGAGTGAACCGTCGCAGAGTAAACCGTAGCGACTTGTGTGGCAAAGGCTATCCAAAATAATATAAGCGGATCAGACGCATGACGGTCGAATTTCATTTCTACTCTGAACTCGTAGTCAAATGGTGAGGCATGGTAAGCAGCTGCCCCACTCGATACAAAGTACTTATCCCCATCGATGCTGTGACTCGGGGTCATTTGGTAGTATCTCTGAACGCGACGGCAACATTCGGAGAGAATAGCCATCTGCTTCAATATATTCTTGTCGGGATTCACACATACATGTACATATTATGGTCCCAACACCTTACCATATTGAACTAGAGCACTTCGCGTGCTTTTATACCAACACGACAAGGTCCTAGTTCCACCACGAAGCCCTCGTATACTTGGAGCTTTTCCAAAAGTCAGCAAGTCAAGTCAAAGAAAGTACCGCCACCCACCTTTTCATCAGGATTTTCCAAAACGAAATTGAAGCGCCTGAAAATTGACGCAATGATAATCTGCAGCTCGAGGTTCGCTAAATTACGCCCAATACACGCCCTGTGATGGTGTGAGCTCAACCTTGAATATCGATAAGAAACTCGAGATCACATACCGAGGGCCAAGAGAGAACGGAGCAAATGCCTTAGACATGCTGGCGCTGTTACGTTCAAACCATCTCTCGGGTCTGAACTCCTCGACATCATCGCCAAACACCGCTGGGTCCCGATGGATTGTATAAGTAGGGACACTGACAACCGTACCAGCAGGGAAGTGATTTCCTAAAATCATCATCCCGCCCTCAGGTGCTACACGAGGAAGCCCCATAGCCACCGCGGGATACAGTCGCAGCCCTTCATTGATAACGGCTTGCAAGTAAGGGAGGTTCTTCACCTGCTCGGCTGTAGCGACATCAGAGCCCAGGTACTCGTCCAGCTCTTTCTGAAGTTTGCCCTGTACGCTCGGTGTCCGCGCGAGAAGATAGACGATAGTACATGCAGATCTGAGTAGATCATTGAGTTTGGCATTGACGGAACAGAGGACCTACTTGGCAGTGGTATCAGATCCTGCAATAAGAAGATTCAACGCTTCCGCAGTGACCTCTTCGCGACCCATTGGGTTGCCCTAATAAATTCAGCACGGTTGCAGATTAATTGGCAAGAAGCTACTCACATCTTCGTCTTTTCCGGCTAGCAGCTTGCTAAGGAAATCGTTCCTGTCTGTCGGTACTTCCAACCTCTTCGCTACCGCCACCATCGCCATCCCTACTATGGCGTCGAAGTCTTTTCCGGCCTGCCAAAGCCATGGGGTGCGCTTGACGAGTGGCCTCCACCACCCAGGTAAAGGTCCCGCCGTCACCACGAAGGGCGCTCCACTAGTTAAAGTCTTGATAGCCTCGATCTCTTTTGTGGCATACTTTGCCCCTACTTTCCCGTAGGAGCTCAAAACGGAGTGTTGATCTTTAGGCACCAGAGCAAAATCTTTCGCTGCTGCAATCATTCCGAATGGAGCACCAAACGTTAGATCACCGATGATATCGAACGCAAGATAGTTTGCCCCTACGAATGGCAGTGGTAAGCACGAGATGGAAAATGCAAGAGGCTCACTTACATGGCAAGTAGTCCAACCACATCCTCCCATCACGACCTGTCCAGCCTTCACCTTCCTCTCCCGACATGCCTTTGAGAGCTTTGTCATATAGCTTGTCCCACCGTCCCAGAAGTTGACTGACGTAACTGCGTACATGCGGCTCAAACTCCAGTACGCTCTTCTGCGAAAAAGTATGCGAGATGATCTTTCGTTTGCGAGTATGGGCCTGGCGATCGCGAACGTCAAATAGGGAACGGCTCGATGTTCTCGCAAACACATCATAGAATGATGACTTCAGTGCCCCGCTTCCGTGCCCGTACACCAAGGGCTCCGCATCCGACAGAGCCACAGAAATGTGATCGGGCGCTATACGGACAAAGGGACCTTCAGGCACACAAATTAGACTAGAAGAGCGCGAAAAGATCTCAACATTGATTGACCATATTTGCGATGCAGATCATAAACAACCTCCGAAAGATGTCCGTGGTATCCCACGGATCCCAGCCATGCATCGGAAAACTTTGCGACGAGAGGACCAGGATATGAGCGAAGTCGATGAGAGTCGATGAGGTAGGGTACCAGATGAACCAGGATGGCCAATACAATAACAGTAGCAATAACTGTCGGGAGATCGGTATGCAACGATTCGAAGCTAGGATGGAACATTGTTGTTCTGTGGCTACGTCTCAGAGATTCAGAGGGTACTGCTATGCTTTGACACGGTTACATCAACGCCTGTCGGAAAGTATTGACGGTTTGATTTCACGGCTTCAACGCCACATCTTATTTATACCTATTTGCCATTTTACTTTACTTTGACATTTTCGTACCTATTGTATCTTAACTCCGACCACCCACTGTCCCTACACCGCACGACAGAATATACCTTCGTTCCGAGTCAACCATCATCACTAATTCAAACCTACGACAGCATGGGCATTAATTTCAAGCTCCAGGCTGATAAAAACTCACATGTTCACCATCCACCTGATGCGTACCGGATTATGTTCCTCTCGTGGGACCCGTGACGGGGACCCTGAACCCGCTTCACCCGTATGGGGCGTGCGTGCAAGCCATGGCACAGACCGACTATTCCACTCACTTTGCTGGCGCATATATAGAGCTAGCAGTAACAAGTTCTTGATTCGCAGTCGTTGATTCTCTCGCTCCAAGGTCGCGATGCGTTCCTCCAGTCTCTTCAATTGGTCCTCAGAGTTGACCCGCAGTCCATTCAGGTAGAGCCTCCGGAGGGGGTAGCCAAAGTATTCATGAAAATCGCGTGATAGCTAAATGTTTGGTCAGCTTTTAGTTGATTGATGGAGAGGAGGGGCACGAACGGGGTCGTCACGTATAGAGAATGGCTTGCGACAGGCAGGGCACGGGGCTGTGGTGGATACTTCGTTACGTAGAATGCTCGTAGCTTGTGTGATGCAACTAAAGCAATAGATATGTCCTGCCACTGATAATCAGAGTTAGAGTCGTAATGAGAGCGGACGGAGCATACCGCAGGGCGTGCAAACGGGGTCAACAAACTCGGAGAGGCAGATACTGCATATGCAGGGGGTGGACATGGCGGTAAGGTAGTAGAGAGAAGTGTCCAGCGACATTTTATAGCTGGCATTGTTCGAAGATATTTCATTGTTTTCGACGGCCAAAATACCACGCGAATTTGAGATTTTTTTCAAGTGGCATCTCGAGTATAAGTGTGATAATTTCTGGGCCGTATAGAGGACATCTGGAACCTGGACGAGAATGGACGTGATAGTAGGAAGGCAAGGACGACTCTAGCTTTAGGGTCGGTCGAGCGTTTGGCCACTTCGGGACTTCGGACCCGAGCTCCGACAAGCTCACTTTTCGTGATTTTTATCTTCACGTTCTGTGTGCACCCACTGCCTTCCTGCCACTTTGCTATCAGGCCTTCTTCGCGATGTAGGCCGGTACTTCTCAATTCACTCCTCGCTTCGCAAGACTTGCCTTTCACTGGAAGCCAAGCGATACCAGTTCTACATCTCTGGCATCTCTGGCCGTACGCGAATATTTCTTCATCTACTCCATTAACAAGATTAACATCGACTGGTACCGTATGAATAGATCCTAGTTCTCTGATCTGTAACCCTTTCATCAATTGATGGACGTTACTGGATTCCCTCCGGCAATGCAGCACCAATTGATGTTAACTTGGACTCTGAAGCTTTGGAGCGGTACCTAAATTGAGTTTCAGTTTCAATCGGTAGTCCCGATTCCTGTCTTGCATTGCCTCCGCGGAGTCTTTTATTCTTCCGTCGGACATCATATGGACCTACAACACAACTCTGCGTTGCCGACGGACCTGGAAAGATAGGGTCAACGCAACTGACTCAACGGAAAGCATTTCAAAGCTCGCAAGTGAAGAGTTAAAAGTACTTTTCTTACATCTCCTTGTCGAGGTTGGTGAGACTCTTGTTTCACTATACAAGCTTCTGCTCCAAGACTCACTGCGATCAAAGGGTAGGGGTAGTTACCCCTCTTGGCGTATATATACCCCCCCAATTCGGTCAATTTCCCTCACTCAACACAAACATGAATATACCAACAACCAACTTATCCAAACCACCGGTTACCTGTTCGCCATCACAATTGCAATGGCACTATCCGTCACGGTCTTCGTAAAGGTATGTGCTCCGTGCGTACACCTATTGACCTCATCTTACCTGTTTTACAGGACATCCTCACTCTCATCACATTCCGCGCGCCATCTGCTGACGCACCGGAATATCCTCGCATTGCCGTTATGGTCAAGGTCGAAGTCACCACCACACAATACTCGACGATTGAACCTTCGTCGTCGGTATTCTCCAACTCTACTTTGATTAAAGTATCATCGGAATGCTACAGCGGCACACGAATAGGCAAGCGTAACTGGTAAGTCAGTTGGTCATTGTCGTTGGCGACATCTCATTGGTGCATTTAGCTTGTCCTAAATTATACAATATTGATTAACGGTCGACATCACTACCAAGACTGTCAACGATAGCCCTTTCTCCGTGCAAAGATGATTGTCTTATCAATCAGCACCCTCGCGTATATGATTCCATTCCCTCATAGTCGAGGATTCGGATTGTACGACAGGCTCAATAGTCACGTCGTGCGAGCCAGACACGTCTATTTCTACTTAAGGATGGAGAATATGTCCAGTGGGCGAGGAAGTAGATTAAGGCATTAGACACCATGATCAATCATACAGGTCATTGCAGTCGTTATAGTTCTGTCGCATACTATACAATCTGTTTTGCATATTTCGATATGTTCAAACCTTGTTTTCGAAATAGTGTCATATGAAAAGAATTTACCTTGAAACAATTGAGTTGTAGGCTGTTAAACATGTCAGTATAAGCTCAAAAAAAATATTCTCGCCTGATATATCTGATCCGAGAAGAGAAGGGTGTCTCCCTCACACTGGAATAGGTTGGTCAGCGGTCGGATCTTCGGAAACGACAATAATATTAGCAGACGAAAGGTCTTTCATAACAGCAACATGTATGAAAGCTAGCAGCCGTGCGTTAGGATTCCAGAGCTGAATTCACGAGTGCTTATAGTATATAGAAGAAATTGTTAAACGTCTCTTCGCGATGATCTAAAGCACTTCACGTCGCCGCATACCAACGCGGCAAGTAACGGGTTTCCTGACGAAACCTTCATGTACCTCGAACTAACCCCAAATCAGCGAGAAACATACCAGGAAAAAATCAGCACTCACAATTTCATCAGGATTCTCCAACACGAAATGGAAGTGTCTCAAAATCGATCCGATGATGAGCTGCAGCTCCATATTCGCCAGATTACGCCCGATACATCCCCTATGACGGTATAAATGCAGCCCTCAACCTCATTAAGAAACCGAGATCACATACCGAGGACCAACAGAGAATGGACTAAACACCTTCAACATTGCAGCACTGCCGGGCTCGAGCCATCTCTCAGGCCTAAATTCCTCCACGTCGTCACCAAATACGGTTGGGTCCCGATTGATGGTATAAGTAGGGACACTGATAATCGTACCACCGGGGAAGTAGTTTCCTAAAATCATTATCCCACCCTCAGGTGCTTCGCGGGGAAGCCCCATAGCCAGTGTAGAATACACTCGTAGCCCCTCGTTGATGACTGCTTGCAAATAAGAGTGTCCTTTAACTTGCTCGACTGTAGCGACGTCGGAATCAAGATGTTCGTCCAGCTCCTTCTGGAGTTTTTCTTGTACACTCTGGGAGCGCGCGAGGTAGTAGATGATGGCAGAAGTAGTGCTAAGCAAATAATTGAGTTTGTGTACTGTACTCATTGAAAAGAAAAGGACTTGCTTCGCGGTGGTATCACCTCCGGCAGCAAGAAGCGTCACCGCTTCTGCAGTAAGTTCTTCTTTGCACATTGGGTTGCCCTTGGTAAATAAAACAGGTCAAGGCCGAAGAGGTATCGGATGAAAGGTACTCACGTCTTCATCCCTCGCAGCTTGCAGCTTGTTGAGCAAATCGTTCTTGTCTGTCGGTACCTCCAATCTCTTCGACACAGCCACGATTGCCAATCCCGCGATGGCTTTGAAGTCCTCTCCGCCCTCTCGAAGGAACGGACTTCTCCCGAGCAGTGTCCTCCACCACCCGGGTACAGCACCCATAGTCACCGGGAACGTCTCCGATGCACCACCCACAGTTTTGATGACTGCGACCTCCTTCGTAGCATAATTTGTGCCCACCTTCCCGTAAGAATCCATCGCAGTATGTTGATCCTTAGGCACCAGAGCAGAATCTTTGCCTGCCATGATCATCCCGAAAGGAGCCCCAAACGCTAGATCAGCGATGATGTCGAACGTGAGATAATTCGCCCCTGCGAAAGCCAACAGTCAGTACGAGACGAGAACAATAGCGGAAGCCCACCTACACGGGAAACAGTCCAACCAAAGCCTTCCGTTACGACCTGTCCAACCATTTCCTTCCTTGCCCGACATCCCTTTCAGACTTTTATCATACAACTTATCCCAATGTCCCAGAAGTTGGCTGACATAACTGCGTACATGTGGCTCAAACTCCAGTACACTCTTCTGCGAAAAAGTATGCGAGATGATCTTTCGTTTGCGAGTGTGTGTCTTGCGATCGCGAGTATCGAACAGTCCTGGAGATGTGGACGCAAACACGTCATAGAACGACGACTTCAGTGTCCCATGGCCGTGCCCGTATACCACTGGTAGTGCGTCCGACAACGCCACAGAAATGTGATTAGGCGCTAATCGAACGAAGGGTCCTTGAGGAATAACAATTAGCCATTGACGAGAGTGAACAGATCCCAGAGTGAACAGACCGTATTGCCTATGGAGGTTATGAACGACTTCCGAACGATATCCTTGGTAAGCCACATAAGCTAGCCATGCATCGGAAAATTTTGCGAGCAGAGGACCAGGATACTACGAGCGGAGTCGATGAGAGTCGATTAGGTACGGGATCAGATGAACCAAGATGGCTAATACAATAATAGTGGTGATAACTGTCGGGAGGTCGGCATGCAACGATTCCAGGCTAGGATAGAACATTATTGTTCTGCAGCTGCTTGATACGAAGGCCTTTTATACTATTATGCCTCAACGAAACGGAGTACACCGTTATGACTTGGCACGGTCATGTTGACACCAAGCCTTCTTCCTTCGAAGCCTTATGATGACAGGTCCAAGCATCGGAATCGGAAATATACAATACATTGTGTCAGAGAAATGACAACGGCTGGAGTTCATTCGGCGGCATGCCTCCAATTCTCGAACAAACATTCGTCCTTGAGAAGATATTTGTCACAAAAGTTCGATATAGAAACTTACTGAATCAGTGAAAACACTTCCCGGCGAGTCGCTCTCATTAGCCGACGAGTCAAATTTCATTTGTCTTCGAGTGTAGTTGCTACCGTTGATTCCTACTTAGATCAACCGGATCGTGCATGAGCAGTCTTCTGACCTGGTTTGCGGACAGAGCAGTCGACATCCAACAAAATGTACTTCTGCCGCTGCGCACTTTCAATGCCAGGAAAGTGCGGAACAAGTACCGACTGAGCCGTTAATGATCATCAGCAGTCAAAGAATCAATCCTTCTGGCTACTTATTAGGCCGGAAGTTGGGCGGCACTCAAGCCCTATCTGGGCACCTCCAATGAGGTCAGGTCTGGAAGCAGATAAGAGTTAGTCGAGCGGGGGGGAGGAAACGCAACGGTGCGCATCAAGCACAGTCACTTGGTGTGGCCTGCAAGTGTACTTAGAATTTCGCTCCCAGGGAAACATGTTTGAGGAATTGACCGAGCCTCGAGGCAAAACAATAACGAGCCGGGATGGCACGTAACGTGGATCATGGGCGTTGAAAGCAACCCTGAATTCGTACAAAGTCAGAAAAGGAAGCTAATTTCCACGCCACTTTCGCGTTCTATAGGGGCCGGCCCGAAAGGACACTATCACTGTCAGACGGCACTCTAGCTGCCTCTTTTTTCTTGCAGGGCGTTATTCTTCTCTTTCGCGAACATGAACACGGTCAGAGTTGGTCAGAGGGTAACGTTAAGCGGCTCCAGCACGTCAAAGCTGGGTTGAAATTTACTGAGACACATCGGATGCTTGGGGGCTCAGGATGTATATTGCTTTGGAGTCTTCGGAACTCTCCGACTTCGGTTGGCTACCACTCTGACTCGTTTCAGTTTCGAAAATACGGAGGTACCCCCTATTTCTGTCTGCCTCCACGGAGTCTTTTTCCTCCTTCAGTCACCATATGGACCCACAACACGACTTCACAACGCCGACTGACTTGGACAGTTTACGTTTTGACGCAAACAGCTTGACGAGATGTGTCTGTAAGCTTAGAAACCCAGAGGAATCTTTCAAGAATATTTTAAAGAGATTCCGTAATAAACACGACTCCCTTCTCATCAGTGAGACACTTGTCTCGCTGTACGAGCTTCTGCTCCAGACTCACAACGATCAAAAGATAGGGTAGAGGCCTCTCTGGCGTATGTACACCCTCGCCATTCACTCAACCTCCCTCACACAACACAAACATGATTACCAACAACCAACTTATCCAAACCACCAGTTACTTGTTCGCCATCGCTATTGCAATGGTACTATCCGTCATGGTCTTCGTAAAGGTACGTGCTTTTTATCTAGACCTATCTTCCTCGTCTTACATATTTTATAGGACATTCTCGCTCTTATCACATTCCGCACGTCATGCACTGCCGTGCCGGAATATCCTCGCATTCCCGTTGCGGTCAAGGTCGAAGTCGTTACCACACAATACTCGACGGTTGAACCATCGTCGTCTTTCTCCGACTCTACCTTGATTGAAATATCATCAGAACGCTACGGCGGCGCACGAGTAGGCAAGCGTAATTGGTAGGTCACTTTGTCCTCGTCCCCGACTCATTTCTCATCGCCGAAATCTAGCTTGTCCTGAACCATACGGTCTTGAAGGAGATTATCCAGACCGCCCAGGCCACTGAAGTCATCGATAACACACTCGTGCGTGGACCGCTGCCATAGAATCAATAAACCTCCTCGCCCATACGGCTTTATCCCTTTCCTGGTTTAGGGGTGAGGATTCAACCATGTAAATGGACCGACACATCCAATATTCACCTCGTCTGAGCCAAAGACAAGGGTTCACCTTGAAGATTGCCAGACACACAACCGGCAGGCATAGACGGGGGCGTCATTCATCACATTAGTCCTGGTGGTTACAACTCCGTCTCACGGTTCCATACTATGCTATACACCGTCCTTTGATATTTATGCCTTGCCTCTCGTATCGAGAGCACCCAGCGTAAAGGAACATAGCTTGTTAAACTTAAGATCTATCTCAGCTAATTTCTTGCACCAGATGAATCCAATAATGCCAGGAGGTAAAAGCTTTTGGAATTACGCCCATTCCTAATACATTTCACGACGAGAGAGTGAAAGCAGATCTACACAAGCAGAGTATTCCAGACCATCACCTCGAGTATAGCAATCAATTACGGTAGGCGCCAAGACCAAAAGCACCACGCCGAGCATTATCATCCTAAAAAAGAGTTTTGAGCGTACTTCGGAGGTACTAAATGAAACAAGCGAGCTTACCCTATTACTTTGATGATGAACACGATTGCATCCCACGCGTTCTCGTGATCTAAACCCTGCGATCTAGTCTTCTCTAATCGCCGCTTGTGATTCCGAAGCTAAAAGGATCTTTTAGGTGTGATAAAGGGTCTAAGAAAAGGACCACTTGCATCTGCAAGACCTTTTGCTAAATATACCAAGTTCAAAGTCTTGTTCGGATGATAGGCCAATGAGGAGACTGCTTTACCTACGTCAAACGTACGACGACATGATGGGCATGAATACGCCGCTCTCCCTGCCTCCGCTGCCTTTGAGATCCAACCATTTAGACAATGCATGCAAAACATGTGTTGCGCAGCTGGGCGAAATGTCGAAGTTTTATCCGAATGGATTATTGGCAAGACGGACGACTTACGACATGGCGTACAAACGGGGTTCGTAAATCCGGCTAGACATATAACGCAGCAGTCTTCATCTATGTCCATGGTACATACAGGAGGAGGGAAAAAGAAAGATAAAGACCGCTTTTAACACGCTCAGAACACGTGTAGCAGAATGAATCGCCACCTTCCGAACGGTATTTCATCATTAGCGGCTTAAGTACGCACTTGGCCTAGACGGCCGCTCAAATGGCGACATAACCGGGTCTCGGTGCGGTATCTTGGGGACGGCTCAGATCAAAGGTTCCTAGACAATAAACGATCAAGCATTGGAACTCCCGTTCGAAGGGATGTTCCTTGCTTTCTATACGCCTGGAAATCGATGATGTGGTTCCTGATGAAGGTAGTCGAAATGTCGATGAAGCGGGTCGAAACCTCTTTCCATGCCCACTTTGCGAGTTCGCATAGCGGAGGATACACATGCGCTACAAAGAGCTGGAATATCTTGACACTCGCAGACCTCACGGCCCAAAACATCACCATCCTGGATTGAACTTTATGAGTTGATGATCACAAGAGCGTGTGAACACTCACAATATAAATGACAGTAGTATCATTGTAGTGATCACCCTGATCACAATCCAGACGCAGCGTCCCAACTCTTGAAAGCACTCCCCAGGCCGAGTCGATAAGCGCCAGATCAACCTCGAAATGAGGCACAGAACTACGACGATGAGATGGATGACATCATCAAACAGCGCCGTCAAAATCCCCGCCAGAGTGGCTATGTTGGTAAGGATACTGAGAAACGTATTAACAGCAGCTGAGTAGCCGCTCTTTTTCATGGCCAAATCTGCCTTTTCCTCGGCGGCACTTCGAAGTTCTTCGCAGCGTTCCATTTCGGATATTAGAAATGTGTTGTAGGCATCCAGCTCTTTGACTTCCTTCCGGAGTGCATAAAGCTCGTGTACCAGCGAATCCGTCTGGGGAATGAAGACCTTGCGCAACTAGAAGCGACAGTCAATAGGATGCCTTTGCTGGTTTCGAAACATGGGCTTGCGCTCACTTGATCTATAGGGGTCAGGTAATGAGCACGCTTCTACTACACTGAACCGCTTAACATACTTTTGGGAACTACGGCGCTACAAGACGGGCAAGTACATGGTCTCCGTTGACGCATGGTAGCGTCGAACCAGTTGTTTATGCATTCCAGACAGTATATATGCCCTGAAACCCATGAGTACCGATCAGTAGTAAGTACCGATAACGGCGATAGCACACGTACCGCAGGGTGCAGAATAAGGCTCTGTGAGAGGATCCTGGCAAATGATACACTCAATCATTCCGAATGAATGGTAGAGAGGAAAGAGAAAGGAAGTTCGTTCGTGATCACGATCATTTCTTGATAAATACCATACTTGTCTCAATCATGCATAAATTGACGCCGAGTCGAGTTTTCATCTTTCTGGATTGATTATATTTAGATCTTGGCTGGATAGAGTGTTGATGCCGATTGCACGTATCAGAAGGCCAGCGCTAGCCCAAGTCAAAGGATGTCATGAAGATGAAAGACACAGGCACTCAAACACCGCCTTAGCTAGACATGCGCAGAGGATAGACATAATGATTTAGTGAAATATAGTGAACATGAGAGCCCTCATGCTACCTAGGCGTTCAAACGTCAAATGCCAAGCTTCTTTACAGCTGTCCCCTAAGATGGATGCATCAGTTAACAGGATGAAGACATTTGCATACAATAATAACGCACAAATACAAGAGAAGCATCCATCCCAAGAGATATATGAACAGGTGAGGCAGCCGTAGCGGATGCCACCAAGGCTCGTCGCTATCCTGCAGAGGCCACCAATTCATCTCCCGCAAACGATGAATCTTCCCTTCTTAGAATGTCAACTTCCCTTTCAACTGGAAACGCCCTCTTCGAGCCATAATCGAGGCTCCGTCGCCACTACTTGCAAAGGATGGCCAGAAGAAGCTGACGCGTTTCTCCTAGAAGCCTAGCGTCAACAACGTTACTGACGGGCAGAGGATCATAGTATCCTACATCTGTGTCTGACATTTTTCAAGGATGAGCAACAGGATGAAAGAAATGAGGACTGACGAGAGACCCGCGCCTTAAATAACCCTTTCGCCCATCGGTGTTTAATCGGGTCACCGTAAAGTCTATCCTCGGATTGCACGGTACGATGACTCCAATGATACTAGATGTCTAGACCCTTGTGCTGGGATCATTTTGCTCTTCCAACGTCTCAAGCTGAGAGCAGGGTATCGAGAATTGAGGAACCATTCCAAGCACTAGGGTATCATTATGGACAGTCTACCGACGATAAGCTAAGTGTCGCCTGAGAGGAGGGAAGATAATGTACACCAGATACTGTTGTATATGGTGGGTTGTCTAAGACTTGGACTTTGTGAGTGGGGGAGTGAAACGGCCGAAGGGAGAAGTGGCGTGAGAATTGAGGTCGACTCGTAGAGGTCCCAGAGTTGGGATACCGTCGCGAAGTCTCAAGTCCAGAGCGCTCGGTGAACCAGAGAGCGGAAGGACCGAATCCGGGAACACCAAACACGGAAGGGCGTAAGTGGGTGTGTCAATGAAAAAGCGAGACGAGGGAGCGGAGTAATGGCGAACGAGGCGAGGATGATCTAGGCGACGCGTCAAACGACTCGGAGGATGCGAGCCAATACTTTGGGGATTGGGACACAATGTTTGTACATGTATAAATGAGTGGCCTAAGGCCTCTGTGTCTGCTACCTTAACTTATCCTCCGATAAGCCCTACGCTCGTACCTCGCTCCAGGCTTATCTCGGAATATTCGATGCTAACACGCCCACTGATTGGAAAATAGCCGGTGCGAGAATCGCTTGAACACGAGCCTAGAAAGTTATACGCTGTCAAAACTTGAGCGCTAGTGAGCTTTAGACGTCTGATAACGGAACACATACCGAAAGTCAGAACTTTATCATGCGAACATTGACATTGCGCTCAGGCTTGTACTGGTCGACGCTGGCAGCGACAGACAGGGACGAAAACCGGAACCGAGGAGAAAGTTCCCATGCTCCCCGCGTGATCTGATTATCAAATCACGGACCTAATTATACGCGTGTAGCGCGACGCGTCGCGTCACGGAGTCCGGGCAATAGTGCAAACCAGAATAATGAATCTCGTCATGATTGAATCATACAAGAGTTGTGCCCTACTTATTTCGCTCAATATAAAGTGCTACCAGATTGTATTGCCAGCGGAGGGAGATCGCTAAATTAAAAGGAGATGTCTTTCAGGTTACGACGAGCACCTGACAGTCGGAGGCCAATGAAAGCACGTAGATATAAACGTGATTGGCGCCTTAGGAGCTGTCATACGCGCCGACTTCGCCGAGGGACTTAAAGGCGGCGAGGTATGGAACTAAAGCTCCGTAAACAAGCCATATGATGAAACGGACAGCATCATGGGACACATATTTGGGAGTGCTTGTTTTGTAAAACGTACCATCTAGTACCTATTAATTTCTTATCATACGCCACACAGGGATGCTCCATACAAAAAGATGAATCCAGAGCATCATGAACCGAATAGAAAATTCCATAGATAAAAGACAAGAAGGGCTGAATGGAAGATACATATAGAATAATTAGAGCCCATTTACTAGAAGCACGTAGACCGGAAACATGTACTGGGATGTATAGGCAAAATAGAAATAATCTGACTCAATCCCAGAATCATTCTGCACAACGCATAAGTAATATTAGGTAGACGACATAGAGAGCAACCCACATGAAAGCAATAAAAACACACCCAAGCAAATACACGCTGACGTGCAACAGCGGCAGCTTCCTCCACACCGCCATCTCTCGTAGCTGATGCAGTTGTCGGTCCTTTTCACGTATCATATGCATCATATATTCACCTCGCGCCTGCTGACACTCCAGCACTTCCCTGAGTCGCTCGTTCTCGCGCTTTACCGAGCCATCAGGGTCGGTAAGGATCTCACGGACAGCGGGGAGCAAGTAGGGTCGGAATTTACGCGGCACGGTCTGTATCTGAACAAGAAGGTCTTGACACACAGAACACGGTGAAACGGAATTACATACGTTCCCTTCTAATGGGTCTGGGGACGCAAGGGTAATAAGCTTTTGAAGCAAAAGCGACGAATACGCGCATACCGCGGGGGAACGGCTTGCGGCACTTCGAGTTTGGACACCGCGAAGCATTGAAGGTGAACTCTCTGTGTTGATTGCTATCCAGTGTTTCCGTCTTATCTATGCATTGCTTGCAGTATATATGACCTACAGGCGACTTGAAGAAAGTGAAAGAAACGAAGTCATAAGGAGCTCACCACAGGGAAGAGAAAACAGGGCCTTAACCTCAGATTGACATGCGGGGCACGAGCCGGCCATGTTCACAGTGAAGCAGCAGCAATTGTAGTGGTAGGGGGGACGAAAGAGATGGTATCTCTTATGGAAGTTATTCTGTCACACTTTAAATGGCTCTTCCATTTTCACTCGGGTTAAGGTCAGACTGATTTTGGGATCAACTGCTTCATTTTATGTACAATTTTATTTCAAAAATCACTCATGCCCAGCGGTGGGGGTGACTTACAATATGAGGGAGAGAACGGGGAGAGTGTCTGTATTGCAGAAGACTACCGGTAGTAGTAGACGTACAAGGGAAGACGAAAGGCGGGGTATGGTAAATATGATGGTGGGGGTCAAGAAGAAAGAACAAGATATGTGTACTACATGTATATAAGTATTGTGGTCGCCATAATATAACATGTACAGGTAGATGGGATGTCAAAATGAAGGGAAGATACAGTGCCACGGAGCCCAATAGGAAAGGATTCGGTCAGTACATCAGTGTTTGGTTGTAAGCAGGGCTTAAAGTAACCCACCCAGGCAAAGCCTGGGAAGGTGTCTTTTTCATCACCGCAAATGCAACCAACATACGAAGCATCCTGCATAGCCCGTTAGCAAAGTATCAAGACCATCTAATCACTAGCCACTCACGGTGTTCCAAAAGCTAACAACCTGGGGTTGGATATGGCGTCCGAGACATCCCTCAAGCGAAGATTGCCACGAAAAACAGCTCCCCTCTGTCTCAGTACTCTGTTTAGCCGTTTGATCTCTCTCTCTTTTCGGCGGTTGGATCGGGATTCAGATTTGAGTCGCTCTCTCAGTGTTCGCAGTTCTTCCTTTGTTCTAGGAGTATCTTCAGATCTGTCGGGTTCCTCGCCTGGAAAGAGTCGACGATAGGCAGCTATGACGTAGGGCCGGAATTTTAGTGGAACCCGTTTGAGCTTGAGTTTGGATCATGATATGAAACAGAATATTTCAGAGGGGCACTGACGTTACTGTCTGGCTTTCCTACAGGCCAGTACACAATCAGTGGGGACAGATTGGCAAGAAAGAAAACGCACCAAGAGGGAACCTATCTCGACAATATGGACACCATGAGGTATGGACGCCCTGCTCTACAGATGTATGGCCCACGATGTGGGTGTCCAGACATGCCGAACAATATATATGGCCTAGTCGGAATGAAAACTGGGTACGGCGGAGGCGGAATCGGATGACTCACCGCACGGCAGACAGACAGGCGCATCGAGCTCAGAGAGACAGGTCCTGCACGAGCCAGTCATGGTGGACACAAAGAAAGGTGCCGAGTCCACGCAATTACCTTGCTTGTCAACACCTAGCTTATGTATGAGGCTGATAATGCGGCTTGTCGGCCCGTTATGCCGGTATGAAGACATGCTCGAAATGGCCCGATCGACTAACGGACATAGGATCTATGGAAATGCAAGTAAAGAATCCTCTAACGAGGTGTGGAGGAAGGAAAAGCAATGCCGGCATTTGCTGGATTGCACTCTCCTTCCTTGTAGTACTTTCCTCAGAGATTGGTTAACCCGGAGGCTAGGAGAGGGTGGGGACCTCATTTATACTAAGGATACCACCAACAAGCATACGCGGTCCTGGAAAGCACCAGTAGTAGGGAGGATGAAAGAGCTGGAAAATATCAGGTCACTCACGGAAGCTATCCTATCACGCTTTGAATGACTCTTCCATCTTGAGGTCAGATCGATTTTAGGATTAACTGCTGCATTTTTCTGATGTTTCTAGTACAAAAATTACTCATGTCTGTCCATCCTTTCCTACGATAAGTATCAGTTAAGTACCGAGATCACATGGACACAGGAAGCGGTACGCACCTTCAGTCAATTCCGGGTCTGAGCAATGTTCCAACAACTGTAAGAGGAGAGGGTACCCATGTTCCACCCAATGGCGGTACATCGTATTCAGCGCGTGACGGAGGAAGATCATACACCAGTTGAATAAAGTCTGGAAGGGTATCTTCTTTATCACTTTGAATGCAATGACCATCAAACAAATCATGCTGCATAATCCGTGAGCAAAAGGATAAAGACTGCGCAAGTAATAGTCATTCACATTACCCCAACGGTTAGAAGCCCAATGCCAAATACGACTTTCAAATCCGGATCCAGCTCCTTCAATGGATCACGCTGACGTTCAGACCTGAGCTCATCCATCAGGCGGTAATTTTCACGCTGACAGGCAGCTCGGTCATCCTTGGCTTTCTGTTCCCTATCCCTTGCGACGCGTAGCGTATCCATCAGGCGGTAATTTTCACGCTGACAGACAGCCCGGTCATCCTTGGCTTTATGTTCCCCATCCCTTGCCACGCGCAGTGCATCATTCAGTCGCTCGATCTCTTTCCTTCGTCGGTAGTTAGCTTTGGATTTGGATTTGAGTAGACGCTTCAATTTGCGTATTCCCTCTGATCCGCGGGATTCGGGTTCGGGTTCGCCGGATCCCTCGCCTGGGAAGAGTCGACGAACAGCAGACGTGATGAATGGCCTGAATTTGAGTGGAACATGATGGAGCTTAAGTGTGCATTAGGATATGAGAGGGGAAGATTTCAGAAGGGGTACTGACGTTGCTGTCTGGCTCTCCTTTAGAACCATAGATAAACAGCAAGGACACAAACAGCACCAAGAGAGGAAACACACCCAGAGGAAATCGGACTCGACAGTTTGGGCACCAAGAGGTATGTACGCCTTGCTCAATGGTGGTATAGCTCGCGATATGGTTATCCAGGCATGCTGAACAGTATACGTGGCCTAGTCACGGTCAAAAACTTGGTACAGTAGACGAGGAGTGGAGGTAATGACTCACCGCACGGCGGACAGACAGGTGTATCGGGCTCGGAGATGCAGATGCTGCATGAGCCAGTCATAGTGGACACGAAGGATAGTGAGATTCAGAGAATCCAAGCTCGCAAGAGTTGGTTCTTTCATCATTGCTTCCTTTCTTCCGAGGCTGATAATGCGGCTTGTCGGTCCGTCAGTCCGTACATCGTCGAGGCTGGGAAAGAGGGAAGTTGGATTAGGAGCGGATCGCGCGCGCTGGCTATACAGGATCATGAGAATGTATAAGAGGGAGGAAACGATTCGTGATCTCCTCTATTGATCACGACCTGACAGCTGGAATATTTACAGACGTGCAGCTATTGAGAACTACTCTTCGATGCACGGCGGACGTAAAACACGTCCTAGCGGGAACCGGCGCCAGTCGCCAAAGTGGGTATCCATCAGACTCACCCACAACAGGCAGCATGAGGGGTTCGTGGCATAAATATTATGCATCCAGTCACTTCGGAGGGACTCCCAAGAAACCCTCGGTGAGGCAGTATAGATAAAGGCCTCGAAGAAGTTACCACCGAGGGAAACTACGCGAAGGCAAAGATATTCCCAAATGCATTGGCTAGAAATTCAGTTGTCACAGTAGTTTCAACAAAACAGGGCGAAGGGTGACAAACCCAAAGTGCGCATACCCTAGGGCCTTGAGCCGTTGCCAACACCAACATCCTGAAGACAAAGGAAAAGCAGAATCGGCAAATGCCAGAATGGGTCAGGGCCCCTCGAAGTCTTGCCTGCTAGTGACTTGTTGATGGCAGTTTGAACGCCTGCTAGAAGTCAACCATTGTTAAGTACTTTAACCTGACATCGGTAGTCGGAACCCGTTTTGCTATCAGTAGGACAAACGAGGCGTACTAAAACCATGCAAATAGAGTCGAGAACCATATACTTTCGGAAGGAAAGGTGTTTGTCAATAAAATTCGAATAGTAGCAGAAAGGTTCACCGACCAAGCCTATAAAGCTATACCCGGACGTTCCCTGCTCTAGATCCTTGCTTCCCATGTACGCAGTATATTCAAACGATATGCCAAAGTTCGAAGTTACTTTAGATTTCACATCTTGATTTGGATGCATATACTCGTACATGATATCATACCATTAGCTTACCATAAACTAGAGCACTTCACGTCTCTTTATGCCAACACGACATCCAACCGGCTTTCTCAAGAGGCCCTCCTGTGTTTTGAGCTAATCCAAATTTCAGCGAGACAGACGCCAAACAAAAACCATCAGCACTTACACCGTCATCAGGATTCTCCAAAACGAAATGATACCGCTTCAAAATCGATGCGATGATAATTTGCAACTCCATGTTCGCCAGATTACGCCCAATACAGCCCCTGTGACAGTATAAGTTCAGCCTCCAATCTTGTTCAACAACCGAAATCACATACCGAGGACCAACAGAGAACGGAGCAAACGCCTTCGAAACGCTGGCGCTATCACACTCGAACCATCTCTCAGGCCTAAACTCCTCGACATCGTCCCCAAACACCGTTGGGTCCCGATGGGTCGTATAAATAGGAACACTGATAACCGTACCAGCAGGGAGGTAGTTTCCCAAAATCGTCATTCCACCTTCAGGTGCTTCGCGAGGAAGCCCCATAGACACTGCGGGGTGCAGTCGCAGTCCTTCGTTGATGACCGCCTGCAAGTAGGTGAGGTTCTTCACCCGATCGGTTGTAGCCACATCAGAGTCCAGGTGTTCGTCCAGCTCTTTCTGAAGCTTCTCTTGTACGCTAGGTGTGCGTGCGAGGTAGTAGATGATGGCACAGGTAGAGCTGAACCGATGATTCAATTGAAGCATTGCACCAATGGAACAGAATTAGACCTACGTGGAAGTGGTATCAGATCCTGCAACAAGGAGCGTCAGCGCTTCTGCGGTGAGCTCTTCTCTTCCCATTGGGTTACCCTTCGCAAATAATGCAGGTCAGCACAACCGCAGAAATAATTGGAGAAGAGCCACTCACATCTTCGTCCTTTCCAGCTTGTAACTTGCTGAGCAAATCGTTCCTGTCCGTAGGTGTCTGCAACCTCTTCGACACAGCAGTAATTCCCATCCCGACAATAGCATCGAAGTCTTTTCCAGCCTTCCAAAACAGCGGAGCTCGCCTGAGCAGCGACCTACACCACCCAGGCATCGCTCCCATGGTCACTAGGAACGTTTCCGACGGTCCACCCAAAGTCTTGATAACCCTAATTTCTTTCGAAGTGTATTTCGCTCCTGCTTGTCCGTAAGACTTCATTACAGTTTGAGGGTTTTGAGCTACGGGAGCGGAATCTTTGGCTGCCATGATCATCCCGAACGGAGCTCCAAACGCCAAGTCGCCGATAACATCAAATGCGAGATAGTTCGCCCCTGCGAACAGCGGTAGTTAGCACACGAAGAAGATGATAGAGGACCTCCACCTACACGGATAGCAGTCCAACCAAAGCCTTCCATCACGACCCGTCCAACCCTCACCTTCCTCCCCCGACATACCTTTCAAAGCCTTATCATATAGCTTGTCCCACTGTCCCAGCAATTGACCGATGTAACGGCGCACATGCGGCTCAAACTCCAACACGCTCTTCTGCGAAAAAGTATGCGAGATGATCTTTCGTTTGCGTGTATGAGTCTGGCGGTCTCGAGCAGTAAATATACCAAGCTCCGTAGTAATGAAAGCGTCGTAGAACGGTGATTTCAAGGCCCCGTTTCCGTGCCCATAGACCATCGGCTGCGCATCCGACACGGCTACGGAAACGTGGTTAGGCGCAATACGAACGAAGAGACCTTGAAAGACTTTAATTAGCCCTTGACGAGCATGAAAAAATCCAAGGAATACACTAACCGTATTTCTTGTGCAGATCATGGACGACTTCCGAACGATGTCCCTTGTAAGCCACGTACGCCAGCCAAGCATCGGAAAACTTTGCGAGTAGAGGACCGGGATACGAGCGAAGACGATGAGAGTCAATCAGGTAGGGGACCAGGTGAACCAGGACGGCCAATACCATAACACTAACGATGACCGATGGAAAGTCTGCGTGAAGCCATTCGAGAGGAAGGGAAAACATCTTGTCGTATATGAAGATATTCCAAACGAAGGCCTTTTATCCTTTCACTGCAGGGGCCCAATAAATGGAGACATAGCTGTTATAGCCAATCAAGTGCGGCAAAATGCCAACGGCGTCACATTGACACCGAATCGTCCCCTACTCGAAGACCTTGTGATACATGCATCGGACCTGATGTACGTTATACTGTGTGAAAACGACCAGAGCAACAGTGAGCCTCATCCGAACGGCATAATTTCGAAATCCCCCTTGGAACAAAGTTTTCGCGTAGAGAATGCTTTTGACGTCAACTGCACAGCAGTGGCGAAAAATGTATCGCATGGAGGTGATTTTACGACCAGCAATAGGGCTATCCATTCATGTTGAGAAAGCCTAGAATCCCAACTAGAGGGGAGATAGCTCGACCCATAGGAAAACAACGACCAGCTGAGTCGTTATCATTAGCCAATGTTTCTCCGCATCCGAATGTGGTTGGGTATTTCTGATTACTAGACCGGGCCTTGGGAGCCGGACTCGAAGCATATTTAATCAACTCGTCTCTTCAAAGACGGTAAGGTTGCGGCCAGAAGGAAAGACCAGAGACGCACAGCTGACAGACGTCGAGCTTTGTGCTTCTAGTGGTAGCGATACAAGCCATTCGTTGCATGAGGGTAATCAGTGAATTCGCAAGTCCGGCACGGCCTTCCAGTTCTTGGCACGCTTTGAATTTTCCCCTGGTCCAAAGCCAGCATCCCTCACCAACAGCGCGCGTTCACATCATCTTATTTTCTTATTCAGCACCAACAGATAATTCATTCTTCACTAAACCGACGAACCAAACACGCGTTACTCTTTCTCCCTATGCACTCAAGCAATCCGCACAGCCTCGGATACCCGAAGTCGAGCCAGATCACTATACATTCATAGTCCCCACAAAGAATCCCAAGCCTACACAGAGAGAGTCAACATCCACGAGAACCGAAAACACTAACGAAGGAACACGTACAGCGCGAGAGCAAGAATCATTGCCGATGCAGCGACGTCAGTGAATAGCCACACATAGAATGCCACCTCCCTCAGACACTCTTCCGGACGAGTCACCACGCGCCAAACGATCTCGATGCCAAGCCAAACGGTCTGCAGGAAGAGGGCACATCCAACGCTAACAAGAGCGTTCCAGAGTGCGGAGAGCACCCCAAGTAAAACGGTCTTTCGCAGAAAGACAGTTCTAATGCTGGTAAAAACGCCATGTAGGGCGCATGCCACTCGATTTCTCTCCTGCTGCCGGTTTTCATCTTCGGTGTACATGTCCGCCAAGAGCTCTTCAGTCAAACTCTTATAGCCCTCCACCTCGCTTCTCAGCCCTTCTACTTCAGTTTTCAGAGACGCGTTGCACGCGTCGAGGTCCTTGACTTGTGTGCGTAACGCAGACAACTCCTCCACTAGCGCTTCAGACTGGGGGGACATATACCTTGCGAAGCTGAGGAGGGGGAGGTCAACACGGATATGACCGTTGTTGACACGTATTACTCACACCGACTACCATTAATCGGCTATCAGAAGAATAGCCCTGTGAAAGAGAAGGGCGACTCACACTTATTGATCGTTGAATTACAGGTAGGGCATTTGCATACGCGTTGTTGTGGCGAGTTGAAGGCGAACCATCTGTCTATGCACGCCAGACAGAATATATGACCTATGGCAAGGGCGTTAAGCACGATCCCAGTCGACGTCAATACCCATTGGAGCTCACCGCAGGCCGCTGCATAGGGATCCGTGAGCGGGTCGTAGCATATAATGCACTCGATCATTTTGAAGGGAAAGTTACAGGCGAACAATCTCTCACTGAGAGTATAAATATCAATCCTGGTTCTGACTCTTTGTGGCATTCATTGTAGAGGACAATGACAACCATGTCCGTAGATGTTGTCATAGTGTCTACAATGGAAGTTGAGGGTAGAATAGTGGCGTTGAAAATGATGGGTGCATGACAAGACGGTTTGTTGTATTCGAGAACAAAGGCGCCTGAAAGGAAGGAGAGGCGCGATCGGCAGGTGCCGCATTGATACATATGCCCTTGACGAGCGTAGGAAAATCCACCGGAAATGTTTGCAGATACGAAGAGTCTTTGGAACGTGGTGCTAAACGTCGCATTCGAACAAAATATTGCTCAGAGGGTCACGTCGCGCAGGAACCGAATAACTCCGTTTTTTCAAAGAGGTACCCTGCCCAGGTTTCCGGCAAGACTAGATAAGTATCGACAGGCACTTCAAGTCGAATCTATGCTAAGAAATGAGCTCGACATGAGCTGGGAGAACGACGAAGCTCACCTAAATCACGGTATGCATCGCCCAGCTTGCCATGCTCCATCCGGCATCCGCCTTTCGACCAACCCTATCCTTATCATTCCTACACTACGGCCTTCTATTCTCTTACGCCAAACAACGCCCGCCCCCCCGGGGAATCGAGCTCAACGATCCAAACCCTTCATTGAACTCCGGAAGGGCTATCTGCTTGAGGGCATTAACAGAGCGAGGGAACGAATGACGCGGAGCCTTGCTTTGCACAGTAGACATATCCTGTCACCGGTCAAGAGTCAGCCGGGCGAGGAAGGGGTACCATAGAGGATGCAGTGTTCGGATATAGCGCCGCCCGGAAACCTTGAAGGACAGATGAAATTCTGCCTAGACCTTCGAATGCCGCCAAATACATCAACTTTGTAAATCAGCGGCCTTTGCAATGGTCAGAACCTTTAGCTAGTTGCGTTCAGGAACACCGGCCTGGCCTGTTTGAGTTTACATGAACATGGACGGTATCGTTCTTGTCCATGTGCGTCATATGCCCTAAAGACAGCTATTATGGGTAGCAGTCGTCGGAGAAGACACACGGCAGGCTGTACGCGAAGAACCCGCTGGGCGAGACCCAGTATGTGGCGATGTTACGGTTTGAAGCATACCGGTGACTGAGTGAGGGTGAGGTAAGGTGATAGTAAGAAGGAAACCCGGATCGGCAAACGCCGCATCGCATCTCTTCACGATGACCTCGCCTGCAGCATGCGGTATCGACCTGGAAAACTCATGGTCATGTGAAAGAGTAGTACTCAGGCTGGCGATTCTGGCCGTGCCACTACTGCGTGCTCAGTCCCGACTCGGAGTAGCGCAGCTACGGTGCGGTGCAGGCGTCCCTTGGCAAATTTGGTCTTTAGGGCTCCCGACCCCGCATATGAAAGAGCACAGTATGACGGCGCAGTAGGGCTGTACGGGCATGGAGCAGCAGCAGCATGGACATGTCGTTTTAGGTTAAAGTCTCCTCGTGTACTTTTTTTAATAACTCCTGTATCGCACTGACCACGACGCAGTAGGGCCTTCTTCATACAGGACAATCACCGTAGCCAATATCCAACACGTTTTTCGCAGAACGAAAGTCATTAAATGTCATCAAAACTATTACAACGCTCTAACTAAGTAGTAGACTAAGCAAAGTCCTCAAAACAGTACAACTATACGTAACAACATTATACACTGAGATACTGTCCGAAAAGTCATGTCCGTTCCATCATTATATGCAGGGCTATAAACCCCGCTCGTAACATTGTTTGGTGGTACAATTAAGCATTGGTACAAAGGGAGGTGTCCAAAGGGAGATGTGATTTAAAGGTGTGGTGCGGGGGCTGTGGGTAGAAGCCATGCCGCTTTTCAGTTGGTGATGGTAAAGGTTTCACCCCAGTTACCGGAGTCTCCAAACACTGAACGGAGAGGTCAACACTGTGCCCAGTAAAGCAAAGAACGATGGTACGCACAGACAACTCGGTAATCACTGCCAGGTTCAACACTCGGTACCGTCACCTCGACTTGCCCGTCAAGAATGCTGAATCCTTCAGCAAGAACCGCTACATTACCCACGTTGTCAGACATCACGCAATCAAATAACGAAAGAAGAAAACTCACAAGTCATATCAGTCTTGTTCCCCTTCCTGAGCCTTATCGTCCCAGTGGGGTTCGTGATTTGCGTAGGGGGACTAGACGCATCCCAAGTGACCGTCTGTGTAGAGCCAACAGTCCACACTGAACCGCTATCTGGGAGAACGACAGCTGGGGCATATACATCTCGAGAAACGAGAACAGGTGCTGAGAGAACCGACATGGGGAAGAGGAGGGCGAAGAGGGCGGTGATGAAGAGCGTAAAGTTCATCGTGAGATCGTTAGTTTTGGGAGTAGAGAAGAGAGGTAAAAGGTTTGTTAGGAGGTAGGCGAGGGAAGGCCAGCAAAGACAAGGCTCCAAGGCAGGCCAGTGCGTACCTTATATATCAGCCTGCCATGCCGAAACCGGATCATGTCGACGCGAGGATGGCCCGCTGTCACCGAGTATGCGTCATCATTTCACAATTCACCGCCTCCTTACTTCCGAAACTTTTAGCGCAGATCTCTTGCACCGCACTTGGCATACCCAACACCTCGAGGGTTCCTTGTCCCTACTAACACGGAAACCAAAACGCCAATTACTGCGCGAATCATGGAGCTCTAGTAGAGAATAACGGATTTCATGTTTCGCCACCGCCACATAATACAGCACCCTTCCATCGTACTGTGCATTTTGTCAGGACACTTCATTTTTTGACTTGACCAGTGACTGCCATTAAAATTAGCCAACCGCGTCATCGCCACCGCACGTATTATCCGACCGATGTCTACGGTGTTCCAACTTGGGCCTTATTGGTGTTCTGTGCTTCCTTCAGGTTCCCACTAATGGATGCCTCCAACTTTGAGCCTCAGCGAAAAAACATCCTCCATCGCCCAGCCTAATGCTCGGATTAACATTGGAGGCCTAGGTCCCTCTGCGGGGAAACAACCTACGATTATGCGGCTAGCCGAAAATCGAGAACACAACACCGTAGGCGATATGATATGATTGTGCGGCCAGTTATGGAAAATCCAGAGCAAGTCTGACGATCAGATATGATGATTGCGCGGCTGAAATAAAACGATGACTCGAGACAAGCCTCGACGGCAGAGCGTAATCATAATAATCTTGCACGACTACTCTACCAAGGATGCCGCGGTTCAACCTGCACACCGACGTCCAAGTCTGTGACATCTTAGCACTTCTTCGAATCCAAGGTCCAAGGGGCTAGACTCGCATCTTCTCCCAGAACATTCCTCAAAATTAATTCCTGTCCAACTCAAAAAGTAAGCACCCACTCTTCGAACTCGAAACAAACATACGATTTCCTAAACCGCAGTGGGGGAATTTCAAAGTCGCCTCAACAGTTCTTCGTGCTTGTCGGGACGTTCTCCTAGGTACTCGCAACCCACTATCCGCTCAACGCCCGCACGCCTTGCTTCTCCTTTCGTGCTTGTCGGAGCGATGCGTCATTTTCTACAGGGATCGTCCCTGCCAAACGCACCATTCTCTGCACTCCTCAAAGAAAAAAAGGGATGAAACCCGGATCTAAGGCGCAGTTAAGTGCATAGATAGTGAAAGCCAAAGGGAGATTTCACCAAGCGCAGTTAGGTATTCGCATTCCATATTCCACGGGCGAAGGTCGTATCGAGAAGCTAGGGGGGGGCCTGGACAGTGAGCAAAATCAAAGTCATATTCTCTCCTGACATGCATATCGGTCATAGTCGGAACGTGCGCTCCTATCGCAAAGGGTCAATCACCCACAATCCACGATTCAGTGTCCAACGGGCCCTTGTATCTCCAAACTCGAACGTATCCGTTCAGAATGGCGTGTTTTTTCTTTCTTTCTTTCTTTCTTTTACCCACAACTTAACCGACGTCGACGAGGATAGAACGGTCCTCGTACTTGGCGACGACGCCTCGCTTAAATAATATAATAAAGATCGAGTTCGCCGCGTAAATTTTTCGCGAATCATGACTTTGCCGTTGGGGATTTTCCGTGAGGTCGCGCGCGGTCTTTGTCGGATTTATGCCAAACTAAGACGCAGGGTACGAGTACATACGAGCTATTCTCAAAATTGATGAGCAAGACTTGCCAAGTAGAATGGATATCTTACACTTTACGCCAACTATGTTCATGTATAGTCCGATAATGGGATATGATAACCTCCACCTTGGCCCAGGTCCAGATCGAGGGATGTCCTGCGTGTCGTGTTAGGGCCAACAAAGATTGGCGGAGAGCGGGTAGGACAGCCAGGCGAAATATCATTATGTAGCTAGCGGAGAAGGCGTAACCGATGGTTTGGACGAATTCGGATCATGACATTGGTTGGCGAGGCAGGTTGATAAATGATAAATAAAGGGGCAAGTACGTGTTATTACTATACGGGCCTCTTGATGAGCACTGGAACCTATAGCAAATGAGGGAAAATGACTATGGTCTCTTAACATAGCCTTCCCGTCGCGTTGTGGGTCTACATGTACACACGCGGAAGTATTTCGAAGAATGGCTCCGCGGATGCAGCTATTCGACGCGAATAGGGGCTAGATACAATCTAAAATGCTCGCTTTCCAACGATAGAGACTCGTTCGACGCCTTCAGTTTGGTGACACCGAGTAATAGTGAATATGCTAGCATGGTGCCCTTATGTTTTGAAAGAGTGTGATGCGCTCAGCACAGCAGGAACAGTAATGTTGGTCGAGGTCAAGAGGTAGACTCAGGGGAACCGGCATTTGCCGCGGAATAGGCTTGCGCTCGCTTCAAGTACACTGGCAGCAATATGGCAAGTATCGTCGATTGCAAGAAGACGAACATATCGACAAAGGTGGAAACAATGGGTGTGAAGTAATAGTAGATGGCACAGCACGACAGGATAGGTAAGCCCGCGACTAGTACTATCCGGCACGTCCGTTGTAAATCTTGTGATGCGTTGAGATGTATAACGCCTCCGTCTGCCACTTTCCAGCGTCATCGGCCCTCCGCATGCGCACCGTCTTTAAGGTGAAGAAAGGCGTTGTCGTCTACTATTTGGGCTTGTCTTTCCCTCTGCACCGTCCCCCTCGACCAGACAAGTTAAGGTGTGACCAGTGCCACGGGAAGGTCGATTCATACAAAAATGGACCGTAAATGGACCGTGTCGACGGTGATTGGTAGCCTTTGAGGTCTGAGATATGGGGGCTCGTCTAAGCTAGAACGAGCTGTATGCAGCAATGAGTAACGAGTTCAGAACAACAAAGCGTCAAGCAACTTACCGACTACGTTTGCCCACTCGTGCGCCACTATAGCATTCCGACGACACTTGGGCCAAGGTAGAGTCGGATGATGTCGAATATTGTGAGGTAACAACTTCGACTTTGACCATAACAGCAATGCGAGGATATTCCCGCACGACAGTAGATGGTGCGCGAAATGCCATAAGAGCGAGGATGTCCTGTTAATTTATGAAGAGATTAGATGATGAAGGAGGTACAGCCGCAATGTGGGCTGCATACCTTTACGAAGACCGTGACAGATAATGCCATCGCAATCGCGATGGCAAAGAGATAACCGGTAGTTTGGATAAGTTGGTTGTTGGTAATCATGTTTGTATTGAGTGAGAAACAATTGACCGAATAGCGGGGGCATATATACGCTTGAGGGGTACCTACCCCTACCCTTTGATCGCGGTGAGTCTGGAAGCAGAAACTTGTATAGTGAGACAGAAGGGTCTCATTCATGAGAAGAAGGTTTACTTGTGTTCTCTTAGGTATCTCCCCTACCAGGTACCAGCAGATACTCTCCGTCAAATTTGCGTCGACGCGCCGCCTTTCCAGGTCAGTCGGCAACACGGAGTCGCGTTGTGGGTCCATATGATGTCGACCGCTAGGCGAGAAAGACTCCGCGGAGGCAATGCCAAGACACCACCTATGCATCTGAAACGACAATACACCGCCTCGATATTCCACTCTGCGGAACAAAGGAAAGAAGATTCCGAGTCCAAGCGGTCGTGCCTTCATGTTTCAGGTTGGGTGCTGGGTGACTGCGCTGAAAAGACAGTGATGGTGACGGGGAGATTTAGTCGTGGAGCTGTACGTTGTAGTACCTGCGCGTCCTGTGAAGCTAAGATAAAACTCTGGGGCTCAAGTTCATCATTTAAAATCGGCGCCCACGTCCATCGAGGCAAACATGCAGAATTTAGAAAGAATGTCTACTCTGGAACGGCTACCTGTAAGGAGTCAATCCTTGTATATTGGCAGGTGATGAAGGAGAAGAAACTCAACGAAGATCGACCATCCAATGAGAACTTTAGTACGTTCATGGTTTAATAGACGAAAAGCGAGTTCATCGAGGCAGGCGGGCTCAAAAGAATTAATGATGAGTTGGACAAGACTCCGAATAACTCCGACGCTGCTGGGGCCTAAGCTTGACCAGCCCTAAAACGCTTGTGGAGAAGGTAAGGATGGGCGTCAACCCTTCTATACAGCTGGTGCTAGGTGCTTATTGAAAGAAAACTTCTTATCCAGGGGCGGATATCGAACCCGCGGCCGGACCGGACTTGCGAACTCGCAGGACTCGCAAGGCCATCAACATTTGCTTTCATACGAACGTTCGAACTATCGCATCGACAACGCTTAAAGTTCAAGACCTCTCAGTTCTGCTTCTGACGACAAGGCTAGTGTCTTTGTGTCTTTGTGGGATGTCTTTCGCTATCCAATAAATTCGACAAAATTTACCTGCGTTCGGATAGCACGGATAAACTTTTGACTCATTGGCTAATAAGAACGACTAAGCCCGTAGCTCGTTGCATCTTGGCCGATGGAATACGCAGATTTAATGTATTCTGCGTGTAATCAGAACCCTTCCATTATTTCCTGGTACCAAAAATGCATTGCGGTAGAAATATATCGCCTTTCGAGAAGTGGGCCCCTCGCCTTGTTATCCGATAAGTTTTGCACTAATGCATACCGTGAGTTGGTGTTGGATGTCTTCTCTCTATATGACTAACAATTTCTCAAGGATAATCTTTATTCCCATTCGAAAACCTAAGCTCCAGTGATTGCACTCTCTCACAGTGTAACGTACATTTCCGTCCGATGTATGGACCTGTCATCACACGGCCTTATGGAAGGAAGGTTCGATGTCAATGTGACCTCGCTAGGCCATGACAATGTTCTCCGTTCCTTCGAGATTGCGGCCATATAAAAGCCCTCGCATATACATTCAGGATTAAAATGCTCTGTCTTAGCTTCGAATCGCTGCATACCGACGTCCCGACCGTCATCACCACTGTTGTCGCTTTGGTCGTCTTGGTTCATCTGGTCCCCTACCTCATCGATTTTCATCGCCTTCGCTCGTATCCCGGTCCTCTCGTCGCCAAGTTCTCCGATACGTGGCTAGCATGCGTGTCTTACCAGGGACGTCGTTCGGAAGTCATTCACGATCTGCATAGGAAATATGGTCAGTGTGTTCTGAAATTTGTTTTCGCGCTGTTCAAGGACTGATTGGTCTCATTGAAGGTCCCTTCGTCCGCCTAGCACCTAACCACATTTCCATAGCTTTGCCGGACGCTCAGCCACTGATATACGGACACGGAAATGGATCCCTGAAGTCATCGTTCTACGATGTGTTCGTTACGACATCTCGTAGTCTGTTTACCGTCCGCGAGCGCCAGAGCCATACTCGCAAACGGAAGATCATCTCACACAGCTTTTCGCAGAAAAGTATCTTGGAGTTCCAGCCATATGTCCGCCGTTATGTCGCTCAGCTGCTGGGACAGTGGGAGAAGCTGTATGATCAGGCTTTGAAAGGCGTGTCGGGTGAGGTTGAAGGTGACGGCTGGAAGGGTCGGGATGGAAGGCTTTGGTTGGACTGCTTTCCATGTGAGCAACATCCTCTATCAGTCTTCTGTGCGTACTTATGACTTGCTCCTTGCAGGGGCAAACTATGTCACGTTCGATATCATCAGTGATCTAGCATTTGGAAGGCCGTTCGGGATGACCGCAGCAGGCAAGGATTCCGCTCCAATGGCTGAGGATCAACATGCCGTGATGAACTCTTATGGACAGGTGGGGGTGAAACATGCCTCGAGGGAAATTCAGGTTATCAAGACGATAGGTGGTCCTTCGCAGACGTTCCTTGCGACGTTGGGAGCTTTGCCTGGGTGGTGGAGGTCACTAATTAAGCTGAATCCGCTCATGTGGGAGGGCGGACAGGACTTCCGTGACATTATAGGGTTGGCAATCATGGCTGTATCGAGGAGGTTAGAGGCGCCGACGGATAGGAACGATATACTTAGCAAGCTGCAAGCTGGGAAGGACGAAGACGTTAGTAGCTTTTCCCAATTACCTCGACTATGCTTAGTGCTAACGCACTAGATATACTAAGGGTAATCCAATGGGCAAAGAAGAACTTACTGCAGAAGCGTTAACTGTTCTCATTGCCGGATCTGATACCACTGCCAAGTATGTCTTTCAATATTCTATCAATACGATGCATAAACTCAATGTTCTGCCCAGTTCTACCACTGCCATCATCTACTACCTTGCACACACCCCGAGCGTACAGGAAAAGCTTCATAAAGAGCTTGACGAACACCTGGACTCCGAAGTCGCTACAGCTGAACAAGTGAAGAATCTCCCCTACCTGCAGGCGGTCATCAACGAAGGACTGCGACTGTATCCCACGGTAGCGATGGGTCTTCCCCGCGTAGCACCCGAAGGTGGTATAACGATTCTAGGAAATCACTTCCCCGAGGGTACGATTCTCAGTGCGCCTACGTATACGATTCATAGGGACCCAGCGGTGTTTGGAGACGATGTGGAGGAGTTTAGGCCTGAGAGATGGTCTGAGTGTGATGGTGCCGACGTTTCGAAGGCATTTGCTCCGTTCTCTGTTGGCCCTCGGTATGTGATCCCATATTTGGAACAGAACTGAGGTTGAGCCGGTACTGTTACAGGGCTTGTATCGGGCGTAATTTGGCAAACCTCGAACTGCAGATTATCATTGGGTCAATTTTCAAGCACTTCCATATCGTGTTGGAGAATCCTGATGAGAAGGTAAGTAGCGGTGTTTTTTGACATGCCTCTTGCTGAATGACTTTTGGGTTAGCTCAAAGTACATGAGGGCATCTTGAGAAAGCCGGTCGGATGTCGTGTTGGCTTGAAGAGACGCGAGGTGCTCTAGTTCATTACGATACGCTTCTACGATCATTTCATGTGCAAGTATACACAAATTCAGTTGTAGAATGCAACGCTTATGTCTGTTTCTTCTCCTACACTGTGGTGCCAAACTTGAAAAGCGTCGTCTTTCTCCGAATATCATCCTTGTTTCCGGTGATCATATCATATGAATAATCCTCAGCTGTTGTAGGACAAGAAATATGAGGCAGTACCTTTTAAATCTGACGGTAGCTCTGTACTTCGGCAGCTACGACGTTTCGACCCTAATTAGTGTTGCAGGTATGGAGCGCAGCGTTCGGTGTAGGAGCGTAATACTGGAGTGACGGTCAATTGCTTTTAAAGAAGAGGTAAGCTACCGCTAATTACTTACCTGGAGTGACGGTCAATTGCTTGAAGAAGAATTGACCGTCGCCCCAGGAATGTCCAACTACGCTTAGCTAATGTGGCGCATAGCGCTTGTCCTTTAGGTGCTACGTCGTCCCACAACAATTAGTACAGAATTCAGAGATTTGCTCACCGGCGCGGCATTTGCTGGCATTACTTTCCTCTTGCCGGCGTCTCTTCGTCTTTGGTTTTAACGTCCCCCATCTTCCAGCATGATTTTCCTTCAATGTCATTTTTACACAAACTGTGTCTTTATGATTTTTCTATGGGATCTATGATACGGGCGGCAAGGACGTGTAACTACTGATGTTCTCCGCAAAAAAGGTCCCAATGCAGCCACAATCGCTAGGAACCGAGGTAGTCTAAATTGACGACTCTCATGCAACACGGTGCCTTTGGTTGCCCACACTCGAAGTTTGTCTGCTTCTTATTGCATGCCTGACACCCTTGGAGAATCCCATTGAATAGGACTTGAATACGGGCCCTCGCTTCCGGTCCAGTAATCAGAGGCATCCAAATACACTCGGATGCGGATAATCTTTGACTTATGACAATTAACGACGACTCATGCGGAGGTTGTTCCACATGTTCCTGACACTCAAAGACCACCGCTATAGAAGAATATCGTGTCTGAGAAGTCGCTTCGCCCTTTTCTTCGATACGTTTTTACTAAAACGGCAATGCGATGTCGACATTTTCTTCCTCTGGCTGACAAATATCTTCTCAAGATTCAATGCTGCTGTTCACATGAGCTCCTGCCATCGTCATTACTGCTGACGCTGTATATTTCCGGGTCTGACACTTAGACCTATCTTGCAGGAGGAACGTTCGGCGTTGATGTAACCGTGTAACCGTGTCAAAGCATAGCAGTACCCTCTGAATCTTTGCGACGTAGCCATATAAAAGGCCTTCGTATCAAGTAGCTACAGAACAACAATGTTCCCTCTTAGCTTCGAATCGCTGCATACTGACGTCCCGACAGTCATCACAACTGTGGTTGCGTTGGTCGTCTTGGTTCATCTGGTCCCCTACCTCATCGACTCTCATCGACTTCGCTCGTATCCCGGTCCTCTGCTCGCCAAATTTTCTGATGCGTGGCTAGCATATGTAGCTTACCAAGGACATCGTTCGGAGGTCGTTTATGATCTGCATCGCAAATATGGTCAGTCCTTGTTTAGATCTTTTCGCGCTCTTCAAGGCTAATTTATGTCACTGAAGGTCCCTTTGTCCGCATAGCGCCCAATCACATTTCTGTGGCCCTATCGGATGCGCAGCCCTTGGTATACGGGCACGGAAGTGAGGCACTGAAGTCGTCGTTCTATGATGTGTTTGCGAGAACATCCCATGGAATATTTGACATTCGCGATCGCCATGCGCATACTCGCAAACGAAAGATCATCTCGCATACTTTTTCACCGAAGAGCGTCCTCGAGTTTGAGCCGCACGTACGCAGTTACATCAGTCAACTCCTAGGACAGTGGGACAAGCTATATGACAAGGCTCTCAAAGGAATGTCGGGGGAGGAAGGTGAAGGCTGGACGGGTCGTGATGGGAGGATGTGGTTTGACTGCTTGCCATGTAAGTGAACTTCCTCTTTCGTTTTCCACCTCGTACTTACCACTGCTGTTCGCAGGGGCAAACTATCTTACGTTCGATATCATCGGTGAGCTGGTGTTTGGTGCACCATTCGGGATGATTGCAGCAGCGAAAGATTTTGCTCTGGTTCCTAAAGATCAACATGCCGTGTTGAGCTCTTACGGGAAAGTAGGGGCAAAGTATGCCACAAGGGAGATCGAGGTTATCAAGACTTTGAACAGATTAGCGCCCTTCCTGGCGACAGCGGGACCTCTACCTGGGTGGTGGAGGCCATTGGTGAAGTGCACTCCATGGCTATGGCAGGCTGGAAAAGACTTCGACGTCATAGTAGGGATGGCAACGGTGGCGATAGGGAAGAGGTTGGAAGCACCAGCAGGCAGGAATGATTTGCTTAGCAAGCTGCTAGCCGCGAAAGATGAAGATGTGAGTAACTTTTTGCCAATTATTCTGCAACCGTGCTGAGCTTATCAGGGCAATCCCATGGGTCACGAAGAACTCACTGCAGAAGCACTGACGCTTCTCATTGCAGGATCTGATACCACTTCCAAGTAGGCATTTTTCCGTTCCGTCAGTGCAACACATAAACTCAATGATCTTCTTAGCTCCGCTAGCACCATCATCTACTACCTCGCGCGTACACCGAACGCACAAGAAAAACTTCAGAAAGAGCTGGACGAGCACCTGGACTCTGACGTCGCTACAGCCGAGCAGGTGAAGAATCTCCCTTACCTGCAGGCTGTCATCAACGAGGGATTACGATTGTACTCAACGGTGGCTATTGGGCTTCCCCGTGTAGTACCTGAGGGTGGGATGACGATTTTAGGAAACCACTTCCCTGCTGGCACGGTTGTAAGCATCCCGAGTTATACAATCAATCGGGACCCAGCGGTGTTTGGGGACGATGTCGAGGAGTTCAGACCTGAGAGATGGTTTGAAGGTGACAGTGACAGCATGTCGAAGGCGTTTGCTCCGTTCTCTGTTGGTCCCCGGTATGTGATCTTTGGTTTCCTAACGGGGTTCAGGGTTCAGTACTTATACAATCATAGGGCATGTATCGGGCGTAATATGGCGAGCATGGAGCTGCAAATTATCATCGGGTCGATTATGAGGCGCTTCCATTTCGTGTTGGAGAATCCTGATGAAATTGTAAGTGCTGATATTTTCCTGGTATGTGTCTTGCTGAATTTTGGGTTAGTTCGAGATACACGAAGGCTTCGTGAGGAAACCCATTACTTGTCGCGTTGGTATGCGGCGACGTGAAGTGCTTTAAATTATCACGAAGATACATTTGGCAATTTCTTGCAATACGTGAACTCAGTTCTGGAATCTTAACAGAGAGCTGCTAGCTTTCATACATGTTGTTATGAAAGACTTTTTCATCTACTAATATTATTGTCACTTCCTGAGATCCGACCGCTGATCAACCTAATCTAGTTCGAGGAAGACACCGTTCTCTTCTCTTCTCGGATATATCAGGTGCGGATATTTTTTAAGCTAATACTAACACGGTTAACAGCCTGCGACTCAATTGCTTCAAGGTATCGAAAACAAGGTTTGAACATATGCAAAACAGATGGTATAGTAGGTGAAACTGTGCGACAGAACTATCACGACTGCAAGAGTCCGTGCGATTGATCACGGTGTCTAATGCCTTCATCGCCTCCTAGACGTATTCTCCATCGGTAAGGAGAAGATAGACACGTCAGGCTCGCACGACGTGACTATTGAGCCTGTCGCACTATCCCAATCCTCGATTATGAAAGGAATGGAACCATATACGCGAGGGTGCTGATCGATAGAACAATCGTCTATGCGTGCAGAAAAGACTAACGTTGACAGTCTTGCTAGCCTGATCGGCAGTTAATCTCCTTCGACATTGTATAAGTTAGGACAAGCTAAGTGCACCAATGAGATATAAGCCAACGACAATGACAAAGTGACTGACCGATTACGCTTGCCTATCCGTGAGCCGCTGTAGCATTGTGATGATACTTCGACCAAGGTAGAGTCAGAAGACACCAAAGAGGATGGTTCAATCGTCGAATATTGTGTGGTAGTGACTTCGACCTTGACCATAACAGCGATGCGGGGATATTCCGGCGTTACAGAGGGTGATACGCGGAATGTCATAAGAGCGAGGATGTCCTGTAGAACAGGTTAGATGAGGTCAATAGGTATACACGCGGAGTACGTACCTTTACGAAGACCGTGACGGATAATGCTATCGCAATAACGACGGCAAAGAGATAACCGATGGTTTGGATAAGTTGGTTGTTGGAAATCATGGTTGTGATGAGGAAGGAAATTGCATGAATGGCGGGGGTATATATACACCAAGAGGGGCAACTACCCCTACCCTTTGATCGCAGTGAGTCTTGGAGCAGAAGCTTGTATAGTGAAACAAGAGTCTCACCAACCTCGAGAAGGAGATGTACGAAAAGTACTTTTAACTCTTCATCTGGGAGCTTTGAAATACTCTTGGTTGAGTCAGTTGCGTTGACGCCATCTTTCCAGGTCCGTCGGCAACGCAGAGTTGTGTTGTAGGTCCGTATGATGTCCGACGGAAGAATAAAAGACTCCGCGGAGGCAATGCAAGACAGGAATAGGGACTACCGATTTCGAATTCCACTCCGACGGAAAAAAAAGAAAGAGCTTAATTTAGGTACCGCTCCAAAGCTTCAGAGTCCAAGTTAACATCAATTGGTGCTGCATTGCCGGAGGGAATCCAGTGACGTCCATCAATTGATCAAAGGGTTACAGATCAGAGAACAAATTGTCGGAAACTCTGCATAAGCATTATTACGTCAACTCTCCTCTAGTATGCACTTATGCCGCCGCATTATAAAGTGTTAGGAAGGTCTGAGAGCCTCGATTTTTGGTCAGAATTATCTCATGGACGTGCACATTCAGCTGGCACCAAAATTTCCTTCCTAGGCCTTCTAGTTCAGATGCATTTTTTAGTGGAATATAATATCACGTGACGCATTATTGACCTTATTAGACATTACTTGCCGAGAGTCGGCATTATAATCAATTTTTTTTGCCCAAATAAGGTATTTGCAGAATCTCCGACAAAGGATCTATTCATACGGTACCAGTCCATTTTAATCTTGTTAATGGAAGATGAAGAAATATTCGCGTACGGCCAGAGATGCCAGAGATGTAGAACTGGTATCGCTTGGCTTCCAGTGAAAAGGCAAGTCTTGCGAAGCGAGGAGTGAATTGAGAATCGCGGCCTACGTCGCAAAGAAGACTTGATATCAAACGGAAGAAGGCAATGAATGTACAGAGAACACGAAGATAAAAATCACGAAAAGTGAATTTGTCGGAACTCGGGTCCGAAGTCCCGAAGTGGCCGAACACTCGACCGACCCTAAAGCTAAAGTCGTCCTTGCCTCCCTACCATCACGTCCATTCTCGTCCAGATTCCAGACTTCCTCTATTGAGTATATGCGCCAGCAATTATTGACATTTCTGGTCAAGAGGCCACTCGGAAAATATGTCAAATCCGTGGTGCTTTGGCCATCGAAAACAATGACAATATCCACGGACAATGCGCAGGTATAAAATGTCGCTGCTGGATGCCTCTTGAGCTCTTTACTACTCTACCGCCATGTCCACCTCTTGCGTATGCAGTATCTGCCTCTCTGACTTTGCCGACCCCGTTTGCATGCCCTGTGGTACACTCTCTTCCTGGCATTAGGACTCTGACTCTGATTATCGGTGGCAGGACATGTCTACTGCTCGAATTGCATCGCACAGGCAACCAGCGTTCTGCGTAATGAGGGATTAACCACAGCCCATGCCCTGCCTGTCGCAAGCAGTTTTCTATATGTGACGATCCCGTTCGTGCCCTTCCCCTGATAATCAATCAAAGGCTCATCAGACATCTAGCTCTCACGCGACTTTCACGAATGCTTCGGCTACCCCCTCCGGAGGCTCTACGTGAATGGAATAAGGGTCAACTTTGAGGACCAGATGAAGAGACTGGAGGAGCGTATTGCGAGTTTGGAGCGGGAGAATCAGTGACTGCGAAATAGGGACTCGTTGCCGTCTAGATCTTTGCGCTATCAAGATGAGAGGTACGGCCGGTCTGTGCCATGGCTTGCACGTACACTCCGCACGGGATCGGGATTCCCGTCGTGGATGCCGCGAGAGGACCGTAATGTGTCGAGCATGAAGTGGTTGGCGAGCGCATTTGTGTGAGTCTTGTCAGCCTGGAGCTTGAAACCAGTGTTCATGCTGTCGTAGGTTTGGATTGACAATGACGGTAGGGTTTGTTGCAGGCTTCATCTTGTACGATGCTTTTGGTACACATCCAGTCTTGAATCCCGAGGTATATTACGGGTAGGGCTTTACATTGCATTTGTGACGTTGGTTGCTACGAAATCATTGTTGTGATAGCATACAAAGTTTCCCGAAAAGCCAGCAAGTAGAAGTCGAAGTCTAGGTCAGTATATGCCCCAGTCAGAGCAACGCCCATCGTGTTTCCCAGGAAGAGTCGGAGTGAAAGTGGGTGAACGGATTCAAGTCACAGCGGAACATCACAAGCCATATTTCTGCCAGTGGTCTGTAGTAGCGTTCGACAAAGGTGCAGTCTTGTTGTACGTACTTTGAGGAAGATACCTCTGACCTAATCCAAACAATGTAGAGAAGCTCAATAGTAAATCCAATACATATACGCCTGGCATCATTACCCAGCATGCCTTCTTCCTCTTATACTCTAACTGCCTCATCTTTTGCAGGTCTTTCTTCGCGTTCTCGACCGCTGTCATAAGAACACGGCCATCTCGCTCGAGGGCAACGTTACACGCGGAAAGTCTTTGTTTGAATGCTTCTGGTTCGATAAGGATGCGTCGGATGCTTGAAGCAACATAGCGGAGGAATGCCCGCTAAGGAGAAAAAGATCACCAATACCAATAGGGAACTTTGTCGGGTTCGGAGATGGAAATAAGTGAATTATTGGTGAGGAAGGATACATTTGCCATTGCCGATGAAGCCAGATGCGTGTGCATTACGTTGGTAACCTAATCACTTTGCATCTGAACTACAGATCCAGAATACCCTTCAAAACGCGCGCGGCCAGATAGTGTTGCTTCGGGCCGGCCCTTATAGGACACGAAAGTGGCGTGGAAAATAGCTTCCCTGTATGAATTCAAGGTTGCTTTCAACGCCCATGAAATTTCAAGGACACTTACACCAAGTGACCGTGAGTCAAGCAAAACAAAAATTGAAGCGACATAGTGTAAATTGATTACCTCGATGCGCATGGTTGCATTTGACTGACTCTCATCTGCTTCCAAGCCTGACTTCGTTGGAAGGTGCCCAAATACGGCTGGAGTGCGGCCCAACTTCTGGGCCAGTAGCCAGAAGTATTCTTTGGCTAATGATGATCAATAACGGCTCAGTCGGTACTTGCTCCACTCTTTCCTGGCATTGAAAGTGTGAAGCGGTAGAATTGCATTACGTTCGAGAAGTCGCTAATACGGTGAGTTGACGTCGACTGTTTTCCCTCTATGTGCCAAAGACTTTCTCAAGGGTCAATACTGCCGTCCAAATGAACTCCAACGAGTATCCTTACTTTGTCCGCCAACCAGGTTTCTGAGACAAATAAAATTTGACTCATCGGCTAATAAGAGCGACTAGCCGAAAGGTGTTTCCACTGATACAGTGAGTTTCTAGATCAAACCTTGTGACAAATATCTTCTCAAGGGCCAACGTTTGTTCAAGAATTGGAGGCCCGCCGTCCGAATGAACTCCAGTCATTGTCATTGCTCTGACGCAATGCATTGTATATTTCCGATTCCGATGCTTCGATGCTTCATAAGACTTCGAGAGGGGAAGGCTCGGTGTCAATATGGTCGTGCTAAGGCAGTGTCCTCCGTTCGAGACATAACCATATAAAAGGTCTTCGCATCATGATAGCTATGGAATAACAATGTTCTATCTTAGCTTTGAATTGCTGTATACTGACCTCTCGACGGTCATCGCTCCTGTTATTGTCTTGGCCGTCCTGGTTCATCTGGTACCCTACCTCATCGATTCTCATCGACTCCGCTCGTATCCTAGTCCTTTACTTGCAAAAATTTCCGATGCATGGCTAGCATATGTGGTTTACCACGGACATCGTTCGGAAGTCGTTCATGACCTCCATAGGAAATACGGTCAGTTCATCGTAGCTGTTCACTCCCGTCAATGACTAACTGTTATCTCTCAAGGACCCTTTATTCGATTAGCGCCTAATCACATTTCTGTGGCGTTGTCGGACGCACTGCCAATAGTATACGGGCACGGAAACGGGGCGCTGAAGTCGTCCTTCTATGAGGTGTTTGCGTCCACATCTCCAGGACTGTTTGATACTCGCGATCGCCAGACACACACTCGCAAACGAAAGATCATCCCGCATACTTTTTCGCAGAAGAGTGTGCTGGAGTTTGAGCCGCATGTACGCAGTTATGTCAGCCAACTTCTGGGACATTGGGACAAGTTGTATGACAAAAGTCTGAAAGGCATGTCGGGCAAGGAAGGAAATGGTTGGACAGGTCGTGATGGAAGGCTTTGGTTGGACTGTTTCCCGTGTAAGTCGATTTCCTATATTGGCCCCACCTCGTACTGACTGCCAGTTCTCACAGGGGCAAATTATCTCGCGTTCGATATCATTGCTGATCTAGTGTTTGGGGCTCCTTTCGGGATGATCATGGCAGGCAAAGATTCTGCCCTCGTGCCTAAGGATCAACATGATGCGATGGATTTTTACGGGAAAGTAGGCGCAAATTATGCTACGAAGGAGGTCGCAGTCATCAAAACTATGGGTGAAGCAACGGGGAAGTTCCTGGCGACTCTGGGTGCTGTACCTGGGTGGTGGAGGACACTGCTCGGACGACTTCCGTTGCTTCGGAAGGGCAGAGAGGACTTCAAAGCCATTGCGGGGTTGGCAATCGTGGCTGTGTCGAAGAGGTTAGAGGTACCGACAGACAGGAACGATTTACTCAACAAGTTGCAAGCTGCGAAGGATGAAGATGTGAGTACCTTTCATCCGATACCTCTTCGGCTCTTTTGATCCGCTTTATTTTCCAAGGGTAACCCAATGAGCAAAGAAGAGCTTACTGCAGAAGCGATGACGCTTCTTGCTGCAGGAAGTGATTCCACTGCCAAGTAAGCCCTTCTCTTTTTCACTGCAATGCATAAACTCAATGATTTGCTCAGCACTACCTCTGCCATCATCTACTATCTTGCGCGCAACCCGAGCATACAAGAGAAACTTCAGAAAGAGCTGGATGATCACATTGACTCCGACGTTGCTACGGCCGCGCAGGTAAAAAGCCTCTCTTACTTACACGCGGTCATCAACGAGGTACTACGAGTGTATTCTACCCTGGCTATGGGGCTCCCCTGCGAAGCACCCGAGGGCGGGATAACGATTTTAGGAAACCACTTCTCTGCTGGTACGATTATCAGTGTCCCTACATATACAATCCATCGGAATCCAACGGTGTTTGGGGACGATGTCGAGGTGTTTAGGCCTGAGAGGTGGTTTGAGCATGACAGTGCTGTCATGTCGAAGGCGTTTGCTCCGTTCTCTGTTGGTCCTCGGTAAGCGATCTTGGGTTTCCTAATGAGATCCAGGGTTCAGTGCCTATACAATCATAGGGCATGTATCGGGCGTAATCTGGCGAGCATGGAGTTGCAGATTATCATCGGGTCGATTTTGAGGCGCTTCCATTTCGTGTTGGAGAATCCTGATGAAATCGCAAGTGCTGATGTTTCCCTGGTATGTGTCTTGCTAATTTTTGAGTTAGTTCGAGGTATAAGAAGGCTTCGTCAGGAAACCCGTTACTTGTCGTGTTGGTATTCAGCGACGTGAAGTGTTGTAGTTAGCTTTTGGCAATCTCATGTACAAATATATGTGAATTCAGTTCAGGAATTTTAGAAGAGAGCTGTTAGCTTTCATACATGTTCTTATAAAAGGCGTTTCATCTCATAATGTTATTGTCGCTCCCGGAGATCCAAGCAATCAACGTGTTCTAGTGCGAATGGAACACCGTTCTCTTCTCAGATTAGATATATCAGGTGCGGAAATCTTTCGGAGCTGATACTAACACATTTAACAGCCCACGTCTCAATCGCTTCAAGGTAAATCCTTTTCAATGGCCCTATCTCAAAAATATGTTTCGAATGCATCGAAATATGTATGGCAGAACTACAACGACTGCAAGGATCCATGCGATTGATCAATATCTCCCCGCCTACTGGATGTATGCTCCATCCCTAAGGAGAAGATAGACGCTTTAGGCTGGCACGACGTGACTATTGAGCCTGTCGTACTATCTACCACTAAATCCTCGACTATGAACGGGATGGAACCATATACGCGAGGGTGCTGACTGATAGAACATTCGTCTTTACGGGGAGAAAAGAATATTGTTGACAGACTTGCTAGCCTGGTCAACAGTTAATCTCCTTCGACATTGTATAATTTAGGACCAGCTAAATACACCAATGAGATATAAGCTAACGATAATGATAAAGTGACTTACCAGTTACGCTTGCCTACTCGTGTGCCGCTGTAGCATTCTGGTGATACTTCAATCAAACTACTAGAGTCGGAGAATACCGACGACGAAGGTTCAATCGTCGAATATTGTGTGGTAGCGACTTCGACCTTGACCATAACGGCAATGCGAGGATATTCCAGCGCGGCACTAGATGTCCCGCGGAATGTCATAAGAGTGAGGATGTCCTATAGGATATGTTAGACGAGGAAGATAGGTATATGCATGGAGCACATACCTTTACGAAGACCGAGACGGATAGTGCCATTGCAATCGCGATGGCGAACAAGTAACCGGAGGTTTGGATAAGCTGGTTGTTGGTAATCATGTTTGTGTTGAGTGAGAGAAATTGGAGGAATGGCTGGGGTATGTATACGCCAGAGAGTTATCTACCCCTACTCTTTGATCGCAGTGAGTCTTGGAGCAGAAGCTTAAACAGTGAAATAAGAGTCTCACCGACTTCGAGGAGGAGATTTACTACAAGTACCCTTAGTTCTTCACCGGCAAGTTTAGAAATACTTTCCGTTGAGTCATTTGCGTTAACGTCACCTTTCCAGGTCCGTCGGCAACGCAGAGTTGTGTTGTGGGTCCATATGATGTCCGACGGAAGAATAAAGACTCCGCGGGGACAATGCAAGACAGAAAATAGGAACCCCAGTTGAAACTAAAACGCGAATTCCACTCCGACGGAAAAAAAGAAAGTGTTTCATTTATGTTCCGCTCCAAAGCTTCACAGATTAAGATAACATTGATTCAACGAAGTTCGTGCCAGTGCAGTGGTGGCTACTTGCCGGGATAATCCAGTAGCGTCTATCAATGGACCAAAGGGCTACAGATCAGAGAAGTGAGATTTGTTGATAATGCATCAGTCCACGTTTATCTTTTGAGTCACGCCAATGAAGCGTACGGCCAGAGAAGAAGTCAGAAATGTAAAATTGGTATCGCTTGGTTCGGTTGACAAGGTAAGTGCTGCGAGGCTAGCACCAGGACGAGTGAATTGAGAACCACCGGCCTACCTCGCGAAGAAGGCCTGGTAGCAGATGAGAAGCTACGGTACATTTCACTGGAGAGTCGGGGACCGGCATTTGCCGACATTGGTTTCCTTCTTCCATTCAAAAACACGCTTTGTTTTCCACCTTCAAAGGTGTCGCTACCTATAATCTTCGTGGATCTTCTGTCATTGGAAATTTCGGCCGTATCCTGGTGTCTCTCAATATGGACCAATATGTCGCATCATCAATCTCGTCTGCAAGAAAGAAAAAGGCCGGGGAAAGAAATGAGCTATGATTGTATCGAATCTGGATTTTCAAACCCTCTTCGAAGTTGTATAGAATCCCGCCATTCTTTATGTCTACGATGACTGACTCATCCGGAACGAGAATACCGTTCAATGACCCCACGATGTATGAAATTCATCGGCTAGGGTACAGTTGAAGTGTTGCGTTCCAAAGACCCTGGCGGAGCTCCACGTATGTTCCAAATTTTCTCGGCAGAGTTTCCGCGGCATGTATGGAAGATAATTAGCTGCAAAGGAGAGATCGACTCGCATTCATCCTATATTGTGTTTTCACCATCACTAAAACTGTCTTTTTGCCAGATTCCGTTTTGCTTGGAGTACACTGCGTCATATGTCGCTCTTGCAACTACTGGACGTATCATCCTGCAAGAGACCATCTCGCTTGACCTCAAATTCGTTTGGCACGTAGTTTAGAGGAATCATTGACGGAGGCGGTGTTCTATGTGTAGATTTTCACTGGCATTGTTCCCTCGGCGATGATTTTCGCTATCGTGCTGTACGTTTTCATTGTTCGTATTCCTCGTGGTTATTGGTCTGTGTAGGATTGTAATCATTTCTGGGAATCATGAACGTTTCATGATGTAGGCCGACTTTGGGTATCCAAGCTTGCATGGATTAATTCAGTGCATGAGAAGAAGGCGTAACTCGTATCTGGTTCGTCGGTTCAACAAACTGTGAAACCTCTTATAATTTTTCTTCTCACTGCGACCGATGGCAGCTCCAAAGTTATGGCTTGTTCAGACTGACGGCTGCGCCAGATCTAGAGGCGAAATTTCAAGTCTACTGCCAGACTGTGCCAGGTGACTCTCGAGCAGCAACAATCATTAGGAACCGAAGCAATCAAAATTGACGACTCTAAAGCAAAAACGGTGCTTTTGATGGCCCACACTTGAAGTTTGTCTGCTTTTTATTGCATGCCTGACACCCTTAGAGAATCCCATTAAATAGGACTTGAGTACGGGCTCTTGCTTCCGGTCCAGTAATTAGAGGCGTCCAAATACACTCGGATGCGGATAATCTTTGACTGATGACAATCAACGACGACTCATCCGGAAGTTGTTCTACACTTTCCTGACATTGAAAGGGCACCGCTATAGAAGGATATCATGTTCGAGAAGTCGCTTCGCGTTTTTTTTCGATACGTTTTTACTAATACGGTAAGCTGATGTCGACTTTTCCCCTCTCCATATGACAAACATCTTCTCAGGCGTCAATGCTGCTATCCACATGAGCTCCAACGATTGTCATTACTCTGACGCAGTTCCGGGCCCGATGCTTGGATCTATCATTACAAGGCTCCGTTCTTTAGGACGTAGCCATATAAGAAGCCTTCGTCTGAAAGAACTTCATACACAACACGATGTTCTCTCTTTCTCTCCAGTCGCTTTGCACAAACCTCCCAACGGTCGTCGCCAGTGTTACGATATTGGTCGCCGTTGTTCACCTGGCCCCCTACCTCGTTGACTCTCATCGCCTTCGCTCGTATCCCGGTCCTCTCATTGCCAAGTTTTCCGATGCATAGCTAGGATACGTGACTTACCAAGGACATCTCTCGGAAGTCATTTATGATCTGCATAGGAAATATGGTCAGTCTGTTCTTAGATCGTCCCGTGCTCTTCAAGGCTAATTTATGTCACTGAAGGTCCCTTTGTCTGCATAGCGCCCAATCACATTTCTGTGGCCCTGTTAGATGCGCAGCCCTTGGTATACGGGCATGGAAATGGGGCACTGAAGTCGTCGTTCTATGATGTGTTTGCGAGTACATCCCGTGGAATATTTGACATTCGCGATCGCCATGCGCATACTCGCAAACGAAAGATCATCTCGCATACTTTCTCGCAGAAGAGCGTACTAGAGTTTGAGCCGCATGTACGCAGTTACGTCAGTCAACTGTTGGGACAGTGGGACAAATTGTATGACGAGGCTTTGAAAGGCATGTCGGGTGAGGAAGGTGAAGGTTGGACTGGTCGCAACGGGAGGCTCTGGTTTGAGTGCTTGCCATGTAAATAAGCCTCTTTCATTTTACGTCTCGTGCTTACTACTGCTGTTCGTAGGGACAAACTATCTCACGTTCGATATCATCAGTGATTTAGCGTTTGGTGCTCCATTCGGGATGATCACGGCAGCCAAGGATTTCGCTCTGGTGCCTAAAGATCAACATACTGTGATGAGCTCTTACGGGAAAGTAGGAGCGAAGTACGCCACGAGGGAGATCAAGGTTATCAAGACTTTAAGTGGACTATCACCTCTCACGGCGACGTTCGGACCTTTTCCTAAGTGGTGGAGGCCACTGCTCAAGCGAACTCCATGGTTTTGGAAGGCCGGAAAAGATTTTGATGCCATGATTGGGATGGGAATTCTGGCAGTGTCGAAGAGGTTGGAAGTGCCGACGGATAGGAATGATTTGCTTAGCAAGCTGCAAGCTGGAAAGGACGAAGACGTGAGTACCTTTTTGTCGATTACTTTGGCGGTATGGTTCTAACCTCCTTGATGTACTCAGGGTAACCCGATGAGTCGAGAAGAGCTCACCGCAGAAGCGTTGACTCTTCTCATTGCGGGATCTGACACCACCGCCAAGTAGGTCTTCCTCTGTTCTATCAAGTAGTAATGCATAAATTCAATGATCTTCCCAGCTCTTCATGTGCCATCATAAACTACCTCGCGCGCACCCCGAGTGTACAAGAGAAGCTCCAGAAAGAGCTGGACAAGCACCTGGGCTCTGGCATCGCTACAGCCGAACAGGTGAAAAATCTCCCCTACCTGCAGGCTGTCATAGACGAGGGATTACGACTGTTCTCAACGCTGGCTCTTGGGCTTCCCCGTGTAGCACCTGAGGGCGGGATGACGATTTTAGGAAACTACTTCCCTGCTGGCACGATTGTCAGCGTCCCGACTTATACAGTCCATCGGGACCCAGCGGTGTTTGGGGACGATGTCGAGGAGTTCAGACCTGAGAGATGGTTTGAAGGTGACAGTGCCAGCATGTCTAAGGCATTTAATCCATTCTCTGTTGGCCCTCGGTATGTCACATATGGATCACGAGTTTCTTCAAATCGATATTCAAGGTTGAGTTCATAACATCACAGGGCATGCATCGGGCGTAATCTAGCGAATCTCGAACTGCAGATTATTGTTGCGTCAGTTTTCAGGCGCTTCCATTTCGTTTTGGAGAATCCTGATGAAAAGGTGGGTGGTGGTACTTTCTTTGACATTTGTCTTGCTGATTTTTGGATAAGCTCCAAATACATGAGAGCGTTGTGAGGAAGCCAGGTTCTTGTCGTGTTGGTATGAAGACGCGCGAAGTGTTATAATTCATCATGAAGAACTTTCGGCCATTCCATGTACAAGTACACTTGAATTTAGTTCTGGAAACTAAAGCAGAGGGCTGCTATCTTTCATACATGTTGCGATAGAGAGCCTTTCGTTCCCGAATATTAGTGTTGCTTCTGAGCCTACGACTCGATTGCTTCAAGCTAAATTCTTCTCATATCACAACATTTTGAGACTCGGACTCGAACCACATCGAAATGTGCAGAACAGATGTATAGTATATGGAACCGTGCGACAGAACTTCAACGACTACTACTGATTAATCATGGTGTCTAACGACTCCGTTTACCTTCTCCCCGCCTACTGGACATATGCTCCATCACTAAGGTGGAGATAGACACTTAGGCTCACACGACGTGACTATTGAGCCTGTCGTACTATCTAGCGCCGCCAAATCCTTGGGATGGAATCACATACACGAGGGTGCTGATTGATGGAACGATGGTCCATGCACTGAGCGAAGATCATTGACGGCCTTTGTAGCCTGGTCGACCGGTGATCTCATTCAATATCATATAATTTAGGACAAGCTAAACGTGTCAATGAGATATAGGCCAAAGAAAACGACAAGGTGACTTACCAATTACGCTTGCCTATCCGTGTGCTGCTGTAGCATTCCGATGATACTTCAATCAGAGTAGAGTCCGAGAGTACCGATGACGATGGTTCAGTCGTCGAGTAGTGGGTGGTAGTGACTTCGACCTTTACCATAACGGCAATGCGAGGGTATTCCGCTGCAGCAGGAGATGACGTGCGGAATGTGATGAGAGCGAGGATGTCCTGTAAGATATGTTAGATGAGGTCAATAGGTATAGACGCGGAGAACATACCTTTATGAAGACCGTGACGGATAGTACCATCGCAAAGGCGATGGCGATCAGGTAACCGGTAGTTTGGATAAGTTGGTTGTTGGTAATCATGTTTGTGTTGAGTGAGAGAAATTGGAGGAATGGCTGGGGCATATATACGCCAGAGAGGTATCTACCCCTACTATTCGATCGCAGTGAGTCTTGGAGCAGAAGCTTAAACAGTGAAACAAGAGTCTCACCGACTTCGAGAGGGAGATTTACTACAAGTGCTCTTATTTCTTCACCTGCGAGCTTTGAAACACCTTTCGTCGAGTCATTTGCGTTGACGCCACCTTTCCAGGTCCGTCGGCAACGCAGATTGTGTTGTAGGTCCATATGATGTCCGATGGAAGAATAAAAGACTCCGCAGAGGCAATGCAAGACAGAAATGGGGACCCAGTTGAAACTATAACGCGCATTCCACTCCGACGAAAAAAAAGAAAGAGCCTAATTTGGGTATCGCTCCAAAGCTCCAGAGACTGGTTCGACTACGTTCGTGCTGCAGTGGTACTTGCCGGGTGAATCCAGTAGCTCAATCGACCAAAGGGCTACAGATCAGAGAACTAGAACCTGTTCATACTGTACCAGTCCACCTTAATCTCGTTAATCACGTAAATGCAAAAAGATTTGCGTATGGTCAGAAGAAACCAGAAATGTAGAACTGGCGTCGCTTGGTTCAGTTGCCAAGATAAGTACTGTGGAGGTAGCACCGGGACGAGTGAATTCAGAATATCCGACCTACCACGCGAGGAGGGAAGGCAGTGAATGTGCAAAGAGCATGAAGGTGAAAATCACAAGTCGGTTTGTCGGGGCTCGGGTCCGAAGTCCCGAACTAGCCAGCGCTCGACCGACCCTAAAGCCAGAGTCGGCCTTGCCTTCCTACCATCACGTCCATTCTCGTCCAGATTCCAGACATCCTCTATATGCCCCAGCAATTATCGACACTCAAACTCGAGATGCCACTGGAAAAAGATCTCAAATTTGCGTGGTGCGTTGGCTATTGAAAACAATAATATCTTCGAACAATGCACGACTATATGAAATGTCGCTGCTGGACGCCTCCCGAGCTCAGTACTATTCTGCCGTCATTTCCACCTCCTGTGTATGCATTATCTGTCTCTCCGACTTTATCGACTCCGTTTGCACGCCCTGTGGTACGCCTCGTTCGCTCTCATTACGGCTCTAACACTGATTATCGGTGGCAGGACATGTCTATTGCTTGAGTTGCATTACACAAGCCACCAGCATTCTGCGTAACGAAGGATAAACCACAGCCCCATGCCCTACCTGTCGCAAGCCGTTCTCTATACGTGACGACCCCATTCGTGCCCTTCCCCTAATAATCAACCAAAGGCTCATCAGACATCTAGCTTTCACGCGACTTGCACGAATACTTCGGCTACCCCCTCCGGAGGCTCTACATGAATGGACTACGGGTCAACTTTGAGGAACAGGTGAAGAGACTGGAGGAACGCATCGCAACTTTGGCGCGGGAGAATCAACGACTGCGAATTAAGGACTTGTTGCTGCCACTTCGATATATGCGCCAGCAAAGTGAGAGCAACATGTGCCATGGATTGCACGCACACCCCGTACGGGTTCAGGATTCCCGCGCATGAGGTTGGCAAACACTTTTATGTGAGTTTTTTGTTGGCCTGGAGTTTGAAATCAATGCTCATGCTGTTGTAGATTTGGATTGACGACGACGGTAGGGTTTATTGCAGCTCTTACCCTGTACGGTGTCTTCCTTAGGCGCCCAGTATTTGATCCCAAGAGATACCATGAGTAGGGCTTTCTTCGCGTCGTTCGTTGTTACAATCATTATTATGATGGCATATGAAGTTTCCTGAAACGCCAGCAAGTCAGAGTCGAGGTCTAGGTGAATATATGCGCTAGCCGGAGCAACGTTCATAGAGTGTCCCTTGAATCGGAGTGAAAGCGGGTGAACGGATTCAAGTCGCCACTTTATAGGTACTCGCGGTACTCGTATCTATGGTAAGGCTGTTGGGACCATATCATGTACACGTCTATGTGAATCCAAAGCGAAGAGCTGCTGCAAGAAGGCCTTTTGAATATTCTCGTCACTCTCGGGGTCCTAGCAATTGATATCGAACGGCTGTTCAAGTTCGAGGGAGACAGGTATGCCGTACCTATTATCTGACGTTGACGCGGGGGCAACTACAACGCCTCGACCCTACGAGTCCAGAGTTTTGCTCAAAGGCTGACGGCCTGGCGTTTGTCGATTTACCTTTCCCTCTTCATCTCTGCGTCTGTGGCTTTCAAAAATCCATGTCTCCCATACTCTTTGAACTTCATTCTTACTTAAACTGTGTTTCTCTCTACAGAGTCTATGCAAGTTCCTTCTGCTTATTAAACATGGTCTACAGACTTGCGAAGAAATGATTTTCATCCTATTTACAGTTTCTTATATTCTTTCCTAGCGCATTCTACGAAACTCTTCGCCTGTTCCCACCTGCGAGCCTGACAATTTCCAAGATAAGCATCGAAGATACCGTCTTTGTCTCCACCAACAAGGCAGGAGAACACAAGACGATCCCTGTATTTCATGGTGAAAATTGATGTGGTGGGGTTACATTATGATCGTGAGTAGCTCGATGGCTAGACACGCCGACCATAAGTTTTTTAAACTCACCATCAACTCGGCGTGATACTGGAAAGACCCGGAGATGCCTCGTTTCCAGGGCCAATTCACGATGTCCAACGACAAGTTCGCGATCAAGCTGGAGGAGTCCTATCTTACGCAACATCTGCTGGGAAGGTACGCAAGGCACGATACCTACGACTCTGAGGTTCTGCCCGTTTTAACTGATAACCTGATGTCCACGAAGTCTTTTCTTGCGGCATGAATCCGCAGCACAGGCATATCGCTCAGTGTGCGCTGAATCGAGATACGGACGGAGATGTTTACCTCGAGGTATCGAGGAAGGGAACGAGTTTGTCTGACGTGGATAATGTTTTAGCTGGGATTTCTTGGAGGCATTCTTCTGTAGATGTTTTTCTGCCATAGATGAGGACCTTCGTCATCTATGTATTCGCATACTTGCTGTGAAATTCAGGCGACTTAGATTCAAAGACAGGATTTCATCAGACAGAAGTTATCGTATCATCATATTAATTAGGCTGGATAAGGTACGTTGCCGTTGGGTAGGTAGGTGATGTTGTTACATTGAAATTTGTGACCGTTTAAAGTCCTTTACTGAGTCGACCAGGGCAATTCATTCGGATTTCTGAGACATCTGTCCCAGTCACTTAACCTGGATACAATCAGCGAGACAAACAGAGTAGGGAAGAAGATAACGCACTCCATCCTTCTCGGGATACTTCCCCACAATGTTCTCATTCTGTCACAATTTCTGTCATCATCACTTTCTCCGGAGTGAAACACTCTGGTCCTGCCCAAGTCGCCATCACAACGGTAATATGACATGTATCCTGGATTATACTCTTGTCTTGGAGGACAGCTGCTGGAAGGCTCGCGATAGCCATATATTTGAGGGTCCTGTTCAGGAACATCGTGAGAAAAAGCGGCTTGGCCATCTTGGCCATGGAGATATACTCGTTCCGAGTTGTTGCTGTTCACGGAAAGGGAGCAAGCCGGAGATCGTGTCCACTGTGAGTATGAGGATGCGGACGTCGATTGATAATCCCATTGAGGGTCTTGTGTTGACAGAAGAATGGATGTTGTGCCCCACTGAGAAGAAGGGGCTTCGGGGGGTGCTGGTGCATAGTACAGATTCATGGGCTCGTTGGTGGGGGGATAGCTCGATCCACCATAGGAATTTCCGACAGCATAAGAATCCTTTTCGACGTCGGACCTCCCGCGTTCGTTAGGATCAAAGGGATAGTCAGAATCTCGTTCTCGCTTATTTCTTGAGACAGGACTAGGCAGCGGTAGATCGCCAGCTGCCGTCAATTGATAGAGAACATCCCTAATGAAAACGTGATCGATAAAAATCCAAGTGGCTGAGAAATGAAAGCCTACCAGTATACGCCAGCAAATCGCCACCTGCTTGTCATCCAGTTACTCGATCATCTATACGTCTCAAGCAACGTACTTTGATTCCAAGCTATGGAGAATCCTCATACATTTATGAACATCGTCCATTTCCTTCTTCACGTCAACCGAAATACCGGACTGCTGCCTATTCCAGATGTTGAACAATAGAACAAGTGCAGCATTGAATGCTAGATACTGCATGTTGAAAAAATCAGCAAATCGAACGAGCCCGTAAGTGAATTGGGCTCACGCCAGCAAACGGGGACTTGCCCCCACGTTGATGCTGGATATCCACAATGTGAGAACATGAATGTGCGGCGTCGGTACATATTGTGAGCGAGGGGAATGGCCACTTTGATGAGTGGCAACGGGTGGTAATAAACGGCCTGTGAATTAGCATTCTCAGATCATAATATGCTCCTAGCAATGCTGCAGATTGCTTGAAGTGTATGAAATTCTCGCGATTGGGATCCCATTGCACTAGGGTTCATGGTGTTAGTAACTGGTTTCATCGAACAGACGAAACGTACAATGATCTGGCAACGTGTCAATCCATGTATTGAGCGCCGAGTCCAACTCCGCGACAATCTGTTCTTCCCAATTTTTTTCCACCACACCAAATATGGCCTTCCACTTATTTATACCATGCTGGAGATAATGAGTATTAGTGCATATCTGAGTAAATGATCTACGTACGAGGGTGCGCAAGCAGAGCGTCAGAAGCCTAGTTAGTCTTATGTGACAATTAAAATAAGATATTAGCGAAGGTTGTCCTTTAGGTTGCTTGAAGGCTTGTTCTAGATCTACGTGATCGGGCCAATATTCGTCATCGCAGTCGGCAGGTAAGTCAGTGTCAATGCTGTAAAACTTGTGAGACTACAATTCGACCAAATTTAATAATGCAGAGCATACTCTTCGTCGTTGGCGGCACATGGACGACCCAGCGCAGAGCTGACATATCTATCTATACATACGAGACACCTGAAATACGGACCCAGAAAGTCAGTTACACTATTCACGTAACAAGAAAATACACACCAAAAAACTCGTCTCCACGATTCTGCCTCTGCATTATTAGGGCCTTCATGGGTCCTCTTTCGATGAACCCCTGCCTCTTGTGCCACACGGAGAGCAACGCCTACGATAGTCCAGCCTGCCTGAGGTATAGAGCAACCCTTCATAAATTCTGCGATGAGCTGTAGGCACCGTTAGTCTGCATCTATAGGAAGTCAAATTCAGGCTTACACATGCTGATTGGCAGTGGTATAGTAGCGGCGGGCCCAATAGTGCATTTTCCCTGCCACACACAAGGATCTGTTGCATCCACTTCCACCCACTGGAAGACGGATCATTCTCGATCAGGACACGTGAATCGGTCGAGTATCTTGAAGCTATAGCACAGACAGCCAACAGCACTCGAGCAAACGGTGAGTCATGGAGATGTGCTGACTCTGCGACCAACCGTTCAAAACTTGGTCGGTGCAAAACAGGAAGGAAGATATTGCTTTCTGAAAAATATAGGTCAATCAATGACCACAGTAGATTATTGTCCGGGAAGTCGTATTCCACATCAATTTGGACCTGTGAGAAGCGACTGGGAGTATGCCAAGTGAGTGGTTCCCAGAACTCGGGTCTTCTCAGAGGAAGGTTCGATGGATCGCACACATAAGTAGGGCGTCCATATTTAACGTCGAGTGCTGTCTGTATAAACTGGGCGTGGCTGGACTTGCCGAAAAATCTGCCTTGAGTGAAGCTCTGAAATCGGCGAAGGTTGCTTTCCAGCACGTCATCATAGTCATCCTCGGAAACTGAGCGACCTTTCTCGTTGGTGGTGTCCCTACAAAGAGACCGCATGACGTTAGGTATCGAACTGCCAGCATCCGAGTCAGAGGCCGGCATCGCAATAGTCTCTTTTTCTAATTCCTCAGCCAAGTCCGCGCCAGGAGGGAGCATCTTTGAGACGTTTCGAATATCAGAGGAGTTGAATGAAAAGGACACAAGGATGTTCTTACTTCGCGTAGTAACTTTTCCATTTCATCCACTTTTTTCTCGAGGTCTTCGACGTAACTATATATCCAAAAGTGAGGCAGAAAGGCTTGGACAAGAAAAGTAGAGGTTCACGAACTGTTGAGACAGGATTGGCTGTCGGAATAATTAGAACCATGGTTATACGGAGAACACAGAATGGCAATTCACAGTATTAGCATCAAGATACGCGCAGATCAAGTTGGCGGCAGTACAATTGGAGCATTGCTTTCCTGGTAGTCGGTTTCCATCACCTATAATCATTCAGTGCATACATAGGCTGATCTGCCGAGCTCCAAGACGCGACCTACATCGAGCTCGAAATTGTCCGTCAGGGCCAGCCATGCGATGACCGGGAAAAGGTACCCACTTTTCTTCCGTCGACAAAGGTCACACGCTCTCTGTACCCGTCGCTTCGGCGTAGTTCTGTGGGCGAGGTCAGAGTTGATACTGCGGTATCGTTGCATATCCAGTGGTTGGGCGTTTGTAGTAACTTCTACTACTAATATAAGGAAAAAGGCTTTCTGGGAACTGACATACCCGATGCCGAAGGATCACATCAGTATTGAACTGAAAACTTCTGTGAACCCACGCATCCAGTAGCGGCAATTGCCGGGTCCCCGATTCTTTTCCTTTGTACGAAGAACCGGCAGCTGGTTCGCAGGCTTGTCGGCTTTGGGCAGCGGGCTCATCAGCACTACATTAAAGTCCAATGAAACGAGACGCGTTAAAGTGCTAGTGCAAAAAGCTCGCATTTTGCACGGATTAGGATCAAAAAATACACATTTCATAGTTCAACAATGCACAGGCTTACCGAAAAAAATATATAGCTCAAGCAGGTCTGGGGGACATTTGACAAAGACGTATTCAAAGGCTGAAGTAGAAATGCACGGAAATTCAGTCCAGAACCAATAGGAAGATATCGGGAATGCAGCCGTGTACATGCCGACACGTGCCGGAGGTCGGCTATTACTTAGTCAGATATAGCCCCTGTCCAGACTCGCTATAACCCTCTCAGAATCGGGACCCATTGTGTCAGCACAAATGACTGAAAGTACCCGCGGCTTCGTATGCGGACCTGTCGGCACGCGATGGCAGTGCATCTGGTTTCCAAGCAAAAACATACGCCGATATTCTCATGTAACCACAGTAACCGCATTTATCAGCTTCTCGAGAACTTCTTAGTGGCGTCCTGACCTGGAGGACGGCATCGGTTACCGCTTGGTGAACTTCTTGATGCCAGCATCATATGTACTATTTCACGTATCGACAACTTTCTTCAACTATCGTCAATCGCGTTTACAAACGTACATTTCCTTTCTGACCATCCAAAAATGGCGAGCTCGGCGAACGATGTGCCTTCAAAGAGAAAGCCAGTCGCCATCATTACCATTGGAATCGTTGGCCGACTGTTGTCCAGTAAATACACTCATACGTTCGCAAAATCTCCCGTGGCCGCCATATATCCTCAATCCTGACCCGGCTGTGACGCATGTCCCATTCGAAGCCAACGTTGACATTCGGGATACCGTGATCTATCAACAAGTCATGAAGCAGCGCGTATATAGTTGACTTTACCCTCGCATTCGGTTGAACCGGTTCGTACAAGGTACAACTTGGGCCTCAATGAAGGCATCTTGACTGTGTTCAATCTTTTTACAGCAAAGTTTGATTAATTGCCGGTGTTGGTTTAGAAGCAGGCCAGGCTATTCAGTATGCATATCTTTTCCCCCGCACTCGCGGTTCTTGATTGTGTGCAGCAGCTATGTTATTCTTGACACTCCAGGACAAATTGTTCTTAGCTGGGCAGGGCACAGTTACCAGATTACCTTGTGGCGCTATAAATTAAAATACTGATGGCATGTGGCGTCTTCATTACCCACAGTTGTCGTGGTATCACTTGGTTCAATTAAGGTGAGTACTACGAAGCTGGATTTCCGGCATAATTCGTGATGAAAGCCTGATAGCAGATGGGAAGAAGGCAGTGAATGCAGGTAGAAAACGTGGAGTGAGTTTGTCAGGGTTCCGGTCCGAGACCGCTCTTGCTCGACCGACCCTAAAGTCGCTTTGCCTCTCTACCATCCTGTCCGTTCTCATCCAGATTCCAGACATTCTGTATCATACATGATATGCTCTGAAATTACTGACATTTCTGTTCAAGATGTTACTCGGAAAGTGTCTCAAATTCGCGCGGTGCTTTCGCCTTCGGCAATAATGACCATATCTACTTGAACAATGCACAACTATAAAATGTAGCCCGACGCCTCTTTCCACTACTTTACCGTCATGTCTACTTTCTGCGTATGCAACATCTACCTTCCGACTTTATTGATCCCGTTTGCATGCTCTGTGGTAAGCTCCTCTCTCTCTCATTACGACTCTGACGCTGATTACTGGTGGTAGGACATGTCTATTGCCTGAGTTACATCACACAGCCACGAGCATTCTGCGTGATGAGAGATCAACTGCACTAGCCCCACGCCCTGCCTGTCGCAAGCCATTCTCTATACGCGACGACCCCGTTCGTGCCCCTCCTCCCCATCAATCAACTAAAAGCTGACCAAACATTTAACTTACGCGATTTTCACGAATATTTTGGCTACCCCCCTCCGGAGACTCTACATGAATGGACTACGGGTCAACTTTGAGGACCAATTGAAGAGACTGGAAGAACACATCGTGACCTTGGAGCGAGAGAATCAACGACTGCGAATTAGGAATTTGTTACTGCCACCTCGATATACACCAGCAAAGTGAGCGGAACAGCCGACCTGTGCCATGGCTTGCACGCACGCTCCGTACGGGTTCAGGGTCCCCGTCATGGGCCCCACGAGAGGAACATAATCCGTCGCGCATGAGGTGGTTAGCGAACGCATATGTGTGAGTTTTTTTTTCCGGCCTGGAGCTTGAAATGCTCATGCTGTTGTAGGTTCAGATTGACGATGACGGTAGGGTTTATTGCAGTTCTTACCTTGTACGGTGTCTTCCTTAGGCACCCAGTATTTGATCCCGAGATATACTAAGAGTAGGGCTTTCTTCGCATCGTTCGTCGTTACAAAATCATTATTATGATGGCGTATGAAGTTTTCTGAAACGGCAGCAAGTCAGAGTCGAGGTCTAGGTGAATATATGCGGAGCAACGTCCATAGTTTGCCTTGAATCGGAGTGTCGGAGTGAAAGCGGGTAAACGGATTCAAGTCGCGACGTTGGCATAGTGAAGGTTGCAAGCCAGATTTCTGCCAGTGGTCTGCAGTAGCATTTGGCAAAGGTGCGGTAGGCAGTGAAGAAGTATCGTGTATCGTCGTCTGGCTGTGCGGACCGTTTGAGGGAAACCTAATCCAAACAATGTAGAGAGATTCGATAGTAAATTTAATACATACGCACCTGACATCATTACCCAACACGCCTTCTTCCTCTTCGTCTCTGATTGCCTCATCTTCTGCAGATCATTCTTCGCCTTCTCGACTGCCGTCATGAGAACACGGTTGTCTCGCTCGACAGTGGCGTTGCGCACGTCAAGTCTTTATTTAAATGTTTCTAGCTCGATAAAGACTCGTCGGATGCTTAAAGCGACATAGCAGTGATTTTTTTTGAGAAGAGAGTGAGGCTAGGATGGGAAGAAGATACTAAAGCACTGAAAGAGCTGGCGCTCACCTCTGGTAGGACTAGGCACTGGATAAGCGGCAGACGAGGAAAGAGGAAAAGCTCACCAATACGGAACTTTGTCCGGCAAGTAGGCCACAAAGTGATGAATATATCAAGGCTATTTGTCAAAGTACAGTCGGATACGCATGATGGAAATATTCAAGATGAAAGGGTCGCTACCAGTGGATGGTCCGGCATTTGCCGATTTCGCACCTCTTCTAGGCCTTCACAGGGATTTGAGGGGAATTCGCACTTTGCTGGACAGACAATCCTATGGGTTATGGGAGTGTATGGCCTTATAATGGTATGGGTTATTACAGAGAGATTTCTTCTGGGATCCAAGCAGCCATTGTATTAGGCCAAACCATAGCTAATTCTCTTCTGGATAGTGGCTCCTTCAAATGATACTTGCTCACCGGACCAACCCTCTCCCGCGCTGTAATGCTTAATTTCGTACCTAATACTCAGATATTTAAGTGCCGCTATGGTGGATTCTCACGACTCTCATCACCATGTTTGTGACCCTCACTCTCGGGGTCATCCAGAAATCTACCGAGTTCTGTCGGAAAGTCAAAGCAGTTGGGTAAGTTTCTCTGCATCTCTCAAAATTGTTACAAAATCATGAACACTATATAGAAACCACCCGGGATACCGCACGATCCTCTGGCATAGACAGCCTCTCTCATACCTTCTTCCACCAATTCCTGGTTTGACGAGTGATACCAACTATATCTTTACCAAGAAATACGAAGGCGAGAAAATCCGTACCAACATTATTTAAGCATCTACTAATATTTCTACCAGTGTACAAACAGACAGGATGAGACATTGTTGCCTGCGTAACAGCATTCCTAGCGAGGATTGAATTCCTTATCGCTGACGCTACAATCATCAAAGTATGACTTTGTTGTATGCTCAAGGTTCTCCACTGACGGACTTGAAGGATATAACTGCAACCCGCGTATCTTTCCCTAAGCCTGTGTCCATGTTCCACAGACTATCCATATTTGGTCCTAACATTGTCGCATCCGAAGGGGATGCGTGGAAGAAATACCGAAAGATAAGCGCTCCGGCATTTTCTGATGTGCATATCTTCATATAGGGATCCTTGACTTGTCTCACATAATTGTCTACGTGTCGCAGAGAAATAACCGACTCGTATGGGAAGAATCCTTGAAAATCACGGGAGACCTGATCAACACGGTCTGGAAGAATAAGGACGTGGTCGAAGTAGAACATGTGGTTGATGTTACGCTCCCAGTAAGTGCATCACGCATTGATTCTTCGATGACTCTCATCAAAGCGGTATAGATAGCGTTGAATGTCATCAGCGTAGCGGGCTTTGGGCACGAAATGGATTGGCAAGTGGACACCGTCGTCCCTGGGACGCACATGATGTCCTTTCATGATACTTTGCATCTTGCCAGTACTGGAATGGTTTTGAAACTCAGTATTCCCTCATGGGCCATGGGGTTGATGCGCCAATGGGCTAGGGTGAGAGTTGCATTTGATGAGCTAGAGGTCAGTCAAAGCCGCTCATTTTTGGATTCTTTGACCTCAACAAAGCTATGGAAAATTGTATATGCTGGAAATGATCAGAAATCAGCAGACAGCAGAGGAGAAGGAGGAAAGGCATGATTTGTTCAGTAGCCTTCTGGATGCCAATGATGATGCAGGTGGAGGAGCAGAGGCTAAATTGACGGATAGGGAACTACTGGGTAAGTTTCTATTTCATCGCATCTTGGTTCAACGCAATTGAAGTTGTTTCTCCAAGGGAACATATACATCTTCTTACTCGCTGGACACGAGGTGAGCTGAAATTCATGACCGAGAACAATGACTGCATTGTACTTATTTTATCACAGACCACGGGCCATACACTGGCATTTACACTTGTCTTGTTAGCGCTTTATCCTGATCAGCAAGAGATCCTTTACTGCCATATCAAGTCCATCATTCCAGACGGACGGAACCCGGTGTGTACCTACAGTTGCAAGTTCCTTCTGCTGATTAATCGGTCCACAGACCTATGAAGAAATGCCTCTCTTCACGCTTTCTCTAGCATGAGAAATGACTCTTCATCATACCCGCAGTTTGTTATAATCTTTTCTAGTGCATTCTATGAAACGCTTCGTCTGTTCCCACCCGTAACGATTCCCAAGACGAGCGTCGAGGATACCGTCTTTGTCACCACCAACAAGGCAGGAGAATGCAAGATGATCCCCGTACCTCAGGGTGCCATACTGAGATTCGACATGGTGGGGTTGCATCGTAATCGTGAGCACCTAGCAGGCTGCATATGACTACATATAATTGTTTAACTCACCATCAACTCAGCGCGATACTGGAAAGACCCGGAGATGTTCAACCCGTCGAGATTCCTGGGTGACTGGTCCAGGGAGGCGTTCATGCCATTCAGCCAAGGTGCACATACGTGCATCGGTCGAAAGTACATCCTAAAGTCACCCAGTAGTGCATTGCTGATGATTATACATAGATGTTCTGAAACTGAGGGTGTTGCTGTACTGACAATACTCATTTCGAGGTACAAAATCACCATTAAGGAAAAGCCTGGAGAAACTTTCGAGGAAAGAAAGGAAAGAGTTTTGAAAACGAGAATGGGTATTACTTTAACGTGAGTATCCTTCTTCTTTGCTATGGGTGTGTGTGTTGATGTTGTGAATTAAAGGCCTGTTCACATACCGCTTGTGTTCACCAGACGAGAATAAGGTGTTCGGACTTCGTGTCTGTAATACTCTTATCCATTTAAAAATGTAGATAGGATGTACATAAGAAGGTAGCATATGGGATGTCAGGGAGACTGCAGCGATCGCACCATGGTGATGAAATATGGTATTTAATGCCTCCTCTGAGATGAAAGAAAGACGCTTTTGTCTTAGGCTTGCATGAGTCGCGTGAGGTAATTTACTGGACTTGTCTTTCCCTCTGCACCACTGAATCCTCGTCCCTCGACTGGACACAGGGTAGGGATGGAGCCGTATAGATGAGGAGGCTGACTGATAGGACGACAGTCCATGCAGGGGGCGAAAATTGTCTTTGTGGTCTGAACGACCGACAAGTTTTCATGTTCATATAATTTAGAACAAGCTAAACGTAGTGATGAGTGTTAAGGCAAAGTCAATGATAAAGCGACATACCAATTATGCTTGCCTACTCGTGAACCGCTGTAACATTCTGATGATACCTGGACCAAGGTAGAGTCAGACGACACCGAAGACAAGGGTTCAATTGTCGAGTAGTGGGTGGTAACGACTTCGACCTTGACCGTAACGGCAATGCGAGGATATTCGTGCGCAACGGTAGATGATGCGCTGAATGTAAGAAGAGCGAGGATGTCCTATAAAACATATTAGATGATAAGGTACACACGCAAAATCGCACGTACCTTTACGAAGACCGTGACGGATAGTGCCATTGCAATCGCGATGGCAAAGAGATAACCGGTAGTTTGGATAAGTTGGTTGTTGGTAATCATGGTTGTGTTGAGAGAGGGAATTGCACGAATGGCGGAGGTATATATACGCCAAGAGGGGTATCCCTACCCTTTGATCACAGTGAGTCTTGGAGCAGAAGCTTGTATGGTGAAACAAGAGTCTCACCGACTTCGAGAAGGAGATTACTACGAATTCTCTTATTTCTTCACTCACGAGTTTTAGAAATATTGTCTGACGAGTCATTTGCGTTGACGCCACCCTTCCAGGTCCGTCGGCCACACAGAGTTGTGCTGTGGGTCCATATGATGCCCGACGGGCGAGAAAGCCTCCACGGAGGCAATGCAAGACACAAACAGGGGCCACCTACCTATTGAACTGCACCGCCGATTTCACTCCGGCGGAAAAAGAGGGTAAAAAAAGAAAGAAGCCTAAATTTAGGTGCTAGAGAGTCGTGTCGGAAAGCTTCAGAGACTAAGATTACAACCAGTTAATGCCAGTAGTAAATGTATATGGATATTTGACAAGAAATCTTGTATGTTCGCCAACTGACGTTCAGAACTGGGATCTGTACATACTGTACTATTCCATGTTTGCAAAAGACTCTGCGGAGGCAATGCAAGACACAAATAGGGATCATCTTTTGAAACTGAGACGCGACTTGGGCGGCGGAAAAAGGCCACAAGTGCCATGTAAAGTAATTGTGCTAGGAAGGCTTCAGAGACCAAGAAGACAGTCTGAGATATCCATGGGTAGATTCGGTCACACCAGCTCGTAGTACATGGAAATCAGCAAGAACCAGGGTAGGTATCTGTCAGAGGACATATACCGGACCTATCCATACTGTTGAGTCCATGTTAGTACTGCTGTAAACCGTAGATGAAGAAGATTCGCGTACGATTGGAGAAATAATTGGAAATGTAGAACTGGTATGCTCGGAGACGAACTGCTCAAGATGAGTGAATTTAGAACGACCAGCCTAAGTCGCGAAAGCCTGGTAGCAGACGGGAAGAAGTCAGTAAATGTACAGAGAAATGAACTTGAGGTTGAAAATCACGAAAAGTGACTACATCGGGGTTCGGGTCCGAAGATTCCGAACTGGCTTATGCTCAACCAACCCTAAAGTCGTCTTTGCTTCGGTACCAACATGTCCATTCTCATCCTGATTCCTGACTTCCTCTACTAAGTATATGCGCCCGCAATTATCGACATTTCTATTCCAGATGCCACTCGGAAAATATCTCAAATTCACGCGGTGCTCTGGCCGTCGAAAACAATGACAATATTCACTTGAACAATGCACAGCTATAAAATCTCGCTGGACGCTTCTCTCTGCTACTTTACCGTCATGTCCACCTCCTGTGTATGCAGCATCTGCCTCTCCGACTTTGTTGACCCCGTTTGCACACCCTGTGGTACGCTCCATTCGCTCTCATTGTAACTCTGACACTGATTACCAGTGGCAGGACATGTCTATTGCTTGAAGTGCATCGCACAAGCCACCAGCATTCAGCGCAATGAAGGGTCAACGTCAACCATAGCCCCATGTCCTACCTGTCGCAAGTTGTTTTCTGTCGGTGACGACCCCGTTGGTGCCTTTCCCCTCATAATCACTCGAACGCTCACCAAACGCCTAGCTCCCGCGCGATTTCAACGACTACTCTGGCTACCCCCTCCGGAGGCTCTACGTGAATGGATTGCGGGTTAATTTTGAGGAAAAGGTGAAGAGACTGGAGGAGCGCATCACTAGTTTGGAATGGGAGAATCATCGGCTGCGAATGAAACACTTGTTGCTGCCACCTCGATATATGCACCAGCAAAGTGAGAGGAACAGCCGGTCTGTGCCGTGGCTTGCACGTACACCTCGTACGGGTTCAGGGTCCCTGTCGTGGGTACCTCGAGAGGAGCGTAATGCGTCGCGCATGAGGTGGTTGGCGAACACATTTATGTGGGTTTTATCGACCTGGATCTCAAAATCAATGCTCATGCTGTCGTAGATTTGGATTGATGATATTGGCAGGGTCTATTGCGGGTCTCGCCCTGTACGATGCCTTCGGCAGATACACTCGTTCCGTATTGGATTCTTTGATATCGGTCTAGGTTTATTTGCCTTGTATGATAATATAACATCTGCAATTACATGAAGCTTCCCTGCGGTGAATCAGATTCAGAGGCCAGGGAAGAGCAGCCGTACGGATTCCAGGCACGGTGAACTCGAAATTCTGGACGAAGCCGTAGAACGTAGGTTTTGTGCCATCCTTGTACAACACTGAGAGCTGAACTTGGATGTGAAGAGGAGGGTTGCGATGAAGCGTCGTCTTCGAGATGCTCGCGCTTTGGAAGAGCTACCTCGGATCTAATACGAACAATGTAAAGAGATTCGATAAGCCAATGATGATGCATACGTACCTGGCATCGTCATGCACGCACGTACTCTTCCTCTCTGCCTCCAACCGCTTCATTTTTTGCAGGTGATTCTTCTTCGCGACCGCTGCCATGAGGACACGGTTGTCTCGCTCGAGGGTGGCGTTGCGAGCCTCCAATGCATCAAGTCTTTGTTTGAATGCCTCTGGTTCGACGAAGACGCGCCGGATGCTTGGAGTAATGTAGCGGTGGAATTGTTTGGGGAGGGATTTGAGCTATGGCGGAGAAATAAGGGAAGAGAACGATGCCAATCGAGAATAGCCCACCTCTGGCAGGACTATGATAGGATGAGCGACGGGAGAACAGACTCAGAAAGAGAAAGATTTTCACCAATACAGAACTTGGTCCGGCAAGTAGGACACGAAGCAGTGAATCCATCGAGGCTACTCGACAAGATATAGTCGGATACGCATTTCAGGCAGTAGATATGACCTGAAGACAGAAAATTTCAGCAATATATTGTATCTGCAGACTGCTGATACTGACCGCAGGTATCGAGGCGGGTTCGGTATAGCCGCAGAGACATATGGCGCATTGGATAGGCATAGTGGGAAGGAAGAGAGGAACAAGAGTTTACATTAGTATTAAATTAGGAAGGATCACGCTACACGTGATTGACGCGTCGCGTGTAGGTCTCGGAGTGACATCATTATGATTATCATCGCGGACCGTAATTCGAACTCCATAACTCGAACAAACTTGACGCGTCTCCCGAAGTTTACCAATGGCCAGGCTCTGAGCGAACTTGCTGCGTAAATCGTCACCATTGTGCCTTTCAGTTCCATCCTGATTCACCTAAGTAGTAAGTACGCGTCTGTTTTTTGCGCATTTTTGCTATAACATTCTCTCTCGCTCTTTCCATGCTCAGTTCTGTGATTTTACTCATAGTATGGGACGAAGATCATTCACATTGGAGTACTTATCTATGAGAGGTGGGTTGATGCATATAATCTAGTCCGCAATGTTACGCTAATTCGATTATAGAAGGATACCGCTGAAGTACTGCTTCAACCCATCCTTCCCACCTACGAGCCCACCAATCATCCCATCGGGCCGCACAACAACAACCTTGGTGTGTTTCTCCGCCATATTATAATGCTTGTACGCATATCCATCACCATCCACCAGTAAGTAGTCAGCAGAAATAACACCCGTTGGCTTCTGAGAAAGAATGACCACGGTCTTGACGATACCGGCAGGGTAACTCTTCAGAGCATCCAAAACTCCAGTGTCGTCGTCTGAGAAGACGAGCACTGTATGGTATGACGAGCCAAAGATATCGAAGAGACTCGTCTTGCGCATGGGGTCATCGACGAAAATGAGGCCGGGGGCATCGGGGGCTCTGTCACCGCTTCGGACAGTGCCGTCGTTACCTGAACGATACGGATCGATGGTCTCTTCCCCCTTTACCGGGGTTTCATCGACGATAATGGGACTGGCGCGGTAGTTGACGCCCAGCTGACGGAACTCGTAGGGTCTGTTCCAGCCCGTGAGTGTCTGTCCGACGCTTCCAGGGGTGAAAGTCTTGGTAAGGAGCTCAGAAGTCTTGTCAAGCATTGCCGCGATGACGGGAATGCGCTCTTGGGAATAACTATCGAGGAGACTCTGGGGAGCTAAGCCCTTTTGAATAAGAGCGAGCTTCCAAGCTAAGTTGACCTATAGGCGTATCAGAAATTTTTCATATATAAAAACTATCTGTTGTACTGACGGCGTCTTGGATACCCGAGTTGAGTCCCTGACCACCAGTAGGGCTGTGAACGTGGGCGGAATCTTGTCGTAGATTAGCATCCAAGTACAGAAGCCATTGAAAAAACGAATCATACCGCCTGCAACAAAAGCCTGTCCGAAACCATAGCTATTCACCATACGAACATTGGGTCTGAGGATAGCATGTTAGTAATATTCGCAGTCCAAAACTCCGTACTTACTGGAAGTTCGAAAGCCAGATGACATCACCAAACTCAATATCGGTGCGTCCTGTTATTTCATAAAAGGCTTTGACAAATTCCTCTCGACTAGACGCCATTTGATTGGCATCTAAATCGCGTCCCATACAGAAGATATTGTATTTGTCAGTGTCTTTGGTCTCAAAGCCTCGGAGAGTCACGCTAAAAAGTGATTCGGAATTCATCCACACGAGATAATCAGCGTACAGGTACGCACCTCTTTGTTGCCGCTTCACCCCATAGATGCCATAGCTCAAACAAGAGGTCAGTCGCGGAAAGAATGAGTCCAACTTGCAACTTACATCTCTATCCAACAACGGCTTCTTGATATGGATATCACCCACGACTAAATGATCTCCCTGCCTCGTCTTGCCAAGGAATGTCAAACCAAGCGTTTTACGGACGACGCTATGTGCACCCTCCGTGCCGATGATCCATTGACTCTCAATGGTTTCGTCGAACCGTTGTCCATCACGAGTCTTGACAACACGAGAAACCACTCGACTAGGGAATTGTTCGAAAGACACGAGCTCAGTGCCCAACTCGACCTCGACATCCTATCTAGTCAAGTGTTCACGGAAAATCTCTTCTTGTACGTCTTGGCCTATCATGATAGGATTAATCTAAATTCCCCAGAGTGTTAATATCAAGATTGAGAAACGATAAAATCGCGCACGTAAGGTCGGTCAGGGGTGTTCTCCATGCGGGCTATCACCTCGGCGGTTTTCGTTCCACCCCCGGGAAGATAATGGATCATGAGCGGAGCGAATCCGCCTTTCTTCAGAATATCGGGCAGGACACCAAGGAACTTGAGTAATTCAAGGATCCTGGGCTACGTTGCGAATTAGATGAGGTATTTTCGATGCACGACAAAAGTAGAACCTGAATACCAGCGCCTCTCTGGTCGACCTGATATGTAGACACTTTGTCTATGACTCGAACAGAGATTCCGTTCTGGCGCAAAGCGAGAGCCAAGGAAAGACCTGAAGGTCCAGCACCGACCTATGTAAGTGATAGTGATGGTGAATCCAACTTGAAAGTACGGAAAGAATGCCACGTACAATGAGAACAGACGCGTTCATTGTTATGACAGTAGTAGAAAAGTATGGGAGTGTGTGTTGGAACCAGGAGCAGAGCGGATTTCACTTTTATAGCACTTCATGTTGGTGGTCACTGACGGACCTTGGACGCTAGATCCACATGAATTTACAAGTTGCCCATGTCATCATGATCATCTTATCAGATAAGGATTATCTCATGGTTATCTTCGGTGTTTTTCAAATGACGCGTACGGCGGCAAGTCAGGGTAGAATGCGATAGATCGGTGCTCAAAGCCGACATCCCGCAACAGGCTCAACGTGAAGAGAAAAATACCAGCTCATAGGTAGCATCATAGCTATATACTGTCATTGTCGATTTATAATCTAAGTTTGCAATGTCGAGTCGATTATCCAGCGGAGGATGTTTGAAAAAAGCAATTCTCACAGGTGGAGGTGTGGTGCGGTTGAACTTGGGAGAAAAATCTATACTAACCTTCGCATCAGGTAGTGACAACTCACCGACAACTGTCAGCGATTCTTACACCTTCAATTTATCAGCAAACAAGTTTTGGCTTACAAGTTACAAACATCATCACTAATGCGTACTGACAGCACGGCCCATCAGGTTTATGCTAGGCAATGGCACTGATCGTAGCAGCTAAAAGGCCTCATATCGCCACTGATCCGTTACTGTGAAATCTGGATTCACATTGATGTAATGACTTCTAGGCTAGCCTTTCGCCACACGCGCAGGCCTCATAAAGGCAGATATTTTATCGTCGGTCTACACTTTAACAGCCGGTGCATATATCTGTTGAAACACCAGCCTCACATGGTCAGTCACCGTTAATATTTTCGTGGGGATCCACTTACGTATTGGTTCATTTCCGAACCAGAGGATTTTCAAGGCATATAAGCCTGAGCAGGTAAATAAGTCGTCGTTCCTTGTCGCGAATAGAACAGATGCAACCACCTTTTGCTGTTCATGACGACTGAATCCGGTGTCGTAATTCTAATAGTCTCATCGTAGATGAACTTTGCCCTTGTAGTCGGGGCAATCCCCCTAAAGAATCCTCAGTTTCGTCAACAAAGACGTAGCGCGAAATTAACTGATTCACCAGAAGCAAACACCGACAAAACAGCTCTGCTCCCTCGTGTCGATGTCGATGGCAATAGGCTATAGAGATCGCCGGCATAGCTGAAATAGGTTCTGATGCTTCAAGCCAGTGGCAGCTTCGCCCGTCTTGTTGGTCGGCCAAGATGGGAGAACTGAACTAAAATAATTAAGTAAAGTGATTTCAAGTGCTTTCAACAGACGAGCGATACAACTGTACGGATCGTTTGCAACTACTCTGAGAAGGCCACGAGCCTATGTGTATTTATCTTTTGTATATTTGAGCGAGATGAGATTCTGTAAGCACGTCTTAAGGAAAGTCTACCTCTCTCAAGGGTAAGATACACTTGATAGGATATGCCGATATGCCTGTAGTCCAAGTCGGAGGTCCTGGCTAGATACACATTGAAGCCCGTACAGTAGACCATAGACGAAGCAGGAGCTTAAAGGCGCAGCGCAAGGACACGCGCCCCACGTCTAAAAGTAGATCCCTAAATTGCATGACAATTACATTATACAACACGAACAACATGATAGTACTATTAAACGAAATCAGCGATAACATTAATGGTATTTCATAGCCCACTCACTATAATGGTAGAATCTAAGAAGATTCAACAAGAAAAAAGGCGTAGCTCTAAATTATGTCTTTGACAGGTGTTTGTATGCCGCGGAAATGGACGGTATGCAGTCGGAGGGGACGATCTTCTAAGGAGCGACAAGTCTTCTGGCTAGACCACTACAGGCTGATCGTTTCGTTTATGTTCTGATTGATTGGCGACGTCTTGAAGCAGTAGAAGCAGTTACAGTCGACCTCTGATATTCTTCTGTTTGTGCCAGGTTCTTGGTCATCCGCGAGCGTAAGGAGCGTCGGTCAGAGTGGCGATTATCGTCCAGATTACCGGTGCTATCAGATCTACGGCGTTTGACACCGGAAGTAACGTGCGACCTAAAACACATTTAGACTGCAGGTCAAATGGATTATGGGAGAAGTAAAAACGTACAGTATGTCATCGAACGCTTTCCTGAGCTTTATATACTTGTCTTTGTGGTACGTCATTTCAGCGAAGGCGACCCGAAATTCTTCGCCTTGTTTCTTCTCTGCTTCCAATTGGTCACTGAGCTGCGAGAGAGCGAGCGAGTAGACTTTTGACTGTTCTTCGAGATGTTGTTGTTCTAGTATGATACGATCTTTCGCGGTCTTCAATTCCTGCTTCAGGTTGTCGATCTCTGGATCTGGGGAGGTGTCGAGAAAGACGCGGCGTATACCAGGGAATATGAATCGGTGAAAAGAGCGAGGTAGGTGTTCAAGCTACGGAACAGTGAGCAGATAAACACACTTTCAACTTAGGTGCGAGACAACTGACCTCGGGAGTTGCTATGAGAAACGGATGCTGTAATGAAGCCTAGGATCACAGATAAACCGAAGGACTGACCTATCGGAAAATTTTCTCTGCAAGTAGGACAGGACGAGCTAAAGCCATTAGAACGTACGAGGATATACTCCGATATGCATGCCTGGCAGAAAATGTGCCCTACGGGAACGCCGTGTCAACCATCGCAATTCAACCTGAAACGCCAACCAAGTACCGCAGGGCGTAGAAACGAGGCTGTCATATGGAGACAAACATATCGCGCAAGAGTGGGCCATCTGGCAAAGGCGGGATAGAGCAAGAAGAAAAGGTTTCGCAGAAGGGCTGTCGGTAGTGGTGGTGAAAAGGAAAGAGTTGCCGGGAATTTCCGTCATCCTGGCCGGTATGTCTTCAAGTTCACTACTGTGTGGAAAACCGTACTTGGAAGAAATTTCACTGCTTCACGCATTTCTTGAGGACACATGTGGTTGAAAATATATATAATAATAGAGCCTTCGGTAAAAAAAAATGTATTGTACAAAACGGTGATAGTCAAGATCTGAAGACTTCTTGAATGCTTTCGAGAAAAACCCTTTTGGCTTTCTTGCTCACTTTCGCAATCTTCTTCGTAGTCTTTGTCTTCGTTATGGAAATAGACGCCTTCTTCGTCTTCCTAGACGCAACCAAGGGACGTTATCACTGCCTCTTCGACGATGGTCCCAACGCGTTTCAATTGGACGGATGCCTTCCGAGGGAAGTACGAATCCGATGAAGGGGTGAATGGAGAGGCGACGGGAGAGAAGGCGATTTGGAATGACGAAGACATCCGTCGTGCGAAAGGCCTCATCTCGGCCTTGGCAGTTTGAGCGAGACGCCTGATGTCCTTCTTCATGTGCACGGACATAGGAGGCAAGCGCTCTGTATACTCGTGAGCGAAACGGTCTACAGCAAGAAAAGGAAAGCTTACTCTTGGGGCCTGACTTCTTGGGTTTCGCAATGGCGTTGTCACATACTGACGACGTTTCGACCAAAGTAGAGCTGGATGACGAGAAGGATACCGATGAAGACGGGGCCACCATCATTGAGTATCGAGATGTGTTACGCTCTACCTTAGTCGTAACAGCCATGCGGGGGTATTCGGGCAAGGAAGGTGTCATCGAAGGACACGCCCAAAACAATAGCATAGCAATAATGCTCTATGAAAGCAATCAGTACGCGTGTGACGAGAGCAATTGAAGATACACACCTTGATAAGACCGAATACGGCCTGTGCCATCGCAAGCGCAACGGCGAAATGGGAACTAGTGGTTTGGATGAATTGGGTGTTGGTAATCATGTTTGTGTTCAGTGGGGAAAATGAACGAATATTGGGGGTATTTATACGCCAAGAGGGGCCTCCTTCCTAGACGAGTATAGGAGCAGTAACCCGTATAGTGAGACAACTCACGTACGAGTTCGAAGAATATTTCTTATCCACACAGTGGGCCTTTAAGGCACTCATTCGCGCTCTCCGGCTGCTAGTATCAGAAAGCACATTCAATCCGCTGCATGAGTCGCGTTGTGGGTCCATGTGTACGGAAGAATGGTTCCGCGGAGGCAATTGCAGAGCGCGAATAGGGGCTTCTTTCTTGAGGTTTCAAAAAACTGAAACTGAAACCGCGATGAGCTCGTGACGCCAGTAGCACAGCAAGCTCACAGCCGCAATCTTTCCACTTGGCGTCGTTGTGCAATACAGAGATCCGGACCGTATCTGCGGAGGACGATACGAGGCTGGGAATGAATTTTCTCAGTCAGAGGCATCAATGGTATGTTTAAACCCCACCTCGCAATAGATGCAGGGGACATTCTAGAACGATGATCTGTGACTCTTGTCGCCCAATAATGACAATCTGCAGATGGTATTAAGCCCTCAAGCCAAACGGAAAGGAACGCCGTTGAAATATCAAGAAACAAGCATGCCGTACGAGTCATCGTTGAATTCCGCCCGGAACCTTCCCACTGACGAATCGAGTTATCAGGCTCTGAGCATCCATTGAGTGTTTTGATAGCCATACATATGTTGAGATGTAGATACAAAAAAGAGTGTAGATCAGAATGCAGTATTCAAATAAATATCGACGTAGCTAGTTGAGGTCAAGAAAGCCAACGTGAGTGTTCCATGAGAGTCGCGGCAATTTGTTCCTAAGTAGATGCAGTAGTTTGTAAGCAATGTTATGAGCAGTAGTAATGAATGACATGGTTATACGAGGAGCAGTAGTATCTGCAGCACCTGGTACTGGCAATTGAGTAAATTCGAGGTCTATGTGAAGCACCGATGAGATGATGAAAATAGATGATGAAGTTAGTCGGAATCGGATTCAAGAAAAGCCCAGGCGCCATGGCTATCTCGGCGGTTACTCGAGGTATTTTGAGATAGACGTGGTGTTGTGCCGATTGGAATTCTGAGGAATTTCGTTCGCCCTTTCCTGACCTGTGCCGATGCAGGGCTTGGGACTGTTAAGGGTACTTGCGCCATCTTCGGTTGCCTCGAATCGATGATAGCGGGGAGGGAAACCGGAGGGGCAGGCTGGGATGGTGAAGATTCTCCAGCGGGATGGGCATCTAAGATGTTGTTACGCTCTCGCCGGATACGCTTGATGCTACGACTTGGGAGCGAACGCGTGAGTCGGTCTCGAACTGGGGAATCATCCTCAGTTCCATCAGAGCTGCCATTCTCGAATCGCACGCGCTTGATACCAATGGTCGCGGGAGAGGGAGTTGATGACAATGTCCTGTTTGATACTCTTTAACAGAAGATAAAAGGAGGCAAGCAACACCGTACCTTGCCAAATTCGCCTCTTTACGCGATTCTTCCAGCAGCTCACGCATACGCGCAGCCTCTTCCTTTGCCATCTTCCTCTCCGTCTCCAGCTGCCTCTTCACCCTTTGCAACTCGATTGTTGCACTCCGCTCTCCCCTGGCATGAGCCGCAGATTCAGCCATGTACCTTTCGCATGAATCCATAAGGTCCCGATTGTCTCGTTCGAGGGTGGCGTTGCGCGCTTCCGCTACTTCGAGTCGGTGCTTGAGTTCTTCGTATGTCTCGGAGGGATTGGGTTCAACGAAGACGCGTCGTATACTTGGAGTCACGTAACGATGGAACAGCTTGGAGAGGGAATGCAGCTACAAGGACAAACTGTTAGACGAGAAGCGACGAGGCGAAAACAGGTCTACCTCCGGCACAACTAAAACAGCAACTTTAATGTCAGAGATGCACTGAAACAAGCATGACTAGATGGCTTACCAATAGTAAACTTCGTTCTGCATGTAGGGCACTTCGCTGTGAATCCATCTCTGCTACTGGTCGAAATGTAGTCAGATAGGCATTGCATACAGTAGACGTGGCCTGAGGATAAAATTTCAATAAAATTCAGAATTCGCGCTTACAACTTGCAACTGACCACAGGGTATGGAGACCGGCTCCTTATAGTCGCAGAGGCAAATCGTGCATTGGCCTGACATGGTGGTAGCGGGAAGAGGAGGAGGATATAAGAAGGAGCAAGAAGAGAGAAAACAAACAAGGATTTTCGGATACAAACGCGGGCGTGACGACACGTGACTGACGCGACGCGTCAATAATTTCTTCCGAACTTCCCCTCTTCTCTTTCACCACATTCTTTCAGCTTTGTTTTACTCTGTCCCTCTTCACGACTACCAGCTGGTACCCTGTACTCAACACAAGCAAATTATGGCTTCTCAGTGCTTCAAAGACGATTCGGAAGCTTTGGAAAGCCGCATTCAATACGAGCCACTGAGGTCCGACGGTCAGCGGCATTAAGTGAAAGAGTATAGCTTTCGAGCTCATTTACTTGTTTGAAAGGAAGTAGCAAGGACTCTGTGGTTTATCTCGATGGTTCTCTGGAGCAATCCTCTTGCGGTGACTGCGCTAACAGCTCTGAATTTCTACTGGGTGCGTAGAACGGTTTTTGACTTTGGAAGCATTGTCGTTAATTAATCGTGTACCGCTCCTTATAGCAGGATTTCCAAAAGTGAGAAGACATCTCTCTTCTGATACCCAGCTGAGCGTCATCTTCTCAGATTATACTTCAGCAATCATCTGATGGCGCAAGACGCGTCCCGCACACGAGTGAAGATTTTATTCCGCCATCACGATCTCCTTTAGAACTCGCAGCGGAAGTGGAACATTTGAAACGACAGCTGGACGCCGCTCACGCCAGAGAGGATCGTCTCACACGAGAAAAAACAGATCTCATTACTACCCATCAACGAGAGATGGATGGCCTCAAACTCAAATTTTCTGAAATTAAAGTCAAACAAGACATCGATATATCTCTTCTAGATCTCGAAAAGACTTTCCTCACTAGGAAGGTTCATAAAGCAGAGGCCAAGTTGGCACAATCGAAGGGAGATGTGGATAATCTCAAACAGCTCACTCAGGCTCTCCGAAAAACCATTGACAAGCACAGGTCGGACTCTGCAGCCGAAATCCGACATCTCAAGGAACGGATGGACAACGATAAGAAGAATATCTTAGCTGAACATCAGAAGACCAAGGCGGCATTGCAAACGTTCCAGTCAATGACGTCGTTGCTAGAAAGGCACGTTCAAGCAACTTATGCAGTAAACCAAGGTTTGGAGGCCGACATAATGCGATTTAAACGAGAAAGTGAAGAGGCGAAGGCGAAACTAGAGGAATACGAAACTACCGTGGAGACTCTTAGAATGCACTTTGGAGAGATGGAGGCTAGCATGCTTGCTGCAAAGGTTGAATCCGGTCGGATGAGGGCCGAGATCGAAGGGTATTGCGAGGGGACCACCGAGCTAGAGGCTGTTAACGCCAGGCTGGCCTCGGATCTCGAATCTACCGAGAAGAGAATACTTCTCGTGACAATGAACAACGAGTTGCTTCTCCAAACGGTCTCAGATCTTCGTAGCCCAAACCCACATTTTGAGGCGCTACAGGCCGAGTCCGTACGTCTCGCACAAGAGAACTTGCAACTGCAGGAAAGACTGCTAGAGTATGAGGAGCAGGAGGTTGAAGGCGCAGTGTTTGATTACGAGGAGTGAGTGATCACATTTATCATTTATTAGTTTGATGCTCAATGCAATCATCTTCCTAGGGACCAGTCATTTGACCAGCCTCCATTGGGTTCAAGCTCTACGGAGGGAAGTACTGCAGGAGCGGACCTTCATTGCTGGCGAGGCGCTCGAACATGCAATTCCTTCCCTCAGTGCGTCAGAGAATGACGAGGACTCCGTCATATTGATAAAAACGGTCATTTCATTACGTGAAAGTGCCGGTATGATACTCGTGCCATATTTTGGTTTACGTCAATTCTCCAGATTAGACAAATGAAAGAGCCATGTCACCAAAAGATAAAAATCCATACCAGGATTTCGACTGCTGCCAAGTTCATGAGTATCAGAAAGCTCGACTAAGATCGCGTTATACAAAGGATGGTTCCGCGGAGGCAACTGCTGAGCGCGAATAGGGGCAGTACTAAGACACAGGCGTCAGTCTCACGTGACCGTCGCGGGGCGGCTACATGGAATTAGGGCAAAAAGGGTAAGGTTATTTACCAAATGGTTTTTACAGTATTTTACCAGGGGTCCTGAGGGGGGTTTCAACTAGGTAACATACAGAGATCACGTGCATGTATTGTCACCTGCAAAACAGCTGTAGTTCTATGTAGACTCAAGGATAATTATTCAAAGAATTTTCATAGGTCACTGAAGCACCAAGGAAGATGATGATATGGCCTCTTGAATTCTTAGGAGACCTCGACCGCATAACGAAGTCCCCATGGACACCTGGCACCTACGATCCCCGATCGTCAAAACCGCGCGTCCCCCCTTCCCAAACCCTGAGCTAATCCGGTCATCCATAGGCCCGAGCCAGTCTCCCCACCAGTTGAAGTTGATGCCAACAATCGATCAACTCGAGCAGGCGGATGATTGATCGACTGTCATCAACCGAAGGTAGGGGACCGGCTCGAGTCTAGGTCATCCACAGGCACGACCGATTCTCCCCTGCCAGTGGAACAGACGAATCAACGATTGGACGCATACCTCCCCTCGTAGAACTAGAATACCCGTACTCAGCACTGCAGATACTCATGCCAGCGTCGCAAGAAAGACGAAAGTTCCCCTAGATACAAAAACACCGTACCACAGCCACCCTACCATGCCACATAGTCATAGATTGTACATGTGAGCCTTGACGGGTCCCAGGTACTTTAAACAAGATGCATTCATTCATTCACTATAAATGAGGCTAATCGCGTCGTCGCCATCTTTCATTCAAACTTGCTCGAATTTCGTAGCCACTCCTCCTTTATCGAAGTCTTCCCCTCTTACTCACTTCAAAACATGACTACTCAGTGCTCCAAGTGTCACTCCGAGCCTCAAGACCCCGTCTGTCGTCTGTACGCCATGTGGTGGGTGGAACTCTTAGTTATGGACGATGGCATTGGTTGACTCTCTTTGATACTTTAGGCCACTTGTACTGCAGCGGGTGTCTACGAAGCCTAACTTCTAACGGGCGCGTACCCTGCATATGTTTCTGTTGTGTCTGTCAGGCATCCATTCTGTTCGGTAAGCTTTTTTTCTTTGAAAGACCGTGCCGCGATTGATAGAAATTGAACAACACACAGACCTTACAGATGATGAAGTGAGCGGCTTGACTCACCTCTAAAATATACTGATGCTGAGCTCGTTATATAGGTACCTGCAGAATGGCTTGTCACAAAAAGCATTCGTAGGATATTTCGAACGCCAACAGTGGCAGCTCAGCAGACCCTTGAAAGGGCTTCCTCCTTCTCTCCCCCAGACCACGCCAGTTGCGACGAGAACACCGTCGCCACTCTGCGCAAAGAATTTCTGGACCTCTCTAAGCAGATGGTCGACTCCATGACAGCGATTTCGCAGCTGCAAGCTACGAACGAAGAGCTGACATATGAACTCCAGGGCTGTCAAACTGAGCTCATGTCTACGACTACGGAAGAAAGACGACCTGACAAAGAGATTGTCGATCTCAGAGCCCCGCGTTTCGCTGCTGGAGGAGGAGAAGACTAGCATTTCAGCGAACTTACAGTCGCTGAAAGCTAAGTTCAGTTCCTTCAAGACTGTCACAGATGCCCAGATTGTACAACTCGAAGGGGACAAGAGAAGTCTTATCAACCAGAGCGAAAAAGCCAAGGCGGAGCTGGATATATCGCAAGCTATGGTGAAGACCCTGGAGCAGCGTCTTGGACAGTTGCATGGAGAGTTCGACGAGCTGAAGACAGCATCCGAACGTAACGCGATTGAACTCAAAGCTGCGCTGACAAACTGCCAAAACGTTGCCAACAATCTTGAGAAATGCAAGGACGAATTGACGAAGGAAGTGGAGACGTACAAGATCGAGTCCAACGCCCTCCAAGAAGAACTGCTGCTTCTGAAAACCAACAACACCAGTGTTGATCAACTAGTCAACAGGAGCAGTTAGCACGCAGGAACGATCAAGGAGAAACAGCTGTGTGAAGTGGCGACCGGTACTATCTGTCATTGATGTGTACTGACACTGAATCCATCCTTGTCATAGCAACTCATCCTCGGAGGTACCTCTTCCGAACGCCTCGCAAACGCAAGACCAGGGCCAGGGCACTGAGTCACCGGATAAGTCGGACATGCCTACCACAAGTGATGAAGCGGTGGGCCATTGCAGGGCGTGGCAGATCCGAATCCTGACGATGGGGTGGGCTGCCCTGCGTGGGCGGCACAAAGTGCATTGAATGGTACAATAGAATAGCGATACTGAACTTGAACCGACCAACTGAGAATATTTACGATGATCGCGACAAGCTGAAGAAGACTCCGGAGCATAAATCAAAAGAAAAGGAACGGGGATGAGGTCCCCTGCTCTCCTGACAGGCTCACAGTTAACGGATGTTACGGCGGTACGCTTGAAAATTCAAATTAATTGAATAATGGTCTAGTGATACACGGTACAAGGCTACTGATCTTGAGAACAGCACCTCAAGCCTGGGCGACGAAGGCGACGACGTTCAAGGATACGACAACGAATACATTCATGATAGCGAGGGTGGGAAGTTGAATAGCCTTGGCAATGGTGAACCATACCCAAGTAACAGGTGGAACCGCAGTGTGCAACGGAGAAGGCTAGAGATGGCAATATATGTGATTCACGTCGGTCGGCAGACTGGACTGAGTGAGAGGCCACGTACCCAATTTTTGTTATGGCCTCAGATGGCCAATCCTCCCAAAAAGCCCAGCCAACATACCCCATTCACTGCTACATCAAAGCTAACGCTTCCGGCGTCCACAGGGCATCCCTTGTTGGACACCAGGCGGGATACTGATTGAATCAATAGCACCAGTCCCGGCAACGATCTGTGCGAGCGAAGCAGCTGTCATCTCAGGCTGTATCTGTGGTTGTTGAGGCGAGGTCGAGATCGAGGAACAAGAAATGGCTGTGAAGCGTACAGAGAAGTGGTGAGTGCCTCCCTAGTGATCAGAGATACAACAGCTAAAGCAAATGTTAATTTCATCACGAATGTACAAATCTCAAGTACTTACCGAAACGTTGGCAATGTGAATCATGTTCAGCGTCGAGCGGAAAAGCGAAAGAGGCGTTCACCACGAAGTAATACAGTATGACTAAGTGATAAACCGGCATTGACGTCACGGCGAATTATCGGACTATCACCGCCACTGAGGTCAGACCGAATAGTCGCGCCTTTAGTATATGAAACTCGCTGGCGGCTCGTTCGTGTAGTGCCTTGAAAAAGACTGCCAGTGGGTGACGGTATGAAGTCATTCTCTGCCTGCCTGCCTGCCGTCGTTCGATGCAAGCGTGACCTTTCCGCAAAAGCGGCCCGCCACGCCCGTTTCGTCAGAGTGCACCTTTTCGACGTTCCTCCATGTTCATCACAAAGGAATGGCTCGTACCTTATCCCATCGTTGCAGGGACAGGATAGCTACTTCACTCATCCCTTCATCTTTCTTTCTTTTCTTTCTAGTTTCTAGCAGGCTGGTATTCCTGCATTCCACCTACGACCGCCGCAAGTAGTATGTCGTGTAATGTATGCGTTTCTATTCTTTCGGACCCTCTGAGTACTCCATGCGGTAAGCTACTGTACAATTCCAGGGTGTCTTAAAATACTCAAAGGTTGTCCTTTCAGGTCATGTTTTCTGTTCAGCACGTCTGCTGGGGCACGTCGCGGCAACAGGCGTCAGTAATGGCGATGGAACTACAAAGGCCTCGTGCCCTAGCTGTAGGACAATATTCATTGGCAGTAAGTTTATGGTTGAGTGGCTCTCTCTACACCCATATGGATGGAGAGGACCCCTCAAATAGATTTCTCCACCGTATGTGATAAATTACGGTTCTCCTGTCTTCGTGTGGCTTACATTTTCTACCTGGAATCAAAACCTTCCGCCCTTGGGAACCGGTATTCGACCGATTTTCCTTGATTTCTCGTCCGAAATCTGCGATCCTGAAAAGGCCCAGCTAGAGAAAGCCCTTGGCGAGCTACGATCAGAGTGCGAAAGAAGAAAGACCGAAGCGCTCAGAACTCAGGCAGCTCTACACGGAATAAAAGCTCAGGTAGCTAGTGCCCAAACTTGGGAAGCGGTCCACAAGCGGGCCACTACCAAAATTATCAAGATGACGAACTGCATGCCTGAACTTAGGGCGACCAACGAGAGTCTACAAGAAGCCAACCGAGACTTAACGATAGCTCTCGAACTATCGAAGTCTGAATCTATATCACTAAAGAGTAAGCTCGGAACTGCGGAGCAACAAATTACCACGTTTGACGAGGAGAGACGGGATTTCCAAAACAAGGTCGAGGAATTGGAGCGACAGCTATCCGCCCTTCACAAGGACTGCCAAATTGCCTGCGACCAAAGCGAGCTCTCGCAGGACAGAACCTTACGATGCGATGGGAAGTTGAGGGTAACCGAAGCGCTGGTAGCGACGTTACAAGCAACAAAAAGCAGCGTGTTCTACTATCTCTAACCGTACGTGCGATCATTGATTACTTGCATCAATTGATGAAAAAGAAGGACTTTTCGTTACTCGAGATGCTTCTCCCCACCGAGAGAAGTCCCGCTCACCATGGTATAGTGAACAGCTCGAACCAATGTCGATCGCAGGTCAAGAAGTCGAAGTGATCTCCGAGAGTCGTCCCCTCTCCCCGAGCATGGAGAAGGCCGACCTCACGCACAACAGCCAAGCCAACTCGTGCACTCCACAAGACTACGAAGCTCGCAGGAGACAGATGTCACTGGTAGAAGCAGCAACTCTACCCGACTTCTCTTCTGACACGCTCGGTAGAAGGTATGTACTCAGATAACCGGTTTCGAGGATGTTACTCATCGCTCGCTAGTCCGCAGAATTTCCGAGACGTCCCACTCTCGAGCGTTGCAAGAGAGAGATCCGCCTGCATGCACACTGGAAGGAGTAACGGCATCTGAGTAAGACCGACAGTTTGTAAAAATGGAGATCTTCTTGGCTTTTCGAGTGTGTGTTCAATGGGGAGGCGCAATGGCATGAGTAGATCGGAAGGCCTCACTTGTATTCATCTGTACATACAACATTGCTATAACTTCAACCTACCAACGAACACCTTTTTCATCATGTCAGAGCAAGAGTATGTACAGACCTAAGGGCTGGTTAGTTACGACAATCAAATCCAAGTATAACTACTTACAATATGCAACCTTTATGAACCCTAGATGCGGAATGAATGAACGCCAAGCAACAACGATGGTCTGCGACGTCCGCATTAGCAGAAGAAGACTACATGAGCACGGAATTACGTTACATTGTTATAATATACAAGGAGCCAGCCAAGAGAGTGTGGAGAAAGAGGGTATTGAAAGAGAATGGGACTCTGCGGAACGTCAGAACAATGAAACACAGTGGCGATGATGGAGACTGACTTTGTTAAAGAAATTAAAGAAGGGTAGTATGCGTCGTGCGCAATGGATATATTCTGCGAAGTCAAGTGTTAACTAAGAAATAGCAGAGGCGATAACGAAAGCCTACAATTTACGAGAACGTAGAGCCGATGGGACCGTACTTGATGTTGGAGTAAATAACCTGTGCGTTGGGAGACTGGGACTCGACATCAGTGGGGACACCAGAGGTCGTGGCACAGGGTCCACGAGAGATTCCGGGCTGGGAGGGATCGGCATCAGTAGGGTAGTCACTGTCGAGCCACAACATGTTGACGGCATGGTCATCCCAGATACTCATAACCAATGCCATTCCAGCTTCGAAGGCATCGCCCATGGTTGCGAGTCCGCCCCTGCTCTCGAATGAGTTGGTGTCACCAAAGAGCGTCTTCTGGGCGTTACAAAAGTTGTCAGTAATGGAGTTGTACGCGCTGAGGCCGGAAAAGTCTGCCGCCGAGTTTTGGATGACATTGCCGTTCTGGACGTAGATCCGGCGGATCTCGACGAGGTCGCCGCTAGTGGTGTTGTCGGAGGTGATGAATTGGGTGACGACGGTGAACTTGGAGTTGGTGTTGACGGTCAAGCCGGGTCCGTAGAAGGTTTCGTCTCCCATGCGCCACGAGTTGAAGTCGCAGCCATCCTTGTCGCAAACTCCATCGTACCTCTCGTCGCCGTCACCGCAAGCTGTGCCCTCGCACCTAGTCTGGCCGGTGATGCCTGAGCAGACGTGGGGAGTGAAAGCCGAAGCTTGCGAGTTGGCTTCCCAGACATCCATCTCGTTACAGCAAGTGCCGTAATAACCGGTACCCGCATTGACGTCGCTGGATGAAGGAGCCCAGTCAAGGATGTTAGCCTGTCGAAATATTAAGTTGCTATACAAAATTAAAACAAAACAAATACCTGTCCGTTTATGAACTTGATGTCGTGGGGGCACTGAGTGTCGCAGTAGCCCGTACCATACTCGGCGCCAGCTGCGTTGGTGGAGTACTTCGATTTGCCACCATCAGCGTCCATCTGCACGAAATACAAGGCTCCATTCAACCCGCAAGGCAGGTTGGACACGTCGACGTCAAAGGTGAATTCCTGGTTCTTCATGTTGAACATGTGGTACGTGTTCTCGTCATCGAGCAAGTAAACACGGCTACCAATGTTGGTATTGGAGGTTGTAGTGACGAACTTCATAGTGAGCGCGTTACCGCTGGTCGTGATACCGTAAGTGCCGGAATAGTCTGCACCTTCCAAAGCGCAGTTGGCAGTGCAGGTAGCGACATCGGGACAGAGGGTGGAGTCCCACTCGTTACCAGTATAGCAGTTGGTGTAGTCACTGGTGCTGTGGAGCCAGCGCCAGTTAGAATCGAGAACAACTGACTTGGTCTGCGTTGTGCAGCTACCGCCAGCAGAACATTGCTGAACGGTGAGAGTGGGATGGGTTTCCGTCGTGTAGGTGCCGACCTGCTGGCTACGGACAGAGCGAAGGAGGGCGAAGGCGAAGATAGCTGCCGCGCTGTACATTTTGTTTGGAATGCAGAGAGGACTGGTGAGAATTTTAACATGAGGGGCATCGTTTATATACCACACTCCTCGGAGAAAATCTGGAGGTGAATGACGAAGCCCAAGAGGTCCAAGAATCGTCTCAAGCCAGCCAACCTGTCCAGAGACAGGAAAATAACTGATCACATCGTTCGCTACCGGAAACTCTTCGGTCTTGCAGATATCAACTTTCATCAATAAGTTCACAAGACCCAAACTACTTCAGATTGCCGAGAAGCTCCCGACAGCAAATGACCCGTGCTACTGCGCAGCATCATGTAGAGGGTGTGGCAGAATACTTGTCGCTCGAATATGCTGATGTCTATCTGAAAAGGTGAGGGACGGTGCATAAAATGAATGACAAAAGAGCCACCTTCAACGAACGTCTAGCGCTTAGACCGTGAGCCCTCAGTCCACTTTAAAAGCGCGACGCGATCGGTTAGAAGACGAGGTCAGGACAGCTTCTAAGTTTAGACACTGAATTGAGTTAAAAGAAACTGAGCTTCTTGTTATACTTAGCATCTCTTCAATCCACGAATATCCCGCGTCTCGGTGGTTAGAGGCGCTCCCAGACCTAGCTCGTAGTTACTAGTAGCAAGCGACCAACAATAATGGCAGTAAAGAGGCCGAGGACCAAAGGGATATTAATCCGAGGGTGGGAAGAAAGTATTATAACCACACGGTCGATTTTCTGGTGGTCCAATTCGAACAAGACTCGGGGCTTCCCTGAGGTTAATGGCGAATCGACGGAACACAAATCACCGCGTTCCCAGATATCCGATGGATTAGATTACGAAGGAGCAAAATTTCCGCCCCTGTGGAGTCGACCCAAGCCAGATAGTTCTCAAATGCCTTTGAAGTTCATAGTGATTGGTGGTCGGTGACTGAGTCCGACAATAACACGTGAGCTCTAGCCGGCCCGCCTACCCCGCACGTGGGTGAAACTTTTCTGTCCCGTAGTTTTTCCGTCGGCACTGTCCTACTCCACTGATGGCGACTGATATCTTATGGGACGAGTACACGACCCTTGTTTTGAAAACAGTGGAACAGGTGTCCCTTAGAGCTAGTGGACACGACCGCTACGCTTTTCGCTCATACTGCGCGCCCTATGGAGTACTAGAAGCTTGTGAAGTCCTGCGAACCTGGGGAGACTCTCAACAGGGATGTTGTGGACTAGACTCTTACACCGGAACCGGGCCTTGAATCTGCCGCTCGTGGTTTTTCTTTAAGCATGAAGAGACGGGGCCAGTGCCCTACCTAGATGTTCTCTTTTCCAACACCCTTGAACGTGGTTCGATTGCTACACAAAAGGATCCCATTGTTTTCCTTTCACAACAATCGGCCCACCGAGGTCCTATCGAAGGTTGAGTTAAAGCTCTATCGCAGCCGACGGGATCGCCCAGCAAGGCCCTTCGACTTTTCTCTTGGACCTACGTACCGATGCAACGGTCACTCCACGGGCACGAGGTCTTCATAACTACCTTACACACATCGACTCCGACGAACAGATAGATGTAAGTCCATGTTGACTTCTTCCGCCAATTAACTATTTTCTGACAGGCCAAGGCTCTTAGTTACTAGTTTACAGTTTGTTTCCGAGAAGAATGTCAGACCTTCTCCCGCTCGGGGCTCAGAGCGCTTAGCCCTGCGCAAATTTGTTCGGCTCTCCTCCAACACCGAAGTGTTTTGAGCGTGGTTTACGGTCCGATGGTGATAGTTGCGGCTTGACAACTTGCTGACGAAAATTTCAGTGATTCTAGACACCATTTTATTCGTGGTTTCTTTCGTACATCACCTCTAAGCGCGACTCAAGTGTACCTTATCATTCTGGTACGAGTCCGGCAATCGTAACGAAGACATCTGACATTCGTTGTAGGTTTGTTCTTCTGGTAGTGTGCTGGATGCAGTTGTTCAGCATACTCGTATTGGTCTTGAAAAGTAACCCAGTTTCACATCCGTCGCTGTCGGAGCCAACTAATCGTACTGTGTTTTGTCGCATGTTGATTGTTTCATCGCAGGACCGCAGGTTTGCCCTTTGATCTCGCTGCGCTTACATGAATTTTTACGTCAGCCCCACTTCTTGACCCGCCCAGCATGAGGGCTTACCCTAAAATAGCTTCGTTGGGTGGGGTTTCCAACCGACATATCCTCGTTATATTCGTGTCGCTGACGCAAGGAAGAGGACCGTCAACTGTCTGTTCCAATCATTGTTTCAGACATCGCGTACTTGAAGAACACGTCTTTTCATTAAGGCCACCCTCGCATCTGTCAAAACTTATTTCATTCTTCTTGACAAGACTTCCCGGCGGTTCATGCCGAATTCTAATGCGAATACCGCTCTTGTGGCTCTGGGCTTACGGATTCAGATTAAGGGTAGACACTTGACATCGTTTTTGATATGACATTATGACCGTACATGTCGCGCAAGGGCGGAAGTACGCGGTTGACGTTTAGACTTAGGACGAAACATCCAGATTCTACGGTCGACCATGGCTCGGATTTCGGACCGTATGGTTATTGAACGGCTGCGACTGAGCGCATATTCGGTCCGTAATGTCCTTAATGCCCTTTTCTGCTGTGTTCTCATTTTGATCGCCTTTGCAGGCTCGGAAAACGGCCAATTAAATAGTTGCCAGTTATTGCGCCAAAGCAAGAATGGACAGCGCCGAGGATTCCTAGCGCTTAACCCCGTTCATATACGGTTTCTCGACGCACTACGAACGAACGCGATTGATAAGAAAGCCGGACAAGGACACCTGGTCAGAATGGATGGGCCTAGGCTTCTGGATCTGCCATAGGCAACTCGAATGCTGCGTTGTGAAGTAGCGGTGGCCCTACGGTTGTCTGGCAGAACCCGGCCGAGCAACCTGTTATTCTACAAATTCCAAGAATATGTTGTATTGAAGGGAGTGTACAGCCACTGTGTCCATCACGGAGCAAATCGGACTTACGCATACTGGATCACTCAGCCGCTTGGTGGGTGCTAGGTGCCTTGGAATTAAAAACTTACCTGATTTATGACAGTCAAGTCAGCAAAGAACTTCCTGATTTTTATTCTAGTTATCCGGCCTCTTAATCGCGTTCACCCTGAACGGCGGAGCAAATCAGCATTAAACATGGACTCGGTAGTTTGATTTCCCACTTCCTGATCATGAGTGCAAGGCAAGCTTCCATTTATCTCGTATCTTTTTACATCACTTTCGCTTTCCGTAGGCTTTCAGCCTTGATCATTGAGAATGTTCCGCCCTGTAGCCATCACAAGTTTGAAGTCCCGCGGTTCAACAATCTACCACCATCCAGGTCCAAGCAGCAACATGATGCACATACATACACTACGACTATCGGACGAGCGGGAGGCTGCTCTGTCATCATCTATGCATGCTGTTGCTTACTTTTCATCTAACCAACGTCGTGGGACTGCTCTTCCATATTTATAGACTACATCATCGTTCGAAATGAGCGGATTTGATTTATACTATGCCTGTCCTTGCGAATGTTCACTGACCCCAGGTTAGAGGAGATGTGCTCTTCAATATGATTCGCTTTCACGGGACCGCACATTCGGACTAACGCGCTTCTGGCATCTTCAGTAACTGATAATTACTCGGTGACCTCCCACCTTGGGGCGTGATGTGTGGACCATCCATTCTCGTTTAACCCTGTTAACTTGCCATCATGATCAAAGACTAGTAGCACTTCGGTTTCGGGGATCTGTTGACCTGGCCGTGTCTTGCTGCTGTGAAGGAGATGCTCGGTCGAGATTAGAGTGAGATATTATTGATTCCGATGATCACAACCTTTAGGACCCGGCCTGTAACTGAGACGATGGGCATGGCATGCCTCTGTTATACTTTGCAGCGTTTTAAGCTCGTGGATTTCCTTGTTTATAGGTCCCATACCGGCTTGTTGAGCCCGAGTAACTGTCCCTTGGGCTATCTTATCCTGATCGCATAGTTTGCGATATCGTCTATTTGTTACTTGTCTCCCAGACCTGGACTGCGAGGTTCCACCTTAAAGCTTCAGCTTCAGGCTCCGAGCTTGTGTCCAAACCGGATCATTGCGAACGTATCGAGTCATCGCCTTTCACTGTTCCTTGTTACCGGAATACCGTGAATACCGAGTGCGTGCCAGACTCATGCACCTACTCCTCCGAGTCTGTGGCTCACATATCCCTTACCGGAGCTCGGTTGCACCCCGAGGTGATAGTTTCATGTATATCCAGCTACCACTCCTCGGCGTGGCTTGATGTTATGTTCCTGTCACCGAACCCTACATGCGCGCAAGTGAGCGCTGGTGTTATCAGTTCAAGCACCGTGACTTATTACTCCGTGCTGTATGCTCAATTTGCCAGTCATAATGATCTTGGCAGACTCCAAGCGTCTTGGATTCGTTGTACCGGCCACTTGCCAAAAATTTGGAGCCCTATCATCGCGCAAATCCGTTTCCTTATCTTGCGGTGTCACATATTCCGCTTTGGTGTAATTGAAGATTTTACATATGTAGTCTGAGTCCTGTCCATAAATGTGTCCGGATGGCGTTCCTTCTCCCGCCTTTGGCGTCGAGACTCCGAGTCTGCGACCCGCGGAAGCTCTACTTCATTGCTGTTCCTGGATTCCACCAATCGTTGAGGCTCTAGCACCGAAGAAGTTTACAGCAGGCGAGATATTTATTATAATGAGCATATTTTATGTACACCTTTGTTCTTTTCGACGCTACTAATCTGGAACAAAGCTTTTGCTGGCCATGTGAGCGAGGAGAATAAATGCCTCCGTGGAAACCTTTATTACCTCTTATTTTTCTTGACGATATATATCTACTTAGAGTTGTAAATGATACTGGATCATATAAGCGTCATACGCAGCCCTGCACTGCGGAGTGATCTTTAATCGATGTCAACAATCTGGAAGACCGGCCTAGAGGCGCTGATTAACCATATTCTCAATGCTTTGGAGGCTCAAAGAGCTACTGGAAAGTCTTTCATTGTGCCACTTTCGTAGTCGTAAAAGAAAGTACAAGGTAAAATTTGGAGTCCCACGATCAAACACGCGCTTGTACAGAAACGTAACTTGAGAGTAACCAACACAATGGGCTCGCCGACCTCTTCCACCGCTGAACATTCATCCGAGCCACCGCGGCCGACGACAAAGAGACAGCATGCTCTACAGGAGTTGCTCGCCTCGGAAAGGGCGTATGCATCTGACCTGGCTCTGGTACGGGAGGTACACATGCCGTTGGCAAGAGGTGCGTGAATGGCGGCTATCGATATTCTTTCATTAATCGGGCGCAGGTCAAGACATAGAGCTGGCGACGTCCTCATCGTCATCGACGATGGACTCGCCACCCATGACGCCGGAAGACGCCAGGATTATCTTTAGCAACATCGCTGATCTGGCCATGTTCGCCAATGACTTTTGCGATGCACTGCAAATAGCTCTCGATGAGGACAACGTTGGCGACCTATTCCTCAAAACGATACCCGAGATGGAGCGCCCGTACAAGTTTTACATATCTCGCCAGGACACGGCGTCGAGCCATCTCCAGTCGCTACCCGTGACCCCGGCACTCACCGCATACCACGCCCAGACACGCACCATTGCTGCCTCGCTGTCTCATGCTTGGGACCTGCACTCCATGCTCATCAAGCCCGTCCAACGCCTGCTCAAATATCCCCTTCTCCTTACCACGATTCTTGAAGAAACTCCGGATGATCACCCGGACAAGGAAAACATCCGTCTCGCGAGGGATGCCGTACAGGAAGTCGCCCAGCGCGTCAACGAGGAGCGACGACGTACAGAAGTCGTCAAAGACGTTTTGAAACGTACGAACAAAGATCTCCTTGTTCGCATCAAGAGTATCAGCCGCAGGCGACCGCCACCGCCCGATTCAGATGAAAGTCTGCTCATTTCACGACTTCATACGCATATATTGCGCATACAGTCCTTTGCCAACCAGCTCGCACAGAATACTCTTGACTGGTCACATTCTGTGGTAACAGCGACAAATCATCTCCGTTTGTTTTCTTTGTCCTTTGCCAGCGTTATTGGTTTGACTGGGGAAGTTCAATCTGATTCATTCGGTGCCTTTATGGGTCTCATCACGAATGTTTTATTGCCCCTTGCCATGACATTGTCCCAGCATCTCACCACAAATTTGATGAACCCACTCACAGATCTCCTCAACACCCTCACTAACCCCCTTCACCTGCTAAACACCCTCCAGAACACTCTATTACCTCTGCATACACACCTTATCCACATGCCTCTTTCGCAGAAGAACCGCCCGCCTCCTGATCTAATTAAAGCCTCCAACGAGTACCTCGCTCTGCGCGCCAAACTAGCTGAAGAGCTCCCAAAATATGTAAACATGGCTGAAAAGGTCTTGTCGGGATGCATAATACGTCTTGCGCGTGTGCAAGAAGCCTACTGGCTAGATGCGGGGCTTGCATGGCGGGATCTCTGGGACATGCTGAGCGTAGAAGGAGAAGACCTTCAGACAGGTGACACTGTACGTGTATGGTGGGAACGCTGGGAAGAAGTCGATGCTGTCCTGGCGCGTTTCAGAATTGTCGAACGGCTGCGAAAGACGCCTACGCGACGTTCGTCCTCTGCGGGATCAATTCCGCGAGTCTCGTCACCAATCCCTTTGATAAGTTCGTCGAGTGCCAGTATCAGGTCAAAAACTACGACCAAGTCAAGCACGGATTACGATTATGATATCGGGTACGATTATGCATGCGCAGCAAGGGTGGTGGAAAGTCCCCAGCCTCTCTCTCCCGTGTCGTCGCAGAAGATCAGAAGACCCGGGACTCCTTCGAGTTCTTCGATAAAGAGTCGGACGAGCAGTAGACGGAAGGAGTTGCCGGGGATGTATGCGGTACAGGCGGTGTATCCGTTCTCACCTCCGCAGGAATACACCTACGAGTCGTATCCGTTTTTGAAGATCATGGGGCCGGGTGAGGCTTACGAAGTCCTCCGTGAGGCCGGTCATCCGAAACTGCATATCAGCAAGGGGCTGAGACTCTCTATGGATGAGGAGGAGGCGAATGCGCCGGACAATTTGCTATTGGTAAGGCGTGTGGTGAGCGGGGGCAAAGGTGACGGTGAGGTAGGTTGGGCGCTCGCTAGTTATGTACGGCCTGTGTCGCTGTGAGAAATTTTGCGCCGCGGCGGGCGGACCAGTGGGGTTTCGCCGAGGTTTTTCATACTGATGCTCTTTTTTTTTGCTGCAGCTGGATTGTTGCCCTGCCATTTCATATCCGATACCCTGCACTGATACCTGGATAATTTTAGATTTGTTGTAACGCACGCGTGTATATTAGTGAAGAAGAATTAGTTGGTGCGAACCATGTGGATACGATTGCAGACTTGTCGCTGGGTGATGTTCGGTCAGTCACTGTCACTTGATCTTTGTTCTTGATCGCTTGCAGTTACAATTCCATAGTGATCAGAAAACAAAACCTTTAACGTTATGTATACGACAAAGCACAACCTACTGTGACAACATGTTCTCTCCCATTTTCCAATTCCACGATCGGGTATTTCCCTGTCTCGGTATTAATGTCGCTTCCATCATACCATGCACTCCTTGCGCCGCTGTGGCAATTGAATGAATTCCGGTTGGAAGCTGCCTCGACCTGGTTCTGTGTGTGTTGTTTGGCAAGGCCATCTGTATCGTCGCCAATGAGGCCATCTCATCACTAAACTTGTCGGACCAGATCTACCCGATGCCGAACGTCATCTTCTGTTCCTTTCGAAATTCGCAGCTGAACGTGTTCTGTGATTCCCGGCGCGAGACCTGCCACTTGGACGTGCCTCGGGCACCAGGAATAGAACTCGACAAATATGTCCGAGCCCTATCAATTTATGAACCAATGTTCTAATTGCCACGACGTGCCCAAGTGATTTACATCGTCTTGGTGCCAGGACTTGCGGTCAGCGTCCTTCCTCTCTCTCTTCCCCCCCTCCATCATCCCCGTTTCCCTCCCTCATGAGTTCACCACCGTCGTCACGATTTGTGTCGCCGTCTAATGATTCCATCGCTGCCAGCGCAAGCGATGCCGACGACCGGCAGATGGGTATATCCCCTACTGCGACACATCTTGGTGACGAGGAGCTCGATAAACGAATTTCTGACCAAGATGACGACCTTGACGCTGAAAAGCAGAAAGTACAAGCTCAACTTCAGTTCCCTGAGGGCTCATTCCGCGGCTGGGCAACAGTATGTGGAGGGTGCGTATTTTAACCCCTTGAAAATTTGGAATTTTCGATTGAATAATGATTTCAGAGCTTTCGTCGGGATGTGTACGTGCTCTAATTACGGTGGAATCTCGAAACTAATATTTACCTTACACATTAGGCACGTTTGGGAATGTCCAGGTGAGAACATCTATGCTTTTCGTATTTTTGGCCAAGGCTCATTCTCACTCTCACAGAGTTTTGGGGGTCAGTCGGGCATGGTGTACTTCTATGTGGATGTGATACTGATCTATACATTCAGTGTATCAGGACTATTATACAGTGCGTCTCCATTTCATCCGGAGCCCGTTCGGAATTGACACTTCACAGAGAACCTCTTTATCCGAACATTCCGCTTCACAAATAAGTTGGATCGGTTCCGTGCAACTCTGTTTATTATTCTCCCTTGGTCTGCTATCGGGTAAACTATTCGATCAAGGATACTTTCATCACCTCATGTTGGGTGGAAGCCTTCTGTTCCTATTTTCGTACGTTGAATGCCCCGATCGCATTAAGCGAAGCTTAAATCTCACCCACCCATGCATTTTGCAGCTCGTTCATGTTATCTTTGACGCAACCCCACCAATTCTATCAAACTTTGTTGTCGCAAGGATTTGGCATGGGGCTCGGAATGGGCTGCATGTTCATACCTTCGATGAGTGTGTTATCACACTATTTCCGGGTGAGGAGAGCCGTGGCGATGGGATTCGTGGTATCAGGTATGAATTAAACATTGCTTCCGAAGTATCTGGTGACGAAGCGTTATGAAGGTGGCGCTTTGGGCGCCATTATTTACCCAATTCTACTGAACAAGGTGTTTGACAAGACTGGCCTTGGATTCCCTTGGGCAGTTCGGTGAGTCTTGGTTTCCATATCAGAGTAATGGTTTGCTAAATTGGCTTCTAGTTTCATAGCTTTCATAGACCTCTTCCTTTTGACGCTTGCAAACCTACTAATGCGGCCGAGACGTGTGTTCTCTTCATCTCCGATGCTGTTCCTGGGTATTGACGGTCGTTTGGCAGTCCCACCACGGAAACGCGCCCCCATCGATATGGATAAGATTTTATACGATTTCCCGTACTGGTTAACTGTGGTTGGGTAAGCGTTCTCCGCCATCTTCCGAGTCACGTTAGACTGACGGCCTTCCAGGATAACACTAGGGTTCTGGGGACTCTTCATCCCCTGTACGTCTAGTTTTACATCCTTCAACTGGCGCAACTCATGAGTGCGGCTCGCAGTCTTTTACCTGCAAGTGTTTGCGGAGCTTCACGGAGTCGATACTAGTTTCCTGACATGGACGGTACGATTCTTCATCTCCTCACTAACTTGACAACATCTCTGATTCGAGGCGCGCAGATCCCCATCCTGAATGCTGGATCGCTCTTCGGGCGATTCATTCCAAACCTCCTGGCCGACAAGTACGGCCCATTCACAGGTACGTCTTTGCGTGCTTCGGGCCCCATGTGAGCTTTTCGCTGATTGCCATTGCCCATCAGTTATCATACCAAGTGGTTTCATAACGGGAAGCCTGGTGTGGGCTTTGCTCGGGGTACATTCTATTGCGGGCATGGCGGTGTTTGGCGTGCTGTACGGATTCTTCTCCGGGGCTTTCTTAACTGTGGCGACGCCAGCTGTTGCGTCGTTCACTCGCAGCCCTACTTTGGATGATATAGGGTAAGTCCTGGAGTGTGGATTTTCGAGCGTGCTTATTGAGAGATATGGTAGACTCCGGATAGGCATTTCCTGCTTCTTCATCGGGCTCGGCCTTTTAACGGGAAATCCCATCGCTGGAGCACTGCTGAAATCCCCAGAGTATATATGGTGGCGACCCCTGCTGTTTGCTTGCGTGAGTACCTTTTCTGAGTTTTGCATTTTTGGGTGGATTACTTACGGCACCTAGGTCGTGATCATCTCCGGCACGATATGCCTTGCGGTCGCGAGACAGTATTTGGTTCAACGCAAGGGTGGAATGAAATTTGTGTAAGATGTTATGTATCGATACGAGAGAGAGAATACGTGCTCCGATGAACCTGGATGGATATTGTTTACTTTATGACCGCCACACTTACTACCACGACGATGGCATGACTTTTTACAACGTGGACTGTATTAGTTACCTGATTATATATTTGCAGTCTGATCGTCGCTGCTAAGTGAGCTTAACACCTTGTCAATGATACAAGAAGCTTCAGAAGGTGCGGGATGCCGTGAGCGAGACAAGCCTGTTGTGACAAAATGGCCGCAAGTCGGGATCGACCCAACCAAACAAATTTCTCCTCGCTGACACGATGAAATTCGGTGCCCTTGGTGTCGAAGTTTCTACCTCTCTCACAGTTCCAAAAGATGCCGTCCAATTTATTTGCGCAAGAATTCCTGACCTAGTATACGCCTACGACAAACTCAAGAATCAGCCTTGGTGTCTAGAAAACGATCGACGCCTCGTCCAGGCCAGAGTAAGTCAGAGATGTGTTGAAAATTTTCTCGTATTAATTCGACGGCAACAGACCGCGTTTCTCCAGTCATTGTGCTTGTGTGACGAAGGATGGGAGATTCTCAAGGGCCGTCATTTCCTTGAGAAGGATTCGAAGGAGATATTTGAGCCCGAGGACGTTGTAAGAGCAGCCCGATTCAACCCAAGGATTTCAAGGCCCATACCGGTGGTAAAGACACCTAACAAAGACAACTCTTCTGGTCGCGGGGACCTTGTTTCCTCCAGCTCTGATGACTCGGACGAGAGTACCATGCCCGGAAGATCCAACGACTACGGCAAGGTATGTTTAAAGGCCGTCCAATTATTTTTCGACTTTCTGAGGGTGTTGCGCAGTACCTCGGGCTACTCTACCGATACAACGCAGGAAAAGAATTGGACGACGAAGGCAGCTAGGAAACTCATTTTCCACTTTCGTCGACTTACCAAGGACCAGAGAGTTATGGCAAAAGAACAGACAGATCCTCGAGTCTGGTGTGGTCTAGTTTTCGCGAGTACACGAGCCACGGCCGCGCGCAAGCTAACGGGCTATAGGATTATGAAATTTGATGTTCGGGATTGGGACATCGTCCCTGTGAAGGCACTGAATCCGGTGGGTCATCCTTCTCATGTCAATAATCAGGAAATCGAGACTTTCATGTACAGTGTAGTGAATGCGTCAAGTCCAATTATCCGTGTGAATACACGGGTGTCCGTAGAGTCGCGAGATGCAAAGAATGCGTTCTTCGCCAGAAGAAATGTACCCTGACTGGGAGTGCCGGTCGATCCGATTCGACTAGACCAAAAAACAAAGTGATCAGCGATGATCATAGGGATGACTCGGATTCGGACGATGAAGAACTCTCGGAAGAATACAAAGAAGTGAGTCGTAAATTTAATCCCTCAAGATACAATCTCGGTACAAGATGCTGAACGTTTTCACCTAGTACTTGAATCTTCTTCAAAATTTAGATCGAGGACGAATTTTGGATGATGAAGGAATAAGAAAGCTCGTTGCCCAGCTTCATTCCGTCTCTCCAGAAGAACGGGAGATAGCGAAGGAACAAACAGATGTAAGGGTATGGTGCCGCATGGTGTTCGCCGGAATTCGTGCGACCCATGCAAGAGATATCAAAGGGACCAAGATCGGTCCGAGGGATGTCAGAGAATGGGATGCTATTCCGGTGAAGGCTGCAAGCCCGGTAAGGTTTTACATCAATGAAACAAAAGATCTCGCTGATATTCCTGGATCAGTGCACCGGGTGCACCAAGGGCGGATGGACCTGCGAACGCACTGGTACTCCAAAACAAAAAAGGTGCCGAGAGTGCATGTTTCGGCAAGCAAGGTGCACTATTGCTGGTAGTGATCCCGAGCTGACATCGCAAGGCACTCAGAGAGGACCAAACGGTCAATTCCGAAAGAAAAGGATGCGAAGCTCCAATTCGTCCCGAGAGGAAGAGAATAGCATTGACTTGGAGATTCAACACCTTGAAAATCGCTCGCCACGCTGTTCGAAGCGTCTTCGCGAGGCAGACGAGGATACGGCTCCGCAGAAGAGGAGCAAGGCAGTGGCGTATCGGTTGCAGCATTTCCCGAAAGGCATCAATCCAACGTTTGACAAGCTCCTTCCTCAGCCAGATCCGGAGCAAGAGAATGATTCTGCAGGTCGACGCACACCTATCGACTACGCGATTCCAGGAGATGAAGGACTTGGAGAAATACGAAACGAACTAGAAGGGTTGAAACGCAAGGTAGATGAATTTGATACGCTGAGAGATCGTTGGGCGGCGCTGCGAAGAGAAGCAGCAGAGAGTTAATATCTTTCAAGAGGAAATGGCGGCCCTCTTTGGTCGTCTTCCTTAATTTCTTGAGCTCATGGCAACGTATCGTATGCCGATTATATCTTGAACATATCTTTCAGCACGTAGATGAACCCTGATATGTGGCCTTCACTCACAACGCCACACCGATAGCGCTGGATGAGAATCAAAGATTAGAATTGAGCGACTCGATTACTTCTCCGATTTTTATAACCATATCATCAGAGCCCCATTGTCCGACAACACCTAATCCCCACCGGCCAACCATCACCCTCCTTGTTGACTATCGGTACGTTAATAGCCGGTAAACCAGCCAAAGACGCCGGCACAGTCAGTACGTCTTGTACGTACGCCTCCAAGCCAGACGCATCTTCTCCATCTAGAAGAGGAGCGGTACGAATGGCCGACGGGTGCATCAATACATCGACTCCGTCGGCATTGGGGATTTGATTTGGAGCTCGAACATTGGGCATGCGGAACACAAGATTAAAGTCGTCCCTGACTAGTCGGCGTACTCGAAGGGCTTGGAGAAAGTAGTTATCGAATGAACTTGGGGTAGACTCAAATTAGTGGTATGCGTAAGACGTATCAAAAGGAGACATACTCCGGCGGTTAAAGAGTAAGTCCCTAGGAGAATTCGTTTTTGAACTTCAGACCCAAATCCTTTCGACCGAGTATGTGCATAGATTTTTGAAGTCTTAGTTAGGTCCGTTCCGGGTGGCGGCTTGATATGCAATCCTAATTCAATTTGTCAGTCAGATACGGAAATCTGAACGGAAGGTTGACACATGCCGTATTGGATACCATCATACCGAGCCAGGTTACTGCTTGCTTCTGCGCTAGCGATGACATAGTACGCGCTGAGAGCGAACGACGTAGATGTCAAAGACACAGGGACAACCGTGGCACCCAGGCTCTTTAGCGAGGCAATCGTGCTTCGAGTATTTTTCAATACAGAACGCGACAATTCAAGGGGGAAATATTCCTAAATATATTCGATGAGTATATGGACCGAACATGCGCGGGGGGGATTATAACCTCGGGTATGCCTATCTTTATTCCATGGAGGTTTCCCCCTTTTAAGTCGCCCCAGGATTTCATTTGAATCTCTACGGCATGAGAAGCGTCACGTCTGGTTGATCGGTTGGTGCTGGTAGGGTCTCGTTCATCGTGCACGTTGAGAACGTCTTGAAAAGAGATGAACAGTGACTTCTCCATAGTAGGCGGCCGTACGCACCGAAAATCCGCTTTGTTGTGCCGATGTCCTTTGCGATAATCCCGACACAGTCCAGACTATCCGCGTAGGAAACGACGCCCCATCGACTCAGCAACCCATAGGACGGCTTTAACCCCACAACGCCACAGTACGCGGCCGGCAACCGAATAGAACCACCTGTATCTGTACCAATTGCACTTCATCTGGTTGGACCGTGCTCGGCCGTGTATAACGCACAGAACTTACGCGTCACACATTTTGGCAGCGACGACCGCAGCACTGCCTCCAGAACTTCCTCCGGCTGATCGGCGTTCACGCTTTTCCCAGGCGACGGAAGACGACGGGTGTTGGAAGGGATTGACAACTGATCCATGGATTGAATGTACATTTAGAGAGCTATGGAAGCTTGAGTACAGAAGGGCAGGCCGAGAGCTAGCTGACAGACCCCATTCCAAATTCATCACAGTTGGTCTTTCCAAGGGTTACAGCACCTGCATCTTCTAATAATTTGACGACCGTGGCATCAAACGGGGGCACGAAACCTGAACGAGGACAAATGAGAGCACAGTAAGCACAGTTTCGTGAGAAACAGACCCTGCAGTATCGCAGATGAACATGTTGTGGGAAGCTTGGAGGTGCATATGTTGTCCTTTGACTCCAATAGTAATATTCCCCAGTGGGAAATGATTTCCCAAAGATTGGACTGTGTCGTTCGTGCAGACAAATGCGTTTATGCTCGAATTTTTATCACGAAGAGTTCGGTTGCTGTAGGATGATATGGCACGAGAAGAAGGGTACAGGCAACGCAAGCCAGTCCATAGTTGCTTCGTCGCTTCGAGGTTCATTGAAGCGTGGGCCGCTTCAGCGTATCATGGAAGAGGGCAGGGCAGAGCAGGCAGGCAATGGAAGAGCAAAAACAAGCCGGCGTGACGTGACATGAGTGACACAGTAGGTCCTTACGCGGCTTCGCAGTGTGCATTCATGAGTTCAACAACAAAAGATGATACGAAAGTATTTTGCACATCCATTTCGATTCTTGGATGATTATTTGCCTTGAGATGGTGCAGGAATTAGTTCTAAGCTCAAGCTTGTATGGAACGATTATGGCAAATATTGAACACCGCCACTACACAAATAAATGGCATCAACGCGTCTCTTCACGTCTCTACCACTTACCATGCCGCCAAAGACAAAATCGTCCACCGAAAACATGAAGCAGAAAAGCCTCATGGGCTGGCTATCCAAAGGCACAGACGCGACACCGGCAAAATCGAACGGGTCTAAGCCTGCTTTGAAGGCACCGAACGCGTCGACATCGAAACCGAAAAATCCGCGTACTCCAGAGTCGACCAAGCCAGACATACGCGTATTGAACTCATCTGCATCCGTGTCATCCTTTGGAGATAGCAGCATTAAGGATACACCACCGACGAGTGACCCCATTGATGTGGATATGCTTTCTGAGGAAGAAGATGCCCCGAGGAAAAGGAGCCGTATTTCCTCCGTGAGTTTTTTTTCACCTTTCTTGATATTACACCACTTGACTTTCAAAGGGTGGAGGAAAACGGAAACTTGCTTACGAAGACGATTCCGATGAAGAAACTCGAGCATCTTCTACAACCGGAGGAAGCCAACCACCATCGTCACCCCTTCAAAGCAAAAGTAAGTCACTATTCAACCTCTATCAACATACTCACGTCTCCTAGGCCGGGCCAAGAAGCCTCGGCTATCTGCTCCCCCATCTGACGACGAAGACGATCAAGAAGTCGCAGCATCTTTCTCCAAGCGGTTGACACATTTCAAGAAATCACCCAAAAAGAAAGGTTGGCCTGTAATTCCCGGCTTATAACTGTATACTCATTTACATATATGCAGGCTCACGTTCGACGGCGTCCTCGGATAATGATGATTTCATTGCTCCCTCCGACTCAGACGACGACGCCAAGTCTGTCAAGTCGCGCAGTTCCGGCTCTTCTCGTCACTCGCTTGGGCCGGATACTGACTTCGATGACGAAGATGAGGACAGTGGGAAGAAAAAGAAGTCGAGACCTGCTCCAAAGAAGGCATCGTCATCCAAGAATGCGTCCAGTGCAGCATCTGGTGGTACCTCTTTCTTGACAGCGGCAGAACGACGGGAGCAGGACAAGAAGAACGAGAAAAAGTCTGCCGAAGATCCTTACGCATTCCTGATTGGATGTTAAAGATGTGAGATCTCTCTATCCCTCGCGATCCTATGGCTGACAGACCATACCGTCTTGCAGAAAGACGGACACAGGCCTGGCGATCCCAAGTATGACCCACGGACGCTCTACATTCCGAACCGCGCCTGGAAAGAATTCACACCTTTCGAGAAGCAGGTATGGAATGACTTAGTAGTATGTCGTATAGATCTAATAAATCTACAGTTTTGGGAAATCAAACAAAATCACTATGACACAGTGCGTACTATCCGTAGCTGTCATGTATGCTCGAAATCTCACCTTCTTAAAGATATTGTTCTTTCAAAAAGGGTGAGTGTTGCTTATCTCTTGGAGTATCAAGCTCATCGTACATGTCAGAAAATTCTTTGAGGTATTATCATTTTGCTTTCAAACAAGTCAGATTCTCATTGTCTTCGCTTCAGTTGTATGAGGATGATGCTCGTGTTGGTCATCAAGAATTTGATTTGAAACTGACCCAGAGAGTCAAGATGTCGATGGTAAAGATTTTCCATTAGGTCGCGCTTTATGATGCTGATACACTATTAGGTCGGCGTCCCGGAAATGTCCTTCGAATTTTGGGCGGCGTATGTTCTCTTCGATGATGCGGTCACCTCCCTCTAAAAGTCATCTATGTAGCAAATTCCTCGGCAAAGGATACAAAGTCGGTCGCGTAGATCAGGCTGAAACTGCTCTCGGAGCCGAGATGCGTTTAGCTACTGACAAAGGCAAGGGTAAACCTAAAGGCAGTGAGAAAGAAAAGATCGTCCGACGGTGGGTTCTGCTTCATCTCCTAGGGAACGACTGTCTGATGTCTGACTCTAGGGAGCTGAACAAAGTTTATACTAATGGTACTCTTGTTGATGCTGCAATGCTCACCGATGACCATGCCGGCCACTGCATTTCAATCAGGGAAGTTGAATCTGATGGCGGCTCGAATAATACTTTCGGCGTTTGTGTCTTGGACTGCGCGACCTCGCAGTTTGATCTGAGTGTTTTCCAAGACGATATCTGTCGCACCAAACTCGAAACCTTGATGAGGCAGATTCGCCCCAAAGAGATGCTGTTCACGAAAGTAAGTTCTGTGCATCGACTGCGCTTTTTGATGCTTATATGCCTATACAGGGGCAGTTATCTGTCTCAACGACGCGACTCCTGAAAGCCGTCCTTCCTGCTGCGTGCTTATGGACAAGTTTACGCGAAGTCGAAGGTTTTGATTACGAAGACACTATGAAAGAATTGGCGAGTTTGTACCCTGCTGATGAGGGTGATATGGACGAAGACGACGACTGCATTTTGCCTAAGGCTGTTCCTCAGCCAATAAGAGACATGGCCGGTTCGAAGCCTCCGATCGAAGCACTTGGCGCTATGATCTGGTTTGTCCACTTGCGTGTGCTTCCTCGGATACTTGTACTGATCCGTATGTGGTGCAGGTACCTCCGACAACTGAACATAGACAAGGATATACTTAGTATGAAGAATTTCAATGTTTACGATCCTATGAAAAGAGGCCAAGGTCTGGTACTTGACGGACAGACATTGGCACACATTGAGGTTTGTCCTATTTCTTAATGTCTTCCAAACGCTGTTGAACTGTCAGTAGGTGTTGCTTAATAATGAGGGCACATCGGAAGGGTCTCTTCTCCAGCTATTGAGTCGCTGCATCACTCCTTTCGGTAGTTCCTTTCTAAGAAAATATTGTTTGTCGCTTATTCTATTTTGCAGGAAAGAGGCTGTTCCGCATATGGCTATGCATGCCCCTGCGGGAAGTGTCCGATATCAATGCCAGACTAGATGCCGTCGAGGACATTATGGATCACCCAACGTTCGAGCAGGAATTCACCGAGGTTGCCAAGGGGCTCCCTGACTTGGAGCGCATCGTATCTCGTATCCATGCGAAGAGCTGCAAAGTCAGAGATTTCTTGAAGGTGCTAGGTGTAAGTCGGAGAAGCAGATATTCTGCTCAACCGTATCTGATGACTCTGTACAGGCATTCAAAAAGCTTAGCCGCGGTTTCAATAGTCTTGCCGATACTTCTGAGACGTTCAAGTCGAAGACCATTCAAGGCCTCCTCCGGAATGCTCCGGACCTGCTGCAAAATATCAAGAACGTAGAGGCTATGTACATCAAGCCATCAGAAAAAGGTCGCCGCTCTGCCTCTTCCCCTATCTACATGATCTGATTATGTCGTAGACGCTAACGAGTTGGTTCCGCAAGAAGGTAAAGATGAAGCGTACGATACGATTATGTCCGAGATCGCAGAGCTCGAAGAGGAACTTGACGGAGAACTCAAGCGATTCGAGAAGAAAATTGGGTATGTGTTATATCCTCGTATCCTGGGTGGTGCTCAGATCTTTTGTAGGTGCAAGTTAAACTGGTGGCATAGCGCTATCGGGAACAAGGTGTGTCGGGTCTGACAAACCAATTCGTCTCATCAAACTTAATGGCTGAGAAGGAAATCTATCTTGTGGAAACAAGTGCTGGTCAAAAGGACATTCCCAAGGATTGGACAAAGAACGGCGGTACCAAAGTAAGCTTAGACACCCACTCCACATTCAAGCGCTTACGGCCGCCGTGCAGGCCAAGACTCGATGGCAGGTCAGCAGCCTACAAAAATCTGTTCGCGCCCTGAAAGAAGCGCGAGAAACCCGTAACACGATCATGAAAGCATTCAAGAATCGTGTTTTCGAAGAATTTGATTCTGATCGCGGTGTCTGGTTGCGGGCGATCCGTGTGTTTGCTGAACTGGATTGCCTGTTCAGTTTGGCCAAGTCATCAAGCGTGTTGGGTGAGCCTGTGTGTAGGCCAGAACTCGTGGAGGGTGATTCGGCATTTGTGGACTTCAAGGATTTGAGGCACCCGACACTGGCGATTAGTGCCAATATGAAGAGCTTCATTCCGAACGATGTCAAGCTTGGGGGTGAGGCCGGTAGGATCGCGTTGCTTACAGGTAAGTTTACGCCCTTTCTTATGTGCGATATTCGATCTGATAAGACCGGTAGGACCGAACATGGCGTGGGTGTCCTGTTTCTCACTGAGTACATTTTGATGGCTGACCATGTGTGCGCTTCTGTTTTGTAGTGGAAAATCCACGGTGAGCATGTTGTATGTCACATACGGGAACGGGGCTCATGATAAGTGGTGTTCCTAGGTTATGCGCATGACAGCCACCGGCATAGTACGCATGATTTTGTACTTCTCCTATCTTTGTTGACAGCATCCTCAGATCATGGCACAACTTGGGATGCTCGTTCCCGCGGCAAAAGCTCGGTTTGTAATAACTATCATTTGTTTGACGCGTTCTGACTGTGATGCAGGATCTGTCCGGTGGATGCGATCCTGACGAGAATGGGTGCTTACGACAATATGTTTTCCAATGCGAGTACTTTCAAGGTTGAACTTGATGAATGCTGCAAAATTCTTCGCGATGCTACTCCCAAATCATTTGTCATCCTAGATGGTATGGATTCATTTTTCAAAATTACCTTCCATTAACCATGACACTCGACGAATAGAACTGGGACGAGGAACATCTACATATGTATGTCACTTCCGTTGTTATCCTAATAACGTTTGCTAACCTTTTCTTAAGGATGGCATGGCTATTGCATCGGTACGCCCGTGTTGATCTCTGGCTTTTCTATACAACTTAGACCCTTGATGTAGGCCGTTTTACACGAGCTCGCGACGCACACCCTCCCTCTTTCTTTCTTTGCTACTCATTATGGTTCTCTGACGGACGATTTCCGGTACCATCCTAACATTCGAAACATGTATATGTCAACTATCGTGGATGAGGAAAAGCGTGATGTCCGTCCTCGTCTTTCATCTCTGATATCACTTCTGACAAAGTTCATCCCAGATTGTCTTCCTGTACAAACTGATAGACGGCGTGGCTACATCATCTTTCGGAACGCATGTTGCAAACCTTGCTGGCGTGCCTTTGGATGTTGTTGAGCGCGCGGACCTTGTGTCCAAGAAGTTTGCTCAGCAGTTCAAAGAACGGATCGAGGCGAAGCAGTCTCAACGAGCTACGTCTCGTTTGCCCCTGGTGGCTCAAGCTGATTTCGCGTATCTGTACGGCTTGGCCACGGGTAAGATCGAACTGCCTCAGGACCCGGTGAAGCAGAAGCTGATGCTAGCCCTGCTGAAGAAGACCGTCCGAAACTATACCAAAAATTGATGAATGCTGTCCCATTGCTAGTGCTTCGATTGCTATCCTTGCTTTCATACATGTACAATATTCATATGCTTTTAGATAACTGTGTGTCATCCGGACATTTGAGTTGACCAATAATACTACTTGTATTCAGCGTCGGCTACGGTGGGAATCTTCGATCAAGACAAGTGAATTCGTGCCGGAAGCCGGTCCCAAACTCTACGAACGACGACAACACTCTTCAGACTTTCACATCTTCTCGAACTTCACCGCACGTCTTCCCTGAAAGTTGAATCACTTCAGTTTGAACAGGATTTACACCGGATAACCATAATCTGCGGGCTGTGCACTGGCAGGATCCTCGCTGGGCCGTCGTCTATCCACATCTGCAACGTGATTGATCCAAGTCTGCGCGCACTCACAACTAGTGACCAGAAGCAGCTTCTCTGATGGAACTGTAATGAAACGGATAGATAGTATCAGCCAAGCGATTTATATATAGGATCGCACTGTTCCTTCTGCCAGGCAATCATCATGTATCAAAGAGATGCGTTACTCATCGTCTCGCCTCATTACTGCGGGCGTTTTAATTGCTTGATTCTCGCACTCTTGTAACCCACCCTCACTTTGTTATGTCGGACGTTTTTCTCTTGTTGGACGACTCTGACCCTCTGATCTCGTATGACGGGCCATGGAGTCTCGAGGATTCCGACCATGGAGACTACCATTGTTTGGATGGTGGTGAGGACGGCGGTAGTGTATCCGTGACTTTCAATGGTGGGTGTTTCGTATTGGGTTCAAGTTTCGAGTGCGGGAAAGTGACGGCGCTTCTCTCAGGTACTTCGATAGCGTTTACTGGTAATACGCCGGACGTGCCAGATGTATTGCAGCCATTCAGAGTCAGCATCGATGGTGAAACGTCTAAAGAAGCGCAGTATCCGGATTGGAATCATTATGAACAGTGGTATCAGTCGCCGCCACTAGCAGATGGACCTCATAACATCAGCCTGAGTGGGCTAGTGAAGGGTACTACTGTGGATTATGTCCTCGTTGAGGCTGGCTATTCGACATCCCTAGCCAATTCGTCCCTCGTAGTCGACGATAGTAGCAGGGAAATTCGGTATTCTGCAGGCTGGGAACCAAAGAATAACCAATCACTGCCAGGTGATCCGGCGGATGGGGTATCATTGTATTCACCCTTGGGTGGTGGTACAACGGAGAGTCTAGCGGGCGATGATTCGTTTTCCTTCGAGTTCGCCGGTGAGTAAATATCATGGGATGGTGTTCGTTTCTTTACTAACGCCAAGTTTAGGTACCGCTGTGTATGTTTATGGTGTACGGGAAGGTGCCGATGCGGTGACATGCAGCGTGGACAACTCCCCACCATCGTTTGTGTCTCTGAGTCCTCCTTCACAGGACGACGAAAACATTGTCAATGTCTTGTTCTTTCAAAGCCATGAACTTGGGCCAGGTAACCATACCCTAATGTGCAACGTGACCGACGACAAGTCCTTCGTGCTCGACTACATCGTCTATACTCCATCTTTCGACTCTCTATCCGACAAACCCTATCTTTTCCCCCAACCCCAGGCAAGCGTCTCTCCTCCGAGTCCTTCAACAAGGGGTAGTGCTTCGAGCTCGGCAGTACCTTCAGGGGCCATCGCTGGTGCGGTAGCTGGAGCTATCGTGCTTTTGGCCGTCTTTGCGACGCTTGTTGTCATATGGTGCAGGGGTAGAAAGCGAAAAGTTGCCCTTTCACGCTCATCATCCTTTGGTGATGCTACCGTCGCGTCTGGAGCGCTATCTCCCCCCGAATCATATACGGAGGCCATCGAAGTTCGCACACCTCTTGTACCGAATCGGTTTGATCCAAACTTGTTCGTGTCGAACAACGCTCGATCGGAGAAGTATGCATCTTCGTCTCGACAACTATCACTTTCATCGCGTTTCAGAGATTTTGGAATTGGATGGGGGTACTCTAAAAGGACTAGCCGTTATCCGGAGAAGTTTTGATTGTTGTATATCATCTGTTGTTATTTATTGCTCCTTTACAGACTCGGACACTTGTAACTTGATATTATTACAGACAGATTTGTTGGTTTACAAACCTGAATAAATATCTCCTAAATCATCAGACAAATCCGGTGCCTGCGCCTCCTCTGCCTCTCATGATGATCCCTGGTCCACCTCGTGATACAGTGTGTAACGGCGGCGCCAGACCTCGAGCGCGTGCACGGGGAACGAAGCCACGGTTTATTCCTCTAGGGAAGCCTCGGCGCCCAACTGAAGGTCCACTGTCGACATCCATGGCAGCTCCACCTTCTTGCCCACCACCACCAGGCGCGTAACGGGACATTGCACGCTTTCCCCTCCTTCCTCCTCTACCTCGCGTTCGTGTCCGGCCATCGGTCGAGTCTGGGCTGGCGTGATGGGGATGGGTATGAGAATGGGGGAACCCTCCGCCTTTTCCACCGCGACCGAACCGTATCGAGTTGGGCACCAAAGAAAGTGAGGTCATCGAATCGGCTAACGCGTCTAGATCTTCGCTTTTCTCTCCGGCGCGTGGATCGTGTTCGTGGCTGGGTTCCTCGATTTTGATCTCTTCGGCAGTACCAGTATCTGACTGAGTGTCGTTGCCTTCTTCTTCTTCGTCGTCGTTTCCCTCCTTTTTCTTCCATTCTCCGCGTATCATACTCGCGCCTTCACCCCACTTCTTCAATAGGCCTCCGACGCCCTTGTTGGTGACAGCAAAGAAATACTCCTTTGGAAAGCCATGCGCGTTTATTAGATGTAGTCGTCGTGCTTTGGGCGTCTGAAATACTTTAGGACATGTCGTGAGGTGGCAAGCAAACTAGAATATTTAAACTGAGCAATAAAAATGGAGGGCATCCAGACTCGGAACTCACAATTTTATCTCCACGTTCTTTACGAATAGCTGCTAGTAGGGTCATGGCATTCTGTCTGGTGCTGTACCGACCGTCAATGAACGGCGCTAATCAGCTAGTGCCACTGCAACTCACCAATTCCAGCAGCCTTGCCTCGGGAAACACGCATGAGCATCCCGGCTCCTCGCATACATGAGCATGGTAGGTCGCATAATGCGTCTCCAAGTCCTTCGAATTAGCGATAGGCGTGGGTTTATGACTGCACGTCGGCGGCAGCGTACAGAGTAGTGGGTGACCAGCACTGGCAGCCGTACGCAAGGCCTTGTGCGTCGGTTCTGGCTCTGGAGATGACGACGAAGGCGATACTGTCGGCGAGACGGACGTTCGGGGCCTTTTAGAGGAGGACATACTAGGGTGCACTTTCAACAAGAGAGCGTCATGATGAAAAGTGGTGTGACAAGCGTGACCGAGTACTCTTATTCCTCGACCATGTCCTCGAAACGAAAATGGGATCAGCCAGGACCGGCAGCAGCAGAAGGTGGCGGCGCTCCTGAAGAGACAAAGACTGCGGTCGACGCAGCTGCTGCAGCGGCAGCCTATCGCTGCCAAAATCGCCGCGCAGTTCGCAGAGGGTCTTGCCAAGGACGCTCATGAAGCCGACTACTCGAAAGATATTGACATTAACGATGTCAGGAATAGGTATATGTTGACAAAGGGATCTACTCAGCAGGAGGTGCGTTTGCTGTGTCTTCTGGTTTCCTTGCCTAAGCTCAAGCAATCATGTTATAGATACACGAAGACACAGGCGCATCTGTTAGCACAAAAGGCACCTGGTATCCCGACAGGAGTAAAGCAACGGAAAAGGACCCTCCATTATATCTTCATGTCACGGCGCCTTCTCCAGAAGTACTACAAAAGGCTATTGACCACATCAATCAGCTCATCGCCATTGATCTTGGGTCGCTTGTCGAGGATAAGAAGGATCGTCTACGAGAGAAGGTATGTTTATTTTCTCACCGTCTGGTTCTTCCAATTATATATCTTACGTGAACGTAGCGAAAATGGCCAGAAGAAAAACTACCTGTTGGTTTAGAGTCTATTCGGAACTTTCATATTCGTGCAAAGGTTGTGGGTCCTCAGGTGTGTATGGTTATGTCCTGCAGCAGATCGATCTTGTCTCACTTTCGTTCAAGGGTCAATTTGTCAAATATATACAACAAGAAACGGGCACTCGTGTCCAGGTCAAGGGAATTGGCTCTGCGTTCCTTGAACCGGATACAGGCCGAGAGAGCGATGAGCCCCTTTACATTCATATAACGTACGCCTGGCCATTCAGATCGTCATTTCTCGTTTAACTTCTTATAAAAACTAGCGGCCCTGAGGAAGGTCAGGTTGCAAGAGCAAAAGTGCTGACCGAAGACTTACTTCTAGTCGTCCGAGCCGAACACGCAAAGATGGCGGCTATAGTCCAACAACAACAAATGGAACTACACCAAGCTCAAATGCAATATGCTGCATACAGCACTATGGCGGTAGGTGTTGACTTTACATTGTACTTTGGGTATCTTCTTTCTCTTTCCTGTGTGCCTTTCTGGTATACCTGCTTACCTCTAGCATGGGATTTGTCGGCGTGGAGTATGAGCAAACTGACCTTTGCGTCTAGGGCTATGGTCAACAACCTCCGCCTCCCCCCTCTGGCGCACCCCCGCCGCCTCCCGGTGATCAACCACCTCCGCCCCCTGGTGGTGCATCAGGCGACCCTCCGGCACCTGGTACGGATGCCGCCAGTACTGAAGCATATGCGCAATATTGGTCAGTCATCATTTTCCATCTTTTTTTACTGTATGCTGATGCCTTGTCTCTTCAGGGCTGCGTACGGTTACGATGTCAACTCGTCGCAGTTTAAAGAATGGGCGGCCTCTCAGCAACAGCAGTACGGTCAATATTATGCGGGGGGCGATGCTCAAGGTTACAACCCTGTTGACCCGTCTGCTGGTCCTGCTCCCACCGCCCCTGCTCCTCAAGAGCCTGCTCCGCCTCCGCCACCACCGCCTCAGTGAGACTACTTACGACCCAAGTTTTGAGTATTGTATCGCTATCTGTGCTGTCCCATCTGGTTCGTTGAAATATAAATTAGGATCTTCCATAAATGATATCACAAAAATGCATGGTATACTATGTAGCTGAATATGCACTGAAGGAGTGATTCGCCCGAAGCTGGGGCGAATGAGGTGGAGAATATGTACGTGGGAAGTAAGTGGCCGTAGAAGGAGATGAGAGAGATCCTGGGAGGTACAATGGGAGGGTAGGGATAAGTTCGAATACGTGCTGAGCTATAGCCCTTGAGTGGCGGCCAGTAAACATGCTGTCATTGGATGAAACACAGTGAATACGTGCTTCCTGGATCATGCGCTCGTCGTCGACACCCGGTGTGACGATGTTGGCGCTCGCCAAGTCCGTACCTCGACCGTCCCAGATGCAATGTATATTATGGCCAGGGATGATCTGGACCAGCCTGCCAGTCTGGATATGTCGGACCTCGATGAAACGCGTATCAAAGAGGAGAATGTAAGGCGAATGAATGGCGACACGTTCAGCCGTTCCCTCCCATTCGATAGTACCTGTCGTTGTTCGGCTGGGTTCACCATGTTTGTCGACGTATAAACCGAATTCTACCAGATGGGGTGAGTGACTAAAAAGAAACTTGAACTGTTAATACTGACCGTCATAGCATAGGAGGAATTCGTGCTCCTTTGACCGGAACATTCCTAGTGGCCGACACCCTTCGCATCGTTTGGCCAGGGGCGCAAAGCCTTCCTTCAGTGTGGGAATAGTTTTACTTTTGAAGCTGTTACAGTCATGAGCTTGGACATCGACACATGATTCCAGGACATAACGTACTCCATTAAATCCATGATCTCAAACCCTTTGGTGAAAAGAATAGCAATTTTAGCTTTTAGGAAAACAACATCATAGGCTTCTGAGGGAACGAAGAACTCCCTGTAGTGTCGGAACCAGTCGGATTTTGGGGTACGGAACCCGAATCGGGATGTGATCGCAGGTGTAGACTTGACCTTTTCGTTGATTTTATCCACGACTGGTTCAACGACATGGAAGATACTCTCGAGCTGCACACATCGAAATCAGTGTCAGAGAAAATGCAATGTGGATTTATGAGAAAAACATACGCCTTTTCTCCTCATATAAACTACTAATGTGCGCCCCTGTAGCATCCCAACGCTAAAGAACAAAACATCCTTGCTTCCGTTCAGTTTCTGAGGAGTCTGTGAGGCATGACTGCTCTGTGGTGACGAAGGTACCAATGCCTCAATGTGGTACGCGAAAAGAGACTTATAGAGATGTTAGCTTCGGGCTCGACGCTTTGGAAAATAGCACTAACTTTATCAGCCAATACCAGAAAGATGCCAAAGTCTTCTAACATGGCGCATTGCGTTACCATCTTGAGATGAAGCACTCGTCGCATGGCTACAAGAACATGAGAAAGCGTGACATGATTGAACACACGCCCACGTACATCGTGAATCATGTCTGAAGCCAATCCATACTCCTTCGGCACACCCGATAGCCACAAGTCCTCGTCCATCAGAAGTGTCTACACAACAAATGAGAGTCATTGATCAAAGAGCAGGAGCTTGGTCTTACTGAATGGTACGGAGCAGGTGACCTTTCCGGTGAAGGAGTTTTCAAGATTCCACGACGGTGCCGCTTGACCTGACGTCATTGAAGGCACCAAAAACGTGTCCGAGCTCAGAGTCTCAACTTCGAAAACTTTGTTGGATTCTTGCACAACCTTACGAAGTCCCATAGCCTCTTCTAGCTTCTGCTTCCACTCCGAGCGTACTTGGGCAGACTCAGCATAGAGAATGTAGTTTCCTCCTAGCCGACCATTGTGGTGAATGGTACAGGGAAACACAGATCGCGAATCCGAAGCACTCTCGGGAGACCGGACTCCAGCGTTTCCAGGGAGAGAATCATGCCGTTCACCTCGAAGATTCCGGAGAAGACCAGTGCCACGTTGAGCGGGTGGGTCGGTGAAATTGACAAGCGTCAATAGATCAAGAGGGATGGGCTAAGTTGAACTGTCAGCGTAGAACAACAAAAATAAGACATTGGTTACCCGACGATTGACATGATACTTCAGCACACCATTACGATCTTCCCGAGGCTTCGTCATAACCACTGTGATTTACAGCGTGAGTACAAGGAGCGCAGTATGATGCTCCGACGACCGTCTTACAGTAGTTGTCGAACAGAAGAACGAACAGTTCACTCCACCCATTCCATTCCAGTCCACCATCAGGTTGCCGTAGGAGCTTTCCAGTATGAATTAATGAGCGGTTGTCATCAAGCAAATCCATATCCTGGAAGAAACATTAGAACCCGCGCAGCGCCATCATAATGCACGTACAATCCACTCTCCGTTCTTGAATGTGATATTCGAATTGTACCGCCATAGTTCCACTTTCTGCTTGGCTGATACAACACCTGGTTCAGTATCTTTTCCGAGCGCCTTGATGACATCCAAGACCTCGGGTATCTCGCGTTTATCATCATGGCCAGGTGGAGTTTCATCCAAAATACCCTTCAACAGAAGTTCGTATCGCAGAAGCCTAGGTATTGGACGATTAATAAAGCTCTTCATATCCAATCGGTGAGCATCAGGGTGCTTGACACATTGCTGTTCGCGAATGTCAACAACAGCAGGTAGATGAAAGCATTTTCACGCCCGCTCACCTCGACGAATTGTTTGAACGCCGGATTATTATTCATTTCATCGTCGATTCTATAAGCCGCGATCGGGTAGTTGGGGATATACTCCATGTATGCGTCACGGAAGTTCAAGGCGGCATCAAAGACTGCTGCAGTGATCGTTCGGATGATTGGATGCTCCTCTCGCTGGATCTCATGGAATTTCTCTACCAGCCGTCGATGGTGAGCATGCAGCTCGGCGAAATTGTGGAATACGTCGGTTATGAATTTCTCCAGTGTCTCCCGAGGAACAATGGGCGGATCAGCAGCGCGTAGTGGGCGAATGTACATCTGCCGCAGAGATATCAATCAGTTTTTCATGACAGCTCGAGACAAATCTTGGTTACCAACCACATCGATATTTTCCAAATCTTTGACGTATGCCATCTCACCTTTGATGAGCTCAAATATAATCCTGGACGTTACGGTCATCAGTGGCGCAAACCCATAATGACAGCGTGTAAACGCACGACTGCCGCTTGGATTGGTCTTTAGTCAAGCTCTGTCGGAGCTCATTTGAGACGAGATCGTGCCATTCCCACTTTCCGGGGGCACCTCTCCCCATTGCCGACTGGAACGTGCGCAGCTGAGCAACCGACTGCAGATTTTTGATGGCATCTATAGCCTCCAACAGGAAGTCACCATCGGGATTGCCGTGTGCAGTCTCATTGTAGATGGCTTCCAGTAAAACTGGATATTTTTGCAAATGTTCTGAAGGGCGATTGAGAAAAAGCTTCAAATCCAAGCGCATGGACTCTCCAGGCCGCACGGTATCACGAGCACATTGCTGATGTGAGTAATCAGAGTAAATGATGAGCGTAACAATTCAACTAACGAGAGATCTCACCTCAATGAACAGTCGAAATTCAGAATTATTTTCTATCTCCTCTTTCAGCCTCTTCTCGGCCAAAGGATGGTGTCCGATGTAGACCGGGTACGCCCAACGAAACTCGGTGGCAGCGTCCAAAAAGACGTCACCAATGCGTTGTATGACTGGAAACTGTTCACGCTGCCGTACATACATGACCTCTAGAAGTCTGCGATTGCATTCCCGAAGATCTAGAATGTTGCCAAAGACTTCGTCGATGAAGTCGTCCAACTCGGAAGAAGGGATGACAGCAGGGTTTGCATTGCGCAGAGGCCGAATGAAGACAGATTCGACGAGATTCAAGTCTTGAATATATTGCTCTTCCTTATCAATGAGTTTGTGGATTATGCTTCCGGAAAAAGTCAGAAGAATCAAGACGGTATGACTGCCTCCTTACGTTTGCCGGCTGATCTCACTCTCGGGTAGTGAGACTAGAACTTCTCGCGGAACCGTGTTAATCCATTCCTGTCTACTCGCCACGGTAGTGGTTTCAGGTCCAGCCGAAGGGCCAACGACCGAATCGCCCTAAAGAATACAGTTAAGCAACACACAGAAAAAACAAAATACTGTCGAACCTTGCGTGGACATCGAGGGGAATAACAAACGGCACCTTCATCGCACCCCGGAGAATAACACTTGGTCAGGACAGTGACGACACCTGTTGGAAGTTCTGCCCTCTCTGGAGGTTCATCTGATGCTCCAGGAAGATCATCTAGAAACATGTACACATCCTCCACGCCGTCCTGCAGTACCTGGCCGCCCCACTCAACTTCATAGAAAAACAATTGGCTTTGCAGACTTCGAGCGACTTGAAGCGCGGCCCGCCGGTCGCTTGTTGAGAAGCCGTGGTTTATGGCCAACTCTCGTTGTATTTGAGATTGTATCGTAGACTGTGACAGAGCTTAGATAACGTTGAAGGGCAAAGTTGTTAGCACATACCACAATATCTTTTCCGGTGAATGCGCGCGGATAAGGTATGCTTCCTTTTACGTGAGTCCCTCGGGGCACTTTGTCACGCAGCTGGACAGCAATATGGGACAAGAGGGAGAAATTCACGAAAAGGTTCTCGTCCTCTTCTTCATCCTCCCAGTATTGATCCTCTTCCTCAGCCTCCGGTTGCAGTTCGAGCTGTGACGTCTTGTCCTCCTCATACGTCGAGATCGCTTGGAGAAGCTCAGTCGGTCTTCGATTGAAGGTGCTCGGCCCTGCAACACTTGCGCTCGACCCACCAAACGTAAAATAATGATCAGACTCTGCATGAGATCCCGTTGAATCACCTCGGGCAAGGCCGATATCTGTGGGGGCGGCAGGGGAATGGGAATTCACGTAACCCGATGATCCAGTTAGAGAGCCATCCACATATCCATCATCTGCGATATAAATGAGTTCTGAGCTCTGAACTCGAGACAAGTGAACTGACAGGGAGAGTGTGCACCAGGAGGAAGCCAAGGCTCCGGCGGACTTGTCGAGTACGTACTGCCTTGCCTGAATCCAGCCGCGGAAAAGGGAGAAGTAGGAGAACTGTATTCCGGTGTATCTTCGTGGTCGTGGAGATTGGAAGTTGGAGACTCGACATAGGTGTGAGCTGGGATCGACTGCGAGCCTGGAATCGCCGGCCTGATGGAGCTCTGGGGACTGGTGGTAGGACCTGAAATGTGGGCGCCATTGGAAGATGGCAGATAGTCTGGAATGGTGCCATCTAGGTGGAACGAAGGTGCTACGGAAGGGGTGTCGGATATACGGATAGAGGATCCTGGTGGTGGAGGTAGTTGTCGGCTCGTCGAATCTACTGACGACATGTAACCGTCAAAGCTAGTCTGCCGGATGCCAAGATCCTGCGAGACGGGCGAAGTGGTCGTAGAAGAGACCGGCGTTGGAGGTAATGGCCGGACTCTCGCGGGCGGCCTTGCTGCTGTCGTCTTTGACGGCGACGACACTGGCGATATCTCTGGTGGATCATCTGAAGAATACATGGTCAAGAAAATATGCACATGGACTGAATATATGCGCACTATTCAGAGACCATTTGCTCCCATTCACTTTACTGCCATTAGATTCTAATTTCGTGCTCGTATCGGGTGAATATCCCACCCATACCCTGTCGAATAGCGTGTTGAAGTCTTCGTCGTTAGGATCCGAAGGGTCGTCGTCGGAGAGTCGGGTCATTACTATGCGTGGGACAGGCGCCCGCGAAACTTGACGTTGAGAGGGCTTGCCTGCGCGACTAAGAGCACCTCGTCACTGTAATGTACAAGAAGATTATACGATAGAGTCCTGACCTATTGGAGAGCGACGAGGGCGGCGATGCAGCGCAACGATGAAGGTAACGAAGAGAAAGCAAGACCGGCAGGAATGGAAGGGTATCTACTAAAGAAGGAAGTCGTTCTTGAACACCGACTTCGACGTTCTCATCGCCCTCCAACACTTGAAAGACAAAACGCGAATACCCTCCATTCGACGATACGACAATCCGAACGCAAAAACGAAAAGATTCTAATCGCAAAGCGGCAATGGAGGATCAGACAAATTTGAATGATGGACGAAACAATCTGAAGTGCACGTCTTCTGTACACGACGTGACAAAAGAAAAGCCCCCCTTTGGCTCCAGGTATGCTGTCGTTATCCCTGACACTGAAGACGCTCAGTCTTTAGACAGGTTCTTGACAGACGAGGCCGAGGTCTGGACTCAGAATGCCTGGGATCATGTTCCCCCTCCCGACGACCAGGATGAAATCATTGCCGCTTCGCTAACGAAGCAACGTTCTGCTCCAGTCCCTGAAGATGAGAAGTGCAAGTATAATGACAAGCCAGCAAAGTTCTGGTATGTTTTCCCATTTTTTACCATTCAATCCGTCAGTCAAAACGACTAGGGATAATTTTTACAAGGCCAATTCGAGCAACTTCTTCCGTGATAGAAAATGGTGCGAGGCTTACTCTGCTGCATTTCGCTAATTTGACCATTTTTGTAGGCTACATAATGAATTTCCAGAACTAGTGGAGGCTACTCAGGCCAAGGTAATCTTTTGTGTTTTTTGGTCTTTACTTGACCTTACTTGAGAGGATGAAGGCTGGTACTAAGACTATCGTCGAAATCGGATGTGGTGCTGGAAACTCTGTGTTCCCCCTCCTAGCCTCGAACCAAAACCCCGACCTCTCGCTTTTTGCCTTCGACTACGCCCATCACGCTGTCAAACTTGTACAGGTAAATTTATCGCTGTTTGCCCCTGGCGATGATGCATATTCTAAGCCACTCGCTTCTAGTCAAATCCTCTATATGAATCCCCTCCCGTGGGCTCCATCCGCGCAGCACCTTGGGATCTATCCTCTGACAAACTTCCCGAAGAAATAGAGCCCGGGAGCATTGACATCGCAATCATGGTCTTTGTTCTCAGCGCTCTACATCCGGATGAATGGCATAATGCTCTGAGAAACGTACATACGGTATGTTTGCCCTGCTCACTTCGAGAAGGACGACTGACTAGGCCTAAAAAGTACTGAGTAAACGGCAAGGTTATAGTATAAGTATCCTCACGAAATCTCCGGATCTTAGCCCAACGTTGATTAGTCTGACTCGAGGCCCTGACTCGTCGTCAAGGTAACGCATTGCCAAATCGGTCCAATCTGACCAAACTACCTTGCATTTACTCAGTGCTTTTTAGGTCAGTAGGCCGTTCACTTCTTGCAGTGCTCTATGCTGCAGCCCCAGCTTAATATTCTCTAGATGCTCAAACCCGGTGGCCTTGTCATGTTCCGCGATTATGGCCGCCACGACTTGACTCAACTACGATTCAAAGGCGGCCGTTTACTCGATGACAACTTTTATATTCGAGGTGATAAAACTCGCGTGTACTTCTTCGAACTAGGTTAGTAACTACGTCGTTTGGCTCTGTCTCGCTTTTCTAATATTCTCATCAATTAGACGAATTATCCTTTTTGTTCACTGGCTCCAGGATACCGGAAAGCGAGTATACAGTCAACACCACCGTTGAGGATGAAGATGGACCCTCCATGCTCGAAAGAGATGTGGATGCTCCAGCCGATCTCGAAATACCTACAACGGCGGATACACCTCAAGACACACAGGCAACGTCAATACACCCTAACTTGCTAACACCTCGCCTCTCGCCTCCCCTTTTCGCTACAGAGCAGCTCGGGGTCGATAGGCGGCTGATTGTCAACCGAAAGCGTCAGATCAAGATGTACCGCGTCTGGATGCAGGGCAAGTTTCGCAAACTTTAGATCTTCACTATCTACACAAAATAGACCCAGTAATTCATAACCCGTGGTTTTAATCTTAAAAGAGGATCGCGGCAATCTTTTCTAGCAAAGTGCGTGGTGGTACTTCCGGCTTCTCTGTCTCCTCAATACTTGGAATACCCTAAGTACAGCGTCGTCAGTAGGACTACTTGGAAAGATCTTCCACATGCACTCACAGTCACCAAGTCCATATCCTCCGGTTTCCACACGCTTGTACGCATTATCAATTTATAACCGAAGTATAACGAGGCAAAAATTGGCAGATTGATATCTGCCAGGCACTGTTAGCATGTCATTCTAGCGAAGAAAGCGGTACGTACATGCAACCAAGAAATCAGATATATCAAAACTGAAAAACACTGCGTATCCGTTGACGAGGGTGAAGAATATCGTCCAAAAGATACCCCACCATGCAAGGTAAGGTTGCCAAGAGTGGTTATAGATGTTCTCCTTGAGATCAAAGCCTTGTGCGAGCATGCCTCGACCTGAGAGGCGTCAGCTCCTGGAATGAGACCCAGAGAGGTATAGAAACCTACGGAAGAATACATAGGTCAAATTAATACAAAACCAGCCGATGAAACCTCCAGTAGCCGTAAGGTTCTGCAACCAGCTACGAAAGTTTGTGTCAGAAGTGTTCGACTATGAGAAGACACGTACAAGAAAACCCGTTCCGCTCCGCTACTAACAGTCATGAAAGATAATAATGAGAAGCAACACTAGTGATAGTATTCTCATGTCGGCTACCTTCAAACGACGATAAAGACAACGAGCACATACCGTAACAAGAACAGCAGTGAGCGGTAGGCCATTTTTTGTGCAATACGTCAAGAAACGAGGCCCTTGTCCGCGGAGAGCGAGTCCATAGAGAATACGCGAGCCACAGAACAAGTAGGTATTTCCAGCGGAGAAGGCGCTCGTGAACACGGCAGCATTGATGATGTGAGGGAGAACTAGCGGTAATGAAGTGAACTGTGTTTCACATTGACCCAGCGAACGTACCTTTGACACCAGCACGGTTAAAAGCAATGACGAACGGTGACTGGGCAGCGTTTCCGGATGCTGGGAGCAAGTAGTGTGCTGTGGTGAGTATGCCTGAGGAATAATTGGGCTACTTACTGTTTAACAGGGCATCGTCATCGTAGGAAACAAGCATGCCAATCATAAGTATGCCCAGTATCTTCGTGACATCAGTCAAGGATAGGATGCGAGATTGCTAGAAACGCGAACGTACGTAGAACAGGACGATTCGATAAACGACTCGGTTAACAGCTTTGCCTATATTACGACGAGGACTCTCTGTCTCCGAAGCGGCACTAGAAACGGTCAAATTATAAGCAGAACGTCAAAAGAGACGAGAGCACATTTCATTTACATTGCTACTAGCTCCATGCCTGTGAACGAGAAGGCAGCTTGGATGATGACAGACATAATTGCTAGGAAGCGGTCTGTATTGATACTAGATACTAAGCCGGCTCGGGCAAGTGCTCCAGGGTGCTTCCAGTACTACAGAAAGTCAGGAATTTTAGTTGATGCTCACAGAGGAGATGTACTTGCCCGAAAGCCAATTCGTCCATGGTTGGGTCCTCCTCCGAGATCTATCACCAGACCAGCTAGTAGAAGGCCGATGATGGTTGAAACTGAGTGGAGTGGTGAATATGGCGTTACGACATAAGGAGGTGCGTCACTCACGTTTGATGAAGGCAAAGAGGAATTCGGCTACGCGGCTCGGTATATAGAAGGAACATTATATGAGACGTCCACGTACCTTCTCCGAAATACCTAACAGATAGTCTCAGGTTTTATGGCCAAGTTCAACACGAAAGCACTCACCTAACACCAAAAATATTGATAGCGCACATGAGTACACATATGACTGCTGTGTAAATGGCGGCATGGCTGGTCTGTAGAGAGCGGATACCGTTGTTGTAGTTCACGATGTTTAGCAGATTAGTTCACACTTACATTTTCGTCCCAGAAACTGAGAAGGATAACGGCTGCAGCGACCTCTACTGGAACAGAGATGCTATATAGAGATAGATTACTCTTTTCAACGTCAAGATTGACTGGAAGGCACTCACGCTTGTCCATAAAAATAGTTCTAATACCAGGCTAACCGTCAGTCATAAGCGATTAATCAAGCGATTCGAGTTACCCATCCAACGGCAAAACCGAACGCCGGGTCGACCCAACGGGCCGCTATTGTGTAGCGCTTGAATTAAAAAGTATATCAAACCGTGGAGAAACTCACCAAAGTGCGGGAAGGTTCCAGATATGGGTGCAAATGTAGTCATCTCTCCAACTGAACACAAGGAACTAGATAACAGGACTATACTGAGCAGAAGATACTTTTCTTAAATTTGATTCATGCGCACGAATATGCCACCGTCCCAACCAACATATACGCAATGAGTGCACCAAGAGGTCCTGCAACATGGAGAGCTTCACCGGATCCGAGGAAAAGCCCGGTACCGATAGTACCGGCAATCTGATACACAGTTCAGGAATTCCCTCAAACAAGGAACATGATGATCATCGATAAGTGGACTTACGGCGATCCTGAAAACAAAGTTGGTCAACAAATACAATCCAGAGACCAAAACGTATCTTACATCTGTACATGTCGCTGTTTCAATCGACGCTTAAGAGGATCTGGGCCGTCGTTATAGAGCTGGAATTTGGCAATGGGGCAGCGATGTCGTCAGGCGATAGCACCTCAGCGCTCGCAGCCTTGGAGTTGGCGCTACCTTGTTTCTCGATGTCATTCGTGGGAAAGCGGTACTGAGATTCGTAAGGAAACGTTTGCAACAAGCTTGCTTCCTCGCGGCGACCAGACCTTTATACGATATAAGCCCGGATATAAATACCGTCCTAGCTAATACCATATGCTTCCACGTCAAAAGAATTGAAAGAAGCTGATGGATTATGATACGCCCGCAGAGGTGGTGACATGCAAATGGCGTTATTGGCGATGGTCTATGACACCTACGATTGGTGTGCTCATGCAAGAAGAGATAAGGAAACGGGGGTTATCCATGGCAACAAGAACCTTGTTGTAAGTACACAGACCGGGGGTAGAGTCAGCACTGATGGTACGGGAGATGTTACCATATAAGAGCCGGACAGGTAACATGGGAGCCTCATTCTCATCGTTCCTTGGAATTTCAATGAAGTCCAACCCAGTCATAGTCCTTCAGTCAAAGTTTCGACATCCAGCACGGTGCCTTATCGCCCGAGTAGTCTGGTGTAGACTAACAAAGAACTTGGACCCCCTTACGTCGTACGATACGAGAAGCAGCAAGGGTGCTATCCATCATCGATTATTTGAATATTCGGATGCCAAGTTCGCAGACTGAGGATAAGCCGAAACAGCAAGTTCCTTATGGCCTCATAGTGGCTTCATTTCACCTCATTGACGATCGTGGTATGGGGTTAAGTGGGTCCCTATTTGTTTCAGAGACCCCAGTGGGAGATACTGACACAATAGAGACACACTAGACTGCACAGCTTATTCTCTCACTTCCGACGTCGACCACTACTGGGGACCGGTCATGAGTACCGGTCGACTGAAGCGTAAACTAGGTGACCTTGGGGTGGACACGTCTAGTACCAAGGCCAATGAATCATTTTGTTTGGTGAGTGCTCTGTCACCTCTGCATCTTAGGACTCACTAAGCATTACTCTAGATTGGGACACCATTACCACCTCTGGAAAAGTCAAAAGACAGTGGAGAGTTCGTACCTATATGGAAGCAAGATGTATGTCAAGAAAATACTCTATCTTTCGTTTTCTTATGTACTGGGTGTAGGTTCGAGACGAAAAGGGTCGGAGACGCTTACATTGTGCCTTTACGGATGGTTTCTCTGCAGGCTACTTCAATACCGTCGGCTTCAAAGAAGGTTGGATTCATGCAAAAATTGGTGTACTATCTCTCATGTCGAGCCAGGATGGGCGCCGTCTACATTTGTGTCGTCTCGGAATGACCACGTCAAGCAGAAAGCAGCTCGCCCCGAAGATTTCATGGATGAGGAGGATCTTCAAGAATTCAAAGATAGTCGCAACCTTGATGATTTCTCTACTTTGGTCGAAACGTCGCCAGTATGTGACAACGTCATTGCGAAACCCAAAAAGTTATGCCCCAAGAGTAAGTTTTCCTTTTCTTGCTGCTAGACCGTGTCGCTTGGCACGAGTATACAGAGCACCTGCCTCCTATGCTCGTCCACATGAAGAAGGAAATCAGGCGCCTCGCTCAGACAGCCAAGGCTGAGATGAGGCTGTTTGCGCGACGCAGGTCGTCATCATTCCAAATCGCCTTCTCTCCTGTCGCCTCGCCATTCACCCCTTCGTCGGACTCATACTTCCCTCGGAAGGCTTCCGTTTAATTGAAACGCGTCGGGACCTATCATCGAAGACTCAGTGATAACATCCCAGGAAACTATCTTGGTTGCGTCTAGGAAGACGAAGAAGGTGTCTATTTCTATAACAAAGACAAAGACTGCCAAGAAGATTGCGAAAGTAGGCAAGAAAGCCAAAAGGGTTTTTCTCGAAAGCATTCAGGAAGTCTTCAGATCTTGACCATCACCGATTTGTACAATACCTTTTTTACCGAAAGCTCTATTGATTATATATATATATTCAATCCACCTACGGATCCTCAAGAAATGCATACAGCAGTGGAACTCTTCTGAGTACAGTTTTCCAATACAGTTACTATTTTAATTTATTAGCTTTTGCTTCTGATAAATCAGTTAATTTCGCGCCACGTATTTGTTGACGAAACTGAGGATCCTCTAGGGGGATTGCTCCGATTACAAGGACAATGTTCATCTACAGCGAGACCATCAGGATTACAAAACCGGATTCAGCCTTCATGAACAGCAAAAGGTGGTCACATCTGTTCCATCCAGGACAAGGAACGACTCACTGTTTACGTGCCCAGGCTCATATACCTCAAAATCCTCTGGTTCGGAAATGAACTAATACATAAGTGGATCCCAACAAGAATATTAACGGCGACTGACCATGTGAGGCTCATGCTCCAACAGAAATATGCATCGGCCGTTAAAGTGTGGACCGACGATAAAATAATTGCCTGGGCGTGTGGCGAACGGGGCGTTACGGGCTGATGTAGAGGACATTATATCAAAATGAATCCAGATTCCACAGCAACAGACCAATGGCGACATGAGGCCTTTTAGCTGCTGCCTGCTAGCTGCTGCGATCAGTGCCATTGCCTAGCGTAAACTTCAACTGATGGGCCGTGTTGTCAATGCGCATTAGTCGTGATGATTGTAACTTGTAAGCCAAAATACATTGCCGATAAATTGAAGATAGATAGATAACCGGTCGAGGTCCCAAAAAGGAACGCCGGGGCTCTGTGCCGACACAAAACGTGTCACTGCAGACTACACTCCCTCATGCCGCTGTGATATCCTCAGTTGCCAGCCAAGAACATCTCACGGATTTGAAGGAAATGCGGGGACAAGCGAACGCAATATCATAGGGAACAACGAGAATAATATCACATGTACTATGTGAACCACAAATGTGGAAGTGTAACAATTGCTGACAGTTACCGGTGAGTTAGTGCCATCGATGCCGAGGTAGGTATAGATATTTCTCACAACTCCAACCGTGCACGTCCACTGGTGAAAAGAGAATTGTTTCTTAAACATCCTCCACTGAATAATCGTCTTGATTTCATAATGTGAGCTTGAAGCGTGATCCTCGGATGACAGTATTCAACACACGGTCAATAACAAATCCTGTGCAGGGTCCCTGAGGTTTCGCGTTCCTGTCAACGCGCTTTGTTGACGCGTTCACTAGCCGTTCATCAACTGTGGCTTGCCGCCGTACGCGTCATTTGAAAAATGCCGAAGATAATCGTTATCTGATAAGATAAACATGATGACATTGTCTAAAGTCCGTCAGTAACCACCATCATGATGGAGTGCTATAAAAATGAAGTCCACTCTGCTTCTGTTTCTAACACACACTCCCATACTTTTCTACTATTATCATAACAATGAACGTGTCTGTTCTCATTGTACGTGGTATTCTTTCCGTACTTTCGAGTCGGACTCACTACTCACCGTCACTTGCATAGGTCGGTGCTGGGCCTTCAGGTCTTTCTTTGGCTCTCGCTTTGCTCCAGAATGGAATTTCTGTCCGTATCATAGACAAAGTGTCTACATGTCAGACCGGCAAGAGAGGCGCCGGTATCCAGGTTCTACGTTCGCTATTCATCAAAACGTCTCGTCTAAATCATGACATAGCCCAGGATCCTTGAGCTACAGAAGCTTCTTGGCGTTCTGCCAGATATTCAGAAGAAAGGAAAGTTCGTTTCGCCTATGATCCAGTATCTTCCAGGGGGTCAGACAAAGACCGTCGAAGTAATAGCATACATGGAGAATACCCCCGACCGACCTTACGTGCGTAACTATATTATTTATTAATTCCTATATTAACTACTCGAGACTGTAGATAAACCCCGTCATATTAGGCCAAAACCTACACGAAGAGATTCTCCGCGAGCACTTGTCAAAATATGGCGTCGCAGGTCGAGTTGGACACCGAGCTTGTGTCCTTTGAGCAAGTTCTTGACCGAGTAGTCTCTCACGTTATCAAGACTCGTGATGGGGAACGATTTGAGGAGTCCATCGAGAGCCAATGGATCATTGGCGCCGATGGCGCACATAGCATCGTCCGTAAAACGCTTGGCTTGACTTTCCTCGGAGAGATAAGGGAGGGAGATCATGTCGTCGTGGGTGAAATTTATATGAAGAAGCCGTTGCTGGATACAAATGTATGTTGCGAGTCGGACATTTTTCTTCCTCCCACTGAGCCCTGACCTCCTGCTGAAGCTATGGCATCTATGGGGCGAAGCTGCGACAAAAAGGTAGATCTCTACATGTTAAGCGGACAAGTTCTGAACCACTTTGTAGCGTGATCCTTGCAGCATATGACACCGGAGATACAGGTGAATACGGTGTTGTTTGTATGGGACGCGATTTAGATGCGGATAAAATGGCGTCCAGTCGAGAGGAATTTGTCAAAGCTGTCTATGAAATAACTGGACGTACTGACATCGAGTTCGGTGATGTTATCAACCTTTCGAGCTTCCAGTGAGTGTGACTCATTTGTACTGTGGATATCAGTAATAAGCCAACTTCAGAACCAATGTTCGAATGGTGAATAGTTACGGTTCCGGACGGGCTTTTGTTGCAGGCGGTAGGATTCAATTTCAACGGCTTCTATACTTGAATGCTAATCCATGACAAGATTCCGCACACGTTCACAGCTTTACTGGTGGTCAGGGACTCAACTCGGGTATCCAAGATGCCGTCAGTAGAACAAATGGTTTCCAGTATATATGAAAGTTTTCTGATGTGCCTATAGGTCAACTTAGCTTGGAAGCTCGCTCTTGTTCAAAAGGGCTTAGCTCCCCAGAGTCTCATCGATAGTTATTCCCAAGAGCGCATTCCCGTCATCGCAGAAATGCTTGACAAGACTTCTGAGCTCCTTACTAAAACTTTCACCTCTGGAGGCGTCGGACAGACACTCAAGGGCTGGAACAGATCCTACGAGCTTCGTCAATTGGGTGTCAACTACCGCGGTAGTCCGATCGTCGTGGACGAAACCCCGGTCAAAGGCGAAGAAACCATCGATCCGTACCGCTCAGGCAACGATGGCACCATCCGAGGCGGTGACAGAGCCCCCGACGCCCCTGGTCCTCATTTTGTTAATGACCCCACGCGCAAGACGAGTCTCTTTGATATCTTCGGGTTGTCATACCACACAGTGCTCGTCTTCTCCAATGACAGCACTGTTGTTTTGGATGCTCTGAAGAGCTTACCCCGCCAGGTATCGTCAAGACGGTGGTCATTCTTCCTCAGAAGCCGACGGGTGTTGTTTCTGCGGACTACGTACTGGTGGATGGTGATGGATATGCGTACAAGCATTATAATATGGCGGAGAAGCTCACCAAAATTGTTGTTGTGCGGCCCGATGGGATGATTGGTGGGCTCGTAGATGGGAAAGACGGGTTGAAGCAGTACTTCAGCGGGATCCTTCTGTGATTGATATAGTGTAACGTCGCGTGCTAGATTGTATTCATCAACCCACCTCTCATAGATAAATATTCAAATATGAATGATCTTCGTGCCATACTATGAGTAAATCACATAACTGAGCAGGAACAAAACGAGATAGAATATCATAGCAAAAATGCACGAGCAACAGGCGTGTGCTTAGGTGAATCAGGACAGATCCAAGAGGCACGGTGGTGATGATTTCCGCAGTAAGTTTGCTCAGAGCCTGGCCATTGGTAGATTTCGGGAGACGCGTTGAAGCCTGAAATTTGGAAATGGGGGCAGCGATGCTGTCAGGTGATTGCACCTCAGCGCTCGCAGCCTTGGAGTTGGCGCTACTTGTTTCTCGATGTCGTTCATGGGAAAACGGTGCTGACATTCGTAGGGAAACGTTTGCAAGAAGCTTGTTTCCTGGCGGCGACCAGACCTTTATACCATATAAGCCCGGATATAAATACCGTCCTGGTGAATGCCATATGCTTCCACGTCAAAAGAATTGAAAGAAGCTGATTGACCATGCATCATGATACGCCCGCAGAGTTGGTGACATATAAATGGCGTTATTGACGATGGTCTATGGCACCTACGATTAGTGTGCTTATGCAAGAAGAGATAAGGAAACGGGAGCTATCCATGGCAACAAGAACCTTGCTGTAAGTACACAGACCGGGGGTAGAGTCAGTACCGATGGTACGGGAGATGTTGCCATATAAGAGCCGGACAGGTAACATTTACATGGGAGCCTCGCATCGTTCCTTGGAATTTTAATGAAGTCCAACCCAGTCATAGTCCTTCAGTCAATGTTTCGACATCCAGCACGGTGCCTTATCGCCTGAGTAGTCTGGTGTAGACTAGCAAAGAACTTGGACCCCCTCGGTACGAGAAGTAGCAAGGGATGTTATCCATCATCGATCATTCGCGTATTCGGATGCCAAGCTCGCAGACTGAGGATAAGCCGGAACAGCAAGTTCCTTATGGCCTCATAGTGGCTTCATTTCACCTCATTGACGATCGTGGTATAGGGTTAAGTGGGTCCCTATTTGTTTTAGAGACCTGGGAGATACCTGACACACAGAGACACACTAAACTGCACAGCTTATTCTCTCACTTCGACGTCGACCACTACTGGGGAACGGTCATGAGTACCGGTCGACTGAAGCGTAAACTAGGCGACCTTGGGGTGGACACATCTAGTACCAAGGCCAATGAATCATTTTGTTTGGTGGGTGTTCTGTCGCCTATGCGTCTTAGGACTCACTAAGCATTACTTTAGGTTGGGACACCATTACCGCCCCTGGAAAAGTCAAAGGATAGCGGAGAGTTCGTACCTATATGGAAGCAAGATGTATGTGAAGTAAATACCCTATCTTTCGTTTTCTTATGTACTGGGTGTAGGTTCGAGACGAAAAGGGTCGGAGACGCCTACACGGCGCCTTCACTGGAGGTTTCTCTGCAGGCTACTTCAATACCGTCGGCTCCAAAGAAGGTTAGAGTCATGCAAGAATCGGTGTATTATCTCTCATATCAAACTAGGATGGGTGCCGTCTACATTTGTGTCGTCTCGGAATGAACGTGCGAAGCAGAAAGCGGCTCGCCCCGAAGATTTCATGGACGAGGAGGATCTTCAAGAACTCAAGGATAGTCGCAACCTTGTTGACACCACGGATGAGATGGACTTTATGGGCGGAACGCAAGCGGAGAAACAGAGAAAAGAGAATGCTGATGTCGAGAACGAGTACGTCCTGTCCCCCCAAACATTGACTACTTCTAATTTTTGGCAGCTCTATAGCCAGTATCCTTGAAGCGTCAATGCTCCCTGCTCCGAAGGACTCGGTGGGTGCACGAATACTCAAGAAGATGGGATGGCGTATGGGTAATGGCATCGGCCCCCGCGTCAGTCTGAAGCAGCGAAAGCTACAAGACTTACAAGCGTACACCGGCCAAGCGTCAAGTAGCGATGTCATCAAAGTAGCTGACGATGACGAGGAGGCTAGCAAGCACACATACGCTCCACGAGATACACCTGTCATCAGGTTTGACCGTAAGGATAATTTTCATGGCTTGGGCTATCGCCCCGGTATGAGTCTGAATGAGAGCCTCGGTGTCAATGGTGGAAAGTCATCATCAGGACCTAACCTATCTGGTGCGTTGACCCAATTGCATTGTTATGACATCCTTTTTGAGTTAGTTTTCAGCTGGCTTTGGTCTGGGTGCCTTAAATGATGTTGACGAGGATGACTTGGACGTTTATGAAGGCGCCTCGACCCTGAGGAATCGTGTCGCGTACGACATCGCGGACAGCCAAAGTGAAGATAGGATATCTATTGGTGGGAGTTCCGCAAGAGGCAAAACATCGAGCGTTGTAAGACCTTCTTAAAATGGTCCTTTTATTCCAGCTTATCTTTTCAAGAGGTCAACGCCAGGAACGTTTAATGACCGTAGACCGATCCTTGCTGGCTTTGTAGCGTCGGACAAGCCTGTGTTGGAGGACCGATGGTCAGTCAAAACAATAGTTGACAGTAATCTCCAAGCTGACATCCTGTCCAGGTACCCTCTTCCAGAAGTTCCCAAAGGATGGAAGCCTGACCCCCAACGAATCTGGGATCAAGGACCAGAGAAAGAGAATATACAGCAAACTCCCTCTGCTCTGCCTCATCAGGAATGGAGAGCATCTAGACCTTCCGCTGACGAGGTCTGTTGCCCGCTTTTTCTTCGTATATCCAGTGTTCCTTAAAAGAAATATAGCGCGGTGAGATGCTGGGAGAAACTCCACTACCTTCTGCGCCTCGGTCTGTGTTCGATTTTATGTCAAAGAAAGACCGGGAACGGCTCAAGAATATTGCCTCTGGAGGTGTACCGACAGGGCCTACACCTGCTGCACCTGCAACACTTACCATACCACACCTGGAGCCTCATATAGCTACCGCAGCACTCCGCGGCTTTCAACCTTTTACTTCTGACCCAGCCAAGCAAGCCCGGTACACATCGTATATACAATCCCAGGCAGACCCGGCGACGTATCCTTTCTCGCTCAAGCCTCTCCCTGGCCAACGCATGGACGAGTTCAATAAGGAACTGCAAGATTACTCCAAGTCTGCCCAGATCTTCAAACCCGTTTCTGGCGCCATGGCAGGTCGCTTTACTAGTGCCACCGTCATTGATCATGGCCCGAAGATCTACGAGGGTCTGCATACTCCTTCAGCAGAGGAAATCGCTGAGAAGGAAGAGGAGGAGCGAAAACAACAGGAGCAAAACGTCAGTCCCAAAGTGCACGCCGCGCGAATGGGAATGTATGGCCCTATGACGAGAGAAACGAAGCCGTGGCAGCCGGCAAGGCTTCTCTGTAAACGATTTGGCGTGAAGGATCCTAATCCGCCGCCGGAAGAGCCTGCAGCAGCTCCGACATTTGAGGAGCCTGCTCCCGATGCGTCGTTCTTCGCCACTCCGGCAGTTCCACCGACGCCGGGCCGGAGGGATTTGTCGAATATTGGATTGGGAGAGGATGAGAGCCAGGGGAAAGATACGCTCACGTATGAGCGACCTTCGATGGATGTGTTCAAAGCTATTTTCGCTAGTGATGATGAGGATAGTGATGACGAGAAGGGTGAGAAGAAGGATGAAGAGATTGAGGCTCCAAAGGACTTGACACCAACACCGGCTCTGGCTCCAGCCCCGAGTCAGGATTCTGGACCGGTGGATATGAGCACGTTCAAGCCAACGTTCATACCACGGGAAGGTAAGGAGAAGGATAAAGAAAAATCCAAGGAGAAGAAAAAGAAAAAGAAAGACAAGGAGAAGAAATCTGTCCTGGTTTCTTTTGCGATGGAGGAGGATATGGGTGGTGCTGATGTTCCTCCGCCTGCGAGGAAGAAGAAACGGAAGGACAAGGATAAAAAGGAAAGGGTGAAAGGTGAGGATGACGATGACGCTATGTGGGTTGAGAAACCGCCGCCAGAGGTGGTGAAGGTCATGGAATACCATCCACCGAAGGACGACGACTCGAATGTTGCAGTTGATAGTAGTTATGTACCTGCGAGGGGGAGGAAGAGGGCGATCGATTTTATGTAGATGGATATATTATTTAATGATATAAATCTAAATCTAAATCTAACTGCTCTCTTCACTCTCGTCCTCACCTTCATCCTCATCCTCATCCTCGTCCTCCTCTTCTTCGACATCTTCCGGTTGTATATCCCATTCATCGGCAGCATCCTCATCTTCGTCCTCGTCCTCACCTCCCGCGTTTTCCTCGCGCTTCCGCTTCTTAGTCACCGGATTGGTGGCTACTGTCTCGCCATCTGCAACAGCGATGCAAGTAAGCCTAGTCCCTTTTGAGTCGTAAACCGCCACCGGCTCAATCTCCTGGACTTTTTGTGCTGACTTGTCAAGTGCTGCCAAGTCATATACGTGGATTTTGCCATCGGACGATAGCGGTGCACACGATTGTCGTGGAGGTCCTCTTGGATGCCGGCAAGGCGATGGAAAGCGTCTGGACGGCTTTGACTCTGTTATGATGGGTAAATAAATTACAGGAGGGAGCATTACACTGAAACTTACCGGTTTTCGTGGCCAACCATCAAACCGATTATGGTTGGCGCTTTTTCGGGGTCATTCGATACGTCGTAGATGGTCAGTTTTTTGTCTTCGGCACCGACTAGGAGTACTTCCTCGTCGCTGTCAACGCGTTTGCAGAATTTTGCATCGTGTAGTCGTGATGGATGCTTTATTGTGTGCAAAAGTGTCATGTCCTAGAACCGGAATGAGATGAGAATAAAATGAGGGTATTGATATAGGATACAGACAGTGTTGTAAAGGTCTATTGTCGATCCCGACTGAACGATGAAGAGTGAGCCTGATACGGACCATCGAACTACTTCGCCCTCTAAAAGCATATTTAATATTCAGAGTAAAGAACAGCTCGGGAAAATGACGGACCTTTGCCCAACTTGGTACTTGCACTTCCTTTTCCCCGCATGAGATCCCACATACGCAAGGTCCTGTCCCTACCGACGCTCAGCGCTACCTTTCCAGATGGATGGACGGCTACACAATTGACACGTCCCTTGTGCCCTTTTAGAGATCGTAGAACGGCCCAATCCCGTGCACGGAATAAACATAACGTCCCGTCTTCGGATGCTGAGAGCAGGTGTCCCCGAGACGGGAAGCTCAAGTGGGTTATTGAACCTAGATAATTTTAGCGTAAGAGGGAGTAGCATGGCAGAGAAAAGGATAGTCTACCTTCGTGATGCATAAGACCACCAATTTCTTTCTTCCTTCGTAGATCCCACACTTTGACTATCTCGTCTGAGCTCCCGGTAGCGAGCCATTTGCCTCCACTCGGTGACACAGCGACAGCCTTGATGCACGAGACGTGTGCAGGGAAGATAAATATTGGCTTTAGGTGAAACTCGAGCTTGTCATCGTCTCCAGACACGCGCCCTTCCAAGCCGTAGAGTAGTTTTTCGTATGAACCAGCGACGATTTTGAATGTAGAAGGTAGAGTAGACAGTTCGTTTTGCGGTACTGCCTTCTGTTTGCCCTTGTCCTTGGTGGATGGTGCTGAACTCACAGCCTTGGATTTGTCGCGTTTTAGTTGAACTTTTACTTTTTTCGGGGGAGGGGGAGAGGCCCTTGCCATTGGAATAAAAATTTGAAGATGAGGGTTAGCTGGAAAGGGAAGTAGCACTGCCACCGGCGACGTCTTCTGCGCGTCATTATTTTTTTGACTTCGACATTCACCTCGAATTTGTGAAAGGATATCGATTTCAGATATACCTTTCTCTCTTTCTCTTTCTCATTTCGTCTTTTCTCGACCTTTTTCATCAAGTTCCGGGCCCGAGATGCTTACTGAGCGCTGACCAGTTTCTGACTAATTGTTTTCATAAGGAACACATCTGCTTACGGCCGTCATGCAACTTTGCAGTCTCCCACCCTAACAATGGCCTCTGCGTCTTCTGATATCTCAATTACTGTCGTATTTCGTGGTACCTCTCACCGCATCACTCTGCAACCCGAGAGCACTCTGGGCGACTTGCAGGACCAGCTGGAGAAGGCTACATCGGTATCACCCTCCTTGCAGAAGCTCCTTTATAAGGGCAAGAATCTCAAGCAGAATAGGGTCGGGCAAGAGACTGTAGTTTCAATTGGTCTTCGTAATGGCAGCAAGATTCAAATGTTGGGGACTACGTCAGTCGAGTTGGATGGAATACAGGTGACGGAGAGCGAACAAAGGCGGGTCGACCGAATACTGCGAGAACGAGCGCTGAAGGCCCCGGCTTACAAGGTACTTTCCCTCAATGCCACAGCTGCGTCGCTACTCACTGTGTATAGGTTCGCTCTACAGGGGTGACGAACAGTGCTTCACTCAACTATCGTTTTCATCAACTATTGCCTCTTCCGCACTTGCCCAACCCTGCCTCAGCGCACAATCTTTTACAGCGTCTATCAGATGATCCAGCTATCCAGCACATCATGCAGCAGCACCAGTTCTCTGTTGGTGTATTGACCGAGTTGGCACCACACGAGCATCCCGAATTGCTTGGACTCAATGTTAATGCCGGGCAGCAGATTAAACTTAGACTACGCACGGACCGCTATGATGGATTCCGCACATATAAGGAAGTCCGGCGCGTCCTATGCCATGAGCTGACGCACAACGTCTGGGGGGATCATGATAATAACGTATGTGCATGAAAGGCATTGTTCTCCGTCCTTTTTTGATGCTTGATCTTCGTTAGTTCAAGGAGCTCAATTCGAAACTCAATAGAGAGGTGACCGAATTTGAGCGCGCTAGAGACGACGGCACGCATTCTCTCTCTGGCTTGGAGACATACGATGCATACGAAGCCATCGTCTGAACTCGAGGCGGAAGCCCGTATACAGGTCCTCGGAGGATCTGGTTCTTTTAACCGTGACGAGTCCAACGAGGAACGTCGTCGGCGTCTGTTAGATGCTACGATGGCTCGACTGCGTAAGGAAGAGCAGGAGATGGAAGATTCTTGTGGGACTGCAGGACCATCTTCACTAGGCCCTAAAGGCTAAGCGTCGCAGGGTCCTTACTATATAATCATGACAATCAAGTCCTTGCCTGCGTCGGGTAAGGTAATAAGGACATAACTGTGTTGGAGTTTCAAGTGTCGCGCATCACAGCGCAGTTGACGTCGGGATCATCGGTTGTCAGGGTTAGTCAGGCAAGAACTCGTTTATTACATCCTGTTGCTTCTATTAGTGTACACGGTGAGTAGATAAATAGGTAGTCGAATGAAGACAACCCTCGCCTGTTTGCGAGGGTTCCCTGCTATATCCGGGTGAGCGGCTGGAGAATTACCGCTTATCTCAACAAACTGGACCTTGTAGTGTAAGTAGGTGGATGATACTCAGTGCGTTCAATGGAGCTTGGCTTCGGTGATGGTTCGGGCAGACATAGAATATTTATTTGAATAATTAATATTTATATTTATGCTTGCTATTATTAAGGGTTTTTGCCTTCCGTTTCGACTTTAGGAGCCTTTTGACTTCGACTTTACTTGCTTTGTTGCCCTCGTTTTCCAGCCTATTCGCAAACTTCCATCATGCCTAGATCCAAATCTACCTCTACTCTTCGTCAGCAGAGGCTGAGTTTTGCTACCTCGAAACGTACTTCTAGCTCTGGAAACAAGAAACCTACTGGGAATCCAAAAACTGTAGTGCTCGACTCGGTTAACGAAATTGATCTATCGTCTTCCGAGGATGAAGACGAAGAAGTTCAAATTGTACGGTCTCCTCACAAGGATAAGCGGGCTGTCGTTGGGTCAAGTATCAAGAATAAAGGTTTGTTGCATCTACCAAGTTGCCACCACGAAGACGCTGACCCTATGAACAAGGGAAAGGGAAAGCTGATGAGACTGGCCTTGTGGAAGGGGACCCCAAATGGAAATCCATCTATAGCGCATATAAGAAGAAAAGCGAGGTCAAAGAGCCTAGTGAGTAGCATCTGTAGCAGCCGGGGTCTTCGTCTTACAATGAATTGCAGTCCATGGCGAAGATCAAGACGATTTCCACGAAATACTTCGAGTTTTTGATCTGTCAGTCAAAAACATTACCCTGTTCGCGGCTGTTATATTAACGGTGCATGTGTTTTAGCTCCTACGAGTTTGGTCCGTGTATTGGTGTCACAAGGTTGGAGCGCTGGGAAAGGGCTTCCAAGATGGGCCTCAATCCTCCACCCGAGGTGCGCACAATTTCAAAGAGCTGACAGAAATCCCCGTCTAAATGAACTTCCACCCTTCAGATTCATGACATTTTGACGACTCGGCAGGGAAGGGACCGTTCCGATTATGCGCAAAATGTCTTCTATGGTCAGGTGTGATGACTGTAGAGATAATGGTGCGTATTGTACCTCTATTCATTGAACCCGGTTTAAATACGTCCTCTCAGCGCGCCTTTTCTCTGTTATGCTTCCATCCCAGCCTTTGCCCTGCTTCCCTATGCTCTTCTAGTTTCCACTCCTGCTGTACTATTACCTTTTGCTTTCGAACCACATATCAGTGGCTTTTGTGCTGAAGATGCAATTTCATACTCGTTTGTTCAACAATGACCCCCGTGGGAGAGAATGAGAGACTGTGTACCCGTTAAGGTATTGACGCGATCTTCGGTATGCCCCCAATCATGATCTACCTGGACCTTCTATTCAAACGAAGCTCAAAAAGTGCGTTTACCAGTCGATTGGGTGGACAGTTGCTTTCTAAAGCTCTTACACTTACAGGCTCTGTTAGCACAGAAAGCTTCTCCCTGTCACCCGACGATGAGCCCGATGCGGAGTGCTCCATAAGGGAACCAGTTCTCATTCCCGTCCCTGCCAGCGGACATAAAATGAGAACTAGCAAATTTATTGAATCACTTAATCCCCCAAGTTCGACTTATCATGTCTCCTAGTGCTCTTGCAGAAAACTCGGTCGATGTCCTCATCATTGGTGCAGGCCCGGCAGGCCTCATGTGCGCCAATAGCCTTGCTAAGGCTGGGGTCAACTGTCGAATTATCGATCAAAGGTTTCTCTCGAATTGTCGACACTGCAAACAGCGCTAAATTTCCTCGTAGACCTCACAAAGTTGCTGCAGGTCAGGCCGACGGTGTTCAGCCCAGGACAATCGAAGTCCTTCAGGTGCGCTGATATCAAAGATACTCTGTGTCCCTGTCGCTTATTACTGAATCACACAGAGTTATGGACTCGCCCAACGACTGCTCGACGAAGGGAACCAGATACACATGGCGGTCAGTGTCACATTATGTATTCCAGCACCCACACTGAGTGAACCTAGGCATTCTATAACCCCTCGGCGGATGGCGGCATCAAGGTCCTCTCGTCATCTTAGGATTCTAAATCGATCACTCATTGATCTTAGCTCACCGACCGGGTCCCTGGGATCAACGCGGAGAATGCGAGGTATCCCTTTGAAGTAAGTCCAAAGCTAGATTTCGATGCCCGTTGTACTTCTTATCTTGATGTAGGTGACCCTTCATCAAGGTGCTATCGAAGCTATATTTTTGGACTCCCTGCGGTCTATGGGAGTCCAAGTAGAGCGACCGGCCGTGCCGATAGCCATGGAAATCACAGAGGATGTCGCGGAACGGACCGACCCAAATGCCTACGCCGTTCAGGTAAGATGGGTGCTTCTGTTCCGTATAACCTGACTGATAACTATTTTTGCAGGTGACATTGAATCATCTAGACCCTGCCCCAGGTCAGGCTCCCATTGAGATAGTGAACGCGAAGTTTGTTGTTGGTGCTGATGGTGAGTCACTGGAGTCATCACAGCAATGACTTACTAACGTTCCCCAAGGTGCACACTCATGGGTCCGCAAGACTCTCAACATCTCCATGGACGGCGAACAAACGGAATATATCTGGGGTGTCGTTGACATGATGACCGAGACTGATTTGCCTGATTTTCGTAACAAAACAGCGATACATTCTATCAATGGCTCTTGTATGGTCATCCCTCGAGAAGGGGATAAGATCCGACTCTATATTCAGTTAGAAGGAAAAGACGCCATCAGCGCGGCGAGCGGCAGAGTGGACAAGTCGAAGATGGGGCCAGAAAGGCTGCTCGAGGTTGCCAGGCGATCGTTCTATCCATACACCATCAAAAATCCTAAAGCATTTGACTGGTGGACCATCTACATCAGTAATTCTTTCCTTTCAAATGTTCCTACGGATCTAACATCGTTTATTAGTCGGTCAGCGAGTCGCTTCCAGGTACTCTGCTAGCGAACGTGTCTTCATTGCCGGAGATGCATGCCATACTCACTCGCCTAAAGCTGGTAAAGTGGAACGGTCCGTATGCGTTTCACAACCTGGCTAACGGCCTATCAGGCCAAGGAATGAATGCGAGCATAAACGACACGCATAATTTAGGTGAATCATGCGCATTATAATGAAAGATTCTATTGTTGACGTTTCCATTCCAGCTTGGAAGCTTGCATATGTCCTGCGCGGTTGGGCGGACCTCTCCCTGCTCAAAACGGTTAGTGCATAATTTTTGCCAGTAGTACAATGACATAAACACAACCTTGGGAATGCAGTACGAATCCGAAAGGCGACGATACGCGCAGGATCTCATTAACTTTGACAAGAAGTTTGCCAAGCTATTTTCCGGTAAACCGATAACCAAGGAGTTCAAGAACGGCGTCTCTCACGAAGAGTTCCTCCGGTAGATCCTACTCAGTTTAACCTGCTTCATTATAATTGACTTCTTTCAAGGGCCTTCCAAACATTTGGAGCATTCTCATCGGGTATCGGAGTACATTACAACGAATCGACCATCGTCAACAGTACATACCAAGACATTGCCTCCAAGCTTGTCATCGGGATGCGCATACCCCCCGAGATGGTTGTTCGAGCAGCCGACTCGCGCTCATTCAATATCCAAGACCTCCTTCCTTCCGATGCACGATTCAAGCTAATCGTCTTCACGGGGGACACGTCGAATGCATCTACTCTTGCTGCGCTGCAGCAATCAGCTGACGAACTCCAGTCCATTCTGACCAAATACAGCGCTTCAGGACCGATTACGTCTGTGTTCGATATCATTTCAATAAGCTCTGAAAGCAAAGCTACGATTTTGTATAACGCACTACCTCCCCTTTTGAGGAGCCATTGGACGAAGTGAGTTTTTTATCCTTCCAAACTCGGAATTTGATACAAGCATCTATCAAGGGTTTATATAGCCGATGTTAATGGCCTCGAGGACAACAATGTCTACACCAGATACGGAGTTACTGCCGAGGGTGCTGTGGTGGTGGTTCGTCCCGATGGATATGTCGGGATGGTGACTCCACTACAAAAGATCGAAGACTTGAACCCGTATTTTGCGTCGTTCATGGAATGTTGAAACTCTGAAGTACTAGTAATCCATAACTGCAAAGTAACTGAGAAATGATATAGAATGTGATAGACGATAGATGCTATAGAATCCAAATGATGCCTGGAAATGCAAGAAACAGCAAAAAAAAAAAAGGCTTCTACACCCGTTTTTTGCTGATAGGCGGCGCTTCAGCACTATTGATAGGTACCCGCCTAGGACCACCGATGCTTTTACTAGCGAAAGGTATCTTGGGCATCACCTTTCCGCGCGACTGTGGCCGTACCGGTTGCGAAGCTTAACAGTTGGTTTCGTGCTAGGAGCCGGAGGCTTCAAAGTTGATGACGGAGGGCTCCTTCCTAGTCGGAGCCCTCTTGATCGCATTGTTTTCCTTCTCGCCCATCCCGAGTTTACCCTTACTCCCAACACCTGGCCCCACACCGTCAGCTTTACCTTTCCCCTTCTCCTGAGCTGTCAATCTCTTTGGCTCAGGCTGGATAATTCTACCCTTCTTGGTCATTGATACGTTGGCCTTCTGGTTTGTACGTCCTCTATCAATAGTGTTCGAGGGCACCTGCTTATGTCCTAGAGGACTTGGGGCCCTTTCAGGCTCGGGCGGGGAATCTGGCACTCCCAGTTCTTGGGCTAAGGTCATAACCGGTTCCTGGGGCGTTTGGACCGCTACCTCTTCATCTTCTTCTGGTAAAACCTCCAGTCCACTTGATGACGAAGAATCATCGAAGTTTAATCCATTGGGGCTCGTGGGCGAGTTACCCAGCTGCAGTATGCGACTCAATGGACTTGGTCGCACCGGCGAATATGCATGGATCATGCGTGGAGCGAAGGGCTTTGCCATTGGGAACTGGTCGACGAAAACCCGGTTGAGGTGTACAAGGCACTGATGCAAATAGGGGTTCAGTATTGGATGTAGGCGGCAAGATCTTCGATGGAGCAGGTAGCTCTTGTTATCAGGAAGGGCGGAAGAGGTCGGGACCGGAACCGGAGGTGCCGCAGCGAGTTGAGACAAAAACAGTGATGGCTGTGATGGGAGGACAGAATGGGGAGAAGGAGGAGGCAAAACAAAGGAGTTGGGCAGTAATGATGGGGATGACTCGAGGCCCTTCACATCTGAGATTATCCTTGACGTCGATGGGACTATCACTTCTGTTTCAAAGGCAGGTTCCACTTTCTTCTTTGTCGGCGACGCAGTTAGAGAGGAGCGGCGCCTGACACGCGTGGTCTTGCGCGCCGCTCCGCTGTTCCCTTTAGCAGGTGACTTGCGAGGAGATTTACGTGGCGAGGTTGCCTCGGATGGTTGCCCGCTAGGGATGGGGGTCGGGGGCAAGTCTGCAAGCATCATCTCAACTTGCCAGGAACGCTTCTCGTCGTTGAGTTTCTTCCTTTCCATCTAGGGAAGCACTTGTGAGAAATACGAAGACCTTGGTAGATTGATGGTTTTACCTCTAGAGACGCCCGTTCCTTGCCTAGGTTGATTGTAGCCTCAGTAAACTTCTTCCGCTCTTCTTCTAATTGTTTCTTGATGTCGTCCAAACGTTCTCTGTGTTTGTCTCGCTCAGGCACAGTCATGAAGTCGACACTGACGTCCGCAGGATCATGACCCGTTGCGAGACGCTCATCGGTGGCGAATCTATCAAACAATACCTGCGTCTCTGTTGTACGGCTCGAAGCATTTTGCTGTGCGAGTTCTACATTCTCTTCAGAATTGCAAACGAGTAGAAGCAAACGGCATACCAAGCTCAGTCTTTAACGAATCAATGACGGCTTGAAGTCGTTCTCGTTCTTCATCTGCTAGCGCAGAGTTATCAGTTGGTAGCGCCACTGGGGTGGTGGGAACTGCAAGGACCCGAAGAGATTCGTGGAAGGATAAAAGGACCGATGCCAGTTTGTCACCTGCAACTTCCGGCGCGGCGAATGGGAATAATGTCGCCATAGTAAAAGGAGTTGGCTAATGAGGATTTCTTCGTCAGTTCGATCAATATATAACCTTACAAACTTACATCGGGTTCAGAGTCGCTACCCTTCGTGTCGTATATGAGGCGCTGCAGTCCATTTACGGCATTCAAAATAACTGTCTTGAGCCCCGAGCACTCCGTCGCGAATTGCGAGCGAGCCTTCTCAGCCTCTTGAAGTGCAACCTCCAACACTCCGGGTCCTCTTCCAACGAGTTCATCGCTGCCTCCGTTCACAATACGCAAATTAGAACAAGCAAAGCCGCTTGAGGCCGCCATGACTTTAGCCTGCGCATCTGAAATCTTGTTCCACTTTTCTGCCATCTTCTCGAACTCTTTTTCTTTCTTCTTAAGTTCTGCTTGGTGAGTTGCTCGAACGGCCTGCAGAACAGTACGTGATCGCTGAAGCTCTGCCGTCGTCTGCCGATGTGATTGTTCCGTAGACTGGAGAGTTTTCGTGGTCGTGCTAATGGAGATGAATACATGGTAGATATGTCGTACGCAGCGAACTCACTTGAGCCTGGATTTGTGCACATTCATTTCACGTTCAAAATTTGCCGCCTTCTCCGCTGCGCTGCTATGCATAGACTTCATCCGCTCATGGTCATATCTGAGGGTACGTAGCTCCGTTGCCAACTCTTCCGCTCGAGACATATCTTTCTGTAGAACGGGTCATTAACTGATCCTCGCAGAAGACACTGCACTCACCACACGCTGTCCCAGCAGTTCCGTCAAGCATTTAACAGCACTATCCATGTTCGCGTTCGAGATACCTTCCAATGAGAGACCTTGTGGTGGCGCGAATCCGTGGGCCGCTAGCTGAGCATTGATGTACTGCAGACTTGACGTCGATACCAGCGACTCTGATGATGCATTAGACGCTGGGGATCCAAACTCTGAGAAATTTGGACTGGCGACATCCCAGTGTACGAGTTTCTTGGCCGGCGTGGTCATCGTGGTAGATGGGGGCAAAGCCAATTCAAATTCAAATCAACAACGCGTCGCATCACGTGTTCGTTTTTGGTCACAATCTTAGGCTTGATTTGGACGAAAGTAAGTACAAGAAAGAAGTCCCCTGTTCCGAAGGATATAATGCAAGTGTAGTATACAGATGATAGCATAGTTATAGCAAGGAAGTATAGATGGTAACAAACACAGACGATGAATGAGGTAAGAATAATGTTAATAACCAAGCGAGTAAATTATGCTTTCCTCTTGTAAAACAAAACGTAGGCTTTCTGGCTCTGAAACGGTTGTCAGGATATCTGTGAGTGGACCGACAGAAAAGACACATACCACTACTTCTCTGTCGTCGACAGTCTTGATGCTACTATCGTCGCAATAGTTCCACCGACCATTGGAACGAACCAGAGCGGTATCTAATGAACAATTGAGGAACGGAAATGGCTCATGGAAATGGAAAAGACTTACAGTGACCACTACTCAAATTGCCAGTATGGTTCGTGACACCGTATAAATCATACTTGTAAGGTGGCATCTGCCTCCGAGGATCATTAGGAGACATAACAATACCCCCATTAAGTAGAGATTCATTATTAGGCGGAATGGGCATCCGTGTCGTCAAATCAAGATCTTTCAGCGGAAACTCGACAAATGTATCGATCTTGTCCGAGAACCGACCATTGGCTTCGAAGCGCTTTAGATGTATGAGCAATATCGGCGGTGATCGTGCTAATGATAGTCTTTTGGACGCCTTTCGTTTAGTTTTACATTTAGGGACAATCCCTATCACTCCATGAAAAAATGCACCACGAACCAAGAAGATAAGGCTTACCATGCATCATCTTTGTCCAAGATCTCATCGTTGAAAAGAGCGTTGAGGCATTGTTGTAGTGTTACTCGCTTGCCGGAAGGAATGGGAAGTTGAAGGATAGAGAAAACATTATACGTTGTTGAAGTCTGAAAGGTATTTGTTAACACCCAAGAGAACACGCAAATAGCTAGGACCTACTGTGTTACAGGTCATGCACTGCAATTGATTCCGGAACTGGCCCTGGAAATAATCAGCGATGACGCTATTATTCCGGGACATCCATCGTGACCATTCTCTGTCGCTGGCAATGCACGCAGGAAGCTTCTCCATTTCAGCCTCCTCCTGGGGTGTCAGGGCAACTGCAGGCGGCTTCAAAGTAACGCGATTGAGGTCTTCGTGTATACCATCTAGCAAGAAGCTGAGGAACTCCTGCGAGTCGTGTTGCTCGGTGCCAGCATATTGCGACTGTAGTTGTGCTATTGTTCTCTGTAGACTGTCAGGCGATCAATACATGGGAACACAATCTTGCAACACTCACTCGGAAGTCCAGCGGCGTCAAGTAGGGCAAATCCTGACTCCAAAGGTCGTGCAATACCTTGGCAAATGCTCCGCTAAGTTTGCCCTTCGTGCCTAATCCGTTGTATTTATTTATATCTTGTTTCCATCTACCGTCTACCCTCAAATCAGTATACTTGCGACAAATGCAAGACGAATAAATTTACCAGTAAAGAATCTAGCAAACGGCACGGTCGCACTCAGACACTGTATAGGAGCATTCATGTAACACGTATTTCCGAGGTTCTTCAAACCAGACATGCCAATCTGGACGTCGGACCAGTAAGCCAAGGAATTAGTGTGGGCGGGTAGAGAAGGCGACTGCACGATAGCTCCGGTCTGAGGCGTCAAGGAAGCAACAGGCGAAGAGAATGACTGCTGACGACTCATACGAGGTCGGTTGTCTTGCCTCTCGAGAGCACTCGGGGCGGCGGCCGGGGGAGGCCGGATTAGCGGTCGTGTGGTCGCAAGGTCAGGATAGTCTATTGGTCCACGTTGAGAACCATGCAGTCCTGCGAGTGCTTCTTGTGTTTGATCAATATAATCACTTCTCCTTCTGGAAAGAGATGAGTTGATAGAAGCCTGGGGTGGAGAAGCTATATCTGGCACGAAGGGCTGCGAAGGTGCAGGGGATATATGGCGAGGGAAATTAGGGTATGATATTGGTGGCATTCCGTTAGTGATAGGTATTCCATTGAACCCCGAAATTGATGGAGACATCGGGGGAGATGCAAACTACAGAAATGATAGAACTATTAGCACTTCTCTATTGTAAACATGACACCACGTACAGAGTCTGGTATCCGAGTAGAGGAAGGAGAGGAAGAAAGTGCCGGTCGGGATAGCGCCGGTCTTCTGACCAATTGTCCATCTGAAGGTTGAGGACGACTAGGATAATTAACCTCAGCAGGCGACCTAGATATTCTGATGTCATGGTCTAGGTTCGGACCTAGGAAACAGGATACTTACCGAACATGATTATATGTTTGATCTAGAGAATACGATGGTCTGTGTTCACGTACAGAATTGTTGCCTGGGTTAGTGTCGGCACGTGATCGCGCTGGAGTCCACACTTGATGCTGCTCAGTGGAATTTTGCCCTACGGATGATGAAGACAGAGCAGAAGGGATAGTCCCATTCGCAAAAGGATTCCTTGCCGATGATTGAGCCGTCGGTGGATTTACAGGCGTGAACGTCTCAGCTGAAGGAAGCGGCGGCTTCACAACTTCACCGTCCCCTTTAGTGACCTCTGCGTCACCAAATTCCTTCTTCCACGCCTCCAGTCCACCCACAAGAATGATTGGCGCATGTTTCAACATCCGGGTGAATTCCCGTTCATAGATTGTCTGCACCAAGACGGAAAGCGGCGAGTCTAGAGGGCCGAAGCTTGTCGAATTCCAGTCATATAACACAACGTAATCGAATTTTTCACGATTGGCGAACAAACTAACTTCGGAGGCAGGACTGATGATCAATGCTTCCATCAATGACGTCGCATTTATACTAAGGACTCTGGTTAAATAACTGAACAGCGGATTGCAGGTGAGCGTACCTTTTCCGGCGTAGTATTGTTGGTTCTATGCAAATGACGGCATCACGCTTAATGTGTTCTCTTTGGAAATCGGCCCTGTCTCGTACGTCGATAAGAAGCAGCTTGGCGCCCGTCGGCAACCCCATTAGATCTTTGGGGAAAAGAGAATTGCTGACTGATTTGCCATTGATGAGTGGAGCAGGAGACGAGCTACCGTTCAAGGTGGGAGAAGCGTAGGACGAATAGTCATTTGGGAGCGGAGAAGTGGATGATGAGGAGAGGTTGGAAGGTTTTAGAGTAGCTGTAGCCCTCGATGGTGATCCCGGACGACTAGTGAACGAATTCGTTATAGGTGTAATTGGTGTGCTTGACGGCCTCTCGATGGGATTCGTAAAGTTACGCAAAACATGCGGCAAAGGCGTTGGGGACTTGAGTGGAGACGGCGATTTGTGTGGAGAGCCGACGCTGAAGCCAGTAGAGACCGGTGATAGGCCGTTACGGCCATCTTTCGACGACTTGCTCGAGCTGTTGCTGATCCCGGTAGGAACCGAAGGTAGTTGGAACGCAGGGGTTTCATCCAATTCATCAATAGGTGGAAAAGTTTGGGTGAATTCGGAAAGGTTATACTGAGACGACAGCGGAGAAGACGACGGTGTCGAAGAGGGCGATGGAGGGCCGAACGATGAGGGAGACACCAAAGAGTGAGGTGAAGGGGGAGATGGCGATGGCGCAGCGACCGACAGCGATGTTGATGATGCCGGCGGTGGTGGCGGTTGGGAATGACGCACAACGCGACTAGGAGACGGCGGCGACTGTACTGGAGACGAGTTCTGCACCGACAGCCGCTTAGACGTCGTGTTAACAGCCAAACCATTGTCTCGTAGTGCCTGCAATCGGTCTGCAAGAGTCCCTCCGTATTTGTGTATCGGACCATCACCTGGGCTAGAGGACCATCAACGAAAAGGGCCACCACAGCAGTGGCTGAGCACGTACCTCGAAGTCTGAACCTCTGTCGCCTTCAGTTTCTCTTCTACTGTCTTTGTTCGTGGTATGAGATCATTGAGTATCTGGCAATCCCGGTCAACGGAAGCTGTGTGTAATAATTGAGCACGTACAGGTTTAAAGTCATTGAATTCCTTGTGAACCAGACCGCTACTTTTCTCCGCCTGCATTTCAGCCGACTCGGTTGCACCTTTGATAAGGCAAGCCGCTTTCACGTACGCACTCAACGCAGACTTGAGGTCGTTGCGAGCGTCGTACTCCTTCCCTTGGTCATACAGCCTACGAGCCGTTTTAATAAGATTAATGGGGGTCGCTCCTCTCGTCTCCCTCTGAACGGACTCCAATGCTTGGCTTTTAATTTCTGCAGTCGTCATATTCGCCATTGTCTTTACGAAGCCGTTCGTGCTGGCTGCTGCGACGAGTGCTACCGGCGAAAGCTTACTCCCAAAGGGTGGTCCTCCGAGACCAGGTGCACTTGGCGGTGAGACGCTGAGCATTAGCTCAATGTGCTATCCACAAACCAGCGCCGCAAGCGCAATAAGGAAGGGTGGGTGAAGGTAGGATTAGAGTGAATATTGTTACATAACCATTTTCCAGCTATTACCAGCTGAAATAAATAAGTAAATAATCACATTCCGAAAATGGGCATAGATCCTTGGCTCTCACCCTAACTTCGAGCACTTTCACAGAGAAACCTCGTCCTTGGTATGTAGTCACATTACCAGTCATAATTCTTGATTGCGGCAGCGCATGGTGACCCTTGAGCTACTTATCATCAAAATGAGAATCACGAAAAAATAGGATGCTGCAATATCTTGTAAGAACTAAATTGTACGGCAGGAGCCGCCGACCCTCACGGAAGGTAGAGTAAACTGCTTCAATAAAATACAACCTTCACTATCCTGAGTCAGTTTTATCAGCCTCATAGGCTTAGAGTGCTGCGCAAGTCTTGGCTGCGAACCCATGAAACAGTGACTACTGCGACGATCAAGATCCTTATACTGTACTTTAAAATTCTGTGCACTGGATTAGTGGCAGATCGAGACTGCGGTTTTGCAGATAGGCATTTTGACAGTCGACTGAAGTCAAGCTGTATAGGGCCTGCGCATAGCCTGAACCGCAAAAGGACATTTTATACGGTATACAGCACCGTGCAACTCAATGATGTATCCTGCACCGCACGATTGACACGAGGGAGTGAGCGAGCCTCAGCGAGGTTTGGTCTCGATGCTCCATCGAGACCAATACTGGGTGTTGAAGCGGTCCAAACGGCGTTCAGAGACCACGTCGCACACAAAAGTATATTATCATCCATCCTTCACATTCAAAGCGTTGTTTACCGACTACATGAGATACCAGATCAATTAACTAAAAGCTCGGGAGGAGCATCGTGAACTACAGAATTGACCACGGGTTTGACTTGACTAAAGTAGCAACGATGACATCTGTACGTCTGGGCTGCTTCATCAATGAGATGGAAGGCGGGGCTGAACTCTGTATGGCAAGTATCGCATGAGGGGTCGGGATTGAAGACTGGCGCTTCGCGGTCGCGGGGAGGAGATACAGAAACGTCGCTCCGGACATTGAGAAGTTGATCAAGACGCCGGGCCTTGCGGAGGAGAGCGTGGGATTGACCCGTCGCCTGTTTGTAATTACGGCAGTAAACTTGCAGTGCAGTCTGATGGGCGGCCGGTTGAGTTTTGCGGTCAGATCATGCTGTAAAACCAGGTACTTACCTCTCCGCCGTCGGTTGTGTCGCACAAACCATAAATCATTCGTCGACTATGATCGTGATCTTTGCATGATATGATAGCGTTCATACATCCTGTCTCGTCGCGGAAGGTCGTGGTGATGGTGGTATCTCGTCGACTGCTCTTCACCTAGGAGAAATATTAGTAAGTCTTGTCAATTACGGTTCTGTTCGTAAACTTCTTACTGGCTGTATCTCAAACCCAAACTTGTGCCCAAAGTCCCAGGCGCATGATACGTGGTATTCCCTACTACAGTCAGAGCATCGAATAACAGCGCCTCCTTTCTCATGGCATATACAGCATCTCTGTAGAAGAAGTATATCAGTAAGTGGATGGCACAGAAGCGCGAAGATGACTTGCCGAAGCCCATCGGTGAGGAACGATTGTACTTGCTCCTTCGACCAGTCGAAGCCGGGATGCGTCGGAAAAGGTGAGTTCAGGAATAAAGACAGAACAAAGGACATGAGCCCATTGTTGACCCTCCGTTGGCTTGCAAGCACGAAGGACAGAGTTGGTCGACGGACCAAATTTCTTGTCGTACAGTTGATTTCGAGGGCACAGCATGCATTCCATAATCTGCGGAAAAACTATCGATGAAATGAGAAGAAGATTAGATGTCTGAGGCTGACCAGGGACGCTTCCAGAGTCTCATCATTAGAACACAGATCACAGCGCCACTTCTCGACATCTTCGGGGTTGACAACGGCACCGCAGACACCTGGCAGGGGAGAATTAGAAGCGAAGTGAACCGGAAGGAGATTCTCATACCAGCATGGACACGGAACCCACACTTCGTACACTTCAACACCTTGCCGATAGGTCCAGTCTTTCGACAACAGACGCATTGAATTTGGACCGCTGACTGAGGAGGAGGGGGTGGTGTAGACACAACACTAGCAGATGAGGTGGATAGCTGCATAAAAGCAAGTTGGAAATGAGCCACTCATCATGTACTGAGAACAATGGACTCACCCTAGTACGCTTAGTAACAGGTCCCGTTAAAGGAGTCCCTTCCCGTTTCTCTGCTGATCGGGACTTCATTGAAGGTACGGACTCTTCACGCACACTCCGCACGTTCAGGTCAGCATACTTCCTCCAGTTCTGACCACAATTATCACAAAGGAAATTGGTGGCGAGGCCCTTCGGCGCTTTCCACCACACCTTGGAATCTCGAGTCCGACAGGCACCACAACTGGGAGCCTTGGAAGGTTGAGTGACTATCGATGATTCATCGTCAGCCGGTCCTACGGTCTGGCCTTGATAAGCCTCTTCCGGACTTCCCCATTGCTCATATTGAGGCTCTGGGAGTGCGCCATGTGTCCTAAGGCGTTCGTTCTCTTCCCCAAGTTTACCACTGAAGCTGTAATGAGCAGGATATCCGAAGTAACATCGGTAGAATAATTACGCTTTCCAATGTCCATAGAATCGGACAACTTCCGGCATCGACCGGGTACCAATTTCCTCCCTGACAGCTCGGAGTTGTGCACCATGTGTAAAGATGGCGTCTTCAAAGGCGCCTATTTCTTCTCGGGACCATTCTCTATCGGTATATCTGGTCGGCTGGGTTTTCCACTGTCAGAATGCAGAAGTTAGCAAATAACGAAAATCTCGGGCGAAGAAATTGAAATTGCTCGCCTGCTCCTGCCGAGTGATTGTCTTCATATTGACTGAATACATCGACTTTGCCGCTAGAGCGGCCTCCGAGTACCGACGGATAACTTCGGTCAACCAATCGATAGAAGACGAGACCTTGGGATCATTGGTGAGACTGCGTTTACATGATTCCACTACACAAATAATGTTAGTACGCCGCAACCAAAACTCCGGAAAAACAATTTTACTTTCGTCCACTGTGGGGAAAATGGGGTCAGGAACTTGACGTCATGATACCGATATAGAAGCCCACCTTCCGCTCCTGTCAAGATGTTGATTGCACTCAACACTTCCACGGTGCTATCACCACCTCGTTCCTCATCTGTTACCATGACCGTTTTTAGTGCACGTCGATCACTCCGCAAAACAGGCTCACCCGGATATGGGGCATTCTTCTCGATCAAGGTTGCCTGGAACTTGGGGCCCACACGCGTTGGTGCTCGAGGTGATATAAGGTCGTCCGGATCTATAACATTACATTGGCTTGTAGTTGAAAGGTTCACCCTCTGAATGCTCACCTAGGGTATCCTCTGCTACGGTATATTGTCTATGGCAAGCTGTCAGTAGATACCCAGATTCACATTCTAGCTTCTCACCCAAAGTAGCGAAAGGGCCACATCTTAAAGTACTTGATAGGAAGATTCTCCTCTCTGTCTTGCTGCGACTTGTCTTTCCGTGGTCGTCCCCGTCCTCGTGCAGCAGGTGCATTGGATTTCAACGGCCTATTGGTGGCTGGAGTGTGCTGACGAGTATGATGACTATCGACTTCCTCCTCGTGTTTTCGTGAACAAGGCGCGCATGTCCAGCCATATCCTCGTGATGGCTTGGCCATCAGCGGAGGATTGACACATTGCATATGGAAAAAACGCTTGCATCTGTCACATTGAACGGACTCCAGACTGATGATAATCACATATTAATGATGTAACCCCAAAAAGCATAAACTATACTCGCCTTGGACACCATTCCGAGCAAGTATCGCACGTACGAAGACGATCAGTGAGGTCAGGAATAACTTCCTTTTCCGCCACAACATATTCGTAGCGTGAGATCAAAGTCTCTCTAATATTATCCGGAACTGAAACGTAGATTAGTCATGTTGGAGGAAATGAATGGAAAATGCACTTACGATTTCGGACGTCGGTGGCCTGGATGATTTCCAGCTCTTTCCTCATGTACGGATCAAAGAGCCGATTATAGTAAAAGCGGTCAGGCCGCTTCTTCCAGCCCGCTAGGTCGGATATTTTGTCTCTGTGTACAACGTGGCAACGGGCGCGTATCTGATTGATATCGCACACTTCAGTGTACATGCCAGCCAATAAGAGACGTGAATCTGCGACGGTTCGCTCTGTAACGTCCGAAGGCCTGTAATACCAAGCAAGGCGAACACGAGTATAATGAAATATCTCCTGTGTTTTACCGAGCGGTCTCAGAAATTCCATAATACGTGCAATGGAATAAGGGGTGCCATCGCGGGCCTCTGCACTGGGAGAACAATAAACGTGATCTGAAATATAGATATCAGAAGAGGGAAAAGGGTAAAAAGGAGAGGATGTCAAGAAATGTTACCATTTATACGGACACGTTCACCGTTTTTCAGGAAAACGGGAGGTCCAGAGGAATTCTGTGTCTCGTTACCATTTTGATGTGAAGGAGACATTGGGTTGCGGGTTCAGGTACAGGAATAGCCTGAGAAAGGGAGAGAAAAGCTGTAAAGGAAGAGAAAATACAAAGGGTTCCAGCTTATCGAGAAAGAAAAGGCTGGAAGAGGTGCTTCAATAATTTTGAAGCCCTTGGAAGATATAAAGTGCGGAAAGGTGAGGGGAGACGAAAGCACGGAAATTCAAACTCAGACAGTGCCACCGATCCATCGTCGATGCCTTGTTTTGGACGTCTTCTTCTGAAAGACGCCAAACGGACTCAGTCTCGGTCCACACACAAAAACTTGGGCTGATACCGACTGAGATTTTATATCTTGTTCATGTTTGCTAGTTTTTGTATAGTTGTGCTCCATCGCCATGGCTTCAATCGCATTATTCCTGTGCGAATCGTTGATGGCGGCGGCCAACTCGAAGGCGGGCCAAATAAACTCCACAAATAAAAAATTCACTTTTACAGACCAAAAGTACTAGTAATGAAACACTGTTTCCGGGAGGAATTGTATTCTCCGCTGTCCTACAGCCCTCGTTTTTCGTCGTCTCCGGGTTTTAGCTGTGCCTGATGAATTGCCTCCGCGCCGATGGTTTGTTGGGCATGTGCCAAAAAAGGTAATATCCCCTTTGAGCTTCTCCTTCGTTGTCACTTCGAATCACGACAGGGCCGAATTCGAGGGAGACAATTGAAGACGATGCCGGGATTCTTGGCGGGGAGTAACGCCTTGTCTTGAGACAACGAAGATAAAGTTTCTACACTGTGTCCGATCAATCCGATTGGGAGACTTCCGCCTCGCAGCCTCGGAAAACGATAAATCACTTAAATGCAGGCCCTCGAAAGATCACCGCTATTCGGATACCTTTCAAGGGTGCTGGTCGCGGTGGGCCTTTTCTATTGTCGCTAGTGTCAGCATCTCTTCTCACCCTGGACCGAAGTGCAGTGCTATAGTTGTCGCAGTCAGCCACAATCCATTCGGCAAATCCAAGTCAATTGCCGGAATACATGCTTATTTAAGGACTGACTCTCTTCCTACTATCCTTCTTGTTGGCCTTTTTCACTTAGCCATCGCATCGTTGCGTCTCGACGATCCTGCGATCCTGATTGTAAGCCGGTTAGCTAAGTATCGTCTCCATGATCGTGCTCGTTCACACATCAATTAACATTAACGGACTAGTTGCCATAACCATGGGAATATATCTTCAGACAGGTCGCAACATCTTTCCCATGGAAGGTGCCCAAAATACGAAGTCATGATGTCTCTTCCATCTTTCGCCCGCACATAATACCACCTGACTGGTGGTGAAATCTTATTCCCTGGCTCGTTGTCTTCTGCCTTTTCATACTGCGGAATGGACCTAGTCTTGGCGCTGGATTTGTTAAACTGAGTCTATTCCCTACTCATCTTCCTCGCAACCACTGCTAGCGGCTCCACTTTAGTTTTGCCAAGTAACTATGTGAAAGTTGGCGTAGACGCGCAATCATGACGAGTCCGCCCCTTCACCAGATCTCAGGCCTGGAGACTTTGCATGCTAGTCCCAGTTTACGCTGACATCTTCAACAGACATTCAAATTTTGGGCTGGCTTGGCGCACCAAAATTCAATTCGGTCGATTCTGATTGTAACATGGTGCATCATGAACTTCTACTGCCAGGTCGACGACTGCTTCCACTCAAGATGGGAGCCATGCTGAAGCTCGGGGTGGTAGATGCGTTTGCTAATTATCAGGGGTAGGAAATCTGGCTTGATGGATACACATCTATGGACTAGATCTAGATCAAGGGCTGCCAGCTTTATAGCCTCCCTACCTATAACAGGGAGCGTCGTACTAGGGTCTTATTCTACGGTTAATCCGGTATTCTGCATGTGGGCAGCGGTACTGCATGTGGCGGAGGTTCGTCACGGTGTTACGTTGTCGGTCAACATCGAGGTCAGCAATTGCTTCCGGGATTCATTAAATCAATAGCGGCGATGCAATTCAGCCGCGGCTTTCGAAGCGTCTGGCAGTACAATGCTGTTCACCTCCTTTCGGCGGCCTCAAAGGTGCGATGTTTGTTCACCGTGTTTCACTAGAGATGCCAAGGAAAGTGTATTTCTCAAAGCATAGTGCTCGTCTTTCATATAACTTGCACAGAGCGATGAGAAGTCGTGCTAACTTCTCTGTCAAGCCTGACGAGACAATGTCGAACACCGTGTTTCTGACCGAAAAAGACTTACGGCGCTTTCTATCACTTAAATGGTGATTCTCTCGCAGCGCAATGGGTAGGACCGAACACACTTCTGACTTGGATAGGTTGATCGCCACAGTATCCAATGAATAGTGCCACTTCGAATGGGGTCTAAACACGCTTAATGTCTGGTGCGTTTAGATTTCTTCCTATCCTAGTCGTCTAAATTTCATTCATAGCTTCAAGGCCACCGATCGCAACGCTGAACCTTCGGTTCCGGAGTCCTTATGTATTTTCAGGTGTTCTCGTACTGGGACGTCGATCTAAGAGTCCATACCCCAGCGGTGGTTGGAATTTAGCTTTGAGGATTAAGCCTTGCTAGGGAAAAGTTAGGACTCATTTGCTTAAACTTATAATTAGTAGTTACTGTATCCTGTACTTCTGCGTTATCGTAGGGCGCATTGAATGAACGAGCGAATGCTGTCCGCACGGCGCTTGCATGTGCATAACCCAATGGCGCACAATAGGGTTTCGAAATAGAATACAACGTTGCCGGACTGGTGACCGGTAGTGGCTAAAAAAGGCAAATTTCGGGAGAACCCGAAGGGGGTACCCTGATCGCAAGTCCAGTCCTGTTCAATGTTGAGCAGCACCACCACCGCCCTAGTCATGTCTGACATTCCCCCAACCGAGGCGTCGAGCTCAAAGAGCAGTATCAGGCAAGCAAACTCGCCTCCACCGACGCCGCCATCACCAGTCGGCTCAGAAACAGGTCGGATTCACTTATCATGCTCCGCTGAGGCATGGCTCATTGTTGGGCGACCTTCACAGAAGTCAAGCTATCCCGGAAACGAGAGCGTGAGGTCTCTCAGGAGCCAGTTACAACAACGAAGGCCGTCGCTGTCAGTCATCGCGACCATTCCTGAAATGTCGTCACTAACCGATACGCTGTGCTTTTCCCAGGATACCGACACCTCTACCCGCGACAATCGAGAAATTCGCACCCCGGCAAAGAAGAACAGAGTCGCCTTAAGTTCTACAGCTGAAGAAGATGATGGCATAACAGGCTCTCGGTCGAATTCGCCTTCACCAACCTTTGGCTCGCCACCCCAAGAGATGAAAATCAAGGTTCGGCAAATCAGCCAGGGCGTCGAGGACCTTAGCTGGCGGAGGAAGCCTAACTTTGTGATGGGTCCCAACGATGAACAAGATTCCGCTCTGGAGATGCCTGTTGATAGCGACAAGCTGGACACGCACGAAGAAAGCACCATTTCCAATGGGTCGGCCGACATAAAGGACCAACAAGAAGAACATGATGTCTCGCACGTTGATGAGGCGCCTACTATTCTCCCGCCCACACCACCCTCTGCGACGGATGAAGCTCCGAAGAGCTCGCGACGAGACTCCGATTCCGATTCTGGCGAGAGAGACAAAGGGTTGAAGAGAAAGTTCCTGGAACGTGGGACCAGCCAGGGTCCGCAGGAGACGGGACCATCTGATAAGGCAGCCTCAGAACCCGTGAAACGGCCTAGAGATGACGCTGGCAAGGACGATAATCCTCGTGAGACTAAGCGACCTTCACCGCCTCCGGAGCAGAGTGCAAGTCTACCTCCCAATTCTCCTGCACCGAAATTCGTGCGCTTTTATCTTTCAGTAGTACACCATCTTATAACTAACACTTTACGTAGGGCGGGTTTGGAGCTTACGCTGCTACCAAGTCTCCTTTTGCTTCAGTAAAAGGGCCTAACGTGTTTGGATCCAAAAAATCGTCAGGCTCGTCGACCCCGTCAATTACGCCCTCGGTATCCTCTTCTTCCTTTGGGACACCCGTTCTAGGAGAATCGTCTACGGCCTCTACTTCGGCCGCGACGCCCGCAAAGCGTTCTGGTTTTGAGGCCTTCGCTTCACCAGCATCTCCCTTTGCTTCCATCGCCCAGAATAAATCATCTGTGTTAGGAGGTGGAGCATCCAAGCTCGGACGGAGCAAATCCCCCACGCGCCGAGCGAACTCCGCTAATTCGAGTGCCTTTTCGGCATATAGTGGCGCTAGCCAAGGGTTTGCATTGCCTGCATCCAAGCGTGCTCGAGCGGGATCCCCGGCAACGTCAAATTTGGAGAAGAAATCGAGCGAGTCTGTTCTCAATGGTTCAGACAGCTGTGCAGAAGAGGACAGTAGCGACGGAAAAGGTGCTAGCTTTGGCGAAAAATTACGGGCAGGAAAGGACCAGTCCGATGAGGAGCTCGAGGTTCCTAAGATTGCTTTGACTGAGCAAGAAGGTAAGTATTCTGGACATAACTCGTACCTTTCAGTTCTAACGTCTTGTGTAGTAATGACCGGCGAAGAAGAAGAGGAGACAATTCATCAAGTTCGAGGAAAGCTGTTTGCACTATCTGACGGCACTGCCTGGAAGGAGCGCGGTACCGGTGTATTGAAGCTGAATGTGCGAGCTTCAGATGGAGGAGGTGCAAGGTTATGTGGGTCGTCTCCTGTTCGTAATTTCATTCTACTGATACTAATGGTGATGCATACACAGTGATGCGAAAAGAGGCGGTATACACCGTACTGCTCAACGTTACTTTGTTCCATGGAATGCGTTGCGTGCTCGCGCAGGACCCGCGATACGTACGCTTCAGTGTCATCCAAGATGGAGTGACAACACACTATAACCTCAGGGTGAGCTCGTCCACTATTCGGAGAATCATGCTAATTTTGACCTTTGTAGCTGGCGAATCCCAAAATTGCGGAAGAGTTGATGGAGGAGATCCATGCAAATCTTCCGTCAGCATAAAGGCTGCAGGAATGGCGAATGAAGATGTTCTATGACTGTTGATGTAAAATTTACCCATTGACGTTTTTACCAGTCTTATGTATTGTTGCTTTCTGTGCGCTGATCACAATTTATTATACATGCTTTCTATTTGACATGGCGATATCGATATTTCTGTCAAGATGCCGAGTTGAAGGGTACGTACCTGCATTTGGTCTTGTATTCCATAAGTCTCACGTTTGGGCAGCTCCTTGTAATTTGTTTCACACGAAATCCTGGACTGTTCCTTGCGTGGATCATCATTTGCAAGGCCTAGGGCACCCCGTTGATACTCGTAATCTGATCAGTGGTTCTTTATCTGATAAGATGAAACGCGAAATGATCGCGGACCGGGATGCCATATGCTGATCAGCAACCACTATGAGATATCATATAAATGACGGTAATTATGCTCTTGGACTCATATACTTCTCTCCACAGCAATCACTTCAATGACTGCGGCAGTTCTCATTAAGCCACCATCCCCTACCACTCACTTAATCCTTTCAAAGGTTGGCGCTGGACCTTCAGGCCTTTCCCTGGCTCTCGCTTTGCTGCAAAACGGCGTCTCTGTTCAGATCATTGACAAACTTCTACTTACCGAGTTGGCCAGAAGGGCTCTGGTATCCAAGTACTTGCGTCCGCCATTTTCTCAAGACATCTTGCTTGACTCCTTCTTTAGTCCAGAATCCTGGAGCTCTACAAGCTCCTCGGTGTCCTCCCTGATATACAAAAGAAAGGCGGCGTAGTCCAGCCTTTGTTGATGTATCTTCCTGGGGACGCGACCAAAACCGTCGAGATAGTATCTTACATGGAAAATACCCCCGATCGACCATATGCACGTATCCGTATACGCGGTCAATTCTGGTATTAACTCCCTTGGAATATAGATCAACCCCATTATGCTCGGGCAGGACCGGCACGAAGAGATCCTGTGCGAACACCTGGCCAGGTATGGCGTCACAGTCGAGTTGGAGACAGAGTTGGTGTCCGTCGAGCAATTCTCTGACAGAGTGGTCTCTCGTATCATCAAGACTCACAATGGTCAACAGTCTGAGGAGCCTGTAGAGAGCTGATGGCTTGTCGGTGCAGAAGGCGCTCATAGCGTTGTGCGCAAGACCCTTGGGTTGACGTTCCTTGGAGAGACACGGAAGGGAGATAATCTAGTCGTGGGAGATATCCATATCAAGAAGCCATTGCTGGACAGAGACGTGTGTTGCCCATTTAATTTCTTGCGCCCAGCAATTGACTGTTTTATTGTTCAAAAATTTCAAGGTATGGCATGTATGGGGCGAGCCTGCTATCAAATCGTACGCATTTTCACGTTGATTGTCAAGCAGTAGGGTTCTGAACCATTTATCAGTGTGTCCCTCCGACCTTTCGAGATCAAAGACGACGACAGATACAATTTCATTTGTATGGGTCGCAATGTCGATGCCGACAAGATGGCGTCTAGTCGAGAGGAATTCATCAAGAGGTTTTATGAAATAAGTGGACGCACTGATGTTGAATTCGGTGATCTTATTTGGATCTCCAATTTCCAGTGAGCATGATTTTCTTTGGATCGTGATTGCTAATAACACAGTATCCCTAGGCCTAATGTTCGAATTGTCAATAGTTACGGCTCTGGCCGAGCTTTTGTTACTGGTGGTAAGTTTGCCCTCTAATAAGATGAGCGTGTGCTAATGGATGGCAAGATTCCGCTCACGTTCACAGCCCTACTGGTGGCCAGGTATATTTAATGTGTTATTTCTGTCATCGTGTCTGACCTGTGCCATCTTGCAGGGGCTCAATTCAGGCATCCAAGACTCCGTGAGTACGGCAAGTAGGACCTGGACATTGAAGCTTAACGCGTCTATAGGTCAACTTGGCATGGAAACTCGCCCTCGTCGAGAAAGGCTCGGCTCCCCAAAGTCTCCTTGATAGTTATTCCCAAGAACGCATTCCCGTCATCGCAGCAATGCTCGACAAGACCTCTGAACTCCTGACAAAAATCTTCAAGCCCGGAGGAGATGGCCAGACAGGTTGGGTCAGAGGCTATGAGCTTCGTCAACTATCGCGCCAGTCCCGTAACCGTTGATGAAACTCCGGTTGCGGGTGCAGAGACGGTTGACCCGTATCGATCAGGTAGCGACGGTACCATCCGGGGTGGTGACAGGGCTCCCGACGCCCCTGACCTCGTATTCGTTAATGATTTTTCGCGAAAGACCAGTCTCTTTGACGTCTTTGGTTCGTCCTATCATACAGTTCTCATCTTTTCCGGCGGGAACACCGCTGTTCTGGACGCCCTGAAGAGCTATCCTACCGGTGCTGTCAAGTCCGTGGTCATTGTTCCGCAGCAACCGACAGGGCCGATTTTGGCTGACTACGTACTGGTGGATGGCGATGGTTATGCGTACAAGCACTACAATATCGCAGAGAAGGTTACCAAGGTCGTTGTGGTCCGACCTGATGGAATCATTGGTGCGCTCGTGATTGGTGTAGATGGAATGAAGCAGTACTTCAAGGGAATCTTCATCTGATTCGTATACCAAGAGGCATCGAGTACTACTTATTTATGCATATGAGTCCATATTTTCGACCTCACGATATCAACTCTTCCTGATCGCCGTGTGGCCAGCTGCGGGCCATCTCGGCAGAAGAATCCCCCTGCTAATATCAAGCTGCAACGATCTTTTCATTTTTCGTATTGTCATGAGTGGGTTTAGGGTACCCCTGCTGCGTTCCTGGTGTACTGTTGGTGGTTGTAACTGATAGCAATCTCTATACATTATATAAATAAATCGTGGGGAGAGGTGACATAATGATGCTTACCATGCAGAATCTTCCTTCCTGCCTAAGTTCCTTCCTTCCTTCCTTCCGACATCGATATCGATCTACTCTGTTAATCAGCAAAAAACATGAAATGCTATAAGATTGACGATATTTGTGCTCTTGGACACATACATCTTTTCCCGCAACAATCACTACAATGACTGCAGCTGTTCTCATCGTAAGCGACCATCGCTTTTGTTCGCTATCCTTTACTTAATCGTTCCAAAGGTTGGCGCTGGACCTTCAGGCCTGTCCCTAGCTCTTGCTTTGCAACAGAATGGCGTCTCTGTTCGAATCATTGACAAGCTTGCTACTTACCGGGTCGGCCAGAAAGGCTCTGGTATCCAGGTACTCGCCTTCGCCGCCTTTTCAAGATCTTTCGTCTGACTCCTATCCTAGCCCAGGATCCTTGAGCTCTACAAGCTCCTCGGTGTCCTCCCTGATATACAGAAGAAAGCCGGAGTGCCTCAGCCCAAGTTGCAATACCTTCCTGGGGGTGCGACTAAGGTCGAGACATTAGCCTTCATGGAAAATACCCCCGATAGACCCTATGTACGTGCCCTTGCTGGCCGTCGATTCTAGTATTAACTCACTCTGACTTTTTAGATCAATCCCATCATGCTGGGACAAGACCGACACGAAGAAATACTGCGCGAACACTTGGCCAGATATGGCGTCACGGTCGAACTGGGGACCGAGTTGGTGTCCTTTGAACAGTTCCCGGACCAAGTGGTCTCGCGTATCGTCAAGACTCGCAATGGCCAACAATATGAAGAGTCTGTAGAGAGCCGATGGCTTGTAGGTGCAGAAGGCGCTCACAGTGTTGTGCGCAAAACGCTTGGTTTGACGTTCCTTGGAGAGACACGGAAAGGAGATAATCTAGTCGTGGGTGATATCCATGTCAAGAAGCCACTCTTAGACAGAGATGTGTGTTGCGCATTTGATTTTCCCCTATTCAACAATTGACTTTTATAAAGGTATGGCACGTATGGGGCGAACCGGGGACAAAAGCGTACGTCTGTACGTTCATTTTCAGATTACTGAGTTCTAAGTCGTTTTATTAGAGTGACCCTCCGCCCTTTCGAGACCAAAGACGACAAGTACACTTTTATCTGTATGGGTCGCGGTTTGGATGCCGCTAAGATGTCGTCTGGCCGCGACGAATTTATCAAAGAGTTTTATGAAACGAGTGGACGCACCGATATCGAATTCGGTGATCTTATTTGGATCTCCAACTTCCAGTAAGCATGATTTCTCTGGACTGTGATTGCCAATAACACAGTATCTCTAGGCCCAATGTTCGAATGGTCAATAGCTACGGCTCTGGCCGAGCTTTTGTTACTGGTGGTAAGGTTCACCTTCCAACGGTATAATAATTGTATGCTGATGGACGACCAGATTCCGCCCACGTTCATAGCCCTACTGGTGGCCAGGTATATCTACTTCTTTTTTTTCCGTCATCGTGTCTAACTAGTGCCGACCTGTAGGGACTCAACTCAGGCATCCAAGACTCCGTGAGTCAAGCAAGTAGCACCTAGATTTTTCAGACTTCCTGACGCGCCTATAGGTCAATTTGGCTTGGAAACTCGCTCTCATCGAGAAAGGCTTGGCTCCCCAAAGTCTCCTCGATACTTATTCTCAAGAACGGATTCCCGTCATCGCAGCCATGCTCGACAAGACCTCTGAACTCCTGACCAAGACCTTCAAACCCGGAGGAGCTAGCCGGGCTGGTTGGGCCAGAGGCTACGAACTTCGTCAACTCGGCGTCAACTACCGCGCCAGTCCCGTAATCGTGGATGAAACTCCAGTCGAGGGTGAAGAGACCGTCGACCCCTATCAATCAGGGAACGATGGCACCATACGAGGTGGTGACCGAGCCCCCGATGCTCCTGGTCTCGTATTTGTTAACGATTCCTCGCGTAAGACCAGCCTGTTTGATATCTTCAGTCCATCCTACCACACTGTCCTCATTTTCTCTGATGAGAACGCGGCGGTTCTGGATGCTCTGAAGAGTTACCCGGCCGGTACCGTCAAGTCCGTGGTCATTGTTCCGCAACAACCGACAGGGGGTATCTTGGCTGACTACGTACTGGTGGATGGTGAGGGTTATGCGTACAAGCACTACAACATCGCAGAGAAGGTTACCAAGGTCGTCGTGGTCCGACCTGATGGAATCATTGGTGCGCTCGTGGTTGGTGTAGATGGACTGAAGCAGTACTTCAAGGGGATCTTCGTCTGATTCATATACTGATAGAAATTTGGGATGCTCCCCCGATATTATTTATGCACACTAGTTCAAATTTCTCTCAAACATGCTCTTACTTCGGACAGCAAATTATTACTGATCACCTACCGTTGAAATGAGAATTTCTCGTCTATAATCAAGAACTGTCCCTTCCGTTCTTGTTGGATTCACGAGTGGATAATATGCAACGAGGATTTACTTTTCGTCTACAATCAGAGCATCTGCGATCTTCTTGCGACTCGTCTTTGATATATGTGAGAATGCGCCTTTAACGCTTGCTCTCGTAAAATACGATAGATTAGCTTTGTCTTACATCCTACACCATCCAAGCAGTCCCCGACATGTAAATATTGTTGCCATTGCGAAGACCGGTCGAAGGTGCAGAAGCGCTCGGACCAGTAAATGACGAGTGTAGAAACACTTATAATCTTTACCGTTTGTTGTATTCCCAGGTGTCATTTCGGTTCTACATTACGTATCGTCGATCGCATTATATATCGTGGCCCATGTAATTTACAGTCATAGATTACTAGTACTTCAAGATTTTAACATCCCATGAACGACTCGAAATATGAGTTCAAGCCTTCGATCTTTCGCAGTGGAATGACCATCCCGACATATCCATCGGGACGAACAACCACCACAGCACCCTCGGGAGCAACTCCGTATCTGGTATAGACATTGTTGTCCCCGAGGCCATTAACATCGGCTATGTAAACCCTTGATAGATGCTTGTATTAAACTCAATACTTTGAAAGGATCGGAACTCACTTCGTCCAATGGCTCCTCAAAAAGGGAGGTAGTGCGTTATACAAAATCGTCGCTTTGCTCTCAGAGCTGATTGAGATTATGTCGAACACGGACGTAATCGGTCCTGAAGCGCAGTATTTGGTTAGAACGGACTGGAGCTCGTTGGCTGATTGCTGCAGCACGGCAAGAGTAGATGCGCTTGATGTATCCCCAGTGAAGACGATTAGCTTGAATCGTGCATCTGATGGGAGGAGATCTTGAATGTTGAATGGACGTGAGTCAGCTGCTCGAACAACCATCTCGGGAGGTATGCGCATCCCGATGACAAGCTTGGAGGCAACGTCTTGGTATGTACTGTTAACGATGCTCGATTCGCTATAATGTACGCCGATGCCCGATGAGAATGCTCCGGATGTTTGGAAGGCCCTTGAAATATTTAAAGTTAGTGATAATGGAGCAAGCTTGGATAGCCAGCCTTACCGAAGGAATTCTTCATGAGAGACGCCGTTCTTGAACTCCTTGGTTATCGGTTTACCGGAAAAGAGCTTGGCAAACTTCTTGTCAAAGTTGATGAGATCCTGCGCGTATCGTCGCCTTTCAGATTCGTACTGGAGGTCCGGGGTAGTACTTATGTTACTGTACTGCGGGAAGAAAGGGTGCACTAACCGTTTTGAGCAGGGAAAGGTCCGCCCAGCCGCGTAGGACATATGCAAGCTTCCAAGCTAGAATGGAAACGTCAACAATGGATTCTTTTATTGTAATGCGCATGATTTACCCAAATTATGCGTGTCGTTTATGCTCGCATTCATTCCTTGGCCTGATGAGCAGTTAGCCCGTGGTAAAACGTATGTGGACCGTTCTACCTTACCAGCTTTAGGCGAGTGAGTATGGCATGCATCTCCAGCAATGAAAACACGTTCGCCAACAGAGTACCTGGAAGCGACTCGCTGGCCGACTAATAAACGATGTTAGATCCGTAGGAATATTAGAAAGGAGAGAATTACTGATGTAGATGGTCCACCAGTCAAATTCTTTAGGATTTTTAATAGTGTATGGATAGAATGATCGCCTGGCAACTTCTAGCAGCCTTTCTGGTCCCATCTTCGACTTGTCCACTCTACCGCTCGCGGCATTGATGGCGTCCTTTCCTTCTAGCTGAATATACAATCGGATCTTATCCCCTTCTCGAGGGATGACCATACAAGAGCCATTGATAGAATGTATTGCTGTTTTGTTGCGAATATCAGGCAAGTCAGTATCTGGAATCATGTCAACGACACCCCAGATATATTCCGTTTGTTCTCCATCCATGGAGAGGTTGAGCGACTTGCGGACCCATGAATGTGCACCTTGGGGACCAAGTAAGTAGTCGTTGCTGCGGTGACTCCAGTGACTCACCATCAGCCCCAACAACAAACTTCGCGTTCACTATCTCAATGGGAGCTTGACCTGGTGCAGGGTCAAGACGACTCAATGTCACCTATGGATCGTCATCAGTACGCTATATGGAACAGGAACAAACGCCCGTCTTACCCGAACGGCATGGGCATTTGGGTCTCTCCGTTCTGTAACGTCTTCTGTGATCTCCATCGATATCGGCACAACCGGTCGCTCGACTTGGATTCCCATAGAACGTAACGAGTCCAAAAATATAGCTTCGATGGCGCCTTGGTGAAGAGTCACCTACATCGAGATAAGAAGCACGACGGGCATCGAAATCTAGCTTTGGACTTACTTCAAAGGGGTACCTCGCGTTCTCGGCGGTGATATCAGGGACACGGTCGGTGAGCTAGGATCAATGGGTGATCAATTTAGAAGCGTAGATAGCGAACAGACCTTGATTCCGCCATCTGCGGAGGGATTATAGAATGCCTTGAAACATATTGTATGAGCGCTCGAATAAGTCATAGTGTGATACTGACCGCCATGTGTATTTGATTCCCCTCGCCGAGCAATCGCTGGGCGAGTCCATAGCTCTATGACAGATCAGTCGTATACAGACACTCTTACACCTATGATACCAGCACACCTGCAAGACTTCAATTGTTCGAGGTTGAATACCGTCAGCCTGACCTGCTACAACTTTGTCGGGCCTGCGTGGATAGTTTAGCGCTGTTTCGCAGTATTCTGTGGGCTTACCTCTTATCGATAATGCGGAAGTTGACCCCAGCCTTAGCAAGGCCATTAGCGAGCATAAGACCTGCTGGGCCAGCACCAACAATTAGGACATCGACGGAGGTTTCTGCAAGAGCGCTAGGAGACATCGAGGTAAATGACGAGACTGACTAGGGGAATTAGGTGACTGACAAACTTATATATTTTCCGACTCTCAATTATATCCGTTGGCAGGGAGGAGAATGAGAACTAGTTCCCTTATGGAGGCCTCCGCGTTGGCTTCATCGTCGGGTGACAGGAAGAAGCTTTGCGCGCTAACGGAGCATGTAAGTGTAAGAGCTTTAGAAAGCAATTTTCCACCCAATCGGCTGGCAAGTATATACTTTCCTGGCTTCGTTTGGATGGAAGGACAGCAAATGAACAGGCACCCGCTGCTAGATCATGACTGAAGATGTGCCGAGGATCGCATCAATACCTTAAAGAGTAAGCAGTCTCTCACTCTCTCCCACGGGTGATTGCTGAAGGTGCGAGTGCGAAGGTAAGATTGCGTTTTGGAGCATAAGCGGGTGATAGGTAGGACCGATGGAGAGAAAGCATAAGTAACAATACTGGAACGGAAACTGAAAGAGCGCCGGAAGAAAAACAGAGCGAAGGCTGGAATAGGAAAAACCACGCTGAAAGGAAGATATATTTAAACCAGGGTTCTATTAACTGAGCCCTACACGCACCGTTAGATCCATACAGTCTAACATCACACCTGACCATAGAACACATCCTAGGTGATATTCAAACTTGCCGAGTCGTCAAAATGTTATGAATCTGAAGTGTTGAAGTATCTCGATGGTGCTCTGTGTCAGCCCTTTATAACTGTGCGCGCCTCTGGCGGAAGATAGGGATCTATTCTTGGCAGCCCTTTTCGCCAGTAGCGCTCCAACCTTGTGATGCCAAGACACGAACCTACCCGCCGGAGCCGAAATAAATGTACCGTCAATATAGCAGCCGCGAGCAAGGTAACAGATCAAAGCACGAAGTAGCTCGAGGAACATATCTTGAGCCACGGACTACAATGGCTCGTCAGACGAGGACTTGCCGCTACGGACGGTACTCACTAGGTTAGGCGAGCCCGCACCTCCTTCATAAACACTTGGAATCTCTTTCTACGAGACCAGTTCATCGGCTTTCCCTTTCCCTTGTTCGTGGTGTTAGCGTCTTTGGGGTGGCGACCTGGTGAATGTAACCTGACCCTTGGTCGCGTAAGGAGACGAAAAAATTGAACCCTCAGAAGACGATACCATCAATGTCTTGATCCAAGTCGAGCACTACAGAACTTGAAGATATTATTGAATTGTGGTCAGATTTCTTCCTTCCAGAGATAGAAACGCTCATTGCTGGGCGCGATTTCAGGCAAGGCTTTTTTTTATCGGTACCTATGACCTTGACAGCGTCTGGGCACCATTTACGCTAGAACGTTGTTTCTACGTTTACCTACGTTCTCCTCCGAAGCGCGGCAGGGCCTTGATCATGATAGTAAAAATTGTCGGCGCTTAGCTCTGAGAGCCCGGTGAAGATGGGAAATGAAGGACGTTTGTAAAAGAACGCTCCTTCCTTACGCAGCCGAGTCGTCGTAGCGTTTAACAGGCATTGATGACGTTCCACGTTGGACGCGTTGCGGTGGAAAGGACTAGAGCCTCCTCGGACCTGTACTACTAGACGTTGAATTTCCGTCTCGAGTTTAGATAGATAGTGGGTTCGTAGTTCCGACCAATAAGACGTCGTCTCTGGCACGCTCAGATGGGATCACCTCTTCTGACTTTTTGAACTCCCAACAAGCATCAGAAAAAACGCAGAACGATGTATTTATGCACGTACGGTTTATTCATTGACTTCCCAACAACAGGTGCCTCCGGATCTTTCCGGATATTCAGCACTGCCACACATGTTCGTCGTATCATATACGTCGGCAGCCACGAACTACATATACGCACCTTCAAAGCCAAATATAACTTAAAATCAATAAATATACCTCGTTTACAACAAGAAGCAACGATACAATAAATAAGATTCCCCCACTCTAAATATAAACGCCAGTAAAAAGACACAAATGGGTATCAAAAGAACGTAGCGCCATTATAAACAATTCATAGCAGCTCGTAAGAAAAACATATGCAATGCGGGAAGAAGAAAAAAAACAGAGCAGCTACAACTAACCAATGAACAGAAATACAGTGAAGAGTGGCCGAGCAACGAATATAGCACACCGATCAAGGTGGATAAAACTACGGGAATTACCAGATTCCGTATCCCAAGGATGAAAAGGAGAGACGACTATCAGTAAAATCCTGACCGCGAGCAGGAAATGATAGATTGGGTACAATGGTATACGGAGATCCCAGATCCCGTAGAAATCAACCTTTATATTAAAAAAGAGATCTTAACCAAAATTCCATTTAGATACCCCCATATGCATCATCCGCATCGTAAATCGTTTCGGGCCTCTTGGCCACAGGTATCGTGGGACTCGAGGGCGTAGGACTAGAAGGGAGCTGTCTGTCGCCCTCTGCAGGCGGGGAGGTCATCACAAAGCTGTTCCCAAGTGGGCTTGGCGTGGTTGGGAACCTGCTCTGAGGGCCCAGCTTGCCGCCTACGGTGATGGTTTGACTGACACCGCTGGGGAAGCCGGAACCAGATCCTGGGAATGGAGAAGATGTCGGAGTGCTGCTGGTGCTATCCCGGTAAGAGATCGGCAAGGAATATTGCGAGACAGATCCACGATCTATGGATATTTCGGGAAGAGTAGGAGGCGTGGAGTCAACGCGATAGCGAGACGAGGTGGATAGAACTGGGGACGGCGGGGTAGGGAATTCAAGGTCCTTCATAATATCCACTGACGCCTGAGACTGCGCAGATGTTCGTTTGGGGGACGCGGTGGAAGCCTGGGAATAATGGCCATCCTTCGGCGGAACCACAGGTGGTGTCCCTGAACCATTAGTTGCTAGCGACGCATTCCTGCTATGCACGTATTCATTCACAGCCGGTGTATCCAATCCCTGAGGAACCTCGGTGGCTAGTCGGTTCGCGATCTCTACGTATTGAGCAGCTTGGAAGGGAGTGACACTGGACCGAGTGACATCAATGTAATCGTTCGCTGGTAGAGTGCTAGAGGCCATGGATGGACGATAGACAGACTGATCGTAAGTGGCAACACTACGTGGAACCGACGCGGTAGTGTTCTCGGAAGCGCGATTGGCTGGTGGACTTGCCGGTATGGTGGGACCCCCCAGTCCATACACTGGTGAGGGCAGCGGTCCGTCATCTAAATCGTGGCTATAGACATACTGGGAAGTATCGATTGGTGCTGGGGATGGTCGAGGTGTTTCGTCGGCCTGTCTATACATAGCGAGGGCGAACAATGGATTGGCGGAGTTTGCGGCCGGAGACGGTGAGTAGTCACGACTCATCCCTGTATCGTAGTAAGCTTGTGAACGTTCTGGAGGAGCATACACAGGTCCCGGTGCTCCATATTGCATTCCGAACGACATTGGATGGTTGCGACGCTCCAGCATGCTGGGAGGACGTGGATTGAACGGACGGTCATTCTCGGAATCTGGAGGCGGGTCATGCATAAGAACGGCTGAACGTCGGAATGTACTGGCGTCGAATTCATCCCTGTCACGACGTTTTGTACGCCATCGACGCTAAAGAAAAGAAAAATCAATTGTTGTACACCGGGATTGAGATAACAACGTACCAAGAAGAATCCTATTATTCCAATGACCAGCGCAAGTCCGATGATTCCTGCGGCCACACCTCCAATGATTGCACCCGTGTTGCTCGAACGACCAGTCGAACTGGCTGATGCTGATGCGGCAACATTTGTCGAGCTTGAGACGGTAACAGAGACTGTCCCTGTGGTATGAGTGGATGAAATTGTCGCTTCCGCGCTTAGTGTGCTTGAACTTGACGTATGTGATGAGGAGGAGGACGAAGAGGAAGAGGTGGATAAGGAAGTCGTCGTCGACTGGGTAGATGAAGTCGTTGTCAAGGTCGTCGTGGTAGACGTTGAAGAAGACGTCGACGTCGACGACGTGTGAGTAGAGGTGGTTGTCTCGCTAGAAGTAGCAGACGAGGTGGCACTGGTGGAAGTCACGGAGACAGAGCTGGTACTGGTGCGACGAATGGTGAGCGTCGTCTCCTCTGCAATTCTAGTTAGTGCTCTCTTCCATTTTCCACCCAACTGGGTTCCTCACCGGCACTGTCTGTAGACAAGAGGCTCTCCAGTGCGTTGGTGGTCGTGGTGAGCATGGAAGACGGCGTAGGACCCAGACGGCGTTCCAGGCCACGGTGAGCAGCGCGTCTCTCATTCATTCCGTGCAGCATTTTTCGGTAAAGAGCGTGGATAATATAATGGTGAAAAAGAATGAAGACGTGAAGCGTTGAATGGAGAGAAACTCAACCGAGGCCGTCCCGGATGAAGGAAAAGAATAAGGTTAGTAACAGTCACGGTCACAATTCGCCCAATCCGTTGCCATCATGTCGCGTGCATCGTGCTGGTCCTGGAGATCCTTCTGACATGATTTGGCCTTTAGGAGAGATCGTAAGGAATACTATCGTGATAGAGATGGTATCTTAGTTCCTCGTAGGTCGTCTGTCTTTTTGAATGTTCTCATCTCAAGTTTTCAATCGACAGCGACAGCATTTTTCCTAAGAGTTACAGCATCAAAACAGCGCCTCGTGGTTGAAAAGCGTGTAAATGGATCTTATTGTTCCTAGGCTAATTTTATAAACGGCACGGCATGATAATTGATCGTCGTCATTTTACAGCAGTGGGCATGGCAAGTATTCCATGTAGTAAAGCAACGCGTCTAGATGATGCTCGCAGAAAACATACCCAACGATGATCCAACTATCGGCTTCCGAGTTCAAACTCGAGTTGTAAACAAAACAGATGAAGGTAAGTAACTGTTCCCATGTGCAGATGCCATCTATCGTTGTTGACAACATCCATCACGGACGAATTTCAAAGCCGCGTCACAAATCGCGGAAAAAAAGTGGGGAAGGTTCATATGTATCAGATGGTTTGCAGAGATTTTGTGTCTAGAATTCAATGGTACGCCCGAGGATTCTGCCTATTTTGAAACTGAAATGAGACGTCTTTCTTAATGTTAAATGATCATTAGACGACAGGCATCGTACATGAACAACTTGCGTCGGAGAATTGCCCTCAGCGAACGGCCGAGCAGGTGGTGCTTCGGACGACGGAAAAAGTATATCATCATATATGAGGCTATCGGCGCAATACGGAGGAAGGTGGCCACCAATCCAAGCATCCAAATGCGCGACGCGTAGCACAAGTGACATCTAATGCCCTGTACCTCCCCCTGGGTGGGGGGATTTTCTACTACGCAATATGCAAGCACCCTGTTGTATGGCTTCATGAAATTCTATGAGTTTTCTCATGTTAACGAACTGTACAAGGGCGTCGCGAGATCATCAGGATCACTGAGTCCAATCACGCTAACCCAATGGACGCCTTGAACACGGGTTCTCACGTTACCCCCTTCTACTGACGATGTCATTACTACACGTCCTGAAGTTACTGACGTATCCATCCGGCACATTGGCTAGTAGTAAGTACGATGCCGTGCCTATTCCTAATCACATCAGTCCAGGAGCATCTATCTTATCTCATCAGAGGCGTGATGACATGAAAGTTATCTGATAACAGATCAAGTAGATCAAATGGACCTCAACAGCGTCTTTCTATAAGAGGCTATGCATGCTGCGAGTCTGAATTCATCTGTACCGTCATGACCGACACCTCAGTTCTCATTGTATGTCTTCTACCAATCCCTCTTGCCCGTGACCTAACTCCTACGTTTGACCTATGGTAGACCGGAGCAGGCCCATCGGGTCTTGCCTTAGCACTCGCTCTGCTGCAGAATGGCATGTCCGTTCGCATCATAGATAAGTGTGAAGCACACAAGATCGGTCAGAAAGGGGCTGGTATCCACGTTCGTACACGCATTAGCGCGTCTGTCACTTTCCTGCCAGTGTGCTCATGCACATCTCTGTTCAGCCTAGGATTCTCGAGCTTTACAAATTCATGGATGTCCTACCTGACATTCAGAAGAAAGGAGGCATTGTCCCTCCTGTCATTCATTACCTCCCAAATGGCGAGACTAAGATTTTCAGCATGACCCATAAAGGCGAAGACACCCCAGACAAACCATACGTATGTGGTTTCGCATTCCCTCGGGACTTGAAAAGTTGACCTGCAGTCATTCACTCCAGAACAATATGATCATACTTGGGCAAGACCGTCACGAAGCAGTTCTACGAGAACACCTGGCGAAACATTGTTGTGAGGTCGAGTTGGGCACCGAACTGATATCGTTCGAGCAATCTGCCAACCGTGTTGTATCGCGTGTCCTTAAGACCCGCGACGGCCAGACTGTCGAAGAAACCATCTCTTCTCGATGGCTGGTTGGCTCAGAGGGTGCTCGTAGCGTCGTACGCAAAACGCTTGGCTTGAAATTCCTCGGCGAGACGCGAGAAGGAGAGAACATAGTCATTGGCGACATCAAAATTATAAAACCCCAACTTGACGAGGTGAGCAAGTTTACAGTCAGGTCCAATGATTCCTTCATTCAGAAAATCATGGATAGTTCTGGCATTATTACGGAGATATGACAACCAAAGGGTACGTTCTCTGGAGTTTATTTAGAACCATGATCTTCCTAATGTATGTATAGAGTGATCATACGACCATCTGAGGATCCGACTGCAAACAAATACCAGTTCTCTGTCATGGGGCACCAGATGGACGCGGCGGCGGTGGCTTCTGGACGTGAAGCGTTTCTGAAGGAGTTTTATGCTATCACTGGCCGGACAGACATCGAATTCGGTGAGCTTTTATGGATATCCAACTTCCGGGGAGTATTTCTCGTACACAATATTCTGGACACTCATGTTTTCACAGACCCAATATTCGAATGGTAGACAAGTATGGTTCAGGGAGAGCTTTCGTAGCCGGAGGTATGACATCGTCTTTATTACAAGATATGGTTAATGATTAACGAATGTAGACGCTGCCCATGTCCATAGTCCTACGGGAGCCCAGGTATGCTGTTTTGTTGAGCTACTTATTGATCAACGCCTGACACGTTCACAGGGCCTAAACTCAGGCATCCAAGATTCGGTAAAGAGCTCTCTGACCGTCTCCTCAACAGTCTTTACTCTAACTCACACGCCAATAGATCAACCTAGCATGGAAACTCGCCCTCGTCGATAAAGGTTTGGCGGCACCTACTCTACTAGACACCTACACGCAGGAACGTATCCCGGTTATCGCAGCCATGCTCAACAAAACCACCGAGCTCCATACCAAACTCTTCACAGCAGGAACCGCTTCAGATGAGGGGTGGAAGAGAGGGCCTGAGCTGCATCAGTACGGCGTCAACTACCGCGGAAGCCCAATAATCGTAGATGAGGCGGGGACGCCCGAGAGCGTCGATCCGTATCGGTCGGGAGAGGGTGGAGAGTTGCGAGCTGGGGACCGTGCTCCCGATGCACCGGGTCTAGTGTCTTTGAAGGGAGAGAAGACGCGCCTCTTTGATATATTCCGCACGTCGTACCATACGGTCCTCGTTTTCTCTGATGCTGGTTTGGAAGTAAAGGAAATTCGGGACCTTCTGAAGGCGTACCCTGTGGGTACTGTCAACTCGGTCGTGATCCTTCCGCAAAACGATGCTCCTATTGGCGATGGTTCTTCCGTCGATTTTGTCGTCACCGATGGAGAGGGTTATGCGCACAAGCACTACAACGGCCGCAACGGGGTTGTCGTAGTTCGGCCGGATGGAATGATCGGTGCGCTCGTAGGCGGAGTAGACGGGTTGAAACAGTATTTTAAAGGCATCTTCCTCTAAGTAATTCAGAATTCTCGGACCAGCATTGTATATCACACCCCATTCATAAGATAAAACTGTAGAGACGAGCAGAAGTCATACTGGAATGTATTCATCACAATGTACAGATAACCATCGTGGATGAGGAATTATTAGAAGAAAATGACAGCCAAGTTAGAAACCGCAGCATCGGTTGACGGATCCATCTTAGCAGATTGCCACTCTTGTACTACATATCCAGTAAACATAGGCACACTTATGAAATCAGAATAGAAATCGAGAGTCCAGTATAAGTATACTATATCCGTTATCAGCAAGGACCGTGCAAACTACCACTAGTGATAGTAGTAGGATTGATCAATGTGATGAGAAAATGCAGGTATTTGGTACACCGGGGTTTCGGACCACTAAGTTACGGTTAGTTACTGGTTGGTTACTAGTAACCTACCTCCCCACGCTGAACTTGAAGGGGTTTTTGGTGCGCAAAGGAAGGTAGGGAAGGTTCATATCAAACAGTTTACAAGGACTTTGCTCAAGGGTATGTCCGAGGATTCCGCCTATTTTGAAACCGAAATGAGACGTATCCCTTAACACTGGCTCATCATTAGAGGTAGGCATCGAATGCAGACAACTTGCGTTGGAGAATTACCTTCAACGAGTCAAGCAGGCGGTGCTTCGGAGTACGGAAAAAGTAGATATGAGTATCGGCACAACACGGAGAGCGACCACCTGACTTAGGCTTAGCTGCCGGGACACAGCGTTGCAAGCATCCACGTGCGTGATGGGAATAAGCGGCGTTTAATGCTCTGGGCCTAGGGAGAAATATCTACTATGCAATACGCAAGTACTCCGTGTGCATAGTTTCAAGTTCATAAAATTCTGTGGGCTTTCTCATGTTACTGAACTGTATAGCCATGCCCGGCGGACATGGAATTCAACCACGTCAAGCCGACGGACGCCGACGGCAGCGTTGAACGCGGGCTCTCACGTTATCCACTTCTACGTACTAGTGATGCCTACACACCCTCCTTCTAAAGTTGGCACTGACGTATCCATGCGGCACTGACATTGACTGGTACTTACGGTGCTGTGTCTATTCATAATCCCGTCAGTCGAGGACCATCTACCTTATTTCATTGGAGTCATGATGACATGAAGGTTATCTGATAACAGATCAAGTGGACCCCAGTAGCGCCCTTCTATAAGTATACGCTCGTGCTGCGACTCGATTCATTGTTTCATCTCTACCATCATGACCAACACCTCGACCTCGGTTCTCATCGTACGTCTTCCGTCAATCCTTCTTGCCCAAGACGTTAACTGTTACACGATAGGCCGGAGCAGGTCCATCAGGCCTTGCCTTAGCACTTGCTTTACTGCAGAATGGCATGTCCGTTCGCATCGTAGACAAGTGCGAAACACACAAGATAGGCCAGAAAGGGTGTGGTATCCAGGTTCGCATACACGTTGGCGCGTCTATCACTCTCTAAGGCATATTATACACGTCTCTTTTCAGCCTAGGATTCTCGAGCTTTACAAGTTCATGGATGTCTTACCTGATATCCTGAAGAAGGGAGGCCCCATCCCTTCTGTCATCCATTACCTCCCAAATGGCGAGACTAAGACTATAAGCATGGCCCGTAAAAGCGAAGACACCCCAGACAAACCTTACGTACGTATATGGCTTCGCATCCCGTCGGACTTAATCTTGACCCGCAGTCATTCACTCCAGAACAATCCGATCCTGCTCGGGCAGGACCGTCACGAAGAAATTTTACGAGAGCACCTAGCGAAACTCGGTTGTGAAGTCGAGTTGGGCACTGAACTGGTATCATTCGAACAGTCTGCCGATCGCGTTGTATCCCGTGTTCTCAAGACCCGTGACGGCCAAACCGTCGAGGAAACCATCTCTTCTCGATGGCTTGTTGGTTCAGAGGGCGCCCGTAGCGTCGTACGCAAAACACTAGGCCTGACGTTCCTCGGCGAGACGCGAGAAGGGGAGAACATGGTCGTTGGCGACATCAAAATAATAAAACCCCAACTTGACGAGGTGAGCAGGTTCACAGCGGGCTCCAATGTTTCCTCCATTTTGAAAATCATGTCAAGTTCTGGCACTTTTACGGAGATATGACAGACAAAACGTACGTTTCCTATAGTTTACGTAGAAACATCCTCTTATTAGTTTTATAGAGTGGTCATACGACCATCTGAGGACCGGCCTGCGAACAAGTATCAGTTCTTTCTCATGGGACATCAGCTGGACGCGACGGCAGCAGCTTCTGGACGTGAGGCGTTTCTTAAAGAGTTCTATGCTATATCTGGTCGAACAGACATCGAATTCGGTGAACTCGTTTGGATATCCAACTTCCGGGGAGTAATTCTTGTGACAAATATGCCTGTATTCTTATGTTTCCTACAGGCCCAATATTCGGATGGTGGACAAATACGGTTCAGGGAGAGCTTTTGTAGCCGGAGGTTTGACATCGCTTTTACTCAAAGATATCGTAAATGATCAACGAACCTAGATGCTGCCCATGTCCACAGCCCTACGGGAGGCCAGGTCAGTTGTTTAATTGAACCGCTTATTGATCAACACCTAACACGTACACAGGGCCTAAACTCCGGCATTCAAGATTCGGTAAATACCTCTCCTCGCTAGTCTTCACTATAACCCACACTCCAACAGATCAACCTAGCATGGAAACTTGTCCTCATCGACAAAGGCCTAGCCGCACCCACTCTCCTGGACACCTACACACAGGAACGCATCCCAGTCATCGCAGCAATGCTCAACAAAACCACCGAGCTCCTCAACAAGACCTTCAAACCCGGAGCCTCGTCATACGACGGGTGGCAGCGAGGGCCCGAGCTGTACCAGTTTGGCGTCAACTACCGCGGGAGCCCGATTGTCGTTGACGAAGCGGGGACGCCGGAGAGCGTCGATCCGTATCGATCGGGAGAGGGCGGAGAGTTGCGTGCTGGGGACCGTGCTCCTGACGCACCCGGTCTGGTGTCTTCGAAGGGAGAGAAGACGCGCCTCTTTGATATATTCCGCACGTCGTACCATACGGTCCTCATCTTCGCTGGTGCAGAACTGGAAGCCAAGGAAATCCTGGACCTTCTGAAGGCGTACTCAGCGGGTACTGTCAAGTCGGTCGTGATTCTTCCTCAGAGCAATGGTCCTGTCGTCGATGGTTCCTCCGCTGACTTTGTCCTCACCGATGGAGAGGGTTATGCGTACAAGCACTACAACGGCCGCAACGGGGTTGTCGTAGTCAGGCCGGATGGAATGATTGGTGCGCTCGTAGGTGGAGTAGACGGGTTGAAGCAGTATTTCAGAGGCATCTTCCTCTAAGTAATTTCTCGCAGCAGCATTGTATATCACACCCCATGTGCTATTTTTAGTGCGGATCATCGCAAGCGCCCACACTCGCCAGACTCACCGTCGGGATTGGTAAGTATTACTCAGCTATGTTTCTTTTCTCTGCACGAAAATTCTAGTAGTTTCTTTACAAAGTAGTATAAAAGTCTGTATGTAGAACGGGACACCCTTGTGCGTTTGCCTTCAAGGGTTCCCTGTCGCTTAATAATCTACCCCCTTATCCAACACCCCATTCATAAGATAAATCACAACTTCAACGTCGAACGAGCAGAAGTCATACTGGAATGTATTCATCGCATTGTACAGGTAAGTATCGAGAATGAGGAGTTATTCGGAGAAAATGATAGCCAAATTAGAAACTGCGGTAACGGTTGACGGATCCATCTTAGCAAGTTGTCACTCTTGTACTTCATATCCGGTAAGCGTGGGCACACTTGACACTTGTGAGATCGGAATAAAAACCGAGAGTCCAGTATATGTTATATCAGTTATCAGCAAGGATCGTGCAAACGCCCACTGGTGATAGTAGAAGGATTAATCAATGTGATGAGAAAATGCAAGTGAATGTATGAGGCTTGGTAGGGGTGCGCGTACTGGTACACCGGGGTTTCGGACCGGTTGGTTACCGGCAACCTAAGTACTAGGTCCTACTATCTCCCCTCGCTGAACTTGAAGGGGTTGTCAGAATCACTGAGGTAACTTTGGTACGCAAAGGAAGGTAGGGAAGGTTCATATCAAACGGTTTACAGGGATTTTGTTCGGAGGACGGAAGAAGTATCGGCACAACACGGAGAGCGACCACATGACAGGAAGCCCCGGGAAACTCCTGCCAAGGTTTGGCCGGAAATTAGCATATTTTAGACCCCAAAAATGCAAAATCTTTGTCCGCATGTAGCATATTTGAGGGATCCAAGAGAGGCACCTTTGTCCGGGTTTAGCATATTCGAGGGCATCAGGAGGGATGAAGGAGGGGACTCGTCGACCCCCTGTTTGTGCGGAGTGCTTCTATTCCTCTCGAAAATCGCGAAAACCACTATAAATGAGGGAAGTCCTTTCAAAATAGAGGAAGATTTGCCAAATATTGGGCGAAAATTTCCACCTGCGCCCCCGGAGGACCGGCCCGAAAGACCCTTGTCCGAGTTAGCATATTTTGGCCCTAAATCGTTGCATATTTGAGGGCCAAAATTGGCTATTTTGCCGGACAAACCTTGGCAGGAGTTTCCCGGGGCCTATGACAGGGCTTAGGCTTAGCTGCCAGGATGGCACAGCGTTGCAAGCATCCACATGCGTGATGGGAACAAGGGACGTTTAATGCCCTGGGTCTAGGGAGAAATACCTACTATGCAATACGCAAGTACTCTGCGTGCATGGCTTCGAGTTCATAAAATTCTGTGAGTGATATCATGCTACTGAACTGTATAGCCATGCCCGACGATCACCAGAAACATAGAACTCAACCACGTCAAGCCGACGGACGCCGACGGTAGGTTGAACGCGGACTCTCACGTTATCCACTAGCGGTGCCTACACGCCCTCGTTCTAAAGTTGACACTGACGTATCCATCCGGCACCGACATTGACTGGTACATGCGGTGCCGTGTCTATTCATAATCCCATCAGTCTAGGACCATCTACCTTACTTCATTGGAGTCATGATGACATGAAGGTTATCTGATAATAGATCAAGTGGACCTCAGTAGCACCCTTCTATAAGTATACGCCCGTGCTGCAAGTCGATTCATTGGTTCATCTCCTACCATCATGACCAACACCTCGACCTCAGTTCTCATCGTACGTCTTCTGCCAATCCCTCTTGGCCGAGACCTAACTACTACACGATAGGCCGGAGCAGGTCCGTCAGGCCTTGCCTTAGCTCTCGCTTTACTGCAGAATGGCTTGTCCGTTCGCATCATAGACAAGTGTGAAACACACAAAATCGGTCAGAAAGGGTGTGGTATCCAGGTTCGTGTGTGCGTTGGCGCGTCTATCACTCTCTAAGGCTTATTATACACGTCTCTTTTCAGCCTAGGATTCTCGAGCTTTACAAGTTCATGGATGTCCTACCTGACATTCAGAAGAAAGGAGGCTTTGTCCCTCCTGTCGTCCATTACCTCCCAAATGGCGAGACTAAGACTATAAACATGGTCCGTAAAAGCGAGGACACCCCAGACAAACCTTACGTATGTGATTTCGCATCCCATCGGACTTAATCTTAACCCGCAGTAATTCACTCCAGAACAATGCGATCATGCTCGGGCAAGACCGCCACGAAGAAATCCTACGAGAGCACCTAGCGAAACTTGGCTGTGAAGTCGAGTTAGGCACCGAACTTGTGTCATTCGAACAGTCTGCCGATCGCGTTATATCCCGTGTTCTCAAGACCCGTGATGGCCAGACTGTCGAAGAGACCATCTCTTCTCGATGGCTAGTCGGCTCAGAGGGTGCCCGTAGCGTTGTACGCAAAACGCTAGGCTTGACATTCCTCGGCGAGACGCGAGAAGGGGAGAACATGATCGTCGGCGATATCAAAATAATAAAACCCCAACTTGACGAGGTGAGCAGGTTCGCAGAGGGCTCCGATGTTTCCTCCATTGAGAAAATCATGTCAAGTTCTTGCACTTTTACGGAGATATAACAGACAAAACGTACGTTTCCTAAAGTTCACGTAGAGACATCCTCTTATTGGTTTTATAGAGTGGTCATACGACCATCTGAGGACCGGTCTGCGAACAAGTATCAATTCTTTCTCATGGGGCATAAGCTGGACACTACGACGGCAGCTTCTGGACGTGAGGCGTTCCTTAAAGAGTTCTATGCTATATCTGGCCGAACAGACATCGAATTCGGTGAACTCGTTTGGATATCCAACTTCCAGGGAGTAACTCTTGTGACAAATATGACTGTATTCTTATGTTTCCTACAGGCCCAATATTCGGATGGTGGACAAGTACGGTTCAGGGAGAGCTTTTGTAGCTGGAGGTTTGTCATTTTCCTAGTAAAAAGAATATCGTTGATGATCAACGAACGTAGACGCTGCCCATGTCCACAGTCCTACGGGAGGTCAGGTCAGTTGTGTTATTGAACCATCTATTAATCGACGCCTGACATGTACACAGGGCCTAAACTCAGGCATCCAAGATTCGGTAAACACCTCTCCTCACCTCTCCTCCACTGTCTTTTACACCCCAACAGATCAACCTAGCATGGAAACTTGCCCTCGTCGACAAAGGCCTGGCCGCACCCACTCTCCTAGACACCTACACACAGGAACGCATCCCAGTCATCGCAGCAATGCTCAACAAAACCACTGAGCTCCTCAACAAGACCTTCAAACCCGGAGCCTCATCATATGACGGGTGGCAGAGAGGGCCCGAGCTGTACCAGTTCGGCGTCAACTACCGCGGGAGCCCGATTGTCGTTGACGAGGCGGGGACGCCTGAGAGCGTCGATCCGTATCGGTCGGGAGAGGGTGGAGAGTTGCGTGCTGGGGATCGTGCTCCTGACGCACCGGGTCTGGTGTCTTCGAAGGGAGAGAAGACGCGTCTCTTCGATACATTCCGCACGTCGTATCATACGGTCCTCATCTTCGCTGGTACAGAACTGGAGGCCAAGGAAATTCTGGACCTTCTAAAGGCGTATCCAGCGGGTACTGTCAAGTCGGTCGTAATTCTTCCTCAGAGCAATGGTCCTGTCGTCGATGGTTCATCCGTTGACTTTGTCCTCACCGATGGAGAGGGTTATGCGCGCAAAAACTATAACGATCGCAATGGGGTTGTCATGGTCAGACCGGATGGGATGATTGGTGCACTCGTAGGCGGAGTAGACGGGTTGAAGCAGTACTTCAAAGGCATATTCCTTTAAGTAATTCAGAATTCTCGGAACAGCATTGAATATCACACCTCATTTATAAGATAAAACCGCAGACGTCATATTAGAATGTACTCATCACAATGTACACATAAGCATCAAGCATGAGGAATTATTAGAAGAAAATAACAGCCTGCAGTAACAGTTGACTGAACCATCTTGGCAAGTTGCCATACCGTAAAAATCGAGAGTTCATTACATGTTATGTCTGTTTTCAGCAGGGATTATTCCAACACCCAGTGGTGGTAGTCGTAGGATTGATCAATATGACGAGAAAGTATAAATGAGTACATACTTGGTAGGGGCGCACGAAGCCCGGGGTTTAGAGCCGGCCCTAAGTCACCAGTTAGTTGGAGAGCTTCTGGTAACCTTTAGGGAACCTACCTCCCCTCCGAGTCGCTGAACTTGAAGGGGCTGTCAGACTCATCAAGGTAACTTACCGGTACGCAAAGGAAGGTAGGGAAGGTTCATATCATTATCAAACGATTTACAAGGACTTTGAGCAAAGATATGTCCGAGGATTCCTATTTTGAAACCGAAATGAAACGTATTCCTTAATACTGACTCATTAGAGGTAGGCATCGAATGCAGACAACTTGTGTCGGAGAATTACCTTCAATGAGTCAAGCAGGCCGTGCTTCGGAGTACGTAAAAAGTAGATATAAGTAGCGGCACAACACGGAGAGCGACCACCTGACTTAGGCTTAGCTGCCGGGACACAGCGTTGCAAGCCCGTGAATGCCCCCGATACAATGGTCACCGAGACGGACTCCGCAAAGTCTCCAGAGACCTATACTTGCCGGACATCTTAGGGACGAAAAGGGGCATAGAAGCCCTGGCAGCGTTCCTGGAGATGTCTGGCGCATTCACGAAGACTGGCGCCCCCAAACGGCCACCAATGTGACCCACATTGGATGAAGAAGAAACCACGCTTGAAGACTGGCTGGGAGAACAGGACCTGGAGCGAGAGGAAGATCCCGGAGGTTGAAAAGTGGTAGAGGGAGGATGGAAATGCTGACAGACCCGGAGAACAACCAAGGAACTCGCTCCATGCACACAAACCCGTGCCCCATAGCCTGAGTCATGGTGGCGTCAACCCTCCTGGATACCAAGAACTCAACACATAAAGACACGAGAAATCTATACCATTAAAGGTCTGAAAATCCCCTTGTGTACCTACAGTAGCTACTGGGGCTGGCTATGAGCAAGCGCCGCCGCGTCTCTGTACATAGATTACGGGTTGCGGTTTCGAAATATAGATTTAAAAACAAAAACAAAACAAAAAAAACAGGGTTGCAAGCATCCACATGCGTGATAGGAACAAGCGACGTGCTCTGGGCCTAGGGAGAAATATCTACCATGCAATACGCAAGTACTCCGTGCATGGCTTCAAGTTCATAAAATTCTGTGAGCTTTTTCATGTTACTGGAATCAGTGAACTGTATAGTCAATGTCATGCCTGACAATCACCACCTACTAGGGGCGCCTACAAGCCCTCGTTCTAAAGTTGGCACTGACGTATCCATCCGGCAGTCACATTGACTCGCACGGTGCCGCGTCTAGTCATAATCACATCAGTCTAGGGCCATCCACCTTATTTTATTGGAGTCATGATGACATGAAGGCTATCTGATAATAGATCAAGGGGACCTCAGCAGCGCCCTTCTATAAGTATACGCCCGTGCTGTAAGTCGATTCATTGGTCCATCTCCTACCATCATGACCGACACCTCGACCTCAGTTCTCATTGTACGTCTTCTGCCAATCCCTCTTGTCCGAGACTCAACTCCTACATTTGACCTATGATAGGCCGGAGCAGGTCCGTCGGGCCTTGCCTTAGCTCTCGCTTTACTGCAGAATGGCTTGTCCGTTCGTATCATAGACAAGTGTGAAACACACAAGATAGGACAGAAAGGGTGTGGTATCCAGGTTTGCATACACATTGGCGCGTCCATTGCTCTCTAAGACTTATTATACACGTCTCTTTTCAGCCTAGGATTCTCGAACTTTACAAATTCATGGATGTCTTACCTGATATCCTGGAGAAGGGAGGCCCCGTCCCTTCTGTCATCCATCACCTCCCAAATGGCGAGACTAAGACTATAAGCATGGCCCGTAAAAGCGAAGATACCCCAGACAAGCCTTATGTACGTATATGGTTTCGTATCCCGTCGGACTTAATCTTGACCCGCAGTAATTACTCCAGAACAATGTGATCCTGCTCGGGCAGGACCGTCACGAAGAAATTTTACGAGAGCACCTAGTGAAATTTGGTTGTGAAGTCGAGTTGGGCACTGAACTGGTATCATTCGAACAGTCTGCCGATCGCGTTGTATCTCGTGTTCTCAAAACCTGTGACGGCCAAACCGTCGAAGAAACGATCTCTTCTCGATGGCTTGTTGGCTCAGAGGGCGCCCGTAGCGTCGTACGCAAAACACTAGGCCTGACGTTCCTCGGCGAGACGCGAGAAGGGGAGAACATGGTCGTCGGCGACATCAAAATAATAAAACCCCAACTTGACGAGGTGAGCAGGTTCACAGCCGACTCTAGCGCTTCCTCCATTGAGAAAATCATGTCAAGTTCTTGCACTTTTACGGAGATATGACAGACAAAACGTACGTTTACTAAAGTTCACGTAGAAACATCCTCTTATCGGTTTTATAGAGTGGTCATACGACCATCTGAGGATCGGTCTGCGAATAAGTATCAGTTCTTTTTCATGGGGCATCAGCTGGATACGACGATAGCAGCTTCAGGACGTGATGCGTTTCTTAAAGAGTTCTATGCTATATCTGGCCGAACAGACATCGAATTCGGTGAACTCGTTTGGATATTCAACTTCCGGGGAGTGACCCTTGCCACAAATATGTCTGTATTCTTATGTTTCCTACAGGCCCAATATTCGAATGGTGGACAAGTACGGTGCAGGGAGAGCCTTTGTAGCTGGAGGTTTGACATTTCTTTGTTTACCAAATATCGGTGATATTCAATGAACGTAGACGCTGCCCATGTCCACAGTCCTACGGGAGGTCAGGTCAGTTGTTGGATCGAATCACTTATTGATCAACACCTAACACGTACACAGGGCCTAAACTCAGGCATCCAAGATTCGGTAAACACCTCTCCTCACCTCTCTTCAACAGTCTTTACTATAACCCACACTCCAACAGATCAACCTAGCATGGAAGCTCGCCCTCGTCGACAGAGGCCTAGCCGCACCCACTCTCCTAGACACCTACACGCAGGAACGCATCCCAGTCATCGCAGCAATGCTCAACAAAACCACCGAGCTCCTCAACAAGACCTTCAAACCCGGAGCCTCATCATATGACGGGTGGCAGAGAGGGCCTGAGCTGTACCAGTACGGCATCAACTACCGTGGGAGCCCGATTGTCGTTGACGAGGCGGGGACGCCGGAGAGCGTCGATCCGTATCGGTCGGGAGAAGGGGGAGAGTTGCGTGCTGGGGATCGTGCTCCTGACGCACCGGGTCTGGTGTCTTCGCAGGGAGAGAAGACGCGCCTCTTTGATATATTCCGCACGTCGTACCATACGGTCCTCATCTTCGCTGGTGCTGGGCTGGAAGTAAAGGAAATCCTGGACCTTCTGAAAGCGTACCCAGCGGGTACTGTCAAGTCGGTCGTGATACTTCCTCAGAACGATGGTCCTGCTGTCGATAGTTCATCCGCTGACTTTACCCTCACCGATGGAGAGGATTATGCACGCAAAAACTATAACGGCCGCCACGGGGTTGTCGTAGTTCGGCCAGATGGGATGATTGGAGCGCTTGTAGGTGGAGTAGACGGGTTGAAGCAGTATTTCAAAGGCATCTTCCTCTAAGTAATATCTCGGACTAGCATTGTATACCACACCCCATTCATAAGATAAAACAACAGCAACGAGCAGAAATCGTACTGGAATTGTATTCACTAGAATGTACAAGGGAGCTATTCAGAAGCTGAGTTGGAAACTGAAGTAAAGGTTGACTCGGATGCGATGGCCTTTGCAACGGGTGCATTCGATTTAATGCATGTAGCCGAGTTATTTTAAGTGTAGCGATAAAGCCATCGAGAGAGCGGGTAATGACTGGGAATAAGACTTCGATGAATTGCCACGAATCGGAAAGAACCCCAGGAATATACGCATCAAGATCTAATCTTGGTCCAAATAAGTGTGTTGAACTCACGGAAAAGAAGCATCAATACACCTCGTAGCATTAGAATGGCGACCCTTCCTGTCCGACGCCAAAGAGGAAGAAATTTTTACCTAGATTCCGAGTTTCGAGATATTGGAGTATAATGAAGTACTTATATGAGGAAGGCAGGATCAAAGGGTCCTTGCTATTCAGAACGGCGTACAAGAATCAGCGCACGGCTTCACAGTAGCGATCGTGTCAATCGGAGAGAGCGTCGCTGGGATGACATTTTGCCATTCCGCGAAGAGAAAAATCGATCAGGAGAGGGACGATATGCCGTCGTCGACCTTGATACAAAGAGGTCAACGTGGGGGCCCCCAACATAGATTAACACTAACGCACCTTGCAGCATCCATCCTAGCCCAGGATCCTCCTCCCATCCGATTCTAATCCTTCTGGATCTCATGAGACAACGTGCAGAACACAAAGACAAGTTGAAGCCGCCAACTCTCATCGGAGAGGCCATCTCCAGGTCCAAAAGAGATATTGATCCTACGTCTAGGAACTCCACGGTGTCGAAGGGCGTCGATACACAGTATAGGCTTGTCAGCCTTCCCTAGTCCGGGGTCGAAGACACATCCGGCGTCCTTGTTGCTCGGTAATTCCTGCGGGAATTTGGCGAACTTGAGATTTTAGACAACCTGGGTGGTCCGTGTCCGGAACTATGCATAAGTGTATCTGGATACAGCTCAGCGGCAGCGATGATGATGGCAACAGCGAAAGGAACGAACGTTGTTGTGGTGTCTTTGTACCGTCATCTCTTCGCCGATTTCGCTTGTTCCGGGATGTCTTCCATGTCAACCACTGGCTTTAGCCGTCTGCGACCCAAGATACCTTCGCTGCAAGCTTGGTAGCCTCGTCCCAGTTACAATCGCCATCTAATCGATGTTCTTGCTGTGATATCTGTACTTCTAGCTGTATTTTGTTGTGCTGTTCGTTGTGAGTCGAAGTTCAACGAGATCGACCTGATCTTTCTGTGTTGATTTCTCATAGGCTTTTCTCTCGTATCCATGGATCCCAATCATAATCCCCGGCATCGTGATGCGAAGGCGCCTGCGGTACGTTCAATCCTAAGGCCCTCTTCGGCGTCGCGTCGCTCTCCGCCCCAGGAGGGACCTTCAGTTCGATTTCAGACGTCACCATCTCGCCCTTCGTCTTCAGAGTCTTCTAGTCAATCAATATATACGCTCGAGATCCCCCAGGATGGCCCAATTCCTCCCTTACTATTACCGGCAACTCAAAGTAGACGGCACCTTGAGGCGCTGGTGTTGCAGCTCGCTGCCCAACTTCGTGCTCAAAGAATTGCCTCACAGTCGCTGCAGGAACCCTTTACTCGTCCGGAGGGGAAGGCAGATGAATTCCCAGAGTTCAGGGATATTATGTTGGACAAATGGACTGCCGGTCCTGGCTGTGCGTCGCGTCTCTGTACAATATACTAACAACTAATTCATCGCGATAGATGGGCCTGTTCTCAATGCTGAAAGCGTAGCAAAACTGCGCCTTCATCCTTTGCTTCACCCTGTGCTATCATCGCCGCCCTCTGACGACGATCATCTCATCTGGAATATGATATACCCTCCTTCCACCGCTGAACGCGTTCGGAAGAACGTACGTGAAGCATTTGATTCCTTCCGTCTTGAACCTGCGACGCTGCCGCGGGTATCAATCCTCCATATTGCGTCGCGACGTATGCCGTGGGTATTTATTGTCAGACCTGATGATGATGCCGTTGGCGTCACCGTTGGCGATGTGCTGACAGTTCTAGCCCGTTACTTATCGGTCCACCTCAATGAAGCTGACCTTAGCTCTACCACGGTCGAACATAGAAAAGCCATTGTGGCTAGTCACGAAGCGAGGATGCAGATCCTGCAGTCAGAGCGCAAACTGAGCATTCAGGTAGTAGATTGGATGGTCGGTCACACACATTTCACCGGTTTCTTTCATGATGTCGAATACTTGGAGGGACGCTTTCCTGATACACCCACAAATCTACATATTGTGTTGTGTTCAGAATCATCTGAGATGCCATAGGTCTAATGTAGTCATCATATTATGAGAGTTCGCAATCTCACAGTCTCACATATTTTTCACAAGGAATTTGTATGTACTGTACAAGCTTATACTACATCTGTACTTCCAACCATATGAAGCTGTCTTTTGCTTGGTCTCTGGGCCACTGGTTCATTGTCGAAATACCACTAAGCAATGGTAGAATTGTTTACTTGTTCTGCAACTGTGAGTATTTTACTCCAAGCTACTTTCTGCTCATCTGTAAAGTTTGACTTGTATAACTCCTTCTGCATTGAGCTACAAAAATCAAGCCAGGGTAAACGATCCAAAGTTGAAGCTGCAGGTAATGATTCTAGTACTTTCTCATGTACTCCCAAACTGATAAACAATTGCAAAAGTAAACAAGATGGATCAGTTGATAGACTATGATTAAGCACTTTCACAAGAGTTGAATATGTTGCTCCTGCATTGACAGGCTCCAGTTTAGAAGCTAATGAAGAGAAGAGCATTGGGTAAATTTGGTCATATTCAGCTTTGGGCCATTTCAAACACAATAGCTTGCCAATTAAAGCTATAATTTTAGCTTCATAGACAGAGGAAAGCATTCCAGATTCATAATACTTGTTAAGAAGATTTATAAACCAATAGGCTTGAGATGATTCTTTCCAAGTCCATCTTTCAATATCAGTCAAATCAATAAGACTGTAGATATTGGCAGTTGATAGCTGTTCTGGCAATAATACTTCTCCTGGAGTGCCATTTTGATTACTAGTATTGTTTCTTAGGACAAACTCAAGAAATTTAGATGAAACCTCCTGTGCAATAGTAATTCCTTCAACTGTTTGCTTATGTTTCTGCTGGTATTCAGACTGTGTAAGCAAAATATTCATAGTCTGAATAATTTTAATATAGGCTTTGCTTTCAGAAATGTTTTTCTGATACTTCAATATATTTGAGATATTATTATTAGTCTGAGAATGTTCAAGTAATATTTGATGTCTCTGGTTTTGTGTTTTTAAAGAAAACATTTTAAGGCATAAAGCAACTAATATGCATAATTTAGACTGTTTAGCTTCTAACAAGCTAACAAGCTTTAGAAGGAGCATAAAGGTTGGTTTTTTGTGAATTATAAGTTCTTCACAATCATTCTTAGATAAAATAAAGATGATTGTTTCCAAAATTTGAGTCAAATCAGCAATATGTGAAGTGGAAATTGAATCCTGAGTTAGATATGATTCTATGAGATGATGTAAATCTGAGAGAGGATCAGTGGTATAAATTATATCTTCCTGTATTTGCAATTGATTTTCAGGGTGAAGATAGTAGTACAGAGCCTCATTGCATATGATTTTCACAAAAACTCCTGTGTTCCATGATTCCTCTAAGTTATGTGTATCAATGAGAGATCTGTTTTCTTTTAGTTTTCTCCATAAATACAACCACTGTCCATAAAACTGTGCATCACTCTTCTGACTCTGCTTAAACATGAAAGTTACTGGACTATTATATAGATATACAAGTTTCCAAAGATGAAAGGTTGCTTGCAAATATGGTGATTGTTCAGATGCAGAGCTTATTAGTCTGAAAAACAGAGTTTCTCTCCAGAATTCATCATCTAAAGTATCAGGTAATAATGCACTGAGTCTTATAGAGAGAAATTCAGTAACATTGACTTTGAATAAAGCAGGGATCATCTTTGGTATAGATTTCAAACCATCAATAGATCTTAGAGCCACATCTATAGCAACACCATTCTGAGAGTATTTCAGAAGCCATATAATGCTCTTCCATGTTAGCTCAGTATCTTTAACTTGAACAGCTTTTCTTTCATAGTAAGTATCATGCTCTGGAGTATAGCTTTGATGACTTTTAGTCCATTCATTCCACTGGTCAGATGAATTGATGATTCTTTTGAATGAAACAACAGCAACTTTTTTCAGCCTCAACATAAGAGGAATAATCATTCTTAAAAACAGTAGCAATGCTATGTTTTTATAAGGGCAAGCCTCATAAAATAAGGGAAGCAGTGTTGTAATAGAATAAGCTAAGATCATCGAGATTGTAATAATCAAAACAATATAGGCAGCAGGACTATTAATCTGTGACCATAACAGAATAACTAGTCCAGTCAAGAAAAGAGTAATTGTCATATGAATAAGCACAGGAAGAGCTGCAACAATTGCAGGAACCTTCCACATAAGCAAGGCATCATGTCTATACTGGCGACGATGAGCACAGTCATAAGCATTTCCATTATTCATCCCTTTCATATAAGCTAGGAACCACAGCTTTACTAGCCAGGCAAGAACCACAACTGATATGCTACAAGCCAAGGCTGAGAACCATAAGCCTACAGTCCAGACAATTGCTGGGGATGGCTGAAATTCCATGACTGGATCAACAGCATCATAAATTGGCTCAGCAGGCAGATTCAGACTAGCATTGAGCAGAGCTTGGATGTTAATAGACATAGTATGCTGCTGGTAAGCAGAGATAGCAGTGTAGTCAGGCTCCAGCTTGCGGTAGAACTCAATGATGAATGCAGTTAGCACAGCAGAGAAGAGGGCAGCCTTAGTCAATAAATGAGAATTAATCATTACAGACAGAGTTATCACTTACCACAATGAGGAGTGTACTCATGTCATCATGCCAGTGCTTCAGCATATCCTTGTCAGAAGTACGAGCTTCATAGTTATAGAATTCCCAGAGTGTTGACTTGACATCAGTCCCTGCACGCGGCGGTGGCCCCTGGGCTGTTGCCGATGTGAATTCTAAGATATCACTTTGGTATAGGAATTGATGCCAAAAAAGAACAAGCGACATACGAGATGTAGCATCATCAGCTACTGGGAACGGACCTGCCGATGGATTACCGCCTGTTGGGGGTAAAGGAGCTACTGGCGTCAATGGACTCGTAGCCTGGCTAGTAGGAGCACTCCGCCGCGGCAAGTAGCGGCTGTGCGAGGCTGAATGACGGGCCGCCGGATGCGCCACATTGTGGCTATGACTCTCTGGTTCTCTTGTGCGTTCATGTCCTCGACCGTTAGACGGATCACTGGTACGTCCATCGCCGCTCGTTTGGAGAAAATCAACCTCGCCTAAGAAGAACAGCCTCATCAGGTCACTCGAGTTAAAGAGTCCATGCATACACTCACTGGCTACAGAATCGTTGCGAATTTCCTTGGTGCCGATCCTTCGAGTGCGAGAGGAGGATCTGCCGCTTCCGAAGCTGCTGGTGCCACCGGAGGGAATAGGTGGAGAGGAAATGACAAAGGTCTGGCTCGGGTCTTCATCATCGTTGATATTCTCGTCGAAGCCATCAAGGCTCAACGTCGGGTGTTGGAGAGGGCTGTTGCTGAGGTCGTATCCATGCCACGGTTCAGAGGCAAGAGACACAGTGTTTATCTGAGGATTCATTGTTGAAGGAGTCGTTGTCGATGGTTGTGGCTGCAGAAGAACACGACGAACACGCGTTATCGGTCATGCCTTCCCTTCGACCGCTTACCGGAGTTGCCTTCTGATCTACTCCCACGTTGTCGTTACCGGCCACCAATTTGTTGGATAGGGAGTCCATGAAGGAATGAATTCCTTTGGTGGGTGTTTTATTTTCCTCCCAGCCTTGAAAGGTTCTGACCAAGTTTTGCCCATCTCGGTCCTTACAAGAGGTATCAAGGTCGAAGGTCATCCATAACATTATCAAGCGCTGTGGACTTGCGTTCATCAAGACCGGAACGGAAAGCTGAAGCATCGACGACGAGCCGCAGATGTCTTCCTTTCACGTACGACTCTGAATCTTGGGCCTTCGCTTGGTTCTTCTTCGTCTCCACCTCTTTTTTAACCGTCGCTAAGCCTCTGGGTTATAACTTCGTCTTTTCTGGCACCCATTTTCCAGTTTCGTCCCTCCGTCTCTTGCCTCGCTTCCTTTAACCCCGTTCATTTGAGCTATAAACCTTCTTATACGTAACCTCCTTCATGGATCGTTTGCTGGCCGGCGACATCCACCACTCATTGTTTTCTTGGGCCTTCAGACACATGTCGCATAAGGCAGGCCTGGAGAAGGACATTTCTCGGACTCGTAGAGGACGTTAACCCCTTGTATGTAAGTCAATTCCCTCAAAACATTCTTCATGCTTCTTCCTCATGGCGCATTTTATAGAAGACAAGATTCTGCATTCATACACCACCCCAAACAGGTCATATCATTGCTAATATCCTCTCGGGACTGCCTTTTGTCTCCTACCAACCAAGCCCATCACTGTTCTGGTCTTCTCTCCATTCTCCAATGCCGGAGCACAGATGTCGAGTTGAATATCTATCTACGACAACCCGTAGAACTCGATGACCCGACCCGTTCAGACAAATTACGGTTGAATCGGTCCTCATGGGACCGCACTACGCACGATCTTCTCACCTCTGAGGGCCCTCTTATCCCGATGGCACTGTTCTGGGTATGTGATATGGCAGAATGGCAAGCGAACGAACCACTGCCAAGTCTTCGGTTAAGATCGCACAAGAAACCCGGTCATCTCTTTGCGACGACTTTGCAGGCGCTGCTTCAACGTCTTTTAAGCCGCATGTACGATGACGCTCAGTCAGCACCGACCCTTCTATGTGCCGATTTCGAGATTGGGAACGCTGCGCAGACGGACGTAGAACGCTCAAACTTTCTCTAGTTTTAGCGTTGCTCCTAGATTGCGTACCTGCCGGCATCGACAAGATCCAAGCGTTCAGGACTAGGCAGAAGCGGTGTGACATCCAGGTACGTCGCTTTATCCTTGGGTTTCGAGTCCGACCTAAAGGTCTGTAGTCCAGAAACCTCGGGAAGCTCAAGCTACGCATGGACGTCCTATCTGATATTCGGAGGAAGGGCGTGAAGGAGGGCCCCGCATACGAACCAGTTGATAACACTTCGTACAAGCCTCATGTAAGCTCCTTGTTGCCCGATTATGTGACTATGTTCTAGTCTCGGTTCTCACTCATATGTCGTTTAACTTGCGGAACCGACGCAACGACGGTCTGCTTGATGCCCTTGATCCATCATGATGTACCGTGACTATCATATCCTAGTCCGCGGAGGCGACCTAGACTGGAAGCGAGCATCGCCCTGGCTCTGATGGCAATAACCGTACTAGTCATGGTCTGATCGAAGGCAAAGCCCAATTATCATCTGTGTTTGGAGCCATAGGCGAGATACATCTTGTCGCCGGTGCTATACTCAGTATTGTCCACGCGATGATCATTCTCTAACCTGGCGGATATGGGCTTCTCTTCCACACCATCTGACTGTTGCCGATGAAACGATTTCAGCTCTCCTCTCATCGCAGGCTCGATGCATCAACATCGTCTTACAGCGGGACATCTGCCATCTGTAGCCACCGTCAACCAGCTAGTCTCGGACCCAACACTCACTACCCATCGCACAGCATTGTATCAAGCATCCGATAGATAATACAAATGTATCCCATACGATTGATAGTAATAAGCTATATACGAACACACACAAGAATACCATAACACAAAAAGTGTGGTGTACACGAAAAGGTGGGGGGAATGGGTTAATAAACCTTGTACCTGACAGGTATCGCTCGCAATTGGTATACAGTAAGCGATATACGAAGTGAGAAGGGGGGGGGGGGGGGGGAAGGACGGACTCAAAGGAAGGGGGAGAAGGGCGTCAAGGCACAGGGACTCGCCACAGGAATCGGGGGTTTTCTAAAATAAAAATAACAAAAAAATGTAGGCGAGTCCGGAAGAAGCTTAAAGGTATAAATAGAGGAAATTGTTTGTTTAGAGCGAGCGAGGTCGAGGGATAGCACACAGAAAATACAACAAGGCCCTCTAATCTCAAATCCCGCCATAGGCATCATCGTCATTCGTTCTGGTCCTCGCGTGCGCGCCAGCAGTATTTCCATATCCCGCGTTATCCGGTGAGTAAGCATGGTAGTTACCGTATGCTTCCTGGTTGTACGGAGCCTGTGGGGTGGGTTCCGAGCTGTAGGCACCTTCCATATTCTCATGTCCGTCATCTGACATGACATTTTGCGCGGGAGTAGGAACCTGGCCAAAGGTGTACTGTGGCCGGGGCTGGAGGACGTGTGTCGGCTGAGGCGGGCCTTGAGTGACGGGAGGTGCAGTGGTAGTGGCATACGGGGTGGCAGCGTAAGGATGGGCAGTGTATGGCTCGTACTGTTCGGCATCACTTTGCGCAGCGTAATACGCTCCTTGTCCCGCCATTCCGGGACTGGTGGTGCTCGTAATAGACGGTGCGACAGAGTGTCCACGCTCGTACATCTGCGGTGGAGTAGCAGCAGGTCGGTGGGGATCGAGAGTATCTTCGTCCAGCACTATGGCAGAGCGGCGGAATTGTGAGGCTTCGAATTCATCGGCGCGACGACGGTTCCTTCTGCGGCGCTGTATGAAAGAGTCAGTAACTGGTTTGAATGAAAGCACTTCGGGCACCCGAAGGTCCCAACAAAGTGATATAAAACAAGTTATCAAAAAGGGCTGAAACATCCATCTATCGCGACAAGCTCGGCTAACGAGCTGTACGATACCATCCAGCAAAGAAGGCCGAAAAAATGCCCTATTGCGCCGCTCCGCCTCCCAGGACAGGAGAGTGGAACTAAAAATCAAATAGTTCCTGAAAAAAGGCACCCATATCACACGGTCAGCCAAACCGGCCTCTTTACTCGGCCCTGAGCTGAGAAGGGGAAACCTCGGTCGAGTAAAAACGGTCGGACACGCCACTTGAGGCCAACCTAAAAGAAAACAAGCACTCACCAGGACAAACGCAATACCGAATCCTAGAATAGCTACAGCGATGAGACCACCTGCTATCCCTCCAGCGAGGGCCTTGGTATTGAGCGAGCTCGAACTTGACCCTGAAGCTCCGGCACTGACGGTCGAGCCTGGGAGCTGCGACGTGCCAACGCGGGTCACGGTACGGTACGAGCTCGTCTGAGTATAAGTGAAAGTCGTATAGCTTCCCGTAGACGACTCGTCTGCTGCTGCTGTGGTGTCCACATGGGTATCCGACGAGGTGGCCTATAGATGCCGGTATGAGAAAAAATCAGGAACGGTTATGATGAGCAACGTACGCTGGTTGTCGTGGCGGCGCTCGTGGCAGAAGTCGAAGCTGAGGTGTTGGTGATAGATGTAGAGCTCGAAGTAGCCGAAGTAGTGGTGGTAGAGGGCGAGGCCGAAGTGGAGGTGTTGCTTGCTGTGGTAGCAGTTGTTGCTGTCGTCTCCGCAGAGGTGGCCGACGTAGCTGATGTCGATGAAGACGACGAAGTAGAGGTCGGCGACGTAGTCACGGACGGTGTCTGGCTAGTCGAGGTCTCGCTGGTGGGCGACGCAGAGGTCGTAGTCTCTGAAGTCCCTGATCAATCTACGGTCAAGCTCCGTGGCTCAATGAACAGCACCGAATACGCACCTGAGCTCGTCGCCGTCGCCGATGGTGAGGTACCCTGCGACGCTGTAGCAGACGTCCCACTACCACTATCCGTGCTCTGCCCCCCTCCCTGGCTTCCACTGGCTTGTCGTACGCGAAGCATACGGTGGTCTTGAACAAGTCCAAGCATTTAGAATTTTATATATAGAAAAGAAAGGGCGTGAAAAGAAAAGAATGTGGAATCCAGTTTGACTGGGCTGGTCGGTTCGTTGGCGGTGAATTGATGATGAGTTGACAAGCCAAATTCGATTTCCCTTCTGGCCAGAATGGTTGTCATATGTCCGCACGTGATCCCTGGTTTCACTTTCATCAACTGTTTTTCCTCCGGGCCGGGGGTTCTACATACTGGTGCTGTATTTGCTGTATTTTACAGAGTATGGAAGCAGCAGAACGCAGCGGAAAGGTAGTAAAAGCAGCTGTGGAGAGCACCAATATGATCCGCAGTATCAACCGATAGTCGAGCCGGTTCACTTATACCTGACTGGTAATTTTTCATTTTTCATATCGGTCGCGAAATGGGGTTGCTTCGGTGGCCTAACACTTGGTTGTGGCGTCGCTTCTACCCTGGGCGCCAGGGATTTTCTTTCAGGTGCTCCCCTCTGTTGACGAAAAGGTAGCCTCTTGGAGGACACCCATGGTGTCCGTGGTGCTGTAGAATCATGACCGCAATCGACGTTTCAGTCAGTTTCATCTCGAATAGGGCGGGTATCAGGACCGAGACTCGAATTCATCGACCACCTTGTCGCCCTCAACCGAGTGCGGTCGTACGGCAACAGCAATTGATCACACGTCGGTGTCGTTCGGAGGTTTTACGCACTGATATAAAAATCAGAAATTCTGTAGATCCGGCGTTCAGTAGACTCACCACTCTTCCATTTATTTAATCCTTGCAGAAATGTTCAAGGGTTCATATACATATAAAACTGTCTTTTCAAGGCGTTAGATTAATACATTCCGAAACTTCTTCTGCGTAGCGAGCTCGAGCCTAGTACCCCACGCTGATCAAGTAATCCGCAAGCCCTTCTACAATGGGCGTAGCCTCCGGCGCCTGAATGGGCGCGACGTACTCAGCAACAAGGATCGCCTGCTTTGTCTTGACAATCACGATGCCATCCGCCTATCCAAGACAATTAATCAGCATCCCAGCCCATCGCTACAACCAAAAGTCCACATACCGCCTTCTTCCCATATATACTACGCTCATTCGCCTGGAGGGTAAAGAACTTTTGCCCAGCGACACGGATACCTGATGCTTGGACGCTCGTAAGATTCGTGTAACCCTTGATGATAGCGTTCTGCTCCTCCGTCGAGAGCTACAGAGAACGACGATGATGAGCACACGATCAAGGCATGGATCGCGAGAGGGTATTCACGTTGTAACCCGGCGACGCAGCCCAGATGCCTCCTTGTTGGCCGATGATAGCTGCTTTCTGGATCCTGCCACTACCAACGAGATTCGTATCGACGTATGCTGCCGGGCGTCATCATCAGTATCTTTCCTTGTACGGAAAGGTAAACGAGTAGAGACCTTGCCAGGACATTATCTAAAGAGGAGAAAGCGGGATAAAGAGAAAGAAACAGTGGTGGTGGGTGCACTAATAGAGAGACACAGCACTAAATGTCTCCCCTGTTCGGAGATCGCCGTTATCGGGACTCGACCTAAGTTTCCTCCCGCCGTCATCGCTGCTCTACATACTACCACTGCTGGAAATTGCTTGCGATACAGCTCGAAAGCCTGCGCGTGACCGTAGTCTCTGATGGTCGCGTACATAAATTTGGTGCTGGGACCTTATTCTCGCTTAGCCGAAGCGAACTGGTTCCCATCGTACTGGTGGTGCTGCGGTATGGCAGATAAGAGGCCTTTTGTGATGTACACATTCAACACGTTTCCCGCCCAATGACCGCGGCTCGTCTCGCAGTTTTCTTCCCCTTCGTCTGGAGGTCGGAGAACGTTATATATCGCATAATGCCCGTCTTCGCAGTTCGTAAGTTGCGTTATAATGTGTAACGGCGCTTTCATGTAAGACTCGGCTGGGGAAAACTGCAACCACTGAGTCTTGGTCATGGGGCTGTCTCTAGGGTTAACGCGAACACTGCAAGTCATTAGGAGACGTCTGTCTTTCATTGTGATGAACCAGCAATCATGTCGTCTTCACTTCAAGTCCATGTGTCTCTTTGTTGATATCAAGAACTCGATTTGCTCCTCTCGATAATCATCGTCGATTTCTGTTCATCTTTTCGTTGGGGTTCTGACATTATCATCAGATACATCTGCGACAAGGGATATCTGCCCAAATTTCTCAAGGTTGTCGCCTCCTTAGAGCTCTCTCTGCGACTCTGTTCCGAGCATAACCCCGCTGAAGGATATTCTCACTGACATCTGACGCGGCCGCTGCGGCGCAGCCGACACACCGAGGCGAATATGATGCGTCTCCAAGGATTCTAGTCGGACCTGAAGGATAGCTGTATCATGTGGAGATGCCCATGTATTGATTTACTGGCTATCTCAGTCATTGATTTTATCTCTAGTGAATATGACCATCTTATTATAAACCAATCATTCTACCTTCGACTGTTCAGACGTTCATCAACCTTGTCTCTCGCAGGCAGAAGTATTCATTAACATTTATTTTCGTAAATATTGTAGAATTCCACATAAGGCAACTGTAAAGCTCCACGTCGACTGCGTAGTCGCCAGATTCTCACGCTCGATCACCATGTCTTCGCACCAGCGTGCCTCCTTCCCTTCAACATCGTCCTATCATTATTCTCGTTCTCTTCAATCAGGAATTGTCTGGGGTCGAATGAGTATCTCGTAGACAAGAAAACGTAACCGCATTCGCTATGGAAACTTCCACTATCGTCTATGCTGGCATCGCAGCAGTCTTTGGGGTGGTGATAGTTGTACGTGTTCCTGCTCTGCAATATCTCTCAGCGAGATGAAAACCCGTTTCATCCTTGTTCTTCGAGTCACGGGTCTTTGTACGCCGTGGCGAGGACGAAAACATCTGGGTCAGGGTATATAATAACCCTTTCTGATTCCTCGTTATTATGTTTCAAACTCCTGAGCTAACCGTGTTATTAGTTATACCTCGCACTCATCGCATGGTCTCCCGACCCAATAGTCACACACGACTCCGAAAAGAAATACCGCTCACACAAGCACCGCACCGATGCCCAGCCCCTACCACGTCTCTCCGACCCCAGCACTGTCGACCTCAGCGTCGTCATCCCCGCCTACAATGAGACCGAACGCCTCCCCATCATGCTCGCCTCCGCTATCGACCACCTCAGCAAAACGACGCACTCATTTGAGGTGCTCATCGTTGACGATGGCTCCTCTGACGACACCTCTGCCGCGTCTCTCAGTCTCGCGGGGAAGTACCCGAAGTGTGATATCCGTGTAGTGACCCTGGAGAAGAACCTGGGTAAGGGCGGTGCGGTGCGTCATGGGATGCTCTATGCGAGTGGGGAGAGGCTCTTGATGGTCGATGCGGACGGAGCGAGTCGGTTCAATGACTTGGAGCTTCTCTGGCGCGCCATGGACGATATTGCGCCAAACTGCGGTGCTGGAGTCGTCGTCGGGAGTCGGGCACATCTCGTCAGAACTGACGCGGTCGTAAAGGTACGTAAACATCTACCCCTTCCCTTCGCCGTGACTTAGGATTTTACTCAGCGTTCGCTACTACGGAACATCCTCATGTACGGATTACACACCATTTTACGAATCGTAGGCGTCGGACACATCCGTGATACTCAATGCGGGTTCAAGCTATTCTCGCGCTCTGCGGCACAGCAGATATTTCCTCACCAGCATCTGCCTACGTGGATATTCGACGTCGAGCTCCTCCTACTTGCCAAGCAGCTCCGTATACCTGTCGCGGAAGTGCCTATTGACTGGCACGAGGTCCCAGGGAGCAAACTAAATGTTGTGACAGCGTCTTTGCAGATGTTGAGGGATTTGTTGATTGTTAGGGCAAATCATTTGCTGGGGAGGTGGAAACCGTCGGATAAGGTTAAATCGGATTGATTGTTTAGAGTACTACTACATATGAGAAAAGTATATACAAGGTAGCAGTCTACGCAGTGCTCTATTGGACTACCTTGGCAAGTTGCCTGTGTGCCCCATGGCTGAGTTGGTTACAGCGTCCGACTGTTATATTGACATCGGAAGGTCGTGAGTTCGAGCCTCACTGGGGCAGTATAAATCAGAAACACAGAATCTTTTCCTGAGGTCAGCGCCCCCCCCCCCCCAACGCGAAACCTTTAAGGGAATAAGTTAAGATTTTGACCTGACCCTCCTCAAGGGCATTTGCTTTGATACGGTAGTTTACCGTTATTTACGTCTCTCACGTGCAACCACCACATAACTGACGCGTGGCAATAAATTTAATGTTTATATGTACATTGTGATGAATAAGGTGGTAGGAATACAGGAGCAATCGGACCGTCTCGAGTTGTCTTGGACATAGAAATGGATGGCCTCGAGGGCGAAGGACGAGATGACGACGTTTGGAATCGAACTTCGGAAACCCCGAAGACCTGAGGACTGAGCGGAGCGTAGGCGACTTCGTATCACGATGGCGGGGGGCATGATTGGGTTCAATGAATAATAAAGAAAAGCCTACGAAAGATGAGCACGAAAAGATCAGGTAGATCTCGTTGAACTTCGACTCGCAACGAACAGTACAGCAAAATACAGCTGAGAGTGCAGATAACACAGCAAGAACATCGATTAGATGAGGATTTCAACTGGGACGAAGCTACTAAGCTTGTAGCAAAGGTACTTTGGGTCGCAGACGGCTAAAGCATACTGGAACAAGCGAAGGGAACGGTACAAAGATACCACAACAACCTTCACTTCTTCCGTTGTTGCCGTCATCATCACTTCCGCTGAGCTGTATATCGATACCTCTGCATAGCCCCGGACAGCACTCGGGCTGTCTGAGATCTTGATTCGCTACAATGATCTCGATGACAACAAATCAACCGTGGAGAACGCTAGCTATGTCTGGACCTAACGAGGACTGACGCATATATGCTGTATATCAATGTCCCTTAAAGGTGTGCCGCTTCTAGCTATAGGATTGATGTGTCTCCTGGACTTGGAAAGGGCTTCTTTTATGAGATCCTACGGCTTAATTCTGTCCTTACGTCCCTCATATCGTGAGCATGGGTCAGATGCAAATCGAGTAGAATGAATTCTCCGGGGCATTAAGGTGTGTTGGTGCTGTTTTTGCTCGAGTTGTCAATTCAATCCTTTTCATAAAGTTCAGGGAGTCGCCTCGTTACTCAAATGTCAGCCAGTCACGCTATGTTCTCTGTTTCCGTTTTCAAAGACAGCCCAAGGTATATTAGTTTGAATTGCTTCAACTGTGATCAAATGTCCTGATAAACTTTAAGGCTCTTGTTGCGTTATTAGCTGGAGTTTGTGTCTATTTTGCCTGTTCCATTGTGTTACAGGTCTTGTCGTGCAATTCTTACACTTTTGTCCAAATAAGACCTTATCGTTCGTTGCTTTTGAACCATAGTCCTCGCACGACGAGTAATCTCGAGCATATGGCGTCGATCACTACAGGTCTTGTCTCAGGCCAGCGCTGCGCAGACCCGCTGATCTCATTTGGACGGAGATCCTAAGCCAGCGCTTGCCCACGAAGCAATGTCTTTCTCCCCTCAGTTGAGCATAGAGAGTATGGATTTGTTTGTAAAGCTCCGAGCCTTTTCGGGTCGCGGGGGGTCCTAGCTTTAATTAGCCAAGGTCTAATTTTCTAGCGTACAGGCTCATTCCGGGTACAACGTCTCCGGCCCTCTGATACGGCATTCTACATCCTGCATGACCACTACTCTTTACGTCTTATCAAGTCAGAACAATATGGGAAGCATACAACACGTTCCTAGAGTTTGGCCATGAGGATGCGTTTCTGCGCCAAAGAATACAGCAATGAGGTTCGTCTGCTGTAATCTTTTGGCGACGTTTCATATCAACATAGGCAATGTAGGTCCAATGGTATGGCATGTAGCCTGATGTATATCACGCCAGCGCCATCGTTACTCCAAAACTCGATTTAGCCCTGATCAACCAGTCCGTCGGATACGAATTTAAGTTGCAGCTGTGATTATCTGGTTCAGTATAATATAATGCCGCAGCCCTCCACCGACAATTACCATACCACTTTGAACGATGACATACGCCACTGCTTCTCGAGAGGGCGCGAATCTTTGAGAGAAGAGCAAAGGCAAGTACGTGCAAAGTCTCCCTACTGACCATCGCACTCATCCCCGCATGGCAGTCTCCTTGAGATGAGCGCTTTTGAGATGGCGTCACTTCTTCCGAACCCACAAGCGCTAAGCATCCGTACGCTTCCGGAAGAATTCGTAGGCGCTTGATTAGGCGCCGCCTGGTACAATGTTTGCGCTTCTCCTCCTGCAGTTATAAGTGTTACAGAGACTTTTCTGCAGACAGCTTCTGTTTTACAGTGTGTGGTACGCCATCTGAATATTTCCCTTGGTCATAGACATCGCGACAGACACAGTGTAAAGACATCGAATCAGGCTCTTCCTCGACACCAGATTGTCCTTGGCACTCTATCAGCGAGGTCCCAGTCTCCCGTGATCTGCGGTTCCCACCTTCAAGCGCCTTGTCTTCCTCTTCTCTCATGGATCCCAAGCAACCCGGCAATAGGTGAGCTGGTTTTCGTTGAAAGAATGGCAATCGCTGAACGTCGACGTTTTGCATGGACAGTCTCAGCACGGCCAACAGGGTTGCCAAGTTGATTGGCGACATCCACGCAAGATGTTCAAATTACCGTGCTGTATCTGAAACCATACAGTTGACAGAAAGCTGCCTAGAGTGTGTCCAAACTCGACTCGATATCTTCCACGAATATCTCAGGAGAGCAGAGTCAACTCTCTCACCTCGCGCCCAAAGTGCTCTCCTTCAATCCTTGCAGAATGTCGAGGATTTATTGTTCGAGTTGGGGGTCCAGCTTTCACCGAATATCGTCATGGGCAGGCTGAAGTGGATTGAGCCGAGGAAAAGGCGGATCAAGGATTTAGTCTTCGAGATCAGGATGTGGGTGCAAGAAGCGGGATTGACGATCCGCGCTTATGGTGTATTACTGAAGATCACAACCGTTGACCTTCTGTACCAACAATTGTTGGGGACGTACCATCATTCATTGACGATGGACGGTCACTCGTTGAAGATGTACGATCACTCCTTGACGAGCGCGTTGGCACTAGCGAGACGAATTCATAATCGCGCAGAGAAAGCACAGCCCCCCCTCATCCCCAACTCTGCCCTCAGAAGGGTTGGACCTGCCATCAAGAACCGCGCGTTTGCCACCCTAAACAACACAGACCTGGTGTACGCGGAGGCCCACTGCCATGTTGAAGACTCCGCAACGAGAAACGCCATCGAAAGGATGGCGGCGATCTTCTATGGGCCGGATTTTCCTTTTATACCAGAGCACCTCCTGCCTTGCATTGGCTTTGCAAAGCAGTACGATGGTAGAATGTATTTTCTCATCTACCAGCTCCCGCCCATGAGCCCGAAGCCCGACAAGAAGGCGCCCGTTCCAACGCTTGCGAACGCCCTGTGTAATGGCATCCGGATGGCGCTCGAAGACCGCTTTCGTATCGCAGCAGAGGTCACCATGGCGGTGCTGGAGCTGCACGCAGTGGGTTGGGTACACCAAGCCATTTGCAGCGATAACGTGCTCCTGTCGACTAAAGGAGGAGAGAAGGGTGCTATAACAGACGCTCAAATCAGTTCTGCGTACCTTATAGGTTTCAAACCTGTACATCTTCAAGATCCAGGCTTTCCAAAGCTCCCAGCGCCAAACGACTTTGCGGAACAGGGTGACGTTAGATATGATTTGTATCATCTCGGGGCCGTGCTCGTCGAGATCGGGTTTGGCCAGACATTGGGAGCAATACTTTCAACCGCACGCACGGTGTTGGGAGAGCCGAAGCGTGGAGAGACAGAATATGAGCGCCTGAAAGAGTGCGCCCGTCGATTGGGTAATAAGATGGGTTCGAAGTACGCCAATGCGGCAATGATGTGCCTCTTGTTGAGTAGGCAACCGAAGGATCCAGTAAGGCTCAGGGAAAGGCTCTTTGAGGATGTTTTGTGTCTTTTGAGGCAGATAATGGACGGCTTCAAGGTTTGTTCCGTCTCAGGTTACCCTATCCATGCACTATGCTTATAACTATCAGGCAGGAGAGTAGAAGAGAGCAGGCGATTAAAGAGAGATTATCCTCATCTAACACGACAAACAACGCGGCCAACGTTCCATGGTTGAAGCATTGTTTCTTGGTTTTATTCAAATAACCCACGCGTTCTCAGTCTAAACCGATAATATTCGTAATTTCAACCATAGAATTGATTACTACTGACATGTTTCCGAGAAAAAGCGATATTTATGTTACTCTCAGGCCACGCGCTTCACGCTGACAAGGCAATTTAACGGTCACGTGCGGAGATACAAATGATACATGCGACAACATTGACGTATAATTGATCGTCCATAGATATCAAGTGTAAGATATCTTTGTGCATTTCAAGTACCGTGATATGGTACTTGATTCAAGTAAAACATGGCAGAAATGGGTGTGATATGCCTTGACATCTTCCGAATTGAAGATATCTGCCGGTGTTAAGTACGACCAGGAGTCAATAAATATGAAATATAACGGCTGCAGAGTTTGAGATAATAATATGATATGTTCGAAGTGACGTCTGGCCTGTTCCCTTTATAAAATGATATACGTGATCGTAGAATCTTAGAGAACAGGAGTTTGTCTGCCATTTTCTTCCTAATCAAAAAGAGAGTACTGATATGACCGAAGCAGCAAAATGCCTTCCTGCTACTATAACGGGACGAGAGGCACCCCGGTCTCCAATAGAGGATAATGATTTAATGTTCTGGTACTTGTGTGGTACCATGGTAACTGGTTTCAGTCCGTACTACTTGGACTCCTCCCTGTTAATTTTCACAGAGGACACCGATCTAAAAAGGATCAGTTAAGATTCAAGAGGTCCTAGTGAATGCCGACTCACAGGTGTACAGCAATACTCACACCTAGGAATTTCTGAATACCGTAGATAACGCAAAAAAAAGGTGAGATTAATTGTAGATTCAATTGAAGTGTCAAGTTATCGAGTTTGCGAGGTGGTATCCTGGGTAGCGGACAACTAAAGCCAGTTGTATAACATGGAAGATATTCAGGATCCCGGGATGACTCAGAGTGAGATTGACGGTGAAATGATGACGGTACAAATTTATCACAACAATGCTCTGAACCACCACTTGACCACACAACACAATTCGTCTCGTTGATTTCAGGAACAGTTGTCACCTGAACAAATGTGTGGGAGGCAATAGACATGCAAGAAAAATGGCACTACTTGCCAATGTCAATGAAGTTATTGATGGCCGCTATCCTTTGACCATGATTCATCGGTATGTACACGACAGCTTTGGATGTGTATCACATTAGCGTGGTTTCACGTGATGTGATATGCACCTCGTCACTCTCCAGGTCACTCAATCTAGATCCAATAAGGGAACTAGGGCTTCGCACCATCACCGTATAGTATGGTTATATGGGTGCTGTCATACAGGTACCATACCCGTTCCATCTGGTGAAATAACTCACCCAGAAACGGATGGTATACGGACATCCCGTATCCCGTTAGCAACCGTATAAACATGGCTGTCATATGGTAATCAATGGCCATGTATGTATCTAAAAATAACTGTCATTAGATCATGCTGTACATGTGTTTGCCATACACTTAACATCGTACCACAATGTGCTGGCACCACAAGCTCTTCAGTGCTACCACCCGATCTTCTTTCACTCGCTCTACTCAAGCTCTAATCCTTACCAGCATAGAATACTTTCTATTTCCTGCTTCTGCTGCCTCTATTCTACTACTGTTTCATCCTTTGAGTTTGACTACCCACACATATTGCGCAATAATTTGCCCCCCACTAGCCTGTGCACCTGTCAAATACTGCTGAATTTTAAGCCAGAGGAGTTCACGAAAGAGTATATAATGGCCCTTTTTTTCGCAGACTTACGACCACATTCTGAGCATCATGACAGATCAGTGTGCCCTCAATGCCAACGGAAACTTGAAAATCAAATTTTATCACGATGCAGATGATGACGTGCCCATGGCAGGACCTGAAGCTGCTCCAAAGCCTCAAATATCAGTTATGTATTATTCAACGGCCATATTGACGACCGGCACGGCCGTCTATATACCCGTACCATACCGTCAACCCAGTTCTAAGAGCCTTGACGGTACAGTTATGGACCACCCGTCGCCTGTCACTGTACCGTGGCTATATGGCTGTATACTGTATACGGTACGGTGCGAAGCCCTAAAGGGAACCCTTTGGTCGTACAGTCACTGAGGCTTGTTTCACCATAACACATACCACTACTTCTTCGAGTTCTTGAGAAAACTCGAATCATTGAGAAGAAGAGCAAAAGTAGGTACATCCGAAGTCTTCCCAGTGCTGACCATAACACTCATCACCTCGTTGTGATCTCCTTTAGATGGGCACTTTTGACATGGCGCTATTTTTCCTGAATCCACAAATACTAGGTTTACGTCCACCGCCGGAGTAACTTGTAGGTGCTTGATTCGGCACTGTTCGCTGCAATCCTTGTGCTCCTTTTCAACTTGCCATTGTAAGTGCCGTTCAGAGTGCCCTGAACAAGGATTGCACTTGACATTGGGTGGTGCGCTACATGTATTGCATTTGACTATAGGTGTCGCGGCAGATACTGTGTAATGACTTCAAGTCATTGTCTTAGTCAACACCAGGTTAGCCTCAGCACAGTTCCGGTCTCTCGTGATTTGTGACTCCCACCTGTAAGCGCTGTGCTCTATGATGGTTGTCAGCAGGTAGCATTGTCTACGTCTTCCATAATCTACTGAAAAACAATCCAGTGATGAGCCTAAACTTCCATGGCAATGGCAAAAACCAAAACTCTAGAGGAGTTCACGGCAAATGGCGTGTAGCGGCAATAAAGGCTTTGTTGTTGTGCGAGTGTTTTGGTGCACCTCCGTGCGATGAATTCCTCAAGAACACAAGTATACACTGCGACTTTTCAGTCAGCGAAGTAGTACCCTTAACGATCGAGTACTAGAAAACGTTGGCTGTAAGCCGGGAAGGGTCTCGATAGACGAGAAGGAACAGAATCTGGTATAACTGGGAATACCAGCAAACCGTGAACGAAGTGACGGCAATTTAACTAGTAAAAGCCGTGGGCGATGTTGACAGAATTAGCGAAAATGCCGTCAAAGAGAAATACCGTTGGCAAGATAACAAATACTGTGGTGGCAAGAGACGAAAACTGTAGTTGAGAAATGAGAAACTGGCGGTAAAACGAAGATAAGACTGGCTGGCGATGATATGAGGGGGAACTAGTGACGGCAAAACGATGGCTGAGACTGGGCTGGACTGAAACTGAAACTATACTGAGGTTAACGATGGCAAAACAAAACTGATACTAAGCCTGAGTCTACATGGAGACAATCCTATACTGAAACTGATGGCAAGATACCAAATACCGTGACTGATGATCCTATACTGAAGCTGTTGACCGAAATTCCGTGACAGATGCTGCTGGCAGCAATAACAATACTAATCTGAGTCCACACGGGGACGTAACGATCCTGAACTGAACTGGGTAAAACGATGGCGATGTAGAAGGTGAAAACTGATGAAAACGATGCTGGCTGGTGAAAGTGAAACAATGCTGGTGGATTAAAAGATAAAAGCGAGTTGTGGATACCAAATTCCGTGTATTGGCGCAATATGAGTGTACACCAATACCATTAGAAGAAAAGCCATGACAGAGAGTATAACTTGGAGTGACTATGTTGTTATTGTCTATCTCCTAGCGAGTACAAGCGATAACAGTGGTCGATAACGTGGATGATGGCTAGTGTCCAGTAACTTGTGTCTAGCAACTACTACTACACTAGCTTTTATACTACAAGTCCGGAATAAAATTAGAATACTTGAAACGAGTCCTTAGTAAGTCCTTAGTACATTGATTGGTAAGAAATGATACAAAACGCATGCTCCCAGAGTTCTAAAGTAACAGCACCCACATGGTTTTACCACGTATAGACTTAGTGATCAGAAAGAATTCTGCCGACATACGGATTCTTGGGCTGCTGTGTTGCTGCGGCAAAGTACACTGAAGGTAGTACACTGAAGTAGATGCGTGCGGCATTGTCTTGGCATTGTAACAGCCTTAGTAAAGCTGGTGGAAAGGTCATGATATTAAGTCTTTTGCCATGGAATAGGTACTTTGGCGGCAGCATTCTATTAAGTGATGCTTGATGCTGATGTCAGCAATGGCTGTGCTGAGCAGTCAATGATGGTCCTAATTCTGTGAGATCTGCAATCAAGTGCCTGGTGGCAATAATGAAGTGGCGCATATTGATGCGGAATACGAGTTGGGATGGATAGTTGGTGGTAAAAGTGGGTATTGCCATGATTGCAATCGTTGACTTAGTGAAAGTCCGCTAAGTGGACAAGGCGTTTATTATAATGCTTAAAAACCATGAATTCTGAGCGTACAGAGCCTTGAGGCTCATCACCGGCTTCCCTTCTCTTTCAATTTCTACGTCGACCGCCTAATCTTCAGATGGACATCTTTTCCACTACCATCAAAGTTATCAAACTGATAAACAGCATCCACACGAAGTATTCAGACTATCGTTCCGCAGATCAAACCATCAGGTCCATGCAGCATCACCTGGAGTGTGTGGAGATAAGATTGGAGATATTCCATGAACATCTTAGCAATGCAAAGCTGTTGAGGATTCACCCTAGCCCGTTCTCGGTATTTCTTTCTTCAACTTACTTACTATATATATTTTTACCTCCTTTCTCTGGCCACTTATATTTACCAATTGCCCCTCGACACACCTCAGCCGTTCACTACCATTACGTGTGACTGACTGAGGTGTGTATATTGTTCTTATTATCTTTACTTGCCTCTTTCTTATGCTACATTGATGTAGCTGTTATATTCCTAACAGGTAGCGTATTTAATACAGCCATTCACTACCATTACGTGTGACTGACTGAGCTGTTATATTCCTAACAGGTTATGGGCTCCCGTGCTCATCCCTCCTGGTCAATAACACACACGTACTTACTGAATGACTCATTAAATCGCACAGACCAGTGCAAATCGAACATTGTCCAACCCCTATCATGACGACTACCTCCTCACAGCATGTCCTCCCAATTAAACTGGAGGACGACGAGAAATTTAATGGCGAGAATTGGGCAGCCTTTGAAATGGTCATGATGACTGAAGGAAATACCCAGTGGCCTCATCAACTACTGGGAAAATAAAGTCGTAATTCCTGGAACTACACTCACATCGTTACCATCCACTCCTATCAACAGTCTTTCCCTGAACTTATTCGAATATGCCCAACGTGAAAGTGTTGCACTCGTGTCGATTATTCGGAATGTCAAGGATGTATTTGGCATCGGAATTGATCCCCACAAACCATCGCACATGGCTTGGAATGTACTCAAGACCCAATACGGTGCATATTCAGACTTAATCTGTAACCGCAGGGAGAAGACACTGAAGGCAATGAAGTACCAAGATGGAGAAAAGGTCAGCGGAGACGGTGGATATATTGAAAGGATGCGAAAGCTACAGAAGGAGGCCAACGATGCAGGCGCAGGTATTGACGACAAAAGCTTCAAGACCACACTCCTAGACTCGTTCCCTGAGGCATGGGACTCGGTCATCAGCACACTCTATGCTGAAAACAACCTCACTGTCGTTATCGCACACCTTATTGCCCATGGCGAACCAGGCATTAATCCCTTTACAATCAATTAAAGGACTGCGGCAGCAGAGCATGCCTTAATGTATCAAGCCCTCCCATTGTAGTCAACATCTAATTAATTGAGACCAGCAGTGAGGCCAGCATCAGGGTTGGGCGCGCTTGGGCTCTCGTGGCACTCGCTATGCAGACCAAAAATAGTCTGCATGAATCATTTGATGGAATAGATTATACCGTTAATGTTTGTCCACGATCCGTACCCGATTTTCGGTCTGATAATTTTAGATGTTATCCCTAGATCAGGTATTTTTAGTCTGTTTTTCTCCTGAAGCCTGTTCCTTACCTGGTAAATATAGAATCCATCACTACCGTCGAGCGTTAGCACTATTTATGGGCTTCCTCGCCTGTCATGTCATCCCCTACTGCGAATCTCATGCTACACTCCAGGTGTGAGCACTATTTTTAGATCCTTCGCATGTCATGCCCTCCTCTCCCTAGCCTTGATATGTTTTTGGAGGTTTTCCCTGATCCCCATCCACATTCCCTGGTTCGTATTCTCATTCTCATGTCTTCATTGTGAAATGTCTTCCATTCTCATGTCTTCGTTGTGAAAACATTTCTTAAAAAAGTCCTGCCCAACTTTGCTTCTGCCTTGGCAGTCGCCTCGAATCAGCATTCACTCTCGCTCGCCCCAATCCAAAGACTTTGAACTTGGCAACACTGCTCTTCAGTCATCATGAGTAGCTACCGTTACGCTGAACTTCTAACTGCTTAATAAGTCTGAGGGAATCACATTCAGATTTTCAAGACCAACTTCATCTATTACACAACGCTACATTACATTCAACTAGCTACGTCTTCCTGACTCTACGTTTAGGAACCTTGGGTACAGCTATTGTCCCTCCCTCAAGCTCTGCACACTCAGCAAGCATAAGAATTTCCTTTGGCGCCAGGCCTGAACGAACCCTTTTGGCCCATGTCGCTGTAAGACCATCCTCAACCTGGGTGCCTTGGCGCTTATGAGTTTTCGTGCCAGTTGGCTGGGGTTCTTCGAGTTCAGTCCAAATAGAAGCAGCGGTGGCAGATTCCGATGTCCTTGTCTCTGATGGCTGTTTGTCTGAGGGAACTTCATCTAGCGGTTCTGCAGAGCAAGCACGGTTTTCTTCTTTGATTTTCTCCTCCTCACTGGCTTGGTGAGAGTCGTCTCCATTGATGTGAGGATTGGGCATCGTAACTTGTGAAGGAGGCTGGGCCTCAACTTCAGCAGATGGTACAGGTGACAATGGCAATGGTGAAAGCAGTGAATCGGAAGCACCGAGTTCTTTGCCAGCTGGGACACTGACGTCAACATTATTACCGGTATCATGGCTCTCTTTGTCGATGTTGTCATCTGGTTCTGCATTCTCCATGATCTTCTCTTCATCTAGCTTTTGCTGCCCAGTCTCCCCAACATCCATCTCAACATCTACAGCATCCTTGACTGACTGAGATGGACCCACCAAGTCGCCATCATGTTCGAAGAGCTCAGGCCAAATGGACATCCGTGGCTGTCATGACAGCGTCAATTAATGCCAGGCTCATTTATGTAATCACGTACGATACACCTGCTGAAGGAACCTTGTAAATGGCGTTAGATATGTCTCCTTGAACTTAGGAAAGACCTGGCCAAAGGTTCTTCCATGCTCATCTTCTCCTGCATGAAAACTGAATTCTACATCAGCAACGCTTGCAAGAACTAGTTGTGTAAGCCACAGACATACCCATATGTTGAGATCTTGCCATTTTCCCAAGGGTCGGGTCCTCCAAATATCATCATCATTGCGCACCCTGTCACTTTAGAGAGTGCCGCCATAAAAGTCTTTATTTGATCGGGAACTGCAGCAATTGCACTATAATTCTTATTTAGACAAAATATGTGGGTGGTAGGACGTCAAACATATGCAGCAAACATTTCCGGAGTGATGGGACCATCCTCCATGACTGACAACGGAACCTGCTCCTTTGTCCATTCCAACACCTGGTTCTGAACCACCTCGCTCTCCACCTCAAACACCTCTTTGGTCGTATCTTTAATCAATTTAAGTACCTCGCCTCGACTGCTAATACCAACTTTCCTCTGATCCACCAGCGGTTTGATGCGATCAACATAGTAATTGCATGAATACACCTCTTCCGCCTTTAACGCACGAGTCCTGGGCTTCACAAAGATGCCAGCAATGCGAGCAGCATTCTCGACCTTTTTGGCAGACCTGTGGTTTTGAAACCATTCTCTCATGCGCTAGCTCCAAGTCCATCAAGCCAGTCACAGTAAGCAAGGTAATTCGACTAACCTTGATATCACCATCCTTAGATCTGGCACCCTCCAGCGGAAACTCAAGCCAAAATCTGGGCATAAAGTCTTTTATGAAACTAGCAATTGCCGCATTCTTCCCTTTGGCTGACTGGGCGGTATGATATTCAGGCACTCCCCCCTCTAGAAATGTCCACTGCTCGGGTGTTGCCCAAGGTTTTGGCCCAGGTTTCTTCTGCTCTACAGGGACTGGTGGCGGCGATGCAGTGGGACCTGGTGGTGGCGGTGATGGAGGTGAGCCTAATGTTGCCATCTAAAAAAGAACATCAGCGGAAGCTTTTAAAATAACCAATAGCATAATTACCGTCTTTGAAATTACCATAAGAACAGTGATGCTTTACCTCCGTGTAGGGGGAAAAGCCACAGCAACTGTACAGTTGACCAGTGGGTTCTCCGCTGCCGATGCACCAGCTGAGAAGCCAGGACTATGCTCATTCATTTGAATCTTAATTTCGCTACAAATACTAGCAAATTGCTGTGGAGGCTATTTAAAAGGCGGTAATCATCTTATGGGAGCTTTTCATCCCTTGATTGATACCATCACTCGACCCTGAAAATGACCCAGCAATCGCAGCTTAACCTTACTCCTCAGGCCCTGGCGGCGCTTTTAGAGGCGCTTAATGCGCTCAATTTGAATGGTCAGTCTTTTTTTCACCCGCATTACCACCTTGACTGACTTTTCTTCAGCCAACAATGCCAGCACGTCCACCTCTGCTCCTGGAGAGCCGGAGGGTGAACCAGCTCCTGCTCCCATTGCTGAGTCGACTCAGGGAGCCGTCGCTGGTTCCGCCGTCGCCAGTCCCTCCCCTGCCCAAGCTCCTGGGTAAGTCTCCCAATTACGCCTGTCAGTGCAGAGTGATACTAATTCTCATTCCTACTAGTAACCTCTGGTGCTTCCTCCAACACTGCCCGGTGTGGTGTTGCATCCGTTCACTAGAACCCTCCTCCCTGCTGTCTATGCAGCCAGGCAGATCGTCGTCAGTCCTCTTGTGTCCCTCCTACCCAACAGCCACCAGCACAAGTCCACTCTGGCTTCCATTGTTCGCACTATGGTGTGCATTCAATCCCGCTGTTGGGCAGTCCAGTGAAGCGTGGTACGTTGTTACTGCAGGCCGTGAGGTTGGTATATTCTCCAATTGGTATGTCAGTCTCTTTGCTGTTTGAATCTAACTGACAGGCGTCACAGGGAAGTCATTCAGCCCTTGGTGTCTGGCATTGCACATGCATGCCATTGCAAGTATAAGACGTGTGCAGAGGCCGAGGAGGCATTCCAGACGGCACTCAGCCAGGGCAAAGTCTGTGTTCTTTGAGGTCGCCACTTTTTTTCTTGGACTTATCTTAGCTCTCATCTCATGTTCCCACCTGCTTTCCTTTCATGCTGTTATTGACTCATTTGTTGTGATATTCTGATATAAAACTGTGCCAAAAAAAAATATCTCTAGTATCGTAGTTAGATTTAGCTAGCCACCCAAAATATATACTGTGATTATACCTTTAAAAAACTGCTGCAGTGTTGCGGAATACCAGTCGCACCGAAAAAAATACCTCTGCAGCTTACAATATGAACTAAATGAAATGCTTCCATGGCACACATTCAGTCCGAGGTATTAGCAGCGCAGCCGAAGTTATGGCCGAAGTATCTGGTGGCTTGGATTGAAACTGTACAGTTGCAGCTCAGAAGTTCAGAAACTACCGTATAAGAATCAAATAAGGATATAAACCATGGGAAAACTCCCATTGACTCTCAAGCACAATCATTCGCCATGGCATGCATTGTCGACGTTGATGAAAATGACTTGTAAGTTGTGAATTACCACGTGCCATATGGTCAATATACTAATGTCTTTTTAGAGCCGCCGCCCTTGCTATGGTCCGGTGGCATTGCCCCTCTACGCAATTGTACAAAATGTGAGTACCTGCCAGTGACACAGCATCATTCATGCCCCTGATGCTGAATACAGACCGCAGTACCTCCCGTTTGAGCACTCACTCCTTAGTACTCTTGACACCAACTTCCGAATCAAGATGCACCACTTTACACATACGCACAAACACGGATACCATGGTAGTTACCTGTACCCTCATGGAGACACTGATGGTGAGGCCGTAGAGAGGGCCTGGAGTTCTGCAGGAGCGATGACTATCTACCGTACTCATAACCCCTGTCATGTATTCTATCTGTCCTGCTTGTAGTATCTACACTCTCATTTGTAGTCATCCAATGAAAATCTCCAAAGACAGGCCAACCGCACCTACCAATGAAGTTAGTGACCCGATCTCAGCAGCCAACTGAACAACGTGCCTGGCAAATCCTGGTCAGACCCTCCCTGACACCCAGTATCTACCCTCCCCAGGTCTTATTTACGAGAAAATCTTAGATCAGAATCCTAGGACCAGTGCGAAATGAGCCTGAAAACCTTGCATATGAGTTGGGCAATGGTACATGAAGACGATCCCGTCCAACTGCCCAAACGAATTTAAATCAGTATAAAGTCATTAGACGAATGGATGATGATTACCACTAGTGATCACTATATGAGTGCTTGCTCTATCTTGTCGACCCTCATCTCACATCTTCGCAGGTCCTCCCTCTGCAACTAATTGTTCGTTAGGGACGCTAAAGGTCAGATGATGATATTTATGCAGCTAAATTCCATTCCAGAGGTCCTCTAAGCTCAATATATAATTAATATCAGCAGAAACCACTATGGTTGGACCCTGCAAACCAGCCATGGCATCTTCGCTCGGCACGTAATTTTCCCTTCACCGCTGACCATGATGGATCCTGACCTCATCACTGCTACTACCGAGATTGCCAGCATCACAGTATCTGACGCTGTGGATACGCCAAACACCACCTCGCCTGCCCTACCTTCCTGTCAGCCACGGGGTCGTCCACGCAAGTACCACACAGCAGATGAAAAAGCTGGTGCTCATGCCTTGGCACAGCAGGGATACTACGAAAGGTATGATTACCCCATCAACCGCAGATGACCGAACTTGATGTGCTTTGCTTCTACAGAAATCGCGAGGTAGTCTGCAGGAAAGCATGCAGACACTATGCACCTTCGTCCTCGGATAACCATGAACGACCTTGCCGCCATGTCACTCCCAAGGAGCCACGTCAACCTTGTCATCCCTCAGCCACTTACCCATGCGTTACTCAGTCATGATTACTGTATTAATGCCTGACTCATTTATCCAGATCTGTTGCGAAAACAACCATGCTGGATGATTGGAAAGCTAGCATCGAGAAAAACCAGGCGTGGCTGACTCGACATCTCAACAACCAACCTCCAGCCATGCTAGCCGCTGCTGTATGCTTGCGTGCCTGTGAGGCTCATGTCACTGACCCGAGCATGGTGATATCAGAAGCCCTCGAGCCGTTCAATAGAATGCAAACTCGTATCAACATCATCAGCACTAGCATATATTGGCGAATGGGATGTACCAACTTGTGGAAGGTCGCTGAGAAGTTGTGTAGCCAAGTTCAAGAAGTGGTCAACCTCTTGCAGGACCTCCTATGCTCAGCACTATCTGGCATCAGTGAGCTCAGGATGGCATTCAATGAGGGTACACTAGCATACCAACAGACATAGGATTTTGCCTTACTCCGTGTCCTCCTCGGCTATAGTTACCTGATTTGTTTTGTAATGTCAAAGCCCATGTGACATATCCCAACATGCTTGCACTTTTTTCTTCCTCTCTTACCATCATCTCAGTTTCTTGCACACATGCCTCACATGGATCCCTCCCAAAATTTCACTGAAGGATATATCTCACCAATGCTGCAGATCGTTTGATGCAGCGAGCATTACCATGTGTCCCTCTTTGGCTTCTCCGAGCCTTCTCATAGATTGGATGACTCATCAGACCATATACGGCAACCACGAGCTTCCCAAATGTCTCCCAACTCCCCGCTTCGAAGCGTTGGTCCCTTATCCTCCCTCTCACTGCAATGGACTGACGACGATGACAAGAATGTCTGGGGTCTGCCACCATGTCCGGTATGTCTGGTGTCGTATCTTTCCAAACATACAACCAATCCTCACTTTTGCTCTGTGTAGAAACGGATCCCTCAAGCGCTATTCAGCTGCTCTATGCAAAAAACCTTAAAAGAGCACTTTGATGTCTATGTGCATGCCATCGAGCATGAGGAGACCGACGAATTCTGGGAGTGGTTTATGGACATATGGGTGCGATTGTACCCAGAAACTGTTACAAATCACTGGGCAAAGGAATACCAAGCCAGCGTACAAGAGTGCTACTGAGTGCATGGTCATCCCACCTTGATGTTAGCATCCAACTGACTGTTGGTCTTAGCGGATCGAGACCAGGCTGGATCTTATGGGCAGCCAAATCGCCAAAAATGAGCTTGCGATGTATAAGTTCATGTGCAGTATCCCAGAGTCTGTCAGCGACGATTCGGTGTCATCCAGTACTAGCGAGGATTCGACAGATCAGTTTTTATCAGGTGACGATGATGACGACGATGCAAGCACTCTCTCTTCTCAGGTTAGCTGTTCGACTTCACTTCTGGCTTGGGCGGATGATGGCCATGATATCCTCTTGACTGATGGCAAACAAGGGAAGAAAGCGAAGAAAGTCGGGTTGGAGTTAAAGATGAGAGCCAAGACGAGGCTGTTGTACTGGCAAGTGGCGTTGCCTGTCAGGAAGTGATGTCAATCCTGCAGAGTGGGAGCGAATCGAATGTTGATGCATGGGTTACTGCTATGGGGTATGATGAGCTGGATGCCCAAGTTCCTATTACCAGTATGACAGTGGCTGGGATTACTACCATTTACGAGGACTAGTAGTACTTCTACATGTTTTCTAGGTCCTACAATCATATCTAAGTACTTTTGTGCTGCTCATTTTGGTTTGGTGGTGTTTGGTCTGTCAGGTCATTAGGCTTAGCTAAACCATCCTTTATGCTCCCAAACATGTGAAAAATCAAATGACCGCAAATTTCGGCCGATGTTTCGTTCTCAGAAGATCAGCTCGAGGAAACTGTGACTGCACCATGTCCTGTGCGGCTATGACATACAGATTATAATGTCAATGCAACCAGCCACTCAAGGCTTCAAACGACGACTACCTATCACAAAGCGCCTCCCAGTCCATCCAAAGCTCGTTCTGCGTTGCACGATCCTGTTCTCGAGGAATTTTCAGGAGTAGATCTGTCATGGCTCAATGGTCCTACGCTCGAAGAGGAAAACAGCAACTCTGACTCAGAGGAAGAGGATCAAGCAATGGATCCCAGGGGCGTCGACTGAGGATGCAGAAGTCCACCAGGTATGGTCAGTCTCTCTCATGCTGTGCCCTCCTAATCTATATCTCAGGATGATCCTCACTTCCAGGATTGGTTGCCAGCTCACATGGGAGTTTCCTCGAAGAGATGTTTCTGGATGAACACCCTAGGCAGTTTGGGTTCTCATGTGCTCGGTGTCAAACTTCTGCAGCGGAAGTCACCCTCTACCGATGTGCCTCCTGCAACGAACGTTTCATGTACTGCGACGAGTGTATGGTCTGCTGGCACTATGGCAATCCACTGCATAGAATTCAGGTATTCCTTTATCTGCTTTTACGATGCGCATTCTCACAGTAATTAGGAATGGACTGGAACTTTCTTCAAGAGGACCACACTTGGAGTGCTGGGTCTGGTGATGGCCTTGGGTCATGACCCGGACACTTGCTGTCCCACTCCACTTCGTGGCCAATTGCATGTTCTGGATCTTGAAGGAATTCAAACCGTACATGTCGACTACTGCGATTGTATGCAATCTCTCCCTCGTTGGTGACAACTCCTCTGGTCCTGGTTCTTTCCTTCCACTGTTGTACACCCCCAGATGGCGATGACATTTCAGATGCTGGAAGTATTCCACCTGCTGTCGTTTATGTTGAAAGTGTCTGGGTACGAGTTCTATCACACCCTTGTCCGGCTCACAGACAACACAGGAACGTGTCAACCTCCAGTAAGTCATGCCTTCAGCTTTGCGTTTCAGTTTCCTGACTGGTGTTTGCAGAGTCAGTTCCAGGCATTCATGAGGATGGTTCGTGAATGGCGCTATCTGAAGCTCCTCAAGCGTATGCTAGACAAATCTCCACGCGATTTGAAAGGCTTGACACCTGGGAAGCTGCCGATTCCAGTGGGATCATTGGCAGTGAAATGCCCGGCTTGTCCTTGGCCTGGGATTAACCTGGAGGAGGGTTGGGAAAATGATACCATGAATCTGTAAGTGAATACTGAATGTATTGATGTTGATGTGCTCCTGATCACCCTTTTAGGTGGAAATACAGTCTCTTCCTCGCTATCGACGCCAACTTTTGACTTGTCCAATTCGTAGTCTCAAACGCAGCACGAGATCCAAGCCTTGTCAATGGAGCTGGTTTTGTTGTTGCACAGGAAAGCTTTAGGAAGCATGTTGCAGAATACGGCAAGTGCATACCATATGACCCTAGTGATTGTAGAGACCACCAGGCCGTCAAACTGGTGACTTCCAAACATGGTGCTGGCTTGGCAATGAGCAGGGTTGCGACAGTGGATTGTGCTCGGCATGATGCGAAGGGACCTGGAGCGGTGACAATACTTGACCACAGTGAAGAGTGAGTCCAGTTTATCTATGTTGCCGACTGAGACTGAATGGGACCAAAAGACAAGTCTGGATGGATTATATATTTTGCTCCCGAATGCAACAGTCAACACTGCAGCACATTGTGGTTTCATACGATATCAATTGCCAGTGGTCTAAAAAACTGTGGGAACGAATTGCAATCTATCCGTCTTCGATGACACCACATCAAGACCCCGGCGATTTTGTCTATCTAATTCCGAAGTTTCATCTCCCAGCCCATATACCCAGCTGCCATGTGAAGTATTCCTTCAACAAGACACCCTATGTAGGGCTGACCAATAGAGAGGCCCCCGAACATGGCTGGAGTAGACTGAACCAGCTTGCTGCCAGTTTGAAGGTTATGGGACCGGGAGGATATCTCGACACCCTGGACAACCATATCGGCGACTACAATTATAGGAAGTCAGCGTTGATGGGTGGGTCTTGACGTCTCTGTTTGGATCACCACTTCTTATATTCATTTGGCAGGCTCCACTCTGTTGAAAGGGATCCTGGAGGCCATCCCAGCCAGAACCTTGCATAGCGCTGTCTACGCTGAGTTCACTGCATCTCTACCCAAGCAAGATGTTCAATGTTGGAGTGAGGCTATTGAGGCATGGGAGCGAGATCCAGTCAATGCTGTCAATCCATTTGAAACCACTGTCGCTTGTACGTATCTCTAGGTTTATTTTTGGGTTGAAGATTCTTATCACCATGTGTAGAACTGACAACTTCCAAAGTCCATCTTACCCTCGCCCAAGAGGAAGCCACGGAAATAGCAAAGATCGCTGCCCATGAGATCCAGGAGCACGACAAGGGAGCCCAGGAAGTGAATGAGGACATGGCTGAGAGCACAGCTAAGAGCGCAGATTTCACTGAGGAAAATAGTGAGGATATCTTTGTGGTGCGCCATGAAGTCAGGCCGAGCACAATGATCCTGCAAGGTGTTGAGTTGGAATCCGATCAGTGAGTGTGCATGTAAATCTCACTTGATAATCAGCTGATGATGAGCTTCACTGTAGATGACATCTCAAATTAGCTCATGCAGCTCTGGGAGCTCATTTGACGGATCGTGACTGGGCCAAAGTCACCGAAGGTCTGAACAGACTACGATGCTGTATGGATACGTGGTTCGAGGTCCAGCAGGTATATATACCTGGCATTGCAGTGTGGCGGGCTGAGTGGAACAAAGCACAACTGCTTGCTAGGTCTCAGGCTGAGGCCCTGAGTGCAGAAGCAGATCACTGCAGAAACAGTGGGACGAGGGAGACAGAAGAAGGCTCGACAAAGTAAATGGCGACCGAAGGTGTCTGTGGAGGAAGCTCTCGATGCTGTTGCGATGCCACTCTTTCTCCCAAGTGCTTGCTTGGGATGCCTTCGCCAGAGACAAAAGCTCATGGATTTCAAATTCCGACTGCAGGAGGTGGAGGCCTATGAATGCTTGATGACTATGTGCTGACTACTGATCTATTGTTCCCATCTCTACAAATTCAAGGACAAACACGTCACTGGACAAATGATGAGCACATGAGCCAGATCCACCGTCTCCAATGTCATCCATAACATTGATGAAGCTGTGACCAGATATCGGAAACTTTGTGGTGATCTCATGGTTCTAGCAAGTGCGATTGATGGTGGAAAGTCGGGATGGGACCGCCAGCTGCAGGAGCTGAGCGCTACAGATGTCCGTCCTCTGGAAGAGATTTTACCAGGGGAAACAGAGGGATGGCGCGCAATGAGCTGGATCTGGCAGGTGCATCGACATGACACTGATGCCGAAAAGACCGTGGAGGGTAAGTGACTTTCATTGTTGCTTTGATTGATCTGATCGCAATGACGTGTAGCCTTGAGAATTGAATGGTGCAAGACAAGGGCACGCGCTCATCGCTGGCAGTGAGGAGGTGATTCTATTAGAGGAGGAAGATGAAACAGGTGAAGGCTTTTTTTGCATCAGAAGGAAGGACCTGGTTGGTACGTGCTGCACGAGAGGACATCTCTGAGGGCGAGCATGCATATTCCCTATGTCAGGCTGACATATGTGCTCGCATGCAACAGCATTGCATCGACCTCTGGGTGAACATGCCCACATGGTTGGCCACCGGCATAGTCCCGCTTGCGAGGCGAGGTCGTCCCTGCAAGCCCAAAAAATCGAACCATGTAGTCGTGTAGATATATTCATATTTTGTTTCAATACGACAAGTCAAAAAACATGGGTCTGAAAAAAATCTTTTTTGGAAAACATATGTGCCAGACATTGGAAGCCACACAAGAACAACACTGCGATGGATGGGACAGACTTAAAAGGGTGAAGGGAATAAATCAAAGTGATGAAACGGTGACAGGTACAACATCATCATCAGGTTTCACATCAAAAGAACTTAACAAACCTGATCTGCTGGCAAGGAACAGTGAATCTTTGATCTGCAGCATGTTGGACCCAAGTGGGAACCAAGGCGCGATCTTACCAAGCAGGTTGCACCTTGTTCGTCATCGTCGACAATGACCACACCTCTTGGCCATGAGGTCACAATGCAGAGGCTGGTTGGCCACCCATTTTCCTCTACCAAATTTCCTTTGCAGCGGGAATCAATAATGTATCATGCTAAAGTACAATTGCAAGGGTTTATTCTATTACACCTGTACTGACATGGCAGTCTGTAATAGATTACCAGGCAATTAATGGGTGGGTGAATGAGTAGTCAGACAGAACTCCATTAATAGCCCCTCAACTACTCAGGAGTCTACTGTGCAAGCATTGCAAGCATCAATTCAAGCGCTCACCCTTCAAGTACAAAGCCTTTCCTCGAGAAGGAATGCAGCCCCCAGGACAGACAAATCTCACACCCCAAACGATGCATGCAAGGGACTGGGACACACCCTCGACAAATGCTGGAAATTAGGAGGAGGGAGACAGGGGCAGTATCCGCCTTGGTGGAAAGGGAAACGGGATGCACCCGTGCTGAGCTCTGCAAATCTAGCGACCTCCAATGCGACATCGTCCGAAGCAGGTTCCGTCTACACAAACGTCACTGGCGCTGAACATGCGCATTGATAGAGAGGACATGAAGGCCATCGAGAAGATCTTAGAAGAGAAGGAAGCAGCATTCGTGGTCAATAATACTAGTCAAGGACTTATAGACAACTCACTGCTGTATGGGGACTCTGGAGCATCCACCCATTTCATCCAAAACAGAGATTGCTTCTTCCACTACATGCCCTTGGGTGCAAACATCAGGAACCTCTAGGGCTGCGCACCATCCATAACCATCCATAAACCGTATGGTCAAGGGCACTGATGGCTTCGGACCATACAATTATAGCTGTGACGGTCATATATACGGCCGTATTCATGGCTACTGGGTATGTTTCTAGAACTGACTTGATTTTAGTGCTGAATGTGATGAAAATCAATGTACCATACATTTCAACATCGTCAGAGCACTTCTGGTCATGAAATTGACCATTTTGGCCCAGTTCACAAGACTTAAGGGGTCATTGGTGATGTCATAGTGCTTTGCATGCAATATTTTGAACTCGCAAAGGTGCCCAATATGTTGCATCTGACTCGGAGACACATAGAACATGATGGTGAGTAATTCTGGTCTGTTTTCAAGAGCATTTATGGACTTAAAAATGCGTGCTCCCCCCTTGTAACACTGCCACAAATATATGGCCATCGACAGCCGTGTTGTACGGTATGGCTCGAGGTGCTCACGGTGTCGGTACGTATACTGTACATGGAAGCCATATTTCCATACAATATGGTTATGGCGTGCAGCCCTAGGAACCTCGTCAAAGGCTGGCGCATCACTGAACATACAAGGGATCGGTACCATAGCCTTGAAATCATCTGTCTCAGGCGTTAACAACATATTCACGCTCAGCAAAGCTCTCCACTGTCCAGATGTATCGGCGAATCTAATATCAATCAGTCGATTAGACAAGGAAGGGTGGTTCATAACCTTTGGGGGGAACCAAGCAACCTTCGTTGACCAGAAAGGAATCCCGCAATTCACCGTGACCATGGTAAATGACCTATATGCAATCAATGGGTCATTGCTACGCAGCGAAGAGTATACTGCACTTGCTGCTAGATCTCTGGAAACAGCCATACCCATGGAAACATGGCATATGTGCTTTGCTCACCATGGTATCAGCCGAATCACTGAGCTGCAGAAACTTGCGCTAGTTGATGGTCTGAACATAAAGGAAGGGGAACGTGCTGAGGGAAAATGCAAACCTTGCATCCTGGGGAATCAGAAAAGATGGCCATTTGATGCTAATGTGGTCCTGGAAACAGTGGCCTTAGCATGGGTGATGGTGGATATTTGGGGACCTGCTCACATCCGATCTATTGGGGGAGCAAAGTATGCACTTGTATTTGCAGATGATGCAACGTCACAGAAAACGCCATATTATATATCCGATCGAAGGGCCAAAACTATGCTCGAGGCCTTGAACCAATTCACTGTCATGGCTGAACGACAAATGGGGAAGAAGTTAAAGAAAATTCGTTGTGATAATGAATTCCGTAATGACCTGTGGAAGAAATGGGGATTAGAGAGGGGAGTAATCTTTGAATTTACTGCTCCCTACTCATCGGCAGCCAATGGGATGGCTGAACATACACTGGGGATTGTGTCTGGGATGGTCCGGATTTTGCTCCTAGAGGCGAAGATGTCCGACGGGTGGTGGGCTGAAGCCTGTGATTATGCGATCAAGGTCGGAAATTTGCTCCCATCTGCATGACATCCGGGGAAAGTTCCAGAAGCAGAGTGGACTGGCACACGACAGACAGTAGGTCATCTGTGAGTGTGGGGATCAACGTGTTATGCAAAGATCCCCACTGAAAAAGGACACAGCAAGTTATCTCCATGAGGACAAAAGGGCCGATTTGTTGGCTTGGCAGGCCATGGATCATACAGAATTCTGTTGGATGTACCTGGCAACACTGTCATAGTCTCTCGTGATGTTATCTTCAAGGAACTGGCTCCTACGCATACCGTTTCTTCTCATGAGAGGGAGATAGCGTATGAAGATATTGCTGTTGGAATTATTGCAGTGGGAGGCTTGCAGTAGGTATAATACTGAATTGTTAGCTACTAGAGCTCCTAATGAGCTCCTTATATACTACGAAAAGTATCTAGAATATTCTACCAAAGTAACTAAATATATCTAAGTATCGTGACAAATGAGTAAGCCGAAGCTTCGGGAATCTTCTAGTACAAGCTTGAAGTTGTAAATCCCAACAATTGCTGAACCACTCGTCGAAACGATCGAGAATCCTCCACAGCCACCAATCGATAATAATAGCCCTGATCGTGATCAACCAGTTCAATTGCCTCTGGTCCAATTACCAAATGTACATGTTCAAGCGCCTCCACCTCGTGCAATCCAAAATACTGCTCCAGCAAGATGTCCATCCCACATTCCAAAGCCTACCAGAGCATTACTCGAGTCAAACGAGTACATGCGACGTGAGGAAACTGCAAAACAACAAGGACATAATTGGGCAAATGACAACATCGTCCCACTACTTGCAGAGGAAGACGACGTAGAAGACATCATGGCCTTGAAAGCCTCCGAAATCAGTAACATTGTCAACAGACATGATATGTGGGTACCGGAGAACTACCACCAAGCTATGACCAAAGCTAGGATTTGGAAAGCCGCAATGGATGCAGAAATCCGATGCATGGAGGAGAGAGACGTTTGAAGAGTCATACCAAAGGAGTCATGGATGAAGGTAATTGACACACAGTGGGTATTTGATAAGAAGCTCGATGGTGAAACTGGAGAACTCGTGAAACGCCGTGCCAGACTCGTCGTCAAAGGGTTTACCCAAATCAAAGGTCTTCACTATTATGACTCCTTTGCCGCCGTTGTTCGATATGAATCTCTATGAATGTTCTTCGCAATTGTCGCTGCCCATGGACTCAACTTCTGGCTCATAGATTTCGTCAGTGCATACCTGAATGCAGAGCCTCAAGGAGAAAATTACGTCTCACTGCCACAAGGATATGAGGACATAGTAACAAGAGACTATCCAAAGGGAGAATATGTCTTGCAGATGATGAGAGCGATGTATGGGATGATGGATGCAGGGAATGCATGGTTTCATGAGCTGAACAATACTCTATTAGCCCAAGGACATAAACAATCACGAGCGGATCCATGCATACGCCTTCTAAAGAATGGACCCGAACGAACGTACACATGCATGTACACGGATGATGTTTCAGGCACGTCTACATCAGAGAAGGAAGGCCAATGTGTCCGAAAGGAGATTGGGAGCGTCTATGAGATAAAAGACTTGGGAAAGCACAATAGTGTGTTAGGAATGACTGTGGAGTTTGATGAAGAAGCTGGTACCATCTCTTTGCACCAAAGGAATTTGATACTGAAGACACTAGAAACCTTCGGGATGCTGGACTGCAAGCCAAAAGTGACTCCGCTTCCGGTCGGAAGCTTGATGAACCTCGAGACGCAGCCCCAGCCAGTTCCAAATGCGGATAGAGAATTCATGGGGGATAAAGATTATCGTGGTGTTCTCGGATCACTCAATCATATTGCCAATGGAACGAGGCCTGATATTGCCTTTGCTATGAACTACCTCCAACAATATGCCTCAGACACTCGCCCTATACATTGGAATCGTGCCATGCACATTCTCGCATACCTAAAAGGATCAATTGAATATCGGATCACTTACCATCGAGGAAACGCTGATGATGATGGGTTGACTCCCGTTGGATACGTGGATTCGTCTCATGGTGATGATAGGACATCTGGGAAGTCAACGATGGGATATGTTTTCACCATGGCTGGTGGACCTGTTTCCTGGAGCTCTCGATCTCAAAAACGAGTCGCGTTATCAATGGCTGAAGCGGAATATGTCACCACAGTTCATGGAGGGCGTCAATCATTGTGGATGGGATCGTTTCTAGACGAAATCGAGTTGTCAAAAGACCGCCCATACCCTTTAAATTGCGACAGCAATTCGGCGATCAACCTAACGCAAAATACCAAAGGTCACGGCAAATCTAAACACTTCGCAATGGACTATCACTGGATTCGTGACAGCGTCAAACTAGGTGAATTGGATGTACGTTACATAGCATCTGAAGATAATCTTGCCGATATCTTCACAAAGAGTGTTCTGAAACCACGAGCGACGGAGTTGTTGAAGAGGATGGGGATGACCAAGGTGTAGAATCCTACGGGCGTAGGCTTCAGGGGGAGTGTTGAGGATTCACCCTAGCCCGTTCTCGGTATTTCTTTCTTCAACTTACTTACTATATATATTTTTACCTCCTTTCTCTGGCCACTTATATTTACCAATTGCCCCTCGACACACCTCAGCCGTTCACTACCATTACGTGTGACTGACTGAGCTGTTATATTCCTAACAAAAGCAAGGTCTTACCAAGGACGCCCAACGAGTCTTCCGTCAATCCTTGCAAAAGGTTGGGGACCTACTGTATGATCTAAGGGACCAACTACCTTCAGACATCAGGGTTAGGACAAAACTGAGCTGGATCGGGTGGAAGAAAAGGCGAGTCGACGATTTGCTTTCTCAACTCAAGACGTGGGAGGAGGAGGTCGGATCGATGATATTCACGTACAGTCTATTGCTGAATGTCCTGGCTATCAAAAACTTCGATTCCTTGTATGAGCGCCTATCTCGTACAGATGATCAACCGTTGATCGGCGCATTGGCACTGGCAAGACGAATTCACGGCGGCCAAAATCTTAAAACCTACCATATTCCAGTGTCTTCGCTGATACCTGCTGTCAAACCTGTCATTACCGATCGTGTGCTTGCCCAATACGGCTCAAGTCTAGTTTACTTGGAGAAACATGAGACCCACTCGGACGCGCTCACAAAGATGGCCGCGGCGTTCCGTTCACCTGATCTTCCTTCAATGCACCTTCTCTCATGCCTCGGTTTTACTGTGTGGCATGAGAGTGAACGCTTCCTTGTCTACCAAATTCCAACCCTGACCCCAGGGATCGTTAATCCGGCTCGTCTTCCCATGCTCGCCTACGTTTTGGACAATGACATTCGGATGGCGCTCGAAGGTAGTTTTCGTATTGCAGTGGAGATCACCACGGCAGTGATGGAGATTCATGCGGCTGGTTGGGTTCATAAATCCATTCGCAGTGACAATGTGCTCGTATCGACGAGGGGAGGGGTAAAGGGAAGGAAAGGGGACGCTGATGTCAGTTCAGCATACCTCGTTGGCTTCACAACTGCCCGCTCTCAGGCGGTCTCCTCAGGTCGCTTTCCTGTGACAGATCCTATTCACCGTCTGTATCACCATCCTGAGCGACAAGGTGGAAGCAACGACAGTGTTGTCACGTTTGATATCAGACATGATATGTATAGCCTTGGGGCTCTACTCATCGAGATCGGCTTCGGGAAGACGTTGTAGGTGCTTTTTTCTTTGGCGATGGCGACGACTGGATCGAGGGAGGACAATCATAAGCGCTTGCTAGACCATGCTCATCGGCTGAGCACCAAGATGGGCTCGAAGTACGCAGGTGTAGCCATGACGTGCCTTACGAAGAGTACACCCCTCCAAAAGAAGACGGAGGAGGTTAGGAAGGAGTTTTACGAGGACGTTTTATGTCCTCTGCAGGAGATAATGGACGGATTCAAGGTTTGTCTCATAATGCGTTGGATTACTCGTTCTTTGTGCTGATTTGCCGGTAGAAGAAGAAACGAGTGTAGAGAAATAAATCTCCTGAGTATGGCGGCGCACGCCGTTCATTTCGGAAAATCTAAAGGAAAGAAGTGATGTATATTATAGAAAATCATGATAAGGGCGCACTTTTCCTTATGCGGAGCGCTCCGACTAAATGGCATGAATGATTAAGCCATTTCGCCCAAGTCATCCCCTGTCGGAAGCACTACCTCGATGACAAAGAGTTATCTATACTTCGATATAGTGAGATAGCATGATAGAAGACTTGAGCAGCACACTGGTAGCGTGTCATCGAGCACAATACTTCGTATCCACGATATCTTGTCCTTCCGGACTGTGTCGAATAAACTCCAGTCTGCAATATATTCATCTGTACAATAATTCTGTTCATTCGCGGCGATAAACGATGTTTGACAGGAGGGAAGCGAAGCGACAGACAAGATGCGTGAAGTTTGAAGAACAACAGGATGATGTGACGTCGGACGGTGAATCAGTCAGAGTCTGTCAACTCATGTATATATCCAGACTTCCCTCGATGCAGTTCCCTTACTGCTCAGTCAAAATTCCACCAGGGCCTCGGAACCTCACTTATGTCAGCTCCCCTCGCACACAAAAACCTAAACACCTCCCGTCCGAAGGGATGTCTCGATGCCACCCTCACAGCCGTCTCTCCAGCCTTATTCTGAGCATGGATATCAGCACGACAATCCAACAGAGCCCTGACGGTCGGGAGAGCATTCTCGAATGCAGCGAAGATGGTAGGTTGTAAATGAGGGGTCCCTTGGTGAAAGCGCGTACTTTGTGCCCAGCGCTGGATCTGCGACAGGCCTAGGCTACTCTTCCCATAGCCACGACACGCATAGTGCAATGGCCTGGATCCTTGCTTATCTGCAGCATCAACATCTGCACCATGCTCAGTAAGGGCTTTGACTATGCGCGCGCAATCTCCAGTGAAGCGCCATGCGTTATGAAGGATGGTTACACCTTGGTGATCAGCGAGCGTTGGATCCGCCCCCAAACGAAGAAACTCGAGGACGGTCTCGGTGCGAGCAGCACAGTGAAGAGGCGTCTCGCCTGCAGAGTTCCGAGCACTGATGTCTGCGCCTGCTTCCAACAGAAGACGTAGAAGGTCGAGATTCTCCAGGTGGCCAACAGAATTTCGCGCCACAAAATGAAGGGGTGTGTCTCCCTCATCATCACCGATGTTTGGGGAGGCGCCATATTTAAGGAGAACCTTCATCAAGTCCACGGATGGAACCAAGGAGGACTGCTCGAGGAGATGTGCTATTCCACCGTACTGCGTAGACGAAGATGCTGGCTCTCCGCCCCTGCGACCTTGGTTACCAAGGCGAACCGACCATGATTTATGAAGCGCCATGTCGCGAGCGGCTACAACGTGTAACGGAGTCTGATCATTCGTTTTCAGTCGAATGTTAACATACGGCCGAAAGCCATGTTCCAGGAGGTACTCCATCAAAGGCGGTGAAACAGTTTCGTGCAACGGCGTCGCCGAAAGGAAGTCACCCTTGGGTAACGGCACTTTGGCTCCTGCCTCGATGAGGACACGCACGCCCTCCACGTTGGACAGGAAACCGGTGAACTCATGCGACCTGAGGAGGGCAGTGTCTCCATCCGAATTGGGTGCATCTACATCTGCACCCAGACGAATCACCATTCGTATGGTCTCCGCAGACCAATCTGCCACACGACGATGAAGGGGTGTACCATCAAGAGCGCCTTTGACGTAGACAAGTTCAGGACAGGTCTCCATCAGACACTGAGCCACCTCGTCAGAAACGGCGCGGTGCAGCGCTGTATCTCCGAATCGATCCTTACTCAACGGATCTGCACCGTACTTGAGGAGAACCCGAACGATGCCGGGAGATCGAGCAGTATGTAGAGCCGGGGAACGGTAGTAATTGTCAGGGGCGTTGACATCAGCGCCGTTTTGCAACAAAGCTTCGGCTATGTCTGCTGATATACACAAATGAAGAGGAGTAGAGCGCTTCAGCGCGTTTACGTTCGCTCCGAACTCTATTAATGCTCGTGCGGCTTCAGCAGAGCGAACTGCATGTAACGGTGTCTGATCTTCTATGATATCAGCGGCATGAACGTCAGCTCCCTTGACGAGCAGCGCACGTATAACATCGACAGCGTCCACTCGAACGGCTAGGTGGAGGAGAGGACTCCCATATTCACCGAGCTCGGCAATATCACTTTGGACAAAACGTCGCAGCAAGCTCTCCATGATATCTAAGTCGCGACTCATGAAATAGTGAAGGGCGAGTCTGATAGTGGTGATCCAGTCAGAAGGTCTCGATTGTATTGAGCTTTCCAACTCCCGAAGAACAACATCAGAATAGGCATTATCATCAGCAGATGACTGCATAGACTATTGGTTAGTAGCAAAAGCGTGAGCAGACCAGGACGTACCGTAGACGGTATCGGAATGGTTGGCAACCATAATCCTTGAGACTGGAAGATATTCCACGATATTTCTCGTTGACGACACCACGATTGAGTAAAATACTGGGAACACATAAGCCATGTGTATGGCGAGCATGAAAAGGTCTACTCTTACGTCGACAAATGACCTGTTGGGATCCGGAGACATACATCGAAGGTCGTTCGACGCACAAATAACATCGAAGATTTCTTGCCACTTGCTTCTTCTTAGAGGGTCTCTATGAACTGTCCTTTGGATAGCGCCGAGAGGACCTATCATTAAGCCACCGCTATTTCCACGAAAAGTGGAAATGAGGTGCTTAGCAGCGCCGTCCTCTGTCCCTAGCTGCAGGGCTGCCACATCCGCATCACCTACGCCCACAAATGGCATAGTCCCGTCATTAAAAATCTCCCAAAGCAGTACCCCATAGGAATACACATCCCTCTCTGGCTGATTCGCATATTGCCTCAAGGAAGGCGGTGCCTCCGCTAGTGCCTCTGGCGCTCTGAAGCGAGCTGTGCCCCTGGACGCAGCATATGCAGCTCTCGACGACGTATCCGGTACACAGAAGCCAAAATCCGACACCCTGGCATATAGCTGAGGCACAGTCGGAACGTCCCAATTCTTCGCATCGTAGAAGATGAGAACATTGTCTGCTTTGACATCTGCGTGAACGATTTCAATCTGATGTAACGCCTCCAGACCAGCTGCCACTTCGAGGCTGAACTTCATCTTCAGCTCCCAAGGCATTCCTTCACCGCCGTTGCTAGCTGACTTTCGCAGCAATGACCCCAGGGACCCGACAGCACGAGCAACAATAAGCTGCGGTAAAAGTCGTTCCTCGCCACTCTTCTGAAGACAGACGCCAAAGATCGAAAGCACGTTTGGGTGCAACGAAAAATACGACATCACTCTGATCTCGTCGAGGACCTCCCGAATGAGGGAGCTAAGGAGGAAGGTATCTTTATGTACGCTCACGCGAGGTGTTTTGACCGCAACCAGGGTTGAAAGAACAGTATGGTTTTTCAAGGTCCCCTCTTGGACATGAAATGTCGCCCCAACGCCGATAGACTTCCCGATGGAGAGATCTGCAGGATCGATAACTTGGACAGCAAGCATGCCGAGATAATCAATGAGCTGGTTATAGGTTGTCGGGCGTGTAGATGGATCGGTATGTGCTGAAAGGATGCTGCATTTGCCGCCGTGGATGTCGGATGAAGGGGGTACATAACTGGCATCGGAATCATAGTACCCGCTGTCGGGTGGTTCATAGACACTAGGGTTTGAGGCAGACGAAAATACCATATTCGACAGGATTCGTCAATTGGTAGTCAAGGTCAGAGCGCGGTGATTGAGGCAGTGATTCAGCTGTTGGTGCCTTCCAAATGGCATAAAATAGACGGAATTGCCGGGTATTGTGCCGGTGATGCATCTCGGTTGCAGAGGCTGGTCATCTCAGTCGAATACTGAAATGAAAACCGCGCCATTTCTCTTTCTCGGTGAGAAAACCGCCGCACCATCGTGGCAGCGGTAATGTTGATTCGGCATTGTGAAATGGTCCACTAGTGGGGACCAATAAAAGCAAGTTGATTCGGCCCTGAGTGTGGCCTTCGTAGATATTCTGGAGACACATAAAGATTATATACACGTCCATAGCTTGCACACGCACCGTTGCATCAATGGAAAGCTAGTGATTTCTGCAATATCGCTGTCACGTTCCCTCTAAGCGCTACGTCCATCTGTGTTCGAAGATTTTGAGGCCTTCAGGGCTTTCTGCGCGTTGTTCTGTCCAAGTCACGACTAGTTCGACACGCGTCGGAGCGTTGCGCTGCATGTCACTTTTCAAAGGCAATGGAGACGGCGAAGAGAGCGCGTAGCCCCATTGGTGTTGTACTCGCAATTCTTCCAGTAACCTAGGGACGTCATGGCGAAAATTGCGGGCAGATTGAAGGTGACGGTAAAGTTGTGAGCAAGGATGAACTCATGGTCCAGCGAGGAAGTGGCGATAGTGCAAAGATAGCCAAACAACGCCTACCTCTCTGTCTTCGACCACCATGACCACTTCCAAAATCTATTTCTACGCGTCGTCCCCGACAACGAGGGGCGTGCCTTCTCCTCTGTCCTCCTGCAGCCGATATCGCTCTGAATCAAGTGCCATGCTGAAGTCCGTGCTTCGCACTTCGCGATTCGAGAATCCCACCAGATTTTTCCTTCGTATCTGCTATTGTTTCCAGCCAATAAATCCTTAGTTCCAAAGGGATAACTATAGCCATGATATCAGCCGTTCAGGGCAGAATAGTACGTTCATTTTTACTGGTCATGCGCTCAGCTTTTCAGATCATAAATATCGATTCTATTGGTCCCTATCGCGCCATCACGGACCCTCCGAGAATCATTCGAAGAACCATTTGGGTTTTTTTGGAGTCCGGTAAGTTTGTTCACGGTATATTAACCCTTAGGTTCGTCCTAATATCCTTTTTCATGCCTTCTTAAAGCAAGGACGCCGATAATTGTATCTCAGATCTCCTGCGTCAAATTGTCTATACAACGTGGCCCGACGTGGCATCGGAACATCAGAAACCGCATCACACACCAAGTTCTCAGGCTAACAATCTATCTTTGAGAGCAAGGTCAGACGCCATCTGTCTATTCCCGTTCATACTATTAATGGCGCACTCCAGGCTCTATTATTGCTGCGCTCTAACGTCTTGGCTTCATCCTTTTCCCTGTTTAATTCTACCGAGGCGTTTTGAATCCAACTCCTCCTTGATAAGTGATCACGAGAGTACATCGTCGCTAAGGTACTCGTCTTCTCTCAAGATTCAATGCGTATTTTCGGATCCGTGCATCTTTCTACGCCTTTCTCTCACGCTGATACACGCACATTTGACTAGTTTTGTGATTGTCCTTCACATGCTACGTGCCCATTCTGATATTCAATTGGCGAACCACGTCAACTAGGGACGAAACGATGGAATATGAATTGGTTTGTCTCAAAGAATAAACCACCTCAAGCCAAACTCTCCTTGTCGAACCATCGCACGAAGTGAATTTTTGTGTCAAGTGAACTTCTACCGCTCCGAACGCCGAAAAGAATCCCCTCGAGTATATCAAGTCCGCTTTAAGCCTCATTACAACTTTGTGCTCTCGTTCATGTACGATTCTGGCTCAATTACCGTCTCCATATGTCTGTCTATTACGACTACCTCAAAAGCTCAATATCGCTAAGTCTGCAATGACTTGGCCCAATACTCATCCCTTGTCCAAGATCCCAGGAGGAACCGATACTATATGTGCTTCTGATCATACTGTGCCGACTGTCTGATCTATTGGCTCATCGCTGAAATTTCTATCTCAACCCTGCAGAGCCCGCCGCAAGAAAGAAGGTTTGTCGTGTTACTTTGTCGTACTCATTTGCAGTTTACCCGACCCATTACTCTGGCAAAATGTGATAAGAGTGCATCTCCCCGTCGTTCTAGGGTCGCAGACAAGGGTGCAATACTAATTTCCCCATCTTGGATTCCACCTCACCAGTTTGGTGGTACTCGGTTGTTACGTCCGCTGATGGTCTCCTTTACGAAGGAGTCCACCTCACCAGTTTGGTGGTACTCGGTTGTCTCTCCGCTGGTGGTCTCCTTTGCGAAGGATCTCACCTGTTTGGTGGTACTCGGTTGTTACGTCCGCTGATGGTCTCCTTTACGAAGGAGCTCATCAGTTTGGTGGTACTCGGTTGTTACGTCCGCTGGTGGCCTCCTTTCCGAAGGAGTTCACCAGTTTGGTGGTACTCGGTGTTCCATCCGCAGGCAGTCTCTTTTTCGAAGGAGCTTGCCTGTTTGGTTGTACTCGGTTTCCGCTTTGTGGTTTTCAGGGGCTAAGGCTCGAGCATTGCTACAGGCACGCTGTTCAGGGAAATGGCGGACCTTGTCAGTTATGCTCGCCTGATGCTCGCGTTCCCTTCCCGCTGTCTGGTTCCTTGTCAATGTTTGTCGGTGGATGGGTCAGACGCTGCCATTGTGTTTAGCATCTTTCATTGGCCCGCTGCTGACCTGTAATCTCCCTCTCCATCAGCGCATGGCCTGTGCGCCATGTCTGAGTCTGTTATGTATTCTTGTTTATTAACATGTTCTTTTGTCGTCATCGCTGACGCACATGTCTCATTGCTTGGAATTTGGAACAATCCCTTACCCGGTTCCATGACGTGCCACTGCACATCTCTCGAATTGCTTCCTGGTTGGCTCTTGGTACTCCTGTTGAATTTTGTTCCGTTACGACTTGGATCACAGTAACCGTGGTGTTCAACAGCCTTCGATGGTTGTTGGTCTGAATTGATGTCTTTCTTTCGTCGCCTTCCGCTACTATGTCGTTCCGACTCGTCGGTTCCACCGGTTTCGATACAATTCTTTCCGAGCGAGATATGTTCCCTTTGATTTAATTGTGTACCCTGTGAAGAGCTTTCGTTATCTGACCTTGCCCGTGTCTTACAGCAGCCCCACCATGGATCCTAGGTGATATAGATAATGTTATGGCAGCGGTGAAGTTGTGTCTAATGGATATCAATTCCTTCATTGAAACGTCCTCCAAGTCTGTCTTATCTTTCTACCGATACTAGCTCTCGTGCCACAGTGCTGTCTGCAAGTTTGCCGTTGCGAATTTTCGCTCGATAATTATCTGAATGCGCCTATTCCCGCACACAGGAAGGCACTCATTCACTTACTGACTTCTTCCCATTCCCTTGCCGTCGAGATTCTGAGATGGAGTCAACACCATCATTACTGTATTCCTCTGTATCCGGGTATGATGGGACTCGTACACTCCTCGCAGCAGATAGATAAGACTTGTGGATCTTTAGCAAAATATGTATTTGATGTTTTCCGTAAACTTTAATGCTGTCTCTACATTGTCCTTTGTATTGCTTCCTTACATACCCCGCGATGTGTCTCTACTCCGCGCGACACACTCAACAGTGTGATCACAACGGTATGAGCCTTCGTGGCCACAGCGCATGGCTTGCCATGTTTGGACTGTGGGCCCGGCCGTTCCTTATTGGGACCTTGTGCCGGTACCAACACCAACACCAACACCAACCAATACTGAATACAAATCACGTCTGTTTGGGCTGTACTCAAGCCGCGGTCCACGGTGGAAAAGCTACAAATCCCTTATTATACAATGCATACACACTATGATACGTTCATCGGTGGCGCCCAGGATCATTCGGACATCTCTATCCAAGTTTTCGGGCATCTCGATATTGCTTTCTCTTCCTTGCGGCTAGTACTGTCCGTGGCAACATCGCCATCGTCGTTTTTTCTCGGCGCGGTCAACTGCGGTGTTGGCGTTGGCGTCGGTAGTACATGCAATTTCTATATCGAACTTGCCTTTCACCGCCGCACAGCTTTCTTCAAGTGACTACGTCGTTTTTCTAGTACGTTAGACCTTCCCGGGCGCGTCAGACTTTTGAGACGACTTCGCGCGTCGTTGTCTTGACATTTCTAGATGGTGTCCACCTTCTTGCGTCGCAACGACAGCGTAATACATCCATTCTGGCCATCGTCCATATCCCCTTTGTACTTCACCACTCCGCCTTTATTCATGTTTAGCCCCCAGCTTATACCATATACGCTGAGGATAGGAAGTTTTCCCAGGATTTATTTTCAATTGACCCTTCAGCTTGTTCTATCACGGTTGGATCTTTCTCCGTGGCGTGTATTTAACGGACTTGGTCAACGTACATACAGTCCCAAGCGTGTCGCCAAATGAGATAAACTTCATTCAACCAGTCAGGCAGAGTCGTAAAAAAAGAATTCACACGCCCGCACTGCGGGCTTTCAATTTCATACTTAAAATTTTTTTAGACTCTAAAATCAAATGAACAGTCGTCGTCGCTGTTCCCCTAGCCTACCTCGCCGTGCTACTTTGCTGTTCAAGTGTTTTTGTGTTACGTCGGAGACTGAGTGCGCTTAATTGATGATACCCTGATATGGATGCAGTAGAAGCGAGTGTTCGCGCATGGGAGGAGAAAAAAAAGGAGAGCATGCAGAGACTCTTCGGCAACGATAAGGTTGATGTTCCCGGATCTTCCATGCGAACATAGAGAACTGACAAATCGTGCGTAGCAGAAGCAGAATGTATGTCATCAGCGCCTATTTTCAGGACTTTTTTGACTGATTGTGATTGGCGCCCACTCGATTGAAGGACAAAGCCGGGGAGAGAAATATGAACCCAAAGGTGAGTATCAAAATGTTTAAGAAAGGCTTGAATCCAAAACTAATGCTCAAATGTTGTAGAATGCAAGAAAGTACCTTGACAGACCCAGCTCCGTCTTCCCGCCGAAACAAGCCACATCTGGACCTATAGCACCAATTCCAAATCTCAATCCTTACCCACCTTCGGGTTCACCTTCTATCCCAGTGCATTTTAACTCGAAAGGCGAATTTGTCTTCCCCCACTCACCCTTTCAGACGATCCCCACCCCAGCACAGATGATCGCGCCCCACAGTATCCGTATGTGCATGCGCTTCGGCTGTGGTTCGATCTTGACGCCGCGAAACTCTGCTGATGAAGACGTGTTTTGCGCGAGGTGCAGACCTTTGGCTGCGGTGGGACAGTTTCCCAAGACTGCGAAGCCCCGGCGCGCGTTCGATATTGATGTACCCATTACTTCTATGAAGAGAAGGGAAGTCGTTGGGAAGTCAAAGGACTCGCCAATCGTCATTCCGGATGATGTTGCAAGTACTCCGATACCGGATGATTTATCGTATCCCGAGGTATGATATCATTACCTTGTGTCTTTGGAATTGTATTGATTTTAAGGGAATAGCCTGAGGTGACTGTACGCAGGGATAGCGAATTGGCACCTCCACCTCCACCAGTTATAGTATCAATACCACAAGCACCGACCATACCACGTTTACCACCACCTCCTCTTCCCAAGAAGAAAAAGACTGCACCTGCGGTACGTTCTCCCCAGCAGTTTGACTCAAAACATAATTCTTAGCCTTGCTCTCTCACAGCCTCTCCGTCCTTGTGCGACGCCAAACTGCAGAGGTCTCATCCATGCCTCCTCTTCTGCGCATCGTTGTCCGTCATGTGTGATGAAGGACTGGAAAAACAGAATATCCAACAAAGGTAAAGAACGAGAGAGGAAGGAACGCGCGGGGATAATCGTTATTCCAGCCAAGCGCAAGAGGGAGCAGTTCCAGGCCTCGGAACCGGCTACTACTCCCTCAGTCTCCGTACCCAGCATTCCCGACCCTTTCCCTGAAAAGGAATCCATATCTGGATGGGATAGTGACCTCACGGATCTGAGCAGCAGCGATGAAGAGGCACTCTTCGAAGGAATGAGTCGACGACGAACAGCTGAATCTGGACAACACTCTGGAGATACTACAAGCGAGGATGATGATGAATCTCCTCCCCAACCGGCACGTCCCCCCGCACAGCCAGTGAGGTTGGTAATACGGATACCTCCCAGGAGCCCAGAGAAAGTCGCTGCTACTCCGTCGTCGTCGGTCGCCTCGTCTTCTAGTACCCCAGATCCCCAGAGAAAATGTGCAATCACTGCATGTGGTGCTCTCCTCGATCAAGGATACGCGTGGAAATGCTGTAAAGCCTGTCGAAAACATCACCGGGAGTATCAGCGCAAGCGGCTTGGAATCACTAAGGGAACATATACCCCCGATAAGGAGAAGACGAGTTCTAGTGTAAGTCGTCCTCCTCGCTACTCTGTCCCTTTCTGATATCTTCTTAGCAGCCAAAACCAGATCCGCAAAGCCTCCCGCCCGGGTACCGAATATGCACGATTCGGTATTGTAATACTGTCATTCCGCCTGTGGAGGTGTACAAGTGGAAAATGTGCAAAGCATGTCGTCACAGGACCAAAATGCTGAGGAGGCGCAGGCAGGAAGGGGTAGAAGTGCCAATGGCCAATGACAAACCACCCCCTCGAATGGTGAGGTCCTACGTCCGGATTCTGAAGCATCAGCTAAACGAAAGAGCACCAGGAACCACGCAAACCGGTATACCCTGAATACGCCTCCTTCCCGCGTCTCCTTGACGATTATCAGCAGCGTCTACGAGGGTTCTTTGAGGCACAGGCAGAGTGGATTGTCATGAAGCATCGGCAGGAAAATGAAAAGGGAAACGGTCCGAAGAAAGCCGACGGAGTGGATAAGCACTCGTCAAGGGACCAACATGATACCGGGGGCCCCGGTCAAGAGAAGACAACAGCTAAGGAAGGCGAGCTTCTTGCTTTTGATGGTGAATATTCTGTTGTCGCGATGGACTATGCAATTTGTGACCGCCAAGCCGCTGTGGTCGATTTTGTCGGCAGGTTGAGGGGCGAGATAGAAAGGGTTGGCGGCGTCGCATTTGAGTCAGTGTCTTCCCTCCACTTTTCAATGTTGGCTCCATTAATTGATCTCCTTCCCAGTCCAAAGACTCGTCTTGTAACCCTTGCTCATGGAGGGATCCTTACGCGCTATCGTTGCGTGCATCGTATTCACGTTACAATGCATGACCGAGCAGAGAAGAATGATGATATAAGAATCGCCAAAGACATGCATGGCGAATTAGAAATTGCTATCCTCCCAGAGTACTCGCATCCCTTTTTTCCTGGACAGAGGACGGTGGTCAGAATGCGGCTATTGGGGTGAAGGGGTATTCTATGATAAGTATTGCATCCTTCGTAATGTTCGATGTTACAGTGCGCATGTCTAATGCAATTTAACGTGTCATCTTCAATGAAGACGCGTTAGTGGGACCGTGATATTGATCAGGTGTATGCCATCTCGATCTTTATCAAAGGAGATCGTCATGGATATTACTCAGAACATAAAAGTGCAGACTCCTCAAAGATCTTCAAAACGTCCATTCGCTGTTACAGTACACAAAGGCTCCGTAGTTAACTTCCTTACTTCCTGCTGAACTTCCACTCATAGGGTGCGGTACTCACCGCCGTCGTCCGTGACCGGGCTGCCACCATTGCGGTCGAACTTGAAGTGTCCGTAGTCGATACTGCCGAAGAAGCAGAACTATCAGAAGCAGCAGTTGCAGAAGCGACTTGAGCAGGATTGACAGATGTCGATGTAAGAGTATCTGCGGTGCCAGACGCGCTTGAAGTCGCCGCTTGCGAGGATGACGACTGGCTGTCAGAAGCTCCTTCCGGTACATAGACTTCGATCTTGAGTGAACTGGGTGTAGTCGAGGGAGTACTGCTGGAATCCGTCGAGGCGGGTACTATGACAGTCGTAGAGGAGTCAGAGTCAGAAGTCAAAGCATCTTGTGCCGTCGCCGAAGAAAGCGCTGATGCCGTGCTAGTGATGGTGGCAGTAACAGTAGCAGTCCGAGTCTCCGTCACGGTCACCGTAGACGTGTTCTCCTCGGCGCTCGCACCCGGATCCTCTGTAACATTACTCGGCTTGAATACCATTGATGCGTTTCTCAACACCTCGTTCCTCTCCTCCAAGTCCGTCACGCGTTCACCGACATCGGCTGCCTGAGGACGAGACGCGTCGCGGGACGTGGGATTGACAGTATTAGTATCCTCAGCGAATGTGAAGTCCTGACTCTCATCACTCCCAGCACTGATCTGTCCGCAAGGTGCGAGGTACAGGCTTGAGGGCGTCGAAGATTCTGTACGGTATGTGACGCAACGGGGACACTCCGCAGAAGTGGTGGGTATCTGAAGTTGAACGAAATTATGCGAGTCTGAGACGTCGACAGCCGTTCCGATGAGACAAAAGAGCATCTGCTCATTCGGTGATACGAATACGGAATTGTCTGTGCCATTTACCAAGAGCGACCCTAGTTTCTTGTCGTCGGACTATAAAGAGATGGTTAGATGTATCTACGAAATAGATTTGCCGGCGTACCATAACATCGATAGTTCCTTGTTGCGCATTTTCCTCGGTGCATTCTAAGGTACTTCGACGAGAGTGTCTGTTCGTCGAGGAAGAAACTCTAGAGGACATCGCGAAAGCAAGTGCAGAGCGTCGATGGTGATGGTGGTCGTGGTCATGGTCGTGGTCGTGGTCGTGGTCATGATCGTGGTCATGGTCATGGTCATGGTCGTGCTCATGATCATGGTCGTGATCAGGACTTCGCTGGTGAACGCGAGCGTGATTGTTCCTCCCATCGGAAATGACTTTGCGATGACCACCATGACCACCATGGGCGCGAGCTCCATCACGGTCGAAGTAGGCTTGCTGCTCCGACATCTTCAGCACGGCGGCAGGCTCCTCGTCCGGACTGTCAAATCTCTACAAATCAAGGCGCATATATGCGTCAACTTCGGGCACATCAACAGAAAATAAGACAACGAACCGCGTTATGTTGCTTCTCCTTGTGCTTTCTGTCTCCCTTCTTCTCAGTCTTCTTGCCTTTGTGAGATACAGGCGCAGATTTATGATGAGGAAGGGGCATAAGCAGGGCTTCTTTGCGAACGGCGGGCTTAGTGTTCGTGACATCAGAGCGAGGTAGAGCAGCGGCATCGACAGAGAGCGAATTCTGAGAAATGGCGGCGAGAGAGACACAGGCAGCGAAAACGGTGAAGCGAGCAGGAACGAAAACCATTTCGAATGGCGTATTAGGTTGTGGTAAAAAAAAGAAGCGGGGAATAGGATTATAGAGATGTGCAAATAGGCTGGATAAAATTAGAGTGTAAAGGCTCGAAGATCACCGGGATCTGAGCAAATGGAAGTAGGAAGGAAAGGAAAGGTGGGTTCGTATTTGTGTCTCGCCCAGTTCTTATACTCCATCAGTGTTTGTGTCGCTTTGGCAAAGTGTGGCGGATCCGATCACGTGACCGCGTTGCGCGTCACCTGAAGCTTTGCAGTCATTTTGACCAGACGTACATCAGAAACAAGATCCAACGAGTAATCTGTTTACTTGGTGTACATCTCTATCTCAGCTCTACTCTCAAATTTATTCTCTATTCTTTACGCTTTGCTTAAATAGTCTGCGGCCGCCAGGGTAATGTCTGGACTTTCTTATCCTCCGTCGAGTCTCCATGTAACAAATTTGTATGAGCAGGCAACTTAGAATCTTGGACCTTGAGATTGAGGCGCCCTTACCTAGGAAAATCGCCGCTGGGCAGGGGCGACAACGATCGCTAGGCACAAGGATTCATCAACCGTTTTTGTTTCAGGGACAGTCAAGCACGACGAATACTAACTAGAGTGGACCGCGCATTGCGGTGCAGTAATTAATTTGACATCTGCCGATGCGTCGTTTCATTTCAGGGACTTGTGGACTCTTGTGTATCGTGTCAAATCATTCACACCCAGAAAGTTCGCACAGTGAGTACTATCCTTCCTTGATTCAAAGCTACTCCAAGGTGTTCTTGACACCAAAATCGACAAGTCTTTCATATTTAGGTTGCCTCTAATGCGTCATACTAACCTATGCCTCCAAGTGAAATCAGTAGCAGGCACAGATCACCTCCGGTTCTTTACCATACCATCCAGGTACGATCGCCATGGCCCATGGACGAAGATTTCTGGCTAAATTATATTCACTGCATATGATAGATCCTTCTGGGCACCGACCAACATGTCAGAGTATCCACTGACTGTCCGAACGCAATGAATCGACGACAGCGTTGCAACGACAAGTGTGTATCGCCTATGTCTGGTAAGACAATGAGTGACACGAACATTTTGACATTGATACTGAGTCCCTGCACAGATTGTAACTTGAGATTTCTTTTTCTCAACTTACTGGTCTCGCAACAATCTCTCTCAATAATGGCCGCTACATGCACATGAGAAACACCTCCGAAAATTTAAGAGTGAAGTTACAACTGAAATCACAGCTTGTGAGTCCAAGTTGCTTTTGGGCCGGCGCGTCGCCGACGTCCTGCATCTGATGTCACTGTCATGGGCGGTCGTCGACATACGGGAATTTTTTCACAAAGGCACCTCTGACACCGGTAGTGGTTCACGAAGACAACGAGTAAAGGACCGATCCAGCTCATTCTGTTCCAATGCCGGCAGCAAGACCGATACACTGGTCACTCGAACCTGTCTCACCCTCGATAGCAGTCGATTCTTCTGTATGAACTCAGTTGCATCATCAACGCCTTCGACATCTGCATCACATTTTTTTGCTTGGAGCGGGAGTGGGAAATCCAAGCCAAGTTCGAGCCGGGCAAGACACATCAATCGTTCCGGTCACCGAGACTTGGCATTAACTCATGCCTGTACCACCATGTCATTACTTTTCCCCGTCGAATTCAGCCGTCAGGATCAAGGCGATTTCCCCATTCCCAAGGGTAATAATCCTCGACTTTACAATGTTCATCCTCTTTCGCCTTTTGTTGTCGTTATCTCCGCAAGTACTGCTGACGTACTAATCTCGTCAGGGTCGTGGCATCCAACCCCCAGGATTTTTCCATTGCTTTCTCCGGGCAAGTATCAGAAAGCCAAGGCAGAAACATTTAGAATGGGCGGATCCCCGGTGCCTTGGAAAAAGATACGTATATCGACCTATCAGGATTCTTCTCAAGATATGCCAACCGCCTCAGAGTACCCTGGAATTTATGCGCAGGTTTCCGATATTACCTCCTTAACCTCCGTCTACCAGCCCCTTATCATGGCGATACCATTGTGCCAATCTCTAGTTCTGATCCTTTGGATTGGTGCGCCGGCACTCTCCCTCTCTCGGACTTATTTAGAGTTGCTTTACACGTTAGGTAGGCCGTCGGACACGGAAATTCTGCCAAGCCTCTCTTTGAGATATGGCACCAGCCACCGCGTTTCACAACACCACAAGTCTTCTTCGACTTCTTTGTGCTAGCTACGTATATTAAACTCCACAACCGTACTGCTCATGCGTTGCACTGACTCATAGGGCTCTACAGAGAACACCAAGCGTTGAGCCCACCTGCTATTAAACCTAGAAGTTACAGCCTCCAACGTGCAGTAGTCGGTAAATCGCGCCAAGGACGACGCGCACAAGACGCATCACGGTGAAGAGGTTTCTCCGAGCTGTTTAAAACCTCGGCCCTGACTTCAAAGTCCTCAAAGTCGTCATACTCCCTCCCAGTCGAGCACTACTATGTCCGATGCTATGTTCTACCATGTGTTTCCATCTCACACCTTTGGCATTCCTACGTAAATTCCTGGGAATAGCATCCCCGTAATCACTCTTGCTTGACCGTTCCTCCACCGGACATCGATATCTGCCACAAGGTTGGGGCGGGCTTGCGTAAGAATGATAACATGCTGACTATTATGGCTTAGCGGCTCGCTTATATTGTCCCGACGCTCGACTCGGAGGAATTACTCGTCATCGGCAATTGCTATTGGCACTTAATCTATACGCCGGATGATGCGCCCGAGCGCTCATCTTTACTAAGAGCTTGATATCTTGATTTTAAATATGATGTTCGCGGGAGCGGGTAACAACATCACTTCTGCATGAATGTAGGTTTGGGATGTGACGGGCTTGGAATCATTTGGAGACCATTGCACCCTGACTCGAGTTCCTACTTTGGTTGAATGGTCTTCACCCCTGTCTGCTTCGCTACTTTCTTGATCGAATTCCGTGTGCTGGACCCTGGGCCCGCGCTTATCGAAGGCGTTACTGCGTCAAATTCTTGTGCTTGAAGCAGATGGAGACTCTTGTATGAGTTCTCCGCGTGTTGCGACGGTATTAGTATTTTTGCGCGCGCTCGCATGCGAAACAATCCATTATTGCGTGGGTTCACACACGATACATTCATTATCCCCTGGGAACACAGATGAAGTAACATTCATCAGAGAAGAAATCGGAAGCATCGCGATTTCTCCTGTACGGGGTACTGGCCAGACCTGCCAAGCATCTCCAAAGTTCAGCCGTGTGTGAAAGTAACATTCATTGGTAAGTAGCTGTGGAGGATTCACGTTTCTTGAGTGCTCGGGTGTTAGCGAGACTTGCCAAGTACCTCTAAAGTTCGACCGTGGGTGGTAGGACGAATTTCTTCGGCACCGGCAGGCAGGCTATGCAGCGGTTGGATGGGAAACATACTCTGGGGGTATCCATACGGTCGGGTTTCTCGTATAGGAGGAGGAGGATTGAGTGCTCTGAATTCGTTCCAGCCCCGATTCTAGCGACAGTTACCGGTTAATTTAATGCTGACAAATTTGCCTCGGAGTTTCCTATGACAACAGCGCGTCATAATTGAAAGCTATAAGCTATGGATGCGATATTCGTTCCAAGACATAGATTCTTCTGCTCGGATCATCCGGGGCTCGGTGGGACCGTACTGCCATCAGTAAATCCACCATGTTGAAGATTGATCTTCGCAAAATGCCTGCCACCGTCTCAATACATACCAGATATTCACTGAGCTGTATCCTCGGCGCTGGCTACACTTTCTTCCTAATGAAATCGTGATCGAGCCCGAAAACTCAACTTGGCAACACTTGTTTGTAGTGGACTTCGAGAATATACGTACTTGGAGAATTCAACATCTCTGCCGCTGTTTTACTCTCCTAGGTCAGCCTAGACTTGAGTTATCACGTCAGATCTCTTGACTCTGAGAAATAACAGCCGGGTTTTGAAGGCAGAATCTGTCTCGGAGACACTGCGAAATTGGAATTCGAGGAGAAATCCGCCTCAGACCTCGAGACGATTGAGACTAAAACTAGGGATGTTTACAGTCGATATTTTAGTTATCCTAGATTTGCGGCATGTCCAGACAAGTGCTCAGAGAGGACGTTGTGAGATTTTGAGACGTAAAGCTCGGGACACTCGACCCGCTGGGTTCGGGACATTTATTGGGGACATTTTTGAGCCGCTAATTTGTAGCGTAGGACATTCGAAAAGGCGAGTTAGGGGTATTCTGTTAACGCGTTCTAACGTCTAACGAAACTTCTGCTTATAGGAAGCTGTCCTTACCCTCCTCTTGGAGCACATCAATGCCAAGTAAGTTGGAAGTTGGAGAAGTAAACTTTAAAATACTCAGCTGGAAATAAATAATGAAATTTATGGAGTTAGTTACTCTGAATTTACATACTAGGGTCTCAAAATGCGACAGCAGGCTGGAGAACAAGTCTAAAGAAGGTTTATGCGCCTGCGCATTGCAGTGGTTGCATAATTCCCACACTCTGAAATTGTTAGTTTCACATACGGGTAAGACGGAGTTATCGATACGCACTGTTCAGTCAGACGCCGTCACTCTGTAGAACTTAGGATTCAGTGTTAGACGGCAAGGTCTCAAAAGGGAATAAAAGTATCTCAAGATACCCCAAAATCCTACTGCCAATAAATGACAGTCAAAAAATGTCCCGAAAGGTCCCGAGCTCCAATCTTCAAAAAACACCATATCGATTATCTTGACCTTGCCCTCTCAAAGCCCGAGCTCTCGCTTTGAAAATGTCCCGACCGCCATCTCGAAACCCGAAGAGTCTCTCCCCTTAAACATTGCGAGCTCTCACCTCAACACGGTGCAGAGGTCAAGCAACCCGACATCTGAAGACTCCCGGAGCCCCGATTGGCGCCGGAGCATGCGATACTCCTTCAGCTCTCGTATACGGTATACTTAGCACAGTATCAAGTGCGTTCACCAACTTCGCCGTGTATTTCAAAATCGCATCGATCGATCAATGCTGGGAAGATCTCACTATGATCTTCAAGCCAAGAGCATTCCCTGAGGACTGACGCGCAATAATGACGAAGAGTACCCTCGATTATCCAGTGTTTTCCAAGGTTTCTGATATCTATAGACCAGAATAAAAGATATCCGTGCTTCGATTTTTTTTTTCGCTAACGTACTACGCTCGGTGTAACTGTCCTTTTCTCATCCGGGACGGCCCGACTTGCAAAGCAACAAGCAGTGTTCCTATGGTTCTTCAAGACATCTGAAAAAAGGCACTGCATTTAGAGCGAGAGCTACAGAGCCAGTAATAGCAATAAAGGACCCCATACCTTCATAATGGCGCCCATCTTTAATGTATGTGAGATGCCGACGTTCGACAAATAATGGATTCATCAGAAAACAGACGACCCGGTTCATCCAATACAAAGTTCCCCGAGAAGGGCGCGACATGAACCCTATATGGCCATGACATACGACCCCAAAATATGGGATTGAGAGCTGCAGGCTGGCGTTTTCCGTGTGATAAGGATAAAAATCAAAATCAAACCGACTGGCAGAGTCGAAAAGAGCACGACCCCTCCTGCTGAGGCAGTTCATGATTCTACTAGAATTCCAATCCAGTTGAAATTCTGTATTGAAATTGGTACCTCAGCGACATCAGTGCCGAATCTGGAATGCCAAGCCTCTACTTTAGCCGCCCTTGACAGCCAGCGATGCCTTTTTTTCGGCATTTTCGGGACGTAGCGGCGACGCTTGCAGGCTACTTGACGACACGCATAATGGAACGCCGGTATTTACGTATATTTGTTACTATCCCTTGAACTGGACCGCCATCAAAGTTGTCAGTCGAACTTCTTTTCCATGCGTCCGTTGCTCTGTCCCACAAGCGAACCGATACGGTCCACGGACCAGGCTCAATTAGTTTCTATGACGAAAGAGAGGCAAGTATCGTCCTATCTTCCAGTAACACGTCTTCGTTTCCACTGATTGCGAGGTGTATAGGTTCCTGTAGTATACTGCGACCCTGGCGGCGCTCTGAGCTTGCTGGCGTGGCTCAAATGACTTTCACTACGAAAGAATTGCAAGGATATGCTGTCGCCCTCGATAGGCGAACTGCTCGGGCCTAAACAGATCAAAGAAGAAATCTGCAGGAACAGGACTATTTTTGCGTATCTTCCGGCCCCGTAATTCCGGATCCTCATGAACGAAAATTATTCCGTTCTTCGATTCGATTGCCAAACTCAGAATTACATGCATTCGCTCGCTCCATGGGTCTATCAAATTGTGATGCAAAATCGTTTCCCACATTATCACATTTTAGCTCGAGACTGTTTTCCGTCGCTTATATCCTTGGATGTGAAACTCCACGTCGTGTGCTTCCGACAGTTATCCTTTGTTGATTGGCTCCGTCTGGCTTCCTTCATAAGCACCGCCGGTCGACGCCCTCTACTTAAGCCTGGTCTTCTTCCTCCCCTTCTCCTGAGGAGCCGCAGAGTCGGATTTGCGCTAGAAGCCCTTCTGACACCATGTCCATCCCACTCTCCTTCTTACGGGACCTCACCCCCTCGTCAGGTGTCTCTCTTGGAGACCTGATTGACGAACGTGTTGTCAGCTCAGGACGGGTCCATACGCTGCTTGACTGTCTCTGCTCGACATCAGCGCCTGCCATTCATTCACCAGACGCCTCTCGGCCATCATTAAACCATGACATCCTCCACTCTTTTGTCAAAAGCTTTGCGCTTCCCCACTCCCCATCCAAGTCGCCACTGGGTCCTAATGATAGAGTTATGATTGCACTTCCCACTGGGCCCGAGAACGCCCTCGCCCTTCTTTCCCTTGCTACCTATCACACCGTCGCCCCGGTTAATGCGAGCTGCACTGCATCCGAACTTCGAGAAGACGCACATCGCTTGAACGCCAAAGCAATTGTTTCGACGAAGGAGGCGGAACATCGATTGGAGCTTCTGGCACTTCGAGATGCCCTCGGCTGCGAGATCGTCTACATCGAAGGCCACCCAACCGGACCCGCCGGATTGTTCACTATGACCTTGGTGGGCGGTAACATGATCATTCCTCCGCCATCGACGCCACATGGGCTTCGTGACCAGTCGCTCGTTCTCCACACTTCGGGTACTAGTGGAAAGAAAAAGGTTGTGCCGTATACTTTACGGTCTTTGATTGTGGGTACTTGGGCCGTCGTTCATTCATGGGATCTCCAACCACGCGACGTTAACCGTGAGTAATATTTCTATGCACTTACTATAATTCTAACTTTCAAACTAGTGAACATGATGCCACTTTTCCATGTCGGCGGGATTGTACGAAATCTATGGGCCCCCGCTTTCTCTGGCGGAAGCGCAATCATGTGCGCCGGTTTTGACGCGATCGCATTCTGGAATCTCGCTTCCCAGCTACATGCGACTTGGTATGTCATATTTTATTACTTCGTCTATTTGGTTGACGCTAGTGGTAAAGGTACTACGCCGCGCCTACCATCCATCATGCTGTCCTTACGTCACAGCCCGATTACATTGAACCAGATCGCGACATCAGCATTCGTATGATTTGCAATGCTGCCGGTGGTCTACTTCCCTCTCTCGCTGTCGAGCTCCAGAACCGATTCAAAAAGGCCACCATTTTGCCCTCGTACGGGATGACGGAGTAAGTTTAAACTCTAAATTTCTATTCTCGCACACTGATGGCCATGATCTTTATTTAGATGCATGCCAATCGCGTCTCCGCCTACGACGTACCGACTTGAACGTCCCGGATGTTCTGGAATAGCGTGCGGTCCATACATCTCGATCCGTGATCCCTATGATTTGGAGCGCGAACTACCAACCGGGAAAACAGGAGCAGTGTCGGTCCGCGGACTGCCCACGTTTGAAGGGTACGAGGTTTCTCCGGACATCAATATGCCTCTCGATACGTCGGCTTTCTCGAGCGAAGGCTGGTTTGATACGGGAGACGTGGGCTATGTGGATTCTGATGGTTACCTATTCATTACTGGTCGTTCGAAGGAGATTATCAACAAGGGAGGAGAAGTTATTTCACCCTTTGAGATTGAGGAGGCTATTATGACGGCAGCGAGAGACCATGTTAAGGTATGCGGCATCGATTTATGAATCTATTTATCAGCTGAACATTCATCAAAGGCTTCTCTGGCTTTCGCAATCGAGCATAATGCGCTGCAGGAAGCCATTGGTGTTGTTATAGTTCCTCAGCCTGACCGGCCTCGCGTCGGACTTTCACAGCTCCACGATCTACTAAAGTATGTGGAGCTGTAGTTTGCTATTCCGTCAGCTGAGCGGAAACTTTGTTTTAGAGACCACTTGCACCCTTCAAAGTGGCCATTTGCGATCGTTTATATGGCGGACTTACCGAAGAATAGGTGCGGCTTTAAGCTTTAGTGTTTATTGTATGTCCACCAATGACCTATCATCGTTAGTGCTGGCAAACCTCTTCGAATCAAATTGGCGACTCGGTTCGGTCTTGGATGCATGACTGACAGTGTCCCTGTGGTTCAACGTCATTTCGAAGCAGAGGTTCCTCCTCCATTAGCAGCACTCTCCGAACCGGTCGCATGTTCGAAGGTGTCAGTTGACCTTAGCGCACTCAAGCGTACACTGCTATCCACATTTGGAGTGTCCGATGTTGCCGTACGTTTCCGCCACGACGGCAATCCCGAAGCTTTTGTCTCCATGACGGGCCAGGACGTGCCTGATGAGGAAACTCTGATAAAGTACATATCCGGAATCCTCCCAGGCTACATCCTACCTGATCCTCTCCGTGTTCTGAGGACTCCGCTGTTGAAGGATGCTGATGGCCAAGTTGATTTCGCCACTATGGAAGAGGAGTTCGCTCGCCAGAACGCTTCAACCATGACATCACGCGAACTTCTCATCCGCGACATCATCTCTGACCTTCTCTCCGTCGAGTCGGACAGGATCAAAGGAGATTCTGATTTCTTCCTGCTTGGCGGCAATTCTCTTCTTCTGGGAAAGTTATCCTACTTCATTCGGAAGGCCACAGGCGCAAGTATACCCATCTCTGCGATTTTCACTAACAGCACTGTTTCTGGGATCGCGGGGCTAATCGAGAGTCAACAAGAGCATAGCATGTCCAATGCTACCTCAATGATGTCTCTCCCTTATAAGTCGATACCCAACACACCTTCAGACTCAACATTGAGCTATGGCGACCAGGACGACATGGAATCGTCTAAAGGATTTCGTGGACAAAGTCACCCTCTTTCTATCTTGGTTCAGGTCTTCCCATTCATGTTTTTCTATCCTCTCAAAACCGCTTTGACTTGTGAGTAACTCGCAGTTCACGTCTCAAGTTATCTCACGATACATCAGGGACACTTTTGTTGTACGTTATGTCCCACCTGGCTAGGTATATCGACGAATCCTTCTGGGAACGTATGGGAGTCCTACTATGCTGTATTGCTGCAGCGCGGTTAGCGACACGAGTCGTAGCACCAATCGCCGCGATAGCATTCAAGTGGGTTGTCATTGGAAAATATAAACGTGGGACTTACAAGATGTGAGTGTACCGTTTGTTCACTGTATGTCATTTCTGATCAACGAGTAGGTGGTCATCATACTATCTGCGATGGTGGCTCGTGAATCAGAGCCTGCGCACAGCTGGTCGTGGCGTATTCGCAGCACATCCAGCCCTAGAGAAGCTCTACTTCCGTCTTTTGGGTGCCCACATAGGCAAGAACGTCCACATAGCGCATAAGGCGAAGCTCAGCGAGTTCGACCTCATCAGACTAGAGGATGGCTGCCGCCTCGATACTGCTCTCATTCGCGGGTTCTGCGTTGAGAGGGATGGGCAATTCCGTCTCGACAACATTGTTATTGGAAAGAACGCCGTCGTCAATACTTACACGCAAGTGGCACCCGGGGCTCGCATTCCAGACGGCGCCGTCTATGGTCCTCATTCATCAAGTAACGAAGCCCCTTCTCCACCGGAGTACGCAGCATTCAATAGGACTTCTTTGCGGGAACCACGCTGGTTCTTGAAAGTTTTCGTTGCCTATCCCATTTTTGGTTTGGTGCTTTTCACATCCTGTAGGCGCATCATTAACTAGCCTTACCGTCCTTCAACTAATCATTCTATTTATGTTACAAGATCTACCCTGGTTCGCGTGCATCTATTTGATGTTACAGGAGACTACCTTTATCCGACCTCGTGGTAACGCTCTTGTCGCTGTGATCTATTGGTTTGCTACATCCGACCGAGTACTCTATCACGCGGTGTCAAGAATCGTCAGGGCCGTCTGCACTCCACTTCTTCACCTGGTTCTCTCGATCATCGTGAAACGCATCTTTGGTCTGAACAGACCCTGCAAAAGTGAAGATGCGTCACAGCTGGTTTTGCTTCGCCGATACATCAACTCTGTGCTCCTGTCTCAAGATCATCTCAAGAACGCTTTCTCTATTTTGGGTACCCATTATGAGGTTGTTTCTGTGAGTCGTCAAATTTAGGCATTTGGAGTTACCCCGACTGACATCTTCCATTTGATATAGCTTGTCTACCGTGCGATGGGCGCCAAGGTTGGTCGACGAATCTACTGGCCCGGATCTGGAATGTACTGTCTCGAACCGGAGCTGTTGGAAGTCGGTAACGATGTCGTCTTTGGGTCGCGTTCTGAGGTCTTCACTACCGATGCAAATTCGTCTGAGAAGGTAGTTATCGGCGATGGCGGTAAGTGAAATTAGTATGCTATCTCACCCTAAAAACTCAATTCTTGTAAAGCTATGATCGCCGACCGAGTGGTCCTTCTCCCAGGTGTACGCGTGGGCCGGCGCGCCGTCTTGGGATCAGGTACTATGACTACACGGAATGCTTACTACGAGGAGCGCTCAACATGGATGGGTAGCGGTACGTCATGTTTTTCCTTGCGCGGCTTCATGTGCTGACATCGAAATCAAGATCGTGGTCAAGCCATCTGTTTCAACAAAGGTTCAAAGGACCCCGATCCAAATAGCGACACGACAACACCGTTTGGCAAGGCCTTCTACAAACGCCAAGCGGATTACTTTGTCTTCCCGTACTCCATCCTCCTGTTCATCAACGTTGTCGTTGCTTCATGTTCTGCCGCTTTCTGGTCGATCAGTGCTGTTACAGCAGCTCAGATCCTTCGCCAGTTGCACATTCATTTCCCGGAGATCCACTTCTTCAGCCCCATCTGGTACCGCGTCGTTGTACTCTATGGCCTCATCGCTCTCAGTTTTACCGTCGTGCTCAACCTTCAAGCTCTGGCCGCCATTTTATGGGTAATCTTGACCAAATGGATCGTCATTGGACGCCGTCATGTGGGAAAATTCGAATGGGACAAGAGCAGTTACTGCCAGAGATGGCAACTCCACCTGGTCCTTTCCCGCCCGCTTTACAAGGGGTACGGAAATGGGGGAATCCTACTCCCCCTTACGGGAACTGTTTTCATCGTATGGTATTTGCGGGCGTTGGGTGCTAAGATCGGCAAGAACTGTGCCATATATGTCGGTGGTAAAGCTGGTTTGATGACCGAACCCGATCTGGTTGAGGTAATGGTCTCTCTTTCCATGGAATACCTTTACTAAAGATGATCTATTGGCAGCTTGGCGATGATGTGACCCTAGACAACTGCTCAGTCGTGGCGCACATCAACTCGAGAGGAAATTTCGCGCTTAACGGCCTGAAGATCGGTAATGGGTGGGTTGCTCGGTTCACTTGTACTCTAGAACATTCTCTCACACAAGTTTTTTGCAGTTGTGCTATGCGAAGTGGTTCCAGATTGCTTTCCGGTGCTTCTATGGAGGATAGCAGCATGCTGTGTGAGCACACGCTTTTGACATCGGGCGAGGTCGCCGAGTCGGGTGCTGTGTACGTCGGGTGGCCTGCGAGACGGGTCGATAACTTGAAATCGTGGCGGAACTCGAAGGAGCGAACCGACGTGAAGTGAACTTGTTGCGTTCATTTTAATTGTATTTGTGAGTGCTTATGTCCCGGCTCGATGCGACGGAAACCTGAGCGTGCCTTTGAATGTTTAAGTTCATAGCTAGGCTGCTTTGCCATTAGAATAGGTCTTGCATTGTTATACGCTCATTCGCATCTTCTTAAGCACTTATCTTTAAATTTTACCCGCATTGATACCTTGAAACCCTCTGCTTGGGCCGTCTACACTAAGACGTTAGAATCGCGGGTTAATGGGAGAATAATATGTACTACAGCGCTTTCGTGGTTAGACTATGTAGACACCAGGGTTATGACATTACCATGCTTTCAAGTTGACTTCGAGTAAAGATACCGTTGGTTTGGCCTTTTACACGGAACTAAGCTTGTCCGACTTTTGGAGCCAATTCCCCGACAGTTTCGTACATGTGCATTCAACAACCCCAACCGAGACGCTCAGGCTTACAACCACATGCTTTCTGATTCAGGCTTGTGGTTCAAGAATGACACGGGCGGCGATTTGAACTGTCGTTTCGAGGGCTACAGTTACAGTTATCTGCCTAAAAATTTCCGGCTCACATGAAAATTGTATGTGTTGATTTTCAGATAACACGCCGCTGGGGGCATACGGTCTTAAATTTTTGACTTGTTCACTATAGCAACTCGGGGTCGTCCTTTATCTTTTGTCCTATGCGTATGGTCTTGGCATTCCACCTTTTGACGTTCACACTCCTCGGAGGACATCCCCTGCCGAGCTAATCGCTTGTGGCTCCTCCCACTATCCGTGCAAGTTACTCCGCGCAGCAGCGGATCAACAATTGACCCAGCGGCCAGTAGCGGGTACGCGAGGAAAAATGAATCTTACAAGGGCGCCTCGACGCGTGGGAAATTTTACCGATGACGATATGGATTTAGATCTAGAGCTAAGTTATGTACGTATAGTGATCGCGTCGCAGATACCTGACTGCAAGCAAGTTAAGAAAGAATAATAGCGCTGTACTGGGAATAAAATGTTCTGGAGTTACAACCAAAAAAGCCGTTCAAAGAACGTATCCTAATCAATAATATTCAACTCCCGCTTCCTGGCCTTGGCAAACTCATCCTTGTGGGTATCCCAAATCCTGTGTCATCATTATAACCATCGCTAAGAGCTCAGGGGGGAAGAGAAAAGCGTACCGCTGTAGTTCCGTGATGTAAAGAGTCTGGATGCGCTGAACCTCCTCGATATCTGGTTGATTAACTCGCTTCACGGGTATGGGTCGTCCGACTGAGGAAAAACTTGTCAGAATATCTGTAATGGAGCAACGCCACATGCAGGTTCAAAGTCTCACCGACGGCAGTTATTCTCCGCCTATAAGGGAGTAGCCCGAGGTTATCTAAAGCATCCCTTGTCATCGAGGCGCCGGGGGGAAAAGAAACAGATAACACACAATTGAGCATCCCTCTTCCGTGGAACAGCGGCAAAGTAAAGCCAAAGATCGCCTGAAATTTCTTCTGGAACATGTAAATGGCAGTCCCCTTCTCGTTGGGCATTTGCGAGAAAATCTGATGGATTTATTGTTTTTTTTTAGTTGGCCGCCTTTTCATGGGAAAATAAAACCTACGTCGTTTTCTCCGAAGGAGAATACCGGTACGAGGTCCGCTCTTCATGAATGAGTAAACTAAAAGTTGATTAAAAGAAGCAAAAGAGACCGACCCTTCCTGGATAGCAATCTTGATGAACCCTAGCCTAAAGGTGATTTCAAAAAAGCAGGTAGCAACGATAACGGTAAGATAACGTACCGTTTACGAAGAGTCAAGTCGGCGGTTCCTGGATGAGCGCTCAGGCTCTCTGCAGCCCCTCCGACGACGATGGTGATAGACTGTCCTGGACCGCTCTGCAGGATGTTACTGCACGACCTCTTACTCACGCTCCCCATTCCCGAATGTATCATGAACTCCCGATAGAACGGAAGCTTAAAGTTGCTAGAAAGAGTAAGGAGATGTGTTGTAATCCCAGGGAAAAGTCTGGAGAATCCAGTCACTAAACATTTATCGAATGAAAAAAAAGTTGAAACAATGAGATGGGCTATGATAACATACCGTCGGTACCGAAGTTTGCAAAAGCTCCCCTGGAGATGACCTTGAGCTTGGCGGGAACGTAAAACAAACCAAAGATGAACCGCAAACGTACATGCCAATGATACCTGTTCGTAACCTGTTTGAGAAATTATAAACATTTGTAGTCCGTATGTCGACATACCATGAGGGTGGTAACCAAAAACATAAGTGCGACTGGGCGGCAAGTCTGCCTCCTACAACGCAACAATAGTCAAAGCCGCATTCCTTCGTCAACGACGGACCGACCTTCAAGCATCTGCATGGAAAAAGTGTCAAAATACACCCCAAAACAGAAGCCAAAGTGACGCCTCACGTAATAGGATAATATGCCACGAAGTACCTCCACCATGCACACCGGCGGTACCAGTGCCAGACCCGCCCCCCGTGCTCAGGCGACTTGTCGAGGTAATGCACCCATATCATATAGCAAGTAACGAGAGGCCACAACGGTGGAAAGGAACTGGTTCGCTGTCAGCCCCGTCACCCCAAATTGCGACACCAACGTACCACAGGAAGATGAACAGCGTGCAGGACCCGACTATCAGAATGGACCAGATGGCTACTGCCAGCATTTCTAGCCTCCGTTGGGCCGGTATCGAGGATGGAACGAAGCTGGACGATGCTCATTTCAGCATACCATCGAAGCACCCGAACGAAACGGTACGAACTCGATATTGTCATGAAGCGATTTCTTTACGGGTGTTAGCGGTGTCGTTGCGAGCCCCGAGAGCCTCTTGGCAAGTGACGGCTTCGACAGCGGCGGAGAGTGCTTCGTCGACATTTTCGTTGTTGCGGTTCCAAGTAGGAATTTGTCCGCTGCCCTGCTCTGCCAAATTTCTGGGGAAAGGCTCTACACCGCGTTCAGGACTGCAGTAATTTGGGAAGCAAGGACTAGGCAGAGTGAGTTCCACGTGACAATCGCCACGGCAAATGGCATTACTCATAAAGTACATGTAACGCGCAATTATTCAAGTATCGGCTCATCTAACATTCATCTCTCATAGAACGTACAAGAAAAAACAGGGTGAAAGATTTACAGTCCTTTTTTCTTACGCATACAAATCATCATCAGCATTATCCTCCGTGAATCCTGCATTTCCGGAAGCAACACCTGCTGTCGCACCCGATGACTCGCCCTCGGGGAACTTGAAGTTGTTTCCAAACCCTCTCGACTGTTGCAGGTTCTACAATGCCAAGTCAGTTCGCTCTAAGCTGCGCATGGGGAGGTAGCATACCTGAGAGAACATCTCGTAACGTCGAATGTCTTGGTCGGAAACAGAACGGCGGGCATACTTCATCGCCTCCTCGAAATGCTCCCTAAAATCAGTTATAAGCATGCAATGCCCCGGCCGGAAAACTGTGCGTTCGCAGACCTTGTGATTTGGGGGACGGGGTCCTCCTCTTCCACGTCCTCTTCCATCTTGTCGTCACCAGCAGCTTCCTCCTTTTCTTGCTTTTCTCGTGTCCGTCTAATATCGGCATCGATGGACTCTCTGATGGCCAACTTTGCAGCGCGCTGGCAGATTTCAGTCAAATCCGCGCCGGAGAAGCCGTGCGTGTTCTTGGCCAGGAAGCCAAGATCAACTTCAGGAGCGACCGGCGATTTCTTTAGGCATGCCCTAAGGATAGACAGGCGCGAAGGCTCGTCAGGTAGAGGAATGTAAATCAGCTGGTCGAGACGACCAGGACGAAGCAGGGCCGAGTCGATCTGATCGGGTCTGTTCGTCGCGCCTATAATGAAGACATTCTTCTTCGAGTTCATTCCGTCCATTTCGGTAAGAATCTGGTTCAACACGCGGTCACCGGCACCGCCAGCATCTCCCGATGATCCACCACGGGCCTTGGCAATCGAATCCAGTTCGTCAAAGAACATGACACACGGCGCGGCAGCCCGAGCCTTATCGAAAACGTCACGAACGTTGGCTTCAGATTCACCGAACCACATCGTAAGCAGCTCAGGGCCCTGAAAGATCGTCAGTGCATATGACAAGGCGCCAAGCAATATACACGAACCTTAATACTAATGAAGTTGGCGTTGCACTCATTCGCAATTGCCTTCGCCAAGAGCGTCTTACCGGTACCGGGTGGGCCATAGAACAAGACACCCTTCGATGGCGACATGCCATACTTGATGAACTTCTCGGGGTGATCCACTGGGTATTGTACGGTTTCCTGGAGTTCCTGCTTGACCTTTTCCAAACCACCAATGTCGTCCCAAGTGACGGTAGGCACTTCGACAACAGTTTCCCGAAGAGCAGAGGGATTAGAGGTGCCCAATGCGAATCGGAAGTTGTCCATGGTAACACCGAGGGAGTCGAGAACTTCGGCATCGATCGTGTCCTCATCGAGGTCAATCAAATCCATCTTTTCACGGATTTGTTGCATGGCTGCCTCCGAACAAAGAGAGGCGACATCAGAACCAACGTAACCGTGGGTGTCAGCAGCGATCTATAAAATGTTGTTTAATGCCAGCTTAGAAAAAGCAAGACCGACATACCTGCTCAAGGTCAACATCGTCGGCCAACTTCATGTTCTTTGTGTGTATACGCAGAATTTCAAGACGGCCAGTAGGGTCAGGGATACCAATGTCAACTTCACGATCGAAACGACCGAATCGTCGCAAAGCGGGGTCGATAGAGTTGGGTCGGTTAGTTGCAGCCATGACCACGACGTTAGACCGCGCCTTCAGTCCGTCCATCAGTGTAAGGAGTTGGGACACAACACGACGCTCGACTTCCCCGTTGGTCTTTGAAAACAAGTCAGTCACGAAGATGTAGATGAAGACATTAAATGACGCACCTTTTCACGCTTAGGAGCGATTGAGTCGATTTCATCAATGAAGATGATAGCAGGCGAGTTCTTCTCGGCTTCCTCAAATGCCTTCCTCAAATTACTCTCACTCTCTCCAGCCATCTTACTCATAATTTCCGGACCATTAATCAAGAAGAAGAAAGCACCAGTCTCATTTGCAACCGCACGTGCCATCAACGTCTTACCCGTTCCAGGTGGACCGAACATGAGAATACCGCGGGGAGGCTTGATACCAATGGATTTGAAAAGTTGAGGATGACGGAGCGGTAGCTCGACGAGCTCGCGAATCTGTGCCATCTGTTTGCGGCATCCACCGATATCGTCGTATCCAACATCGTTGAGATTTGATTCCTCGTCTTCGCGCTTGACAGGGTCTCCCTCTGAAACATAGGGATGAGTGAAAATGACATATGTGAGGTTCGGGAAGAAATTTACCGGTGTGAATGACAGTGTCCTGCGCTACTATACAAAATTCGGCGGGGTCTGTCTCAATAACTTTGAATTCGACCGTTCGCATGCCTCCTCGGACAAGGAAGGTGTCGCCCTTCCGGACCGGTCGGTAAGCTATAGGAAATTAGCATCGGAAAGGATAGCTGAACATGACGCCTACCTTCAAGGAAGTATGGTTTGAGGTAAACATCGAAGATATTACCACTGAGGCCCTCAACTGAATCGTCAAACGGCAAGATATGCACTCGTTTTCCGTATTTGATGTCGAGACATGGGTGAACATTGACGAGGTCACCGAGCTTGACTCGCAAATTGTTACGGGCGACCTTGTTCATCTGGATTCTTCCTTCTTCAACATCATCGGAGCTCAGACAGATCAAAACGGTATCCCGTCGCTTCTTTCCTCTGCATTTCTGTTAATTTTGGGTTCGGTGATGGTGGTAATCACATACCGGATGATGATAGTGTCACCTCGGAAGAGAGACAAAGTCTCCATCGTAGCGGGGTTGATGGTCGCGACTAGAGAGTACCACTATTAGCTGTTCGCATGTCACTGACGAGTTCTGTTACTCACCAGAGTTATCATCCGTCGACGACTCATCAACAATCAAACGATTTGGCCTTGCAAGACATCCGGATTTCAGTACACTTCACCGAGAATAATCCAAAACTACTCACGACTTCTTGGGCCGCAAAATTGCAGTTGAAATGTCATTGGGACCGGGTTGCGGGGGTGCGCCACTGGGATCAGCCATTATAATGGAATCTGAGTAGAGAAATAGTGGGACAGATGAACGTTATAAAGGAAAGAGGTGAGGACGCGCGTCCACACGTTACAGTGTCGCTGGCAAATAAGCACAAATCAGAACACGTGGGGTCCCCTTCCCGCTGTTTCTGGAAGTTACTACCCGTCTCGAGCACCGCAGGCGAAGTAGAGGCAGACAAGAGACAGATCGAGACTATATTGGCACGACGGGGGACCAGTAACATAATATTATTCTTATAAAGGATACATTCACATTTCTTCATCAAAGTCGATGTCCTCGGGAGGGAAATCACCAACTTTTACTTTCTCAGGTCGGACAAAGACGCCGTACTTTGGCCGGCATTCGAAATATCTTTCCCCTTGTACTCTGAGAATATGTTCAGAGGTTGTACCAAGGATACTGTGAAGAACGACTTACGACCCATCATTCTTACCAAAAGGTTCATCATACTCCACTCCTACCCATACACCTTCACCAGATCCAAATTTCGTTAGTCCAACGAAACGTACAGTTCCTCGTTTGCTGAACCCAGGTTCCGAAGATTCAACCTCACACCGAGAGCCTACCGGAATATTGATTTCGGGAGTAGGCCGTGTTTTGGGTTCGTCCTTGGGTGCAAATCTACCCACTTGGTGGCGTTGCTTATATGCCAATACAGTATCTGACGCGTTTTGATGAGTACGGCATATCACTTCATTTGTTGCACCTTACCTGGTCGCGCCGCGTACTCCGCTTCGGTTAACTCGAACTTTTCCACTTGTGAAGTATCTGTTAATTGCCCCGTAAATGATGTTGAAGGGTCCAAATCATCTACCTGACGCAATCAATCCCATCGCGATGATAAATATGACAGGAACGCGCATACTTTCAGTACTTGCAGGCTTCTAACGCCGTAAAAACCCAGCGGTTTGCTATCATCGGACAACTGTGCAACGATCGTAGGGTCGCTATCCGAATTTAATAGCGATATATATTGATTTGCAACCGGAATGCCTGTAATCAGTTCCAGTTTGCCCTAGCATAAATGTCAACGGCTTTCTCCCTCCGGCAGTGATCATCGTCTGACCTTCAATTGCCCGATTGTCGTATGGAGCTCGAGACGTCTCTCAGACCGAGTATCGGGAGAGACTACAAATACGTTCACGACACCTGAAGACATGATTTTCCTGAGTGAGGGTAATAAAGATGGAAGTTCGGCGCGGATTCCGCGTTAGACTCGGACAACGGTCACGTGTAATTACCTACCCAAACTGCCTGGGCAACAACTCGGATGTTAAAGCAAAAGATGATTTTAACACAAGACTGAAAATGTGAATCCAAAGTATACATTTACTTGGGCAGGCCTCGATCAACAGGATGCAGTGAGGATCCGCGCGAGTATATATTATTCTTCACTTTGATGTCCTGTAGATACAACCGGATTACACAAGCACCAACGAGGCATAACCGTTTCCCTAGCGTCCGCCCGGTAACTCTAGGTCTGCAAAGAACGCGCCCATCATCGTTTTTAGAAGTGATTTAATTTGCATAGAGGAATTGGTAGAAGTTGATATACTGGAAGATACATTCGCATCAACTTGAAGACGAGACCCAGGCAACAGCCTTGCCGTGAATATAAAGTGCCTGCTATGCAGATATCACAAGGATCGCGATCCATATGTTGATATCGCTATGCCTTGGACATATTCGATCAATTTTCTCTCCATTGGTGCGTGCAAGCTGTGCATCTGCTCGAAAATCAGCACTGGCAACGCCCAGAGCATAGGTAAATTCTCACCGATAGACTGTAAGAGGGATGCGGTTAGATTAAATAAACACCGCGAAGGATGTAGTGAACGCACAGGTAGTCATAGGCTCATCCGCAGAACGGATCTGTAGCTGATAGAAATACGCCTTGTCGTTGTTACATTTACCGCACGAGGCTGTGTCAAATTGGAGTCATAGCGTACACAGATTTCAGGGAACAAACAGCACCTTGTGTTGCATCTGCATGTTCCCAAGCTTGATCTCCCCCAAGAACGTCGTCGATTTCTTTTCGTTTTAGCCTTGTCCTTGAAGTCATCTGCAGGGCGACATTAATCGATGGAGGGGGATAGATTGGGGGTATATACCTGCTTCGTTATTGGGAACTCGTATGGGCAAGTATTGCATGCCCATTTATTATACCCTTTTTCCGAAGAAATTACCAAGAGATTCGCACAGGTTGGACAGAACAGCATCACAGCCGGCGAGTTGAGATGGCAGTGGAATCGAAGGACAAAAAACCATCGGATCAATGACGTGATCGATCATAGACAGCGCCCGGGCCGACTACTTATTAGCGGCCTGTAACGGCGGAATGCATCTTGACCTCAACTCCCATTCTCTACTACCTGCCACTCAAATAATAAATGCTCGCCTTCCTCAGAAATAACAGAGAAAGATCTCCACGTACCTACCCGTCCCAGGCTCCTCCTCAATGGTCTGCCGCTCCCGAAGTTCCGGTTCGGTGCCACATTTCACTCGTCAAGAATTCTGCTCATATCTGTAACACAGTATGAATATGGTTTATACAACGAGGCTCCTGGACAGGAATATGATGATGCAGAGGACTTTTGTAATAAATATCCAATGCAGCCACCTAGAATTCTGCCCTCTTATCTCGTCGACAAGATTAACAATAACGGCTGCCGATCTTGGGGCATAGAAATTCCTCCTCCCTGGCTCTAGATTCTCTGGCACCATCTACAACATTGATGCCAAACCCGACTCCAAAGCTCCTGCCATCGTTAGAATACGGACTAACAAGAAGTGTCCGGGATTACTGCCTCCTCAGCGACCTTCCTGTGATGGCTGGACTGTACGAAACTCCCAGAAAAGTTGGCTTCTACTATGAGATCCTTATCCACCGAATGGAAGGGTTTCTTGCTATCGGTGGGTACTTGAAATATCCCAGCGCCACACTTGAGCTGACAATCCCGCTTTTGTAGGCACTGCATGTCAGCCTTATCCGGCATGGCGGCTACCGGGCTGGAATCGCCTAAGTGCAGGCCTACATCTTGACGACTTCAGGAAGTTTTTCGAGGATCCCGCTGGCGGCCGTGACTATACCAGCGCCCTACAGCGCATCTCTCCCGGAGATACGATAGGGTGTGGCTTCGAGTTTCAGACCGGCTCCCTATTTTACACATATAATGGTATTCGTCTTCCCAATGCGTTCACTGGCATCTATCTTCCCCGCCAAAACTACGATGTATTCGCGGCCATCGGCGTGGAAGGGGTGTGCGATTTTGAAGTGAACTTTGGTGGCGAGCTGGTCAAATGGCCCGAAGGGAACGAGTGGCAATGGAAGCTCGACGGAATTATTGGGAGACTTGGCTACCCAGGTAGCGGGAATGGTCTTGACGAGGAATTACCCTCTTACAGTCGCACATAACCTGACAATCATTTTTGAATAATCAAGCTTTTTTTTATTGCACCCAGAACCTATATACCGAGGAAAAGAGGATAAGAATATTTAACAGCGAATCATGATTCCATCATAGGGACCGGCGTGGTCAGATACATCGCCAGAGAAAATGGTCTCAACTGCACCATCAGTGCATTCATCTGAGGGGTTTTCTTGCCCTGAAGATGCGATCTTCCCATCAGCACGTCTGTGGAAGCATCAGATGTTAGCGTACCTGGACAAGAGTTCCAATTGTTGTTGTTGATATGAATTTCGCCGGAAGGGTGGTGGAAACCCAGGAGTCTCGCTGAATATCATTCTGTCAGCCTCGATACGAACTGTCATCGTTGCATCTACAAACGTGGTAACGTCGGGATGAAATCTTGTCTAGAGTGCTATTAGATTGATACTGTCAGAAATCCGAAACGAAGACTCACTTATTATTGATGCGTGTGAGATTTCCACCTAGAGCAGAATCTACGTAGTCTGCGAATTCTTGATTTCCAACCTGACATCGTAAGAAAACTTAGGTTAAGATCCATAGCAGAGGGTACTTGAACGCACACGAGGCATGCCATAGCCGATCATCCTGAATGTTGCATTCGTCAATTGGAGAGGTAGATATACAGCATCCAAGAGCGACAGTGCACCGCCTGAGAGATTTAATAATCAGCCTAGGACAGGTACCAGGTGTACAACATACCTAGGGAATGTCCGACAAGAGTCACACTGTTGGAGCTGTGATCAGACAAAGCGGTTGTTACAGCTTGTAAGATATCTTCCGCAGACCTAATTCAAACCAAAGGCATCAGTAAACTGAGAACGTATCCAAGGGGTCAACCGACTTTTTCTGGGTCTCCTTGAATCCGCTGTGAACTTCAATATGTGAACTAAGCCCCGGGAAAAGGTTAGGGTCCAAATTGGTAGGCAGAAAGTCAGCGTCGGTGAGCAGAGATTCGCTAGAAGAGGATAAGAGAAAAGGTCCACGATGAATATAGAGCACGAACATCTTGGTGACAACAGTGCCTTGATGAGCAACGATCACCGTCTATTCACCGTGTGTTGAGTTCGCAATATAGACGAGTGTCAAGACAGGTAGACAACGCACAGATAGTGATGGTGAATACCCAACATACCCTGAGTATGAAGTGTGTTCAGATGCAATTGTAACGTCATATAGCAAGCCTTACGCACAGAACTGTACGTCGTTTCCGTCTCCGCCAGACGTGATTGGGATGAAATCCGAGTTTCCCGCGCAAAGAGCTGAGTTCTGAATCAATGCAAAGAATACTCAGATGCGAAACAATGATACTCACATCCACAGTCCCAATGGAGAGTAGTACTGGGTTGACAATACGCCGCACCAGCAAAAAATGTGTACGGCTTGTAGGCTGTGATCTGGTCGGCAGTAAGGGCGGTAACTGCGGCTGCACGGACGTAAAAGGTAGGTGTTTTGCTGCTTAATCCAAGGAGTTGGGAGACGAAAAGAAAGGAGCAAAGTCTGAGGAAGAACATGATGGGGTGACCTCTGGTGGAAGGGGTGTTGGAACCCGTCCTTCATCAGGACAGTATATATAGTATCACACGGCTGCCTGTTGATCAAACAAAGTTGCAGCGCAACATGAGAGTGGTGGAAGAGATGTGTGATCATCAAAAGGTGCGACGGTCCCTTTTGTGATACCAAACGTTAGCCTCTGGCGAGTTGACGGTTCGCTGGGGAGAAGAGACTTGGAAGAGCCTGACCGAGTAGCTCGTCTGCAGATTAATTTTTCACAAGCGGACCAGCTTAGATCGAGACAATCATTATACATGTCGACGAACAGGCAAGAGAAGATCCTGATCGTCAGAATTTGTTGAGTGGCAGTTCAAGAACTCTGTAGGCACGGCGGAGAATACGGTGTCCCGGACCAATTGAAAAAAAAAAAAACAACGCTGTTATGCGTGCTACAACCTAGCAATAATCAGTATCAGCACGGGTGCAAGGTAGGGACAAGATAGACCGCAAACGGTCATCATGCAATCGTGATGCGACGAAGTAATCCTTCAGATCCTAGCAAATCGAAGGCACTGGTTATGGTAAGTATCACGTTCTCCGGTGTGCTTAGCACCGCCAACTCGAACGCGTTCGCGTAGAAGCATGAAAAGAAATGTTTGTACAAGGTGACAGTAGCTATGAAATGTTCGGATGGAACCCGGATCAGTGCACACGTGATCCGGGTGTGCGGCCATTTCCGATTCGGCCTAAATGTTTTTCTCCTTCTACAGCCAGGATTCTATCTCTTGGATGTGAGGGAGCGACGTATGCACGGAAACCTGCAAGCTATGCAACATTTTGTACGCCGAACGTTGATGAAAAGAGTTGATCCTTCGGAATAGGTGACTTCCAATGAGAACCAGATCTCAAACCTTGAAAAGGATAGCTCTCCTTAGTCTGAAAACATATCGAATACGCCACCATGCTACCTTGTAAACAGATATCGACAAGTTGGGAAGCAATGGATAGGAAACGGCGGTTTCAACAGCCTGAGTCCATCTCAACACCGTCATAAGGACCGTCATGGTTATTTAAGTCACCAACAAATACTGCTACTAACATCCCCGACAGTACATCCCTTTTCCGGGTCAGTCCTTGGCCTGCATTTTTGAGGTCACGTTAAGCTGTGCGTAGCATAACCAGCCTTATTCTTACCTGGGCAGGAATTCCAGTTGTCGTCTGAATCAATATGGATCTCTCCAGATGGCTGATGGAAGCCAAGAGCCATACCTAGATGCTCGACAGAGATTAGCTAATCTATCACATACAAGCGTTCGCAGCACACCAGGTAGAATTGGGATAGGATCTTGTCTAAAAAGATTCATGCGGTTAGCAATGCGAATTTGGGGGGTAACAGGACGCTTACTTGTTATTTATATGTGAAATCTTTCCGGGAAAAGAAGCATCCAGATAGTCGGCGAATTCCTGGTTCCCCACCTAATAATTGAAAACGGGTCAGGCCCGCCGAAACTCCAAACAGTCAGATTGCCATACTAACCCGAGGCAAACCGTAACCAACCATCCTGTATGAAGCATTCAAGTGAAGAGAAAGATAGACAGTGTCCAAAAGCGACAAAGCAGCACCTATTAAGAATACTTTCATTTAGTAAATGGATAGACAGAGAAGTCGAGCGCCAGACCGAGAGAATGGCCAACGAGAGTTACACTATTCGTGTTGTATTCCGACAAAGCCGTAGTGACAGTGCGCAAAATATCCTTTGCCGATCTGGCTTGAGTATCACTGAAACCATCATGAACAAGGATATCAGAGCTAATTCCAGGGAAAATATTAGAGTCCAAAGGGGCCAGAGCGAAATCGCCATCGGTAAGGAGCGGTACACTGATAATTTGAGATAGTGATAAGTATTTCTGGATAGACGTGTGTCAAAGGTATATGGCACTCACATCTGTGAAGGATCTGTCCCTTGATGAGCAACTATGACTGTCTACTCTGTTCCGTCAACACCATATGCTATTGACCAGATGGAGTATTGGAACGTACGGATAATGAAGGGGAATATCCGACATACCCTGTAAACTTCGATGTGCGGAGGCCCGTGAACGAGCGAAGGAAGGGACTTACAAAATTGCACGTCAGCTCCATCGCCTCCAGACGCGACAGGCTTAAAGTCCGAGTTTGCTTGGCAAGCGGCTTTGCACGTGAGAGTGAATACAAACTCGAAGAAAAGAACGTATTGTAGTTACATCCGCAATCCCAAGCCAAAGTCGCATCCGGTTCGCAGTAACCCGCACTAGCAAAAAACGTATACGGTTTGAACGTTGCGATTTCTGCTGTGGTTAAGACGGTTATCCCTTGGCGAGAATGTAGAGATGTCGATACTGCAAGAGCAATTCTGAAGACAAAGGTTAGGACGAAGAGCGCAAAGGTGGAAGCCTTCATTGCGCTGTGGGAACGGATGGCGTATTCAGCCCGTGTCATTAAACCAGAGAGTATTTATAATAGGGTATACCTTTCTCCCAGAGAAGGGAGAAACAAGCAGCATGACGAGTCGAGGTTTACACATGATCTACTGATCTCGCAGTAACCGCCTGTGCGAAGTCCTACGGAGGATTTATGCTCCAAATTAGAAGCAGACAGCAGTTCTAAGAATATGCCATGTTAGGCTTTCTGAGATAGCCATATAGACCTGACCAGGATTCTATGTCGTGGAAGGCCAGACTTAGGATACGCAAATGGCAATTGTAGATGTTGCGAACCCTAGGTACCCGCGTTAAGTCAAAATAGTTGTGCGCATTATAAGTACTAAGTAATGTAATAACTCAACAGTTTCTAAACCGTCCAAATTTGCACCCTACGGCCCAGACGTTTACAAAGGACCCCAGCATAATCCGATAGCTACGCCAATATGGAAAGATAACAATAACATCCAATGATAACGGCTGCCATCAAGAAAACAAAGGATCACTGAATGTAACCATCACAAACGTGTGTATCATTCAATTGGGACGGATCACGGGTGAAGAAGCCTCGTTTTACGCCTTCCAAGTATGACCTACAGCATATGGGATCAGCATGCAATTTCGTCATCAAAGACACATTAACGCTGACCATTGCCGGGCCAGGTCGCCAGCCAGAGTTGATATCTCTACCTTGAAATTCCAGAACTGGACGATGGGAAAACTATTACACATAGAAAACGATAGCGGAAGGTCGAAACTCACGATCCAACCGGCACCTTTAGTGTAGGCACGTTTCTGAGCATCCGCCCACTTGCGAAGGAATTCGTCCGTAGCGGCAAAGTTCGTTGACAAGGCCCATTCTGGAAACGAGTTAATGAAGAAGACGATTAGTTGAACGTATGCCGCGAACCTCCGAATACAAGGGGACTGTTGCCTAACGCGGCATCATTCTCGACAGCGTTGAAGGTCTACTCCATATTGAACAAGTATTCAGGAATTCGATCACATCAACTTACTGCAGATACTCTCCATATAAGCCTGTTCATTTGGGTCTGCAACACCCTATATCGAACAGTTTACAATCAGGCGAGATTCGCAGCAAGAACAAGGTCACCCACCCCGAATCTAAAGGATCAATGAAAACCATCGGACAAACACGGACTGTCAACTCACGAATAGTACAAATGATTGTCATAGGCTTGAGGTCCCATTTGTGCATCGCTCGGGTTGGGAGGGCTGTTGTACTGCCAATTGATGTCCATGAAACTAAAGTGCTGTTTGAGGACCATCTGTGTTTTACTACGAAAGAGACATACCTTGTGTACAAGGGCTCACGACTGTAGTGGGAACCAAAAGTGTGTGTCATGTCGTTCAATCCGAGTTCCAAACCAATTTGGACGAGGATCGGTACTGCATCCTTGAGGGCCGACCGAACTTCGGGATTCAAAAACGGTGAAGGAACGGCGTTCTCCAAAGCTGCTGTAAAATTGGTGGTGTCCGTAATGATGGTCATCTTCGGCCAAGTCCAAGGGACGTGGTTCCACTGGATGCCCAAAGTGTATTCGACTGCTCGTACTACTTGAACGAAATTCTTCTGGACTGTTCATAGTTCTTTTCAGCACGGAAAGTGCAAAAGGTGTTAAAAACGTACAATCGCCATATCCTGGGGTCTGAGTGGCATTCATGATGGGTTCGTTCACGGCTTCGATGGCAACGACATTGCTGAAGTCGGGATCGAGGTGGGAAAGAGCGGTCATAACGGCGGTCCAAACAAGGGCACGATGATAATTATATTCAGTCTTGTGACAATCGCTGAGTTTCTAGCGCATCTCTTATAAAAACAAAGTAACTCACGTAGAACTCGACATCGGATGTACACCTGGAAAAAAAGAACATTTAGGATTAAATGGGACAATTCATTCAGGTCATTCAGGTGACGAACCTTCCGGTAAACATTTGACCCGGGGTCTGAACGCCTGGAAGCGCGTGGTGATCAAGGATTGACACGATGCCAGCGTCCTTCAGTTCCCTTAATCCTCGTTTCTACACGTACTCGGTCAGAAATAGCCTCATCGAGAATCCTGGATAACGCACAAGGTGGTGTATACCTCCTCGCGGATAGAACTCCGTCTTGCGATCGACGAGAGCCTCGACGATCCAATAACCCAGCTGATATCGAAAGCTACGGTTAGCATACGATCACGCGCATGGAAGCGCTGTCCCACCGGAATGCGAACGGTATTTATGCCTGCTTCCACGAGGTCATTAACATCGCTTTGGTTGAACCACGAAGACCTGTCCCGGCAGAAGGTCAATAACGTCTCAAAAAAATTAAATCAGCCCTCACCAATGCTCGGCAAATTTCGCATCCACTGTGTCGGGGTATGCACGAGCAAATTCGCTAGTTTTGGAATACATAAGGCCTTTTGAAGCAGAAACAGCAAAAGGGAAAAGAATAATACAATTCTGTGGCAATACACTGGGAGCAATCATTACATTGTTGGCCACCCATATTGATCCACTCTGTGGAGCGAGATCAGCATGAACGTAATCGATACAAAACGAAAATACCTTGTGGTAACATCCAAGACTCGAGAACAAGCCTACGAAGGGATGTCATGGGCGATGCTTTACCTAAATATTGACGAAGCGCACCAGGACCCTAGGTTGACACCATAGACTTTGCTGGGCATGCCAGCATGGACGGAAATAGACAAAAAGAGAAAGAGCGACATGTAGAAGAGATAGTACATGGGGGAAAGACTGAATGACAAGTCAGGACTAGGAGCCAGCTTTTTAAAGGGCTAAGGCTCGCTATTATTTTCAAACTTTGCCATGTGTCTGTTGTCGCAACAAGACTGGCTTCTTTTACCATTGAATGTCCTTCGTTTGGTCCTGTCAAGTGAAATTAAGTAGAAGTAAATGAGAGCTTCCCGAAACGAGCAGAGTCAAGCCTAAACCAGGGGGTGCGTGCGTAGCTTCTGCAGTGGGGCAAAAGCGGGAGCTCGACGCGTCGCGAGTGGTAAAAGTGTAGCACTCCATTGCATCGATATTGACCAAAAACAAGAGTTTTCTATCCCAATGGTAGCTTCAAAAAAACAAAAGCGCATTTTCCTCCCTGCTCGATTGGGTCGTTCAGCTGAAGAAACCGCTTGAGAGGTGCTCAGAAAAGGAGCCACTTTAATTCGGTTCGATGGTGCTTTTACCGTCGAGCCAGAGCATAAGAGACAGAAAATGTAGAGATTCAGCGTGAACGCGCCGTACGCGCATTATCCTGTCAAAGTAGCGCATCACACCTAGGAAACAGTCCAAAAACAGTCCCTGCGACATTGCAGTCGAATCATGAAGGAAGAAAACATATTTCGGGCTCCGACTCAAATGCTAGATGGATGATCATCAGTCTCTTGACACTAACCACATGGCTTACGACCTCTCGGCTTCAAAGGAACATCTCTGAAGAAGCACCGCGTTTCATTCATCGTGAAAAAGCATGCTTTTCTGGCGAACCGGAGTGGAGAGCCACTTCACACGAAAGGTACAACGTCAGACCTTCCTCTCGTGCTTGATCCTTCCCACGAGCACTTTCTGCAAAATAATATCTTCCGTGGCAATAGAAGTAGATTCCTCCGGGAAAATATTTGCTATTTTACGACAATGACTTCGTCTTCACAACGCCGACCCTTCTCTCTCTCCTTTTTTTTTTGATTCTGACACCTTGGTGGCACCGCATACGAACTAAGACTCGATGCATACCGCGGCTCTTGGCTATATCGAAGCATGACTTGGTACCTCTGTCGCGCGCACCTATCAACGTGACCATTTGATCAGCTCTTATAAATTTGCGAGATGGTACCCTGTCCTGTTCGTCCCTGGGAGACTTCTCATCATGATTCATTCCTTGACCTGTTGGGCTACCCTTTCTCTGAGTCTCGTTGCCTCGCTGGTGTCTGCTTCACCGCTGCTATCGTCTGTCCTCGAACGGCGTCAGTCAATATCGACGCTGACCTCCGCTCAAGTCTCCGCTTTCAAGCCCTACTCCTTCTATGCCAGCGCGGGATACTGTAACCCGTCGACGACGTTGACCTGGACCTGCGGTAAGACGTACCTGCCTCGTATATCGCTGTCCTCAACTAGTTATCAATATATAGTCCCCTGTCAGGCCAACCCAGGTTTCCAACCCCTTGCGTCCGGGGGCGACGGCAATGATGTACAGTTCTGGTATGTGGGTTATGATCCCAGTCTCGACACCATCATCGTTGGCCACCAGGGAACCGATACCTCGAAAATGTCAGCCTTCCCATCTACTTTGGATTATGCAACCCGTTCATGTCTTCTTTTTCCCAGCTTACCTATTATTACCGACCTCGACTTCTTTCTCACAAACCTCGACGGCAGCTTGTTTCCTGGCATAAGCTCATCCATACAGGTCCACAGTGGCTTCAAAGAGTCGCAGGCTGAGTACGTTTTTGCCCTTCGGCCGGTTCAGCCGTTTAATCCATCAAAATTGTCTAGCACGGCTGCAAAAGTCCTCTCATCGGTGAAAACTGCCATGTCGAAGTATTCGACGACTTCCGTCACCGTTGTTGGACACTCCCTTGGAGGAGCTATTGCTCTTCTAGATGGTGTCTACCTTGACTTGCAGCTTCCTACAGCGACTGTATCGGTAATTAGCTATGGCTTGCCCAGGGTAAGCGGTCCCTCGTCCCTCGTCCCTTAGCACACGTTCGACGTATTTTTCAGGTCGGAAACCAAGCTTTCGCGGATTATGTTGACGCGCATGTGAGCGTGTCCCATGTGAACAACAAGTATGCTACTCCATTGCATTCTCCGATTCCAGAGTTATTTTCTCAATGAGTTCCAGGAAAGACCCAATACCTATTCTCCCAGGTACAACGATAAAATAATGCTCTGAGTGTTTTAATGTCATTGACTGATGGATATAACCTATTCAGGGAGATTCCTGGGATTTCATCATCCTTCTGGTGAGAAGCACATCACCGACTCCAATGCGTGGGTTGCCTGTCCAGGTAAAAGTTCTTATGACGTAGTTTTCAGCAGTCATAACGATTTCCCTCAGGCCAGGACAACGAGGACGATCGATGCACCGTCGGAGAAGTCAGTAACATTCTGGTGGGTGATGTAGACGATCATCCGGGTATGGCTTTCCCTTCATAATCCTGAGTGCTCTGGGCTTATATGACCGTTTAGGCCCTTATGATGGGGTTACAATGGGATGTTGATATCCACAAATTGTGGCCACTCTGTTTGAGGGGTCGCACTCCGAAGAGCCGAGCTTGAGACGCAGAGCAATGTAGCCGAATATGTTTTCCAGAATGCAATGTAAAACAGGAAAATCAATGGGGCTCGAACTCTCGGAATCGTGATGGGTCCTATGCGATGGTCGTCGTGTCAATGTCTATATGAATGGTATAGTTGCGCACCTCCAGGCTCGAAAGAACCTTATCCGTATCCCGCTATCGCCGAGGTAACAAATGTAATAATATATCTCTCACCAGTCAACTTGGAGGAAGCTAGCCACTGGAAGTCAGTTCCTTTACTGACGGCCAGAGTAGCACGTAACACCAAGGAAACAATCCAAAAAGCGGGATCGTCCGAGCCGAAGCTCCGAAGCCTACTTGAACACATGCTGATGAAGAGTCATACATTGGCCACTGATGCAACTTCTTTGGCTCGAGCCTCGCAGACATTGTATCGAGTCTAATTCCCTCGTCTTCCTTCCCCTACAACACCAGTCGGGAAGAACGGAGGAGAAACATTTGTTCTGTTCCCTCTCTTACAACTCTTACAAAGGAAAACTTCTCCACTGGACCGAGGTTCAACAGGTAGGTACATCGTCCGATCTTCCCAAATCCCGGGAACCTGCGATACACTTCTTTCTAGCCCGTTGAATTAGTGGAGTTCGCAAAAATGATGCCTCCTACTATTGTGTTGTTCTGTTCTTAGGATCGTGGCTAGACGTTTCCATTTTTCCGATCTCGTCTTCATTGGATTTGACGTCCAGCATTGAAGTCAAGAAAGGTACCAATGCGTTCGTCTCGGGGATCATAATTCAAACTACTTGTGTGTATTTTCTATCACCGGGGCTGCTTGGACAGCCCTTATAAATTCGCGCAATGCTCCCCTTGTCCTTCCAAGGCGTCCAACTATGGTTCCTTCTTTGAGTCGCTGGGTTGTCCTTTCTCTTGCCTTGTCTTTTGCTTCTGCTTCACCGCTAGAGGGATCTGTTCTTCATCGGCGCCAGTCGGTAACGACTCTGACGCCCGAGCAGGTTGCCGCTTACAAGCCATATTCTTACTACGCCAGTGCAGGAGCCTGTCAGCCATCGTTGACGCTAAACTGGACTTGCGGTAGTAAGTAAACAACTACCTCGTGTGTTGATGGCATTGACTGGTCCTCGTAGCTGCTTGCGAGGCCAACCCTGACTTTAAACCCGTTGCATCGGGGGGCAACGGAGATTCAGTACAGTTCTGGTATGTCGGGTATGCTCCCAGCCTCGACACCGTTATCGTGAGCCACCAAGGGACCGATTTTTCGAAACTGTCAGTCTTCCAATCTACTCGTGCACTCCGCGGTCCAATGACGAATTCGCTGCCATAGCCTACCTATTCTTACCGATATCAACATAATTCTCTCGAACCTCGACGACATTCTGTTTCCCGGAGTCAGCTCAGACATAATGGTCCACAGCGGCTTCAAGGAAGCACAGGCCGAGTACGTCGTCCCAACTTAATTCGACCGGTTGTTATGCTGAAGCTGCACAGCGCGGCTGAAATTATTCTTTCATACGTGGAAATGGCCATGTCTACGTACTCTACAAATTCTGTCACTGCCATTGGACATTCTCTGGGAGGCGCCATCGCTCTCCTTGATGGAGTTTACCTTGACTTGCAGCTCCCTTCGGCATCTGTATCGGTGGTCAGCTACGGTATGCCTAGGGTGAGCAGTCTTTCATCCTTCGTTCTCTCGGTACACGTTTAACCCACCGATCAGGTCGGGAATCAAGCATTCGCGGATTATGTTGACGCAAATGTGAACGTGACTCATGTTAACAACAAGTGCGTGAATCCACTCCTTGTTCCGGACAGGCTCTCACGAAAATTTTATGCATTCAGAAAGGATCCGGTGCCTATACTCCCATGTAAGAATACCAAAGCTGTAATTCTCGTCGTGTATCGATGTATTGATGCTCTTTAGGGAGAGAGATTGGCTACCATCATTGCTCTGGAGAGAAGCATATCACTGACTCCAATGAATGGGTCAATTGCCCAGGTACATCTCTTTAAACACCGTACGGTGATTGACAACATAATGATGCCCTTTAGGCCAGGACAGCCCGGACGCGCAGTGCATTGTCGGAGAAGTCGGTAACCTTCTCGAAAGTAATGCTGCGGACCACATTGGTATGCGTTGGTTTCTTCGTTCTCATTTCTTTCCTAGACTCACTTGTTTATTAGGTCCTTACGACGGAGTAACCATGGGATCATGTTAATAGTACGATATCAGTGATAATTTTCATTTTGTCGACACGTCAATTCTGATCAAACACTTGATTTTGACCCTCTCACTTCCCACACCACCAAGTACTGGAAGGCCCTCTGTTTAATAAGCACGCCTCATCTAGCCAATTGAGTTCGATGAGAGCGGGTACTATCTAAATTTGATGATATAGATATAGATATCAATCTCTTAGATCGCGTTTAAACATACTTTTACCTATTTTGAATGCACCAAGAACCCGAGGCGTGCTCAGAGGCTAACGTCCATTCCAGAATGAGCAATTGCATCATCAGCCTCCTGGTCGTCCTCATCCTCCGTATCCTTCAGACTCTGCACCACCGCTGGGAGATAATGTTTCAACTTCCACATATTCCCGATCGTCAGGCTTGCGTGGTCGAATGCATGGACCACGACGCCTTCCTGCTGCTTGGCACCTGAAGATGGTAGCTTCGGGTATCTCGCGGAGAAGTGGGTCAGGAGGATATTTTCAGCCCGCATCCTACGCCGGTTGGTCAGCGGTAGAGCACGGCATGCTGACGAATCGCCTACCGTTTGCCAATACCAACGGCTTGGCTGTGAGTGCTATGCGCCTTCGCACTGGCAAGCTCCTCTTGGTCATCTGCCATCGTGGCTTCATGGATAAGCAATGTAGCGCCTTGTCCGGCATAGACGAGGGAGTCCGCTGGAGTGGTGTCGGCGGAGAAGCTAGAGGTTTGGTCATAAGAGAAGGTTGAGATATAAACGCCTGGTTTTCTTACACGATGCTCCAACCGCCTAGACTTTTGATATCAAGACCATAACACGTCGTCCGGTGGCGAACATCTACGGTTCGGAATGACTTCAGGTTCAACGCTGTACAAAGATCCTTCGCATGCCGTTTAGACCTAAATGAAAGCCTGTGTTAGAGTAATCTTGGGTATGGTGGTTACCGCATTTCGTACTCATCAATATCCGTCCAAGGCTCACGTCCTCCCAGCATCCATCGTCCAAATTCAGGATAAGCCTGTGGGTCTTTCCAGTGCAAAGCCTCGCTCATCACCGTGATCACCCCATTACCTGAAGGATCGTCAAAGCCTATATTTTGTACTTCCGATACCTCTCTTAGTGAAAGGTGTACGGATCGAACAGTAACGAGATAAAGCGGGGATGTCGGCCGAGGATTGAGCTAGACTAATGTTTAAAAGGAATCAAGGCATAACATAAAGAGCAATACGTACCGTCAACCGCTTTCTTAGTATAGTAGTGATTCCCATGTGATGATCACCGTGAATATGACTCGCAAAGATGCATCTGGTGTTACGGAGCACCTCCCAAACATTGTTAGATGCAGTCTTATCCGTACCGAACAGCCGGACCAGCTGTCCCCATGTCCCCTCTCCCGCGTCCAGGAGAATATTACCGAAGCCAGGTATCGTAATCAGAGTTGATGATACTATCGGGATACGTCAGAGTTCAAACTGACGCCGACGAAATAGTTAAGACAAACCATTTCTATACTTGCTGGGTACTGCGCTGCCCGTACCCAATGGATAGACACCAATATCAGCTCCTTTACACACCGCTCTGTTTGCATCTGATTCGACTGCTTTTACAGCAGCTTGTGCTTCTGCATACTTGTCTCTTGTGATCGATGGAAGGACGATAGGTGTGAGCGAAGACACAGCAGGATGGAAGAGGTCTAAGTCTTGAACGGTATCCTCCTGAATAAGTTCCGTCGGTGGCCGTAGATGGATTGTAGAGCTAGAAGTCATCAGATGGCATCGTTCAGGCATATTGGGGATCGCTAAAGATATAAATTTAGGACAATGAGCACTCTAGGTTGTACAAATGCGAACCTTTGATGTCCTTGGCTGGTTGCAGAGAAAATTTGGGAACAGCAAATATCTCGGGGTCAAGACTTTGCAAACGCAGCTGCTGGAAGGCAGCACTGGTGAAAGTTACGGGGTCAGGACAGTGCTCTCGCGAGGATATGACGTGCTGAAAAGGTTGCATTGTCAGCGAATGTATGACAACAATATTAGGCATCAGTCTTACATGGCATTGAGGATCAAAACCGTTCATGAAAGCAGTGTACCTCTCGTCTTCGAGAACACCTTCACCGCAGATGTGGAACACGGTACGTATCTTGTAATCGGCCATATCTTCAGTACGATGAGATCGAAACTTGGCGTAGAAAGGTGAGTCGGTGAACGATGCTACTAATGAAGGGATGTGTGAAACAGACGGGACTTCGAGAACGATGACTACTCGAGGAACTTCGGAAGGCCCGATGATTTCCTCTGGCTTCACAGTTCGTTCCACCATAGTATCGCCCTCCTTCACGCTGAAAGTTATCGTTTGTCCCTTGGTCAGTCTACTCCGCAGCGGCCCAGAAGGAATTTTCAGCATCTCAGCCTTTTCCGCGTCGAACTTGCCACGAACACGAGGGCCGGCAATTATGTAGGACAAAGTCGGTGTCAAAGAAGGATCGGAATCGCGACGAGGGTGCAGGGAAACAAATTTTGGCTGCTGCTTGTAGAAGCCTTGAGGAGCCTTTCGGCGACGACGATACTCGTCTTTCTGCGATAGCAATGAGAATACCACGACTGGAAAGGGAGTTGAGTCTCACATAGCCAGATGTTTCCTCCGACTGCTCCTGGGATGTCCGCTGTTTCTTCGCAGGCTTTTCTGGCTCAGGAAACATGGTTTGAACAAGAAGCCGTCTCCAGTCGTCGGCACTCTCGCCCTCCAGACTCTCGGGAGATTCGGTCGGCCCCAGGTTCTCGTTCTGACGCTTTCGCTTCAGAGTCTTTGGAGTAATGGTTTCCATAATGGGACCTATGCTCTCTGGCATCGGTGCATCGGTGGTTGGGAAGACTGGAACACTGTAGATAGTGATATTATCGTCCTTGAAAGTCGGCGTAGGTTTCGCTGACATCTGGGCCTTCAAAGGGATTTCAATCGGCTCAACCGTCATGGTGTCTCTGGAAAAAGGAACGATTAAAATAGGTCTCCGTTGAAATACCCTGTCGAACATACCTGTAAGTATACAGACGCATGGCAGCCATCAGATGCAATAGACCTGGAGGACCAAAAACATTTATCCTGTTAATCGTCGCGTCGGCAAAAGTCATCAGAAGGCCTAAAGAATATCAGATGAGTCAAATTAAAATCTGAAAACTTACCAGGCAAGCCGCCTGTGCGCTGCGAACCAACGTCGGTAAAGAAAATGCCTCTCGTCTTTCTCCAGTTCCTTTTACTCTGCAAAAAGGCGCGTCCACTATTTTCACCCGCATTGAAAACATACTTGGCTTTGTCGAAGGTGACGATAATGGAAGGCTCCGTGTCTGAGCTCACGGTGGTAAGGACAGAGGTCGACCAGTTCATATTGGCTGTAACGGGATTGGAGGCCACGGACGAGAATGGGCGGCGAAGGAGAGGGAAGGCGAATGGAAGGGAGAGTAGACGTGCCAGCTTTTTATCGTCGTGGCTGGCAATGACATCGACCTTCGAACTTCGACAGAAGAGCAGCACTCATAGAGGGCGAAAATTTGATCAGACTACGGCTGGTTCCGGCTCTGTGTAGCGATTTGATCTCCGACATACCGGCACATTCATGCCGTACTTCGGCAAAATATCGGCAAAGAGCCGTCCTGCTCCGAAGATGAATTACGTTCGCGTAGCCTTCATCAACTGACGTCGAGTCAAGGATTTTGGAAGCACTGAACTTGCGCCGATCATTTGAGAAGACTCATTTACATACAAATTCAAAACGGCATGAGAAAAAGTACAATGTAGCTGCTAGGTGATGTAGAATAAGGAGGATCGTAGAAAGAGAGAAAAATACTGCCATACATCAAAAGATGCCTGAATTACCTGGATACCTTGTCAGCAGATTGTAGGAAAGGTCAAGGGAAACACGCACAGTCAATCCTACGTGAGTACTTTGCGCTTGACCCCCGAGAGAACAATAATGCTAACATGGTTCACCCTGGGACACAGGTCCAACAAAAGTTTGTCAAGTCTCTCAGTCGATTCATACGAAGATGAACAGACGCAGAACTTCCTAATGCGACTCTGGGACTTGAAGCAAGCTTTCAAAACGCGACAAGCGTCTCTGATCCGCCCCTCGACCTCAAGCTCTATGAGGTTGTGAAACAGCGGGAGAGAAGGTCGTGACACAGCGGACATACGACGCTTCGCGATGACTTTGAGTGACTGGAGATTGGGCAAGGAACCAAGGGTCCTAATGGTCGTGGCTTCCAAAATGCTTGTGGTCAGCACCACTGCGCCGACGTTGTCAAGAGTGTGTGATGATGAGATGGTGAGATTGAAGGAATAATTCAAGACGCAGACCAGTTCTTGGCTGCGCAGGTCTACGACGCGAACCGTGAGGTCTCCATCTGTCTCTGCAGAAGGATGACACAGGACATGATCTTGCAACGACGGAGACCAGCCGCCATTTTTGGTGAGAGTGAAATGAGACCGTCCTGGAGATCCCGACAAGTAGGCGCGTAGGTCTTCGGTGTCGATGGCGTGGCTAATGAAATCTCCGAAAAATATCGCGAGCCCTTTGGGTTGTTCGCGGTTGTCGCCACTATTGGTATTGCCGACGTCTGAAAGGACGGACGGTGTCAATGAAGTGTTCGTTAAATGGTGAGCGCTGTCCTGATGCGCATCGGGGAGGGCGTCGGCATTACCAGCTGCTGGATGAAGGGAAGACTGAGTAGAGCTCATAGTGGGAAGTTACAGGGGAGCCCCGCCTTTGAATGCTTTAAATTACTTCCTTTGTCGCGTTGTTTGACGCGTTCAGCAAAGAAAGGCGTTGGGGGATAACAAAGTAATCTAAAGAAGATCGTAATAGAAGCTAGACGCCATGACAAATTCAAGTGCTGTAGCTATGACATCGAGTCATGGAGTACGTGAGGACAAGGGCCTACTCCGAGTCTTACGAGTTCTCTCTTCTAATGAGCTTTCGTCTCGGTTTGTAGACGACCCTACTTACCGTGAGATAACTCGCAACAGCACCGTGGAAAAGGTTCATGTGGTGCTAGTTTCAACTTGATGTGAAGAGATCACTGCTCGTTGTCCACAGCCGCTATTTAATCAGTTGTGCCATAAATAGAACAATGGTAATGCCGTGGATCACAGATCAGTACGGCAAAGAGCAGAAGTATCGAGCTGTATTCCTATGATGCACAAATGCCGCAGACCCTCTAAGGTGCCCTTCTAGGGAGGATCGCTGTGATCGGGGGAAATGCGAGATCAAAGTTTGATCTCACGATGTCTCATCATTCATGGACGGTAAGCGGTACCATCTCGAGTCCTAGTGGGGAAAAGACAATGGATCCAAATACTCATCCACAGCAGCTGCTAGTTACTATTGTAAGCCATTTGTAGCAGACTGCCCTGGTGTGCCATTTCGAGTTTGACGGCGCTTGAGGAATCCGGACTACGGAATTTGCCGGAAAAGGCTAGGAAAAAGCGTCGGGATAATCTTTTATGCACCCATTTTATTCTCGTCCGCACGCACCATAAACTTTTCTTTAGTAAAGGATTACATGTGCTGTCTAGACTACGGGGTGAGAAGGGGATATAACTTACATGCGTATAAGTGATGGGAAGGACAACAGTGACAACAAAACCAGAGCAAAATACAGCTATATAATCCGAAAAATAATGATAAATCCCGAAAGCCTGAAAAGCCACGGTTATCGTCAACGTCTGGTAGTTGACGGACCGGGGGTGAAAGACGTACATTTTAAATGAGGAATCACAGCCAGAACCGTAACTTGTGTTCAATCTTCGACCAAAAACCCATTAACCAAAGAGAAAGACACATTTGGGTGCAGCACCGCCAGTGACGTCAACGAATATGGACATGGGACAAAGTCGGCCATGTTCATCCAATTTTCCTCGGCAGGATGGCAGTCACGGATGGTAACCTTAAGGGACCTCAACACTGGACAGAAGATATGAACAGTTTCCCGGAGAAGCCTCATATCCTGCGGGCTACTCAGAGAAGCTGCCTGGATTTGGAACTCCTGAACACGATTCGAAGTGCTGACGCAAGCCATCAAGGCGGTGCAGGCGTCCTGTATGTTCCCATAAAACTCGAGTTTAAGAAGACCCGGGAAGAGGCAGGTTGATGGAGTAGGAAGATTCGCAGCCACAGCGCCATCTGATATGATTTTCAGTGCTGCAAGGTTGGGCAAGAAACCGAGGGAACGAATCATGGGTCCACTAAACACCCTGCTGGACACGGTCACTGAGCTGATGCTGTTTGGGGAGTACGAAGGGCAGACACCAAAACCGAACGAGTACGTGATATCGGGTTGATTGGTATCCGTCCACGAATCTCCGGTGGTCTGTACGACATGAACCTTGAGATCCTTCGGCGTCTTTCGGGAGAGACAGTACAGAAGGAAGCCCCGCAGCAAGGAGTCGAAGACACCGTCAAAGGCGATAACCTTGAGCTCAATGGGGAGGTAGTCGCCCAAGAGGCCTTCAAGGACGGGTATCAAGTCGGAGGTGCGACTGACAAGACGCCCAAAAGCAAGGACGATGCTATCGGGTCGGGTGGGGAAGACGTCCTGCATATTCTCCTGGGTGAGGGGCTGCGTCGACGATGCTGGGGAAAATAGCTGGGCATCTCTGAGGGTCATGCCATGCGGTGACGAGGGGGCGACCTTGAGGGTCTTGCAAGGCATAGCACTGGATGGCATCCATGACATGAGAGAGAGTAATTAAGAGACACACCTTCAGCCGAGCTTATTTAACCAGGCCACTGAGTCACGTCCTTGCATGATCGACCATGAAGACACGCACTGTTCGCTGTTGTAACAGGCGCTCTTTCTTGATTAAGGGACGCGGATGCACCGACCGCTACCGGGATCGGGGCAGAAATAATAGAGCGCGAGCCGGGCAAGGAAGTCCATAATAAAGATCGAGCGTAATATAACACCGGGGCTTGCTTGAAGGAAGGCTGTATTTGAAAAGCTTGGATACAGTGCCATAGGCGCTTGGTGAGGGACCGAAGACTGGCCCCAAGAGCTTCAGAAGCTCGAGGAGGACCCTAGTACAGTATAACGGCGACTCGTACATCGTACAGCACAGTGATAGGGACTCGTGGAGGTCAGAACAGCATGGAAAGGCTCGGAAACCGCTGCGAAGCGGCTATCAGCTACTCTGAACATTTCGTAAAATTGAATCTAGATTCTTACCCAAAGGAGGGCAACCAAGAACAAAGACGTGATTTCCCTGAGTAATGGTAAACCCATAAGGAAGAGATTGGTACCAAGCCTAGGAGACGTGTGGAAGGAGGAGTTTGGCACCGGAAATACACAAATACGGTGATGATGGAGCCGAGGAGATAGGCAAGTCTTGCTAAATTCATCCCAGAAGTTGAAAATAACGCTTAAAAAACCAGAGATACTTTGGTGTCAACATTTGACGCGTCGAGGAAGCAGTAGATGGAGATCTGACCACTGGGTTGGGAAGCAGAAGCGTGGCACGCGGGAATATCCGATATCGCGGACCGAGATCCGGGCTTACATATGGTGATTACGTAATATTTGTGCCGGTGATTCAACGTCAGTCCGTTACGACGGACCCGGTGTCCGTTGTACAGGCGGTTGGTCAGTCTGTCTTACTCCGCCATGGCGCGCGATTTTTTTCTGCTCTCTATTGTATTTTCTCTAGCTTCATGTCTTGTATATGCACATTCCCATCATGATCACCTTACCGATGAGCAGAAAAACGCACCAGTGGACGCTATCCTATGGATCCATATGGCTTTGCAGGCACTAGTCTGGGGTCTCCTTTTCCCTGCGGGAATGGTCCTTGGAATAACGCGGAGTCGATGGCATGTTCCCTTACAGGTATGTCTTCTGGCGGGAAAGTAGAATACTTACTGAGAGGCCCACGTAGAGTACGGGATTTGCGCTGACGCTCGCCGGATACTTCTTGGGCCACAAACATAAAGGACGAATGTTCTTGAAATCAGTGCATGGAACCTACGCGAACATCCTTTTTATACCCATTTTCACGCAACTTGCCCTCGGTATTTATCTCAAACTACATATACACGAGAAATCGATTCGCCCGTACATGGTCAGGCTGCATGGAGTTATTGGAAAGGCGTATCCGATATTTGGGTGGGTGCAGATGGTGTTTGGAATTGCTACTTTTCGAGGATATTGTCGCGGGGGACATTTGGGACAATGTCTCGCGCACTATATCATGGGCAGCGGGTTTATCGCCTATGGCATAATTATGGCCATTTTATTACTTGTCGGTGAAGCTTGGGTGAGGCGTAGTGGACGCAGTCCAGAGTGGTGGGATTCATGGTGAGGACTTCAACTTTTTCCTTGGTTACCAAGCGCTTAAGCTATTGGAAGGGTTATCATGCTCTGGGTAAGCACCCGTATCCCCTATAAGATCTATCGGGCCCATTCAACAGCGTTGTTTATAGGGTATCGGTATGTCAGATTCTACAGCCAAATCGCCATTTTGATGATAGCTATTATCAGTCAATACCTTTACCGAACACCACGGCGGTGACTGGTCTGTCAAGGATATGCAGCACACGTATGTTTTTATATCTTCGCACTGTCCATCTTCGCTGATATCCCCCTTCCAGAATTCTGGGCGTTCTCTGTGAGCTTACATTTGGCTCAACATTCTTCATCATTAACGCCGCCTGTAATAGGGTGGTGCGGCGGCGCTCTCGGTATTTTCCTTGCTCGCAACAACCAGGTTTGTTTCATATCATCCCCTCTTTCATCCACTCATTTCTTTGTAGCGCAACGTAGTTCCTGGGATAATGTAGGTTGCAGCGCGGCCATCAACCTTCAATTTCTGATCATTTCTATGTTCAGTATCATTTTGACTGGTTGGGGAATGTCTGAGCATGCGCAAGCTCTCATGATCTCAACCAAGGTGCGACGCCTGCAGAGGAATGTTCTTTGATTTATTTATATGTCCCAGGTACATGCGATGTTTGGCTACACCCTAATGCTTGCTGGTTTCACCCGTATTATTGAAATATGTTTCTTCTCAAGTCCAACAAATCCCGAAGCTGCTGTGGAGGATGACAATAACAGCGACCATACTCTCGCAGCTCAAAGCCCTCGCTTCTCCCCAGGCATAGATTCGCCTTCAGAAAACAGCCGGACTTCTGCAGCGAAAGTTTTCCGGCATTTACCTCCCTTCGTGAGTTGTTCCTAATTTTGTCCCAGTTCATGCGCTGACGGTTGCGGGCAGCTTCTTGTTTCTGCCGGGTAAGCTTACATCCCCGTAGCTCATAGACGTGCCTTCTGACGATTGGTAGACTTCTCTTCATGTCAGCTACTGACGAGGAGGTACAGTTTGTGCACGACAACGAGATGGATCATGTAACTTATGTCTTGATCATGTTCAGGCAAGTATCCATCTCTCAGATTGGACTATTTTTCGGTGCTGATAGTGGCCCGTAGTTTGTCATTCCTCCTATACACGCTCATCGTGTGGATGATCCATCTGTACACCGTCAGTGGGCGAAATGCGCCTGATGCGAAGAGCAACTTAGGCGACAACATGGAGATGGCATCAGGGATTAGAACGAAATGGTACTCGCGTGTTCCAAACGCTGAAGAGTCCAACCATATTATTGGCGATGACGAGGATGACTGAGCAGATATTACACGTAGATTCTAATTGTACCTGTTTGTCTCGTGTTCGCGCCTCGGCAACATGACGCAATCACACCGCCTCCATGAGTGCGTGAGCATTAGATCCGTCACCCGACCACTCTTTCCTTCCAACTACCATCATGTCTGGAAAAACAGCTCTCATTATCGGCGCGACTGGCCAGACGGGCCAGTATCTGCTCAAGGAGCTGTTGGCGTCTTCACATTTCACAAAGGTTGGCGAGTACGGACGCCGGCTTACCGACCTCGCGACACTTTCTACCGGCAAGGACAAACTCGTGCAAAAAGCGATCGATTTTGAAAAGCTGGAAGAGTCCGGAATCAAGGACGGGAAATGGGATGTCGTCTTTATCACGTAAGGCATTCGTCCAGTACTAAATTCGTCCAACTAGACAAAGTCCGATAGATTAGGAACGACCAGAAAGGCAGCCGGGAGTGCGGCTGCATTCGAGAGAATTGACAAAGAGTTTGCGACTTTTTTTCTGGTCGAATGATTTGAAGTTCATTCTATCATTTTACAGCTATGTCATCAATTCTGCAAAGGAAGCACGGGTGCCGGACCATCTGCAAAGAGTTGTCTACCTATCAGTAAGTCTCATTTCTTTCGAGTAACCAAAACGCTAAACAGAACCATAGAGCGGCGGTGCGAACGCAAAATCCTCATTCCTGTATCCCAGGTAGCATGACATTAGTTTATTCCACCAAAATTACGCGTCTCACTCGTTTCAGATGTAAAGGTCAAACGGAAGAAGCCCTTGCCAGCATGGGATACTCCGACACGATCGTATTTCACCCCGGCCTGTTGACGGGAACCGCCCGACCTCAATCCAGATTACCTGAAGTCATCGCGGAGTACGAAGTTTTTGCTTTTCGCATCTTTCTGTCCTTACGAATTATTCTACAGGGGCGTCATCAACACCCTGAGACTCTCGAGCTTTTTCTCAAATTTGGAGATCAAGGCGAGTACTCAAAACACGATTCTAGTGACGAATCACCACTCACTTGGATACGTCAGGTGGCCACTTTGGGCAGGAGTATGGCGATAGCGGGATGGCTGGGTTCCGAAAGACTACCCTCTGTTGCTCAAGCTGCGGAGGAGGAAACGCCAGAGGGCAAACGGTTTGTGTCTATCCCTAACGCTGGGGCGCTCGCGCTTGCACAAACTGCTTGGGAGTAAATTCCCTTAGCTGTTGCCTCTGGTTTGTAATTTACTTCTCCCTGCCTTCCTACGAGTATTTTCTCTGTGTACTCTATTATTCGCACGATATCCTCAAGTTTGTTTTACAATTCCACACACGAAGAATTTGGTTCACCACTACTTTCTTGGTACAGACCTTGTTACCTAACGCAGACTCTATTAGTCAATGCGCAGTCAGTGGGCTATGGTCAAGACGGCGAGGCACGTCTCTCTGACACACCTCGGCAAATGCGGGATGCACGAGTTTACATGGAAACTGCGGCCCGCTGCTCATGCAGTCTTTGACGGGGAACTCGCAAAGCGCGTGCTGCTGCAAATCCTGAAAGACCATGCGTTCGACTGTGTCGGCTAAGCAGAGAGGCTGTATGAGTGTCATGTTGGGACTTGGAAGAACTCGAGCTACCTAATTGAGCCTTCCGCACCTTGCGAGGAGAGAAAACGCCATGAAATCCGGCTAATCTTCATCGCCGTATGTCTCAATCCATGCGTACATTTTCCGAGGCGACATCTTTGTATCGTTCCTACACGCAGGTTGTGAGGTGAAGATACTTGCATGGTTCCAGACCACTGCCAATTTCGTAGTATTTTCTTTCCCTCTGATTTAATTCCTTGAACAGTAGGATTGTCCCGGCATCCAGCTCATTATTCCGGAAAACCGGATTCAAAATAGTAAATAATGACGGACATATATACTAGAATCAAAATTTCTCCACAGATACTTGAATGAACGGGCCTGTTCTGGAATTCATAGAATAAGCAGTTTACAGTCCTCAAACTCACATTCTGAAACTGTATTCACTTGCTATTTTGTGTAACACGTGATCGTTCACTTACCTTATTATCAACACTAGTACTTTATAAGCAGGCGCAGTTTGATTAGGACTAGGTACTAATCAACGCTCACATATCGTCCTCAATTGTCGCCGCTCTTAGCGTCATTACTAGCGCTCGCTCGTACTCTAAATACTTTTAGAGTTCTTCAGAGCTTTATTTCAGTGACTAGTCCTACGGCCATTCCCTCCACCACGCTCCTCGACGACGAACGCTCATACGGCGTGTCTCTACGTATACTAAGTGCCTGATATCCAGTATGTTATGAGTGCTAAATGTGTCATTCTTGCACTTGTGTGTACTGGATGCAGTAGGACCCGCACTTATCGTTAGTCGCGCCGTTCCAATTCGTCCCTTATAGGTTTCCCTGCACACTCCCATTTCTCTCATATGTAGATCGGCTAGAGGTCTATTTTAAAGATAGCAGTCCGCGAGAGGCTACATCCGTATACTGATCAGTAATGGATCGCAAGTTTTCCGGAGAAGTCTTAGAAAGCTGTCTCATTACTATCTCGTCAGAAGGCGAGCTGTGGATGACTCGGAGAGTATCTTCCATTCACGTCGATATTTTTACCGGAGGTCCTGCGAACCTATCTTCATATCAATTTGTCTAGTCTGACTCTTGTTATCTTTTATTTCCTCCTTCCTACCAGGCCTTGACGCTCCATAATTAGTGATGATCGGTCCCCTTCAACAAGGATGGCTAGGCAGTTTTGTTGGAGTTCGCAACTTCACTTGTTCCCTCTCTGAGGTCAAATGCCTCTTCTTCGCATTTTTATACATACGAATGTCGTTTGCTTGCACTGCAAATCGACCCCAACCCTTGCCCCAAGGACTTGTGCGTATTAACCACAGAAGTTAAACAGGACAGCAGGCTCTCAACTTGGATGCATTCCGCAAGGGTCCCTTTGCAGTATCCAATGTCATATACATATTAGTGTGTCCTTACATATACACCTATGTATACAGCTATATCTCGAGAGTAGATAGTATACAGTAAAAGGTCATAGCTACACGCATAATTATCCTGAGTGAGAAGACTTTCCAGAGAATGTCCTTGCGATCACCGTCGGGAATGGTAGCGAATATCTCTTCGTCAACGACTTCAGTCTCATATATGAAGTTCCTTTTTGACTCTCAGTATGTGTCGTCATAAGCGACTCGACACGTTCGGCAGGTGTCTGCGGCGTGTCAGCATTGAGCCATATCGAGGGAATCGATGTTCCAGACTCTGAAGGCATCTCAACATCGATAGAAATGAAGTTGATTCAGAACTCACTGCTGTCTTGCCCATATATGCTAGCGCCAGCTAACGTAACGTTATCGATTGATCGTCGGGCAAGTTTCTTCCGTGAGGCGTGGTCGTCCTCATTATCCCGAAGAGGCATGATGCACATATCATCCGTAGTTGCATGCCGAATTTCCTCCGGATCCCGAGCGACAATCTCGATATCCTCAATGCTCGTTCGGCGGGTTGGGGTAGCGTCTGGAAAGGGGACCGGAAGAGTATTGGGAATTGGAGGAGGGCATGATAATGGTGTAGAGGAGAACTCTTTCGGTATGGCGGGAAGTGGAGGATGAGACGATTTATTGCTGCGCAGACTCAGCGACCGCGGGAGGCGTAAGCTTCCCATAGATGCACGCAGGCTGCGTCGCCGCGCAGCTGATACCAATTCGACACGGGAGTGGTCTGCAACTCGGGTTCGTGCGCTCTTCGCACTGCGTATACTGGCACGGTCATCGCTCTTTGCCATGGTTTCCACTTCAGCTTCCTCCGTTATCTCCTCAGGTATGACGTCTTCAGGTATCGCTTTCGCAGGTAAAGGCTTTGGTGACAAGACAGGTGGTGGGGACAAAGGAAAGACGGAAGAGGAGGATGACGTTGGAGTCTTGGGTGCTGGTGGAGATGGAGTGGGAGAGAGAGGTGGAATGTTCATGACGGTGACTGGGGGAGATCGAGGAAGAGAAACAATTTGGGCTCTTCTAATAACACCGGTATCCTCATCAAAGTCAATATCGTGATCGTCTAGTTCGTCTAGTTCCCGGGCTAGTTTCTCCGCCTCTTTCCATGAATCCTCCAACTCGGCCTCCAGTTGAGTGATCCGTGCTCGCGCATCTAGAAGGTCTTTGGTGCGTTTACCGTAACTTCCGTTCAGCTGTAGATTGCATCAGAACGTCAGCAGTAGAAAGAACATGCATTCAAAGGATTCATTTACCTTTCTCAATGCGATTGCCAAGGCGCTACCCCAGTGTACATCCACTAGCTTTCTGATTTGGCCAATCTGATCGGTTATCCTAACCAGTTGCTCTGCGAGGGAATCGCACTCGGCGGATATATCCGATAGTTGAGATGCCACAGTCCCTACGAGACTCGTTCCACCATCCTTCTCCTTCCCACTTCCTGTACCACTGAACGATAGTAAAGCTTGCAATAACATCGTTCGTCTATGCGTGTTGAACCGATACTTGGATTGTGTCACGGCTTTGAGTGCGTCAAGCCGATCGAGCTCCGCGGGTAGAGCCTTGTCAAGATTATCGATCGACACGAGGCGAATGAAGGACTCTTGAGCGGATGATCTGATTGCTCGTGAAACGATATTTTGAAGTTCCGCGGAATCAAAAGTCCCTGTAATTAGGACGTGTTGAGGAGATAGAAGAAAACAATATCATGAAGTTTGTACGTACAAAGCGCGGCCTCCAGTGGTAGACCCTTCCACTTGACTGCTTCGGAATCGAAGTTGACTTTGGGGGGAGGCGGGAGAGTCGGACTTCGGGGAATCGGTCGACTAACCGGTGACAAATTTGAGGGCGACACGTTACCGATACGCTGAATGCTGAGCGGGGCCACGTCGGTAAAAGGCGGAGGTGTGAGCGAGGGATGCGAAGTCGAAGAGATAGACAATGAGGGTTCTCGGACATGTGGCGGCGGCGGGTGAAATACATGTTGTGAGGGTGGTGTGACTATCGACAAGGACTCCGACGTTACAATATGTGGCGGTGGTGGTAGGGCCGGCGGTAAAGATGAATAGCTAATTGGTGCAGTGGGCTCTACCGTGGCGGCAGGCGACAACAGAGAAGGCGGTGGGGTCACAATTGATTCTGGTACAGATGCAAAAGCAGGTGATAACGGTGTTAATGGAGATGCTGGTGGGGACGTAGATTTATGGGGTGGAGACAAGGATGAATGTGTAGGCTCGGGAACCGCTGCAGTATCGGTGGATATGGTCGATTCAGAGTCACGGTTAGGATCGTTGCTACGACTCTCTGAGTCGTCCTGGGAGGTCCTCTCGCATATTATCGGGAGCATTTTGCTTTCGATGACGGGCGGTGAGCCTCCAATAGATACCACTGGGGATGATGGACCTGGACTAGAGTTATACACCGTCAACGTTGTGGAGTAGCTGGTACTGCGCGACTGCGCTAAATCACTGCTCTGAGGTGCTGAATCAAGGAAGAGAGACGCAAGAGAGGAAGACGGTTGCCGTGTTCGAGGCCCCATTGGCCTGCTCGTGCGAAAAGAGGACCTGGGGGAAAGGCTGACGGCAACGTCAGATTCTGTCATATTGTAACTTTTAGTGATGGCCGGATAGTCAAGGTGAGTTAATGCGCCTTTGCCCTGAGGGCGAGTATCGGTAAAGGTAACAAGAAGATTGGGGAGAGTGGCTGGCCTGCAACAAGATAGCAAACGTCAGGCGCTGAGGCTAGACGGTATCGGATACTTCCCATTCCCACATATCAACGAGGTTGAGCCTGAAAAAATATATCTCAAGGCACGTGAGAAGCGAAATCGGCCCGCGACAAAATTAAAAATGGGCGCTTGGAATTTGAAAAGGTGAAGGCGGGTGCCTTGAAACTTTCGGAATTGACAGTGGAGGAAATTAGGAAAGGAAAATCAAATGGACAACGTGTATTGCTGTGTATTGAAAGCCTTGAAAGCGGGATAAGTGTATTGGGGCAAGTCGGTGTTAGTAGCATTAAATGTACGGCGATGAATATTCAACAATCCGTTCCATGATCATCGGGAGCGATTTTCCGAAGGCGTTGTCAACGCCTTCAAGCTTCAAGCTTCACCACATAACATGAATAAGTAAAAACATACACACCAGATTTATGGAAGCTACACAAGTCTTATCATAGCAGTTTGAACGGTTTGAACATCTTAGACTTTGAAATGAGCCGCCTGGTCCTATGAAAAAATCATCCTGATAGTCAGTATAACAAAATCGAAAGATGGGGTCATAGATGAACGTGTATTCTGAATACCAAACCTGATTCACACATCCGCCGTAACCACCTTCTCGATTGTCACAATTGACTGCACCCACGCCATTCTCCACTACGAACGTTATCACACTCCTTACCATAAAAGCCAGGCAGAGCAGAACTGCTGGTCCAAGAATCACCCTGCCATGAAACCTTCCAGCACTGTACCCGTCATAAACAATCGTCAGCAAATCCCAAGAATCATGCATGACGAACGGCGTTACCAATAGGACCATCTCTCTCCACTTCATCTGCAAGATTGCCGGTCGTCGTCACACGTCACCAGAATAGGAATAAAGCACAACGGCACAGGGACTACGCTGGATTCATGGCCACGTATCCGGTTAAGCTTCCCCCCTACCCCCTCTCTCCACTTGCCGCACGCTTCGCTTCTCCCGCTTGTTCTCCCGTAAGCGGTGTCGAAATCCTTTACCGGAGTGGATTTTCATTGCTCAAGACACGTCAGTGCGGTTTTGAGATGGGAAAGTGCGCAGTGGTTGCATAGTAGTTGGCGAATACGTTCACCCGAGAGGCGAAATCCGCAGTGCGCCTACCGGATCTTCTGGGAGATCAAAGCGTCAGCGGCGCAGAAAGGAGATCAAGACAGCAGTTTAAGAGATTTACATTCCATGCTAGGCAAGTGACGTAGAACATCAACAATAGCTTGCGCTCCTCGATCATACTGTTGTAGTTCGCAGACCACTGGCCTGATGATGCACACTCCGCACTGCACTTATTCGCGGCAAATTGGTGGTGTACACCGATGGTGAAAGTCGTCGCGAGTATGGAAGCCGACGAAGAGAATACGAAGCCAAGACATCTACATATTCTGGGGATCAGCACACACGATTGGACTATGGGCAAATAGCTGGCATACGTACGGCATTCTAGGATGTGCCAGAGGACTCTATCGTCTACAGTGCTCAGTCTTTGCATCTTTCCCGCGAAGGATACTTAGAACAAGTGACTAACAAGAGCCCGGCACGTAAAGCATCCATGGGAACCAGCTTGGAGTCTTAACGAAATGAAGGTCGTGTCATCATTGTAATGTCACCGCTGATGGCTTCTGCCACAGTTGCACGATATGAAGCCGAATACGTAGATATCGAACAACCCTCGCGGTTAGATGGCTGGTAGTTTGATAAATCAGCAGATGACAAGCAATTCCTCGAACATGCACCTACTGGTCCCGGTCTTGCTTGGAACATATACACATGACTTGCTCTTGGCGGAGTTGTTTTATCTTCAACACTGCGCCATCGTGTGATGAAATTATGTTCCACATAAAGGCAAGGTTAAGCTCGAGAAAAATCTTGACAAGAATGTCTCCTTCGTGTTCTCATGTTGCTGTCAGAGGTAAGAAGTCTACGAGCTATTTCGGTTATGCATGGATGAAATAGTGCTTGTAGGAATTTACGTACTAGAACTTCTAGCGTAACATTCGAAGCATTCAATCCCCTGGGTAGTTATCTGAAGAGGAGATTGGAAAGGAAGGAGCTAGTTCGCTCCGTCATTTCAGCGCAGTTATAAGCTGAATGGACGCGTCAGTATACCATACCAGTAAATCGAGTCACAGATCTGCTCCACCTAGTAGTTCTTCGGCCACCTCCGTGACCCGTCTGTATCCTTGAGTAACCCAACGGTATGTTCATTCCAGTACATACACGAAGTCTGATGAATCTTCACCACACGGAGCCGGAAAATATGGTGCCAAGGATAGCGTCTAACGACCAGAGACAAAATTGCAGACTCTGGCGCCTCTGCGAAAATTTCAAAGGCAATCAGACCGACCTTGATGGATCAAGTAAAATAGAGTAGCTTACGCACCAATTTTTCTAGCGTATATCCGTTAAATTTTTTGGAATTCATGAAGTTTGACACCGCGTTGCCAAGGACTGAACTCCTTCCACAGACAGTAGCTAGCAACGCTGTACGCAGAAACGAGGGGTGTATGATATTGAAAGGGAAAGTACAGTTCCATGTCGTGGGCCGTCATGTAGCCGTTCCAGTATGTGCAGATGCTAATTGGTGGTAGAGTTTGAAAAGTTGAATCAGAGACGACAGCGGTAAAGGAAACATTGTTGGCTGACCAGTGAACATGCGGAATGTTGCAGTGACAGGCATCTCGGACTATACAGTTATACAGTCAAAACTGAGTAAAATAGATGGAGAAAGCTTGGGGAACTTGATGGTCATACGGGTAATAATTAGTCCTACGAGCGAAAGGGCTAAAGAAGGATGAAGGGGAGAAGAATAGAATGTAAGTGATCTCAATATGCAAGAGTATAAGTGCAACAGTACTTGGATAGGCTTGAGGGCAGGCTCGGGAATCTCCGACAAAACCTGTCTTCGTTCGAATTTTTCAATTTCTCGAGAAATGAGGACCCCATAATTACTATACATACACCCATTGTCTAAGAATCGTGAAAGAAAATAAACATTACCTTCTTTATAATTTTTGCGGGAGCCTACAAGCGCCCGGCCCAAATCCCCTATCCTCCCCTAAAGCTGCGTCGATGACACTCATCATTGCCAACACCTTCTCCTCCTCCCACTTCTTTGCCACCACCTGTATACCCACTGGCAAGCCCTTCATAGGTACCGGATCATAAAACGGCTTCTTTTCTCTATAAAGCTGATCCTCCAGAATGCTCACTTTGTCGGGTGAACGTTTCGTCCACTCTTCCGTCAACTTATCCTTCTCGGGATCAACTCGTGTTACAGGAATGCACCCGGCGCTGCTCTGGACAACGTTGTAAAGCACTGTACCCATGACAAGAGGAGAAAACTCTGTTGCACCACTATACACGCCGAAACTCAGTGAGCATGATATCTCACCAATGCCAGAAAGTACTCACCCCTCGATCAATTGCGGAAGAGCTTGAACCGGAGCTATGATACCATCGAAGTCATACTTATTCCAGACCTAATATGATAAGGTAGTTAGAACGTTCTTCCAAGGCAGCGGGATGACCTCACGTTCATATAGAACATCCGGTTGTAAGCCTGCCTCTTTTCAGTCCACTTGCTGTATTGAGAGTACGACTTCGAGCCTGCAGCATGAAGGACATCTGCAGCCCTCCAATCCTGCAGGATTTTGGAAACAATAAAAGCCGCCAAGGCTTTCAGCGGATCTGTGCAATATATTAATTAGCCCTGATGACAGCTGCATGAAACGGAGTCTTACATGGAATTCTTGAGCCATAGACGACTAATTTAAGTGTATCGTCCTGAAGCGATGATCTGATGAGAAATCAAGGTCGATGTGGCATGCAACCTACCAGAGCATCAGGACCAAGATTACTTAGCATGTTTCTGTACGAGTCTGAAGAACTGAGCGCTACAAAGGCCACTAGTGCTTCGTGCACTGATATTGATGGTTAGAATCGTTCTATCAACGAGGAGGGGAGGTTAGCACTAACCATTAGGAGGCTCGAATTCAATACATTCGTGGCCTTGCTTGCGCAACGCGGCGACAGTTTCCAGAACTGCGCGTTTATTAGCCGGAGACGCTTTAACGAATCCGTCTAGTATGCTTTCAATGGGTACATGCGCGCTCCAAAGGTACGAGACACGAACCTGATGTATAGTAACCAAACTTGAGCTTCTCGGGCAAATTGTGCTCCCGATAGGGCATAGGGGGGACAAGGGAAATGGCATCTGGAACACCGAACAGGGTGCGGCAGAAGAGCTTCAAATCTTCAACTGACCTAAATGAAATAGACAGTATGAATTGACGTGACAGACAGGTTTGAAAGGAGTAACTGACCTAGCCATTGGCCCATTGATTGCTATCAGTCCTTCGAAACCGGGATCGGGTCCTAAAAGCATGAATATAGAAATTAGACACGATGACGGTACATGCATGACCATTAACAACATACCTCGACATCCGAATGTAGAGACCCTGGGGAAGGATGGCATGAGGGAGTAGATACCGCAATACGCAGCTGGGATACGTAGACTGCCGGCAATATCAGAGCCTATGCCCAAAGCAGGAGCCGTCCATGGCGAGAATAGCTCCTTCACCTCCAGAACTACCACCACAAGTGTAACCGGGGTTGTACGGGTTGGTAGTGCGTCCCCACAGGGGGTTATTACATTCAAATGAAAGCATAGTCTGAGGAACGTTCGTTTTGACCATCGGAATACCTCCTGCAGCGATGATCTGGGCTACGAGCTACAATGAACATATTAATTTGATGGTTCCTTTATTGTGTGAATAAAGACGTACTGCCGCGTTCTCTTCGGCGGGATCGTTGGCCCATTGAGTGAAGCCAATCGTTGTGTCGTAACCCTTGACTCTGTCTACTCTCTGTGAGACTCAAGAATACCCCAACCATCCATGTTACTCACAAAAATCCTGTATATAGTGCACATCAACATCACGCCCTCAGCGCCGCAGGAGACGAGTACGCACCTTTACACTGAACGGGAACTCCATGCAGGGGACCCACGGAGCTTCTTGGTAGCTGCAAACTCAGCGTCGAGGTCTTTGGCCTGCGCGCGTGCGTCCTTGAACATGACTATGTCCAGCCATCAGTTCCAACGCACTAGCCAGCTTGAACAGTCCCGAACCTTCCGTCAAGCAATTCGTAGCCGCCTGAGCCTCAACTGCACGCGCGATGTACGCCTCAAGGACCTCCGTAGCCGTCCATTCGCCGCTCTCAATACGAGATACAATCTCGCAGGCTACAAATGTCAATGGTAAGTAAGCTTCAACACTAGAGACCTTGTACGCACCGGTTGCCTGCAAGTACTTCTCACGGTCACTGTTCTTGTCGGAGGTGCTCGCCACCTCCTCCAAAAGACGAGCACGCTCGAGACGTTTGCCGTAGACGACGGCCTTGTTGGAGGAGAAACTGGACCCCATGCTGGACGTTCACTGCAGAGCGGCTGTCGTGGACCCCGGCATTTCATCCGTCGGCATTCAAACTAACATGTGAATACCGGCCGCGCCTCCACCGAAATTATGTAGCGCCTGGTCTCAGCGGTAAGGAACATGGTGGTAGCAAGGAACGAAGAGCGAAGGCTATCATTTACAAGCTCTTTATCGCCTTCAATGAATTTCACCTTGTGATGGCTGCGATTGCGAGCTTCCGTTGATCGGTATGCTTACTTATTGTTCATTATTTAACCAAGATAAAATATAGAAAAAGGTCGGTAGGGTAGCACAAATCGTGATGAACGTTATACAGAGTGAGTTACTTCTGTTTGTCACAAAGATCTTGGAGGAACTTGATGACATCCATGGCGACATCTTCCCCATTGCTTCCGTCTGCATTGGCCTCCTCTCCTTTGATGACAGCATAGAAAGCAGCAAGATCAGCCGCATGTTCTACCAATGAATTCAGCTGTACGGCGCGCGTCATCCTGGTAGAACAAAGCCCCTCTAAGATAACATTCTGGTTGTCTTCATTCCCTTTCATAAGTAATCCAAAAAGAACTGATAGATGACCGAGCAGGAAGGATGCGTCCGCGCTCTGTATTGGATCGGTACCAAAGGCGGGTGAAGACTGACGCTCCATTTTGACCTTGGGGTCTCCAAAGATAGGAACTTGATGGAGGTACACTTGAGTCAGGAGACTAAGGGCACTGACGGGATGACGACAAGAGCATTTGCGCAGACAGGCAGGCTTCTTCAAGGTACAGGAAGGATCAAGGACTGGAACGCAGAAATCAGTCCCCTGGCGCCGAGCAAAACGGAATGATACGCACGCAAACCTCGCAAGACATCCTTCGCGTCTTCGACTTCTTGAACCAGATTGGTGAAGAGGCCCAACGCAAGACAAAGTCTGTCCAGAACACGAGCTTGGGATGCATCATCCTCAGGATTTTCTTCGTCGTCAAGCTTTGTATCGTTCTCCTCTTCCTTCACCTCGTCGCTCGTCTTCCCGTGCGGCGCCTTTGTTTTTCCTTGATGTTCATGACGTATGAGGTCGGCCCTGACAATTGTTCGAATGATGAACAGTGGCGCTGACGGATGTGCAAGGACCTTCTCGCACCAGTCCTGGTCTCTGTGACTGAGGCTAACCAGAACGCGGAATACCATATCTAAGCAACTGTCTGGTGTGAAAATTTGAGCCGCTGGGGATTCCTGATGTTACAAAGGCGCACCTATGTCTGCGTTACTATAAGACTTGGAAGTCTTCATCGCAATTTCGGTGCGAACCGCACAAGAAATCAGCCCATTAAGCAGCCAATCATCTCGCGCTTCCTCAACAAGATTTCTTGACTGGGCACTACTGTATCCGGGGCCTGCCCATTGGCCAAGAAGGAAGCTGTCCAGCAGTCGCAGGATATTATGAGTATTCGGGAAGTCTATACTTTTATCATGCCGGGCAGTTGTTGACGGAAAGGGTTTATCCAGATGATAACGAAGGAACTTGAGTAATGTTGTGAGGTGAATTGTAGGGAGAAATGAGGGTGGAAGTACAGCCAGAGTATGTGTTATTAACAGAGCCATTGACACCTATAACGACTATGAGGGAGGAAAGGACTCGAAAGAGTGTGTAACCCACAGCAACACCGTCTTCAAATAGGGAGGATGATGAGATAGTTGAATGGATGGAACGAAGCTGAATAACACGGTCAATAAATGGTTTCCTACAAGAAGTCTATTGTAGTTACCAAAATCTGTTCGTTCTTCTTAATTCCTAGTTTGCGCAGCTGGATATCCGGAGAACTTCCTGTCATAATTGACAATAGGTCGGTTTCAGGGGTTAGACGGGCGAGCATTGTAAAGAGCGTTGCTGCGAAATGTGATGTTGGCGAAGAGCTGGTGGATGGCGAACTAGAGCGTTCAGCGACGTCAATCAAAGACACCTCGTCTCTAGCAACGAGTGCCGAAAAAAAAGCTAGAATGAGGTCTAAAATCTGAAAGGACTTTAGAGAAAGCGAGATGTATAGGGTAACAGGTCAGACCTTGTCTTTTCCATCTCCTGCACCATTCTCAACGAAGGTGTCCCAGGTTTGACCGATAAAGTCTGCTGCTTTGGCCTTGCGAGTAAAGTCAGAGTCGCACAGTTTTGTCGCTATTTCCAATGCACTAGATCCCATAAGTACGGTATTGCGTTTAGAAGATGGGCACTCACCTTGATCTTCGCAAGCCTACCCCACCATCTTTATCCATGCCCTCAATGAGATATCCAACTTCGTCTAAGAACCTTCTGTTCTCTCCCTTGGTCCTGAGCTCCGTGATGCTTTTCAGGGGGTTCATCATTCCACTGGGAAGAGGTTCGGGGACGAGAACATTGGGGGTGGTCTTGCCTTTCGATTTGGTCTTGATCTTTTTGGGAGGAGATGAAGTAGGTGTCGCATGATTGGAGTCAGAATGTGACCGTGATGGTGATAGCTGAGGATATGGGTCGTCCTCTGACGTATCGACACCCCAGCGAGAGCGAAGGGAAGAATATGACTCCCGGTTGACAAAGTCATCCTCTTCGAGACCTAGGTCAGAAGTAGAGGCATTGATGGGCAATGAGACAAGAAAGGATCTTGATTTTCCGGCATATGTACGCTTTACTGGTGGACGATGCTGCAGGGGTGGTGGATCCGGAAAGAGCGTTGGAGTTGGTTTTGGCGGCGAGAGAATGAAGGGCAACGACGGTGTCCGTCGAGCCAAGCTTGGTGTAGAGCTTCCTGACCGACCAGTGCTGTCTATTGAAGACTCTGTTTTAGATCGCCCCAGCATGCGCCTCGCAAGCTTTCCTGGAGATCCCGACGATGACACTGCTGGCGATGCTGCTTCGAATATTTGGGACAAGTCTCTTGGTATTGTGGAGGGAGTTGGCGGGGTAACACGCTTCTGCCGCTTCGAAACATCATCGTCGCTGCCGATGGCCTCGACGAACTTCCTTTTGGTGGAATTACGACCATAGGTGCGAGGGAGGGACATGGATGTAGCGGACCAGGACGGACCGTGCCACCGTGGAGACATTTGTCGCATTCCACATGACTTCACGTGCTCCGCGGTCGTCACACAGACGCGTTACCTCGTCACGCTCAACTTTCCGTTCACTACCCTCTGCACAATGGAAGTACTCCAGAATCGTATCGCCTCCTTTACGCGTTCAAAGCGCGTCAAAAGTGGCCCGAAAACGACGGTTACACTGAAATGGCCCCATCCGTCCAGCTTCCAGGCGAATCCCGAGACGCTGGCAGAGGCTGGTTTCTATTACGACCCCAGCCCAGAAGACAGGGACAGCGTTACCTGCTACATGTGCAGCAAGCAGCTCAGCGAGTGGGACAGTGACGACGACCCGTTCGATATCCATTACCGTAAATGCGCAAAGACGTGCTCCTGGGCAGTGGTCCGGTGTGGTTTGCGAAATGATGTAGACCATCAGGGAAGGTAAGGATCAGTAGAGCCCTGTTGCCTTTCTATCAGCTAAATTTCCACAGATTCATGTCCCAGAGTAAGAATCGCATGCCTCTATCTAAGGTGATGGAGAAGGCTCGGCTTGACACCTTTACATTTGGGGATGGATGGCCTCACGATAATATCAAGGACGGATGCACCTCGAAGAAGGTATGTATTTAATATTATATATATCAGTTCTCGTATTCATTGGTTTCTCACAGATGGCGCGTGCTGGCTTTATATACATGCCCCAAGAACCGGGGGATGACCTTGCTACATGCTTATATTGCGGTGTCTCCTTGAGTGGATGGGACGACGATGATGACCCAATGTGCGTCTTCCCTTCTTTTCCCTTGACATTATTCTCATTTATTCTACAGGGAAGAGCATCTCAAGCGAGTCAAGAAGGCCAACGGCAGCTGCCCCATCTTCGCCGACCTTTCTCCAGCTCCCAAACCACCTCCGAAATCGAAATCTAAAAGCAAACATAATGACGTGATTATGCCCACGAAAGCCTTCGACGGCGCTGATGAGTCTTCCGACATCTCTTCCATGCCTGAGGGCAGCCGCGCCGCCAAGACGCCACGTAAACCTCGAGCCACTGGGAAGGGCGCCAAAACTCCCGGCACCCGCTCGCGAGCCTCATCTAAAGCCAGTCATCGCTCTGCACAAACAGGAGAGGACGAAGATGATAATGAAGACAATACCTTCACCGCACCTCCACCACCACCTTCGGATTCGAAAGGCCTCAACTAGATCCCGTTCGGCATCCCGTGCCCCGTCTGTCGATGATGATGCCCCCCGTAAACAATCTAAATCGAGATCCAAGTCAAAGCCTGTCGTGGAAACTGAGGGGGAAGAGGATGATATTCCAAACCTCCCTCCTTCCAAGCCCTCAAGGTCAAAATCAAAATCAAAATCTTGGGCGATTGAAGCCCCAGAGACGGTTGAGGATGAGGCACCATTGGGGAGAAGCATAACACGAAAACCGTCAGCGAAATCCAAGGCAAAAGCGGGTGGTAACTCCACCACTGATGAATTGAGATCGAAGCCAAAGCACATACCTGAAACGGAGGAGGAGGAGAGCGAAATTGATCTCCTGCCTCCTAAGCCGTCGAGATCCAAATCGAAGTCACGAGCGGTGGTGGAGCGAGAATTGGACGAGGATGAAATGCCTCTAAAAAAGAGCACTACCCGCAAACCGGCATCTAGGCAGCCGACGAAACCCTTGTCATCACAGGATATCGAGGATGATGCGCCAGTCAAAAAACCATCTTCCAAGGCAACGGCGAAATCCTCTCGGTCTAAACCCCTCCCGCCTCCTCCAGATACGCAGTCAGAAGACGACTCAGCGCCTGCGAAGAAGGTACTTTCTAGGTCAACTCGATCCAAACCAAAGCAGCCCCCCCCAGAAGACGATGAATCAATTCTCGAGCCACTGACCAAAGGATCATCCAGATCAACACGGTATAAGGGTCAGGTACCTTCGGATAGCCAGCCAGAAGATGAATTCTTCGGACCGACCCGTCCCGGGACCCAACGCAAATAAGCCTGTGTCCAAACCTACATCGAAGGCGCGACCGAAGCCCACTTCTACGCAACGGGCTGTTCCAGAAATGGAGCCGCAGTCGGAGGAAGACATGAGTCAATATGTTCTTCCAAAGACTCCTGCGCTGTCGAAAAAGTCCTCAAAATCGCGAGTCAAGTCGAAGCCTTCTACCGAGGGTCCTCAGGGTCTTGACATCGACGACGAGGTCTTGGTACCTCCGGCACTGGTCCCTGCCCCCTCACATACCCGAAAGCCTTCCAAATCGCAAGCTACGAAATCCAAGACCACTGAAGCCGGCCACGAGGCACCTTCTGCCCCCCGTCACGGAAGAAAGCCCTCGTCCTCCGAAATCACATTCTTCTTCATCTCGGCAACCATCTGGAACCAGAAACAATGGACTTTCAGGGCCTGATGAAGACGTAATCATGGAGGAAATACATGGGTGCTCCCAAATGAATCCGAATGGCACCAGCACTGGCTACAATGCTCCTCACGTGGCTTCAGATCCAGGGAATGTATACCATGAGAAGACGAAGACTTCTCAGCGAACAGCCGAACGTAACCTCGCTTCTAAAACAACAACATCCTCCCATGTCAGCCAAAGTGGCACGGCAAGTGATGTAGAGCGGAGCGAGATAGACGCAGGGTTGAAACTGGTTGAGATTTCATCGGAGGAAGAGGACGAAAGGGATGCACCCCAAGAATTCAAACCAATCCACTCGAAGGGGAAAGGGAAAGAAAAGGCGAAGGCAACAACGGTCACTATTTCGTCCGAAGCACGCAATCAGACCCCAGAAGAAACACGACCCCAGGCATCGGATGTGCAAATGGACGATGCAAACGAGGATAATTCAGTGCTTGATATGGAGACACAGCCATTGACTCCTCCTCCCGCTACACCCTCTTCTGTCCGGGCACCCCTCCCGTCGATAAATCCTGACCCTCAGACCGACAACACTCGAATCCTTGGATACCGGTTTCCAGTTCTTGCCTCCTCTTGCACTAGAGTCGTTTGTCCCGCTTGAAAGCCTTACGGAAGCGGAGCTGTCAATGACCATTGAAGAGTGGATCCGATATCAAATGGGCGTTGAATACGAGAAGTTCAAACAGGATGGTGAGCGGGAACTAGCCGCCTTCGAGAGGAAGGCGGAGGAAGTTAGAAAAGCTATTGAGGCTCTGTGAGCGCGATGCCTTTTTTTGCACTTTTACTGGCTTTTCTCTTTTTTTTTTTCAAGTACGCGAATATAGACCTTAGCTTGCACATGGACTTTCTGACACTATTATTATTGTCGATCTGCGGGTTCACGATCGATATACTCTTTGATCCAAAGCCAATCGACTTCTCAACTTGACTGCAACTTTATTGCAAGGTTCTCGTGGGCATCGATATGCATATTTATTTTAAGTATACATTGCAACTCGACGACTAATCTCGGAATTCTACTCACGACTGATTAGATTAGACTACACCAGCCAATTCAAGCTGTATTCAATTGAATGTTTCTCGTCCTATCATATCGCGCTTTTCCGAGTCGGAAGGGTTTCATGGCTGAACACCGACAATATATAACATGTAACGACTACCGAGTCCGAGCCAACGTAATTAGCTTTCGCGGCAAGTCTGGAGCTCCCGGGCATCGGGACTTATCCCAAACGCGGATAGGTTAGCCTTATATTGACCAGCACTGTGACAATACAAAACAAAATCTGACGTACTTACTTATTGGACGTCGCACCCGGCAGCAAAATACAGCAATAGAACAAGGCCACTCAATTGCATCCCCTCATTCAAGATTTTCGTCTTCTCAAGGCGAAACCCTCTGACGCCACACGAGGTCGAGGCCCATAACGCAAGATCCTTCCCTTGCGATGGAAGACGCATGTTTCAACGTGTCGCGCATGCTTATAACTATCTTTGAAGCACGATCCTGGTTGCGGGTTTCTGTCGCTGCCACTTGCTGTCATCGGTAAGTTAAACTTTCGTTAGCACAACGTTACGAGAGAGAGATCAGATTTTTCGTTCTTTCTCATCTCTACGCGGCTGACGTTTTTCTGTAGTGCTGCATATCCCATATATTTTCTGATAAATCAGTCCATGCAGACGGATGGCGCACTAAGGCGCTACAACTTAAAGCCATGCTTCAAACGTCTGTCATATCGCAGATCGATGAGGGCGAGATATTATTCTAACACCCGGTCCCTGTCACTTGTGGGGAATTTCACAATAAAGTGTTTGGGTGTGTGGGCTGCCATATTTCATGCATTCCCCAGTCAAACAATCACATCTTTTTGCGCTGTTTATGGTAATCCGTTCAAAGTCGTAACGTCACGTCCAATTTTCTGCCTTCATCAAGTTCCATGCAGGAGTAGTTCTGGACCCGCAGCCAGTCATAAAACAGGCAGAACCTCATTGGTCGATGGACTACTGGAATCTGACCTAGGTTCTTGATTTATGAGCCGTTTTTCTGGGCCAGTTTTTCTAGTAAAGACCTATTGAACTCGCCGAACCCACCTAGCCGAGGGTATCAACCACCTTCTCTACCCACGGCTCAATCGCACTTTTCGAGGGCTGATCGTACTCATTTCACGGATGACATCTTTTCATATAATCGATATCGATCAGGTCAGGCAGCTGATAAGATGAAAAAAATTAGAGGTACCCGTAACCCGCCTACATACATACGTTCCCGGATCTAGCTCAAAAGAATTCGCGTAGGAAAATCTGTCATTCCGGACAGTTGTGACCGGAACCCCAGTTCATGTTGTTGATCATTCACAAAGTTACAAGCTCCCTAGAGTTGCTGCATGTAAACGGAGTACGCCACATCATGATGAAGTTCAAAAGAGTCTACGGACGGACCCGTTGTTGGTTCAGAAACAGCCGTGAATGAAGGCATGGCTATGTGGTTAATATTAAGATAGAATCTGATGTAACGGCGTTTACAGAAAGAGTTGCACAAAAAGTGCGATTTTATCGACCGCGGAGTCGGGCCGACGCTTGTTGTCTCCGTTTCTTTCGTATGTCGAATTGGTTTCCAGGTTGGCATCCGTATCTCCATGAAATACGTCTGCCACCTCTGCGGAAGGTATGGAACATCCGTAAATCAACGCTTACCACGTCCACATCGTGAGAGGTGACTGGTGCTGGTTCGTAATTGTAACGTCTTGTTTGCGTCTAGCTTTGTGCCAACGGCGGCTTTCCCAAAGGCACGGCTAACCACACGGCACGTTAATCTTGTGCAATTCATGCAGTTGTGCTCCTTAAAAGCCCAATTCTGACGGAAACTGGGTTTCTCCATCCGTAACAACTTCTCTGTTACTTCACCATCACCTTTATCGAGTTCCTCCTGTCTTCCAGTGCCTCGTGTTCTCCTTCTGTATGGTACACGACCATCTAGCAGTGGTTGGCTAGTTGCATCTCTGCTCTTGTCGACACTAGAGAAATAAACTTTTCCCGTCAGTATCTACCTCCATTCCTTGGCTTCACGCTAATCATACTCTTAGAAGCATGCCATTTTTAGACTTGCCCGTGGACCTCTTTCTGTCTATTTTTCGCTTCCTCAGCCTTAACGACATTCTGAGGATAAGGCAGGTAAATCTATTGATTTCCTAATCATAATCTCCGATATAGATCTCCACTATTTGTGCATTGAACAGGTCTGCAGGTACTTGCAAGAGGTTTGTGGACTGCCTAGCGTCTGGCATCTCCTCCTTCGCACACAAATCATAGAACAGAGTATACCCTTCCCTTCAGGACCTCCGGGATGGCTTAACAGCGTAGGCGCAAGGGAGCTAGAAGGCCTCGTTGTCCGTGCTGTTCGAGCCCGCCGCAACTGGACTTCGCCGTCGCCCCGCGCCACGAGGCAACTTGAAATCAGTATCGCGCCGACCAGATTACCCGCCCAGCAAAGACGGGTGATTGCACTCAAATTTTTCACTCGTGGCTCGCACTCTTACATACTCTCCGCTGCACTCAGTATTCATACACAGCCGAATCCTCCCCAGCTTTGTATCGAGTGCTGGGATATTAACCGCACCCCCTTGTGTATCGCGAGGCGCCAAGGGCCATGGCTGGGGGGATGCGCCTTCAATAAAGATCCTTCTTACCCACCTTCCGTCGCGGTTAAAGGCCAAGATTCTGGGTAGGCTATTGTCCTTCGTCGTTCTTAGTGGCTCTCACTCCTTGGCCGTAGTCTTCACGTATTCGCAATCTCCACTACCGCCGATACCCCAAGCGCCGCCTTCACCACCGTCGCCAGGATACCTGGTCCGGTACACGAGCTCCTCGCATTTTCAGGATCCGTCGTCTTGATACGCAGTAATACTGATCAACTTTTCATTTGTGACGTACGGGCCGCGGGACACCGCATGGAACTTGTCAGGCCTCCTCTCCCGCCTCCTCAGACTCAAGCCGCACAACCAACTCAGGTATGTAACGACGCAGCAGCATCGGGTCCTTTCTCACCAGACGCCCGGGCAGGCTGAAGCATGTTTCGAAACCCTTATTTTCAATGACTTCCTAGTCATCCTACGATCCAGGTTCCTTGCGATCTACTCCCTCCGTCTATTCTGTCAGTCAACGACGAGTCGAGGTGTCCTTCACCCCCTGGCGCATCACGTCTGGCAATGGACTGTCGATTCAGGTCGTCTAGCCTTCCACACTTCCCACACACGGGGTCCCCAGCCCATTAGCGTTTTAATCAGATTTGCAAGCTCATTTCCTTGGCCCACAAATATGCTCAATCACTTCGTCATATATCCCAACCCTCCAGGGTCACACTCGCTCTACGACTTCATTCCGATTCAAGTGCAGACTATATCCGCACCATTACGGCTTTTCGCTTTAAGCGACATGGCTATCGGGGAGCATAATACGGCGGTGTGGTTGGACACGGACACTGAAAGTTATTTCCTACAGGCGTCTTCGGGGCAAAGGCTTGCTGGTTGCATCCTTAGTGCTGTCAACCACGGCCAAGTCATGTACATGAATGCTTCGTCTGTGTACAATGTGCATGAAGACGCCAGTTGGACCAGGGTGACCTTAGACGAGAGAAATAGCAAGATAGCCATTGGAACGCTAGATGGAAGGATAATTATTTTGGAACTTGCATAAGCTAGCTGCATGCTCTCGCTTTACCTGGGTTCTTACGCTTAATGTAGATGACCGATACGTCTTATGTTTTTCATGATCTGCATATGGTTGCATCGCACGAAGGTACGCGGTTGGTTAGTATCATGCATCTGGATCTTTGATTGACAGCAGATATGGTAATTGGAGTTTGATGAAAATCTCATGGAATAGTGGCAATAAGGACCTTTCTAATAGCATCAATAATCGAGGCCATGCACAAAAATGAAGCACACGTACCGCGGAGGGAGTAAGTCCGAGCTCCCTTAGAGACTTTGAGAAATCTGAACGAGAAAATGCTTTCCTATCCAGGAGCAGGAGCATGAGGTTTCAATGCCAAACAACGTAATTGGTAACTTGCCTAGGGAAGTGTTGGGCGAACATTACCGTTTCCACATCCACAGATAACGTCTGTCCTGCAAGGAATTCTGCAACCTCACGTAAAGCTAGGGAAATGATAGTCAGGTCATGGGATGGGGTTATTAAGATAACATGAGCGGGGGTACGTACGAGCATCGCTGGATAGAGTCGTTGTGTACGGCTGCCCTCCCGAGGACATACGTATTTGTAGTCGGGTTTCTTTGAACTCCCTACCTTTAACACCGGACGACGACGAAGTAACGGCAGGAGCAGTGGAAGCGACGGGAGCCGTAGTTAAATTGTCAGTAATAGGTTTACCCTCTCGAAGAGCCTTTTCCCTGGCAGCTTTCTCGGCACGAGCTTTCTTGTCGGCCTCAATCTGGGCCTTTACTGCTGCCTTAGCCTTAGCCTCTTCGATCTTATCTGAGCATCAAGGGTGAATAAAATGTAGCAAGCGCAATGATGATAGATGAACCTCTTTTCCTTTGCTCCGCTTCCTTTATGGCCTCCTTGGCCTTGAGATCTTCTTTGATTTTATTCATGTCCTGTGGTTGGTAAAGCAACGGAAGTGAATAAAACAAAAGTGAATCAGACCTTGCCTGCTTTCCGACGGATTTTCTCGTTCTCCTTGTGTTCCGCAGCTTCCTCTACTGCTTTCCTGGCACGCTTTTCGGCCATCTTTTCCCGGAGCTCCGCAAGCTTCGCTTTCTTCTCTTCCTCCGTGAGGGGCTTGATCTGCTCACAGGGATGATCATGTGGAGAAGCAGAGAATCTTCAAAGAAGTGAGCCTACCTCTTCCGTCGACTCTTCGAATGCGGTATGACCGCTCTTTTCAGCATGGAAATTAGCGAGAGCCGTATTCCGGAAGGTTTTGCCACACTCCGAGCATTTGATGCTCTATGTTTGTTGTCATCCTGGAAGCAACATGACAAAATATCACTAGGTCACACACCTTGGCTTCCAGGTCAGCTAGATTAGCGGCAGCTTCTGCATCGTCGGCCTCATCGACGTCCATCGGTGCGGAGCTGGCTGACTCTGACACTGACCCCATATCCGGTACTGGTTTTTCTCCATTCTCAAGTATGTGATCCATGGCTGGCTGTAGACCACGATTTCCAGTTGCTTTAAGCGCCCCTGCAGAGTTGAGTCGCGATCGAAACCTGAGATAATCGTGACATTTAGATGAAATTCCCTTACAGTCGACACGCGCAGCTTCAAATCCCATGCCAATCAAACTCTCTCTGTCGCTCGGCATCGTTGCAAGTAAAAATTGAGGTGTATTGTGGCGGTAACGTGAGGGTAGAAAGATAAGTAATAAGGGTCACGTCACAGTTTCCTTTTTGAGGTCATCAATGATTACGTTCTGCAAAAACTATCAAAATAACGCGTCTGAAACCACGTATTTTAAGTTTTTCATGTAAACTTTGCATGCTAGTGCCACTTTCGGACTGAACTTGAACAAAACGAGAAAAAATGGCATTTCTCCTTGGACGCGTCGCATCACGTGAAAATTCGGAGTTTAAATTCGCCACACTCCGATAAGATAACACCGCTGCTTTTCTTGTTTTCCTTATCACGACTCAACTATACTGCATGGACGACGAGCACGCTCAAATTCGCGTTGAAAAATTGGAAGTGGAAGAAGAGGATGCCCGTATCAGGAGAATAGGTGCGCTTGCTTCCCTGCATTGTGAATTCTGTCCGATGTTCGTGTAGAAGCCGTAATGCACAAGCTCAATGCTACTGCGTCCGACCCTAGGCCTGTAGCGACCGCTGCCAAGCCGTTTGACTTCGGTGAAAGACGAACATTTGCAGTGGATCCCCCGAGCGAACGTGAGCATTCTGATATACTTTCGGGTTACTAAGGCTTATGGCGCGTCCCAGTTCTATCTCGCGTACAAGCGTTCCTACCTCAGATAGAGGCATCAAATGCTATTTTGACGCAGCGTGTTGAGTTAGATCCGAAAAGTGTTGACATTGAACATATCACAGAGGGGATGGAGCAGTACATTGAAATGGTTCGTTCCCATCTCACCGCAGCTGCACAGCATCCTTAAATCTGTCGTAGAACCTAGGTCTCGGTGTCTTCGAGCATCGTAAAGATGTCCAATCCCAACCGCAGGATCTTGACTTTCAGATGGGCGCGTCTTCATCTTCCGAGTCAGATGAAGAGGATTCCTCCGATACCGATACTGATTCTTCCTCCGAAATTATCACGTCGTTCTCACCTTCTCCGCGTCTGATCAAACCGCTTCCGAAGCGTGGACTCTCAGGCAACAAAAGTCCTCGTATTGTCGTGCTAGGAGGCCAGGAATTTCCAGAGTCTTCGAGTACTCGTTGAGTCGTTTTCTGGGGGTTGTGCTGTGGTGGGTTGACTGTTTGATCTTGCTCCATGTAATTCATTTTCCGTTTGTGTGTATGTAGTTCATACTTGTTATATAGCCACATCGGCTGCATCTTCTACTCGGTGTTTTGCCGGATCTAAGAAATCGGGCTTGACTTGTTTTTCACCTCGCTTGTCTGGACGCAAACCTCATGGTGCACAGGAGAGACCGCGTCACTGAAATCCATGTCAACGCGGAGCTTGATCCACTCAAATCCAATAATTGCGTGGAAGCAACCCTATGATTGTAAGTCAAATACTGCGTGCTCTCATCCAAGATTTTGACGGGATAATGGGATAGAAATTTGATTTTAAAATACTTCCGAAAGACGCGTATGATCTTCAGGACACGGCATGCATAATTTTCAGCAATGCTACGACCGACGATTTCAAGTGCTAGGCTACTGACTCTAGACCCGGACACTCTACTCCGCGACGAACAATATAGCCAATAAAATTCGGGACAGTGAGCCTTGTTCCTGGCGTCCTTGCAAAACCAGTGACGCGACATGACATACACCGGGTAGTAGTACCACCAACAGCGCATAAATCACGATCGACATTTGTTTAGCCTGAAGATCATAAAAAAAACTTGAATTTCTGAATAGAGGTTCGATATCTGTCCCTTGAGGCCTGGGGTGCCTGCTTCTCTGTTTCGCGGAATGATGGCAATCGGGAAATGATATCAACAATTTTTGCGACCGACACAGTAACGGAGCTCTAGTTCAAGCTTGAATTTAAGGGTCGGCTTCACTCACTGCTAGAGGAACAGTCTCTCTGGGAACAATCAGCCGCAATATTGTATAGGAGGTCTAATGGGGCTTGTACAGGACGGAAAGCCGTGTCTAGGCAGGGATGCAAGGTGCCATGTAGTGCCATGTGGGTCGGTATGTTTTCGCTGCCGTCGTATCTTTATGGAAATTGCAACCGTGCAATCTCGATATCGATCTAGGTTCAGTAGACATACTTGCCTCTCTTCATCAAAATGACCCTGAGGCGCCATTAACACGAGGCCTGGCAAGCACTAGCCTCTGACTAAAGGGTCATTAGAGGTCATGAGTTATGAGTAAGTCCTGTCAGAGGTAAACTTGGCCAAGAATTCTGTCGCCTTGGCCAGTTAATTTCTACTTAACAGATAGTACTATGATATCCAAAAAATCAGGATCCACTTGCATTTCATTCTTCCGATTAACAGACACCGAGTGGTGTGTATTGCAGTCCCATGCGCATTTCTATAATACAGACAAAAAAATGACTTGAATGATTTTACAAGGAGGCAGAGTACGATAAGTACTACTCTATAAGAAGCGCACAATACGCCTTTGCAGTGTACACACTTATCAATTAAATCCGGCAAGAACAGTGAAAATACTTAAGATCATGAGGGGTATCGATGCTGTCAGACATAAAAATCGATTTCCGCTCGAAACTACCGCGATTCGAGTATGCTGAGCGCCTCCTGTACCGACCCGTCGATCGACGTTGTCCAGGCTACGAAAAATAACCGTTAGCATCGGACGTCATGGTCAGCGCATGATCAGTCGACATACCCCACTCCCAGTTTCGTGTAAACCTATTACCCAATTGTTGAAGCTTCTCCCATAATTGACTCTCTGATAGCCGTTCCCAATCAATGTCGTCAGCGAAAGTGAAGTAACGGCCGTTCAACCGTGAACGTTCTTGCACTTGTAGAGCTAAGGGGCGTCGAACGCTATCGTAAACTTGTAGGGCCCGCTCAATGTTCCCCATGTGTGTGTTTCGGTGTCTCAAGACAGAAGCAAGGATGTAGGCATCCTAGGCATGGTGAATAAATGTCCATTAGTGTAACGGAGATTATGAAACGTACTTCGATAGCCTGACCAGCTCCTGATCCCTGATGGGGACACATCGCATGAGCCTAAAAACGTACGTGAGATTGGACAATCTAATCATTGCTTTCAAATCATACGTACCGCATCACCCAAGAGGGCGACTCTGCCTGAGACGAAAGACTTCATTGGTTTGACGGTATGTATGGCCCATTGAAGAGGTCCGTCGACACACTAAGTTAAAATAAATGAGTAAGGACTCAGGAGCCTAGGAATTTAGATAGAACTCACGGAGATCAACATGAGAACCTCAGGTTCCCAGGTCTGGAAGTTTGACGCGAATGCCGACACATCAGTGGCGCTCATCCATGGTCCGTTGAACTTGGTGCCTTCCAAGTCATGCCTCATTACGAAAGCCACGAAATTGATTGCTCTACCCTGAGAAATCGGGTACGCGATAACAAACTGCGGTAGCAATGAGTAAGGGGATCCCGTGCTAGTAGGTAAAACTTTCAAACGTACGCCGTTCTTGCCTAGATACTAAGTCAAAAGCAAAGAACATCAGCATGTGTCTCGCCCAAGTTGGGAAGTGATTCTGAATACGTACTTGCATCGGCGTTGTTAGGACGCTATGGTTTGGATTGCACGCTCGAAGTTTCGCAGTAGGTATGAGAGCACGGTACGCGACCTGCCCACTCCAGGATGGATGAATAGCATCCAAAGCCCTGGCCGCTTCACTCGATCGACCCTCCACCTGGGCCCAATGGTATTTCTCGTTCAGCAAGGCAGCTCTCACGGAAGACTTCAAGCCATCAGCGCCAATAAGAAGATCACACGTCGCCTTGCTTCCATCCTCGAAAAGAAGCTCCACTGGTCCAGTTAGATCCTGTGTATAGGTCCGTATACGTTTTTTGAAGAACATCCTCGTGGACGGTGGGAGGTGGCTGATAAGAACCTGCTGGAAGTCGGCTCGGTGGATAGTAATCAAAGTACCTGTAGTATTAACGTCAGTATGAAATCAATCAGCGCTTGCGGAACTTGCTCACCATGGGTTACAAGGGTATAGAAATCCACTCCCTTTAGTTGATCACTCTTTCGGTATCTGAAAGCCCGTACTGGACGGTGATGAACAACAGGCGTCTCGAACATTCAAGTCAATAAGATACCTGGGCCATCTTTCACTTCTGATTCCGTTCGCTTCAGTAGTTCCTGGTCAATACCGAGTGCCTTAATGACCTTCCACGGTCCTGCAATTTTTCAATGCGGTGATAATTGGTATGTGAGTTAAATAGACATACGAGGGAAAATGCCAATCCCCGCTCCCACCTCAGCCAGTTGAGATGCACATTCGTAGATGTCGACTTGTACATCTGCGTATTTGGAAAGAGCCAGCGCACATGTTAATCCGCCTATACCTGCGCCACTGTCCGATAAACATACCCGACGGTCAATACGCACGCACTTCAGGTAAGTAAAATACAGAACTTACCAAATGGCTATGCGGAGTCGCGGTTGGCTCATTGCAAGTCGTTTGATAAAAATCGTGAGGGAATGAGAATACAAGTTATATGCAGAGGAGAGACGGGTTATGATAACCTGGATATCCAACAAGGCCGCCATTTTGAGGGATTTCGTTTTATATTTGACACCATCTGACCGGGCACAGAAATGCGACGCGTCCGAAATTGACATGTGTAATCTAAAGAAAGACGTTTCTGCTCAATTTCCGATTTCATCCATTTGTCCCACGATTCGGTCGCGCGGCAACGAGCCTATCCTCGCCCTCATTAACAACCGGTCAAATGATCAAATGTTGGCGAGTATAGTCGAGGTAGACGCTTGTATCGCAATCTTTCACGAGGCACGCGGAATCAATTCAAAATCCAGCCTCGCTGTTTCGAAGGCCTTCTTTTGCTTTTCGCTCGCTGCCATTTGGCTGTGGAACCTCCTGGAACCTCGACCTCTCATTTTTCACGTTAAACATCGAGATCGTTATGTACTGGATCCCTCGGACTGCGATATTTGAATGCCGATATTTGCAACTTGTGTGTATGTAGATCCAGAACAGCCCAGATATAAGTTTTCAGCGGAAGTAAATAAGTAACCAAGAGTAACGATATGAATGGCGTACCAGATCCCCCCGGTCACCACGATGCACTTGATTACGCGTGTACAGCAGGGAAAGCTGCGCCGCCAATATGTTGTGCTGATGGTGGATGAGATGAGATAAAATTGAATATAGCCTCCGGTATTCATTCAAAACTGGATGGGTCAAGACCCGATCTCCCCACGTGCAGATCATTGTATCGATCAGTCGCTCGCGTGCAAGAAGCTCGACGAGTCTTACTGGTCGTAACTAGCTTATTCTGAAGCAAAGTGCCCTAACCGTCCGGAGCTGTGAAAGTGGCGTTGAATTATGAAATTACTTACAACGGAAATGCCTGCATAACGAGAGGCTCTGGGTATTTTATACACGCAGCACTACACCTGGCTTTCACATTCACAAGGAAGAGGATCGGAGGAACATCTTTAAGCGAGGATAACCTCCGATTTGGACGCTCTGCGGAAGCTTGAAGCCTACCGGCATTCGGAACGTTATTCGGCCCGAAAATATCAGTTCCCTTCTTCCGAAGTTCAAGCGAATCAGGATCAGGGCAACAAGGCAACACTGGCAGGCACAAATGTAAGTAACAGAGGACGGAGCTGCGAGACTCAAACATTACAGTCTATATAAAAAGACTCGGCAACGACATCAGCGTACCCGTTATTCAATCTATGATGACTATAGCAGCATTACCTCTCGGCTCAAAGAGTGCCTTGCGAGCACGCCATTCCGTTTTGGGACCCTCTGCCTTGCTACGAAGTTTGCACGGCAACTATTGCCGCTGATAACTTTTTAGACCTTCTGTTCGATACCTTAAGAATCGCTAGAGGTATGAGCAATTCATTTGAACGAGCAAGGAAGGTAAGAACCGGTTCTGGAGGCGCTGGAAGAAACATTTCTCCGGCCATTCATTCCCAGAAAGAAGAATCATCCCGTCGATGGGTCTGTCCTACCGCGATTTCAAGTTTTTCTGGAAACAAGAATATTAATGCAACCCTTCAGTCGTCAGATACACACGACTGTACAGGGCCGGCGGATGCGGCAGGCGCCATCCCGACTCGGACCAAGAAATTGTCAAAACGACGGACCCATAACAGCAGTCAATTCGCGCGATTTGGGCGGGATCAGCCTGGAGTGTTCACACATGTATGTGACGTAAGACAGACTTCCGATGATTTACAAGCTTCTTCCAGGGCACCTGCAGAGAAACACGCCTGCGTGAGTAGTTTTTTCCCTATGTGGTCAACCGTCACCGTACCTGGGAAGGCATTCTCTACCCCATATGCTCTCAAAAGCTGCGTGACTTGAGTTATCAGCGTGGTTCATACCTACTATATGAAGATTTACGACGGATTGGCTGTACAATGTGCATACCTACCCGACTCTAACTCGTGTTGCCATCTTCCAGATTCTTGCAAGTTTCTCTTCGGAAATGAGTATCATGCAGCCGAATAGTTTAGCGCGCGAAAAACGGGCTTGCAGGTAAGCCAACTAGCTTCGTCATTCACACATTACAAGGACATAACAGTTACAGACATCTCGTGGCTTCTGAGGTAACGCGCGGGCCTAGACTCACGCCAGTCAGCTATAATGCAACGTATTGAAAAGTCACTATACCTTCTACCATCCAAATATCAAGTCTGACACCTGACCAAGGACACCTTTACTCGGAGAAGGACCACCCGGGGGCATGCTTGTAGAAGCTGTTGGATTTCCTCCCTTCGCTGCCCAAGCATGCGGCTGTGGTGTTGTTGGATTTTTTTCAGAAGCACCGACTCGCTTAAACACCGAGGTAGAAGGTGCGAGCTTAATCGGTGTTCCGACCGACGGAGTGCTGGTGCCCAAATGCGGCGTAGGGGAAGGCTCATCTACCGCCATCGCATTCGACGCAAGACTGGAGTCTATGCTTGCACGTAACGGCTGACCGAGTAGAGCCTCAGCCTGCGCTGGATCCTATTCATTCAAGTCGTAAGCCAATGTGATTATGACATGAAACATATACGTACCGCCCACTTTGCACCTACCATCCAAGACCCCGCGAGAATCTCCCCATTCTTGCGAACAGCGCGCATAGCATCGCCGGGATCTCTGTATCCGATTCTGAAGCAATTCATGATTTCTGTGCTCGGATCTGCGTCGGTCGAATCACCGAGTGACTTGAAATACTCCGCGGTAACACTATACTTATCCGGGGGGTAGCCGAATACAATTATATATAACGGCTGGGAATTTTGGGATATTGTAGGAGTGCGAGATCGTCTAGTTAACGGTGATGACTGGTCCGCAGTTGATGACTTTAAAAAGTTTAGGTGAACTGCGGCACAAAGGACCACGGAAACGTACCCTAGGCTGGTAGCGCGCGTTGACATTGGGTATCTCATTGGGAATATCGTTGACGGACATCATAGGAGGCGCATCTTCATCGTCAGCCAGAGACTGTCGTTGCCTACACCACGTCAAACACTAGTAGTGAATGCAAATTTCGGCACACGCACCTGGAAGTTTCGAACATCGAATCCATGCCAAAGTCCGACGCTGATCCTCTAAGTAATGAATGGTTCATTTTTGCCTTTGTTGGTACTATTGGTGCGTCGTCGGCGCGCTGGCTCGGTGGCGACGTCTGACTCAAAATTAGCATCGTGGCATCAACGATATACAATAGATATCTACATTTCCCGGTGTTAATTGCTATCCAAATGTTAAAGGATGGCTCTCATTCCGTAAAACGCGAGTCTCACCATGAGATATCCAGCCTGGTAATTGCTCCTTGGTTGGGATAATGATTCGCTGAGTGACGCGCTCAGGGAGCTACTAGAGCCTGGATTCCAAGCAGAGCCATGATGAGAGCCTGAAAGAGGTGTCATCCCTGCAACTGAGAATGATGAACCCGACATGATGGTGGTGTGAAGGAAAGAAATTCAAGATTCGGAAACAAAGGGTGTCTGGTTGTTTGCGATGTTTGGTCTAGGCTGTCGTAGACAAGCAGTGATGTGACACAACAAGGCCTAACAAGGCGTTCGTCGGGACTCGGATATACCATATTTAGTAGGGCCGATCGATCAGTCGGTCCCGAATCCCGACATCCTTTTTTGAATTTTGAATTTGATATCTTACATACGCAGAACTCAGGCGGTACTGGTTGTCCTCCTTTCCTGACCTCTCTCATCAGTCTTTTTTAATTGACAAACATTCAATGCTTCCTGAGGCCTGAGGCCTGATTTCTTAAACATCAGTCACCACCTTCCTCAGCATCTTATTTCCCACTATCCTCATCTTTGTCTATCCACAGTGGCATGTACTTGACAAAAATCTGAACCTTAACTTATGGCAATCATATCAAACCATACTTATTTTTCCTCAACAGTGGGCGATCTTATCTCGTGGTTCCTTTCTTCTAAGCCTCGAGGTTTTCTTTTTGCTACAGCGACTGACTCTTTCCGAATCCATAATCATTTCGGTCTACCCATTATCTCTTGGGATTGATGTTTGACGCCAGTAAACCTTATTCCCTTTCTTGACTCTGAAATGCTGGAGCAAAGCCCGTCTGTAGCTGAACCTTCCTGCGTATATGGTCTGCCAAGGATATCAAAGAAATTTTCGGATCCTAGTCTGCTTCATGAAACCATCTCTACTAGCTTCCTCTTCAGGCTGAACACGGCCGTTGGATATCAGAAACCCATTGAATAACTAGTCCTGATGAACTGAAGCTTGATTTTCTTAATATAAAAGACGGTACGGCGACTGGTAGCGGCACCGATCCTCTCTCCAATGCTTCACAAAGCAGTTTCTTTAGCATGAATCAAGTCTCGAAGTTAGCTCATTTTTTGTGTTCTAACATGATTCGAGGTTACTCATGTACTCTGAAGCTGTTCTCATCATCAGCTTCCGTTCTGTAGACGTGTCTCTCCCACAGGCACCAAAATGCTATCCAGATCATGATTTTCGATGCGCTGCACAGCCGTCTGACTGATTGGAACGCGACTTCATCAGTGCCTATTCTAGTGTAAATACAGCCACTGTGATTGTTTACAACCTTACTCATAGATGAAGCTTGTGAGGCTGTTCTGAAGGGGAAGAACTTCGACGGCTGCGTGCTTCAGATCAGCGAAGAAGAAGGGGCGAGCAGTTCTTGATATTTCTTAAAAGGTACCTTCCAGCCCAGGAAATACGGAGTATATGCTGGTAGTTGAATACTCATTATTGAATGAAGTTTTCTTCCACGTAAGAGCTTTGTAAAATAGATGACCCTGCGATGGTATTTCTAAGAGGTGGTGGTGAACGAAAGCCAAGAACGGTGATCACCGCATCACACGACCGTGACACCTTCTTACTCACCGACCACCATCACCGACTGCGAGACTTGACTTCCTTACTTGTCGACGTCGACATCGACAACAGTACCAGATCCCACTGCAAGCAATAGCGCCCAAAAGGAGATCAGCCGCCCAATTACAGGCGCCCCGCGCCGCAGCCAGTATGCTCTCTGCGTCCATGGCGTCCCAACGCTCGCATACCCCCGTAGATCAGGATTTGCAGACACTGTACGACGAAGTATGGGCTGGATTTGCGCTGGAGGAACCGTCGTCGGCAGTGTCATCAGAAAGGGACCTCGACAACATATACAGTGTATATGGTGCAGATGGCGAGTATTCACCGTCGCCGGCCCGTCATGGTGCGTCGACATATTTGAATCCTGTGCTGTACTTGAAGATTGACGCCGCCTTGATGTAGGCCCCAATACTCGCCACGAGCTACCCGTTCCTTCTTCACGGCCTTCGCGAAACACACCATCACCATCACCTATCAGTGGAAGCGGCAGTGTTCGCCAACTTCCGCCAACGCCCGGTTCCGCTCATATATCGTCCCCTTCCTTTTCTATGCCTGAGCCAGACGTTTATGAACCGCAGCATCGACCGAGTCTCAGTAGCTCAGAGTCATATTCGCCGGGCAATTCTTCCTCAGACATGCTTCGGGGGTCATCAGTCAGCGGCAGGGGTGTGACGATGAGCGGTCGGCCTCTCCCAGCACCTCCCACTTCCAATCCTCGTGTTCCCGAACATCTGTCCGACATCCGGACACCATCTTCAAGTGGAAGTGCCTCAGGGGACCTTCCGTATCGACGTTCTCCCAACTATAACAACGGTAGTTCCGGAGACTCTTATGCTGTGCGCAATGCGGTACTCCCACGAGAGAAAGCCCCGGGTGCTTTGGGTTACGATACGTCTTACCGTCCAACAACTGCGCCCTCTTCGTCCCTGGGCCACAATTCCTCCCCTCCTTCTCAGCATCAGAGCGGCTTAGGACACACAATGACACCTTCTGGATCGTCACTGGAAGTACCACGACCAGTCCCCCGCCGTCCAAGCAGGGAGTTCCAGAATGACTACTTTTCGCAGGGGGATTATACTACATCACCGGATGCAGTCCCTTCAGGTGCGTGTCTGTTTCTTATATGTTGTAACGTAGTTTAATGACACAGATTATAGTTTCTGGTTATGTGGATGCTAGGGCAGGGCATCGGAACGCGTCGGTCAACCGCGGCCTTCACCAATTGGCAAGTTCAACATCACCGCCGGAACATCCTCCATCACCTCCTGTAGCCATTTACTATCCATCCACCTCATACCTGGAGCCTGCCAGTCCGACTGATCAGTTTTATGATGCCAGTCCTAGCACTGTTGTGCGCCGCCCTAGCGATATGTTACGTGACATCGCGAACTACTCACATGCTGGAGAGCTTGATGGAACTGATGACGTTGAATATTGGGAAGAAGAGGAGGAAGGGGAGGAAAGCTTTGTCAACTTCTCGTTATTGTCACATCTGGCCGTTCAGTTGAAGGACAAAGTCCCGAGAGGGACTCATGTGAAGGGGAGTATACCGTACCCACGGGCGTTTACAGGTAAGGATATTGTGGTGCGTTATATTTCATTTCTCTGGTATTCTTGACTTGAAGCGCTGCGCAGTCAACAATACAATCGCTCATACAGCGTGAACTCGCTATCAACCTCAGCATGTCAACGAATGATCGGCGGGCCGCTCTGCAGGTAGCAAGGAGTCTACAAAGTCAACTCTTCTTCTATGAAGTCGAATGGGGTGGACGTGTGCTACAGGATGGCGTCGAGGATGTGTACATGTTCCTCGATGACCAGGAGGGCACTTCGGACTTTGCTCCGATGCGGGAAGAACTACCGACAGGCGTGGTCACAATGCTGACAAAATGTTATGTATCGACGTGTGTTGACGAGTCTCCTTGCTATTCCTATTCGTGCCCACGAAGGGTGAGATTTCGATCTAAACTTTTGTCACGCATTGGCTCACATTAATAGCAGGGAAATTCAATATTAGGCCCATCAAATGGACCAGTGGAGCTACCGGTATCGGTGCCGAAACCAGATTGGCCTAGTACGGTGCCCAAGGACGTCATTGATGCACTGCCTGAGAGCGAGATCAACCGGCAGACGTACGTCTATGTCTTAAAGGGAAGGATTACAGTGGCTGACCTGATATGCCAGCATCATCCACAAAATCATCAACAAGGAAGATCAGTACATTCAAGATCTGGACATTGTTGAATCCGACTTCATCAAACCTCTTCGACTGGCTAACCCCCCGATCATATCACCTCCGGAAAAGTTGGAAGACTTCATTGATGATGTCTTTGGAAACATCCTGGATTTGCGGGAGTGCAATCGGCGGCTACTGGAGGTGATGTATGTTCGACAACGTGAGCAGCAATACGTGATCCAACGGATCGGGGACGTATTCCTCACTGCCGCCACCGAGTTCCGGCTGGCTTATCCCATCTACATCGGACATTACCCCTTAGCAGAAAAGAGGCTAAAGGATGAGGTCGAAAATAACCCGGAATTCAGACGGTTCCTTGAGGTACGAGCGAAATGTGGCACTCGTTTATATTAACTCACTGTCCGTTGTAGCAATGTTCACGACAAACGACAAGACAGGGCGGAGACAACTTGCGCCTTGACCTGAAGCACTTCCTCAACAGGCCATCGGAGCACCTGCAAAAATATCCAGTCTTTTTGGAAGCCATTTACCATGAGACTGCAGTTGGAAATCCTGATGCAGACTATCTTATGGAAGCGATTGAGGCTATCAAGAGCTTGCAAACTGTGGCTCAGCTGAGGACTTTCCAATCTGCTATGGGAAAGGGTACACCTGGTAAATGGGAGTGGCACGATCTTGTCTCGACGGAGGTACGGAAAAGTCTACCAAAGGAGGAGGCGAAGCGTCAATCGTATGTCTTGGCCTTTTGTCGGGTGCACTTTTCTGAATTTCGTTTTAGGATCATCTTTGAGCTCATCAAGGGTGAGATGGCGTACGTCAAAGATCTGGAGAACATTGACATTGTAAATTCCAATACCTCCATATCTCTTTCAGGACCTGAGTCTATTTTCATAGATGTACATCAAAGCACTGCGTGCCGCGAACCCGCCGATTATTCCTCCCGACAGACTGAATAGTTTCATCAAGGACGTCTTTCACAACTTTGCAGAACTAGGATATCACCACCGAAAGTTGGTGGAGAAGTTCCACGAGATCCAGCGCGAGCAGCATCCTGTGATTCGTTCTGTCACTGCAGCTATGTTCGATGCTGCTTTGAACTTCAGGGACGCGTATATGGAATACATTCCTAATTATCCCATAGCAGCGTATAGGATCGACGACGAAATGGCCAAAAATCTTGCGTTTAAGACTTTTGTGGAGGTAAATTTCATCGCTTATTTATTATGACCAATTTTTAACAATGTGACAGCAATGTGTTCGTCATCCAGATGCTCATCGTCTTGACATGAAGAACTTCATTAATCGACCTATCCCCCGTTTGCTTCGGTACGAGCTTTTGTTGAAAGGTATCTTGGACGAGACGCCGCCTGGACACGATGACCGGAAGGAGATACCTCAGGTCCTTGAGGTCATCAAATCTATCGGCAAAGACACCGAACCTGGCGTCGTATCCGCGAAGCAGAAAGTAGAGTTGTGGCGGTACAATTCCAATCTGGTCTTTAAGCATGGGGAATCAATCGTACGTCAATTCATGCGATTTCCAATCATTCATCGTAGTAACCGGTAATCTAGGACATGGATCTTCTTGATGAGAACCGTTCACTGATATACTCGGGGAAATTATTACGGCAACCTGATAGCGGTTTGGAGTGGAATGGATGGAGTGAATTGTTCGTTCTCCTTTTCGATAATTACCGTTCGTTTATTTGTCATCCAACTTCGATGGGATGTGCTAACTGCGTCATTAGTCGTCTTAACAAAACCCAAGGAACGGGATGGTGTAACGATGTACTATGTGAACAGAAGGGTAAATACTGAGAGCACGCCATCCAATTTCATCCTGACTGTTTCGTAGCCCACGCCCCTGGACCTTCTTACTTTGGTCAATTTCACAGATCCGCCGACTCAACGTAGTACCGGTTTACTTCGTAATCTGAGAGGAGAGCGACACACAGAAGGCCCTAATGGCACTCCCGGCGGGGTATCGTCCCCGGAGAGCACCACGGACTCTCGTTCTGTCTTCCCGTTGACGCTGCACCATAATGGTAGAATGGGTGGTCCATACATCCTCTATGCAGAGTCTGCCCAGGCGAGAGCCGAGTGGAAACAGAAACTTGAAGAGGCTTTGGTGATTCGCAAAGTCGTGCAGGAGTCAAACAAGGTCTTCGAAATTGAGACGTTGAGTTCCGATACATTTTTGGTACCTGCGATAGTTGGCGGTCCCAGTTCTCCGCCTGCATGGAACCAGGAAAATTCGTTTACGGGCAAGGTCACTTGCTCTGTTCCGTTCAGTACGTGGATCTGTTTCCAGATGTGACCTGCTCTTATGCATTCCTTCAAGATACTGCAGATGGACGCGGACTGGTTGCCATTGGATGTGCGGAGGGTGTATGGATTGGGTTTAGGCATGATCCGAAATGTAGGTCTTCCTTCAGCCGGTTCTTATCGCGACTGACTGCTTCAAAACAGCAATGCGCCGTGTTCTACATCTCAAGCTGGTTACACAATGTGCCATGCTAGAGGAGTTCGGACTTTTCTTGGTCTTGGCTGACAAGGTATTGGTTTTGCCAGCTGATCTTGGATCAGTGCTGATAGTCCAAATAGTCTCTTTTCGCCTACCATATCGAAGCGCTAGTACCTTCTTCTCCTCAGAATGCACATGCTTCGCAAGTCCCACAAAAGCTAAATGGAAACAAGGACGTTCATTTCTTCAGCGTTGGGACTCTTCATGGCCGAACATTAGTCATCTACATGAAGAAAAAAGCGGTACGGATAACCCAATCTCTCCTCTCGTTTTGGCGCTTATTGACAACACCCGATTAGCTGAACAGCATCTTCCGAGTATTGGAACCGGTGGGGGACAAGATCAATGAACGAGTGAAGACTCCAGGTGGCCTCGGGTCCCGTCTGGGGTTCCGCTCCGCAAAATCGGAATGGTTCAGGATATACAGAGTTCGTATCATGCGTTTTCACTGGCAAGGCTTCTGACGCTGTTCTTCAGGATTTCTTCCTACCATCGGAATCGTTTGATCTGATTTTCTTGAAAGCCAAGATCGCAATCCTTTGCACAAAAGGCTTTGAGATCATGGATCTTCATGAGTACGCCCGTTCACATTAGTGCTGTTGACGTACTCTTACAGTTGATACAGCTTCAAGAGTGCAACGATTCCCCATTCCGAAGACCCGAAGTTAGCAGCAATCGCCAAGCGTGGCGAATCGTGTCGTCCTATCGGAATGTTCAGATCAGCTGATGATGAGTTCCTTTTGTGCTATGATGGTAAGTCATACGCAGTTATCTTTATGACTAACAGAGCTAAGCGCTCGACAATGTAGAGTTTGGACTATACGTCGACAAACATGGCGATCCTAGTCGATCTTCGGGTACTATTGAATGGGAGGGTACGGCTGAGCGTGCTGCTCTGCATCTACCATACATCCTCCTGTTCGATAGTCGATTTATTGAGGTCCGCCGTCTCGAGACTGGCAGGCTGGTGCAGATCATACCGGGCAACGACGTTCGTTGCATATGGGACGGTCGTGGAGTGAATCTACAAAATCCCGTAACGACGCCTCCGGCTAATGGTTCCAGTGCTGACGATGAGATGGTACAAGAAGCTCAAGTTCATGCCGTGATGAGCTCAACTGAACAGCAGGGGGGGAGGGGAATGCCTCGAGCTATTGCACAACACGTATTCGAACTCGTGCCGACCGTACCATTGTACCCTCCTGGACCTGTCCAACTACCGCAAGCAGCGCCATACCAACCATCTTACTCTCCACCCCGATCCCCCGAAATGAGAACCTCCATGTCCTGGAGGCCATGAAATATGTAATGCCTTTGCTACTATCTTTGTTGTATATCTAGTTCGACCTTCACCTGGGACGGAATCAAGGCTGTTCCGCTGGACGCGCTTGACCATTGGTTTGGATTTTGGGTGATAATCGAGAGAAGAATCAAGTACTGTACTTATTATGGTGTAATGACCGTGCATGTAATGGACATGGGACATTGGATAGACATTACGATAGATCTGTAGAGTTCAACCATGCGTCGCCTCATCCAATTTACCTCCGTGTCTTTTTGGTGTCTTTTAGGAGGTTAAACTAGGCCCGGGAATTTCCAACATGTCCCAAGTGGACCATGTCGTGTAGTATGATGGTGATGTCGGGCGGCTGCGGGCGGTGCTGAGGTGTACAATTCGTAAGTTACCATGTATTTTCCGACGGAATAGGACATTGTCTATGTAATTGCGCGCCAGTGTTGACAGCAGTCGCTGACTACAGAGGGCGATTCCCAGAAGGGTATAAAGAGCGAGATCGTCGCTGATTCAAAATAACATCCCCGTAACACTATGTCTAGCATCTCAACTCTTAAGCTTACACAGAATCGCGTTCGCGTCGTGGGATTTCTGAAGAGGAAGTCCGGTATCTCAAAGGAGGAATTCACGCGTCGCTGGCTCCAGCATGCTGAACTATTCAAATCCACGGAGATGTCAAAGAATATTCTCAAGTACGATCAGGTGTGTTGTTTCATATTTTGTGCTCAGCAACTTGGAATACGTGCTGACTACATTGAATACAGATGCATGTGAATGATGAAACCAACGCATTGCTTAAGCAAATGGGAGCTCAGACGTGCGAATGGGACGGTATAGCCATCATGGAAGGCGAATCATTCGAAAAAGTCTTGAGTGTATGTTCACTTTTCTAAATTCCGATTGTCGTTCTAATCTGTACTTGAAATTTAGATCACGACCAACGAGGAGTACAAGCGAGTTCTCGTGCCGGACGAGCTGGGGTTCCTTGACCGCGAGAAGACCCAGGTGGTGCCATTGAATTTTGGCGTGTTCATAGATCGGCCTGAAAAGTAGAGTCGATACAAACTCAGGGAACAAATTACAAAAAGCAGACGTGACCTGATGGACGCTTGGTGCAATCAGTTCATGCCGATAATCTAGTACACTGCAAACGCAAAATGTAGTTCTCGTCGTATGCAAGTCTGTTGTTTCTGCGGCGGGTTGAGGATCATCATGTTAGCCGCGCTGAGGAATGTACTTGACTGGATGCATAGTTTCGTTGCGATTCGTATGATGTCCAAGAAAAACTCAGATGTTTTATTCCCTCGTTGAGTTTGAGGAGACGTGTAGGCAGTATGCTTGCGTTGATCCTACATGCATGTTAGTCGCTTTTATCGTGTACGATACATCAGTGGCTCACTTCTTTTCGCATCCTGAGTTATCGCAATGTTCTGAGTTGATCAACTGTCACTACGATGTGAAGACTGAATCCCCAGGCAAAACAAAATTGATACTTGGGTTGTAGCATTTGCATGATAAATCCTTATAACTTGATTTGAAAATACCAATGTATGCCCCATGGCTGAGTTGGTTACAGCGTCCGACTGTTAAGTAATAATCGGAAGGTCGAGAGTTCGAGCCTCTCTGGGGCAGATCTAATTGCTTACATTCTGTCTTTTGGAGTTCGGTGTTCTGTAGCAAATTGCAATGCCTTTCCTGAAGTGACCAATGATAAATCAATGGTCACAAACTTACATTACAAAAATATATATATATATACATATTTTTTTACCGTCTCTCGAATTCTCTCCTCGAGCCTCGAGGCTCCAGGGCATGAGCCACACTGTTTTACCCACCCCTCCTCGAGGACGGTGTTTTGAGACGGTATTTTATAGTATTTTACCCTTGTGTGACCGATCGTCTTGAATGGATTACCGGTCTTCGTGCGCAGGCTGAAGGTCTACCACCAACCAAAGTTAAAACCCCCCGGACTGTCCATTGTCCATAGACTTGAGCCAACACGAGAGCTCATGATATCAATCGGCCCGGTAAGACTGGTTCGAGTCCGAGTCTACGTTTAACTACTGGCAAAGTCATAAATGAAACTGAAAATTCAAAGAGTCGCGCGCAAAATGGTCGGGCTTAATGGCATGTCCTAAGGCTTGTTCAATGTTGACGCGGGATAATATTGTATTGAAGTTTGCAACCCAGGATTACTAGCATAAAGCCAGGAATAAGGCGTTAAAACATTAGATAGGGAAGAGGCCCCTTACACATGGCACTTCTAGCCCCGAGATGAAGTCAATAAGTAAATGGGCGAGTCGCGGCACGTCGAACTGTTGCAGTCCGGGTTATAGCATTGACGAAACCGATGCGTAAAGCGATATGCATTTCTAACCAAGACATATATATTGCATTCAAGTATTCTCCCTAGCTACTTTGTACGTACATGCATAAACATAGGTACACGTCCAGGAAGACGGTAAGCATTAGATAGATATAAAGCTACAGTTGTGTTGAACTACTACAAAAGGCGGCGGCGACAAACGAGAGGTAGCGCAGCGGAATAAGAATACAAATAGGTTGAAAGAGCGGATATGCATACGGTCGGTGCATGCATATAGTACAACGACCAGCGCTAAAGAGAGGGAACGGTAAGCAACGCGAAGATAGTCAAGAAAAGGTGAAAAAACGTACCAAGAATCTATGACCTATGGAAGAATCCCCTGACGCTCATCTTTGACTTTTTCGGGGTGTGCGCGTGGGCGTGGGTAGATGGGATGGAACGAGGAGCCGATACGGGGATGGGAGGGAGAGGTACGCTCGGCGGTACGAAAGACTGCTCAAGGAACTCCTTCCTGGCGAGGTTAAGCGGTGTAGGACGCTTCTTCTTGCCATCGGCAGTGAGGATGGGCTGGAGAGTCATCGGTGCGAGTTTGACTTTCTATAATGCGATAATCAGGATGCATACGAAAATTAGACATGGAAAGTAGACGAACCTGAGCATCAAGAGACTCGGTCCGGAATTTGACCCACTGAGAGGGCGCCTCTTCTCCTTCAGAGTCAGAGGAGTCAGAGGAATCGGGGTCGTCCTTCTGGAGGAGCCATTGGTACTCCATCTGCTCGTCGCGGTCCCACCAAACGCGGCCGGTACCGTCACGGTAGACGTCGGCGCGAGTACCGACGGGAAGGTTGCCCTGCTGCTTGGTCTGGGCATCCATAACACGGGTGATATGCGTGCTCATCTTCCCACCACTCGTGAACTGCATGAGCATGAGCTCATTCATGAGCGTCGGGGGCAGCTGCTGCGCGTGCTTCTTCGACTTTGCCGGGACAGACATGGATCTTGAACGTGCACGAGAACGAGAGAGGAGCGAGAAGGGATTTTTCTTCGCCTGGTGAGAGGAAACATTATCGAGTTCGTCTTTATGGGAGGAGGGGTAATTGTGATTATCGGGCTTATTGTCTTTCTTATTGTTAGGGGCGTGATTAGAAAACTGAGGCTTATTGTTAAGATAGGGTGGCGTAGTAGGCGTCTTGGGCAGGTGCACGAACACAGATGTATATCCGAGATTCGTCAAATCGAATTTGGCGTAGTGGGCAGACGTCGGGGTATATACCGATTTGGACGTTGCGGGCGTGTCGGGGAATGCTCCCGAGCTGGCGCTCCGCGGTGAGAGAGGCGCTGGTGTGCCTGGGTGCACCGCCGATGCCCAGGTGGTAATACTGGCGGTGAACGAGGAAACTGTCGAGGATCGTGGGCGGGACATGACGATAGTCGTGGGGTATGTAAAAATATGGGTATGTTGGGTATGTCTAGGTCTACTCGTCATCGTCAGCGCCGTCGGTAAGCTCAAGAAGGTAGTTGCTCACCGTTAAGAGTATCGGAAGGAGACTAGCTCGCTGTGGTCGTCCTCGTCGTGCCCAGCCATGGTCTTATACTTTAGGCAAACAAAAACCCTGCACACAATAGCAAGGCTCCAGCCAAACAGCCAAACAATGTTCTTCAACACATGCCATTCTCGGATCGTCGCTACAAAGCGCTTCTGGAAAAAAAGGACAATAAAATAGCTGAACAATAGCTCCGCCGCTTTCCCCCCGCCTACTCATTGTTTTATCGCAATGTACTTCTTCCCGTCCTGACAGCTTTTTCCCGACGACCGCGCTCTCGCATACGGTTCATCAGGTTTTCGGCTGGCGTATCAATTGTCGTCGTATTGATTATTGTGCGACGGCGTTCTCATACTGTTTCACCTTCAGGACAGCTCTATTATTCTGAGCTGGCGCATGTCGCGTCATTGCTAGTGGTCGTCGCCCTTCGGCGGCCCTTTGATTTCTGCGCTTTGACTCCGTACTTCCCCACAATTGATTCCGTGGGAGCAGATTTTGTGCTTTGTGAGGAAACCACTGACATCGTTGCTCTTTGTTCTTCAAATGTTCTGATACTTGGCAGAAGATTAACCCAGCTGCTTTCTCGCTGTATTTTTTTCATCACATGCTAAACCCTCCCCACGTTGGTTTCTTGCATTATACTTCCGCGGATGAACATCGAAATTCCGGCGATCACATACGAGATTTCTGATAGCCGAGTTTCGGAAGTATTTCAATGTGTGATACCTTAAGTTTAGCACACTTTCTGGTTTGCAACGTCCTGTGATGTTATCCGCTGGACTCAGGCAACGGAGGGTACCTCTGGGATTTTTTTCGAGCTCGTTGAGGTTGAACCCATAACAGGGGCTTTAACAAGAGTCTTGCCCCATGGCTGAGTTGGTCACAGCGTCCGACTGTTACATTGTTGTTTCAATGGTGATCGGAAGGTCGAGAGTTCGAGCCTCTCTGGGGCAGTGTGCAATGTTGCAACATTAAAATTTTTTTTTTTTCGAAACGAAGATTGACATTTAAAACTCTGTGGCCACTAGCCACTGCCATCGATACGGAGTAGCGGGGCCGAGACTCGAGAGCCCTTCATGCCCGTAATACGTATGTAGCCTTTGCCATTTGGTCCTACGGTCTTAGATGACACTTGCTTGTCGCTGTCGCGAAGTAGATTAAGGCTTAGCTAGTGGCTACTGATGTTATCTGCCTTATCTCTGGGATAAGCGCTGAATTCTCGGAGAGCTGATGGATTGCAGCTTGAAGGAGTCCCAGAGCATTCTTATATTATTGCTAGGTCATTTTTGGCTTGCTAAATAATTAATTCTGCATGTCGAGGAGAGAAATATACACGTCGAATGTCACGACATCACTGTCAGTGAGTGTTATTTCCACCTATCAATACCTCTTGTAAGGCCGAGTCGTAGAAGATGGTTTCCAACATCCAAGTGGAAAGATAGCCAAGAACAAATACGACAATAGACAAGTCATTTCCCCGCCTACCATCAGGCGAAGGGGGAGTAGACAAAAAGCGAGTTCATCCAGAGCATCTGATGTCGATGAGTGACTCTACCGAGACCGTACAAGCCATATGGTGAGTCTTCGCTGCCACATCAGTGGTATTAGAAACAATATAAAGTAATTCAGCATCTTAAATATCACGCTAGCACCGAAATATTAAATTTAGGTTGGCAGAAACATATACAGAGCATCGTCGAAGACTCCTCCAAAATGATTCGCGTGATACTTAGTGATCGAAGAGTCGTGGGAAAATGAAGACCAGTTCTCGTTTTAGCTCTTGACCCTAACCTTAACTATCCCAATTCCTTCATCTTTTCCGGTGACAGGCAACTTGCTTTGTTCCAGCACCACAACAAAGAAGTGAATTCTTTACCGTTACGGTCCTTCATTATGGTCGTCGCTTGCTCAACAATGTGGCTATTCCAATCCGCCGACGAAACAAATGCCAGATGCTAGAAGAGGTATTAGCTCTTAAAGGTACGCATATATGCGCTTCAAAGTGGAGTAATACGTCTCAACAGGCTTGAAAATTGTACTTCTAGCAGTTTTTTTGTGGCCGTCTTGAGCTCCAAGTTAAGCACACGACATGAACGATCCACTCGCTTCAAGATGCCAGCGCAGCGGTTTCAGGACTCGGAGCAACTCGACACATGCTCGGCTTCGGAGAGACAAAATTTCCACAGATTTCAGGACCGGTTCGCGCTTTATCAACGATGGACTTGAATATAGGAAGCAAAAATAGGAAGAGCAAAGTTTTGTGTGGAGTCCGTATTTCCTTCGTCATTGTTCTGCGTCTCTCATCGAATAACTTTAGGATTTAGTACAATATGTCTATGTTGAGGTGATGCAGGTCGTTGTGTCAAGGAATCGAACACGTCGATAGAGGTGCGTACGCTACGTTGGTTGCCCTCATTTCCTTCCCAACCTGTTACAGGTTTTTCTCGGTGTTGATGTACCCGGGCCCATCCACGCCGTTGACATCGAGTGATGTTCTCCCGTAATTCTCATCAGTATCGACAAACACGACGGCACCAAGACATGTGGGTATTAGCAGTGCCGATTTCTCACCTGGGTCTAGGTGCTATGCAGGCTCGCACGCTTTGATATGGGGCGCCTAGTTGATGGCAAGAATCCGTTTCCCCAGGGTTAACAGTGCCTTAGCGCAATACCTCCATCTATTGCCTATAGGCTGCTGATAACCCACTGATGGCCGTCCACTCCAAATATCAATTTACGAGTTGCGATCTATGACAAACGCTGTTAGACTGTGGGACGTTTTCGATGTGACATGGGCGTGTGAAGACTTGACTGAGGTTACGAAGTAATTGTTAGGGCTATCTCCGTTTGTGTTGTTTTTCTGACAAGCATACATAGGGTGTTTGTTGATCCGGACGCGAATTCGCTCCGAAAATGTCGACTCGAGCTCATTCTCTCCAAGCTACTCTTGTCATATCAGCGATTGCCCCTGAGCGTGCACTGCTACAGTCGACTCGCACCTTCAAGGATATTGATGCGTATTTAGGCTGAAAATGCTCACCTGGAAATGCAGTCAGAAAGACCGGTGGAACTCCAATATGTCTTTGGCTGCGTGATTTGGCGGCACAAAGACTCTTGCAAAGGCGGTATGCATTTCTTTCCGGCTTTGTCTCTGTTTACGTCCATCTTTACACTGTAAAAACCTATGGAGTTACCCAGCCATTGTTTACTGGCGAGGTCGCATATTTCCATAGGTAAATTTGGTGTAAATTTGGATGTAAACACAAGAACGAAGAGGGAAAAGAAGACATGCGGTGTTATGGAAGGGTTTTTGATGCCAAATACCCTCAGTCAAATACGGCGGTCTTTGTGATAGTACCTGGTATACGAGATTTTTAGACCAAATACATATCGAAATACATCAAGGTATCTTACACTTTGAACAGACCTACCAATGGTAGAGGTGGTGGCCGCTTGATAATCCTTCAATTTTGATTCCGGCTTTATTCGATGCTGTAATCGCTATTGGCCTAGACAAACCATCCTGCGACTCTGCATACACCCCGGCGAAACCAACAGGCGCCGTCGCCTTACCTCAAGGCCGTACATCATCGTGCAAATTTGGCATCTTTCAACATGAATGCACCAGAATCAAAGCACATTTTCTTCGTGGTAGTAACAGACATTTGTAGAAAGGATGTCGATGATGACCACTGTCTTGCGGGTTATACAGTCTTCAAGTAAAATTTCTTTTTTTCTTTACCCTAGATGTTATTTTCTGACCCTTTTTGTAAATATAGTGACCACGCTGTTCCGAGGCGCCTATTCGAAGCTTAACAAAGTTTAGTTACAACACAGACGGCACTTCGGCCCCAATCGAGGATAAGGCTGTTGTTGCTGCCACGCGTACTGTCAACTCGTCCTCATCTCCACCACCATGTCTAACGGTGGTGTCCGCGTAGCAAGGCTCAGTAAATTCTTCGATAACGTCCTGCGAGGCAAGCAGACGTTAGACACTGCATCGCAAAACTCACAGTTTCTTGAGGCTCTATGCCTTCAGTCAGACCCACCGGGTTGTATCGACAAGATCATTGGGAGCAAGGATGGTCTCCCATCTTTACAAGCTGCTTTTAGGTCCGATCTTTCTCAATCCTTCCTCAACGGTCTTGCGACCAACACTCTGCTATACTTGCAAACGCCCGAGATCAAGACGATCAGTAGTGGCCAGTTCCTCACAAAGACGTTGCAAGCCATCGTCGACCCTCCAATCTTCTGGAATGCATTCGTCAATGCGTTCAAAGCGAAGCAGCTATCCGAGAAGGGACAGAAGTGCTTTGTATGGCTCTTGTTACAGCTTATTCTCATCCCCAGCGATGTCGTCTCGCCTTACGTACCCCTCGCTGAGGAGTTACTAGATCTCTTCCTGGCTTCTCCTCATCTAGACGTACGCACCCTCGCACAAAAAGTCAAAAACAGCATTTCCGTTGCATCCACCCCTTCCGTTGCTATTGCCAAAGATGATGTTCGTCCCGGCGGTAGACACGACAACGACTTCTCCGACTTTCGAGAGATCGCGATCCTTCCCACCGCCGATGAACTTGCTTCTACGGAGGCACCCTTCCTTCGTCCCAGTGCGGCTCTCGACGATCCTAGCACAGAGGAACACCGTGAAGCTCTGTACCTCGACAACCAGTTCAGGTTGTTGAGGGAAGATATGATTCACGAGATGCGGGAGGAACTTCAGATCGCGTTGGGAAAACAGAAAGGAAGGAAGCATCGCGGTATGGTCGTGGACGGCATGGAGATAATCGGGATAAATTTGGGCGACGACAATCGGCGCAGCAAGTGGGCGATCGTTTTTCGGTGCTTCACCGATTTTCCCGAGCTTCATAAAATCAAAGGCCCGGCGAAGCGAAAGGCATACCTTCAGAAGGATAACAACAAACTGTTGAAGCACCAATCATTGACTAGTCTTCTCATTGACGGGGAAGTCTTGGCGTTCCCGTCGGTGCGTCGGGACGAAGAATTGTTGGCGAAGAATCCTCCAGAGATTGTCCTAGAGTTCGAAGGGGAGACTTCGGTCCGGAATTTCTTGTTGAAGATGAAGTCGGCGAAGCACGTTAAACTCATTCAGATAGAGGCTGCTGTGTTCTCATACGAGCCGATCTTGAATACCTTGAAGAGGATGAAAGTACTTCCTCTCGCGCAGGAATTGCTGTTCTGGAAAGTTGGGAACGAACTGTCTCGGCCACCACAACCCTCTGCCCTACAGTCAGCCATACGTTCATTCGAGCGTAACCCGAGCCAAGACCTTCAGGCTGTGCTGTCTCTGGGGAAACCCATCATACTGGATAATGCCCAGGCTACGTCGCTGTTATCGGGCTTGAAACAGAACGTATCTATCATTCAGGGTCCTCCAGGTAAGTAACATCCTCTTCGAGGCGCGAGATAGATCCATTAACGTAATCCAGGTACGGGAAAGTCGTTTATAGGCGCCATCTTGGCCAAATTCATCCATGACTTCTCGGACCAGAAGATTCTCGTGGTTTGCTACACCAATCATGCCCTAGATCAATTCTTAGAAGACCTTCTCGATATCGGCATTCCTATTGGGCATATGGTTCGCATAGGCGGCAAGTTCACTTCTCGGACAGAACCTATGGTTCTCCACAAGCAACCACGTACCTTCCGTTTTGGCCGCGGTGATTATACCATCATCAATGAACTCAAAGCTGATATTGCGGTCCGAGCGACCAGCTTGCCGGAGTCTTTCAAGAGGTATCTCCAGTCTGCCATTCGAAACGATTCTCTATTGGCCTACCTGGAGTTTGAGGAACAAGACTTCTATGATGCTTTCAAAGTTCCTCTTTCCATGGATGGTATGAGCTTTGTAGGTGGAAAAGGACGGAAGGTGGACGAGTTCTACTTGTTGCATCGGTGGAGGATTGGCCAAGACGCGGGTATTTTTGCGAAAACGGAGAACGTCAAGACCGCTCAAGAGATCTGGAACATGTCGCCAGAAACACGTCGAAGACACCTAGCCAATTGGGAAGAAGCCATCAGGAAGGATGAGATCGAGGACCTGTATCGACTCGCTCGCACTTATAACTGCCTCCTCGACGAACTTAATCGCAAATTCCGTGAACGTGACGCCTCCGTGCTCCAGAGCAAGCGGATCATTGGTTGTACGACAACTGCCGCAGCGAAATATGGTATTGATATCCAATCAGCTGCTCCCGATGTTGTTTTGGTGGAAGAAGCAGGCGAGATATTGGAAAGCCACGTCGTCACAGCCCTCGGGACTGCGGCACAGCAGCTTATTCTAATTGGTGATCATAAGTAGGTTATAATTCAGTGGTCTAGAAGCGGTCCTGACGTAGGCTTGACTTAGGCAGCTTCGTCCAAAAGTGAACAACTACCAGCTAACGGTCGAAAAGGGCGAGGGATATGACCTTAACATGTCTTTGTTCGAACGGCTCGTTCTTAAAGGGTACCCCCACCAGATCCTTGTCGCTCAACACCGCATGCGTCCTGAAATATCTGCCCTCATTCGCCATCTGACATATCCTGATCTTATCGATGCGCCCAAGACCCAAAATCGACCTAATCTTCGTGGAATCCAGGATAATATTGTTTTCATCAATCACGGATATCCTGAAGACGACAACCCGAAAATTGCTGACCGTCGCGATTTGGGTTCTAAATCGTCGAAGCAAAATACATACGAAGCAAGAATGGTTTTGAAGACTGTCAAGTATCTAGCACAGCAAGGATATGGAACGGACAAGATGGTAGTGTTGACGCCCTATTTAGGCCAGCTTCATAAGCTCCAACGCGAGCTCCGAGAGGATACAGATCCCGTGCTCAACGATCTCGATTCCTACGATCTCATTCGCGCTGGCCTTCTCACTCCTGGTGCCGCCAAATCAACAAAAAGATCACTTCGCCTTGCCACGATCGGTATGTCAAGTTACTATTAATCAAGTGCCCACCATCTAATCAGTCGTAGATAACTATCAGGGTGAAGAGAGTGACATTGTCATCGTATCTCTTACTCGGAGCAACCCCAACAATGATATCGGTTTCATGTGTGCGCCGGAGCGTGTCAATGTTTTGCTCTCTCGTGCCAGGAATGCTCTCGTCATGATAGGCAACTCCGACACGTTCACCAATGCGAAGAAGGGAAAGGAACTGTGGAAGAAGCTCTTTGATCTACTGAAGCAGCAGAAGCACATATATGATGGCCTACCGGTTCGATGTGAACAACATCCCGATCGAACGGCACTTTTGAGCACAGAACTTCAGTTTGATACCCTCTGCCCTGACGGTGGTTGCTCGGAACCATGGTAAATTTCCATCCATTGGTATCTTAAGACCTTCTCATTTTTATTGTAGTGGCGCCAAGCTAAGCTGCGGGCTACATGTATGTCCATCGAAATGCCATCAACTCTATGACCATTCCAAGATGGCTTGCCATGAGATCATTCCTCTGCGGTGTCTACTCAAAGGCCATGACCAATCTTACAAGTGTAGCGAGAGTCCTGCTCTGGTTTGTAAAAAATGCGAGAGGGACGCCAAAGTAGCCGAAGCCAAACGCCAGAAAGATTTCGAGCGACAAAAGAAACGGGATGAGGAGGAAGCAGAGCACCTTCGTCACCTCAAGGAGATCGAAGATAAACTCGCTGAGCAGCAACAGTTGCTGCGCGATACGCAGGTTAAGGAAGCGAGGAAGAATGAAATTCGGCAGAGGATGCAGGACTTACAGGACGCAGCTGCTCTCGCGCGAAACGTCGCTTCGAGACCTTTGAGCACTACACCTTTGAACAGCTCTCCAGGATCCAGCGTTATCTCTGTGACGGATAATTCGACCCCGACGTCATCGGCATCCAGGCCATCGACCCCTGCCCAAGGTGCAAGTGGCCCATCCCGTCCGAGTCCGGGCCCCAAGAAAGACACTCAATCCGTTGCTAGTAAACATCGACATGGAGTGGCAACGTCGAATCCTCCAGCTACCGATCAATCCAAGGCTGAAGCGAACTGGCAGTACCAAAAAGACGTTGAAGGCGCCAGCAATCAATCCATTGATGCAATCATGGATATGATTGGCTTGGAAGCTGTGAAGGAGCAGATTCTTCGCATCAAAGCCAAAATCGATGTTTCCAAGCGTCAGAACACTGACATGTCCAAGGAAAGATTCAACATCGTTTTTCTTGGGAACCCTGGTACTGGTGAGCTTCTCTCGACTACTTTGTTTCTTTTCAGGAAGTGTTGACAACGCACAGGGAAGACGACGGTAGCACGACATTATGCGAAATTCCTAGCGTCACTTCAGGTCTTGCCCGGACTGGCGTTCGAGGAGACCACGGGATCGCGTTTAGCCAATGACGGTGTTCAGGGTGCGAAAAAACTCATCGAAGGTGTTATCAATGCTGGCGGTGGTGCTATCTTCGTTGATGAAGCTTATCAACTTACTGGCGAACACAACTTTCAAGGGTCGCAAGTGCTAGACTTCCTTCTAGCAGAGATGGAGAACAATGTCGGTTGCATTGTGTTCATTCTAGCAGGATACAACAAGCAAATGGAGAAATTCTTCGAACACAATCCGGGGCTGCCAAGTCGCGTCCCGTATCGTTTGCAGTTTGAGGATTATAAGGATGAAGAGCTGTTGACAATGCTAGAGAAGATTTTGCATAAGAAATATGCGGGAGGCCTCAAGGTCGAGGACGGAATACGTGGCCTCTATGGGCGTATCGCCATTAGGAGGCTGGGCAGAGGCAGAGGCAAGGAAGGATTCGGAAATGCTCGGGCACTCGAGAACATTCTTCAAAAGATTACCGAGCGTCAAGCTGAACGAGTGCAAAGGGAAAGGAGAGCTGGTTATCGGCCAGATGATCTTTTGTTCTTGAAAGAGGATTTGATCGGGCCCGACCCGTCTGAAGCTATTGTCCACAGCGAGAGCTGGACGAAGCTCAAAGGTCTCATCGGTCTTGCATCGGTCAAAACATCTATTCAAGGCCTATACGACACAATTCAACTGAACTATCAACGTGAGCTACAGGAACAAGAACCTATGCAATTGTCGCTCAATCGTGTCTTCCTTGGTTCGCCGGGAACGGGAAAGACAACTGTGGCGAAGCTGTATGGAAGAATTCTAGCTGATCTGGGCCTTCTTAGTAATGGAGAAGGTAGTGTATACCTAGTTCTTGTGTCATTTCAAGTCTTGACGTCTTTTGTCTAGTGGTTGTCAAAAATCCTGCCGATTTTGTCGGGAGCGCATTAGGTGAATCCGAGAAGAATACCAAGGCAATACTTGCAACGACCGTCGGTAAAGTCTTGATAATCGATGAGGTATGGACTCTCTTCGCCCCCATTTTTCATTAACAATGGAATGTTCTACAAACAGGCTTACGGGCTTTATGGCGGCGGCACCACGGGGCAACAAAGCGACCCCTACAAAACTGCGGTCATTGACACCATCGTTGCTGAGGTCCAAAGTACTCCTGGAGAGGATAGATGTGTTCTTTTACTTGGCTATAAGCAACAAATCGTAGAGATGTTCCAAGTAGGTCATCGTAATGTGCGCATTTTCCCTTCGTGTTTACTCACAATGCGATATTTCAGAATGTCAATCCTGGTATATACAACACTTCTTTCAGCCCGTTTTGAAACTGAATCATCCTTCTCAGGCCTCAGTCGCCGCTTTGCTATCGAGGACGCTTTCAACTTTGACGATTTCTCCACAGATGAACTGCGGCAAATCTTGGATTTCAAGCTCAAAGTTCAGAATCTTCAAGCGACCGAAGAGGCCAAGAAGGTAGCATTAGAAGTCCTCAACCGAGCAAGTAAGAAGTCCTGTCTATAACTATTTCTACGTCACGATGTCTAATAAATCCCCATCCTAGAAATTCGACCCAACTTTGGCAACGCTGGAGAGGTTGAAAACCTGCTGAGCAAGGCTAAAATGAACTACATGACTCGTATTCGAGGTACACAGCCCTCCGTTGTTGACACGATATTCCAGCCGGCGGATTTCGATCCCGACTTTGATCGAGGAAGCCATGCAGATGTCAATCTCGATGAGCTTTTCAAGGACGTCGTTGGCTGTGATGGCATCGTTAGCAAACTTCGCAAATACCAGAAGACTGCATCGGCGGGCCGCCGTAGGGGTCAAGATGTCCGGGATCTGATCCCGACCAGTTTCGTGTTCAAGGGCCCACCAGGTATGTTATGTATTGATATTCATTGAGTTTGGACGCTTATTCTGTACACGAGGCACCGGAAAGACCACAACCGCACGAAAGATGGGACAAGTCTATTTCGACATGGGCTTCTTGAGCCGTCCAGACGTCATAGAGTGTTCCGCCTCGGATATCATAGCCCAGTATGTCGGTCAGACAGGGCCTCTGGTGCGAAAGATGTTCGACAAAGCTCTCGGACAAGTCCTGTTCATCGATGAAGCATATCGCTTGAAGGATGGCCATTTTGCGAAAGAGGCGATCGATGAAATCGTTGACCTCCTCACTCAGGATCGAATCAAAGGAAAGATTGTTGTGATCCTCGCAGGCTATGACGAGGATATCAACCAGCTTTTATCGGTCAATCGAGGATTATCCAGTCGATTCCCCGAAGAAATCGTATTCCAGAATCTGCGGCCGGAGGAGTGTCTAGCAATCCTGAGCAAGCAGCTGAAGAAGAAGAGTGTCGTATTATCGGGTTTAGATGATCCGGCAAGCGGGATTTCTGTGCAGCTGGCCAGCATATTCGAGGCATGGTCCCATCTTCCATCGTGGGGGAACGCTCGTGATGTCATCACAACCTCGCAGAAGATGATTAGTATTGCGCTTCAGCATTCCTCAGATGATGAAAATGCGGAGCTGCTCCTAGATCCTGCTTTCGCTGTGGTGTGTTTGCAGGAGATGTTTACAGGCCGTCAAGACAGAAGTACCAATCTCCCGAGTCCTTCCGCACAATTTCCATTTGGAGCAGCTCCGCCGGTGCAAGTTCGCGATCCCAACACTGTCTCGCCCCCCAATATCAGTACTTCTTCTGTGACAAAGACAAAACAAGCTGAATCCAAGCCTGTTCATGTTAAAAAGGCTGGTCCGGAAGGGGGTCGATGCTCGGGATCCAGGTGTCTCTGACGCAGTATGGAATCAGCTTCAAATGGACAAAGTTGCTGAGACCGAGGCGGCGAAACGACTGGAGGAGGAAATTCGTAAAGCGGAAGAAGAGATGGCAGAGGCAGCCAGAAAGGAAGCCGAGGAACGGGAACGCGCTCATCAGCTCGCATTAGCCGCTGCTCGTGAGCAAGATTATCTCAAACAACAGGAGCTCAAGCGACAACGCGAAGCGCAACGGCTCAAAGAGCTAAGGGCTAGAGAGGAGCGGGAACGTCGTGAGGCTGAACTGCGGGCACGAAGGGAAGCGGAAGAGAAAGCTAGAAAGGAAGAACAGAAAGCGCAGGCAAAGCTGAGGGAGATGGGGGTATGCGTTGCCGGATTTTGTTGGATCAAGCAGGACTACGGTTATCGTTGCGCCGGAGGCTCCCATTTTGTCTCAAATACCGAGTTAGGAATATAAGCACATAGATGCTTCCTAGGACCGATCGCTGTTCTTGCAATTGAACGACGCCTAAATAGAATGTATACAGGTACTTAGCACTGATTGAGGCCGAAGATCACTATCGAAAGGTCCTCAACGAGATATGTACTGTTACTTCTAATATATAAGGATTTGCCCAGCATCGTATCTATTTGGAATTCGTAGGGCATAATGCCACCGACTATATAACGATACTGGACGTTGATATCAAGGTACTGGCGATCGTCAAAGAGCCGAGAACATGCCGCGACTCAAAAAACAACACGGTTACGCACTCTAATCCGTACCACTTCGATTTCGTTATGAAAGGATCGAGCGTGTCCCTACTTTCTTCAGCATCTACTGGATGTCTGCCCTACTAGAAACTGCTACCAAATACGCCTCTTCCGAATACGCCTCTGTCGATGACGCGCAACTCTTCGGTCAGTCCCACCAGTGTCCGAGTCGCACCCCCAAGGCAGCTTGAATCTTCGTCTGGGCCTCAACCTCAAGGTCGAAATCTTCATCCAGGCCCAAGGTCAACGGCGCAACCACCTTTCGCTCCTGTAAGCACGTTCCACTCCTTTCGAACAATTTGCAGCTGAATATCTAGGTGTGGTGTGGTCTTAGTCAGTAAAACTGTATGGAGAGAAAATACCGTTGGAATGCAGTGTCGCGTTTATCAGTGTATCCGATCTTCAAGGGTTCACTAGAATTGTCACTGACATACAAGACTTTCAGATGTCCGTCGGGAGATATATTGATTCTGCTCGGGATGGTCTACTATTTCTAGCCGTGATCACCCTTTCCGTGAATTTGTGTTACATTCGTTACAATTTTCCCTTACACATTTTCGAACATTACATTATAAATTTATTTTAGATACAATGTAATAAGTTCTAGTTCGGATTCCCCGCATACAAGTTTGAGTAGGTTGCACCAGAAAGTATATATGGCTTGAACCCGACAGCATCGAAGTTGAAGACGAGATTCATTCTCGAACCGCAACTATTTCTGATTCACACCTGAATAACAGATGCTACGCTACAATATGATTTGATCATAAGTGTATGTGTATCTCGTGTCATCGAGCAGCACTGATGGAGCAGTTTCTCACCCACTCGTGCCTTTAATCAGGCTCCAAAATACTTTGAGTACAAGCCCCAACTGGAAAGCATCTATACTCGGTGCCAGAAGCGTCCGGACATGCCAAACTGCCGAACCCGCTTGTTCGTCCTGTACTGAGACATTAGAAACTGAGTGGTGATAACGATTGATCGAACTTACAGTAAAAGATAAAACAACTAGCTTCTTCATGTACCACCGAATCCACGAGCCGTGAGACAACGTCTCTCCAGGAAGCGGAAGCTGTCGTCGAGAAGGAATAATCTGGATGTGGGACAATCAATCATATGACCTCACGGTTGTATGACACAGTGCGTACCACTGGCTTTGAGCGACTTCCTAACGTCAATCTCAATCTCAATATGATTCTATAGCACAATAATGAGCTCACCAAAGTGGTTTAATCTTCTCCGCATGATCGCTGAAGTACTTCTTTGAGAAATCTTTTGGTATCGCCGTTGAGTTCATGAGCAGCTTATTAAGGCAAACAGCACCGAAGAAGGCCTTTGAACAACCTTGCCTGTATGCAGCGTTAGCCTCTGATGAGCATGGACACCAAAGCAGATGAACCTACCCAAATACCGGGTTGACCCTCATGACACTATCACCCAGAGGACCCAATTAGAAGGTAGGTTGACGGCCTTCTCGTATCTGATGTAGCTGGAGCCGGCTGAGAGGTGTAATGAGCATCATCGTCGGCATACAGAAAACCAAACGCACGATAACGAACGTGACTGTAAGTCATGGTGTCCGTTACTTCGTCCAGCATATCCAGCATCACGAAGAAGGTCTCCGGAATCGGCTTCTCGGTAATCAGACTTCGAACAAAGGCCTTGCCTTCCTCAAGAGTCTTTGGAAGTTCGTACTCGCCCATCGTACTGAAACAGAGTTGGACTGGAAAGGATATTAAATGGGCATAAGTAGGCACGAAGACGTCCGACTCACTGAAGTTACCATCAATACGCTGAGAGTATACATTTCGATGGTCTTTGTCTGGGTCCGTGGAGAGGCAATATATATATCCACACTCGTCGTAGGGAAGCGAGAGGCCAGGGATCTTCCTCCCAAGCTCCGGCGGGACATGGAATTTGAGGGTAGAATATTGAAGCTTTTGGTCGTATGCAATCCTTAACTGGTCTAGGGGTAGTTGATTCTTCGTGTATGTATCCACGAATCCGTATCCTTCTCGTCGAAGCCATTTAAGGCCCGCAGCTGCAGGTCCTGTGCAATCTAAATTGGTGAATTTTATGATTTAGTGTGCTCGTATTCATAGATAGTGTTGACGTACCGACAACGAGAGTAGCGGAGATGTTTTGGATGCCTTCGGGAGTACGGACCGAAATTCCGTCAAGGTATCCAGGATTGTGAGCGCTCTGAGAAACACCAGTCACCGTGTCAATAACCTGGCGAATGTGTTTGTAGTCACCACCCAGTACGAGACGTCGTAAAAATGTTTCAAAACCTGCGCGACCGGCACAGAATGTCTTCGGAAGGCTACCACCGTACTCGGCATACGGAAGCCGAGGCACATTTCCCCACATGCGAGCATGCGTATCATTGGGGCCTACCCTGCACAGATTTACTACAAAATAGAAGGGATGATACCAAAACTTACTTGATGCTCGATGCGTAACATTTCTCCTCGATGTCAGTGAAAAGCTTTTGCATAACCTTGTACCCCATGGCTAGAACGACTGTAGTATGCCCATTAGATCTCAAGGAAAACGCACCGAAGGGGCGAAATCCTACCATGTAATGATTCGTACTGCATGATACGCGAGCGCTTGCTTTCTTGGTTCCATGCGTCTACACGTATGGCGTCTTCGGAATTCATCCACGCCTCCGGTTCCACGATAACAACTTTGTCAAAATGGTCATGACATATTCGAGCTGCGAGCAGACCTCCGATGCTGAAGAGCTCATCAGATAATCAGTGCATCGAGGTCAGGGATAGAGGGTTACCTTCCGCCACAGATGACCGCCGTGCCTTTCATTTTCTCGCGAGGTAGCCTGAGTCCTAAGGAATCGATATCCAGGACGCAAGTTTGCTTCAAGAGCTGCCTGTGTCGCAGGGTGCGCCCGAGATACAAAGCGACGGTGTAAGTAGTGAGTGCGATCCCCAAAGCCCAGAGAAGATTCATGATCCACAGAGTAATGGGGAACTCAGGAAGAAAAGAAACGAGGTTTTAAGAAGATATGAGGCCGCCGCCACGGCCCCGTTGACTAAGTGAATTTTTGTTGTTTTTCGTGACATCAATGATGGCATTCGGTGCGTTATATCGATAAATTCGCACACGAGCCACCGTTCAACACCTTAGAAATGCGGACCAGCATAACATGCAATGGTATTGATTCCTAAAGCCTGCTAGGTAAGATTGATCATCCCTGAATGGAAGAAACCCACTTTCAAGTACGTTCAAAGCAACGCCCGAGGGATCGGCATTCATTATGTGACACTGCTGTGTAAAACCTACCTTCCCAGTGCGAAGAGAACGCACCCATCCGAGTCAGGCGCATGAGCGTACCCCGGAAGATACCTTCGTTGCATGGGACCCTACTGTGAATTGACCCAGAAAAACCTTCTGGATAAGTATTACGGAATATCTCGCCGCGTGTTGAAGCATATTAAGGCGATCAGGACATCGGAACAGTTCGTGATGTCGTATGTACAAGATCCTTATTGAAAGAGAGTTCCTGGCTACTGGAGATATGGTCAAGAACGTTTGAAATGAAAGAAGATTTCGGCTGAAATGAGTGTAAAGCGAGCGATTGAGCGATCGTCTTGTCCTGTTGCTGAAATTAAACTGTAGCGGGAGGAAGAAGTCGACGCCTACACATGAATGCCATTCGCTTGATCCGACACAGCCACCACACCCAAATTTCCCACGGTCCACTAGCACCGCTCGAAGGAAACTGGGAGGGCGTACGAAGATAGATGCGCGTAACACACTTCTTGTAAACAGAGAAAGGCGGCGATCCTCATCACAGGAGCAATGTGCATGATAGCAGCGGACATACTGGACATTCACGCCAATAGCTTCCATCAGTATTGACAACACCTGCAGCCATACAGGCGACATTATTGCGACTAGCCCCATCACATCACATCATCAACCTCTTTCACAAACATGTTGACATGGTCCTACGGAGACACCCTGACATCTCCCTCAAAATTCGTTGGATCCCCGGACATGCCAAGGCATAGCAGGGAACGAAGCAGCAGATGAAGAAGCGAAGGCGGCAGCTCTATCCAAACGAAAGAACTTACCGCACCTTATCCAGTATCTCAACGACACACGTCGCTTTCTGACTGCGTTCGGAACATTCCCAGTCGTTGAAGACATAGATGAAGAGGATGCATGAGATCAAATACCCTCGACAAAACACACAGGACAGCGGTTGATGAAGCGAACGCACATCCACCTCGTCACCTCATCAAAGCGGACTGAGGGAAGTGGACGCGAGACAACTCGCAAGGAGCAAAGCTTTACTCGATAGTTGTGATACAAAAGTATAGAATACGGACGAAATAGCATACACGACAGGACGATCCGACCATACGCTAGCGTGTAGGATATACGTACAATACTGTACAAATTGAACCAAAACCAAAAAAAAAACATTCGCATGCAACCCCGAATACGGTTTTGACGGTCTGACAATGAACGATGACGCATAGCTCAACGGTCACCCTAACCACTAACTGCACCAACACTCCTATCCAAAAGCCTCTCTCTCATCAGTCGGTGTCGTGATCCGAACCGACTATCAAAAAACCGGTAGCCCTCCGTCGGCCGTAAAATGCCCCTCGCTCGACACTTTGGTAACCTCTCCAAGAACCTCGAAATACTATTCCCCATCTCAATATGGGCTTTGGATCCATCATTGGGCTTCGAATACCAGCCCGGCTCTTGCCCAACAACATCTTTCAGGCAGAAGTATATCGGAACGGATGTTCTGATCTCTTTGACTGCACGAAAGTAGGGATGCTGGAGGATGTCATCGAGTTTCTCCCAATCTAGATTGTGCACAGATAGATAAAAGATGTCCAGCGTCTCTAGCGAGGGAGTCGAGAAGTCGGAGTCAGTGAGACGTTTGAGGAAAGGAAGGAGGTACCGGTTGTCTTCAATCCATAATTCGATTTGTCGGAGATTGGAGTGTTGAGCGAGGTTGATGAGTTTGAATCGGGCATCAAGCTCAACATCGTCATTAAGGGACGCTGCGGCCTGAATAGTGAAACCGAAATACTCAAGACGCTTGCCAGCAGATGACAATAACTGTTCAAGCTCTGCAGCGACTGTCGTCTTGAAGTCAGCAAAGTTCACATAATGACATTTGAATATTCGAAGGGATGGACAAGGAATCAAGCAACGTATAACACGAGGATTGGATACGTCGTTGAGTGAGATGGTATGCAAGCTGGGTGGTAGGGTGTGCTCTGCGTGCGAGCGATCTTCCTCCAAACCGTTGACCCGGAACCGTATAGCCTGCAAGGACAGGGCTTCGAGCGCTACAAATGAAGCGACCAGAGCTAAAAGTTCCTCGTCTGTCTGAAAAGCAACCATCCACAACGCAAGCTCAGTCACATTCTTGAATATATGGCCAATTCTCAGTCTGTCCACGTCAGTTAATGTCCACCAGCCAACATATGTCACCGACAACTTCTGCACGTGCTCAAAGAGGGCATCTACAGGGCACCGGGTCAAGACGCCCTGGAACGCTCCGCTGTCAAGCAGATCACCCTCGAGGCTTCCGCTTCTAGCGGCGGTATTCTGTGCGACATCAAGCTCACGTATATGAGCTGAGGCAAAGGTAGCATGAGGGCTCTTGGATAGCTGGAAGAATGGATCTGCGGTGTCGCGACAGAGCCGCAGTTTGTGAAAGAGGTGAAAACGGCATTCGGGAGACCCAGGCGCGACAGACGAGGGAGCCGGCTAAGAGGGATGGCCTGGAGTCATGGAGATGGTCGATTATGAGGTTATACTGTTCGACGGGGAGCATCGTTCGTATGCAGAGATGGTTGGTGGTGGTGGTGATACCGGCGCCAGGTCCCAAAAAGGGACGGCCGCGCTTCATTAAAAAGGTGAGCTCGCACAGCTTCCTTGCACAGCCAAGCGTTGCCATGGTGGAGATGGCTCCTCTAAATCACGGAAACGTTGGACGGCGTGGACGGCGACTTGTAATATGTCCAAGCCCTCGCCAATCCAGGAGGATATCAGTATTCGCAACAGTCGTGTTCCATAATCCCATTGTTTAAAGGGCGAACGGGCCAGAAGACCTACACTTCACTAAAACAGTATGAGAACAGAGGAAAGACGCGCATATACGCAGCAAGATGGCGAAAAAGGACGTACCGGAGTACTTTCACGTGTCTTGTGACGATGCCGTTGTTTCCTTGGTTGCCAAACGGCTTGGGGAATCCGTAATTCCCGTCGTACGACAGGCGATGCGAGAATGACCAATAAGAGATACACGCCGCAACCAAAACAAACTTAAGGCATTACTTGACAGTGTGCAGCACAAAGGTCGTTCGATGCCTTGGACTGCTAGAGACTAAACGCGCCGCCTTTTCCCGTTTGTGAGCGCGCATATATGCAGGTCTTGAGAGCAATAGGGTATGTCTGTCACCTTTAACAGCTTATGTTACTGCATGAAGAACGAATAATCCAGTATTGGACGCACCACTCAACAGTCCCTGAGACTACGCGTGACTGAACCTGTATTTTACAGTGTGTTGACGCGGCAGATGCTAGCATCATAATACAAAGGCACCATTCATATAGTAGTCAGCAAAATCATCGTTAGCGCCCTGTGCAATACAGGTATCGCACCACAAGTGTGATGGTCATGGTGGAAGAGAGAGACGAGTCTCGGCAAGCGCCGACCCACTTCTTTTGTTCATAACGATCACAACCAGAACTGAAGAGACACTTAGAGACTGATCCATGGCTCACAATGCGTAAAATTCAAATCAGCGGCAGGTTATACGCTCGCACCGTTGAACTGTTAAGTACTTGCATCGCAAAGCATACAACATCTCAGGCACTCAGGTAAACACTTATACTCAGACAGCAATCCCCAAACATTGATATTGGTATCCAAAAAGTATAAACGCCGACATAATGTTGAGGAAAATTGGAGGGAAAAAAAAATGCACGAAGTAATTTTGGTTAGGTCCCAAACAATGTTTGCCCTGACGGATGTCCTAGCAGGACAAATATCAACATCCTGAGTACTCTCTCCAAAGGAAAAAATCTTACCCAAAACCAACAGCTGCATTCCGAATCCACCTCTTCATTTTTGCAGAGCATTTACTCACTAAATGAAATCAATCAGTTGGGTTGAGTCGTTAGAATAAGTAGCGTCTACTTACAGGAGTGACAAGGTGATGTCGCCGTTGACCTTGGCCTGGATGGCGATCTCAACCTCGAGGTTAAGATCCAAGCGCAGCTTCACGGCTGCCTTGGGTGCAACAGCTCCCTGGCGGGATTGGCCGACGAGTTGTCCTCCGGCAACAGAGGCACGGTCAGAAGGGGCGAATCTGGTAGCGGTTTCTGGGGCAGACATGGTAGTGTAGATGCTGAAGAAAGTGCATACAAGCCAGATCCTTTTATACGCGTCTCGAGGTTGCAACGGGTTCGGACCGAGAGTACCACCAACGTGATTCTCGCGACATATCGCTATGTCAGTCAACCGGTGTCCCCTGTAGAGACTCGCTCCAGACTCGAAGTGCAGAAAAACTGTAAGCTCGCCAAGTTCTTTGCTACGTAACGCTTTTCGTAAGATTGATGTGGTGGAGTGATGTAATTAAAAAGTACCGCATCTGATTGGCTGCTAGGAGAGAAATTCGGGTTGAGGATTGTCCTGCGGGATAGACGAAGGTCGGAAGAGTCTAAAGTATGGCCGAGACAGCCGACAATTAGTACCAGCCCACGGTTCAGAATTCGAGCGAGGACGACGGTCGCATGATTCATTATATCGCTCTTCTTTGTTCTTTCGTTCCCCTGGCATCAAATGAAAGCAATTAACATCGTCTACGGATACTACAACAGTGCGAGCTTATTCTTGTTTTAAGTTAAGGAATTGGATGCACCAGTAATAGCGAAGGGGCAGTTTTTTTAGTAGTTGAGGCCTACGTTGGCATATTGTACGCCACTGATGTCGAGCCGATGTCGACTTTCGCACTGAGACTGTCAATATTGAATGAACCGGGGTAGATGTCGAATTGATGCATAGGTTACAGCGCGGTGTCGGCAGATATTATCTACGCCAAGTAAGGCCTAGAACTGACACTGAGGCTGTTTTGCTCACCGTATGCTGCAGCTTGACATCGACTTAGGATTAGTAGGAACCTATGCCTACTGTCGTCATCACTGCCAGAGTTCAGAACAATCGCCTTGACGAGCATCGCACGACGCTTCTTTGTCCCGTCACTATGGTGAATTTCTTCCAGAATTACCTGCGCATATTTGAGAGAAAGAGCGCCTCCGCATACATACGGCGAGACGCATCTATAAGCCGAAATGCTTTGTCGTCGCTAAGGAAACAGACAGGTATTAATATAGGGAAATCGCACCTCACGAGACGGAGAGCTGCGGGGCTCGCCTTTGTCTTCCAAGAATGACAGAAATAGGGACCAAAAGAGACAGAAAGGCGTCTTGTCGGCTTCTCTATCCCTCTACAACCTAAATGAGGCTGACAGTTTTCATGTCGTATACAATGTCCACGAAGCGAATCATGAATGGGCCATTTTTTTGCAGCATCCGTTCGGCATACAACAGTCGCTGACAATAATACACTGCGATCTGCGTTCAGCGCGATCTAAGTAGAAATGTGGGGGAGTAGCTGACTCAAGGTTGCTCGGATGCTAAGCTTTGAGTCAAAACTGAAGACTAAAGCATGGGCGCCATTGAACATAGGATTGAGGTGTTATGAATTTGAACTTGGAAGTACCGAAGACGTGTATTGTGTCGGAGGACGTAGTGATCCACCAGGAGCATATCCTCTGGCATAAGTTGGCTTGTTGTCAAAGCTCTGAAGTAGCAGTGGTGGGTAGGCAGGTAGTATTACGTGGCGCAGTCCACTAGGGAACACCGCCGCTGCATGAATAAAGTCACAGGAACAGTCAGATAACAGGGTGCCCGCTATTGAGGCAATCTTCGACCCGCTACCAAAAACGGGTCAAGCCTTCTCAATCATGTTCCACCGATGCATACGGGAATTCCTAGACACGGACGCATCACACACGGTGGAGATAGCCTGGTGCCCAGGACACAAAGACGTCATGGGCAATGAGCGAGCGGACGCCCTAGCGAAGAGAGGAGCTGAGAAGACAGTGGAAAATGCTGGAAGGACAAGGGCAAGTGCGAGGCGAGAAGCAAAAGCAAAGACAATAGAGCAGTGGAAGAAACAGGGGGAAGGGAACCCCAAACACGGCCGCTTCGCAACGGCAAACAGGATCCCACCATCACTGAAACCCACCCACCATCTCCGAGACCTGGCAGACAAACGAGAGGTTTTCGGCCGGGTCTTGCAATGCCGCACGGGACACGGTTACATAGGCGAGTACTACTCTCAGTTTGTGCCGACCGAGAACGTTGACTGCCCATGTGGCGAGGCATACCAGACCCGCGAACACATAATACGTGAATGTCCTCTATACGAGGACCAACGGGAGGAGCTCCGTGAAGCCTCGAGATCACTGTACCTACCGGAGATACTCGGCACGAGGGAGGGAATTGAGGCAATAAGCCGCTTCATCGAGAAATCAGGAGCATTCACGAGGACAGGAAAGACACGGGTGCCAAGGGTAACCCCAGAATTTGAAGAGGAAGAGAGAGAATAGTGGGAGGACGAAGAAGAGGACTCGGAGGACGAGCACGGGTAACCTGCAGGAAGAAACAACCCCCATGAGCCCTACTACCACGCCACGCACTACGAAGACACTCATCAAACTCACGGCCACGGCCAACCGCAGACACAGAAAACACCTGCCCGAAGCGAGGGCAAATAAGCACCACTACAGTTCGTTGCTGCACTCCACATACAACGCCAACATACCCGTATATTGAAAACAGAAAACTGAATGGAGGGACCCTCCGGCTCCGCCACCGCGTCTTAGTAGTTAGTGTGGTACTTGTTGCGGTTAATAAATGCAGAATCCAAAAAAAAAGATAACAGGGTGCCTTACAACAAGATAACGTACCACAGCTACAAGCTCGCAGGGCCATTCTAACCCGCATTGGTCGACCTTTTGTGCCCGTTTATGAGAAGACAGCCATTCCAAGTACGATCCACATCCATTACCTTGGTCCAGGTCAATTATCTGTTGCCATGGTATCCCGAAGCCAGCCTAATGAAAACGTATTCTAACAGAGCAAAGGCTTGCTGCCAAACAGAAATCCATACGAATTATCCATGGATATCTAAGGAAATATACCAGTGGTGGTGAGCGATGTGGGGAAGGCCAACAAGCGCAAATATCCCGAACATGGACTTACGGTCCGTACTTCCGCCGGTTTTCTAGTATAAGAACGTCGAGACGATCCTTTTCAGTAAAAACACTTAGTCGCCTGATCAAGCATTGAAATCAGCGGAGTGGGCAACTCAGAAGGAGCACTGGGATGGAGACTCTAAGCGGACACAACATTAAGGAAGTTTAGAGGAAAGAATCATAGAACGAAGATACATATACGACATCATCTTTCGTCACCCATGAGCGCTGAGCATTCGAGTAGCAATATTGTACAGGGTTAACGTTGACGGCGCATACACGAGTAATATAATTGTAAAAGGAAGCAGCTTAATAGAAGCCATCAGATTCACTACTGCTTCCAACTTCCTCGCCTTCACTACCAGACTCTTCGCCACTGCCACCTGCTGGAGCAAGATCGACAACAAGACAAATGTCCCCGTAAAGGTAACCAATATCTGGTTCGTTTCCATAATACGCAAACGTAGTAGTCACCCGACTCAATTCCGTCCTAGGCGTAACCCAAAAGATACGAGTTGAATTGTAAACGCGGCTGTCCTGCCAATCCTCTTGTTCCTTAACAGATTCGACTCCATCTTGCACCATCCAACTACGGAGGGATTCTTCCCAAAGCTGAAAGTTGCCGAACTCGCTATCGGTAAGGTAGCTCCGCTTCCCGTCGCCGCGTGGCATGTAGGAAATCCGGACGTTCACAGATAGAGACAGACTCTGGCAGGCTCTGTAAATAGCTGCGTCGCTTCCTTTCAGAAGATCAACAACGTCCTCGACTTCGAATGGTCCCCTATTTGTGCTTAGAGGGTATTGGTGACGCAAACCGAAGCCAAGCTTTCCGCCCCTGGGTAAGAACTCTGGATCGTCTATAAGCCTCGAAATGGACTCCTTGATATCAGAGGTGATGTCGTAGGTTCTTGTATCCTTGAATGTCATCTCTGTGTGTGTGTCCTGTTCTTGGTACAGATTGTAGGTCAGAGTGACACGGGAGCCCGAGGTGACGGGGAAAACCTCATGCTCGACGTCACTGTAGAACGCGACATAGGCAATCTCCGGGTTCTCAGTGGTGCTATTGGCAAGGAGACTGCTAGCGTCAAAAACCCACTCTTTCCCGTGGCTGCGAAGAGCAAGACCGCCTCCTTGGTGGCTAGTAGGAAAGACGACGACGAGAGAACCGAACATATTTTCAGAACGAAGGCGTATCCTTGTGTGACTTGAAGAAAGATCCTTCACCTGATGACGGCGCATGAGGACAAGAAGACCAACAAGAAATCACCGCGACGCACCATAGATATTCAGTTTGTATAGCTCAGGTCGGATTCGTTTTTCAGTCGATAAATGTCCTTCCATGAGGTCCACGCGAATTTGGTCGAGAATCTTGGTCATCTGCAGATCCAATGTAGTGGCAAAAAGTAAGGTGTCCAGCTTGAGAGCCTTGCGATAAGTATCATCCGAGGACCTCCTCAGAATCTCGACCAAAGGGGGCCAGGTTTACAAGCATCTGCCAATGTATTCAACTCTGCATCCGTTGGATGGGCGAGATTTATGACCCTGATGGATCGTTAATTAGTAAATGCAAGTAGTATGAATGGAAAGCGAATCGTGCAGTGGAGTCCTCGGAGCTACACCTGTAGTAGAGCAGACATTGCTCTCTCTTGGTTTTGCAGGTTCCACTGGTGAACGAGACGTCGTCAACTATTGACCTGATCTTCTCGACTTCGGGGTGCATGGTGCCACTGTAACTTGGAGACCGTGACAAAGTGAAATATATACTTCCGCTAGAGTTTAGCCACGTGATCGAATGTTGCCGCGGTACGGCTTCGGCTTGACAGGTCTCGCTCAGCGAGTCGCTTCAGCCACATGCATTCAAGATTGACTTTTGTTGACGCGCACTACGACGCCGAAGGTGCAGAAATTCTGCTCAGACCTTCCTTCAGTCCCTTTTTATTAGGCGTAAGAAGGTGGTCTACCCTCCTGGGCGAAGGTGGCGTCGGCCCGAAATAAGCCGCCCCGCGGCAACGATACAACTCATGCCATGAGGCTTGAACCACACGCCGCAGAAAGCTTATAAGTTATGCGGTAGAAATGTCAGGCCGAGGAATCTGTCTTTTTGCCAGCAAGTCGAAGCGCCCTCAAACTTCCAGTCTCTCAGTCCGAATTGCGTGGTCCCGAAGCATAGTTGCACCGCTGTATGGGTTGTACGCTCGAAAGACTCCCCCCTCCTACCTTTGGACCTAGGTCATTACGGTCCATGACATCTTTTACAGTTCAGTCGTGGGCCATTGATTTGGACTATATCTCTAATAACCGTATCTTCCCCTACGCCCATTGGCGACCCGACCTCGAAGTTCCTTCGCATGCTTTTCTCGTATGCCTTTCCTCCGTCAGCTGCCAAAAGACCGTCCACAATCATAGGTTCCGATTCTGCTGTGACAGACCTATGCTGTAAAATTTCAAAGGCGCCGTGTTTCAACACCTGGCGGTGTACTCATGAGCCATGACTAGCTTTGTGTCTGGACGCAGCTGCTGGGTCTGACGCTGTATGTCCTTAGTATGCCAACGGTCATATACATCCTATTTGCTCTGCCTAACACCCTTTATTAGCGTACAATATTAGTCCATTGTTTGTCACATTTACAAGAACCCTTTGTCATGGGCGCTGTCTGGTCTTCATGGCGACACTTTCCCCGTTCTTCGTCTCCCAGACACCCGTCGCTACGGAGAAAGCAACGTGTTTCTTGCATTCGACTTCCTGGACAGGTTTGCTGGCAGCCGTGCTCTCGTTGTGGGAGGTGGTCCGTAGCGGGCGGTTATGCTATGTACCCGTTCGCGCACGTTCCGACAACCTTGGCAGTTGGGACCGTCTATCAGAGGGCCTTATCACTGGTCTCGTCGTCAGCGAACTTACAACTCAAACGAACGAAGAGCGGTGGTCTCAATACGAGCCCATCTGGACCGCGGGCCCTGTGACTATTTCCGTCCTGCTATGTATCCCTGGAATCAAAAGTTACAAGTCAACAATTCTGTTGAAGCGAGCACAGTGACCGAGGAAGATGACGGACAATCAGCAGTTGCGGTCCTACAGCGAGAAGAATTAAATGGGAGTCGATTGCGGGCATCATGCAGGAGGCACTGATACTTCACACATTCTTGCCAAGGAGCCTATTCCCATACCCACGAATGCCGACCTTGGTTTCGTATGTGAGTAAAACCCTATGTATCGTGTCTGTCCAATGTATGGTTGACAGATATTCTATGTAGCGCAATCTTCTGCTTGTAGTTGGAGGCCTTCCCAGTGGTCTTCACCGACAATGTATAAGTTCAATACCGGCGTCAGTGGTCTGCCTTTACTGGTGTGCGTTGTGTCTAGTACAATTAAAGTTAGTACCTTCATTTAATGTTTCGCAAATGCCACCGCCCACTGGCCTTCTTTAGTACACTGCATACCTCTTCTATCAGAAATACCGCATTGGACTGCGATTTTCCAGGGCTGCTTTCTGAGGGCATTGACAGCGCACAGGGAAGTAGCGTCGAGATCCCGGGGCTGATCGCCAGTATTTTCATCATAACCTCATTTTCAGATTCACGTACAAGGAAAGCATTCTCTGGATTGTTCCCGTTATCAGAACTGCCTTCGGCATCTAGCATCCGCCTTACCTTTCAGAGCATTCTCACATATAATATGGGTACACCCTGTCTATCATCCGCATCCGCACTCGCCGGTAATAATCTCTTTCGTTCCACAATCGCAAGCGTCTCCCCGCTGTTCGGACGTGCATTCTTTGTCAACCTTGGTCTGGGTCCAGGCTCTGCCCTCGCTGGTAAGCCGGTGTTTTGCGTGTGTAACTTACACGATTCTCACCGATAGCCAAGTGACTTAATTTTTGATACAGGGGCTGTGAAAGTGGGGCTACGTGCTGAGGGAGCAGTTGACCCACATACACAGCTGTTGACTGTGTACGATTGTGACAACAGCCTTGAGGATAATGACATCAAAAGTTCCTCATTTTCAGTAGCTCAACCCGTCCGGTTTAGACCGAATGCGCACAGGGTTCGTAGTACTATTTTGATCGTTGTATATTGCTAGATAATGATTCGCACCCCTTGCATTCTTAGACAAGCGTATGTACTATCGTGTAGCCTTACTCATGGTACTCTAACTTTTATACATCTTTTGGCAATCAAAACGGCAAAAAATGCCTTGCAACTTACGAGGACTCGAAGGCTTACTAGCACCGGAATGAAAGAACTCAAGTGGAGGAAGGATGAGTCTTGTGCTTTCTAAAGGTTGGGTCGCATTCTCAGGTCCCAGCGGGCGCTTCGTAGCCAGTTAAAAAATGTACAAGCGCGTCGTGGGATGATGATCGGAACCTCGACTCTTATTCGTGTCTGTTCGTACACATATAGGCCACTTTCCTTAGTCGACCTCAATGAAAGGTACAAGACTCTGTCGCGGACTCATGTGCACACCGAAGACTAGCCCCAGGCTCTAATTATTATGGAAATTGTACACACGCCATGCTCAAACAAGTCTATACACTAGTACAAAATGAAGATCCTGGGCTAAAACGTCCCTTGAGCTAGCTACTAGAGGGACCACTAAGAAAGCATTCCGCCTTATTTGAAAGAAATGCTGGAACACAGAGGCGGGCTACCCCGCCTCCAAAACACTTCAGTATGACGGGAACGATTCGACGGGAAGGAAGAATTTGAAATGACCTTCACCTGTTCGGCAATTCAGATCCAGCGCCCAGGATCCGGGCCTGAGAGTAGTCCGACGCGACGTGTCGGTTGCAAAGCTGTAGATCATCCAGTTTTCGAGAGAGCTAAACGTCACATAACGTACATAGTTGATATTCATCGACAAAAATACAAGGTTTTCGCGAGTTTTTGCCACAAATTTGAATTGGCACAACCATGCGGTGGCTAGTCGGAAGCTAGGCGTGGCGTCAGAGTTTATGAAAATGTATAGTATAAAGGGCAGGCGAAAAAAAAAGCTGTTCATAATTTTAGGTGGTCGACTCTAGGGGATGTTTGGTCCATCACGGGTACGTGTTCCCAGGTGAAAAGCACCTGCTAATATAGAATCAGTTCATCATGATCAAGGCACAGAATAAGGAGAAGGGAGATAGACATACTGAAAAAGACGATAAAGGCAAGTGCCATAGGCGATAAGTCAGCAGAAGCGCGTTGGCAAGAAGCAAAACTACTTCGAGAGGCACAGACTCGCACAGGCTCCGCCGCTGCCGTCATTGCGTTCAAGTGCAATCCCGTCCTTTCATTGGTGGAATTCATCGCCACCGAGGCCGGTCCTCTACACATATCCTCTCTGTTCCCATGCGGAGCCTTGCAAGATGTTTATTAGGTGGTTTCCCATAAGTTGTGCTGTCCCGGCTGAGCAAATGGAAACAAAAATATCATCCCCACAGTCGGAGAGCATGGACGAGATCAGAGTCCTGATCCGTTGCTTCTTGGTAGAAATCCGTTTGTGACGGGAGGACCATATTGGTCAATGTCTGAAACTACACTGTTATTGGCCTAGATGGTAGATATCCGCGAGCGGAGCTGGCGAACTCCGAGTCTTGGGGACGCGTTAGTATGGAGTGTAAGGGTTACATAGACCACGGCCATACTTGAGTTCCTCCGATCGGGGTACACAATTTGCAATATGAGCTATTCAGCATTTTCTTGGTTTTTAGCAGAGGTCGTCTTTTCTCAACGTTTCCGCAGCTAAACACCTCCAAACGGGAAAGTCGAAGGCTTTCTTGTAATTGAGCGGTGAGGAAACTTACGTTGGAGGGAGAGTCATGGATTCACCTCCGGATAGAGACGGAGAAAAGCCTGCGCGTCAAGATAGACTTGGCGACACATTAAGCGACCGCAGTTCGCAGTGGAGGATCCCTCGTCCTCCTTTGGCGCTGTCCGATCAGCAACTTTTGGGGCTTGGAGTTTTGCTAGAGATGGAGACACCGTGGATACCGTTAGAATGACATTTCTGTCTTGACCTGAAACAAAAAATTGCATAGTCCTGCCCGGATAAATAAGCAAAAATGATAGAGCAAAGCTAGAATAAAGACCACCATACTCCTACAAAAACCACTGACCGTGCACCTGTGCCTTCAAAGATCACCAGAGCCTACACCGCGTCTCGGTTAACAGTGACCCCAGGCATGTACTGCAGATCAGCGTACGAACCTGCACAAAATATCGGATATTTCCATCGGAGATTACCCCATATTTGGTTGGGCCGACTGCGCCAGCATCGTCTCAGCATTTCGTTACCGTTATCACGATTATGGTGACGTGCAAGGAGATTTGTCCTGATTTGTCAAGTCCGCGTCAGTCACGTGCTGGTATTACAGTATACGGACCGATGATCCGTACGCCGCTGATTTTCCTGCTTATTACCTTTTCATCGTAGAGCGTTTGTCCCGGAAGCAACGCCACATAAACAGATGTCCTTCGACACTCACGTACATTCACAGCCATTTCTCGGCCCTGGACCTGAGTTCTTGCGTCAGTATTCAGGAATCTTATAGTTTTTTTGCCCCTTGCCAGGTTGGATCACACGGATATATGTCGATGGGAAATCCTTTCCTAGAGCCAATCCCTCGGCGCCCGGTTCGCTTCATCAGGCGCCCTACGCAGCAAAAGATCATCAAAACCCCTGTAAGGTCGATCGGTGAAGCTTGAAGGGCCGCCGTCGACTTTTGTTCTCGCTTCACTCAAATTCGAAAACGCCCCTTAGGTAAATCAATGGCTGGCTATACTAGTACGTTCCTGTGTCTGTCGGTTGTTTGTGTGCTTGATCTCTTCCATTTCGTGACCGTACGCCGACTTGGAGGCTCTATCTGGGGTGTGCTTCAGGCTGGACCTGCCGTCTGGAGCGAGTTGTTTAAGCCACCGTCGACTTCCTTTTGAGCCTTGTGACTAGATTCCCGCCCACAATTCTGAACTGCTGACGTAGATGGAAGACTTGATCAGTGCTGGGTCTAGCCTTTAAAGTTTTCCGAGTCCGACCGTACGCTCACACCATTGATCTAAACATCAGGGTATCCTCACTTGTTTGGCGGAAAGCTGGTGATACAATTGCCGCGTAATAATCCGAGTATGGATAAGAAGGCCAGCGTGCGACATTGGTAGAATTTAAATCTCCTGAAAACATTGATCGAGCTATACTAGACTTTATCTCAGCGCATTGAAAATCCGCTGCTCATATGGTTCGGACTATATAATTTCTTGGGTGAGTTCTATTCTTCACGTGGGAGATGTTACGCTTGGTTATTATTTTATTCATCTCTCGTGACTGAACTTATCAGGACTCGGAGCCGCATGTGTCGGTGATGATCATTTACGATTGAGGAGATCGCGTACTGGGAACCGCGTGGGTTTGAGTTTACGATTTTGAAATGTGTGAGTAAACATTTACGGTCTGGCTTGGCCCTGGAATAATTTACAATTATGAGCTGCTTTCAAGTCGAGGGGAGGGTTTGTAGCTTCGGCAGTTGTGGCCGGGATACGTGGTCTTTGTCCGTAAAATCCACCGAAATCAGGTGCTGGACCTATTCATTGCTACTGAAATGATCGGGTACAAGCAATTGGAGATACAAATGATCATTTGTATTCGGTAACTTGGATCCTGCCGCTTTTTGATTCTTCATTCGGGCATTCTTTTTGGGGGCCGGATGGCTAGTGCAGAACTTTAAGTTGAACAATCATTGGCTGGAATGCCGAGTCATCTGGTGCAATGTTTACAGTTTGCCTGTTCGGTAACTTGGGGCCATCCGTTGTGTTATGATGCGGAAACAGTAGCGGTATTGTATTGGAATTCCTGATGCTTTTACAGCGGGAGAAACCTATAGAACAGGGCCGAGGTCGGAGATGATTCTCAGTATCAATTCTAATCCGTCTAACTGTTTGTTTTCCGAATCTGATTCAGTAATCTGGGTCCAGATGTCCTGTCCATCAATTGAACTTCAAAATGTGCCACCGCATATGGCGGGAAGAAGTGAGGTTCAAAAGTTCATTTGCTGAGGTGTCGTCGCAGTCGTTGACAAGAGCGTTCGTCTGACTACCCTATCTCCGAGTGTCTTTTTTAGAGGAGTTGGAAAGGAGACTGATCGTTGGATAGGTGCCATGGCATTGTTACTGACTACCGTTTGTCAGGACCGTAGCGACACTAGTTCCCGTTAACCAATAGGATGGGAATCTGTGCCCATGATAGATCTCCCTTTGCCCTTGATGTTTGAATAGAACTGTTTGAGTTCAGCGCCGACGGCTTGGGTGCACTGTCCTAGGATTGATGTCTCCAAAGAATCATGATACCTCCGAGAGCCTGGGATAACGAGTTACAATGGCAAGTTATATTTATTGCAGGGGCTGCAACAGTTGGAGCCTTGAAGACCAGATATTGATGGTGTCTATTAAGAGGTGGCCTTTCCCATGGAACAATCGGTAGTGTGAGTGGTTGTAAACTTGGCACCGCCCTTGCGATAGACTCTAATTCTTCGATCAACCCGCAATTTTTCTGGAATACAATTCAAATGGTTCGGGCGTCTCTTTTGAAACGATGGATGAGCAGATAATTGGGGGAGGCGCTTAGATTCATGTCAAAACCCTCAGCGGTTTAATAGGCCGCACTGAATAGTGCGTGTAACTTTACAATCATCTGGTCCTCAGTTATTACAACGATAAATCGAGGTGATCTAATAGCCAGTAGACTCCTGTTTTATGACTTCGCGCTATTTGGAGGGAGAAATGAATTTGACTTGCCCGTGTCGGAGAAGAGGTGAAGGCCCGGAAAAGGCTCGGCATTACAAGTTAGTTTGAAGGTGTCCCACCTCTGGGGCAATCGAATGCCAAGGTCGATGTCTGTCTTTTACCACCGTTATGACGTTTTATATTTGTCTTCACTGGAGAAACTGCGCCAATACGAAGTGATTTAATGACGTCTATTTTACGGAGGAGTATTACGGATATGTCGGACCAATTGGGAGATTGTACGGCCCCTACAAAAGCGCGACTGTCTACGACTGGGGCGGCAGTAGGCTATTAGTAGGCCTCGGTGCCGTCCTGTATGTTCGCGGGTAGAGTGTCCGTGAGGATAACGTAGCGGGTGCTGTCAGGGTTCACCTGAGTCGTGGTATAATGAAGGTCTTGAAGTTGCCGTAAGAAATTGGTTAAAAATTACGATAGACGAGTACCTTGTTTTATTATTGTACACGTTCGAGTTCACCGTCTGTTGAAATGGTGTAATCGATGTTGGTGCAATATTTTATAGTGGCGTCGCGGTACCATTCGAGTCCGAAGAATCAGTCAAATGACGGATCTGTCTTTGTGACTGAGTTAGCCGGTACGCGAGTTTTGCAAATAGCTTTGAAATCTGGATATGAACGTGATGGATCTGGACTCGTAACGGTGGGAATGGGACGCGAAAAAATGATGGGCAAAAAAGAGAGCGGAAGGGTAAGAATTGAAAACGCGTGAGAGTGGTGCATAAGAATGCTGGTGAATCGGAGGTAAGATAGAGAGCGAGAAGTAAGGGTGAGAGGTAAAGCGCGAGCGTGTCGCATGGGAGGTCAACTGCGGAACGGAGGAAAGTTCAAAGGCGGTTTAGACGCGGCCAGAGCTTGCTTTGATTTGGCTATACAGACTACACCGAAAATTGATAAAAAGGGTGGCTCCCAGCAAATTTTGTCGACGTGTATATACGTATACGGTCGTAACGGCGCAGGCCACGCGCGGGTAGGTAAGCGCCCTGACAGAAGCCACGAGGGACCGGAGGCAAAAGCCGATGGAAGCAAGGCACGTGTAGCAGTGCCTGTCATGCTAGATCCCCTGAGCCAAACAGCGAACGGTGACCAGATAAGAAAATAATAATAATCCTTGAATTCCTTGTTAAGAGGACGGAGAAGAAACCCAAATAACGTATTGCGTGCTCGAAGACGGACCGCATGGGCGACATCAAGCAATGATGCAGGAGGATAAGAAAATAAATCCCGCCGGCAAAAAGCACCGGACCCCCGGCTCGTATTATCCCATCACACACTCGCAAACAACCCTCCTTCTCTCCATCCACCGCCGTCGATGGATTACCCATTTTTCCCTTCCCCGCCCGCCTCGTCTATTGACCAGCCTAACCAGGCTTACCCCCCGTTTCCGACGTCCAGCTCTAACAGCAATACCCCTACTTCGACACAGCAACAGCAAAACGGCAGGGAAACCTTGTCGCTTAATCTCTCGTCGCTTTCTGTCGGCTCATCGCCAGCCTCTCCAGCACCGTCTCATCAGCGAACTGAAAGAAAACGCTCTTTTACTAGCAGCACCACACCGCCTCCAACAGACGACGACCAGGATCAGGACATGGAACCGTCACCAACAGAAGGACCACCTGGATCAGCGACCATTGGCGTTCTGGGCAAGCCAATGCCGACCAACAACTTTGTGACCAAGTTGTACCAGTACGTGCTCCTTTTCCTCCCCCCAAATGCTATTCTCAATGCTAAGTCTATTAGGATGATTTCAGACCCTAAATCCGCGCATTTTATTGCGTGGACTGAACTCGGGACGTCGTTTGTCGTGTCAAATGTGGGAGAGTTCAGCCGGAGCATCCTAGGCAGCCACTTCAAACATAATAACGTGCGTGCCACTGAAATATCTGATGGTAGCAACAGCACTTGACACCATAAACGTAGTTCTCGTCGTTCGTACGACAGCTCAACATGTATGGCTTCCACAAAATCAACCGTACGCCTCGTGCACAACGTACCTCTACCGACTCTCAGACTTGGGAATTCTCGCACCACAAGTTTCTACGGGGACGTCCCGACTTGCTCGATGAAATCAAGCGCAAAGCACTAGAGCCCGATTTAGGCGCGAAGCATAGAGTCGAGCTACCAGGGGAGGTGGGTATTCTTCCATTGCCGCGTTCTTTTCGCCTTCGTGCCGGGATTTTCCATGGCATTTATTCTCCTCCTCGGATTATCATCTCATCACTCCTTTTCTTCAGGTCGCCGCTCAACTTGCAGGCATGCGCGACGATAACCGTCGTATGTGGGACGCCCTTGTTCACGAGCGTCGCAAAGTCGAGCGACTCACCAACGTCGTCGCAAGATTATGGGATTTCGTTGGCAAAGGTTTCCCTGGTAGTCGTGAGTACATCTCCTTCATTTTGGCTTTCTTTCGTTTTTGCTTTCTCTCTCTTCTACTTCTTCTTCAACGTATCCGCCAGTTCCATTTTACACGTCCCCGTTGTGTATCCTCGCGTCCTGCCTTGCTCCGTCCTTTCTCGCCCCCCACTTTTCGCCTCGTTTTCCGCGCGCTTTATCCCCTACGCCAAAGCAACGTCGTCCCGAAATCTTTGACCTCTCCTCTGTTGCCAGTTACCTCCATATGTTTATCGTATGTTTTCTGCGCCTCCTCGCATACTTGTGTTATCTTTCCCTTCTGCTTCTCCATGTGTTCTCCTGCGCTGCGCATATATGCGGATGTTTTTGCTACCTTTACCCTTCTCAGCCCTATTTCAATTGTTATTCTTCTTTATTGCATCCGTTCTTGCTATCCTTGCTTTCTTCATTCCCAGTTATTGGGACCTTGTCTGGCCTTCTCTTTCAGTTTACGTGTTCCGTTCCGCATCTCTGCTGGACAGGTTTTTTGTATTCCTATGGCACGTGCCGTTCATACAATACCTGGTTTGCTGCTGCTTTCCTCATGGTTCCGGCGTCCTTTCCGCGAGCGTCTACTTTTGCCGCCTTTCTTTGCATTCAAATTTGCGCCTTCTGTACCTTGCCTCTTCTGCCTTAGTTCACCCGGTTCACACGTCTCTTTGCTTCTGCCTGTGACCCGCCCCCTCTGCTCGCATAACTCAATTTTCTTGTCGCGCATCTACGAAGCTCGACTTTGTCTTCCGCATCTTGATGCACGTTTTTGCTGCTCGTTACGTATTCCTCTGTCCCTTCATCATTCTACCTCTTTGGCGACTGTTATTGGTGTTCCTATCTTTTAAAAACATTTCCCCTTGTTATTCGCAATGCCCTTATCCCGCTTACTGACCCAAATTCACAGTCCCTCAATTTCCAGCGGAGTTATCCGACTCGCCGTCGCCGTCCTCGCCAAACCCGCCCCAACATTTCTCCAACCACAATCATAACCATAACCATATGTCCTCCATTTCGCCTCATCCACACTCTTCTCTCCCCTCGTCTAACCCCGGAATATATATCACGTCCCCTGCTCCACCCCCAATGTTGCAGTATTCCGCTCACCCTGGTGGTGGTGACCGCAAACGTCCACGGATTGATACGTCTTCAAGTTTATTGGGCGTGGGGATGGGCGGGGGTATTTCAAGCGGTGGTATGGGTAGTGCCGGCGCCCATTCACCCGGAGGTATTCTGTCCGCTCCGCCACACACCATCCCTGAAGAGGTAGTGAATGTTCGTAATTCGAAAAAGTTCTCGACGAGGGCACGGAGTGACTCGGCTCCCCTGGGTCATCAGCACAGCTACTCTCAAGGTGGAGGAGGGTATTATCAGGGGCCTGGACCAAATTCTTGGGGGGTGCCCCAGGACTTAATTGGCCGGCCGAGGAGCGGGAGTGGACTGGTCGGCGGGGGAGGGATGCAAAATATTGGGAACTTGGGTCGAGACGGGATATAGCGTAATGCGTATCCTGCCTGTGGCGGCGTCTTCACGAAAGGAATATTCTCCGAATTTATTCCTTTGCTGTCCTCTTCATTCTTTCTCTTCCTTTTGGCTTGTTTTTTTGGACATTCACCTATCGGACTCATGCGTTATCCTTCCCTCCATGTAGAGTTTCCAGTCGCCCGTGCCTCCGTTCCTTTCGCTTCCGCTTTATCTTGTCCGTGGTCCATTCCCCTCATTCTGTACCTATACCATGATCTCTCCACACTCTTTCATACCTCCCTATCCTCTCCCCTTTACCATCCTCATCACCGACCACCTATCCCGCCCACCTCCATTTCACGCGCACAAAAAGGCCGCCATCCATATCAGACGCGCTAGGACCTGAAAAAAAAAATATAGATCTCTCGGCCACTCGTTCCACCTTTTGGATCCTCCCACGCTTTGCACGCCGTGTAAATAAATCACACGTGTACATATACGTCTATCGCTCTGTTTTCGCTATCGTTTGCTTAGAGTTTTTTTTTCCCATGCCCACGAAATATCAAACATCATTGGAACATCTTTTTCCAGGTACTTCCTTTTTTCTTTTACCGTGTTGAGGGGCGGACACTTGTATGATGTTAGACGCCGGTTTTTCATTCAAGCTTTCGTCCTCAGTGTATTATTGTATACCATTCGTTACTTTGGGTCCATATTTGCATTATTTATCGATCTTCATGGATTCATCTTCTCGTTGTTACTCGTTACATCTGCGATCTGTATCATTAGTCTTGCTTTCTTGTGGAAGATGCGTTTGAAGAGAGTGGTTGTGTGTATATTGCATTGAATAACTTTGGATTTGGTAGAAATACAATTCTTCAGCTGGCTGATTACACGGATAGATACCTAGACTCGATGACAACTGATTGTTAGGTCGGTATCGATTAGGGGTTAAATCACTTCGTTGTGGTATGCAAATCCGAAGAGCCGCAGGTTCGATTCCTGCTACCGACATTTATGTCTAGATCTTTCGTGGACTTTTTGTTGACGTTGTCACCGTGCGGCGTGGGGCCCTGGGCCCAGGCCCCAGGTCTGAGGTGGGGTTTTAGGGTTGTGTAGTGGACATTGGTCACTGGTCAAAACTTAGTCGTCACTGAGCACTTAGGATCTGGACGAACGGGTCTTGAACTTGGATAATAGGCATTGGCGTCGAGAATTGAGCTGAATGAATTTTGTCGGTGGCTCACTGTCGTTATATATGAAGCTTTGAAGATGTGGGTAATGCCAGTGAACGGAACGGATATAGCTCATAACACTGTAACGAAGTGTATTTTAACAGGACTGTCCCACTGTGTATATAGTACCTTCCGGACTCCCAGCCTCTCGGGTAGCCCTTTTCCGGCAAAACGTGAATAACTACCTTCAAGCGTCCACTATAAATCCTCTTATCTCCTTCGTTCTTTCAGATGTCGCATTCTTTTTGTACGTAGCGATAAAAATATCCATACGATATAGTTGGATTCCAGAGTAAGGCGATAGATTGTTGACTAACTTGTAACAAGGAGTGTTGCACCGAACGAACTATGCTACCCAAACCAAGTTGTGTGTCTATGTCACGGCTTCGAGTATGTCGGTAGGGAATGGATTACACGCAAACGACGCATCAGGTTTGACATGTTCAGGTGCCGTTTTGTCTGCTCCCCGGATGATCGGCTCGTTGGGGATACCGTCCGCTGGATCGTATCGACGAGCATGTCCAAAATCAATGAGGTAATATGCGCAACTTGGGGAAACGAGACCACTGCAATCAAATAAGGCCGTTCGAGGATGAGACCTTTCGGATACATCTTTGTGGAGTCCATCATGATCATGAGTGTGCAATCACTCCAATGGGCCAAGAGTCAGATAATAAAATACACTCTGAATGATGGACTTATTTGTGAGCGACGAAGGCTGGTGCATAAACTGAATTCCCTAGTATCCCATCGATTAGTATGAAAAAAGAGCAGGAAAATAAACTGCTATGCACCTCAAATATTTGTCTGAAACATTCAACTACTTCTCCCACCGTATCAAATGGAGGATCCTCAAAGTGTCGTAATATTGGGAGCACAAGGATTACATGGTTTCCATATTCCAAGACTTCAACAATAGGAATGCAATGGTTTCGTGGGTCAAGCGAGAGAGGTGGTGATGAGAATAAGACTGATATTTCGAATTCTGGTGATCCTATTTCGACTCTCTTTCAGAATGACAGGTTTGTCATCACTCAGGCGCACGGCAGATACAAGAAAATGTCGTTGAAGGGGGGGGGGGGGGTGAACGAGATAATGTATAGATGGCATGGAGGCGTACCGGCAATCGAGGGTACAGCTTGTCGTTCTTCAATTACATTTGTTGGTTCCCAACCGGGATCGAACCTGGGCGGTAACTTGTAACCTGATCGATTCAAGGAAGGGTTTTGCGTCGTCCAAGATTTGGTTAAGGACCGGATCGATAATAGGTACACTAGGAAATAGCCGCCTTTGGACAGTTCACGGCTTTGTCATGGGGGTTCGTGGACGACCTGTGGCTGTACTGTGACGGTGGATTCCGCCCACATGTTCTATCATATAAGCGGTGCGCCCTGCGCCCTCGCCGCTGACTGGTCTCCGCCCGGCGCCCATAGCCGTTTTGCCATCGCAGTGATACGAGTGGATGTTTTTGCCACGTGTTTCCCCAAAGGTTCCAGTTTTCAGCCTGGGTCAGCGACCTTCAAATTACCACCTAAATTATAGTTCAGATTGAAAACCAGAAAGAGAAAGACACCCAACCTTGTTATCGCAGTGTAAAGCATAATATTTGAACGTCAGATCTGACCCACCTGTTTCCGATCACGACGCGTCCTCAAGAACACGTGCTATAGTCGGCGAAATTCCCAGGGGCCATCCACATCCTTCTCTTACTACCTCCATCTTGCTCTGCTTGATACCGCCCGACACGGCATCCTACTGCCAAGCTCTTCTAGTTGTAGTGTTCAGCGCAATCACATAAGGACTTCGCTCAGCGTTCAGTTGCTGTCCGCGCTAGTTTGTCATTCTCGAACTTTCTGCAGCTGGCGTTTTCATCTCCCTCCTCATCAGATAATGACTCACATAATGATATTTCTGCCTGGCGACAGCGAGTAGATAGGAGGTCTATTTTCGATCCACACGGAAGACGCCGAGCATGATGACGAATGCCAACTTGCCGACAGTGGGATCACCGATTTTTGCTCACCAACCATTCGCGAGTTTGATGAAGAATCCACCTTCAACGGCTGAATCATTTCCAGGGCCCGAAGATTGTCTGGCATCTATAAAAGCGACTGAAAATGAGAGGAAGGCATCAATCACCCCCGGCTCTCCTTTCCTTCCCCTCTAGACTTGTATCGCTATGGTCCAGGATATCCTCCGCGACTCGACCATTGGCCAAGTCATCAACTACATTTCAAGTGGCCGTATCTTTCCCTACGCTGACCAACGACCCGACTTTGAGGTTCCTTCACATTTCCTCCTTCCATCTCAAAGACCGTCGACAATCGTGTCCCCAGATTCTGACGCGACAACACTATGCGGTGATCTAGAAAAGTCTAGAGGTGCATCGACACCGGGAGTACAGCTCACGAGGGAGTCTACTCTGGCTGTGGGTATCGACACGGAGAAGCAAAAACAGATCGATATTGCTCTCAGCTCCGACCCGTACACAGTAGGATGGTATGGGGACGATGACCAGGAGAATCCAAGGTTTGCTTCATTTCTGATACGATCGAATTCATTTTCTGATTTTTATATCCAGAAATTGGTCTCCCGCGAAACGCGCTTTTGTCGCATTTAGCATCAGCTTCTTGACCTTCAGCGTGTATATCGGCTCAGCCATCTATACGCCGTCGATTCCTGGTCTGATGGCTGACTTCAATGTCTCTCAAACCATGGCCACTCTTGGTCTCACGCTGTACATTCTTGGTAAGTTATTTTGCGTCCAATTCCAGTCCGCTCGGTTTTAATATTCTTAATCAGCATACGGTATCGGCCCCATGTTCTTAGCGCCCCTTCAAGAACTTCCGGGGATAGGTCGTAACCCGGTGTACATGGCTACACTGTTCCTATTCGTCATCTTCCAGATACCCGTCGCCGTCGCCAGAAACATGAGTACGGTTCTAGCGTTCCGATTCCTCACCGGGTTTGTCGGCAGCCCTGCGCTCGCTACGGGAGGTGCATCCATGGCGGACATCTACCCTAAGCATCAATTCCCATACGTGCTGGGTATCTGGGCACTCGGATCTGTCGCTGGTCCCATTACTGGTCCAGTCATCGGAGGATTCGCAGCACAGGCCAACGGATGGAGGTGGCCTCAGTACGAACTCATCTGGATCGCCGGTTTCGCGCTTATCTTCCTTCTTCTGCTTCTGCCCGAGACCTACGAGCCAACGATCCTGTTGAAGCGCGCGCAGCGGCTCAGGAAGCTCACAGGGAACCAGGAGTTGAGATCCCAAAGCGAGAAGGATAAAGGGGGCGAATCCCTAGGTGAAGTGATGCAGGATGCGTTGATCCGACCCTTCATCCTTGCCAAGGAGCCAGTTTTGATGTTCGCAAACGTCTATCTTGGATTTGTCTGTGAGTAACTCCCACGCTGTCCGGGTAGAATACCTAATTGACGACATTTTTTCTATCAGACGCTATCTTTTACCTGTGGTTCGAAGCTTTCCCGCTTGTATTCGTCGATATCTACCATTTCAATCTGGGCGTCAGCGGCCTGCCATTCCTTGGATTCGTTGTATCCGGCGCCATCACTGTAAGTATTTTTATTTTCACCAACTTCTGGTGCTGACACCTTTTTCCGTCCAGTACACCGCATACGTTTTCTATCAGAAATATCACATCGCACCTAGATTTGCCAAAGCTGAAGCTGCAGGCGTCGACATTGCACCGGAGATCCGCCTGGAGATTGGATTGATTGCGAGCATCTTCATCCCGACTAGTGTTCTCATTTTCGGGTTCACCTCGAAGGAGAGCATTCACTGGATCGCTCCTATAATCGGCGCCGCCCTCTACCTTCCCGGCATCTACCTCACCTTCCAGAGTATCCTGACGTATATAACGTCAGCGTACCCTACCTACGCCGCATCGGTTCTCGCTGGCAACGACCTCTTCCGTTCCGCCATCGCTAGCGTCTTTCCACTTTTTGGACGGGCATTCTTCGTCAACCTCGGTCTGGGTCCAGCCTCTGCCCTACTCGCTGGTGTCTCTTTCCTCATGATGCCGGTGTTTTGGGTATGTCTTATCCAAGTTTCTGTCGTTTTTCAAGCTAATCTCTTTGTTCTAGTCATTGTGGAAATGGGGACATGTCTTGAGGAGACGGTCCGTGTATGCGGCTAGCCCATAAAAGAGACCCGACACGCGACTTCAGATACTTTCGTCAGCTTTCGCTGCTGTTTTTCTTGCTCGGACAAGAGCAAAAGCGTGCCTAATGACATGAGCATATCACGATTTAGAACATACCAAATAGAGCGTCGTCGCACGATGGAGTCATATCACTAGTTAGACTACTTTGTATCTCTAGACATGGGGCCGAGATGGCTTCTATATTACGAGCACTAAAATGTAATGATCTATACTAATGCAACTATACTTCATTGAACGGATGGTTGTGTTGCAACGGAATCAAGTCAGTTGCTGTCAAGTGGGTCGGCGAAAACAGGACTGCGCCCAGAGCAGGTGTTTTCTTTCAGTCGGTTCTTCGAGAGTCGAATAAGTACCACTGATGAAAGGTGAACTTGAAGCCAATACACGCGGTTTCGCCAGTGTTATCAAGTCCTAATTGCTGGTCTCGTACGCGGCTTTACCGGTATTCAAACCAGTCGGCTTAAGTTCTGCGAAACCGGAGTACAAAAGTCCGGGTCAAGTTTTCTCGGGAGTCTGAGTCGTCGAAGCTTAGATGATGACAAGAACAGATCTTGAATATCAATATGGCTGGGGCAAAGCAAGGCGAAGACGTCAATGCCATCCAGGGCGTAGCATCTGGTAGTTGCACGGTAGTGACACAGTAACAAGCTCCAATAACTGTGAGATGCAATTGAAGCATGGACGATACAATAAGGCACATCGCATTTTCATCAAGAATAACGACGAACAAGAGAGGCGATAGACTATAGTCGAACTTTAGGAAATGAAAGGACATCTGAGCGTCTTCACAGAATGTGGCTATTACCCAGCAAGATGGCCGAGCGGTTAGGCTACTTGGTGGCATCGGCATTTTAGGTGCTACGAAGGAATAGACAACACTGGAAGGGGAAGACAAGGAGCTCCAGCGCTCTCGCGTTCCAATCATAGAAGTTTTATAGTAAGTCCAGCTTCCGAGTTTCCCAACATCACTAAGGATACAAAATGTTGAATATCAAGTGCGGTTGAACTTCGGGAATGAGGAAAAGACTTCTAGAAGCGCTGTAGGCCCGTAACCAGTTATGGCGTGATATTCACAGGGCGACAGGGAGCCGACTGTGTGATTATTGATATAACGGAATTTTTATTTGGAAAAGAAGAAATTTTTTGAAAGATTAAAAAAACAAAGGTTTGATGAGGATGGGACTCGAACCCACGCCCTTTCGGACCAGATGTTAATAATCACCACGTAACTTGGTCAGCCTACCACTCGGCCACCTCACCAGATGATAACTTTAATTTAAGAGCATACATATCCCGTAACGGTGCTCTCACACCTCCCGCCACAACCAAGTTTCTTCTTCTGAACTGCTATCTAACATTACATAAGTCATAACCTTTGGGAACCGGGGCTGAACACCAGGAACTTCTGCAAGCTCTCAGGTCCTGAAAAATGGGCGGAACCCCGAGTGTGACTTCAAGGACTGACTGACTGACTTTTCCAGCACATGCCGGCGCAGTGCTCCTGCTTTCAGGGTTTGGTCTTCATTTGTAACTTCCGGCGCGCCTGACATACGATTCATGTCCAAGTGATATCAACCTTCCGCATTGAACCTTTTATGTTATTGCTATTTTCAAAAATGATGAGATTCTCGAAAAAGAAAAAAAGTTTTGATACGCCAGATGCCAGCCCGATCTCAGCCTGCACCATCTGAGACAACCCACGACTGTCGACGAAACAATCTATGACGTTGATCGTCATGGCCCCCTGAGTGCGGACTCGGAGGTCTTTTTGTGGGGCCCAAAACTTTTTAATTTTTTTTTGGATTCTCATCATTTTTCGAAATAGCAATAAATACCAGTTCGAAGAATAAAGATTAAAAAGGAATATAAAAATACTAGTACTATCACACAAACACATTCTATCTCTAAATGACATGAGCTTTTGCAAGATTGGACGCTGTTCCGTACCGGAGCAGCCCGACAGTAGATAAAACTGATCTAAATAGCGAAGGCCTTCCCATGAACCACAGGCGTAAACTGATCGTCTCCGTAAGACGTGGCCCCATTTCCATAACGACTAAAGTGAAGAACATCAGCGACACAGGTAGAGTAGAGTTATACGACATACCCAAAACACCGGCATGAGCAAGAAAGAAATACCAGCCAGGAGGGCTGATCCGGGGCCCAAACCAAGACCAACAAAGAATGCACGGCCAAACAGCGGAAAGACGCTGGCAATCGTTGAACGGAAGAGGTCGTTGCTAGCGAGAACCGACGCAGCATGGGTGGGGTACGTTGATGTGATATACGTCAGGATACTCTGGAAGATAAGATAGATGCCGGGAAGATAGAGGGCGGCGCCGATAACGGGGACGATCCAGTGGATGCCCTCCTTTGAAGTGAACCCAAAGATGAGGACACTCGTCGGGATGAAGACCTGGCCATGAGTCCAATCTCGAGATAAATCTCAGGCAAGACGTCCACGCCTGCTGCGCGAGCTTTTGCTAATCGAGGTGCGATGTGATATTTTAGGTAGATAACATATATGGTGTACTGGAAACACCAGTTAGCAAGAGTAGGGATCAAGGTAGAAACGTGCATACAGTGACTGGCAGAGACGATGAAGCCAAGAAAGGGCAGGCCGCTGGCACCAAGACGAAAGTGGTAGATATCCGTAAAGACTAGCGGAAAAGCCTCAAACCACAAGTAAAATATCGCATCTGTTGAATAACTGTCAATGGTACATTTGACAGCGGAGAATGATATTAAAACCGACAAACAAAGCCAACGTAGAGGTTCGCAAACATCAAGACAGGCTCTTTAGCAAGAATAAAGGGACGGATCAGGGCTTCCTTCATCACCGTCACAAACGACTCGCCCTCTGAATTCTTCTCGCTCTGGGATCGCAGTTGCTCATTTCCCGTAAGCTTCCTCAGCCGTCGTGCCCTTTTCAACAAAATCGTAGGTCCGTAAGTCTCGGGGAGAAAGAGAAGAAGGAAGATCAGGGAAAAGCTGACTATCCAGATTAGTTCATACTGGGGCCATCGCCATCCGTTCGCCTGAGCTGCAAACCCTCCGATAACCGGGCCAACAATGCGACCAGCAACCGCCCCGAGCGACCAGATACCTAATACGTATCCAATATGATTCACGGAGTAGATATCTGCCATGGATGCGCCTCCAGTGGCGAGTGCAGGGCTGCTAGCGAACCCAGTGAGAAAGCGAAACGCGAGGACAGTGCTCATGTTTTTAGCCATGACGATGGGTATTTGGAAAATAATGAAGACTAATAATGTGGCCATGTAGACCGGGTTCCGACCTATGTGGGGAAGTTCTTGCAGAGGGGCGAGAAACATGGGTCCTATGCCGTATGCTAATGTGGACATGGGTTCATGTCAACTGAAGGAGGGTGGTCCACTTACCAAGAACGTACAGCGTGAGACCGAAGGTAGCTGTTGTTTGGGAGACGTTAAAGTCGGACATCAATCCAGGGATAGATGGCGTGTAGATGGCAGAGCCAATGTACACGCTGAAAGTCAAGAAACTGATACAGAATGCGACGAACGCGCGTTTTGCTGGAGACCAGTTTCTGCAGGTCATACACAGTCAACAGACTGAACGATGAGCACATAATAAGTCAAACCTTGGGTTCTCTTGGTCGTCGTCCCCGTACCATCCTACGAGATAAGGATCTGAATGCTTCTCTGTGTCGACATCCATAACCAAAGTGGATTCTCTCGTGAGTTCCACCTTAGGCGTCGACCTTTCCACAACTCCGCACAGCGTTATCGCGTCAGAGTCGGGTGACAATATGGGCGAGGGTCGTTTCGGTAGGAAATGCAAAGGAATATGAAAGGCGAGGCGCTGTTCAGTGTAGGAGAATATGCGACCGTTCGATACGTAGTTGATAGCTTGGCCAATGGTCGAGTCGCGAAGAATATCCTGGACCATAGTGGTAGAATTCCCCTACGGGGAAGAGAGCAACTCCGGGGTGGTTCACGCCTTGTCCTGCATCGTTCACCATTTTTATAGAGGAGGCTCTTTCACGCCTTAGCAGTGAGTCCATTGCTGAAAATGAAGAAAAGGCGTGCATCGAACGAGATGATGGTAGTGAACAAGGAAGGAACCCTTCATTCGGGGCAATCCATGGTTCGGCATTTTCCGACCCTGCTGTCGCCCCAACTCTCAACACTTCCGTTTCATAACTCGCTCCACACTCAAAGTTTACTTGTCTTCGGTCCATTCAGACCTACACGTCCTGGGTTTGTGTATGTTGCAGTCACGAGTAAAATGCTAGTTGCATGAGCAAACCCCGGAATTTTACTACTGCACGACTGGCCTAGTTCGGAAACTTCATAGCGTTGATAGTCCTGTATTTATTGCTTGCCCTATGTTTTACGACATATGAAACTGCTAATGTTGTTTATTTAGACTCAAACTCAACGGCCATGCTCTTATGGAGCGTCGATGTCCAGTGTTCTAAGCTTGAATGTTAACTTGAACCATTACGATTATACGTAGACCTCATTGTGGGGGCCAGTCACAGGTCTAGATTATACGCTGTTCGATCTTCAAAATGTGTTTGAGGGTTGCCGTCCTGTCAATCCCTTGCTTCGTTTTGCTTTCATTCCTTTACTAACACCGCTCCTTATCCTCTTTTCTCGGTGAGCATCCCCTCACGACTGGCTGGATGCTGGTTGGACGTAAATATGAGGCCCCACTGAAGCAATGCACTATCCCCCGAGGAGGGTCCGTGTCATCCTACAAATGACATTATATATGGTGGCCTTACGCGAGGTGACGCCCCCCGTAGCATCATGGAGTCGAGATTTTAAGCTTCAAGCGGCGTGGCATGACGTCGTCGAACGCTTTCTATCTAGCCAATCTTCATTTTGTCAACCGGGCCGGTATTGGACAATACTCTTCCTGGCGATGAACACACCCTCTTGCAAACAAAGAAGTACTTAGTCAACGGGGCCGTTACGGCCCGTTTTCATGTGCTTAAAAGTCTGCTCCTGTATACTGCATAGAACTCATTGATCATGAATCTTCTGTGGGCTCTCGGAACTGCGGTTGTTACTTGCAGTGCCATTCTCTACCTTGAGCATGTTTTCCGACGCAGGCAACTGTCAAAGCAGACGTGCGTGCTAGACGTCGATCCTCTGGGACTTAGGCTACCCCGCGAGAAGATCAAAGGAACGGCTGTTATTTGTGGGGGAAGGTGATCATGTCTCTAAGCTCTTAGCATATGATTCATTACCTGACTGGCATTTTCAGCATCGGCGGCCTCATCGCAGCTCGAGTATGCCATGACCACTTCGACGACGTTATCATCGTGGAACCAGAGGCATGGTTGAATTCTCCAGATGCAACGCGAGTGGACCCATGGAACCAAGAAAGCAAACGCTCCCGAGTGATGCAGTACAACTCGTTGCACCGTATTTCCTTTCTCGTTAACCACGGTTTCCCTAAAAATTAACATCAGTGATGTAGTTATCCTACCCCTGGGATACAAAGCGTTATCTAAGCTCTTCCCCAAGATCGAAGAACAAAGCGAAGCATCTGGCATAAGGTAAGCCTCAACCTCGATCTCTCTTCTCCTTATTTACGATCAGTGCTCGCAGGTTAGGTCCCAGTTACACTCAATTCCACGTGTGGGGAAACGCTGCCTGTTTACCATTCGCGGAATACGGCGGCACCCTTCCCAAGACAATCTACGCCGGTCGTGCCGGTACGGAAACATTCCTGCGTCGTCTGGTCCTCGGTGGGGACTACAAGAATATTCGTCAAGTCATCGGGACAGTCACAGGTGTCTCACGAAGCGCTAATAGCCCCGAGTACATCGACAAGGTCACGATCCGTACACCTCAAGGCACAAAGGACATCCCTGCTACTCTCGTTATAGGTACGATATCACTGTATGCATGTTTCCAATTCTGCATACTAACAAGACTACAGATTGTACAGGACCTGCACAGGCAGGTCTAAAGTGGCTCCGTCGCGAGGGATACGGATTTGCTGATAGATACAGCTCCAATCAACTACCCCTCGACGAGCTGAAGATTGCTTACGACCAAAAGCTCCACTATTCTACGCTCCAATTTCACGTCCCACCGGAACTCGGAAGGAAGATACCTGGTCTCCCATTCCCGTATGATGAATGCGGGGTAATATATGCCGTCGCGCCGGACCCTAAGAAGGAGAATCGTTGTGTCTATTCTCAGCGTGTAGATGGAGACATCAGCAAGTCGTCATACTACCTCTCATACGAATGCCTCCCTAATGCCCACTAGTGCAAATTTGCTTCACTGCAATGGGTGACTGCGAGCTTCCAAAGACTCTCGAAGAAGCCAAAGCTGGCGCCCGGTCTCTGATCACGGAGAAGCCTATTCCTGAGACGTTCTTCACGATGCTCGACATGCTCGACGAGGTAAAAGACACCATGACTTGCAGCCAAGTTCGCTATCGTATGTGTGCTTTCATGTTTCTCACTGAAAAATGCTGAAAATATTACCAGCCGGCTCTAGCTATGTTAGATATGAGCGTGCCGTCAACTTGCCGTCGAATTTTGTTGCTATGGGTGATAGCGTCATGAGAGTAAACCCCGTTTACGGGTATGTTTATTCACCTCTATCCGTTCCCTGCCAGAAGAGACTAACAATGCACGCAGACAAGGATGCTCAAAGGCCATCTTCGGTGTTGTCTGTCTCCACAATTTACTCATGAACTCGACGGCGATACCCAGAGATTTCTCAAAGAAGTATTTCAGTATTCACGCGGAAAAGATCAAACCACTTTGGTGAGCCTTTTCTAGCATCTACTTCAATAGAACTATGTTCTGAAAACGATCGGTCTTCAGGACGTCTCTCAAAGCCAGCGGTAAGCACATTAGTAGATGAACCATCGACGGAATTGATTGACTTTAACTATGACCAGACTATTCGTTCTCGACGACAATTCCGCTTCCCGGAGAGACGTTATCAAAAGGCTCGTGGCTGCGATGGTACATGAAGAAACTGACCATCGTAGCATTTACCGTAAGTTCCACAGTTAACTATAACTAATCGCTCATCTATCGCACCTTCCCGATCTATAGGATGAACAAGCGGGTTCAGTGCTCTGGCACGTCAGGTCGCTCCTTGCGCCGCCTTCTGACGCTTTCCAGTTGGGGCTTGTGCTCAAAGTGTGCTGGAATCTTATCAAAGGCTAGGTATTCGGACGCTAGAGCAAATGATTAGTAGAATGTTTCTGGGTTAATAATAAAGTCTGTGGACACTGTTGCCGGCCTGCCGCATGACGAGGGATTGGCGTGCTGAGTTTTCAATGCTTCCGCGTGCTATTTTCGAATATCTGTATGTTAAGAGAAGGACGAGTATGAAATGAATAGTGCCTCTCACCTAAGTATCATTGTCGTAACTCTTCCCACCAAAGATAAGCCTACAATCCTATTGAGAGATTACTGTTATATACAACTATGAGTGTACAATTCGAGTAGCAATGTATAGCGAGTCCATATAGTCATAGCATGTGCGTAGTCCAAATTCCGAGATATTCATGATGTGAAACGAAATAGTCCAAAAGAATTTACCGCGTCAACACAAACCCACTTAACCTCCTCGACCTCCTGTTATCCGCGGCATCGAGTTGCCTCCCAGGAGATCTGGACCCCGACCTCCCCGGCCCAAACTTCATCTGGCCAAATTCCTCTACTGGTATACCTAGATCCGTGGGACTAATCCCAGTGCCATTCTTCGAATTCATGACCATCGAATGCCTCATTCCGGCGGTGACGTTCTTGACATTCACAGTCGGCATCCGGACACCTTCAGGTTCGAGGAGCATTTGAAGGGCAAACAAACCTAGGAACGACTCGTTGCCCGTGTTGCGCGGTATGCTGGCCAAACCGGGGGCGAGCGTCATAATGAGACCGTCGAGAGTCATCGACGAGCCAGGTTGCCGACCTTCCATGATGCCGCGCTTCCCTGCAGCGAAGAGAGTTCGCTCAAAGGATGCGGTATCGATGATATGCATATTATGCGGTAGCTTTATGCCCATCTGTTGAAGACGTGGGATAACCTCGGCCGAGCCATGAATGACGAGAACGAGATTGTTGGCAGTTGTGTCCGAATCAGGCGATGCGAGAGAAGAGACTACAGCCTCGACGACCTGGGAGATGTTGGACTTTCCAATGACTTGCGAATCTCCGAAGGCATACGACCATGGGAAGGTTGGGTTAATACGATTGATGACTTGGTCGGCGTATTCTGCAGTTATGTAATGTCCTTTCCTGTTACAGCGAGGCTAGATGAGCACATAGTCCAGTTGAGAAGTTTGAGGGAACCTGTAATTCAATCAAAAGTTAGTTCACAATGCCTGGCTGGGACTGGCTGGTACCGAGCATGATCAAAAGTTTCACCTATCGTTGCGAACGGACCGTTCCCAGCCAGGGATAGTGAGCTAAGTTCTGATTAAATTCCGGGATCTCTACTGGGTGAAAGACATACCGATAATTCACATCCGGGACGGGAGGCCATTGTCCTTGCCTGCGCGTATTGAGAACAATCCAATAAATGCAATGTATGCGTACGTACGAGTCCAGGACCGAACACCGAACCGCAGCATACCCCCACTCTAGACAACTCTTCTCGTTCCGCTCGCTCCATACAAACGACAGCGTGAGGTAAGTCTTGTCGCGTGCCTTCCAGAGCGGCACGATGACTGTTGGATCTCCCGCTCGAATTCGTGTCTGTGAACAAGTCAGACAGAGCAGTGCCAGAGGTCGAGGGGTCATACCCTAATCGCAGCCAATTCTGAGGCGGGTAGGGTCGCATGCAGTTTTTTGTACCCAGTCCAGTCGTTGAGATGCCTCATATGTCGTGAAGCACCAGAAAAAGGCGTAACATGCAGGATATTGGGCGGTATAGGGAGTGTCTCACCGAATCTACCATACCGTCAGCGTTGAATTGCTCATTGGACAGCCTCACTACCTCGTTTTGACCATCTTGAGGAATGCATTCAGCGACCCCGGCCTCGTTACTATATGCGCCTGTCCCGTCGTCGCATCGGTCAAGGTAATCACAGGCCACGAAAAGGAGAGGAAATCGCCAAACGACGAGAAGAGATGGCCCCAAGACCGGTCCCACCAAGGGATTCCATGAATCTGGAAGTAACCAATGTAGGCCGAGTATATCGACTGCAGCGAGAGCGTCCAGCCGGCAGGCTCAACAAGGGTGAAGTCCGACATGGTGGTGGTCGACGACTAAGAGGACAGACACAATTTGGCGATGCTTGGCACCCTTGACTTCGCATCCATCGAGATTCCGGTCTTCGTCTACTACGGCCATCATCATGATTCACGTCGAACACTATTCCCAGGGCGAAGAACGCAGGACCTTCAGGCGCTCAGTTCCCAGCTACAAATATAGCATAGTCTTGCCTGCTTGTCGCCGTTAATTTGACTTTTTCAAGGATCTTACATTTCTATGGTCTTCAGTGTCACCGGAAAGCTAGCAACAGAATCGTACTCATGGCCAGGTTAACCACACTTTTCTGTAACCACTACGAGCATATGGACCAGGACAGTCGGGCCACTGGGTTTCCCATGCTGCATGCATATACCCATATGGCTTCTCCAACCACGGACTTTGCGGCGAAGCTTGCCCGTGAAACTGTAACAACCCCATTCAAGTTTTCAAATTGGAACTTCATCTAGTCATCCGACATATAACTTGGATGCTATCTCGCCTTTCTATTCGCCACTTTGCTAGTCTTTATCTTTCAAACGCTTGTCATTTCCTTGATAGCTGTACTCTGCAAGTATTCGGTTGTAACTAAGTCAGGGCTTCGAACTCACATTAACCATTTTAGTCTGTCGGTCGATAAATAAATGGTCCAGTGATATGGAAGATCAATAACTCGGATCACTCGGTTCAGGCCAATTACTTCTCTTGCATTAACCATGGTGTTGGACATACGGTTTTGATATCACACGGAATGTCAATGGTTGTCGTTACTCACCCAAACCTAGTCATTATATTCTCTATCGTCGTTCTTTTCTGCTCCTAGGACGCTTTGGCCGTCCTTCCTTTCCACCGCTCCGACGGACGCTGGTATGTCAGTTTCACCTTCATCATAGATGCACCCTCATTTAGTCCATCGTTGCCTAAGCAGGCACACGAAGATTACGTCCATGGGCGCTTGACTTATCGAGCTCCTCGTCTGTCCTGTACTTTCCCGAGACTAGATGTTTCGGATGCTTCTTCTCTTTGTCCTCTGTATCCTATGTACTGCTCAGGCAGTGTCTTTTCATAATGTCTCGATACCGAACAATGCTTCGCAGATTGTGTACACACCCTTCTTCTGTGATTTTACCGAGGGTGGTGGGGATTGCAAGGGTGGATGGTACGTGCTTCATTTCCGACTCCGCATATGAATATGGTTAATCGAGTTCATCTGAAGGCAAGCCGTTGACGTCGATGGTACCACTGTAATATCAACCGACGGTCTAGATGAGGAGGGGGCTGCGATAATACCTCAGATGTTCTTGCAGATCCATGGTGAGTCCACGCTGTGCTCACCCGTCATCATCATTACTAGTCTAACAGATCCAATTGCAGCCGCGGCATTGTTCGTGACAACCTCATCTCAATCCAATGCAACGATCAACATCACGGTTTCCGCTGGTAACACATCGATAGAGCAACAATTTCAACCACCACTGTCCACTGTCACAGTCGTGAACCTCATTGAAGACGAGGTCACGACTTTCAGCATCACCTTTATCAACGGGACCCGGCTGGATGTCGGGACACTGACAGCGCAGGTCTCGGATGGCTCTTCGTGAGGCTATGAACATTATTATCTTCTTTCTCATTAATCAAGGATATGTGACAGGGAAACTGTTCTACCGATGCAGACATTGCCTCCCGCAATAATTATACCTTCATCTACAACTATACTGGCGACACCGACCGGCGTTGCGTCCGCTGGGGGCTCAGTAAACAACAGCAAGCGACTCGCGCTCGCTCTAGGGTTGACGCTGGGGCTTGGCCTTGGCCTTACATTAGTATCCATTGCGGCGTACCTTGTCTGGGAAAGATCGAAGACGAAGGACAAAGACTTGGAAAAGACCGAGACTCGGTCTATATTCCAGTTACTGCGGACTCACAAGCAGGGGGACAGTTCGTGGTTTTGATATTCCTGTTGGTTTGGCTTTCCTCACTGTATACTAATAGTGTTGTACAAATACTGTATACATCTGCTTAATTTGGTCGATTGCGGCTATGATATCATTTCGCTTCTTTTCTGGTCCCCATCATCTGCAACCCTGAAAATTCTGCTCCGATGACACTGGAAGGTCCTGTATACCTCTCAGAAGACGAGCCTCAAATGCGGAAGGACCTTCTCATGGAACTGCCGAGGTGGCCACTGCTTACTTGTTTTGACTGCCTTGCGCAAGATTATTTTATGAAGTACTATTACGAAACGGTCAATGAAGACGGGGAAACCGATATCATTCATGACAAGACATTTCAAGTAGTCAGATTGAAAGCCTTCTTTGCCGCTGTGAAGGGATTTATTACGGTTTGTGCTCATATTTAAAAACTACCCATATTTAAAAACTTACCCATATTTATTCTTATCTAAAGGGCGACTTGGATCTTTCAAGCCGCCACCGGTCTGTAAGTCAGACGTAGGAGTTTTCATGGACATGGCTGATGAATTTTTACAGAGATTTGAATTCCTGGAAGACCGCTTCGTAGAGTTCACCGACGAATTGATGTCGCTCTACTTTCTCGCTGAGGAACTTGGCGAGTCGTGGAGCATCGACGTTCGAGGTTGCTGGCAGATGTGCATCGAATATCAATTCAAGGACGACACGAAATGGGAAGAATTCAAATCCAAAGGTTGATACCAGATTTCTTCTCGTTTGGCTACGTTTTCTCTGAATTCGGTGAGTCTGCGTTTGGTTTGTGGATACTGTCAAAGGCACTGATATAAGGATTCTTCAAGTTACTGGGGTGGGAATCATATTCACCCAAAAGAAGTCGTCGGCAGGGTTTCAGAAGCTTTGTCTGTTGGATCTTTCGGAGGAACTGCTGGACCTCATTTTTCGTGAATGCGACATTCAAGATGCACGTGCGCTTTCTGCGACTTGTCAGTGCTTGAAAAAGATATCCATCCCTTATATCCATATGGTTCGTCTTTCGTCTGCCATTCGATTGTTGTTTTTCTGATGCAGTGCTTGTGACTCCAGTGTCGCCTATTGGGGTTTCCAGGACCTGCGCAAAAACACATAAACCCCGATCATCCTATGGAAGAAGAAGTAGAAATGGAGTTGTTCAAGAAGTCTCAGTCCGAGTTCATGGACAAGTTGGATTTTCTTCTTACTCTCCCTGATCTCATTATCAGGCTCCAGAAGGTCCGCTTCTTCGACTACTGGATGGGGTATCTGCACAGAGAATCCCTCGCGGTACCCCGTGCAATGTCCCTCGTCATGGATGTCTTGAAAGGCTGCCAAAGTCTGACCACCATCACCTACGATGGTTTCAATGTCGACAGCCAATTCGTAACAGTACCTTCATATATCCTCCTAACATATACGACTTTTCCGATCCGGAACACTTACCGCAGCTGGCGCATGTCCGCGACCTTTCCCTTCTCCTAGAGCAATTTGGCTTCGAAGATATCGCCGTTTGGAATTTCGTCTACTTTTGTCCGAATGTGGTCGACCTATCTATTATGACGTGTCCTGGACAAGTCGTGCTTTCACGTGGATGCCAACAATTGTTGAAAGCCCTCGACTCCAGTTCCTTCGCAATCTATGCATGGACGGGCTATTCCCTGCGTGCATAAATCCTCTAGGGGAATGGCTTGTTGCACTCCATTCTTTGCCCCATCCCCCTCCGTTATCGCGCGTCAAAATTGGATTTGCCGTACCGCCGTATGATGTTAGTGTCGACGAGTTGCTGGTTGCGCTTCACGGCTTCCCTATTCAAGACTTAGTCATAGATGGACTAGCTGAGGGCAGGCCCGATCTGATTGAAAACATAGGCCAACGACTTCCGGACATACATTCCTTGACTCTCTTCCGTCGACAAAGCCCCCCGCCAACGAATATCCGTTCCATGCCGCTGGCCTCAGCCTCCGTGGATGTTACGCCTCCCGTTTCTCCAATTTCTCCAAACTACGGTCATTTGCGTGGAATTTTCATTTTCCATGCGAAGAAATAAGTCCACGAGATATAGTGATATTAGAGGGGAGTGCCGCTGATTGTGATCCCTACGTGCTTCCGTCCGACGACAAATTGTGGTATCGGTGGGATGACTGGTCGCCCGTAGACACCAGCCATAACATGGCTCGTGTGTTTTCTGTCTATAATCCGGCGCTGGAGGATGTTCTTATCTACCTGCGAAGAGGGGCGGTGAAGTGGCACATTGGGCCAGACGGTGCAGTAGGACAAGTGAAATTCCTGGATTCACCTTTATGGAATCCGATGTGGGAAGAGCAATCGGATCGCTCGATTATTGTTGAACGTTGAACACGTACTATAAGTTAGCCTATTTTAGCCCCTAAATTCGCATTATCAAATACTTACCTCAAACTTGGCACGTGCACGTATCTTCACCTTGTACAGCGACCACCACCACGATGTCGACCTCCATGCATTTATTGGAGAACGAATCCCAAATACGCAAATCTCTCACTACCTACCGACCCTCCTGGCCACAGTTGACATGCTTTGACATGCTTGCCGCGTCCACGATTTATCTGTGCTCTGATCGGTCAACAGCCCCTCCGAGATCCTACAAATGTATCAACGAACAAGGCGATACCGACATTATCCAGGATCCTTGCTTTCAAGGGATAAGATTCTACGGATTTATATTTTCGTGTGAGGGATTCGTCAAGGTGCGCGTTTCTCTGATTGTAGCAGCACTAGAGGCCTCAGCATCTTTACAGGGAGACCTTGATCTTTCTGGGCGCCACCGCTCTGTGAGTGACAAGGTCTATTTTCCATTCTGAATATTGAATGAGATTGTATGGAAGAGATACGCCTTTTTCGGTCCTCTCGTGCGCGCCTTTATTAGAGAGCTCACAGCCGTTCAAGCATCCACTGTTCAAATTGTCGATAACGAATCAGGAATCACGAAATTATCTCTATCGGACGACTCTGTCTGGGAAATTTTCAAGGCGAAATGGCTTATACCGAAAGGGCCCGACTTTACCACCGTCTTTGGTGTTGCACATCCACGTTAGTACTTTACATCTATCTACCAACTCATATTGGCACGTTTTTTGACACAGTTTTTGATGATAATGGAACTCCGGTAGAACCCAAATTTCAGGAGTTATGCTTCCTTGATCTTCCCAACGAGCTGCTTGATCTCTGCTTCCGTGAAAGCGATGTCTCTTCTGCTTGGGCCCTCTCTGCGACTTGCAAACATCTGAAAGCTGTTTCTATCCCATACATATACGTTGTAAGTCTATGCTTTGCGCCGGTATTCTTGTCACTGAAACCAAAGCAGTCTCGTTTACTTGGTGTGTTACCGATAAACCTAAAATCCCAGCAGCAAGACACTCAACTCAAGTCGTCCTCGACACATCTCAAAGACCGTTCATCACTACAGGAGGCGCGTGAACGATCTGTAGTTGCACTTGGATTTCTTCTCGGTCGTCCTGACATCACAAACCGACTTCGAAGCGTCCGCCTCCTCGATGATTGGTACCAGGATCACTATGAATACGCAGTCGATGACATTCATTCGATGATCTGCGACGTTCTACAGCGCTGTCCAAACTTGACGACCCTCAAAAACCGAGGATTCCGCATTAACGAGCAACTTGTTGATACGATAGCGGCTTTATCTGACCTTCACACAATATTTCTTCACGGCTGCGCGTTTTCTTATCCTATGGATTCTTTCCCCCCCTCCTACCCTTATTCGCTTCCTCAGCTACGGAGTGTCCGCCATCTTACGTTGCTTATCGACTACCATCTTCACCCCCGACTTAGTATCTTGCAGTTCACTTATTTTTGCCCAAACATAGTCGAGCTTACCATTCTTCGGCGAAGGGGTCCAGGGGCAGTAGACATACCTTCCAGATTCTCTGACTTTGCTTGCCTCCATCATCTCCAGCATTTGTGTGTTGACGGCTTACACTCTGCTTCCTTAAACAAGTTCAAGGAGTGGCTTGTAGTGCTAGGGTCCTCTACAACATCGCATCCACTATCTCATGTCAAAGTCGGATTGGCATATCCCGAATCCGATATCAATATCCTTCAGCTAGTGGATGTACTAGACAAGTATTCTATTCGATCATTGTACCTCGATGGATTGTCGGAAGGACGCCCAGAGCTCATTCGCGGCATTGCAGAAAGGCTCCCAGGCCTTGACTCATTAACTCTGCTGCGCCGAGCTGGATATCACGAACACTGGTTATGCCCCTGGCCGGAGCCGGGGTGGGTATATGCGTCCCGCTTCACAAATTTCACGAATCTTCGTTCATTTGGCTCGAACATGCTCATAGTGTTCGACCGGGTAACGCCTAAGGCTCTGATTCTATTCGAAGGGGGAGAACACGGTGATTCGGTTCTCCCTTATGCTGGACTACCCCCCTGGGAGCAAGACGATGAGTTGTCAGCAGATGATGAGCGTCATCGGATGGCTGTTGTATTTTCGGCGTTTATTCCAACGTTGGAAACTATCTCGTTCTGTACGTCCGTCGGAGGAATTGGCTGGTGCATCAAGGGGGTGTATGGACAGACTCATATCGAATACGTAGAACGGGGAATCCCAGATAGGCCGCGTTGGAATCCTACTTGGGCGAATTCTTTGAAGTCTTCAACGATGATCTAATCCCTTCTACATCTCTGCACAACCTACTTATACCATGATAAGATGCCGTTGTTTCTGTCTTCTCTCTTGGTGTAGACTGGCAGCACGCAAAACGCACATTCGCTCTAATGATTCATACTGGTATTCTGACAGTTAGCCTTTGATAGGTTGCATAGCCGGGCGGTTACCCGATGATTAGCATCGCTGTATGAGGAAAGCAGCAGCAGCAGAAACTTGCCGTAACGACATGGCGAGCCTCTATCCGAAGGCCATGAATTTTTTTTTTGATACTTCGTGTTTTTCACTTTGTATGCCTTTCGATGAACTTGTGAAATTAGACATGTTTTCGCTGAACACTGAAAGGAAGCATGGAATTTCAAGTTTAACATATCGATGTGAGGAGGGATCTTGTGAATGGATTCCAACGACTAATAATGGGATATAATACTCTTGTTTACCCTCTGATAAGACTCAAGCACACTTTAAGTATCAGCCCTGGCTGCAACGCATCAATAGGCGGAGCGAGGAGCGATCTGATATGCCATAATGCTGAACCCGCTTGGTCATCCTGTTTAGAAGTAAAGTGAGTAGTTGTTGAATAGTCTATACTGTCCGGGGAATTTACAGTGAAAGAGAGAACGGTCAACTTCTTTAGGTACCATCGAAGCCATGAGCCCTCAGATAATGTCTCTCCAGGAAGTGGAACTGTCGTCGGGAAAGAATAATCTGTATGCACACGGTTTGAATAAACGTGCCGAAAATATTTATACAATACAAAGCATACCTCCGGCCTTGAGTGACTCCCTAAAGGTAGGTCACTTTCAAAATGGAGCTCCCAAGAGAATGTTAAAAAACCACTCACCAAAGTGGTTTAATCTTATCTGCGTGGATACTGAAGTATTTCTTTGAGAAATCTCTTGGTATCGTCGTTGAGTTCATGAGCAACTTGTGCAGACAAATAGCACCGAAAAAAGCCTTTGAGCACCCTTGCCTATTATTATTGTTAGCTTCCAATGGAACCGAATGGATCAAATTGGACAATTTACCCATAGACCGGGTTGACCCTCATGACGCTGTCGCCCATAGCAATCCAATTCGTCGGCAAGTTGACGGCACTTTCATATCTAATATAACTGGAACCGGCTGATAGCATTTTCAGTATTTTTCGACAAGATAAATGGATGCACACATACGATAACGAACTTTGCTGCAAGTCATGGTATCCTTCACTTCGTCAAGCATGTCGAGCATTTGGAAGAACGTCTCAGGGATAGGCTTCTCGGTGACCAGAGATCGAGCGCATGCCTTCGCTTCCTCAAGGGTCTTCGGAAGTTCGCATTCACCCATGGCGCTGAAACAAATTTGTACTGGCAGATATTAGGTAGAGGTTCGACGATTATTCAAGAGGAATGAAGACGCACTGATGTTTCCATCCACACGTTGAGAATATACACAGCGGTTCTCCTTACTGGGATCCGTCGAATTGTTATAAATTCCCCAGCATTCGTCGTACGGAACCGGGAGGCCAGGTAACTTCTTTCCAAGCTCAGGCGTGATGCGAAATTGGAGTGTAGTATAATGAAGCTTTTGGTCATAGGCAATCTTTAGTTCGTCGAGAGGTAGCTGGTTCCGGCCGTATCTGTCAGCGAACCCATACCCCTCTCGTCGGAGCCATTTCATGCCTGCAGCAGTGGCACCTGTACAATCTGAGAAGGTGAAGAGTCGTCAATGTATGAAATCACGTTCTTGAAATAGCGAGGTCGTACCGATAACGAGAGTAGCTGGAATATTTTTGATACCTTCAACAGTACGGACCGTAATTTGGTCTATGGAATCGGGACTATGAGCGTTTCGAGAAACACCAGTGACTGTCCCGATAACTTGGCGAATATTCTTGTAATTCCCGCCCAGAACTAAACGGCGCAGAAACGTCTCGATACCGGTGCGACCAGCATATACTGTCTTGGGAAGGGAACCTCCATATTCTGCGTCTGGCATCCGAGCATCATTTCCCCAAAAATGAATGCGCGCGTAGCAAGGGCCTACTCTATAAATACCGATCAACGGAAACAATTTGACAGAGGACGGACTAAGGGGCTTACTTGATGCCAGATGCTTTTCCTTGTTCTTCGATGTTTGGGAACAGTTTAGACAAGATCTTGTATCCCATAGGTAGAATGACTACAGTGCAACAGTCAGTCCCCGGGATTGAAGAACTTCGACGAGACAGAAAAATACCATGCAACGAGTCGTACTGCATAACTCGCGAGCGCTTGCCTTGTTGATTCCACGGATCCACCCGCGTTGCATCCGACGTATTCATCCACACCTCTGGTTCGACGATGACAACGTCGTCAAAGTGGTCATGACATACTCGGGCTGCCAGAAGACCCCCGATGCTAAGGAATCGGTCAGTGAAGAGCTATTGAGATCAGAGGCAAGATTACCTTCCGCCACAGATAACAGCCGTCCCCTTGATTTTCTCGCGAGGTAGCCTGAGTCCCAGGGTGTCGATGTCCAGCACACATGTCTGCTGCACGAGTTGCCTTCGACGGACAGCGCTTCCGAGGTATAAAGCGATGCCGTAAACAGCGAGTGATAATCCTAAAATCCAAAAAGCATCCATAATGAAAACAGAGAAGAAGACACTGGGGCTTTTAAACAGATACGTTGCCGACCCTGGCCCGTTTACCAAGTGGGGATTGTGCATTGCCGTACTTTGTTGTTCGTGATGAGATGTGAATAATGAAATTGATGATACAATCTGCGTCCGTCGCCTGACGAGAGCTGTTTATAACAGCCCCGAGTCCACCGACGGCCCCGTTAAGTTTTAACTAAGTGGGGCTTTTTTAAAGGATTCTTGTTCCCATATTTGAGGTCAGTATGTAACAGATACCGTTTTGTTTGGGGGTTTGTCCATTGCTACGAAGGGTCGTTACGGGTAAAGGAAGCAAAGAACGGTTGGCGGTTAAATCGGTGAAGAGTTGTTGATCCCTTCGGCCGCCGATAATTCGCGATCACATGATCACTCAACCCTCTCCCGAAGTTTGGCCGTGGATGTCCTTTAAATTGGCCCACACCTGACCTTGAGAGGAGAAACCCCATTCTGGGATCGCATTGTTTTGCATGGATGAAATTTTCTTCCCTGAATAACCAAATTTTTCTGCTAGTGGGTATCAGCTCCGAATCGACTTTGTCTATTTACCCACTGCAATCCTCTCGTCAATGTCAAAATACCTCTAACCCAATGATCACGCTTGTTTCAGATGCCTGTAAGGCTAGACTGTTTGACGGGCGGAAACGGACTAACAGTCACTTCATCCGTGGGCTTCGGTACCCATACCAGGCTGTTGCCTTCTAGTGAAATAGGTATTAAGTGTGATCTTACACTCTGAGTTATTGCTGCCGAAGTTTTTCTCTATCCGGGATCTTACGATAAAAGAGTTCTACGTAACGAAAAGGGAACTTCAGACAAGATCGTTTGTTGGTATAGCCGAAAAGGATGATCTAGCCTTTTACCCTTCACCGCCAGCAAGGTATATATGTGTAAAGCAGTTAGTAACGGAACAAAGGTTTGCCTGCGCGCGTGCAAACAATAGCTTATTTATAGCTACACGCCAAGCTCGCTTTCGTCGGACAACAGCTTCATGTTCGACCTCTTTCTGTCGCTCCAAACGTACGGATATCGCTCGAGTCATAGTGATTTAGCAAAATCTTAGCCAGGAGTTCGGACTCGCGATACAACCCCGCCAAGACAATTGTGAAGCATCCTTTGGTGGCGCAAGAAGCGTCCTGATGCACCATCTGACCGATGCTTCATTTATCTGATCAGACGCATCAGGAATCCCTGCTCGTATGACATGAACGGGACACTTACATTAAAAAGATAGAGTCATATAACACTTCCGAAAAGCTCAAGCTATCTCATCCCGAAGCCGCCCGGGGAGGAGACTTACTTAAGGTAATAATCATGAGGGAATGTCCTCGTAGATTTGAGGAGCGGGAAATGGCTTGTTAATACTTCGGCTCGAAAGAACAGTACTAAGCATTGGTGTGTACCAATCTTCTTTCTTGGGAACTTGTTTGAGCGATCCGAAGGGGGTTCTCTTTGACAACGAGGATGCCATGACAAGAATATAAGCGGTGGTTCTCTTGAGTCGGTCTTCCGAGTCGGACACCAATATGTTCTCGGATTCGGATTCGGATTCGGATTCCGGACTGAGCGCAGGGGCAGTGGACAGCGAGTGGCTTTAACTCTGGAACAGACGGGTTAGTGAGGGTCATGTACCTGTAGACAGGACCTTACATGACCAACTTGCATTTCAGCAGGACAGACCAACATAGTCGTTATTTTGCTGAGTACCGGCACAGAGAGAAAGAGAACTCTTCGCTAATGCAGATGATGCTGTACAGAAATCGAAAGGTAAGACGAAGTGATAATGCTTATAAGTGGCATGGAATTTCCCTAAGACGAACCGTATAGTAGGTATACGCTAAAAAGCAACAGCTAGTTTATTTCCTTAGGACCAGTCAGAAGAAAGGCGGTGGTCCGTTGCTCAATCGCTGTATCGTGCGCTTATAATGTTCCGAGAACCGAGATTCGAGAGCGTCGCTGGGTTAAGAAGTCGGTTATCTATGGGATCAATGACGTTGAAGTAGGCAGAGGCGGGCAGACTCCAGAGGTAGCTAGAGTTATTCAGTGGACCACAACTAATACTCAATCTGTCCTTCACATGCACACTCGATGAAGACCTGGTTTACTTCAGACTGGCATCATGCCGCCCAGTTCGAGTCTAAGGAATATCGTGAGCGTCGATGCAGAAGGCTCTAATCTCGAGTACAGCAAACCCAAGAAAAATCGAGGATTCACCACCTACACACACTTCCTTGCGAAGGAGAGATTTCGCAGACATCTTTTTTCAATAGACAGTGGCAAGGCTGTAGTGCTTGGGGGAAGGAGTAACAGACGGGTTCCGAAGTAAGGCTGGAGAAAACAGGAGATGATAATAAATGAATCACTAAACAGGGTAGCTTTGGACTGACCTGTAAAAAAGACGGGACCATGTAGATTTTGAAGGAAAAACATGGTATATAGATAATCATCGAGGGTCAACAATCCGTGCTATAAAGTGGCCATGGTCGGCCGTGATGCATTGATGCACTGAAAAGGTCCCCGATTCTCGAAAGGTTACAGCATCTACTCAGTCAAAAAGCAGAAACTGTGACTGAAGAAAGATACTATTTCCTGCCATGAACAAGTACAAGACACAAACCATCTGCCAATCAAGCTGACGTTTGACTGTTAGTTTACGGGCCGGGGTCTCCGCTCTCGAATAATCATGCGATTACATAAGCCACGCCTAGTGGCCATCATTCCAGGGCTGTTCGTACCTTAGCCTACCACAGCTCACTTTTGTCGCTCTTTTTCTCTCCCCACCTGACCGCTACAAATCCTCTCTAACGAACTCTTCACGATTTATTAACATCTGAATACTCGCTTCTGTTACAATTGGACCTTATAAACATTCAGCTGCGGCGCTTAATTCCAACTTTATGCGATGGCCCAGGCCGTTTTCGACGAACATCCTTTGGAACGATATCTTAGAGGTTAATTGTCGATATATGCGCCTATTTGAAGCTTATCTGACGCTGTGTAGATGTAGGAGAGGCTCCGGAGCTCATGCCCGGTGGCTCGTCTGACTTTATTGGCCACGACGACGACGACGAAGATGCCCTGTATGTGGAATCGGAGGAAGACGTCTCAGACCCAAAGAATGAACTACTAACAAACTGGTGCACAGTGAGCAAATTCGTTGCAATATGGCTCTTGCTTGTAGTCTGACCGCTATTTAAGCGCGTACAGTCCATCGTCTCACAATTCACCTCTACTTCGCGTCCTTTTGTTGAAAGATTCAAGTATGACATTATTTCATCTTCCCTGCTTTCCACTTCGCTTTCGAACTCGCGTCCGGTGCGACTCATGTCCGAATCAATACCTGGGGGAACATTGCACAGCAGGACGTCTAGCGTCGACCATTCATCGCCACCATCATCAGCTCCGACATCATCACCTCCCGAATACTGGCTCCCGTCAGTCGCCTTGGCTATGGTAGTCGTATTCTCTAGCGCGGAATACTATTTCTTAGCGCTTCTGTCGGTCGGGGTGATGTTTCTCACGGTCTACGTCGAAAAGTTTGATGCGAAAGGCGATGTCTCCCCTGTAATGGATACTCTTAAAGACCTTATATCCGCTAATGACGCATGGAACTCGGTTGTGCATGAAGTCCTGACCCTGGTGGAGAAGGATGAGAAATATTCCTCTGTCCCTTCTTCGCCCTCCTCTCCCCTCCGCGTAGCTCTCAGCTCCACCCTTCACACGACTCAAATGCAATCGGACAATGTACGAAACCTTTTTGCCGCTCTCACTTCTCCTTCCGAGCTATCCCAGCTCTCAGAGATGTATGCCCCTCCATCACCTCCCCCAAAATCCTTCCCACCCAGACCCATCTCTGAACCGGGTTCACGCCGGCTTTCGTTCACCTCTCGGGACAGCAAGCGCTCGACATGGAATGGCTCTTATTCTTCATTGGCAGTGGCCGGCAGCCCTACGCGCCAGATTCTCAAAAGAAGAGAAAAGCGTCGTTCAGATTTATCTGCTCTCCTCGGCATTCCTACCAGTCAAAGCGAGCCTGTAACTCCCGTTAGCGCTCTATCAGGTGTCCAAGAGCAGGAAGAAGATCACGATACCAGTGACGATGATGAATTATCATTCACTAACCAACCGGAGGGTAGCACACCATTTGGAATGGCCGCTCTGGATCTACGGAGGAGGCGAAAATCAGCGGGGCTTGATGCCCTGGGTATGTCATTCAACCGCAGCTATGTTTATCCACCGCGTAGTCCGATATCTACATCATCTGCACTCCGTAGTCCGACAGCTAGTGCATCTAAATTCACAGCCGTTCAACCTGCGCGTCACCCCCTGTCCCTCTCTTCTCTACAAACGCTTCTCCAAGGTACCCTTGGATCGAAACGGTATGCCTGTGCACATCTACTTGCCCTTCGTTTTGGAGAAGACGATGATGAAGGCTACTGGGAAGACGTGCGATCCGTGATGGAACTCCTAACGAGTACATTCGCAGACACTGCTGCGAGACTGACAGAAGCCTTGGAAGAGGCCGAGAGGCTCAAGCTGCGGCTGGAGAACCCCAGTCCGAACTCACTACCTTCGCATTCACGTTCGGTAAGCCTAACGGGACAATCATTCGCCCCTATGCCCAGCCACATGTCGCGTTTCGCTGTCCATGTGGACGCGATTTCATCTGCGCTCAAGGACGCGAGGGAGGATTTGGATCAGTGCGTCGATGCCCTACGCGAGGAGTCTCTTTTCCCTCCTTCTCCCCACCCGGCTCTCGAGGCGTACGAGCGCTTACGCCGCGAACTCGGACTAGCCTTACGAGAGTGCGAACGCGGCAGAGAGCGACTCCTGGATATTATCTCACCCCCACGCCTAGATGATGATCCCGATCCCGATGTAGATCCTTTTGGTGGTGATAGCGTTGGTATCTCGGATGATCTCCCTGGACTTGCGAGTGATGATTCCGATAAGCCTGATTCTTCCGCGGCCCCTGCAGAATACGGTGATGTCACGGTAGATCAGAACGCAATCATCATGGAGGAACGATTACCGCCTCCGGGGATCGAACAGGTGTTCGAGAGCGAAGAAGGAGCGGGGATGGTGTTTCATAGGGAAAAGTCAAAGTTGAGCAGGGAGGAGAGGATCAAGCTGGTAAAACAGAGGAGGGAGCGTGGGGAGACGGCGTTGGTTCCGCGTGAGCAGCCTGATGATGGGGGGTTGAAGGTAGAGAAATGGGGCCCGGGAGGAGAAGTGGTGCAGGAGCTGAAGGATGTTATCTGGAAAGTGGGAGAAAAGCGTCGGAGACTGTTTAATGTTCCTTCTACCGCTCCGCCACCTCTCTTGGACAGTGTTAACGTTATTTGATCTCTCTATCTCTCTCTTCGTTTTGCATATCCGCTAGGTTTTCGTTGCTTGGTTTTTCTGGAGTACATTATTATATCCTGCATACTATGCTATCGACATGCGTTCATTTAGTTAATCATTTGTATCCTTATTCATCAATACAGCATGCTTTTGAACTTGATTCTACGACTTGTGTACCATTCAGAATGAAACTCAAATGTAGAAGGTTTACAAGCTGATCGAAACGAGGATGGACGTTGTGAGCTGACGGAGCTTGCGGAGGCAGCGCACATAAGGTGCTGACTAAGCCAGCGAGAGACGATTTCCTCTCTCGTTTGCAGTCAGCACCGCCTGCTCAGCAGCAGGGGCCACGACGTCTCGGCATCCCGGGCCGGGTCCAACCCACTTTTGAAGTCAACAACATCGGTCGCCTCAAGATCTCCAAGTGCCGCACCTTAGGACCATTTAATTCTACCCACATTTATCGGGTATTCAAGACGCGCCACTGCGAACGGCTTAATTAACGGGAATTCGAGGACCAATGTAGAAATGCATTTCAAAATTTGTGTGCCAATATCTTTGCTTGTCATGATTTCACTGATATAACCCACTTCGATAGGAATTTGAAAATAAAAATCCACTTGACGCGCTTTGGCACTAAGCACCTGGTCTGGAAGTTGAGTGGGGAAAAAAGTGGGTCGTGCTTTACATTCCGGTCTCGGGGTAAGTATTAACGGAAGGTGATGATTTGCAGAGATGAGATGACAAGACAGTTATCATGCTTTGAATTGCTCCTTTCACGGCGACTTTACTTGTCTTCAGATGAGATGCTACTCCGTATGAATGGGAAAAAATCAACAAAAAAACAAGCAACCACGTGTGCCAAAAAAAATCACAGTAGAAATAATACGTGAACCAAGCTAATCACTCGGGACCTCCGGCTAAAGCAACTCTCGTACGACAGGCAAACTGACACCATTTCCATGCTTTTTCTCCTTGTTGTCTCTTACCACCATGTCCAAGTCTGAACTTAATCCAAGGACGACACACTACGGATTTTTTGGTCCGCCCGGCGCGCTCTTCATCATCCTCATCCTTCCCATCATTACCTATGCTCTCTACTTTGGCTGCTCCGAAGAAACTGGGGGATGCCCACCGACTATCACCCCTGATCGTGTCATTCACGCTGTATCAAGTCTAGAATGGTGGAAAGGTCTCTGGGATACCGAAGCCACCAGCATCTACCTCGTGTGGTACGCGTTTTGCGTCGTCGCATGGGCTATACTACCCGGAGACCAGATCGAGGGAGTCACTTTACGCAACGGGGAGAAGAAAAAATATAAGATCAATGGTACGAGTGATTATTTAACGCGGGGCCACTTATCTCTAACGTATGTGTACAGCTTTTTCGACTTTCCTACTGGCGTCGGGTATTGCAATCGGTATTATACTCCAGAACGGTCCTGAAGCGTTCACCTTTTTCTACGATAAATGGGTCGGCTTCGTCACTGCATCTTTCCTGATGGCGTTTATTCAAGCCCTTTATGCATATGTTATGTCATTCCGCCAAGGCAAGCTTTTGGCCTTGGGTGGAAATACAGGAAACTTTCTTTATGATGTACGTCTGTTTCCGCCTCTCCAAGGAGCAAGTTCTGACCAGGAGGATCAGTTCTTCATTGGCCGTGAGCTCAACCCTACTATTGGCTCATTTGACATCAAATCTTTCAATGAGGTCCGCCCCGGACTTATACTATGGACTTTGCTTGACCTTAGCATGGTCTGTGAACAAGCTGTCCGAAGGGGAGGTTTTGGCAACGTCACGGATTCTATGTGGCTCGTCCTGCTTTTCCAAGGTGGGTATGTTGCGGACTGTCTGTACAACGAGGTGCGTCCCGAGATCCATCTATCGAACGCGTGATAATTTAAATGCGCGTAGCCTGCCATTTTTACCACTATGGATATCATCACCGACGGTTTTGGGTTCATGCTCTCAGTCCCCATGGCGTGGGTCCCATTCACGTACTCCCTTCAAGCAAGATATCTTGCGTTCAGGCCGCTTGAACTTGGTCCCTTCTTAACCATCGCTATCTTCATGGTGAATGCAATCGGTTACTACATCTTCCGAGTGGCCAATAGTGAGAAGAATGATTTCCGGAACGGAAGGAACCCAAAAAGTATGCTTCTTACCTCAAATAGTTTGTGACTTGTCTGGTTCTTGACAAACGACGACATACTAGATCTCAAATATTTTACTACTGCCTCTGGTTCTAAATTATTGACTTCTGGATGGTGGGGTCGTTCTCGGCATCCTAACTATTTGTAAGTGCTGATTGGCCTCTCAACACGCGCGTTCTCACTCGTCAAAGCGGCGATCTTCTTATGGCTTTGGCTTGGTCACTTCCTACAGGGTTCGACACGCCTATCACATATTTCTATGGCTCGTTTTTCCTGATCTTGTTGATCCATCGCCAAATCCGGGACGATGATAATTGTAAGAGAAAGTACGTCCGATTCGTTTACTTTTGAGAACAAGAAGACTGATTTGGTTTCAGATACGGGGGAGGACTGGGAAGAATATAAGAAAATGGTTCCCTACCGCATCATACCGTATGTTTACTGAGCGTACGAATGCTTTGAGAGACCTTGGTTAGGCGTCCTATTGACATCTTTTGAATTCAAAAGAGGATCCCTCTTGATCAGCATCATCCAACGGAGATGTAAATTGAGTTGCGTGTCAGGGAATCACACGTACTGAAGTTTCCCTTTGAAATGCTGGCATTCGTTTAGCAGGCGCAAACCGTAGGCTGCCAGGGGTTGTTATCTGGGATGTCGAACAGCCGGCGAAGTTTCGTTTAGGAACTTGGAAGTGTTTCAAAGGCTCATCGTAAGTTATATCCGCGTCATTCAGTCCATCATTTGTATCCTTATTCAACAATACAGCCGGCATGCTCTCGAGCTTGAATCTACTGAGTACCATTTATAAACCAAACCCAATCATAGCAAGGCCACAGAAAAACAACGATCGACGAAGGATAGCAAGTACAACGACAGCGAGAAGAAAGCATACGAAATACGCAAAGCGGGGAACTTCCTCACTACCCGTTCTAGGGACACGATCACAGGGATCACCTCAAATCTAGTGATCCGCCAGCGTCGTCTGGATGATTAAACCACTGTCCAAAGTCACGTTCAAAAGGGATGTCTCCGTCGGGTCGCAGGAAGGAAGGATCAAACTCATCCAACGAGTCGGCCACGCTTTGTATGAAATCGGGCGTGAAAAGCGCTGCGGACATATCCGGAGGCGCGGAGGACGGAGCCGGTGCACCACCGTTGGACGAAGATGGGTTGCTCCGAGCTACTGAACGTTGTCGATGAGCCTCGACGAGACGCCGCTAAATTCATGAATTAAATTAGCCCTGAATTCTTTTCAAAAAGATAGAGAAATTTTGAGACGCACCTTTTCATCGAATGTCATTGCACTGGGCTCTTTACCGTCCAAACCAAGTTCCTGTTTCAGCTGGCTCACGAGGTTGGGCGGTATGCGCACGATCTCGCTGAGAAAACTCTGCTCTTGAGCATGCCGTTGGTCCGTCCAGGGGCCCATCGGACCCATGGGCTGGCGAGGCATCATAGAGGGACTAGGGCCGCCTTGACTAGGTGGCCGGGCTAGTGGCCGGTACGAGGGACTAGGCGGTCGGGTTAGTTTTTGGTACGACGAAAACATTGCTGTTGGTCACTGACACACCGTAGGCCCACGATGGAGAGCGTGACTGGGCTGAATTCGCGGCGGCCTGGGTCGCATCAGGCTGGCTTTTACTCTTCTGCTCGTTCTTTTCTCGTTCTTTTTCGAACACAGACTGATACGATGGCATGGGCATGGTGGGCGTCTATAGATAAGAATCGGTTGTATGCTGATGTTGACCAATTTGATCTCTTTGGCATCTGGGCGCGCTATATGCTTGTGGAGATAAATTTAATAAAACGAGAAAGAAAAAAAGGGCAGAGGAAAATCTTAGAAGACCGACCAGCACGGTATGTCAAAGAAGAAGTTTTTTGTAGCAGGCGCAAACTGTAGCCTCCCAGGGGATGCTATCTGTGATGTCGAACAGTCGGCGAAGTTTCATTTAGGAAGGTGTTTCGAAGGCTCATCGCAAGTCATATCCGCGTCATTCAGTCCATCATTTGTATCCTTATTCAACAATACAGCTGGTATGCTCTCGAGCTTGAATCTACTGAGTACCATTTATAAACAAAACCCAATCATAGCAAGGCCACAGAAATACAACGATCGACGAAGGATAGCAGGTACAACGACAGCAAGAAGAAAGCATACGAAATAGTACACCAAGGGAGAAACTTCCTCACTACTTGTTCTAGAGACATGAACGCAGGGATCATCTCGATTCTAGTGTTCCGCCAACGTCGTCTGGAGTATTAAACGTTTTAAACCACTGTGCAAAGTCACGTTCAAAATCGATGTCTCCGTCGGGTCGCAGGAAGGAAGGATCAAACTCATCCAAGTCGACCGCGCGTTGTATGAAATCGTGCGTGAAAAGCGGTGCGGACATATCCGGAGGCGAGAAGGAAGGATCGAACTTATCCAACGAGTTGGCCACGCTTCGTATGAAATCGAACGTGAAAGGCGCTGCGGACATATCCGTAGAAGCGGAGGACGAAGCCGATGCACCATCGTTGGACGAAGATGGGCTGCCCCGAGCTACCGAACGCTGTCGATGAGCCTCGACGAGACGCCGCTATATTCATGGATCAAATTCAATAAATCTGAGGAAGATGGAGAAAATTTGAGATGCACCTTTTCATCGAATGTCATTGCATTAGGCTCTTTACCGTCCAAACCAAGTTCCTGTTTCAGCTGGTACACAAGGTTGGGCGGTATGCGTACGATCTCTGAGAGAAAACTCTGCTCTTGAGCATGCCGTAGGTCCGTCCCGGGGCCCAGGGGCTGGCGAGGCATCGCAGGGGGACTAGGCCGTCGGGTTAGTTTTTAGTATGACGAAGATACTGCTGTTGGTCACTGACACAGGATAGCTCCGTGATGAAAATCGTGACTGGGCCGAATTTGTAGCGGCCTGGGTCGCATCATCGTTCTTTTCTCCTTCTTTTTCATGCACAGACTGATACGGTGGCATAGACATGGTGGGCGTCTATAGATAAGAATTGGTTGTATGCTGGTGTTGACCAATTTGATCCCTTTGGCATCTGGGTATGCAGTATTTTATTCGAACTTGACGCTTGTGGAGATAAATTTAATGAAACTTGGGAGAGAAGGGAAAAAAGGGCAGAGAGAAAATTTAGAAGACCGACCAGCACGGTCCAACATGATACATCATTTTCGAGTATGTCAAAGAGGAAGTTTTTAAGTTATAAAGAAATCGGTACCGGAGTGCACAAGACTGCGAGTCAGAGAAGATCCTGCTGATGTAAGAACGCACCGATACTCACCACAGCTTAATTTCCGAAGCAGATTGAATCTACCACGAAGCCACGAGTTCCATCCAGAAACTAATTTATAGAGAGATAGAGAAAGAGAACTCAAAACAGTACATGCAGCAAGACTATATAGAAAAACAGAGATCGAGGGAAACTGTAACTAAATACTTATTCGATGCGCGAGTCGTATGCATACGTCAGACGCTACTAAATAACATATCGACAGGGACAGCGAGCACGACGACGATGTGGGGGTGGGATGACAGCGGAGATAGAAAACATTAGGGAGAAAGAGAAAGTCTAACGTGGCGGCGATGGGGGGAATAGATAGTGGGGGGGGGGGTAGGCGAGGTATCACTGCATGCAAAAAATGGCAGCTTTTGATGATAAATAAAAGCAGATACGATAGAAAGCTCACAGAAACGGAGAATCCACAAAAGCAAACAAAAAGAAACCAGAGGACTGAACGAACGGGAATCACTTCAAATCTAGTGCTCCGCCAACGTCGTCTGGATGGTTAAACCACTGTCCAAAGTCACGTTCAAAATTGATGTCTCCGTCGGGTCTTAGGAAGGAAGGATCAAACTCGTCCAACGAGTTGGCCACGCTTTGTATGAAATCGGGCGTGAAAAGCGCCGCTGACATATCCGTAGGCGCGGAGGACGGAGCCGATGGACCACCACCATTCGACGAGGATGGGTTGCCCAGGATCTGGGAGGGCGAAGGGGCGGTCTGGGCGGGGTTCGGCGCAGGCGTCGGTGGAGCTGTGGCGGCCGAATTAGGCGTCCGTGAGGGCCCAGGCGGAGCATGTGGTGATCCATCAGGCTTGCCAGCGTCCTTCTGCCCGCCTTGATCCTTGTTCATCCCTGGTGACGGCGGAGGCATCATACCCATTGGCTTCTGCTGCATCCTGTTATTAGGACCAGGGGCAGGGTTAAACTGTGGACCCGGCCCAGGTGGCGGTGGCCCCTGCTGTCCTTGTGAGAAATTGGGGTCCGAAGCAGGCGAAGCGGCGTTGCCAGGCATATTGCGGTTGTGCATCGGGTGTAGCTGCGGTCGATAGTGGTTCTGCCCATCGCGGTTGGGCATGTTGGGCATCTATTGCCGTGCACCGTTAGTCTGCATATAAAAGGTTAACAATTTTCGAAACGCACTGGTTGCATGTGAGAATTCATCATCCCTTGTCCCGGTAAAGCACTCATGGCAGGACTCATCGTACCACCCATGGGCCCGCCACTCATTTGTCCCATTGACATTCCCATTGTATTTGGTGCCATTTGCATTCCTGCTGGCTGGAAACCACCATTCATTGGTTGCCCACCCATCGGCCTCATCATGTTATTCATCATTTGAGGTGGTTGCCCTTGCTGTGGGGGTGGACCACCAGGTCCCACTCCCATAGGCGATGGTTGGGGCTGGGGATGTTGACCATGTGGAGGATACGGTAATGACGGTTGTCCTACGGGTGACCGCCGAGGACGTTTACGATCTGGAGGTGACGACTCTGTCCGTGGTTGTTCCGGCTAATGAAAATTAATATCTGCAAAATGAGCGTGGAGAAAATGCGCACCTCTTCTCCCGGAGATGTGCTGTTTCTCTTCGTTGGTCTTGCTCCAGGAGGCTGCGGTGCTACATTGCGTTGGTTTGGCGGTTGCATCATGGGATTCGAAGGTCCGGGGGTCGGGTTAGGCTTCTGATTCCGAGCTGTTGAACGTTGTCGATGAGCCTCGACAAGACGCCGCTAAATTCATGAATTAAATTAGCCCTGAATTCTTTTCAAAAAGATAGAGAAATTTTGAGACGCACCTTTTCATCGAATGTCATTGCATTAGGCTCTTTACCGTCCAAACCAAGTTCCTGTTTCAGCTGGCTCACGAGGTTGGGCGGTATGCGTATGATCTCTGAGAGAAAACTCTGCTCTTGAACATGCCGTTGGTCCGTCCCGGGGCCCATCGGACCCATGGGTTGGCGAGGCATCATAGAGGGACTAGGATGCGTCATCATACCGCCTTGACCAGGTGTGTTAGTTCGACTAGGTGGCCGGGCTAGTGGGTACGACGAAGACGCTATTGGTCCTTGTTGTTGGCCTGGATTCATCTGAGGTCCATTCGGAGGAAGCATGCCCCGATTTGGAGGCATATGTGGGGAAGGGCCCATCTGGCCTATCGGTGGTTGGGCGTGTGGCGGCGGCTGCTGACCTTGAGGTTGCTGTTGGAGCGGTTGACCTGGGGGACCTGTGTGTGGAGAATGAGAATGGCTCAGAGTGGGCGACTGAAAGGGCGGCATCCCATTTGCCGGCCGTTGTTGAGGTCCGCCTGGTCGTTGGTGTCCCGGAAGCATCTGTTGATAGTTCGGGGGTTGCGCCGCAGGTACTCCCGGTGGTGGTGGTTGCTGACCTGGGGGACCTGGAAGACCATTCATGGGAGCGCCAGGCATAGGAAAAGGTCCTGGGCCTGGCTGCAAGTGTCCCTGGGGCAGGGGGGCAGAATTGACGCCGTTTGGCATAGTACCATTAGGCATAAATTGTCGTCCTTGCTGCATTCCGTTCATGCCTCGAACCATAGGCTGTTGTTGCATAGGTGGCTGAGGGTTCATCGAAGGCGGCGGTTGCGGTGGCTGTGGCGGACGCGGCATCGCCTGTCGATTCGCTGCTTGTTGAGATTGATGCTGCAAGACAACAAAAAGCAAGATGAATGAACTGGGACCAGCAGCAATGGCCTGAAGACGCACCTGTGTGTAAATCATCGCATCTTCTGTCCCATGCCCATTCGCCTTTGCTGTGAACAGCACCCAAAACACACTCCACCACCTAGAAAACCAAGAAAAAGTGAGATCCCGTCGCTACGACCGAGGAATCGTGGCGCACTCGAATAGCAGGCCCTGTCTGGCATTGATCGGAGGCTGGGATTCCGGTGGTATCTCTGCCTCGACGAGCAGTTCTCTAGCTGTTTTTCGGAATCCTCGCTTGTAGCAGTAGTCGTAGATGTAGATATTGAACCTGGAAAAAGAGTAGTCAGCGGGGGAATGGGACGAAGCCATATATGGCAGACTGCCAACGAACATCTTATCGCCCTCCCAGGACAACGGGGCCGACGACGAGTCGAGCGGCGGGGGTACGGACTGCGCTGAGCCCGGCGGCGGAACAGAGGACATCGATGTCGAAGGACAAGAAGCAGCCGACTCGGTCAAGGTCTGGACAGACGCGTGGGTCAGTTTTATGGAGCAAATTAGGTTCCGGAGCCAGATATCGGGCGCGTAAAAGGGGGAATCAGGACCAATTCAGTAGAAAACGTCGTTTCTGGCCGAAATTTGGGGGAAATTGGCGGGGTAGTGGTACAGGTGGAAGGGATAATACACAGCGATGGGAAGAAGACAAGGGAGACCGAGGACAGTGATAGCCATTCCCGACGTGAGGCCCCAAAACCAGGCGCCGATCCAAATAAGCGCCATTTGCCGAAACCTATGAAATTCATCCCACCTTGACACGAATCTCAGATTAGCATTATAATCAACACTCAAGTACTCTACGTATCATATTATATATTATTATTATCCATTTCTTCTTCTATCATGCCTTACCCTCAATGTCGTCGCACTACCGCTATCTGAAAATCCCACCCAGCAAGTATATACTTCACCTCGAACAACCGTCGTATCTCCCTCCACCCACTGATGTTATTCGCTTCTTCAGCTTCCCTCAAGTCAGTAACGACATAAATGAAGTCAGCTGGTGACAAGAGTGATCGAAGGAGCGACCCAATCAAGAATGCGATGAGTGCAATGATGATGAGAGTCGACAAAGGATACTGTCTCGGCACACCCTCCCTGCGGCACGTTAACACTGTACTCGCATCGATATCAGCCAAGCCCCCAGGCAGCTTTCGGTCTGATCCACCTCCCGTACCTCCTGCCGTCACTGCCGGCATGCCACTCGTCCCATTCGCAGTGAATCGCGTGAGAGGATTCGGGTACGACTGCAGAAATCCGAGTAGTCCACCCACCGGCGTGTGAGGCGCATGAGGCGTCGCAGGAGGATCAGCTGCCTGCTTCATGTACGATCAGAAAATCATCCAACAAAGGCAACGTCACCATCGCTCACCGCTTTCGGTCCATCTTCGCTGCGCTCTGCGCTTGATCCCCGCTCTTCAGCTTCCTGCAAATCCTCTCTTTCATCATTCTTCAAGTTCGAAGCAGAAGCAGGGTCCAAGACACTGAAATCAAGTGCTATGGGCCTGAGCAATTCAGCCGGCAGCGGCTCCGTTTCACTCGTGGACCTGAGTATAACAACATCACATCAATACATCAACCAAAATAGAAATGAGCAACACAATCAAACCTTGAGAGCTGTCCCATCTTCGACACTCTGTCGTCTGATAATTCATCGCGTCCAAGCGTCGTCAATGACTCTTTCTCACCAACAACGACAACCGTAGCCTCCGAATCATTTGCCAAAACAATTACACCCTTCTTCCCAGCTGCCAGTGGCCGCACTTCAACATCAACAATTGCCCCGCACTCCTCCATGTCAATCAGCCATTGCGGTTTGGGTGGTGCACTCTGTGTTTCTCCCGTCAGTGGGTCTTTGACGGTCGAAATCTGGTATTGCGCAGTAGGCAACGTCAGCCTCAACAAGTGTCTAGTCGGGCTTCCAGCGTTCATACCCGACGAATGCAGCGGGGATAAGGGTACAGTATGAATCGTATAAGCCAGCGGTAAGATGCATCGCTTCGCACCCTCGGGTAACTGAAGGTCAATAAGGCCAGGCTGACCTTGCAAACCTCGTTCACGCGCTCTCGATGTCAATACAACCGTGTATCCATCTGGATACAACTTGGAATCCACAACCAGTTCACCAACTAGGAGATCCGTAGTTTGGCGCACTTCTCCCTTAACAGTAAATGCCGAAGACGACCGGCCACGTAGCGAGAACTCGCCAGAAAAGGATGTATCGGATACGCTACGCTGGTGGGATGTCGGTGACTCCGATGGAGACGTCATCGGCGTTAACGGTGACGAAGATGCCGAGGAAGATGGAGGTAACCCTGAAATTGTTGACGCACTGCTTTGCAAAGTTTCCGATATCGATGGTGGTATTCCATCGTTTGGTGGGAGCCTACTAGAACGAGGTGTTGAATGTGTGTCAGGACTGCGTGATGATCGCGTCCCAGTGGGAGGCAATGAAGAAGGAAAACTGATGAGAATTGTACTTGCATAGACGCGTGTATCATGCTTGTAGCTTGTTTTAACGAGTGTTCGGATGTCGTCTCGCCGTCTGAGTTTCCAAGAAAGGTCCCCAACTTGTGCTTCGTCTTTCTTATCGGCCAACACAAACCCAGGCGCGGGTAACCGGGTTATGGGAAGCGGTGAGATGCTCTTTACAAACGCCTCCACGCCCAAAATCGCCCGAGGGAGAGCCGCGTTTATCATTGAATTGACGGCAGTAGGAATAGACCCTGCATAATCAACAGCAACCAGCCTCGTGCACCGCGACGACGGCACAGCATAATTTTCCTTTGTGTAAGGATCCAGTGTCTCCAATATCCAGGCGTCGATAAACACCCGTCCGACAGGCAAAATATACGGATTGTACTTCCCTGCAGAGAACGACGACACCGATTCAGGGCTGAACGATACGGAAACGCAGTAAATAGCGCTGCGCGAACTGCTTGATGATTGCTCCGCTACATCCCCCGTATCGCTCCTCGACAATGAAGGAGACGCATGAGCTCGAGCCATAACGCTCGCCAAATACATGCCACGGTCTCGAAATGGGAATGCACTCTTCGAAACCACGAAGCACGTCCGGCAATCGGCACCATATGATTCCAACATGATGGCAGAATCAAATCGCTCGTCCCACTTCTTCCGACAGTCGTATTCAGTCACGATGGATGCAAGCTCCTCTGCTGACACGCCTTCGATCACCTTCTCGCCCATATGGATGGGGATACTCGGAGATATCTCGGGAGATATCTTGCGCCGGATTGTCATTCCTTTATCGCTGACTGGGATCCATGCTTGCGAGTTGATGCAAGAATGAGTTTCTTGAGTCCAAGCCAGGGCGTCTAGAGCATATTGAATAGGAGATTTTGTAGCAGATGGTATGCTGCTAAGGTCCGCGGTCGAGATCACTGAAGAGGCTGATTGAGGTGCCGAAGACGACGTCTGATCAGACGAGAACGTGAAGAAGCGCACTAGCGGGCTAGATATTTGAGGAGCAGATGGCCACCCAGACGATGTTGCACTCGTTGTACTCGTGCTAGACTCCGTGGGAGCAGACACGCCCTCCGAATCAGCATCCCATTCCGCCCGACGCTTGCGAATGACTCCAACGACGGGAGGTTGATCAAGTGGTATTCGCACAGGTTTGACGCGTTTTCGCTTTGACAGAAACTTTATCTCCTGCTCGGGGATCTCCTCAACGTCGACGTTCACCTTTGCTCCGTTCACCATAACGACCCCTTTTTCTTTCCCAGGACCACGTCGAACGATGGCCAATAAGCGTTCATCATCGACAAAAACGGCGTCATGAATGATGGTCAACCACAATCCACCACCTTCTTCAGATAACCGGTGTCTTCGAAGACACGAAATTGACTGTGGTGGCGGATCGATCACAATATCCAACGAAGATGCCCACGTATCCATGTCGCATCTGAGTTCACATTCAATGATGGACAATGTCTGCAAACTCAGGCTATTTGATGCCGTATCACCACTCGTGTCATTTGATCGACTGGCAGAAACTTCATATTCGATTCTGAAATTCATTCGTTCGTGATCGTAGCGGATTTCATTGGCCTTCGCCCCAGCTAGTCGGGTCATCACTGGTGGACCACCGCATTTGATGGTGAATTCACCGATACCTGCTAAAGCATTCATCATTTGCGTGGGTATCGATGTCTTATTGGTCCAGCCCTTTGGATCTGACTGCTCAAGCAAGGTCACAAGGGTGGTTGTCGGTGAGAGTGCCTCAATCGCCCAGCCTTGCAGGTCCACTTGAGTGCGGATGACGTTAGGCTCGGCAGGTGGAATGACGGGAAAGAGATGTGGATCGTCGGCAGAAAAGGCGAAGACATGGATAGTAGTGGGGGATTTATAGACAGTCTTGAGCACGACAGCATCTCGACCACTGGTCTTCGTTATCAGTTTAAGCCTAAGTATGCCATCCAAGACACCTACTTTACTGGCCAAGCAGGTTTCGTTTTCAAATGCCAAAGTTCAGTAAGGTCATTGACGTCTTCTAATAGCACGGCGTCTTCATGCTGCTTGTCCCAATAATTTCTGGCACCCGGTGTCACGATAGCACCGTAGAGGTCCCAAAGCCCAACCCCGACAAAAGTCGCTTCGGCTCGATATACTACAAGAGTTGGATCAATGGAATCCAATTGAGTGATCGTGACTCCACGAGCCTCCGTATCTTCATTGCCAGATGTTAGTTGAGACCTTATCGGGAGGAGTGATTGACTCACTTCGTTTCCACTTGGCTTCAGGTTCCTGTAATAAGGAGGAGAAATAAATATAGTTCCTCTTGACGCGAGACAGAATAGACTTCTCAGCGGCTGGAGAACGTTCGGTATGTGGTCGGGCAATTACGGGTATAGACGAAGTGGATGCGACACTGGTAGCACTAGCTGCGCTGGTATTGAGGGAAGAGGTGGTATCGAAGCTTAAGCCAGCTGCGCTGGAGACGTCTTGAAGGATCTGGGAAGAAATAGTGAAAGAGGAAGGATCACGTTCTTCCACTTCTTGTACGGTATGAGGAATACCGTTCAAACGGAGACCACTTGACGGGCCAGAAATCTCAATCACCACTCTGACTCTGAGAACGGAATGCTCGTCGATCAGTGGTGCATGAGAGAGTCGAAATAGTATTTGATCCAGTGGAGTAGAAGCTGAATGAGAACTGGTTCGTGTCGCATGAGCGGACCATGGGAGTCTTTCCACTTCTTCAGATGATGCTTTGACTGAGATCCGTATGTCCCAACCTGCAGATGCCGGTAAAATGCACTCAATCGAGCGAGTGAGCCGTCGATGCTCTCGAATGGCATGTAGTTCATCTAGACCCTGACTGAACTCTGAAGAAGATGTGACTTTATGTTCGTCTTCCTCTGGTATGATGGAGTAGTCAATGGTGAGGGCTTCTCTGTCGACTTGAAAACGGATGCGTTCTATAGTCACGCCGTTTCCGAATCCAATCAGTTTCGGAATACGCATTCCACGTTTGAGGACTGTCTTGTATAGACCCAGTATCATGGTAGACAGCTGCTGCACTATGCCTGACGTCGATCCGATGCTCCAAACAGCTCTTAGATCGTGCTGCCAGAAGCAGGTAACTCGAATTCGACCTACAAGAGACGGCCGCCTCCTAACAAGATCGCTGTCATTTGCTGGTAGTGAGGGTTGTATATGCTGTATACACCAAGCGAATACTGTCCGAGTCGTCAGTGATGCAAGACGCGAAACTTGAGATTACTGACAAGTCACATTTGACCGGACATAGGGAGGTGCGGGCCGCAGGTACACAGGTTCGTCGGGAGACCGAGGTAAGGAGGTAGAAACGTCGATAAATGTGGTCGCGTCGTGGAAGGAACGCGATATCGTAACCGCGTCACGCGGACTGTCAAAAAGTCAGGTGGGAGATGAAGAAGTGAATGTAAAGCCGCACTTTGCGGGCCATCCCAGCGTGAAATTCGTCTTGGAGATCCGTGCTGTATGGTCAAACATCTCTACCATATGCGAGTCTACGACAGCGGGATCCCATTCCTTCCTCAATTCAGGAATTGACAGCACCGTCTTCCATGGCTCCAAAGAAACCGACTCTTCCGTAGTGGGAACCTCAAGAATGAGGCGGTATATGTCGTCTCCTGGCTTCGTCGAATTCCGATGAATTACCACGTCAGCCAGCTCTGGGGTGGATGTCATCCGAGATTTCCCTTTCCTGCCGGAAGATGGCTCATTTGCAGCAGAAAGTCGTTTCCATTCATTCGGTGAGGAAGAGGTGAGAAGTTGTCGAAAATGAGTTTCCGCCTTGCTCAGTGCATCGTACCATGACTGTCGTAAACTAAACAATAAGCGCACCGACTTTTCACACCGCGAAAAGGAAGTAGCATACCTAGAGCCATCAGACATAATTCTTCTTCTTCAGGTCACCACAAAGCGGAATCGTGAGGAGCTGTAGGCTGAGGCCTTGAGGTCGTGGCGGCAAAGTGGGCAAATCGCCAATTCAGTCTGGTGTCATACAGTCATGACGTATGACTTTGTGTGTCTTTATTTGGTTCCAAGGATGTAGGGATCCCTTTTGCGGAAACAACGATCACCTGATCGTGATCCCTTTTTGCCGTTTTCTTCTTTCTCTATATCCCCCTTTTTGTTACTCTTCTGTATCAGTTATGGCGCCAACGCGACCCAACAAAGAAACGGACCGTGAAGGTTGGAACAAGAGTTGGGAGCAGGAGCTGACCCGTCTCTTCCCTGTCAGTAGACGTCCAATGTCAGTCTACAAAGGAATGCCACAGAAAACTCTTCAATTCATTCGGCAATCCTCTACGCATCTGCAGGACGACTTCAACTCTCAAATGCGAGAAATATGCACTCTTCAACGCGATTTAGTCAAGGCTGTCGTGTCTGCCTTTGCACACGAAGGGTTCGAGGAAAAATGGCGCTTGCTCACACAAAAACGCAGAGAGGAGCTTGTCTTAGAAGGCTTATATGTCACCTCTTGCGCTGGGCCTGACATGGAGGATCGACGGCGATGGTGCCCGGAGATGATTGTCAAAGCACTCGCAGGCAACAACGACAAGGACTTCATTCAGCTTCTGAAACTGCACCTCCCCAAGGATCAAGTAAAGGACGACTTGACGGCCCCGATACTTCTACCGAATGACCAGTTCGAAAAAATGATGAAGATTGACCCAAATGACCACGGGCTCCGCCGCTTGGTAGACATCCATCGTTTGCAGAGGGCGTACTTCATTACGATGACGTTATGGAGCACTTTCAATGCCATTGTGCGTATCATAAACCGTTCTATTCACCTTACGCTGACATGACCTACAGATTGGCGTTCGAGAACAAGTTCGGACCGTCAAGGTCTCTCGAAGGATAACAAAAGAGGACAAAAACGTCTGGCGAGCCGCTGAACAAGTACTTGGAAAATCTGAAGTCAAAGAGATCCGTCGCACTCAGGAGAAAGCTGAAGTCACCATCTGTTGGAATTGCAAAAGAGACGAAGAATCTCTGCAAAAGCAAGGAAGAGTACTGAAGGCCTGCGGAAAATGCAAACCAATCGGACGTATCATCCGTTACTGCTCTCGGTAACTATGTCTCGGAGTTCTCGGATTTTATTAGTTGAAAACTCTGGACAGGGACTGTCAAGTTGCCGACTGGAAACACGGTTTCCCAGTACCACACAAGAATATATGTGGCAAGAAAGGTTACGACGATGATGAAGGTACCCCACAACCGGATCAAGTGACCATACCCTCGTCCCGTGGACTGACAGACGCGGATGACACTGAGATAGATACCGGAATACCAGCGCCAGAGCCCTTTTTCAAACGGTCGCCTGCCCTTCTACACCAAATCTCTTTCCATACTGAACCAGATAGCTTTGTCGACTATATTGTCGTCTCTCGCTTTTCCCTCCTTTTCTCAGCGTTAATTATGAGGGTTAGTTTGTCAGGCCGTATCCCCAAGATGATCATGGGGTCTCCCTGGGACTCGAAGACGGTGACCATGGTTTACGTCTCTTCATTCGATCTACTGATGATTCCGATCTTCACAGATAAAATGAAATTCCTCATTATACGCCGAAAAGGTTCGTCTGCTTCTCCACAATGACATGCCGTTAACCCTCCTGATTGTCATTACAGCGATGAAAACCGGCGACAAAGCGGCAGTCGCGACGATGTACAAGATGCTGTTACCATATGCCGAGAAGCTCGCCTTTGGAGGAACTAAACTCAAAGCTCAACTCAAGAGTGAGTATGGGGTGGACGTGAACACGGTCGAGCATCCCGAACTTTCACCCGTCACTGAAGAAGAGAAGCGAGTTGGTCTGACTCTAATGATGAAAGGCTTGATGATGCGGGATAATTATTCGGGTCCGAAGATTCACAAGTAGAACCAGTAGATTCCTGATAAATAGTTGTACTATAAAGCGATGCATAATTTGAAGTTCATCGTCATCTTCTTCTGAATGTCAGGGGCATGCGAAGCGGTCTGCATATACCGTCATGAGAAGGTCGATAGAATAGGAGAGCACACTGACGTTAACGATAGGCCACCCTTCGATTTCAGCATTCGGTTCTTCCTTTCCTCGAAAGTCTCTCCCCAGAATTGTGGTTCTTCTGTTACTTCAATCTTGTACCGAGATATTAGGAGCGTGATGACCGCAATCGCCTCGGTTTCGGCAAAACTGTATACTTTGGTGTGGGAAAATCACGTCGTTGGGGAGATGAATACAGCGTACCCTCTACCAAGACACGCTCTAGCGGCGAGACTGAATGGCATAAACGCCTCCTTGGGCCAGTCTCCGAGAAATCGCGAGGGATTGAATGTATCGGGGTCTTTCCAATATCGAGCTGCCGGCAATATACATTCAATGAATGACACAATTAAAGAACCCAGTGTTCACGTAACTCACGATTATAATGCAAACCCGGAACATCTAGAAATACCGACGCTCCTTTAGGTACTGGAATGGTTGCATGTTCTCCTGTGGCGCTTGTCGCTATTAAAACGGTGTCTTCGGCACTTATCTTTGGTATGCCTGTGACCTATAGTTAACGTAAGTCGGACGTTTTGAAAGGGAAGGACTTCTTCAATCACCACGGGGAACATGCGAAGCGTCTCGTTGAAAACGCTGCGCACGCGTTTAGATTATATATAGAAAAGAGAACAGATGAAGCGCACGCTAGGGAATACGTGAACAGAGGCAGCATTTCGTATGTCTACAGAGAATCTAGTTGATGAGTTGCAGAAGGAGCAGTGTATAGAGCGCGTACAGGGACTCGGTTGTCTGGGACGATAGCGTTGATATGCTGGTAAAGCTTTTCTTGCTCGTCGGGGTACAGTGCCAACATAGTGAACGTATATGCTAACGTATGAGCCGTAGTCTTTGTATGTCAATATCGGTTAGGTTAGTCCCACTTATCTCATGAGAACACTCACCTCATGTCCAGCAAGGAAGAATATAAAGATGTTTCCTAAGGTACAGGGAGTGAGTCTCACTAGTGCAATGACTCAGGATACGTACCGATCAGTTCACTCTCGGATAACTGTGAAATATCTCCTTCATTCGCGTCCAGCAAACCACTGAATAGATCGTATCTTTCTTCTTTCTTGTCAGATGTGCGCCGATGCCTGATCATTTCTAGCATGTATGACTTTTATGCGTAAGTACCTTTCCTGGCATGATATTATAAGATATACGAATCATACCTGAAGCTCGTCATACGCATCTCTCACCCGCCTCCATTTCGCAGTCAATCCCATAGCCAATCGGGGTAAAATGATTTTGATAGATGCGCCATCGCAAACATGGTAAAGAGCATCTCTAAACGTCATACTGTGCCCTTCTGGGATATTTGATTCTCTTTGCCATGACATATTGCGACCAAAGCCTGCGATGCCGATAATGAATTGGGTAATCTACGCCGCACATGAGAAGGTTCAACACCGACATCGGGAATGAAAACAACCTACCGCCAAAGTAATATCAAGTACATTCTCGGCCTTTGCTTCCTCTTCATCCCTCCATACATCATGGAACAATTCCTGCATGATTTTCATAGTTTCTTCCCAAACAAGCTTGTTGTTTGCCTAGGAGAATTGTGATTCTACGACTTCACACGAGAAGAGACCCAAAATACTTCAGAAAAACCAGGAGCACAGATCTTTCTGTACTTCTTCCAAAGCTCCCCTTCGGACGCCACAATATTGCTTCCAAAAGTTGAAAGAGCTTCATAGAGTTTGACAGGCTTGGGGAAACGCGAGCGTGAGGAAGTGATTTCCTATTCATAGTCACGATTAAATGGATACCAAAGAAGGAGCGGATGCACATGCCTTGATGAGTGCGACGTCCGCGACGACAAACTGAACGCCTGATGGGAACACCGAGACCTGCGAAACGATATCCCATCCAGCATCCTGGAAAGCTGTGGCGACCGCAGGTCAGCGCGAACGACGAACAGGAGTGTGACGCACTCTGATATTTGTTTTCGAATAGATGATCTTCATTCCAACCAAGGACCATCCGTAGAAGGGCGACTACAAGATTCCATTCCTGGAAGATTTTTCGACTCCCAGGGTGATTTCTGCATAATTCTCAATACATGAGACCGAAGGGAGGACGAGAGAAACTATGAACCCAATGGCCTTGATATTCCGGTGAAATTCAACAGCCTTTTGGATGATCCAGAGCGCAAGGAATGAAAAACATAGCACTAGAAACATAGTCGAGGCAAGTAGATGAAGGACGGGATCAAAACAGATGGTGTAGCGGACCCTGGATTAGACGATGTTTTTATCAGCCTCTCATGATCATGGGAATCATTGCAGAATGCGGCTAAGATACCCCACACCCAAGTCACGGCTACGGAAAAATAAGCTAAAAGTAGCTATGCCTGATGGAGCGTGATATTTTTGTTGGGACGGAACTTGCAGGTTCGGAATAGTTCGTATGTCAAATAAATTGATCCTCGGGAAGATACGAAAAGAAAAGCAACTCGACAAGGTCCAGGAGCAAACGATGTCGAACCAGGAAATTATCTCATTTTGTACGTTCTATAAGTAAAAGAAGTGAGTTTCCTGGGGTCTCGCGAATATTGATAAAATGTAGCATACCTTCTAGCAAACCTGTGAAGCTTTTTGAGCTTCTCATGACACTGTTGGTCACTGGCCAGTCACAGTGTGAGGTTTCGTATGGATGTACTTACGTGTTGTTCATTTTCCGAGGGCATTTGTAGCACCATATGAGCTGGCATATTTCGTAGTTAGTCCCCATGTCGCGTTTACCACAGATGTAATCTATCTTTTTCACTCACTTGGTACGGCCCCGTGATTCTAGGAAATCCCGTGGCCGAGTACAACAGCGGGAATCTCATCCAGATCTACTAAGCATATCAACAGACAGATCCATGATGTTCTTGATCAAGACCCATCAATAAGATGAAGATCTCCAGGACTACGTGATAGTGGTGCGTTTAACGAACCCTTGATATATGGGATATTCAAACGCTCTATGTGCTGAACTGTGGATACTGTTTAGAGTTTAAGTCAGTCAGTCGATGTAGAGGGATGACATACTGGAAAATATCCTCTCCGTCGTGAACGTCCAAACGCCGCAGTATTCATTCAGAATTCGGCGGAAATATCATTCCTAAATTCGATCGGCCATCCAAGAATGGTAGGCGGCGATGAGCACCGGTCTACGGGATAATCGCAGAAAATACCTAGACAAACATGCCGGGCTGCCAATGTCAATTCCCAAAATGTGGTCAGATAAGAGCGATGACAGCGGACTAGTATTGTTCAGTACTGGAAATTCACCGGTAGGTAAGGGACAGGAATTTTTCCAAGGTTATGTCCTGAGAGGGATTCGCCAATAGATGCGTCGAAGACGTAAAACGAGCAAGTCCGCGCCTTTAGCTCAAGGGGCACCAGTCAAAAAAGGGGGACATTGAATATTTGCTTTGCGAAAAGACAAGCGAAAGACCAGCAACTAACTAGAGTCCAAACTTTAGATGTATCGACGCCGACAAATCCTAAAAGGTCAAATCGCACCGACAATTTAAAGGCGTTGGGTACCGGAGCATTTCGAGACTAAAATTCACCTCAAATAGTTGAAGACACGACCAAAAGCAGCTAGACGGATGCGGCGCTTTGTTGTCCAAGAGATTACCTACTTATAATAAGACGAGGCGGGCGGAAATCAACGGTGCAGTACTCTTCTAGGCCTTGTGTACCATAGTCAGCAGAAGGGAAACCACTATTACTGTTGGCCAAGGGATTCGCACCGGATGCCAACACTGTTTCCGTTGCAACGAGGTACGCCAAGGGATTTGAACATGATGCCAGTGGATTCCAATAGAATCATCACGTCGCCATGGCTAAGGTCCAGCCCTGTCCTTGAAGTAAGAGCTCCGGAGATGAATACTTTCTCACAAGTATTGTGCGCTAAACATTGATCATAGAAATTGAACCGACTGAACAGGTCATGATGAAGTTGAGGAAACAAGCACGTATCGCGCACGGAAAATGTCGGGCCGACATGAAATTTGTTCAGGGCCGCGGCCACGTGCCAAGCTCTCGCTCCATAGAAAGTTTCTTTTTTTTTTTTTTTTTTTTTGTGGCAAGTATCTCCTGTTATATACACTCTCCAGTAGAAGCCCATCTACCTTTCCAGAGGTAGTTCAGCACGACAATGTCGTTGTATAACAGGCCATGAAGAGTCGGGGAATAGAACCCCAAGGGGAAACTCTGACAGGGTAGGAATGCATTTTACGCACGAACGGCAAGTGCCGAACAGTGTGGGACTCGACATTTACGTAATACCCACTAAACCTCCCAAGGCGTTTTTACTGGGAATTGAACTCGCGCGCTGTGCACTCCCAGGACCTCTAGTTTACCCAGAGGCCAGAGCCAGATGGACAACCGCTCAACCATCTGGCCCCCTCCATAGAAAGTTTCCCCGAGCACGGACGCCGCCTACGGTACTCTACTACATACCGTACTCCATCTTCAAACCATGCAAATTATGCCTAAATCTCGGGACTGGCGGGATATAAAAATTGTGCGCCTCTGCGCTGGATAATAACTAACTTTCTCCCCTTCTCCTTTTTCTGCTCAGAGGGCTGGTATCTCCTTCACAGAGAATCGTTGCCCAATTCCCTTCCTTCAGACCAACCCATTCGTTTTTATCGATGATAAACTCAAAAGCCTCCCGCCTTTTGGCATTTGCTGCCTTGGGGATCAAAGTAACCTTGGGCGCCGTCACGCTTGAGTCATATGAGGACACTTTCTCTTTGGCAGACTCGTTTGATCCTATCCAGGCTGCATACTGGACCGGTAATTAATATTTTGTTTATTTCAGACAGATAGTCTTATTCGTGATACACAGGACTTCCCCACCATCGACGTACACCTTTTGCAGTTGCACCGGACGGCACGACAGGGTACCTCGCGTACCTCAATGCGGACCAGACCTCGGTTCTAGTTCAACAGGTCGATACGACCTCGTTCACATCTGTCGGTGACGCGGTTACTATCACCGGCACTGAGGGTGAGGTTTCTCCATCCTTCTCAAGAAGGCATAGTTCGACTAATTTCATTGCTCTTCAGCCGGCGGCCTGGTTGCACACGACGACGGCTTTGCTGTCCTCATCAAGACTACCGCTACCGGATCAGAAAATCTTCCCACTGATGATATGCCGATCGCAGTTGTCGTACGGTATACGGATGGTGAATTGTCCTGGTCCACAGAATTGAACGGTCCATCATCGTATGGTGCTGGCAGCATTGGGGTATAATTTTCTTTTTTTTTGCGCGTACATACCCAATTCATTCTCTAATTGTGCACTCGATAGCGTACTGCGACCCCTGATATCAATGGCGACCTTGTCTGGTCCGAATCGGCTGGTCTTTATGGCGCCTACTACGTCGTTACTGGTAAGTTTCTCTTTTCTTTCAGTCTGTGCAGGAGACTAATGAGCTTTGAAAGCGTACGATGGAGACGCGTCTGGCCACTATGGTGATGCTATTTCCTACGTTGACGCAAGCGGAACACGGCAAGACTCCACTGAAGGTACCAATACCTGGGGCTGCTCACACAATACTGGTATCGGCTTCGAAGCCGCTGATGCTGCTCCTTTTGCTTCCGTCTGTGCTGAGGACCAAGGGTGAGCTGCATACCCCCTCCTAACCTTCTCCATTTACCGATTACTTTTAGCGCTATCTGGTTGAATACGAACAATCGTGGCATGTCCAACGTCGGTCAGAAGATCTCAAACGAAAACACCACTAATGGTATACTTTGCCTTGAAGGAAAGGTTTTTCCCAGGTTCCTAACACGTTGACTCCTAGGTTCCGGTGGCGAGGCGATGTATGGAATGTCCGGCTCCTACTCCAACTTGGCTAGGTTCTCGACTTCCGACTTGTACATTTTTGCTTGGCAGTCGCGCGGTGCAACCGATCTTACCCTAAATGAGTGGATGGGTGACGGGTCCGTCTTCTGCTTGTCGTCAATCCTCAGATCGGCTAAAGTATCTATAGATACACTGCCTGCAGCCCTCGTTGGCTCAACCACAATGTCGCCATTGCCATCGCTTCTGATAAGGAGACACTCTCAGGCGACCAAGCTACCTCTGAAGTCGGTGCAGCCGATGGAGACACCCAAATCACTTGGGTGACAGAAGACGATGGGTCTGACCACCAGAATATTCACGTCGAGGCCTTTGACGGGTCTAACGCACTCGTTACATACGAAACCCTTTCTAATCCGACTTGTGAGCCTCTTCCCCTTTCCTGCACTGGTACTTTCTCTGGAACCAGGTATATATAATTCGTCTGAGGAGTTGAGTACGTGCTGATGCATATCATCCGACAGCTTCCAGGTTGTCAGCAGCAGCGGTGAACTAGTTGGCTCTCCCGTTGTGGACGACAGTATCACGGTATCTGGCGACATTGCACTTCTTGGAGACGGTCGCCTCTGCTGGCCTTATGTCAAGCAAACCTGGGATTTGAGCGCTGCGAAGGATAGCGGCACCCCAACTTCCACAATGTCCTTTGCTTGTGCTTCCCTTAACGGAACGTCAGTGAGTGTTGGCTGCCTTTTTGTGTTTCTACCGGCAATTAAGATTGGCTGTCTCTTTAGAATTCAATCGTGACCGCTTCGGAATCGACTACTGCTGCTGCGACAGAGACAGCCACGTCTGTGGACACCTTGGTCAACATAGCGTCCAGCGCTACCGTTGCGGAGACTTCTGCTGCTGAGGCCACCAGCAGCGCTCTTTCGGCCACCGACGTCCCCCAGTCCACTACTGTCAGTGAACCGGCAACTACAGAAACGACACTAACAACCGCAAGTGCTGGTGTGTGGCCAACGGGCAGCTGGGGTTCCTGGAATCCCTGGGGAGTGAATAAACACTTCGGCAGGAGCGGCTGTCCTCACTGTGATATATCCCATCGTCGCTCTGAGGGGTCGTATTGATGCTCTCATGAGTTTATGAGCGTGATGCAAATTTTGGATCAACTGCCCGGTGCAGGCTAACTTGACGTCTACATATTTTTGTTGTCGTCGACAAAATGTTTTGATGTCATTCTCGTGTACTGTTCTGATATTATCATTCAACTTCTTCATTATACTTGTGTCTATTTTGATTACTTTCTGCCTTCATACCAGCCCACTATCGTGTTTCAGATTTGAATCATCGAGTGGTGAGGCTTAAATTCAGCAAAAGAGGGATCAGCAGCGTTGGGAATCTCGGATGGCAACGACCAGCCAAATATCTGGTTTAACACGGAATGAATACAAGAAGAAGCAGAAGAAACAAGGAGAGACCGTTGGTGGCTGATGACTGATCGATAGTTTGTTTGTTTCAGTTTGCATCATGCCGCCATCTTCAGCTGCGACGATCATGACTGATGCCGACAGTGAGCGCTGAAACGCAGTGTCGTTGTTTCGACGCATTATTTCTCAGCCAACCATTTCTCTGCTCTTGTACACTCGTTTCCGTTTGGATTCTAGGACTAAAAGCGCGTAGGACGCGAACCTTGAGCTTGCTTTCATACCCTGCAACCGCCTGCGCTGCTGATGAATTCCAATCATTTTGAATGGCACGAATTTATCGCCGCTGTTCCAGCTTCATGGAAGCCTTCAGAATACCCAGGGCTTGATATCGAACTGAACAGCTCGACGACCGGAAAATTAGACGATCTGTCAATGAGTCCAGATGGTTGGACTACTGACCCACGTTGAGCAAGCACGTTCTAATCATGATTATCTCATGTTGGCTTATGTGGTACTTCAAATTTTGACTTGCCCATCGCTTGCTGGCAAGTAGACCACGATATAAGCTCGGAAAAACTGACTGTAACTTGGCATGTGTTGTTTGGGTGAGCCGGTTCTCTGTCGACGGATCTCGCGTTTGCGCAAGCCCTTGGCGCGGCTTTATTCATAGCCGAAGCAAATGTAGTCATCGTTGCAGCTTTGGCGAGCAACAAAAGCAAGCCATCGTTTATTGACTTTCACAAGATCTCAGCATTATCAGTGAATTGCTGGTGTCTGGGTGTTTTGCCAGTAAGTACGCCCGCTCACTTCTTATCCTCATCACTATACTAAGGCCAATAATAATAGTTTATTCGAGACGTATAATAACATCCACAGCCCAAATCATCTACCCCATCTATCCCCATGAATCTCTCTCTCTTCTAAGCGAAAATGCTTGAAAGTTGAGGAAGGTTGACTACAGCTATTATCCCGGATATTGTGACAATCGGCAATTTGTCGGACGGAAGGGAACGGCTCGTGTGGCCGCTCTCGTTGTCGCGTACGTTTTGGAGACAAAATAACGGTTAAGACTGCCCGTACTCTCGTCGGATGCTCTATGAATAGCAGCGAATGTTTTCTGTAGGAACAATTCGCTTCGCTGCAGGGACGGTCTGGATCATTCTGGAAGGAAGAGAGTTGAAAGGATCAAAGTAAGTGCTATCTGTTCCGACGTGGAGAGATCGCGTAGCATTCATTATCTTGGCATTATCCTGGGTACAGAGGCATGGATAGAGGTGTTGGAGTTTCAGAATAGCTGGGTCAGTCTTACTATTCTGAAGCTTCCGAGCTCGTTCGAAAATTTATTTTCAAAGATAGACACACACACTGTTGAACGCTAGGGTCCTGAAGTCTGAAACCTTACCTGATTCAATTAAAGCTCTCACAACTGTTCTGGAAATACACCGGAAAATCAAAACTTAAAGGTTTACCGGTGCAGAAGACGCCTGAAGCAATAATTTCTATGCAGAGGACGAAGGCTGGAGCGAACCTGGCTCCTTACAGTGCGCCATTTGAGGGTAGACTCAAATTCCAAAGACTAACATTCTGCCATTTACGAGTATCACTGGAGGAAAGGACATCGGGATCCAACTCAAATCGAGGCCCTAATTCCTGTTTGCCGCAATTTCGAGTCCCAGGCGACCGGGAATCCCCCATACCGTTGTCTTGGTGCGAATCGGCCGATCACTGACTTCACTGCTCACCTCGTAAGCGCTTTTGTATTTTGAATACCAATTTGAAGCTGGTAAACCTCCGCGGTTCATCCAGTGTTGTGGTATATAAAGTAGGTCGTCGATGGCAGGATAACCAGCATCCTTTGCTTCTCTTTACATTTCGCTCAAATGTTCGGTCACGCATTCTACCAATTCATCTTCACCGCCGCCGTGCTTGCTCTCGTGTCGGCTCTGCCAGCAGAGGACCTTGAAGCGCGTGCGAGCTGTGTTGTTGACTCCGTCTCTGCTGCTTCCTCGATATCCAGCTGTTCGGCGGTCACTATCAACGCGTTCACCGTCCCGAGTGGAAGTAAGCTGGAGGCTATTTTCTCCACCCAGTAGCGTCTTGCTGACATTTGTACTTTACAGGCACCTTGACGCTCTCAGTAAGATCCCGTACTTTATTTGGGTTAGATGCGCGTCGTTTATGTATCTTCAACAGCCCAAAGCCGGCGCGACTGTCACCATGGCTGGCGACATCACCTTCGCGAAGACCTCTAGTACGTATGATATACGAGCAGCCAGTCGAATGCTCAACGAATCTTTCTCCCACAGCCGCTGGTCCTCTGTTCACCATTGACGGCGACAATGTCACGTTCAAGGGTGCAGGACATAAGTTTAATGTAAGTCGAGCCATTAAGTCGCGCCTTCTCCCATATAATATATTGTACAGGGAAACGGCGCCTCGTACTGGGATGGTAAAGGCTCGAACGGCGGTGTCGATAAGCCTCATCCCTTATTGAAGTAGGCTCTTTCACTACATATTATGTTCAAACGTTCTAAGCTTGACCTAGGTTCAAGGGCTCCGGCACCTACTCTTCGTTTACGGTCTGTCTAGCCAAGTTTGCCCTCTTTGAATGTAGTCACGAGTAGTATTTAGGTCTTGAACAGCCCTGCGCAGGCCATCTCTATCGGTAACAGCGACGGCCTTACCTTCGACAGCATCACCGTACGTGAAAACTTACTTATTCGTGTCTCCTTGGGCTTATGAGCCAAATTTAGGTCGACAACAGCGCTGGTGATACCAACAGCCTGGGCCACAATACCGACGTGAGTGTGAACCACTGTTTACTGAGTAAAAGGCTGAGCGTTCGTCGGACGTGTAGGGCTTTGATGTCTCTGCCGACGATGTCACAATCAAAAATTCTGTCGTCAAGAACCAGGATGATTGTATCGCCATCAATTCCGGCTCCAACATCATGTATGTGTTTTCAGCCATCCTACTGTTAGTAGACGTCACTCAACTACCCTGCCTAGTTTCCAAAACAACCAGTGCTCTGGCGGCCATGGTATTTCCGTTGGTTCGATTTCCACAGGCAAGACGGTCACCGACGTGACCATCTCTGGAAACACTGTGACGAACTCTATGTATGGGCTCAGGTATGATAGCACGTCTTTTCCCTTAAGCTTGATGTGCTGATGTCCCGCGACTTGCAGAATCAAGGTTAAAGCCGATGCTACAAGCGCTAAGGTCTCGGGAATCACGTACTCTGGGTGAATACTATCCTTTCTTCTTCTAAGATGGCATACTAATTCATTCGTGCAGTAACACCATCAGCGGTATCACCAAATACGGCGTCTTGATCTCGCAGTCGTACCCTGACGATGCTGGTACTCCCGGAACTGGCGGCCCCATTTCGTGAGCCGCTTTTACGTGCACGAAATGAGTCGGCCATCTAATCCATTCTTTTACAGGGGCGTGAGCTTCACTGGCAGCGCTACTACAGTCAAGTCCGTGCCTCTCACTAACCTCTGCTCCTTGAAGGTACACTGATGCACTTGCAGGGTCGGGGACAAGGCGAAGCGACTTACCGTTGACTGCGGCAACTGCTCAGGGTAAGTCCATTTTCTGCGAAAGTATTTGGAATAGTGCTAAGCGCGCCCATTCGCAGGAAATGGGATTTCTCCAAGCTCACAGTCACTGGTGGCTCAGCCGGAACGATCTCTAGTAATTCGGCCACTGTATGTCTTTTTCTTTGTTCACTTCTGAAACGATCCTCTAACGTCGACTATAGATCTCTGGCGGGTCCTATTAGATTGGGATATATCGAACTTGTGCTTCGGTGGATCGTAGAGAGATGATGTTACCGTATTCTATTGCAACTGTCGTGACTGGTCAAGGTATAATCTGATAATAGACCATATTTCGCCCTCTCTTTGTGCCGTTACAAAGTAAAGATGAGACACACAAAGTACGCTCGACTGTTACACCCATCCAATTTTTTTGACGTGGTACTATTCCTCAGTTCATCGGGCATTGATGTTTTGGTTTCTACTCTCGTTTCAAAACTACAGCTGGGATACTCTAAAGACGCTAAATGGGACTATCTCAAACGTTCGTCATCTCTTCCTATCTGTGTAGCGGCTATGCATCATGATCCGAGAGGTACAATCAGACTACAATGTGAGGTACATCTTTCTTCAAAATGAAACACGTGAGTTGTGTTCGTCACCAACAGATTAGAACCCAATCGGCGAACAATCATCTGCCCTAGATTCGTAATCCCGAAGCTGCAGGAGTGTCAAGAATGAAGGTCAATGTCGGCGCTGTCGCGTCCTCTGCAGTTGAAAACCACCCCAAAACAGGATGGAATGCACGGTAAAATATCTGCTGTTCCAGTCGAACATCATTGTTCTATGTCTAGCCTTCGGAAGCCAGCACAGAGACTTGTCATTGAACACCTAGTAATGGTAATCATCGTCCCAGGCTTGTGTGCCACGTCGATTGCGGGTGATGGGATGCAAATATTCAGGCACCTGACCGAGTGGAACACAGGAATCTGAACTTCCATTCTCCTTGATTAGCTGCCATGAAAAGCCCTCTGCTATCGTCGCTTTCGAAGAAAAAACCTGAAGTACTGTCTTTTCTTTATGTCCTCTTCTCGAACTGAAATGTCATCTACTCATCAGCGCCAAGTCGCTTCATCAGGATCCGCAGCGTCATCCACGGTCACGATTCTATCTCTTGTGTACTCAGTGTGAGAAGCTGACTGCACACACAGGCCACTCTGGTACAGCAGAACACCAGCAAGGATGATAAGCAAATCCTTCCTGTTGTCGTAAGTACCTTCATAGAGATGGGATTCGAGTACTGACAAGGGATACGCAGGCAGAGCAACTTGATGAAGAGAACATGGCATGGGGTCCATCACAATCGACCCGTCGTAGAAGGGACCGGGCCTGAGGCCATCTCACGGGACTCCGCGGGCCCGTGAGACAACGAATATTAGTCTTGCCACTTGTGAAGATAATTTTCTCGAGAATGTGTCTTGTGATGAACGAAATTCATAAAGACTATAGTGTATCACAACGTTCTGAGTACATAGGACGTATAAATGCATGTGAAAAGGAGCGCACTGTGTGAAACGGCGACACGTTAGTAAGTCCGCGATAACCATATGGATATTCTTTTCCTCACTTTTAGAGCCTCGATTCCGTTAAACAAAGTTCATCGATGTACATTTCGCACGACGCGACCGCCTTAGACTGCGGAGGTGTTAGCATCTGTACTTATTTTGGATCACCCTGGGCAGTTCTTTCCGAACTCTGCAATGCGATTAGCAAATGCCCAATGTAAACGTTGATTGTGGAGAAGAGAACCAATGAGAATTACGGGAAGGATTAAATGAGTCGCTTCTTGTCCCACAGCAGACGAGATTTAATTTGGTGACGTTACGTACCAGTCTGGCGAAGCCAGGGGTGTAGTCGCAAAAAGTGGCCAAGCGGTAGAAAACGAGGCATCCCGGGAAACAAGGCGTTGTCAATGTCAGTGGGGCTTCAGTGCAGACTGTTCCAGTAGTACAAGAGCCGACGTATTCCTGTTGCGGGATTCAAAGATTAGAATTGACTAATACAATAATATTACAAGGTCTTCAACGCTTATAAGGTTGGTATCGATTAGGGGTTAAATCACTTCGTTGTGGAATTCAGCTCCGAAGAGCCGCTGGTTCGATTCCAGCTACCGACATGTATTTTTTGAGATTTAAGCTTGTCGAGAATCGAAGGAAGGAACCTGAAGTAAGTTTCCTTAGCCGCGAAGTACCAATAGCTTACGATTATTTACCTGTATATCAAACCTAAAGTTTCGTACTCTAAGCTACCCAAGTGCTTACTGGTCATTAGACTTTATACCGCACTAGGTACTGCGTTGTGCAATTCCACGAGTGGCGTCAATTTATGTCTACAGTCAGTGCTGTAGTACGGACAGCTGCCGGTTGGCCAGTCCCTTCTTAGGCCGGAAAGGATTATCGAATCAAGACTCCAGATCAGATTTCTGCTACAATATTGGAACAAACTTATACTTTTACTGTACTACTAGGGTGGTCCAGAATAGGGACACAGGTGCCAGAGACGACGACGACGGACGTAGCGTTGAATGCACGTCATGCACTCTGTTCTACGCGAGAGAGCGCGAGCCTAGTGAATTATTTCTTCAAAGGGAGCGGCTTCCTCGGCATCATTTTCAGTCACCGGCTGACATTTGCCTTACAAATTTAGAAAGCGCGGCTTTGACTCGAACTTGTTCTTCCCTTCCTTCTCCGTTTGGATTCCATGCTTGCTGGTTAGAAAATTGCACCGTATCGCCTTAAAGAACTCTATGTGCGCTTTTCGTCGACTTTGTTATACATTCCACTCATTTCCAGGCAGACAAAGATATCCACTTAGAATAATATCTACACCCGACTAGACTTAATCCACATGGTCGAACGAATCCTCAGTATCCAGTCCCACGTTGCATTTGGTTACGTTGGAGGCAAGGCTGCCGTATTTCCGCTGCAGTGTCTCGGATACGATGTCGATGTATGTCCTCGCTGATTACCGCTCTGAATGAAAAACTAACAGGAACAAGGTAGTAAACACTGTCAATTTTTCGAATCACGCAGGTATTCCTTTGCTTCTCCGCGAGATCAAAAGTCGTTGAGACGACACTCTAGTCAGGATATCGCCGCTCTGGGGGGAGTAAGACGAATGCTGCAGAGCTTAATTCCATATTTGAGTCCATGGAAGCCAACGAGCTGTTGAGCCCGACGCGGCTGTTGACTGGTATGTTACATTTGCGGGACGGCTTGACGCAGCTGACCATGTCGTGTGCAGGTTATATACCCGGCGCAGAGGCCCTCACTGCAATCGGTAAACTGGCAACCAAGCTGAAAAAACGCAGACCAGAGCTCATATACCTTCTTGACCGTAAGCACTTGTCCATGCAATATTCTGACTGTCTTATGACACATCTCTAGCTGTGATGGGGGACTCGGGTCGTTTATATGTCGCCCCAGACGTGATACCGGTCTATCAGAGCATGCTCTCCCTCGCCAGCGTGATCACCCCAAACTGGTTCGAAGCCGAGTAACTCCCCTTTTCTTCTTTACCATTCGCTCAATCTGACCTTTGACGAAGAACGCTCACCAACACGACCCTCCACGACCTCGCATCCCTGCGCAAGGCTCTGACCATTCTGCACAAGGACTACGGTGTCCCCAACGTCGTGATCAGCTCTATCCCACTCACAACATGGCTCGCTGATCTCCTCCCGTCTAACATCCGTCCTCCCCCTGAAGAACATTCTGACCATCTACTGTGCATGTCTTCATCCTGGTCAGCCACCCAGGAAAAACCCACCATCCATGCCGGCTGTGTACCATTCATTCCTGGGTACTTTTCGGGAGTCGGCGACCTTTTCTCTGCGCTTCTCCTAGGGCAATTCAAGCCAGAACAGGACGATCATCCAGAGGGCGTAACACCGCTGTCATCGGCGACATCCCATGCATTGACTAAGACGCATGCAGTATTGACTGTTACCCACGCGTATTCTGAGACTCTGCCGCCTGAGGAACGGCAGGCGTCGGATGAGGAGAAGGATGATGCAGAACCCATGCGTAGGATACGACGAATGCGGGGAAGGGAATTAAGGCTGGTTCAGTGCCAGGATATTATTCGAGGAGTAGAGCCAGCCGAGTTGCGTGACATGCATCCCTGGATAGGCCTATGGGATATTTAGAACAAACCTGAAAGGGATGGAAGTTTCCCTAAAATATATTTGTTTGTGGGTTCTCCCTATCTTTTTTGCATATTGCGCACCCATGTTACGCCGTTCAGGAGAATTCCAAGATTGAGAGAGCGGTTGCTCTGCTTTTCAATAAGACTATCAGTTCACGGTTTTGAACTCCGTGTTCTTAATAAACGGATTCCGCGCTATCTTGTCACTAACGTCGTCGGTTAGACACTATCAGACCTTGCTTCTACCTGAAAATTCTTACGTACTTCGTCAAGCAGTCGCCTCAAGGCCGCCTCGGGGGCGGGTCTGCTCTGTCAGATGAGGGAAGAATAGGCGATGATCTTGATCCCGAGCTCGTTGGCAGTTAGTCACCTTGCGACTCGCCGCTGTATGACCCATCTTGGTATGAGTGCGTGCTACTTCTAAGCGTTTATCACTTGTCCCTACCTGAGAGGTTCTGTGCAGCTACATCTATGCTCATCGAGGAATCCATTTTGTCTACGTGAATGTACTCCTCAGAATAACAACCCTGCTGAACTGGTCTTATTGATTTGAGGGAGTGCTTTGCCGTTCGGGGTTCCGGGGAAGATACATCGTTCGCAAACTCTCCTCTATGTGTTCTGCGCGAAGCTCCGCATTCTAGCTAGCAAATGGATCTGGTGAGCAAACGTATGGACAGTACCAGATATGACCCTGCGATCCCATAGCTCTCCGTTAAAGATATCGGAGGCTTATGACAGACTACAGTCGAGTCAGCACATCAAAAATACATATCATATAGACCAGACCGTCATGTTGGCATAATATATCTATGGATTCGGCAGGTCGCTTAAAATCATTGGTATTTTTCTTATCATATACCCAATTTTTTTCGACACGCTTATTCAACCATCATATTATTCGTTCCTGAGACAGTTCCACTGCTTGGGGAGACATTGTCTGAAGGCTCGTGGCTTCGATGGTACATGACGAAGCTGATCATTCCATCTTTCACTGGAAGCTTCCTGGACAACGTAAACCGTCCGTTAATCACTCATACATCTTAGTAGTATTGACCAAGCGGGTTTAGTGTTATGGCCTGTCAGATCGCTCCTCGCTCCGCCTATTGATACATTGTTGATACTCAGGATGTTCTTGAATCTTATCAATGGGTGAAAAGGGATCCTGTCATTAGGTATCCAGCTCGAAGTTAATAAACTCTCCTCACCCCGACGTACTATCGACTTTAAATCACTTCTCTTTCACTTTTTACCGACCTGTGGATGCTGAATGAAAAGGAAATTGGACATCGCAATCAATGAGTAAGGAAAGGCATCCTTATAGAGGCTTGTTCTGAAACATAGTTGGAATGTAGTAGTTCTCAACTTTCCACGACGTTCCCAGAATTACTTACACCATAGCAATTCGAGTTCACCATAAAAAGAGGGTGTAATGCGTTACAATCGTAGCCTATGTAGTAAGTATGTACTTCACACCGAGGCTCAGCGCTCAGGCTCGGCTTGTGTATACTCAAGTGAGGGGGATTATGGAGATATCCATGTCGGGTAATATTATGATGATGAGGGAATGTCATCGGGCGTACGCACTTCTGTGCTGTCAGCACACCCGTACATCCTCAGCATATGGGCAATTCTGCTAGGAATATCATGCATCCACACCCCCAATGCTTCAGCCCTTTCAGTATAACCCAAAGGTGTGACCCCGTTCGAATCACTGAGATTTACGTCTACGTCCTTCCTTTTCAAAATACTTTTGACAATCCGCATACGCCCGTTCTCTGCAGCATAGGACAGCGGTGTTCGTCCCTTCTTATCCTGTGAATTAATATCTAAGTCGGCGCACTGCAGAAGAAGATCCACAGCGGGACTTCCTCGCTCCGCTGCATAGGAAAACAGGGTCCTGCCATCGCCGTCCTTCAGATTAACGTCTCCGTCCCCACCAATAAAGTCCGGAATGGCAATGGAAATTAGGGTATTTGTGTCCACGATGCCTTGCTCCAAGAAAACATTCACAACATCAATATCATTATGCTGGATGGCGTAGTATATTGGCGTATGGCCAGCCTCATCCACAACGTTGGGGGACACATCACTTCGGCCGAGTAGAAGACGAACGATCTCGAGGTGTAGGTCGATGCTAGACTGTGGGGGTATCAGTGTTTGCCAGGGGTCGCCAAAAGGAAATGGGTCAACGACGGGGACGGTCCGGGGTTCCATATCCGCAGAGTTTCGATACGCCTTTATATGCGTGATGTCTTTATTTGTCATGGCATAAAATAGAGGTGTCCAGCCTCTGTTATCCTTGATATCGGCCTGTATGTCCTTCCGGTCGAGTAAACGATGCACCATATGATTGTAGCAATATTGGACTGCATGCGAAAACAAGGTCTTGCCTTCGCTGTCCTTGACGTTCACGTCCACGCTCTCCCCGCAGACATCTAGTATCAAATCATAGACATCCACGAGCCAAAGGCGAGCAACGAAATGAAGAAACGGAACGTCGTCTACTTTTTGGTAATTGATGGCTACATTGTTTTGTCGTAATAAAACTTCCATGATACCCAGGTGCTTATTGAGTGCAGCGTAGACAAGCAATGGGCCGACGTGATCCGTACCGTTCCGGCCTAACAGAAGCTGTACAATGTCAGCGTGGCCATATTGAACTGCATACGAAAGTGGGGCCCTGCCATCCTGATCATTGATATCAACACTGGCATCATCGACATCCAATATCATCTTCGCTATTGCTAGACGACCACTTTGGGCTGCGAATGACAATGGTGTTGTGCCATACATATCTTGTGCATTGACATTCACGTCGCTTCTCAGCAACACTGCTGAGATCTCCTCACGAGCCCCTTCTAAAGAAGACGACGGATATGGGTCCTGGAAGTAATCACTGGCAACGATAACCTGAGATAATATTGTCCGACCGAAGTTATCACGGACGTCAGGATCCACTCGATTGTGCACTAGCAGGACTTTGACGGCATCCATTCTTTTGGAGATAACCGCATGCGCCAATGGCGTCATACCGGAGAAGTCCCTCGAGTTTACGTCGATGTCATCACGATGTATCAGCAAGGCTATAACGTCCGATCATCCTTCCTGCGTGGCATGAGAGAGCGGCGTCATCAGACGATCATCTTTCCAATCAGGTTGAATATCGGGTCGCGCAAGCAACACCCGGGCAATGTCCACGCTGGAGACATCGGCTATTATCGAGCGATTTCTGTCGACAGGATGTACAGATACCCCGTCTACGCCCAATAGCAGATTGACCATGTCTAAGCTTCCTCCACGCACTGCCAAGGAAAGTGCACTCTCTGGAGTCACTTCCTTACTGACTGCGTTGATATCTTCACTGATACTGGGTGATTGAAGTAGCAGCTTAACAACGTCCTCGGACCCCGCACTTACAGCCCACATTAATGGTGTCCGGCCCCAAAAATCTGCGATACTCGTGTTGGCACCGTTGCACAAGAGACACGCAACAATGTCTACCATTGCCGCACGGGCAGCGTAAATCAGTGGTGTACGTTGCTCTGCATCAACGAGATCCGGATTTGCTCCAGATGAGAGAAGTGTCTCGGTCGTCCCCAGCATACCGAAAGATGCTGTGAGATGTAGAGGCTGAATCCCCGGTCCAAAAGGTACTATATATGGACCTCCGTAAAGAGCACTGATTCGTTGCTGGTCATGCAAGAGCTGAAGAATATCAGTTTGTAGGGAGTCCTCAACCTGGCCATGACAGTGCGAGCCCCAGTAGCAGAATGCATACGCGAGGAATGGATATCTCTGGTGCTCGGGATGGGGATCTGCCGATAGACGTGTGATATCAAAAGATCTGAAAGGGAAGCTGGGAGTATCAAGATGCACATCTTGCAAGAGCATATAGCTCAAGCATGATCTCGCGATGTCGAGTTGAATACAAGGGAAAAGATCTGGCTGTCTTGCTTCAAGAAACTCCTGCGTTGTGTAATCTATGATACGATCAGAAATAGAGTACCTAACGTGATGGAATAAAAAAGACTGACGGACGAAGCAAAATGTGGGTGACGGTGGATCGTCTGGATAGTCCGATTGAATGGGTCTTACAAGCTCAATGACCACGAACCCAGCGCAAACTGAACATAAGACGTCGCTCTCGGTAATATTCTCTACGTCCAAGTCTTGTGCACCCTGCTCAACAGCGAAAGCATGCTGGAGCTCTAAGACTGTTAAACGGCGTTTTGCGAATGCGATCCATGAAAGAACGCGGTATGCAAGCTCTTTGCGATGTTTCCCTTGACTATCAATCCGCCGCAATGCCTCACTGTATACGTCTGCAACAGTACCGGGCAGTTCTGCAAGCGCATTGCGCAGATGTCTGCGATTGGTGGCTTCGGCAAGAGAATCCATGTGGAGACAAGCTAGGAGGAACCTGATACTACAGTGAGTGAACTGGACTAGAACAACGAACTTGGCCCTTACATGCCCTTCGCTTTTCCAATTACACCATTGATGATATCCTCACGAAGGTTACCACGACCATTGATGTGATTTGCAAGATGGCCTCTTGTGAGCCTATCAGCGATATAAACTCCGATATCTTCGTCGGTCGCGCTGATGGATAGCGTCATGCAGTCCTGGAATAGAGACACGATGGAAGCAATGTTGCGGGAAGTAACTAGTAGGGATACGCGATCATCAATGGACCGAAGAATCTTTATGAGAAGATCGCGATCTTCATCTTTTAATTCGTCCAGAGCGTCGACGATAATGTGCACGTGCTCATATTGTTGAATTTCCCGAGAGGTAAGTTCGTAGTTGCTCCAGGGAGGGTACGGTGTCCAATCGACGGTGATCATCGTAGACGGTTTTGACAAAGTCAGAGATATAACCTAACTCTTGGACCAACTGTTTGAATAGTGCAGCTATGATCTGGGACACAGACTGTGTATTCTGATTGCGGTAGTCACAAAACACGTCCAAAACAGGGACTCCCATCATTTGTAGATGGTTTGTCATGATAGATCTGGGGAACAATGAGCGGCAGAACGCTGCTAATTGGGATTTATGGAACGCACGCGAGAACAGTCTTCCCTACACCGGCTGAAGGTATACATACGTCAGAACATACTCGGCTAAGGTGAATGGGGTGAAGACATACGATTGCCTGGACACCATAGACAGCGCTCCGTCCCATCGACCCAGCGAAGAAACTTTTCTGACTCGAGAAACCATCGCCCGGTGCCATCCACGTGCCGAAAATATAATTCCGATTGCACAACTCTGAAGTTCAGCGGCGAGATCCAACTAATGATTTGAACAAATATTTCTTCTATGGGGGTGTCAGGTCCGCTATAAGTAAAATAACGGGACAAAACGTACGGTCATGACTCTGCTTGACGTTGCCTTGCAATATTTCCATGGATCCCTCTATGCCAGAGATGCCGCCTTCTAGTCGAAGAATATCGCGCTCGACCCTGGTAGACGATTGAGCTATCTGATTGACTACAGTGCCAACTCTTGTCACGTCTTCATGAATAGCTCGCGTTAAGGATCTGATAAAGCAGATTAAGCACGGTCTTTGCTGAGGAGAAGTGAGAGCTCACATATGGTCTTGCTGCACAGCAACCATCACTAGCGACTTTACCCTTTCCACCTTTTTCAATGTATCTTCCACTTTTTCTTTGCTGAACTTCCACTTGAGCCTTTCCGCAACCCTTGTAGTAAATGTTCGGGAACCCTCCGGCGCCAGTTTCCGAGCCAAATCTTCAATGAGATTATTCAGTTGCTTGAAAGGTCCGTCGGGAACGTTCAACGCTCGTACAGTAACCAACCATTCGGCCATCGACGTGTCAGGCTCGGTGGTCATCTGCACGAGGCTGTCGAGTGTCCTCAGGAAGATACTGAGTGCCGTCAATTCCCTCAAGAGCTGGGCACGTTCCACTGGCGCATTCTTGACGTCGTCCAGATACGATATGATTGTCGCCGTTGCTTCGACCAAGGAAATGAGGGCGGATGCAAATCCTATGGCTTCCATGGGCGGTGATGATAACGAAGGAGATTTCTGTTATTAGAGCGCCTATTTTATTGGATGCGCTCATTACAAGAGGCAGTGCTACGTACCTGTTTTTGCTCAGTGATCTATTCATGCAGCGCTTGAGGGCACTCGAACTATGCATCGTCAAGATGAGCGCTTGAGCTTTCGATGTTGTTCAGAAGAGGAAGATGAAAACTGGAAAACTGGATTGATTGGCCATCAAGGAAGATCAACCCACACGTCCGGGGCCGATTCTCCGGTCTTTGACATTATATAATTACCTATAGAGACATAATTCTGTAAGACCCCTTAGCTCAGTGGTAGAGCGTGTGATTCCAGATCTCTATGAGTTGAACATACGATCTTAGGTTTCCACAAGGTCAAGCGTTCAACTCGCTTAGGGGTCATTTTTGCCTATTTTACATGCACACCACTGTTCAGACGTCAATATTCTCATTTTACAACATAAATTCAGCAAGAAATGAATGTTTCAAACAGTGGAAGAGGGGACGGAGGCGTACCGATCGGCGATCACTGTCCGAGCGGGCCAGTTTCACGTGACCTTTCTGCAGCACCCTCTGGCCTCCCTTGGCCCAATTTTGGCTGCTGTATTCGTTGTTCCCTTACTTCGGCGTTGACCTGGTCATTTCGACACGTTGTCCACCATTCTTCTCGTAATTTTTACCACCTTACGCGTGATACCTATGTTTAGCTGACATGTACTGAGGCCTGAAATCTTGTTCTTCTAATATAGTATCCAATATCTGCTAGATACTAGCCTCAAGCAAAGCTAAAGTATTGTGATATAGATAATATGATATACGGTATGAATTATCATGTGGTTATGTGAGAGAAAAGAATATTTGACGTTCATCCAGTATTCCTACTATGAAGTCGTGGCATCCGCGTAACCTCCCTGGATATTATCCTCAACTACCACCTCCAATCGTACCGGAACTTTCCGTTCACTCAGAATCTCCGAAATAGAATCCAGCATCGAATCAGGAACATACGTGTCGCGGCCGCGAGGGACAATCTTCAGAGTAGTGAGATGAGGTAGGAAACGTAACCATCCTTCTGGTTGCAAAAACGCTTCCACGTCATCGAGGGCGCTGACTTCGAACGTAAGGTACTGTGCAGCGAGAGGTTTGGGAGGTGGCATCAGGTCCTTGATGTCTAGGATCATTTGAACTAGGACGATGATTAGATTTCGAAGCGCGATAAATACAGTGTGCTTACTTTCTTTCTCCCCAAACGTTATCTCTTTCGCACCATTATTTTTACGGATAATTTCCACGGAGAGAGCCGAGTCGAGCGCACCGTACTCCGAATCGCTTCGGATAGTCATCACGTCCAATTCGAATGGCGAAATTATCGATTCCCTCCTATTGAGATACCTCAAAATGGGACTTATGCCATAATGGCTATCCATTCCCACCAGTTCCAAGACCCTCAGCTTCGTCTTCAAGGCTGGATCATCTAGATCCTCTCTACGGCGCATAGCCGAGTCCTGGTTATATGAATTCTCCACCTGTAAATTTGACAGTCGCAACTCCTCCAGCACCAATGCATTGTCAATGATCCCTAGCAGCACCTCTTGCTCGATCAAACAATTCGCTAGGCGAAGTACAGTGAAGTTATGCACCCAGTAAAAATGATCTGCAGCCAACACCTTGTGTACGATCTTGCTCCGTGTGATTTCGACGTCAGAGAACCGACCGAGGACGTGCCGCCACAAGTCCAGGTTCATGCGTTTGACCGAGTCGATTTGGAGTATGCGCGGGTCGACAGGATAGACGTTCTCCCATGACTCGGAGCGGGTCGCAGGAGTAGGGGTGCAGTCAGGGCCAATGAAGGGTGGAGAGGGTGAGACTGAAACCATTCGGAGAGTGGGGAAGGGGTGTAATGGGAGGGGAAACACGAGACGTTCCAAGTTCCATGGGGTGACGCGTTTGAGCTCGACGAGCTCTAGTACGTTGTACGACTCTAGGACGGTCTTCGATATTTTGGGATCGGAGTACTGGAGTACATGGTAGAGTGCAGCGGCATCAGCAGGAGTGGTGATTGTTAATGTTTGACGCGTCTGCGAGAATATTCGCTTTAAGTCTTCGAAGAGCCAATGTATCTGGATCTGTATCTGTCCATCTTCATCTTCAACATCTGCAGGAGCAGGAGGAGGATCGGTCGAAGAAAGGAGAATATGATAGGCGTAAGTATCGGCGCTCTCTAGTTCAAGTTGCGCCAGATCAAATTGGGATACAAAGGGAATCCAAGGAATTGGGGGTTCTTCAATGTCGCGGTGGAGGAGACGGGATATTTCCTGGGGTAACATGGAAGTGGAGAAAGAGGTCGATGTTACAGTGTTAGACCTTTTTATGCCGGCTGAGACAAAGGGGGTTTAATTTGACGCATTGCTTTCTTTGTTCTTGACAGAGTGGCACTAACCAATCCCAGTCAAACTCGACACGCTTTGATAACGAGAGCCCACGTACCCATCTGCTGCATTTTCGTGCCATCACATCCTGGCCTGTTCATGGCGAAGCAATCGTTCATATAAAACCCTTGTGTCCAAATTTAAGAGTCGGTTTGAGTTGACGGACCGTTCATTGGTTGCGCCATCACAACGCGACCCTGCACTCGGAATGAGTCACTTTCAGGTAACGCCACTCCCCAACGACTGGCCGCGCAGTGGTCAGAGGCCACGAAGCAGGTTGTGAATCCGGCGCTGGTATCCAATCACAATTCTACGGCTCTCCACGGCTTCTCGCAACTCACTCTCATTCTGACAGATTCCAATAAGAGCGTTCATGAGAGACCGCAGCAACGTTCAAAAATTCCCCCTCTTCTAGGATGACGGCCCACGCTGCATCGTATGTGCTCTCGCACTTGACAACCGTTACCGGAAAGTTTATACTGAGGAAGGCAATCAGCATATTGCTCAACTTTATATAGATAAATACCTGCATAGGATCCTGCCGTTCAAGGAGAGCTCGCATTTCGGACAGCTGGTGCTCGTAAGTTGTTCGAAGAATAGTGCCTAGACCGATTACGTCCGGTGATTCGCCTTGGGGTCGGAATCGATTGGTTACTTTGTGCCGTCATCTAACTGAACCTCGGGCTTGGTTGCACTGACTTCGAATATTCCTATAAACTGTCGAACCAGGGGACCTTGACTCGAATGAACTCTGGGTGCATGAACTGTTGACGAAGATCAACCTTGCTTATAAGCACAGAATCGACAAATGATTCACGTCCTCCGTATGAATACTAAAGAAGAGTAACGTCAGGTTATTTTCAAGTAATTCTGACAGAGCCCGGGCCAGCTGTTCTCGCTGACCGCATGCTGCAGCTGGGCACCTTCTAGGGTTGTTCTTGGTGTACATTGCCGGCTGCGTACTAATTAGGAATGCAATAAAAGATGAGATAGGTTCTAAAGAAAAGCAAATGACGCGCACATACAAGGGACTGAGCCAAAAGGCATGAAGCTGAGACATGATGCTTTGAGTTGACAATCATCGACGGATTCACTGTTCAAGGTTTTCAGTGTGAACCATGAATCATTGAGGTATCAGAGGGTATGGAAAGATGTGATGTTGGTAAAAAAGCTCATCCCTTGGACGGCATTATTGGGAAGAGCGTGAGCAGCGGAATTAAAAAAAAAGCTGCTCTGAGCTATATGGACTGAAAAGTCAAGGTATTCTCGCGCCGCAAACGCGTGTTACCGGCGCACGTGGTCAATCATCTTTCTTCCGTCCGTCATGGTCGCGATACTTCAGGATACTTCTTCTCGTCTGTCTCATCAACTGCACCTCGCCTTGGACAATATATGACGATGTCCAGAAATTTGCTATGAGTAATCGGCTCAGGCCTCAGGATACGTCAGGAAACAATATTCGGCACGGTTGTCTATGAAACAATGCGACAGTGGTATCGAGAGATCGTGGTGGGTAGAATAGGATGCGGGTGCGCAGACGGATTCTGTATTACATCAAGGCAAGAAAATGCCTACCAGGAGATGCGATGACCCCGTCGGGGAGGGATTACGCGGGAACGCTGCGGTTCGTTATGGTCAATGTTGTCGCCAGGTTAGTCCTTTGAGTCGTTTCACTTTCGATGGTGGTAACCGTCTCATAGAAGCTGTAGTGTGAATTACAGTGTTTGTTCCAACTGTTGGATGATTTTAGCCCTTGCTTCAGTAATCTGGAGATAGGCAACCTGCTACCATTGTCACGATGTAGCAACGATGATTCATAAAATTGTCTTCCGATGATTGTATCTTTATGTTCACCGTCATGACTTCATCGCCTAAAGCAGCACTTTTCTCGGCTTCGGTCTCTATACTTCATCGAGCAGCATAGAAAGGATGACATTGTGACCAGTCCGAAGACCTTTGGCAGGAACGTATCATACCTTGCATCAATCCTCTGTAACGTCTTCATGAGAAAATAGCGAGCCTTAAATTTCGATGAAGCGTTCCAGAAGCTGGGAAGAGAATAGTCGGGCTACTTGCGGGAAGTAGAAACTTGTCTCATTCATATCCAAGTCATTCCTTTCTTCTAATAAGGTACCTCTTCTATAGCTGGATACGACATATCTCCGTCTGAGCTTCGCTTAAATCAGGATCGATTTCCGCTGCATCAGTATGTACACTATTTTCTTTTACGTGGTAAGAGGGTTGCTCACATGAGTTCTAGGCGTCGCATTAAGTTCTTTCCTCATTTCAATAACCTTCCTTGGGCAATATGCAGAAATATCAAAAATATCAAAGTCATGCCGCTACCCTCATGAATCATGAATAAGGATCATTCGAATTTCGAATTATTTACAGCGTCCATGGCTAAATTAAACCTTTCTTCGTACTGCTTATTCTGCCTCACGCATCTTTTCGTCTCTCAGGAGCGGCATACCAAACTTTCTCAGTTCAATCTGCTGGAATTTGGAGCTCCTGCGCAGGCTAATCTTCGGGAAACTGGAGTTCCTTTCGAACCAGGGTCTCACAAAGTGTAGCGGATTAACTTTTGAATATGCTTTGTAGAGCAGTCCCTGGTCACCAGGGTCCGGGTTCTACAAACCATGACTCAACTGGGAGTTGGATCCGCATGGCACGGTGGGTAAGACTTTTTGCAAGAGCGCGGAAATGACCGCACAAACCAAAGATTTTAAAATCGCTCTTACTGCTACCCGGGGAATCCTCGTCGAGAAATTGCCTATTCACCGTCGTACCTCCCTGGACGCACTGGTTTCATGATTACAAGAGATTCAGTAATTATGAAGCCAGATTTTCTGCAGGTGCATGTCGTTTCGTACGAAGATTCTTCTGGCCCTCATCACAAACGGTATAGCTTCAATCATTGCAATCCCGGCCTATCGCAACTGAGGCACATATGCCATGCACGCCATGTTACCGTTTGTGACTTGCCGACCAACATCAACCACGCCCAGGAACGCCTCGCGCCGATGCCCCGACGATATAGCGATTATCAGATAATATTCGATTTACCCTGGAAGCCAGACTCTTTATCTTATCAAGATGGCTCACTCATCTGTCACATTCAGCACAATAAGAACCAATCCCGTAATCCTACACTAGAGTCCCATTACGCGGCGCTATCCTACAATACCGTCGTAAACACTGTGTGCCATTTCTTTATTTCTATCCCACATACAACTGATTTCGTATTCAGACTGGCGGTGAAAAGGATGATGCTTACCCGAGACCTGCTTAGTGTGACAAGGATTTTTTGCTGATCCGCCTCTTCGGTCTAAATTCATCAACTTCGTCTCACGATCGCACCACCCATAATTTGCGTAGCCGCTTGTGTTTCCGCTGAAAGCGCCTTGGTATGCGTGGCAACCATTTCCTCGTGGTTATATCGGGAGGCAGCGGAGGCTGACTGGTATAAAACTCGTGAATGAGACAGAAATGCGCCAGTCATTTGACTCCGCCTTCATCCAGTGTCTACTCCTCTTTTTTCGTGTTCGCCATGTCACTTTGGCGTGCTGTCTTGGTTTCCATCGCCGTGCTGCTGGGCACGGTCGTAGCCGACACGACATACGGTGTGGACCATGATTGCTCCTGCTGGTGCTTTAGCTCATGACGATACATACAGATGCCATTGTTGTTGGCGCCGGACCAGCTGGTATTATCGGTATGACTGCTCATGTTCCATCGCGCAATTGTTAACTAAGGTCTTGCCAGTTGCTGAGCGTCTGGCTGAAGCTGGAGAGAGCGTCTTGCTGATCGAGCGCGGCGGTACATCCTTGTATACGTCCGGTGGTGACCGTATCGAACCGTGGAACGACACCATCACTGTCTTCGATCTACCTGGGAATGGCTATCAGCTGTCCAAGTTAGATGACACTAGCTTCTTCTGCACTGATACTGCATCCACAGCTGGGTGCATCCTTGGTGGCGGCGGGATGGTCAACGCCATGATGTGGGTGCCTCCCAATTCGGTCGATTTCGAAAATTTCCCCGCTGGTGAGTTATACGCCTGTTGTGGACTTCACGTTTCATTGATTCGCGTCTGTTCAGGGTGGAACTGGGAGGACGTCTCTGCATCCGCTGACAAACTCTACGAACGCAATCCCGGCACTACGTGTCCTAGCGCCGACGGGCTGTACTACGACACCGCCGTCTGGGACCTAGCTTCGACCCTCCTCTCGAACAACGAATGGATACAGAGTGATGCTGTTGCCCACTGGCCCGATGACAAGACCAACATATACTCCCACCCGCCTTGGAACATCAAAGATTCGCAACGTGCAGGTCCTGTTATGACCTATCTCCCACTGGCAAAGGCTCTAGACAACTTTAAACTTAAACTCTCTACCTTGGTGACACGCATCGTCCGTTCCGGATCCACCATTACCGGTGTCGAGGTCGAAACCGACAATGGACGGGAAATCATTAACGTCAACGATGGTGGCAAGGTGATCCTTACTGCAGGAGCGGTACGTGGCTCTTTGACAATGCAACACACCAGTTTTTTTCTTATGATGACTTTTTCTAGCTGTCGACCCCTCGCATACTTTTCAACTCTGGTATCGGACCCTTTGATCAGATCTATGTGGTCCAAGCAGGATCTACGAATATCACGCTACCCGACGAGAGTGAATGGATCGATCTTCCCGTCGGGGAGGGAATTGAGGACCACATCATATTCTCAGTGACGGTTGACTCAGCCACTGAGTTTACTGTTTACAACTATACGCCCATCAACTCAATGGAAGTTAATGCGACTGACGCTGCTCTCTACAACGAACAAGGGTCCGGTATCCTTGCTCAATCTGGTGAGTGTCTATTACCGGTAGCTCATTCCACGTATTTATGTTTTCACCATCCTTGCCAGCCCAGCGCCTTGCCTTCTGGACCACCCTCGACGTCAATGGAGCTACGCGTTACATTCAAGGAACCGTCGGGCCAAAGTATTTACTCTCCTATCTATCGTGACTTTTCGTCTCATTGGCATCTACAGATCCGATAGTACTCTGAACTGGAAGATTTATCTGACGCACGGCCTCACATCGTCTGGAAGGCTCGGTATTTTGTCCAATGGAACGACAACGCTCTTGGATTCACCTTGGCTTACAACGGAAGATGACAAGACTTCTATCACAAGCTTCATGGAGACGTTCATTGGGTACTTTGATAATCAAACTGTGTTGTCCATTTCTGCGGACAGCGTCACAGCTGAAGGTTTGACTGAGACGTACACCACTGGGTCTCACTGGGCTGCCAGTTGTGCTATGGGAGAAAGCAACGATGGAAGTTCCGTGGTAGATACCGATACTAAGGTATGGGGGACAGATAATCTGGTGCGTAGTTTCTCATCTTCGATTGGTGCACTGTATGACTAGTTCTAACAGTTCATTGCTGATGCTTCCATTCATCCCGACCTTCCTATTGGCAACATCCAGGTGCGATATCGCTGCTATATGTAACCAGTAACTCACATGCTAAGTGATATCACTCAGGCTACCATCATGGTTGTCGCAGAGAAAGCTGCTGAGAAGATCCTTGCCTACAATTAATTTGCATGGGCCAGGCCACACCACTGATCGTTGAGAGGGCGATCATTTCCAGTTTTAGACCATCACAGCACTAACTACTAGTACTACGACCTTTCGGGGTTATTGTCGCTGGAATTAACAAGAATAGGACAAATAAGCGCCTCTTCCGTACTTCGGCTGTGTTATTTGACTATCAGAATCAGGACATCAGACCGCCTCAGCCCACGTTCGCCGCTAGTGTACGATGATCGTTGTCGTGGCTGTAATTCTAGGGCACTCGCAGTCATTCCACGGCAGCTACCCTCCGAACGAAGTCGCCTCAAAGATCCGCTGCCATTAGCCAAACCCCAATAATGTCAATGGAAACGTTCAGTCTTATGTGACTCCGGGTCGCATCGCCGTGTCATCCTACCTACCTCCCCATGGTATGTCATGCCAAGCGGCTTTCCGAAGTCGTGTCGCAGGCCTAGACACCTTTGTCAGGTAGTCTTCTGTCGACTAATGAATGGTAGTGGTCATTACGGTCCAAGTGTACCATAGTCGGACATATGTGTGGCAATCGGAACGTTGGTTCTGTTCTTGGTCATAACACCACCTCCGATTGAAACTCATGAACTGTAGAAACTTACCTGGCGTAGAGCGAGGCGGAGCAAAGGACAATTACGTTCACTCAAAATCCGTCGATGAAATCCGAAAAATGTGTACATTGGTATTAAAAAAAGCATAAAGACGCCGATATACATGCTAGAACGATGCTGGGGATGGAAAGAGGAACAGAGTATAACACAGGTCGCCCGATTAATTTTAGGTAGGTCATCGCCATCGTCGCAAATCATGAACACATTATTTCTGCCCGATGAATGCTCCAGTATAGGTATCGCCGCTCGCCTCAACATTCATGGCAGCTCACACATGGAGGGCCCATCTCACCTAAACCCGATAACTGTGTTACCAAACTATTATCCACACCAACGGAATATTTACTCACTGAATGACCTGCAACCAGGTTGGGACCGCTCAAGCATATGGAAATTCATACACAGGAGCGACAGGGTGATATCACCGTTGGCCTTGGCCTGCATAGCGATTTCAACCTCAAGGTTTGAGTCCGAACGAAAATTAAAAGCTTCGTTGGATGAAACGGCCCCCTTGGATTGGCCGACAGCCTGTCCACAGCCAGCAGAGAAGTCGGGAGAGGCGAACATGGAGGCGGTTCCCTGGGCAGACATGATGTGGATGCTAAGGAAAGCGCGGAGAAGTGGGGAGCTGTTATATATGCTTTGACACGCTCCCCATTTTTGGTTTGTGGGTACCAACGTTATTTTCTCACCACTCTGCTTTCCAATAACTCGGGTGCCTCGCGCAGTAACTTTAGCCAATTCTAGGCTTGAGACTGAAGTCAGAAGAAGTCTGAACTTCTCGGTACGTAACGGCCGCGGTTTACAATTTCATAAACACGGATTCAACCAAATATCATGACACGAACCTGTCTATGCAGTCTGACGAGGGAGGGAGGCTGGAATGTGGAAAGGCGACGCCTCTGAAAGAAAAGTCGGACGTTGTCGGCTGAATAAACGGGTCAGTATCACGGGAGTACGAGATTGTCGTGAGGACGACGTTCGCGAAAATCCCTATCCCGGGTGTCCCTGGCATCAAATGGAACACTCCCGCGGTGCGTTGTGCAATTTAATGCTCAGCTTTGCTCATCGTACTTATACTACTATCTCTGGAAGATGCATTATCGGTTGAAGAACAGGTGGACCTTCGGTCGAAGTGAAACTTGGAACTGATGTTTAATATGACAATGGTCCGAATAACATTATACGCGACGGTCGTGCCAATTTCTTCATTTATTGAAACGAAAGACGACAGCATGTGCCAGAAGGAACTACCCAGTTCTGAGTCCATTCCTTGTAGTCGGCAGACAGCTGACGACGAACAGCGGTCTCTCCACACCGTACAGAACGCTCTAGACATAAAGCGCCAAGAAGGAAAGAACAAAAGAACATCCAAGCAACGTCGATTTCCCGCTCGAAATGACGTTGCTAAGGAAATGGACAGTGATTACAGGGCCCAAAGCAGGCAGTCGTTTAGAAGTTGGCATTCGGAGGTATTGATTTAACCGTGGAGCCGGAAGGGGGAACAGTTCATGGCACGCGGCAAGGAACGGAGCTCTAGGCCAAGCGTGGCGTAACACGGGGAGCACGGACATCGTAGCAGTAAAAATAGAAGTCGGTCCAGATTCCATTATATGAATATCAATGCAATGGAGGCTGTAGAGCTGAAGAACAAGTGACAAAGCATTGAATGCAAGCGTCTAAGGGCCAAGATATGGAATGTATTGAGGTCCTATCATGACAAGTCACGTTCCAGGGTCTAAGAAACGAGCTGAGAACAGAACTCAGAGCAGAAAGGCAACAACGGTGGAAGAGTTTCAACAGAAACCACTTATCCCGTTGAAAGGCCCACCCTGACGGCGTTGGGCTGCAGTATCACTTTTCGGTAATTGGACCCGCTTATCTTGCCGACTGCTGACTGAGATTTTTCCCTCCGTACTAGAAGAAGCGCAAGACATATACTGAATGTGGCACTGTCTCCGAGTCGGGAGTAGTAGAGACCGAATGAGATCCCGCCTAAGTTTGCGGCCGTTAAGGTGAGTGATCGAAATGAATTCGATAATATAGCCAGAAGAGAGTGTCCCAAGATAGATTTCTACGTAACATGGCTGGGGGCAGATGGATTCACGATGCAGCGATGATTTGCAGGAGCAAGTGGCAAGTGGCTGTGCTTCCTGTTCTGTCGAATCGGCTCTCGGCCCGATCTATGCTTTTGCTCCCCCGCCTCATCGTGGCTGTAGACACCGGCGACTACAGACAGTCGCCACTACTTGTTACATTTAGCATCGAAGGAACACGTTGGTAGTTACTTTTTGGAAATTAAGTATTGTATTTCGACGCTAAGCTCTACTAGGCAACCAATATCGGTGCTGTCCGTAACCTCAGCTTATCGATTTTGTGAAGACACGGCTTTTTAGCATCTACAACAACTCTCCGGCAATCGCTTCCTAAGAGTAGACCTGTGGGGAAACTCTTGCTTTTGGCTACCCTTCGTCTCTTACGAGGTCAAGCACAGCTCGCACGTCATTGGATCTCCAGGCTGATTGAGGTCTTGTTCTACAGCGGTTTTCGACATCAGCGGCGCTTCAAGTGTTCAATAAGATTCTTAGAATATACCTCATAGAAATGAATTCATCGCAGCCGCGTTTTCACGATATTCCGCAATGGTTGACCCACGATGTCTGGAGGGAAGGAAATTCGCGCAGAAGAAACCAAATAGACAGATACTGCGGAGAACAAACGAAGAAGTCTCTTGATGAAGGCTTTCTGACAGGGCTGAGGAGAAGATGAGCTTGTTTCGTTTGGTTTGGCGTTGTTGAGAATGTTCACCTCCAATCGCAGACTTTGTTGTACGGTACAAGTAAGAGAATCCGAAGCATCTGATTATAAGTCGTGGTTAAACAGCGAAGACGAGAATCGAGGCCTACGTCCATGAAGTCATAGAACTCCAGAACTCCAGAGTTCCTGTCCGACATTCACGCATGCAGGGGGGGGAATACCCGGCCTACGTTCAACGTTCCGAAAGCATTGGTGCTGCGGCGATGTTAGTGATTCATAATTAGGACATACTCCGGTCAGAATGTGGATTTGCACTGACCAAGAGTTTCTTGAGGTATCCCAGAGCGGATAAGATGCAAGGAGATCTAGTGTCACGGGGAACACTTGCGTAGCTTCCTTCACCGAAGGTAATATTAAATAACCCGTATCCTGCACTCGGTAAGAACTGCTTTTCCCTTGGAAGACTCAGAGAACTGCTGACCAGCATATTATTAATAAGGGCCTCAATTCTGCCATGGACTGCGACAGCGTTCATCGAGAGACACGATTACATCTAACATAAAGGTCAAATCAAAATTTATTTTACACCTGGCATAGCACTACACCAAGATTCCGATTTTTCTTAACCGCTATACGGCAAACTCTAGAATCCCTTGACAGCCAGGCAGTCGAAATTTATACAAAATTTTTAAGAATGCCATTGGTAGTCGAAGTCCCTGCCAAGCCTGGGCTTCATGTCAATGGAGTTCGGAACCATCGTGATAGGGTGCTGAAGCAGTCAAGAAGCAGTAGGGTTCCTGGGTTTGTGACGGCAGCCGCAATGCGAAAGCGACGTTAGTTTTAGGCCGAGGGGCAAGCGGAGAAGAGCGCACAATCATATTTCCGTTGACCCTTCTGGGTATGAGCAATGCTTGAGGATTGACTCCAAAATAGCATAGCTTACAATTCCTATGAGATATCTCAAATATGCCGCATCAAGCAGTTTGAGTTGATTTTTAATGCGTGAGAGTACTTACCTCAAATATCACTGAGATGCTGAGATACCGGCTGCTAATTTGGTGCCGCCAGCACCCGTGCCAGGACCCCATGATGCACCGAGCTTGGGGCTAAGCAATGGCTCTTGCTAGATATCTCACTGTGCGACTGAAACGTGTGTTATTGCGTGCATGCATTCGATGAGCATGATGGTCTGGATTGTATACATCAGAAGATTACTCCTCCTGGCATGAATTCGTCTAGATCCTACGGCGAGCCGGAGCAGGTGAGTTGGTATGGAATATCGATCGATGAACTTGAAAGGGCTCACCATCACGTCCGAAACCAATAGAAAAGACATTCCTGCTAGCGACTCGGATATAAGCCTTTCAAGCGACTGTTTCTACACCCCTCTGTACAACAGGAAAGATTTCCAATGGCAGCGTGGCAAACCGCGTAGTGCTATTCGACTGGAAGACGACAGCCATGACTTATACGGATGTATATCTCAGCTAGAGGCCACCCAGAGCATTATCGTAGAGAAATAGGGCAATCACTGTCAATCTTAAAACAAGTAACGTCGTCGGAAGATGGATTGAACAACCGCTCACCATCGCGTTATCGAATGGTAGCAGAAAGCTTGCCATCTTGACTTAGTACCTCCTGTGGATTGAAGGTACGTAACAGGTGGCCATTAAGGTATGTGAGATCTGAAAATTCGAGGAGCGGTCGTTGTAGTCTTAGAATACGGAAGAAACTTGATAACGTGCTTTCAGTTCAGGTTGAATAAGTGAAGATTGACGAGCAAGAATAGATTGGCAGAATATGACGCGTTGACAAGAAGGAACGGCGCTGCGGCACGGGATTAACTCAGCGCGTAGGTAGGTAGTACTACACGGCACGGTCCACCGAGGGACGCCGGGCGTAGATAATACAGGATTGGTACACTAACACTCTAGTATAACAACCATGTACTTAATTATCTACTGATGCCTCCAACCGGACCACAGGCCGAGCTCGCGGTCAACTTGATGTTGCTGGGTAGAACCTAAGGTCCAGTCAGAGGCCTCAAGGGCTGCCACAACATGCAGCCCTTCAATGGGGTCGATACGTTGATAACCACTCTTCATCGCTTCATCGCGCAATGACGATGTCAGTTCGTTCAGGCACTGTCGGCAATATCTGGTGGAACTATACAGTTGCGCTGACTCCGCGCCGACCACTCGACAGAAAAATAAAAATTGCCAGGGAGGGGCCAGACATCGGGGACGACGCTTGTACGAAGGGTCGTCACGCAAAATCGCACGACATTTCATCCACGTCACAATGGAAGCAGGTATCAGCCCATAACGCACGCAAAGATCACGAAGGCAAAAACTCGCCACGCGGTAATCAGGCGATGAAATTTGAATCAACCCGCCGATTTCTCCCTTCAGAAATCACTGCAGAGAAGCGCAACGACCGTCAGACAAACTTTAGCAGACACAGAGAGGACGGAGTCCAAGTTGAGGAAGGGGCTGAGAGTCTGGAGAAAACTTGGCTGGTGCCAACGATGATGCATCTGATGGTCGATGGTGGATCCTTGCCCACCGCCGAGGCTCTCGTTGACAAGTCAACGTTCCGCAATTTTGAGGAACAGTGATCAAAATCGGTGCAGAGCACACGCAGTTGGAATATCACGAAGGTTGGAACCTTCGAGGGGCAATCAGGCAGGAAATCAGCCTGTAGTCGAATTTTTAACATAAATCACGAAGGATGGAACCTTCGAGCAATTAGGCAGCGTATCAGCCTGTAATCGATCCTTTTTCAATTTCACTGCAGAGCAGTACGGTAGCACGTAGGTACAGAGTAACAGAATTAGAGAGAAGAGTAGTCGAGATAGACAGGGAGTAGAGTGTCATACGGGCGTAAGTGGAGAAGAGCGCACGGCATTTTCCGGGCTTCGGATTATAACCACTAACACTACCACCACCTCGAATTTTATTGCTCGCCTTACCTGCTTGGGCTCCCTTGCCTTATCTGACGCAGAAAACAGCAGTAAAGGCAACTGTATTATCGGCATCCAATCGTCACAGCATTGCCATCAGGTTACCTCTGCGACTTAACCGCCCGCACAGCAATGAACCCGGGACGCTCTCTCACCTTCTCCAATGAAGTCGTCGCAGTCAAAGTCATCTCGCGAAATATATACTCGGCTGCTACTGCAGAAAGAACACGGATATCCTCTGTGGATCCCAGAACCCGATGGACGTTTACCGGAGGCGTATCGATGCAAAGGCGTCGGGGTTGGTGATGTTGGTATTCTGCGGAACGACGGAGGCTTTGACTATCTGTTTAATGTCTGCAAATCTGCGGATGACCCAATCAATCAAGGTCGCGTTCCCAAGGGATTTGAGCCCATCATCTGTGGTGATATACGGGAGATCGAGACGATGCATAAACGGGGCTGTGATATCTGTAGCGCCAGCGTGTCCAAGATAGAGATAAGTATGGGTGGTGCGGCAGAATCTCCGTGCGTCTCTTTGCCTCGTATCCGACCTCAAAAATTAATCGTTTTCTTCCAGATTCCTTTTTGGTGGCGGTGGAGGATTCGAGTTCAAATGTTCACGAGAAAAAGGGGCCATTCTTGTACTTCCCGACGGTGGAGGACGCTACGACGCCCTCAATATATCCCAGTTCCGCAGCTATGCTGCTCAACATGCCCATGCATGGTACCAGTTTGCGAACATCACTTGCGGCAGAGAAGCCCTCAATGGATCACTGTATCTCGTTACGGGCTGTGATAAAGCATGCTCATGGGGGGCGGCCTCGTTCTTCAACCCTGCCGACACACGTTCGTTCTCGCTCAAATTCCTTGTTGGTGGAGTAGCGGAGGGAAACATTAAACTGGGTTATTCGTGGAAGGGTACTTCGTCAGCGGACGTCAGGGCATATCCTGATGGTAAACCCACGTGCCTCGTTAGCTCACTTTGCCCCAATCAATGCGTTTTTCTGCGCGGATTTGGCATCTCAATCCGTACAAGCGCATTTGCCCGGTGGGTGTTTGGACCCACGGCGGTATCGCAAATCTCTGGGACATCCAAAGATCGAATACCATGTTTCGATAGTAGCATGCCGTACTTCAGTTCGAATTTAGAGCGTAAGCGTAGAGTGAGTCTCATCTCATTTCCAATAAAGTATTTATCATGATCGACCTACTCAGGCATGGAGTGATTCCTTGCCCCTGTACTCAGAAAACTCCCTCCCCAACCCTCGCAAGCGCCACAAGAGGGAAGATCCACTCAGCGAACCTGTGCCAGTGACAGTGTCACCACCTCCACCTGTGCCACGTGTCCTTCCGCCGAATCATTATGCTAGCAGTCCTCCGATTTTTCCTGGATGGGGTGCAGATTATCATGACGAACAGCGCCGCCTTGACAAGATGAGGACCAGTAATAATGCACCCTCTCAGGAGCCACCGACTGTTCAAGGTTCAGCACACTGGCCTCCCAACAATGACGATACTTATAATGCGCCCACTCTTCCGTCAACAGACCTGTATGCCGATTACAGTAACCCTCTTAGCGGGAGTGCTATCACGCAGGCGGCAAACGAAGACATGCATGTAGTCGCTCCCAGCGCAGGTCCAGAAAATGAAGACCTTGAGGTTGTGCTCGCCAAGCTTGAACGCGAGCTCAAAGTAAGATAGCTCATGATCCCGTTCCACTTCTATGTCCTTAATCATGTTTACTCAACCGTATTATAGGATGACGCCAGTGTAACATCATCCATTCTTGAGAGCAAACCAAGCTCATATGGGGGAGGGGAAGATAGCGCATTTAGTGATGCATTTACTGTCCCTACGTGGGCCCCGGCTTTACCTCTCGCTATCAATAAAAACGATATAACTACAGAAGGGAGTGCTCATAATTCTCTGCAGTACGAGAGTTTGTCTCTTGTAAGGGCATCTTGATACTTCATTGTTCGCGCTGAAGCATAGATCATAGCCTGAGTCAATCCCTATGAAGAGGGGAAGAGGAAGGCCTGTTAGACATAGTAGTAGTAGTACAAGACGCACACGGACACGTATTTGATATTTCTTGCCTTTTTCGTTTTGCGATGCACAGCCTCACATCTCAGCTTTTACCAACACGCTGAGATGTGAGTACCTCTACGTATATCCATACTATTAGTTTACTTACCATCTTGCAGTAACGTTCCGTTACATTATCCAGGTATATAATATACAAGCTTTTACCAACACGCTGAGATTAACGTTCCGTTACATTATCCAGTGTTGCTCACTTTCTCTCGAGCCTACTTTCCGTTACCACGTCCGAGCGCCGACCTCGTAACTCCAACAGGTTATGGGCCCCGCTACCAGCATGTCAACGACAACTGCCATAAAGCTAGTCAGCACAACAAAGCTCGCAGATGATGGATCAAACTGGGTAGCGTTTGAAGAAAAACTCACCAACAAGTTTCTGGACAAGGGTCTAGGCCGACACCTACGAGGAACTGCTCGTGTACCCCCTCACCCAGTTGAGCACAAAGGAAAATTTTACCGGTCAACTGACACCACATTTTCGCACCCCCTCTCGGATGATGACCTGGAGAAGCTGGAGGATAAGCTCGAAGAGTATGAGCAGAAAGAGGCAAAGATGCGCACCATCATTTATGAATCCATCTCCGACTCTACCTTCAATGAGATCAAGGGCGAAGCAACAGCTGCTCTCGTCTGGAAAAAGCTCATCGCTGTCATGACTGGCAAGGGCGATCTCGTACGCGAACACCTCCTTACCCGACTCAGCAACATGTCCTGCCCTGATGAAGGCAACATGCGAGAACACCTTGGCGAGATGAAGATCCTCCGTGAACGTATTGAGGGCATGGGCCTGAAAATCGAGGACAATCAGTACACCTCAATGATCCAAAAATCACTCCCACCTTCATATGACCACATCCGCCGCACCCTCTCCGCTGCCAGCAAATTCACTCAAAAGCCCCTCACGTCGGACATCCTTGTTGCAGCACTGCAAGAAGAATGGGATGAAGAAGTAGCATCAAAGGCCACAGCTGAGAATGTGGCGATGTCTGCACAACGACAGAACAAGGGGAAAGGTCAGGGCTCCGGGGGAAAGTCGAAGAAAAAACCAGACAGATCCCACCTTAAATGCACAAACCCGGCATGTGGAAGAACCGGCCATCTCATTGCAGACTGTTGGAGCGAGGGTGGTGGAAAGGAAGGTCAGGGCCCAGCTTCGAAAAAGAACAAGGCTAAAGGAAAAGGGAAGGCGAAGGAGTCAGCATCAGCAGCCATTGACGAAAGTGACGATGAGCACGTTATTGCGGTCGTAGCTGATGACAACGATGACCTAAATGTGGCCTTAATGTGCACATCGGACTACAAGGCCGAGGGCGATGCTCACGTAGCGAGGGGAGAAGAAGTTACAGCAATAGCTGATTGCGGAGCTTCGAAAACATACTCACCCGAACGCTGGAGATTCAAAAATTACTCCAACATTGACCCGAAGCCCATCAAAGCCGCAAATGGAGAAGTCTTCTATGCAGTAGGTAAAGGGGACCTTCAATTACCATTACCTATGGGTGAAGGTCAGAAGCCCACCATTGCGAGATTTCGGAATGCGTACCATGCACCGAAAATGGCATACACCCTCATATCCCTATCACACGTCAGCCGCGCCGGATTTCCCATCCACATTGAACCCACTGACCGTACCATGTATATCCGGACACCACGACCCAACGCTAAGATCATAGCCAAGATCCCCGAAGCTGGAGGCTTATACATCATCTCAACCCCAGGTACACGCCAGACCACGGGAGCAAAACCAGATGTCGCTATGGCGGCAGGTAAGCTCAAGGTGAACATCACTGAGCTACACAATATCTGTGCTCACCGAAGCCATGCCACCCTCCGCCGCATGTATATTGATGGCCATATCGAGGGAATCGAGCTTGATCTGGACTCCAAACCGGAATTTTGCGAGACCTGTGTGAAGGCCAAAGCGAAACGCAAACCATTCCCCAAGCAGGGCCAATATGAGTACGTCGAGAACACCGGCGACAAGGTCGTTGGAGACTTGATGGGCCCGATGTCTGTCGTATCACTTGGAGGAGCACGCTATGCCTGCACATACCGTGACCTACACACTCACGAGTCAAAATCCGAGTACCTATCAAAGAAATCGGGTACCTTTGGATCGTACAAGCGCTATGAAATCTGGATCAAGGTCCAGCGAGGTGTCGAAGTCATAAAGATTCTGGGTACGGATCGAGGGGGAGAATTCCTAAGCGAAGAGTTCACTCAGCACCTCAAATCAAAGGGAACAGAGCGTCACCTTACTGTACATGATTCCCCGCAGTCAAATGGAATTGCCGAACGTTCCAATGGGTATCTGATGGACACGACGAGAGCATTCCTAATCAGTTCAGGATTACCAAAAATATCTATGGGCTGAAGCTCACCGGCATGCTGAATGGGTCTACAACCGCACCCCAACGAAAGCAATACCATCAGGGAAAACCCCGTTTGAGATGGCAACCGGCAGAAAGCCCAACATCTCCGGCCTTCGTCCATGGGGATGTCGTTGCTGGGTTCGAGTAAAGGCACCGGAAAAGCTGGGGGAACATGCTATAGAGGCTCGCTTTGTGGGAATTGATACTGAAGCCAAAGGCTGGAGGATTTACTGGCCCGAAAAGCGAAGGGTCACCATTGAACGTGATGTTTACTTCAACAAGGAAGACCTGACTCCAGAACCGTTCGTCGTCGAGGGGGAGGATGAAGATATCGACTCTCCTCAGGCTCCAAAGTCATCTACAGTCCCTCAGCCTACTGAAAATCAACCAGACGAACCAGAAAATCCCACAGAAACTCACCTAGAACGTCCGGAATCTCCACTCACAGACATAGAGTCTGATCCTACCCCTCAGCCAAGCCGACCCAAGCGATCTGCAGCTCCAAAACCAGGCCAGCTCACACTCCCAGACCTACGCAAACGCCCCACCACTGCTGGAATAGCAGCAATCGTGCCCGAAGATGAGTCCGACTCAGATGATGATGAAGAGCCATTGGGCTCCTTGCCGGTAGACTATGCCATGATAGCAGATGTCGAACCAGTGACTATGAAAGAGGCACTGAGCGGTCCTGATGAAGGGGAATGGCGTGAGTCGATGCTTGCAGAAGTGAGGCAGTGTGAGAAGAAGAAGGCATGGAAGGTAATGAAAAGAGAAGACGTTCCCACGAATGCAAACATCGTGGACACGAGGTTCGTTTACCGGGTCAAACGGAATGAGATTGGCGAGCCCGAAAAGGCCAAGTCGCGTTTCGTAGCAAAAGGGTTCACTCAAATTCAAGGTGTCGACTACTTTGACACTTATGCCCCAGTTGTCCGCCTCCCTACTCTCCGCATCCTACTGTCCATGGCTGCCTCTCGCGATGCAACAATTGATCAAGCGGATATCAAAAACGCATACCTGCATGCCAATATCACAGAGGAAATTTACATCAAGTTCCCGAACAGATATGAAGAATTCTTCGAAATTCCAGAACACCTCAAGGGCCAGAACGTCTGCGCCAAGCTACTCAAGTGTCTATATGGCACGAAACAAGCAGGTCGAGGCTGGTACCAGACCCTAAAGTCAACAATGATCTCTCTCGGGTTCACAGTCAGCAACGCAGATGAGGCCGTCTTCTATCGGATCGAGTCAGCGACCAAATATGCCATCGTCGCAGTTGCTACAGATGACTTTACCATCATAGCGAACTCCCAAGAGGAGTCAGACCGATTCAAACGAGAAATTGGCTCTCATTTTGAACTAGTCGATCTCGGGCCTATTCACTGGCTGCTGGGTATGCACATCACTCGGGACTGGAAGAAACACACCATCAGTATTGGGCAACCTGCATACATTGACCAGATTGCGAAACGATTTGGCGTTGAGGAAATGGCCCCATTTGCGACGCCGATGGAAGCAAATCTCGATTTGAACCTAAACTCACCTTCTATATCCACGGAACCAGTTACACCACGCGAGAAGGCACTCTACCGTGAGCTCCTGGGCTCCCTCATGTATGTCGCAGTCGGATCTCGTCCTGAAATCAGTTATTCGGTCTCAGCGCTTTCACAATTTGTGGAGGAACCGCGTTCAACTCACCTGAAGGCCGGATTTCGAGTCCTTCGCTATCTCAAGGGTACACGCGACCAACGGCTCGTAATTGGTGGCCCTGATATCAACCCTAAGGGCTATCACGATGCAGCATATGCTAACCAGCCCGGGCGGAAATCTATGTCCGGATTCGTGCTATTCATGGGTCAGGGTGCTGTCATGTGGACATCAAGGAAACAGCCAATCGTTACCGTCTCCACTGGTGAATCGGAATACGTCGGGCTGACGCCAGCATCAAAGAACATGATCTGGCTGCACAAGCTCCTTTCCGAGCTCTCCACCTTCATCGCAAACCCTTCAATCTATCCATCAAACCCCACTGTTCTCTATTCTGACAGTCAAAATGCCCTCTCTATTGCCAAGGATTCAGTATTCCATGAACGTACAAAGCATATTGGAATCCGTTACCATTTCATCCGGCAAACCGTTGAGCAAGGCCACATTGAGTTGCAGTACTGCCCAACTGACGAGATGATTGCCGACGTCCTCACGAAACCATTGGCTCGCCCAAAGTTCAAAAAGTTTACGGAAGCACTGGGCGTTGTGTGAACGAGCCGCGTACGTCTCGAGGGGGAGTGTTAGACATAGTAGTAGTAGTACAAGACGCACACGGACACGTATTTGATATTTCTTGCCTTTTTCGTTTTGCGATGCACAGCCTCACATCTCAGCTTTTACCAACACGCTGAGATGTGAGTACCTCTACGTATATCCATACTATTAGTTTACTTACCATCTTGCAGTAACGTTCCGTTACATTATCCAGGTATATAATATACAAGCTTTTACCAACACGCTGAGATTAACGTTCCGTTACATTATCCAGTGTTGCTCACTTTCTCTCGAGCCTACTTTCCGTTACCACGTCCGAGCGCCGACCTCGTAACTCCAACAAGGCCGAAAGGTTCTAAGAATTGGAACCAAGGAGGAAGTCTTCTTGTAAGAGCATCCTGATACTTCATTGTTCGTGCTGAAGCATAGACCATAGGATTCTTCATTCCCACCACCACCTCCGCTCGACGATGAAATCCCTTTACCAATCAAACCGGTATGCTGTCATCTCTCTTTTGTCGATCGTACATCTCACTACTCTCGTGTTGTAGCCAGCGAAGAAGTTAAGAGGAAGGACGATGGGTCTGAAATGGAGTCAAATAGGGAGTCCTTCTCACTATTCTTCCATTCACATCAGCTCATTTGTTTCTTTATGCCAATTAGCAGCAACGTATTCCTGAGTTAGGACAAAAGCGGGATACCAACGTCGAGGTAGGTTCTTTTGTGTTCATGAAAATAATGGTATTCATCGACAAGAAACTGCAGAAAAACGCAGGTGTTTGTACTCATTGCAATTGCATTTTTATTGAAGATGTGTATAGGTGGTACCTCGTGAGGACCAGGAAATGATACCTAAACTTCCGGGATCGCCCCTTCTAAATGACATCGCATTTGACCCAGATTTGAAATGGGAAGAATACAGCGGTGACTTGACAAAACTCACAGGGGACAACACTACGTTATCATCCTACGGTTTTGTAAGCTCCTTGCCCTTGATACGACAGCCATCTCTGATTCTAGTCTGCGTAAAGGTACTGCTGCCCCACTATATGCAAGTACTATTGACACCCATGATGGTCCAATGGACCTTCCGCGCTCTGGCCTTGAGAACGATGATGCTGGTAATGTCAGGAGGCCATCGCTGTATCAACGATCAGGCCTAATTCAAGGACAGGATGACACCTTCCCCCTCGCTCAAAGTTCTTCAGACCTTGCGGATCTCATGGAAAAAGCTAGATCCTTCCAGCCGCAGGTAGCTTCCTAACTGCAGGTAGCTTCTCTCTGGGTACTCATCGTTAATGATTGCAGACCGAACTTCTCAACCCGTGCGCAAAGATCAACGAGTTTATCCTAGAGACGGTTCGCATTGACCCTACTTGCACGTAGTACACATCTCATGCTCACATCTCACCTACAGCATCCGCATGTTAACGTAGCAATCACGCATTCCTGCGAATGGTTGTCGGCGTTGAGCCAGGTGAGTGTCCTGGCCCAATCTCTTCAGATTAAAAGCTCATTCAAGGCAGGGCGATGACTCCGATGTCCTTTTGCGGGTTCTATCTGATTATAAGGTTATCGTCCACGATGGTGCGTATCTTGTCTGTCTATGTTGGGATAATGGAAAACTGAAGAGAGGGTACTACAGGAGTAGCTATGCTTGAAGTGCGGTAGATAGGCTGGCGGTGACATGTCTGGACGTAGACTATCCGCACTAGTAGCTTTCTCTTATTCCGATATCCATTTGTTATTATTGATTTTTCTCATTCGTTAACTGCTTCCACGGAATGTCATCAGATGGCTGGGGTATTCATGCATGCTGATGGAAATATCGCTGCCGCGAAACGGTGTAGGATAGATTGCCGATCGAGCGCCGATGATTGTACGCATGGTGAAGCGCACACAGAAAGAAATGTCAGTTGATTCGGTTCTGTTAGATAGTAAGGTGTCAGTGCCTGTAGTACGTACTCATGTGGGCCCTCACCATCTCTCTTCACGCCAGCTACATCTAACCATTGTTATAGACTACATCAGATCTTGAAGCCCTACCTCCAATAGTCCCCTGCTGCAGTGTTTTCTTTGCCAGTTGTATGTCCGATGATTATGTTGGGTATGTAAGATGCGTCTCCGGAAATCAGGGAATCCTCGTTAACAGCCCCATTAATCTTCAGCTCTATTCAAAAATAGGCGCTGGGCGTGGGAGTGACCTTACTCGGTCTCTAGATTATTGAAAGGTCGGGAAAGACATGCGTGCGGGGCGGGACCCAGAATTAGGCACTACTATATAGTGTGGATATCGATGAGTCCCCCTTCTTCTCCTTGTAGTCATCATGACTTTACAGGCCATCTTAGCTGCAGTCTTAACTCTTTACTGCGCTGGATTGTTATTCTGGCAGATTCTCAGGCATAGCCTACTACGAAAGCAGACGTGTGTACTCGACCTCCAACACCTAGGATCATCCAGAAACGGGGACCAGAAGATCCATGGCACAGCGGTCATCTGTGGCGGCAGGTGAGTCTGGCTCTCACCATCACTACCTATTTAATACTAACAAATTGTGTGAAAGTCTTGCTGGTCTATTCGCAGCCAGGGTATGCCACGATCACTTCGACGAGGTTGTTATCGTAGAACCGGAAGCATGGGCAGACGATCCAGATTCTAGGCGCCAGGATGCATGGAGACAAGCAAAGCATCGATCTCGTATCATGCAATACAAGTCTTTGCAAGGTTGTCTCGAGAGTTATTTGACCCGTTTCGAGAGACTGACTAGCCACGATCAGGGCCCATTCAACCATTCGCTTTTATGGCTTTAGATAACCTTTTCCCTAACCTTGCGAAAGAATGCGAGGCATCTGATATAACGTATGCCCGAACGATTTAGCTTCTCTTTTCTGATATTCAGCAATCGGTTTTCTAGCGTTAGAACTTCTGATTACCGGAGTTCGACGTGGGGGCGATGGCCAAAGAAACCGTATCATCAGTATAATGGGACACTTCCTGATACAATAATTGCCGGTCGCCCTGGGTTAGAGACGCTTATACGTCGCTTGGTTCTTGGAACTCTTTACAAGAATATCCAGCAACTTGTTGGTACCGTGACCGGTGTCTCTTGCGACACTTCCGACTCTGCGCGTCTCGATCGCGTGATTATTCGAACCTCAGTAGGCTCCCGTGAAATCAAAGCGGCACTGGTCGTCGGTATGTAAACCAAAGTGTAGCCGCCAGGACCTAATTACAAGAACCTAGATTGCACCGGTCCTGCATCTGCGGGCTTAAAATGGTTGAAGCGCCAGGGATATGGCCAGTCAGGCACTTATCCTTGCGGTAAACTTCCTCTTGAGAAGCTCAGGATCACTTACAACCAGAAGATCACCTATTCGACGTTTGAATTTTATGTCCCGCCTGAACTCGGTAACAGACTCCCCGGCCTTCCTGCACCATACGAAAAATGCGGTCTGATATATCTCTGTATCACTGATCCTACCCTAGACTGTCGGTGCATACATATCCAGCGCACCGATGGAAATTACAGTACGCTTGTTCCCCGCTACATGTGGCTGACTGTTCACGTTCCCCTTATAGTACAACTCTGCTGTGTTATCTTCGGCCAGATCGAGCATCCTCGAACTCTCGAGGAGATCAAAATGTATGCACAATCAATGGTCACCTGGGAACCTATACCCTCATCAGTATTCGAACTGCTCGATATACTGGAAGAAGTCGAAGACACCATGACTTGTAGTCATCTTCCTTTTTGTAAGAGAACTTTTTTGTTAAAATCTCGCTATATCCGAGTTCTTATGGGCTGTTTTCAAGCTGGAGCGAGTTATATAAGATATGACAAAGCCGTCAACCTACCGGCAAATTGGATAGCTACCGGAGATAGTGTCATGAAGCTTAATCCTCTTTACGGGTGCGTTTTCCCGTCAACCTTGTAGGGTTGTCAACTTGTGTTGCGACTTTACCCTGCATTCAGGCAAGGAGTCGTAAAGGCACTCATGGATGCAATTTGCCTCAACACACTCCTACACAAGCATCGTATGACTAGTTTCGTCCCAAAAGACTTTTCAACCGAGTTCTTCGAGATGCAGAAGAACAAGATTTCACGTCTCTGGTCAGTCGCTTGCTCCTTGATACTCCCAGTGCCCATTTTGCTGAGGCTTGTCATTGGCATCAGGAATGCAAACAAAAACCGGGGTATAAATTGTCCCACTTTCATTCAGAAATCAAACTGATTTTGTGAGTATAGATTATAGTTATCAGTCCACTGTTCCTGTACCTGGGGAAACGTTATCTGATGGATGGTTTTCACGATGGTATACGAGGCAGATTATCATGCTATCATTTGATGTGGGTTTATTCCATGCTTTCGTAGGAGAAGTCTGATTTCTTCCCAGGACTTGCAAGTAGGATCTGCATTGTGGAATGCCAGTATGATGCTTGCGCCTCCAATCGACACTTTGGAGCCAGGGATTGTTTTGAAGGTTGTCTGGCATGCCTTGAAGAGGTGGGTAGCGAGGTTCCTATTATAAAGACGCCTTGTAGAGTACAGGGATTTAATGTGTGAGCTAACACAATGGCACAGAGTATCAAAGAACTTCAGTATCTATTCTATAACACGTCTCAATCTTTCTGTTATGAGGCAGGTTTTTGCCAGGATCGTTTACCGTTCACAGCGGGACCTTCTCTCTTCATACCTCAAAAAATCCGCCGAGAACTGCATCTGAAAAACATGGCTCGCTTCTCATAACAATCGGCCCATCGTTCCCCTCAAACTACTTATCAAATCTCCGAAGATCCCGCCATCCCCTTCTCCCACACCTTTTCCTTATCCTCATTGGCAAACACCGCGTCAAAATTGGTTCCCCGTTCCGCTAACCTCGTGTCGCTCGTATTGGATGTGATACCCTTGACTATGAACCGGAGAAAGCCAGAAAAGTGGACTGATACTACGTTGCGGAGCGTCATCGTTCCAGCGGGGATGAGTGTAGATAGGAAGAATGTCTTTCGTGTCTTTCGTCCAGATACGCCGCAATAGCAGCAGATTCTGATACGACGCATCCTGTTGCATGGTCCTGGATGTACAAAGTGAACAGGTTCAAAGGTATTTTGTTCAAGTTGTGTAGACTCTACAGAAACGCGGTCATTTATATGCTCGGTGAGATCGTCAACACGTATGGGAGAATTCTTACTTCTTACTAAGGTGTCTGATTCATTTTCCGGGGTTTCATGGAATTATTCAGACCTCCGTAATGTCACCCGAGCGGAGACGATGGAGCCAACTACGTACTTAGTACATCACCGCTTCCACGCAATACGCTTGAAGCACAGTTTATTACAATAGATGAATATCTCTGATAGGTATTCGGAGTAGACCATAGAGAAACGCTTGAGGCAAGGCGGTTAATGACAGTGGCAGTAACGTACATTATATCAGGAAGGAATCGCGTGTTTCGATGTTCAGCCGTTCATAACTTGCGAGGCAGTTCTTTAAGTCTACATAACACTCTCAACTTTGGCTTTTGGCAACGAAAGAAGATACACTTGGAAAGCCTGAAGCAGCGCGGGGAACCGTCGTAACCTGGCGAGCTGGCTTTATAGATATTCGCGGTACTCGTTAACGTAGATGAAGTCCGTCGTCGCAAAGATGTGGCAGTGCTCGCGGCCCGACCACCCTGAGTTCCCACGCATAGTTTCCCTCAGACGTGCCGGTACCAACCAACACCAACACCTTGCAAACGAGTTCCGCGAGTATCCCATAAAGCCATCTAAAGCCTTCAATTGAACGCCGAAGCAACGTTCAATTTCAGAGTAGTGGTGCTGGCTTTTCCCAGATTGCACCCCTCAACGCGATATCACGCTGCACGGCGGAGTCGCTATATACCGCCTATTAGGATAAGAGGCGTGTTGTCCATAGGGTCGAGGTTCCACCGCTTTTAGGAGAGGTGGTTTCTGGGGTATTCGAAGAATTGAGGTCACTGGATATACCCAGAGGCGTGCGTCAGTTATCTTTTCGTCTAGACCGCGCAGCTCACGACACGACTTTATTCCAGATTTGCGCTTACAAGAGGCACCATGCTGCAGACATACTAGTACGACCGATGACGTCACGACCAACACCTAATGAGATATCTTCATTGGTCGCATCAATATATCGAAGACCCGTTCATCGCCTTCCCTAAATTCCCAACCTGACCAGTCCGGCTTGATCGCTTGTTCTTCCATGCCATCCGGTCTACCTGGAAGTATAACGAGATACGCCATAAATATGGATGTCATATAAGAATATATCAACTCGGGTTCGCGGCTTCATGAAGTAGCTCCTCGGCATTACACAAACTTATCGACTAGGCGTTGGTGAGCACGCCTTGGACTGCCGCATATATGCACCTAGTCTGGACTTCATTGTCCTCTGTCGAGTTGCATTGATTCCCTGACGGGTTTCAAAGCATTTAGACCGAGACCGAATCTGTTCAGGATGAAGAACATTCAAATGCACGAATCCCACATCGAATTAATCTTGTTCCATCTAGCACGTAACTCGGCAGTTCTCTTTCCGCTTGTGGTTTCTCAGCTTGCGTCGGCACACAACATCGTCCGGACTTGGGAAGGCAGTTGTGTTATAATTCACTCTGTTGACGCACCTTGTCTGAGCAACATCCTTGGACGTGGATACTCTGCTAAAGTATGCTCGTTCAATGGTCGTGCTCAGCAGACTTTCCAGAACTAGAACCGCCTAGAGTCAGAGAGATATGTACCTCAGTGCCCGGAACAGTGCAGTTTTTACATACTGTATTTGCGGTTTATGGTTGCTATTTCGGGAACGTGTCTACTTCGGTCGGCTTCGTTCCTAAATCAAACCAAACCATAAAGGGTCAGGCAATGCGTATATGTTTGACCGGTATCGTTCTTTTGACATCGAGCATTTTTGTTCTTCTTTGTGCCTGCCAGCATGCTTTCACTCTCGATTGCCAGCGCTGTAGCATTCGTTGTATACTGGGCTGGGTCACTCCTATGGCGATATCTCAGGTTCAAGCACCTTAGAAAGCATACTTGCATACTTGATCTCGAACAACTGGGATTGTCTAGGAGCGCGGACCAGAAGATCCATGGTACAGCGGTCATCTGTGGTGGAAGGTGAGCCAGGCATAATTTCACCTGGGTGCAGTATTAACAATGGTTATTCAGTCTCGCAGGTCTCTTGACTGCTCGTATTTGCCATGATCACTTCGATGAGGTCGTCATTGTCGAACCGGAAGTATGGGCGAACCGGCCGGATGCTCAGCGCCAGGATGTGTGGAATCAGGAAAATACCCGTTCCCGCATTATGCAATACGAGTCCTTTCATGGTGCGTCTCCGGTCATTCCAGTATATGCATACTTACCGAATAGCTACCAGCTACCATGCAACGGTTCACCTTCATGGCACTATGCAAACTTTTTACAGACTTAACAAAAGATTGTCAGGCATCAGGTATACTGTACGTCTTTAATGTATTGACTCTTGCAGTCCAATAACTTGTCTTCTAGCGTTGGCCCTGCTGATTATCCGATCTCGACATGGGGACGATGGTCGAAGAAACCTTATAAACAGTATAATGGTGTCCTCCCTGACACAATGTCTGCTAGCCGTCGTGGTTTTGAAACCCTACTGCGCCGCTTGGTCCTTGGCGGTCGTCACAAGAATATTCGACAAGTAATTGGAACGGTTACCGGCGTCTCTCGCAGCACACCCAACCCTGAATATCTAGATCGTGTGACAATTCGTACGACCGCAGGCGCACAAGAAATCAACGCCGCTTTGGTTATCGGTGTGTCAAACAACTTCGTTCCTTGTCGACATACGATTAATTGCTCAGAGATTAGATTGCACCGGTGCGGCATCTGTGGGTATGAAATGGCTGCGACGCGAAGGATATGGGCAGGCAGAAACGTATCCCAGTGGAAAGCTCCCTTTGGACGACCTGAAAATCACATACGACCAAAAGGTCGTCTATTCGACTCTCAAACTCCATGTCCCGCCTGAACTGGGCAACAGGCTCCCCGGTCTTCCGGCATCATTCGATAAATGTGGGCTCATTTATGCTTGCATAACCGACCCTATGCTGGACTGCCGTACTATAGCGCTTCAGCGTATTGAAGGCGACTTTGGTATGGGTTTTCTTTTAATTATGTATTCTATCACACCGAACGGTTAACCTTACCATCACAGTTCAAGTTGCCTGTACCGTTTTCAGCGCAGATGAGCTTCCCCAAACACTTGAGGAGATCAAGAAATGCGCACAGTCAATCGTTACTCGAGACCCCATACCCCGGTGGATTTTTCAGATACTTGATATGCTAGAAGAGGCCAAAGACACCCTGACTTGCAGTCAGGTTACATTTCGTAAGGTCTTTCCCGACAATCTAGACATCCTTCAAGAACTAATGGATCGCCGCTCAGCTGGGGCAAGTTACATAAGGTTCGACAAGGCCGTCAATCTACCACCAAATTGGATAGCTATCGGCGATAGTGTCATGAAAACCAACCCTTTGTTTGGGCAAGTCTATTGCTTCCATATTTTCAGACCGGAAGTTCAAACATTTTTTTGTATTGTTGTATTGTAGGCAAGGAATCCTAAAGGCACTGATGGGCGCGATATGCCTTAACACGCTGTTGCAAAAGCGCGACGTCACCGCTGAAATCCCTCAGAACTTCTCGGCTAATTTTTTCGAAATGCAGGGCAATAAGATCTCGCCTATCTGATAAGTCTCTGATCTCCTATTTTATGCTCGTTCATTTAAACGTCATCATCAGGGATGCAGACAAGGTTTGGGGTAGGTATTGTTTTAACTGCCTGGAACGCAAATTTAATCGGGTGCTTCTAGATTATGGATACCATACCACTGTCCCGATCGCGGGAGAGAAATTGGCTGACAGTTGGTTCTTACGATGGTACACTAGGCAGCTGATCAAGCTTTCGTTTGATGTGAGGTCGCGTCCTGTTGCTGTCGGGGGAAAAAGCTAACACCCCTTTTCCCGTAGGATGAACAAGCCGGATCTATGTTATGGCACACTAATATGCAGCTTGCGCCTCCGATCGATGCGATGCACCCAAGAATCGTCTTGAAGATCCTCTGGGCTACCTTTAAAGGCTTCTTTGCGGCCGAATAGAACTAGACCGCACCCTACGACACGATTGATATGAATTAAGGAACTTTTGTGTCTATGCCTCAGGCACCGGCTTCCCGTTGTCCAAACTCTATAGTCGTAGGGGTTAACTGCGCTTTAATCAATTACTCGACGTGATCAAGCAACCTGAACTGCACGCATCACGGTGTGCCGTTCTAGCTATACAGGCGTAACCTTAGAATCTAGAATACACCGGCAGGCGACATGTCACATATGTACACAAAAAATCGCGGTCACATGATCATCTTGGCTCAAGAAAAAGCGAGCGCGTCAAGTAAAATAGCCCTCGGCTTGCGGTGGTGTACTATTGGGCTTTTCGAAGTTTCTATTTGTGTGCTGAATTTATTTTTAGGCTACGTTGGCCTTGACTGTCGTTCAGTATCACATCTATTACTTCTTACCTACCCTTCATTGTCGGAATTAAGGTTTTAGACCCTCTCAAAGACCCGAGTTATATCAAAGGAAAACAGTCTAACTATCACAATACTTGTCTTTCTGCCCCACACCCTGAAAGAAGGCAAAGGCGTACGTATCAGCATTATTTGGGCATGATTGAAGTATACAACATTTAGTCCTCGTTAGTGGTCAGCTTTTGACATGTAATTGACATCAGCCAAAGCAGCCGAGCTATAATAGCGAGGCTTCAGCAAGTACTTATATTGATTCACAGCCGTTCTTCGAGCATGACAGAAATATAAGTAATTCCATGCATAAAGTACACAGTCTATCACAATATATACATGCCTTTGAATGGTGCTTGGAATAGATTTATTAGCGAAAAACGCGTGAGGCAAGGCGGCCAATAAAAGTCGAAGAATCAAACATACATTATATTAGAAGGAAACGCGTGTTCCGATGTTCAGCTGTTCATAATCTGCGGTGAAGTTCTTCATGTCCACAGAGCACTCGGTTCTGGCTTTTGGCGACGAAAGAAGACAGGGCTGTAGCGCTGCGGTCCAACGAATAAGGAAAAGCTAGCCCTGTACGCAATTCAGAGAGGCTGGGGGTAGTACTAGCCTCTAACACTGAGGATTTTTGGCGGAGAGTAACATTTCTTGGAGTAGGAACGGATACCGTCAAGCATTGAACCCAGTCGCATTTAAGAACCCTTCGACTCTTCAGGTACCATGTCAGCGCATCTCTTCAAATTCGCATCTTGGGTAACGGGATGCGAAAGAAAGGCCAGGTAGATACACTTGGTACTGGTGTTGGTGGGACTTGGAAAAGCCTGTCGCGACAATCCATGTGGACAGCGGCGAAGGTCCCGGCCCGGCCAGCTGCGTAAGTTCCCACGCATCGTTTTCCTAGACGATCACGCCTTAGGTTCGTAAACGAATTTTGCGAGTATCTGATTCTCATCATGCCATTCAATGTTTTCAATTGGGCGCCTGGAATATTTATCCATTTTCAGAAGGGCAGATTTCTTGGTTCCTCCCAGACTGTGCACCTCAGCAACGACGAGGTCGCCATATACTGCGTCCTGACGCCCACTAACCAGATGAAGGATGGGAGGTGTATTGGATAGAAGGTCGAGGCAGGGGAGTTCATTTCTAGGAGACCGGAGACAGGGCCTTGGCTGGTTGCACCCATGGGCGTACGCTCGTTGTCTTTTCTTCTAGACTACCCAACTCACGATGCGACTTTATTCCAGATTTGCTCTTGAAGGTGACAGAGAAGTGCATGTCGTCAGACATCCGGTGGTACAAGCGGCGAGGCAAAACTAGCGTGACATTCTCGTTAGCCGTATCAATATGTCGACGACTCGCTCGTCGCCTTCCCTAATTCTCAACCGACCAGTCAGGCTCGACCGTCGTCAAGCTAGCGGGCAAGCGCATAAAGAACAAAAAGGCCGGCATATCTAAGGAACGGCGGGACCAGTACGTGGATTAATGCATCTGTTGAGCCGCTTTTTTACCTGGTTACAGACATGTAACGCCCCTTGAGCCTTGTTCGCAGCTCTTCAAAGCTGCCTTGACCTCAACCGCTAGAGGAAGAGGCAAATCGCTGTTGGGAAATGCCGCTCTTTTTATCTCGGGTTCAGGTGCAGCGTGCTGTCGCCTACCAGTCCCCGTCAGTCGGAAGAAATCAAGAAGGAAGGACGATACCAACGTAGAATCCAGCTAGGAGTAGCCATACTCAATTCAGGCTCCTGCCGAGGGAAGTCTAACGCTTCTTTGTATGTTCCCTTGCCACCCAAACCGTTTAATCAAGCACTACCGTCTTAAAGTACGGTCTCCTCGGCGATATCGGCCGGCTGCCTATTTAGACTTAGACTAGTTCTCGTTCTTTCGTGACATCGGGCCTACCTAGATGTATCACGGCAAAGTATGGCCACCATTTGACGATTGAGTTTACGACTCGGTCCAATTTTTCCTCGGCATTACACAAAAAATATCTGTCCGAACACGCCTTGCACGGTCGCTTACGAAACTAATCTGAACTACAACGTCATTGGTGAATCGCATTGATTTCCGCGCTGGTTTTTTAGAGCCATTGGACCAAGACCGAATAAGTTTACGATGAAGAATTCGCAAACCCATGTATCCACTATCGGTACAATCCCGTTCCGTCTAGTATGTAACTAGATGGTTCTCTTTCCGCTTGTGGTTTCTCACCCTTTTACAGTATGTCGCAGTATGCGTCGGCGCGCGAGACAGTCCGGCTTGGGAAGGCAGTTGGACTATCATTAGCTCTGTCAACGTACCTTGTCCATACGAAGAGGAATAATCTTGAACGTGGCTACACTCTTCATAGCGGCGTTCGCCCTCTTGAGGGTCTTTGGAGAGACTTGTACCTCAACGCGCGGAGCAGTGTGGTTCCTTCGCACCTTATTAATTATTTGTGGTCTATGATTGCCATTCGGGGAACGATTTTGCTTCAGTTTCCTAAATCAAATCACATCATAAAAGGGTCACGCATGATCGAAGCGAGATTGGTGTCTTTTTTTGACATCCAGCCCTCTTTGTCATGCCTTCACTCTTGATTACCAGCGCTGTAGCTTTTGCCGTATACTGGACTGGGTCATTCCTCTGGCGATATCTTAGATACAGGCTCCTCAGAAAGCAGACATGCGTACTCGATCTCGAACAGCTGGGACTTTCTAGGAGCGCGGATCAGAAGATCCACGGTACAGCGGTCATTTGTGGTGGAAGGTGAGCCGAGCCAGGTGTATACTTTACCCTTGGTGCAATATTGACGACGATTATTCAGTCTTGCAGGTCTCTTTGCAGCTCGTGTTTGCCATGATCACTTCAACGAGGTCGTCATCGTCGAACCGGAAGTATGGGCGGACCGGCCAGATGCGAAGCGCCAGGATGCGTGGAACCAGGAGAACACTCGTTCCCGCATCATGCAATACGAATCTCTACACGGTTTGTCTCCAAATATTCCAGTTTATGCATACTTACTGAATAGCTTACCAGGTCCCATACAACGGCTCGCCTTCATGGCGCTGTGCAATCTTTTTACAGACTTTAGAAAAGAATGTGAAGCATCAGATATACTGTACGTCTTTAATGTATTGACTTTTGCAGTTCAACAACTTGCCTTCTAGCGTTGGTCCCGCTGATTATCCGGTCTCGACATGGGGACGCTGGTCAAAGAAACCTTATGGACAGTATAACGGTGTCCTCCCTGACACATTGACTGCTAGCCGTCGTGGTCTTGAAACTCTATTGCGCCGCTTAGTCCTCGGGGGCCGTCACAAGAACATTCGACAAGTAATTGGAACGGTTACCGGCGTCTCTCGCAGCGCATCCAACCCTGAATATCTAGATCGCGTGACAATTCGTACGACCGCAGGCGCTCAAGAAATCAACGCCGCTTTGGTTATCGGTTTGTTCAAACAAACTCGTCCCTTGTGGACACATGACTAATTGCGCAGAGATTAGATTGTACCGGCGCGGCATCTGCGGGTATGAAATGGCTACGACGCGAAGGGTATGGGCAGGCAGAGACACACCCTAGTAGAAAACTCCCTTTGGACGAGCTGAAAATCACATACGACCAAAAGATCGTCTATTCGACTCTCAAACTCCATGTCCCACCTGAACTGGGCAAGAGGCTCCCCGGTCTTCCGGCATCATTCGACAAGTGTGGGCTTATCTATGTTTGCTTAGCCGACCCTGTGTTGGACTGCCGCGGTATATCGCTCCAGCGTATTGAAGGAAACTTTGGTATGTTCTTTCTCTCAAATATTTCATTTATACGGAGCGGCTAACGTTAATCATTCCAGTTCAAATTTGCTGTGCCGTTTTTGGTTCAGGCGAGCTTCCCCGGACACTCGAGGAGATCAAAAAGTATACGCGATCGATTGTCCTTCGTGATCCTATGCCAGAGTGGTTTTTACAGATACTCGATATGCTTGAAGAGGTTGAGGATACCCTGACTTGCAGTCAAGTTCCATTCCGTAAGATCTTCCGGAAAATCCAGACATCTATTACTGAGCTAATGGATCACCGGCGTCTAGCTGGGGCAAGTTACACAAGGTTCGACAAGGCCGTCAATCTACCACCAAATTGGATAGCCATCGGCGACAGTGTCATGAAAGTCAACCCTCTCTTTGGGTAAGTCTATTCCTTTTCAAATTTCCACGAGTCCGGAGTTCTAAACCTTTTGTTGTATCGTAGTCAAGGAATCGTAAAGGCACTGATGGGTGCGATATGCCTCAACACGATGTTGCAAAAGCGCAACGCCACTGTTAAAACCCCGAAGGAGTTTTCGGCCGAGTTTTTCGAGATGCAGGGGAACAAGATCTCGCCTTTCTGGTAGGTCTCCGGTCTCCTATTGTATGGGTGTTAAGTTGAACGCCATCCTCAGGGATGCGGACAAGGTTTGGGGTATGCACGATTTCATCTTCGCTGGGCACGCAAATTAATCGGGTGCTTGTAGATTACGGATATCACACCACTGTTCCGATTGCTGGAGAGAAGTTGGCCGACAGTTGGTTCTTACGGTGGTACACCAGGAAGCTCATCATGCTTTCGTTTGATGTGAGGTTGTATCCTAACACTGTCGGCGGAAAACTAACACCCCTTTTCCCGTAGGATGAGCAAGCAGGATCCGTTTTATGGCATGCTAATATGCAGCTCACGCCTCAGATAGACGCGATGCACCCAATAATTGTCCTGAAGATCCTCTGGGCTACCTTCAAAGGTTTCTTTACGGCTGAATAGAACTAAGTATAGATTTCACGACACAGTTGGTATAAATCAACGAATTTTTGTGTCTGTGCCTCGAGCACTCTTTTTTCTAAGGAATACTCGTCCAAACACTAATCGTAAGCATGTCTAAGCAATTACCCATACTGATGGTTCGATGCTATAACCTTAGAATTCGATAACATGTTGGCATACGCCGAAAAAGTAAATTCGCGGTCACATGATCATCTTGGCTCCGGTAGCCGGTGAAAGAAAAAGCCGATACGTCAAGTGAAGTAGCCTTTGGCCTGCGCTGGTGCTCTCTGGACCTTGTATATTTCTAACTGTGTACTGAGTCTATGCTTTATCCTACCCTGGCCTTGACTCTCCTTTAACACCATATTTATGATTACCTACTTTCAATGTCTGACGTAGTCGCTGAGCTTGTAAACTCTCTCGAAGGCCCGAATGATATGGAAATGAGAGAATCTAACTATTGCAATGCCCGTCTTTCTACCCCATACCCCGAAAGAAGGCAAAGACGAACACATATCAGCATTATTTGAGCATGTCTGAAGTTTCCAAAATTTAGAGGTCCTTCACGGTCAGCTTTTGACATGCAATTGACACCAACTAAAGCATCCGAAATATAATAATGAGACTTCAGCAAGTATTTATAACGATCCACCCCCGTTCTTCGAGCATGACAGAAATACAAGCGATTCCATGCCTTAGAACGCCGTACTTGTTCGCCGTCGTTATGGAATAACCTTCAACCGAAGAAGAGGATTGTATATTCTCGCATATGGAAAGTGCCGGTGACTTCTTTGATAAGTTCGGACCCGCTTCTTCATACGTAACTAACTGTTCGTACATCAATATCTCGTCTTCAACCAGCAGTCGCTTCCCTGAAGAGACTCGTTTCATGTCTGTTTTGCGCCAATTTGAAATCAGGTGTTAGAGTCCTAGGTAGGAGGTAGTATTACAGATTTTGAGTGTCAAGCATATGTCTAAACACATTACTCATCGAGCTTGTATCGCCTGTATGAAACTGAGTCCTTGAAGAAATTCCACAGCACTTTGAATATCAACCCCGGTTGCAAGGCATCTATCGACGGTGCAAGAAGAGCTCTGACGTGCCACAACGCAGAACCCGCTTGATCGTCCTGTCATCATATTGTTATACTTATTTAAAACGTTTGGAACCATGAGTATAATGACAGTCTCACCGTAAAGGACAGAATGGTTAATTGTTTCATGTACCACCGAAGCCAGGAGCCCTGAGATAAAGTTTCTCCAGGAATCGGGACTGTGGTGCGATACCAGTAATCTATGTTCAAATAATGCTCAGCGTGATTATGGCAACGTTTTTAGTTCCTATACGCGCCTCCTACTTTCGTGCCATTCCTAACGACTCACATTCAATTCAAAAGCACATTCGCACATTATAAAAAGACTCACCAAAGCGGTATGATCTTATCGGCCTGCATGCGGAAGAAAAGACTAGAAAACTCCTCATGTATTTCGGTCAAATTCTGCAGCAAGACGTTGAGACAAACAGCGCCGAAGAAGGCTTTTGTGATTCCATGTCTGCGTTCGTAACAACCCTTTGTATGACTGATTATGAAACAAATAGAAGTGGACGTACCCATAGACCGGATTGACGGTCATGACACTGTCGCCAAGGGCAACCCAGTTCGATGGCAAGTTGACACCCTTCTCATACCGAATGTGGGTTGATCCGACTTGTGCGACCTGTTACATAGTGGCGCCAATATGAAAATATAAAGCGCTTACTGAAACGGACTTTGCTACACGTCATGTTGTCCCGGACTTCGTCTAGAGCATCGAGAAGTGCAAAGAATGACTGAGGAATCGGTTTCTCGGTGACAAGGCTTCGAGCACATGCTTTTGCAGTATCGAGATTAGTTGGAAGTTCGCATTCTCCCATCGTACTGAAACAAATTTGAACTGAAAGACATTAGCGTAGTGGGGGCCATGGAAGCAACGACACCTAACTGATATTTCTATCAACGCGATTTGTATACATGCATCGACTCTCTTTTTCGGGATCCGTTGCTAGGCAATAAATTATGCCACACTCATCGAAGGGAGCTGGGAGGCCAGGAAGTCTTGTCGCAACCTCTGGCGTAATATGGAATTGGAGTGTTGTGTACTGAAGCTTCTGGTCATAAGCTACTTTCAGGTCATCTAATGGTAGTTGGTCCTGGTTGTATGAGTCCATGAAACCGAAACCTTCCCTTCGAAGCCATTTAAGTCCCGCAGATGCAGGTCCTGTGCAGTCTAAACAGCTTTATCTGAGAAAAAAAACACATGATCATTCGCACAACAGACCTCACCTATAACAAGAGCGGTCTCGATACTACTAGGTCCTTCAGGAGTGCGCACGGTAACTGCGTCGAGGAGGTTCGAATTAGATGTGCTCCGAGACACACCAGTGACAGTGCCAATAATTTGACGAATGTTCTTATATCTTCCACCAAGAACTAGGCGTCGAAGGCAGGTTTCCAGTCCAATGCGACTAGCGTAAATCGTCGAGGGAAGGGAACCCCCATACTCTGCGTGGGGTCTCTTAGGTGCGTTCCCTGACACATACGTACGTGTCTCGTGGGGTCCTATTCTGTTCATTGATTATTGAAAGTTACTACGACCATAAAAGCCCGGACCTACTTGATACCAGAGACTTTACATTCCTCTTCGAAGTTGGGGAATAACTTGGACAAAATCAAGTAGCCCATTACCATTATTACTATAGCAGCGGTTTGTCACCCGGGCCTGGTAACGACGTGGGAGAAGAGCTAAACACACCTTGGAACGAGTCATTCTGCATGACACGGGAACGTCGATTTTCTTGATTCCATGAATCTGTACGCCGTGCATCCTCGGAATTCAGCCACGACTCTGGCTCAACGATGACGACGTCTTCAAAATGATCATGGCATACACGAGCTGCGAGGAGGCCCCCCACACTACAAGGTAATCGAGATGAGCGCGTCGTGATCAAATAGAGCGACAGTACCTTCCACCACAAATGACAGCTGTCCCCTTGATTTTCTTGCTGGCAAGTCTGAATCCAAGTCTTTCTAAATCAAGCACGCAAGTTTCTTTCTGTAGATGCTTGCGTCGAAGGGCACGTCCAAGAGACAGAGCGACAAGGTATACACACAGAGTTATTGCAGAGATCCAGATGAAATCCATGCAAAACGATACAAAGCTAATGTACCCCAGAGGGATGGCCGACAAAATCATTTGTAGGGTCGCCATGAACGCGGGTCCGCCTTTTTACTCTGATTCCGGGTCGGGTATTTGACAGACTGACGTAGGCTGACATAGAATCCAGGGTTTTAAAGTACAATATACAACAGGACGGGTCGCCAGAGAGGGCCAGGCTCAATTGAATTCCAAGTCTGTCGACGCATATGAGAAAATTAGATCCTTACGGCAGATAGCCATATCGTATCATTCTAATGTCAAAGTACGACTTTCGACATGAATTCAGCAGAGACGGCAAGACTTTAGACGCGAAAGGAAAAGACAAGGTTGAAGATGAAGTCTAAAAAAGGCGAATTTGAAAAATCACCTGGGGTTGACGCCCTTCTCGCTTCCTTTCCGGCATCTCCGACCCATCTCTCAGCGGGAGTCTCAGGTTATTTCTCGTATCTCGTTATTTCAGAAGGGCATGGCTACATACAGGCTTAGAAAATACATGCTAGCTATAAGACAATGGTTAATATCAATGGTATCTCATTAGCAAACGGGTATGTAATGAGGAAACTCTACAACTAAGTTGATGGTCCAAAAGTCTCTCCTGGATTTAGAGATTTCAGGGGTGTACCCAGATTGTCCGCTGTATGTTGCCAAACTGTATTGCCCCACCACTTTAATTCAATCCCACCCTTCGGGAGTTGTAAACAGAGGAACAAAAGAACGATAGCGACGGCAGTGCCGGCGTCAAGGGCCGCTGAGAGAACGTAGTTGTATCGCATCCACCAACGGAAGTACCGGCGGCGAATATAGAAGTTGAATATAAATCCAACGAGCGCCCACGAAGCGTAGTTCATCCCTGATGCCGGCGGAATGGCTAACGCTCCGGCAAAGAAAACAGGGATGTTGACATATCGCCAACTTGAACGTGGGAAGCGACGTGCGAGGTAGTAGCAGGGGATGGGAAGAAGGGCGCCGAGAAGGAAAAACCATAAGAGCGAATTATATCTATATTATTATGACTTAGTATGTTTAATAAGATGAACTGATCAATAAAACGTACGATGCGCCAGGCGAAAAGACCCGAGAAGGTCCGATACCGCCCCAGATGAAAGACGCCGTAGCAAATGTATTCGAGGAAGGACAGACAAATCCATCTTTCTGCGTGGACGAGCATAGATCTTCGATATTCGCAAACAACCAATTCTGGGTGCCCACCGACACAAAAGCCGCTATGATCACTGAAACCACCTGAATCGAAAACATCGTCCGCGGAGGGATCTTCATATAATGGCCTAGCTTCAGATCCCCAGAAAAGGTAGCAGCCTGGGTTGAGCCCATCACTCCCACCGACTTAAAGATAACATTGGCGATGGCCTTTCCGGGGAGCATGTATCCTGCGATGAGCTCGCACATAACATTGAATGTGATGGACATATTCGAGACGGCATGAATCATAGCCAACGGAAGTGCAGTCACCGCTGAAAACAGGATCGCAATGAGAGCAGCCCATATGGGGAGCTGAGTGGGGAATATCTCAATGGCCACAAACAGAAAGACGATGCCGAATACGCCGACGACCGCATACCACCAACGAGGGACTTCAGGGTACGCCTGCATCAGCCGCGAATGAACATCACGTTCATCCTTCAGAGATGATCGGAATCGACGAACAATATCTTGGCGGAACCACACTGAAAGAAGAAATGTCAGCATGGTAACCATAACATGGGGACTGAACTGACAAAACGTGTGGACGACGACAGCAGGGAACATGGCGAAGCTCAGCCCGTAGGCGAGACACAGGGTCGCAGGAAGGAAAATGGGAGAGTAAGACTGGTATTTGTCGTAATCGAGGATGCCATCGGTGATAACGAGACTGACGTTGTAAGTCGACCCCGTATTGTCATACGAGTAGTATGATGATATCGGCATGTACGCTGTATTCAGGGCGTTGCTGACTGGTGGATACTTCGTTAGTATCGCAACAGCCCAGAGATCATTCATACGCACAATACATGATGGGGGCTATGAACCAGAAAAACAGCACAAATGAAACCATAACATTTGCTTCAGACCACCACTGTCAACGCCATCAGTAAACAATAGAGTATAGAAAACCGGATGATGGCGTACGGGAGTTACCAACGGGCTGCCCAGATATGATATCATCGTCCAATCAAACGTCAAGACACTCATGCCTAGCCCATATGCACCGAACAACGAATTCACCGTGACGTTATTCGGTACAATCCAACATACCCAGTTGAAAACACTCAGGGCGGTGAAGAGGTAGCCGGGGAGGAAATAGTAGACAAGACTGCCGATGAAGAAGAGCAAGAAGAATCTCTCGCGGGTCATCCCTCCTCGCTCGTGATGTCCATAAGTCTTGTGGAGAGTATTGAACAGAGCGCAATTAACGATCGCCCCGGGCCAGATCATGCTAGGCGGCCAGACGACATACTGGCGAAGAATACCGGCCAATGAGAACCCATAGGCCTGAACGCCGAGAACAAGAAGCAGTTGGTATCCAAATGATAATGTTTGATGATAGAAGAACCGCTGAGCTAGTATGACGTCTGTCGCATACCCCGGAGTTGCGACGCTGGTCATCACCGTGATACAAACATGTTCCTTGATGTTGAACGGTCCCGGATTCAACGACCAGACGAACCCGAATGTGTTGAATCTTGTCTGGGGGAGGATTCTTTCCAGTGCCTTACCAAAAGGCAAGGTAATCAGCTGGATGATTAAACTTGATATGTAAAGCGAGGGATCTGATATAGTACATTAACAAGAATGCCAACGCTCGAGACAGAAGGAGAACACACATCGCAATTCCATCGCTGAGTTTATGCATGGAAGAATCAAAGTAAAAAGAAGACCGATGAACCACCTAAAAATAGTATTTTGTGGTGAGATCATTTCAGCGCAGAACACACAGCACAACGCACATTCTGAATGTGTTTACAGGCATATTGGGATCATCGACGCTTGATACAGCTGCGCGGACCTCGGGATACAAAGACTGGCTAAATAGAACAAAAGGAGAATGTTAGGAGGAAAATAGACCAAGGTACGACCTGCGCAAGACTCACTCGTTGAAGTTCTCTTCGCTCGAATGCGGGGATATATCCAAATCCGAATATCTCTGAGGAGTGTTTACATGTGACTCCGTATCGACCTCAGAGGCGGTATAGGTGGTGGAATGCTTGTATCCAAGCTTATCGAGCTCGAGCCGGGGCCTCAGAGGCTCCAACTTGATATCTTCCAAGACCAAGTTCGGATCGTTCAGATGTTTGATGAAGTAGCCAGGCTCGTCAGAGTACGGTGCATCGACAGCCGTAGCCTGGCTAGCATTCGACATCGCCATGAAAGATGACCGTTTATGCATGATTGTGGCGTCGTCCCAGGTTGCGTGAAAAAAGCAAGAAAAAAAAAAAGATCGACAGCTGCGGCGCCCCAAAAAGCGAACGCGGAGTAATTCCTCGGTGAAACAGTCGGGGTTGGGGCTTTACTTGTTCCTGCAGAAGGTCGCGGGCAGCATTTGGCGCGGGGATGGTGGCGACAAAGCGTTTTCTGCAGAGATTTTCCCAAGAGATGTTGGGTTGTTCCACCTTATTTGTTCGTGGCTACGGCCCTCCGGCCTGCACGACCTAGCGCGTGATGGGAGAACGTTCTATGGACAAGATCGTTATGAAATCGTCGAAAGGAGCACTACTGCCATTGTACGAAACGACACCGAAGTTCGGAAGCAACTTGATTGGAGATGTCGTATTGGACGGTAAAGCGGTCCGGGCTCTTTGTAGCCTCTGGTACATGGTAAAAAGTACGAGCAGTCATATAAATACGAGCAATAGTACCGTTCGCATGAACCTAAAGCCACGAGTAACGTTAATCAAGAGTTGGCACCTCGAAAACAAAAGCCGCTTGCAGGTGAGAACGGAGAGAACCCTAAAAAATCTCGGACTCTTTTCGTCCAGATCTCTTTCTCAGTGTTCAAGTGCTTGCAGATTATGCACGTCCCTCCGCGTTAGTGCATCGCCACCGTTGGCCTCCCTGTTTATATGTCATGCAGAACGCTAGAATAGTCGTCATTCCCGGCGGGCACCGAGGCCAGTTTGATCCAGGAGGATCGCCGTTTGAGTGTGATGGCATCACCCGGGCCGCAACACCTCACCGATAAAAAGCCCTGCAACGCAGCTACCACCGCCTGAGATAAAAAGCTCCCAAGCAGAAAAGCCCAACGCACCGTTCCCATCTTTGCCGCAGCCTTAGATGCCGTTATCCTTGATGCATCATTTCCCCGGCTCCTCATTAGGTCCAATGAAGTCTGATACGGGATGATTCTCGCCATGTTGAACCGAAGTCAGCCGCAAAAAGCACCGTTCGTGGAGAGAAAGGCAGAATGCAATCTGTTGCGCTACCAGAACGATGGATGGATAGAAGGATAGCGTAATGGAAGGCGCATAAGATTCAAGAACGCGCTGTGGCGTGCTATTTGCGGGTTACTATTCGAGCTGACTGTCCCGTGGATTTCTGCAAACACGTGTTGTACACGTGATTCTCGGATACTAAAGCCGAAACGCCGTTGACAATTGACAATTGAACTTGAAGGGCTCTACGCTTGTCAAACTGTACCGCGCTCCGAGGGAAAAATGTTAGGATCAGAGTGAGAATCAAGAGTATGTATAGAATGAACGCAGATGATGATCCACGTGCAGTGTCTAGGTCGTACTTGGTTATTCTTTATTCTCACCCGCGGATGGACTCGAGTGTACCGCTCGTCGCAGGTGCGTGGCGCGGAACAGCAGGTTGATTGATCCTGCCTGACATATTTCAGGTGATGATCTGGTAACCAGACATCGACCAGATGCACCACCGGCCCAGCATCCGGTTATCAAACTCCCCTACGTTCGCCATACGGAATGATCTAAAAGCGGGTGCATGGCGGTACTTGTCAAGTCAAATGTCCCACTCCGACTGACGTCCATTAATGTTGATGGTTGGCAGGGAGGGGCATTGTAGCCTCGGGGTTGGAGGATGCTATATGTATTCCGAAGGTACACGATTACTGTATATGCTACATTGAGAGGGAGATGGGATGGTAAGAGTAATCTGTCAAGGGGAAGGGTGGCAATGAAGGCACCGAGAAGAGAACGCACAACATTATTTGATTACGGCGTGCGGAGAGGCGTGGCTATGAGAGCTGTGATAAGATTTGGTCAGATGCCAAGAACTTGGAGAGAAAAGTTGGCAGCTGCTGCGTACGTCTTCATGGCGAGCTGGTGGGGGCGCCGAATGCGAATTCCCATGGCCATGGCCATTCATTGCCGGCGGGGGTGTCACTGGCATCTGCATCTGCATCTGAATCTCCTCCTGAGCCGCTGCGTCCATGAGAGCTTCAAGAAGCATACTACTCGCCGTGCGTCAACAAGAGAAGGCTGGAAGGGAAAAGAAGTAGAAGAACTAACTCGATCTCGTCCTGCAGCCTCTTCATGATCACTCCTGCGCTTTGCAGATTTTTCTCGTGGTTTGCGCGGGTCTAGAAAGCAGTGGAGTAAGAAATTGTAATACAGCTGGGCGGGGAGCGAGAAGGAAGGCAGTACTTACGGCGGTCGCTCGCGTGTAGGTTTCTCGGAGGGTATTGAACCTCGGGTCAATGAAATTTCAGGCCGACATGGTTAAGCTTAATAGGCATATGCATACTTTTCCTTATACCGTGTACTTGTTTGGGGTTTACTTTGAGCCTGGGAAACCAGTAAAACGGCGACAAATACGAAACAGGAGGATGGCCAGCTACCTTGCGTGGTGGTTCCATGAGTTGATGAAAGATGGAATGAGAACAGGGTTCACACGGTGATAAATGGAGGAGCTGTCGACGTCGGTTAAGAGTTAATTGTAATCGTAATCTATTGATCACTTTTTTGACAAGGCTGATGTCAATTGATATCTGGCAACATGCCGGATGCAGTAAACGTGCTCACCAAACCTTGCTAAGTGCGGAAGAGGGGATTCAATATAGATAATGGTGGTGTGATTGAAGGGCAGGCATACAAGGAACAGGCCTTGACAGAAGGAGGGACGGATGCAAGAGGGAGAAGAACTAAAATGGCAATGGCCGCCGGAAGCCCAATACCAACATGACGTATCACGTAATTGACAGGCTTGCCTAGTTCTAGTCATGTTCTTATACCCGAGCCATGCACAACTGTCGCCCCAATTCCCGTCTCCTCCTTCATCATGTCCAAGTCAACCTTTCCCTACGAGATATGGTTGAATATCGCTCACTTCATCCCACCGCTCGTCCTTGAGGACCTCTTCAGTGTCAACAGCGCGTTATTTCACCTGGCGATGGAGCAGAGATACAGGCAGATCAGTTTTGCGTATCTGAGCAGGAAGATGTTGAGGTTACTGGAACGACTCAAGTAAGTGTTCTGCTGTATTTCGTCTGTATCATCACCTTCCTCGCCATCCTTTTGCCTCCCGGCGCGCAGTTTGGCGGTATCCGGCGCGTTACTCATCATGCATCATGAGCTGACCCTTTTGCCTCAGGCATTTGGCAGCCGTGGAGCTGAGTTACGTGACGGTGCCGACCTCTTGCGCCCGCGGCTATACCTTTAATACCCCCTTTCTGGCGCATATATCCCGATTATTTCGACATCGTGGGACGCGTGGAGTGTCACAGGCATTACATGTTTCCGCTTTCTCCTATCGCCCGCTTCATTATTTTTGTCCTTTACATTGAATCTGACGACATGACAGAGATCCAGCCGTCGCCAAACGCGTCCGGATACTCCACATACATCCCCATTTCGTCAACGAAGATTTTGACACGCCGGCCTCCTCGCTCTTCTCGTTCAGGAAGTTTTTTGGACGCAAGTCGCGACCACCACGTATCAAGAATCTCGATGATTTGATATCAATCATGGGTGACGTTCTGAGCAGTCTGCCAAATCTGACAGAGTATCACATCGCATGGGTGGGGCTACAGAGTGCCCCAGCACCGTTTCTATGCACCCCATTCGGTTCTTCGCCGCTAACGAGGCTTACCCTCGAAATCACCCTGGAAAACCTGCAGACCTTGCTCAAGTCACAACCCTCATTTTTTGGCACCCTACGTGGATTGGATCTCTTTTTGCGCACGGACCATGCACTCGACGTGGCCGGATACGACCTGATCTTGTCGCGTACGCTAGCACCGATGATCAACAGCCTCTCCCTACAGATGCTCTCCCTTCGTCTATGGGAACCTATCGATATGTCGCCCTTCTTCTCTGCCTTATACCCTCAAACCAATCTCCATACCCTCTCCTTAAGCATACCCCTCACCGCTCCTCACTTAGGCAACCCAGATAGTGTCGCCGCATTCCTCAACATGCATAGTCGCACCCTTCGCAACCTTTCCCTGCGTGCAACCGATTTGAGTTCCCCCATCCCAATCGTTGACGATTCTCTCTCTCAATGGATGCAGCGTGCCTTCTATGCTGTGAACCTCTCCTCACTTTGTTCGCTCGAGCTAGGGATGGGTAGCATACCCTATGAGAGTGCGCAACTCTGCATAAGCCGGTTCCCCCGGACCCTTGCCAATCTCGTGATCACAGGACGGCATCTCTCTATGGAGGAGGTACGAGGGTTGCGAATACCTCGATTGCGCCGCCTCCGTATGGGACCTGTTACACTCAGCCCGCAGCTGATGGACTATTTAGCTGCGCGTGTGGCGGTACAGAGATTGGAGTTGGTTGCTAGTGATGTTGTACCCCGTGATGGGGAGGAGCCGATATACGAGGATAGGGAACAGGAAGAGAGTCAGGTGTGCAAGTTTTTTCAGGAGATGGATGAGAGGAGGTACGAGGGCTGGGACGTTAGGTATTTGGAGGTTACGAGGAATGCGGTACCGTGGAGGAGGCGGTATGAGGACGGTTTTAGTAACCTTTGGAGCAGATGTGTTCCTTCTTTGAGGGAGGTGACTGTCTAGTTAATAAGTTATGTCTCTCGCTATGTTCACTGCTTTACTTCACGACGCTGTACCTACAGTTATCTAGATGGCATATAATTTGCTGTTTGAATGAAACTGTGCCGGAACCGGCAGCTATAATTTACCTTCATAGATTTTAAGGAGGCATCTCGGCATTGGGTATATTTTTACTTGTGCCGGTATACCGAGGCTGAAATCGGAGTAGTGCCGCGCTACTCCTCTCTAAGCCGACCTTCCATAACATTCAGTGTCTCCCAAACTGTCTACATCCCTCAAATACATCGTCATACTCTCTAATAGCCCCAAAGTGTCGACGACGGGGTATAGATCGTTACCGAGTCGCTGCACTGTCAAGTTTCGACAGATATATCACCGCCTCGAACGTGTAAATCCCGTTCTCCACAGCTGATCGTGTATCACGGTGGACTGCAAGCAAGATCCGACCATTGATACCACACGTTTCCCCGCAAACGAGTACATCGTATCCGTATCCGAATTGGTACGGGGATCATGTAGTGGGGCGGCTGCCACCAGCCCGTAAGTAAGTAGGCTGAACAGTGACCCGGTGAATGGAGTGTCTGTCCGGAAAATTAGTTACTACGCCGCAGGGTGAGGTTATCCCTGGAATGTATGTACTGTTAATGATATCTTCAACAGGGTGACGTCGTATCATTATGACTCGGATCCGGATACGTTTATTGTGGCATTACACGTTGGAGTTTCCTTATGGCGATTGAAAAATGGGCCTTGTCGGGCCCTTCCTTCAAGTTACAGCATCGCAACGATCAGATTCATACGTCCATCATATCTGGTGGTCCTGACTGTGGCGGATGAGGAGCACCCAAGTCGGTGCCGCGACCCTTCTTATGTAAAACATCACGCTCTCCTTTGGGTTATTTTCCTCCTCGTACCATCATGATATGAACGGTCTCTGTCTTCCCGGAACGGCGTGCTGGGCGTCTTCCCCTCGGAGAAGATCTGCGACGCTTGAGAACCAGATAAAACGAGGATTTTCTTTCGGAAGTATCGGTGCGAAAGAAGCCCTTCGTGCCCTTGTGTCCCAAGTTCAGAACACACGTCTTCTTTGGCGTATGTGTACTTGGCCAAGTACGTGGTTAGAGGTATGGTTCATTTCGGACCCTTGCCGTGACATTCGCGAACCAGAATGTTTTTATGTTTCATGTGCGTCGTTTGTTCCAAGAAATGATTTATTTTTTGACGAAGCGTACAGCCTTACTGGCAATGGGGGTTATATTGCGCTGGAGAAGCCCTTTCTCCGAGTTCAACCTCATATATAGAAGAATGCGAGGTATCTTCCCATAAGGTTGGTTCGGTCTTCGGTCATGTTCCTATTTTAATTCTTCATGCAGGATGAGATACCCACAATCCCAAGAAGTCCAAGTCCAAGCCAAAGAAGAATACAGGAATGTGCTTCTCAAATCGATGTACATGGACCGTACGGAACTTATGCTCCGAGAACTTATACAAGAATGTCCGACAACTTATTGACGCGTCTCCCACTTGAGACGTATCTAACCCTCGACTTCCTCAAATTTCGTGTGGGTCCGAACCACGCAAGGAAGGCACCTCCTCTAGCTTCGCTGCCGCCTTCGTTATCTGTTGTTGTCTTACCCCTTGCTATTATTATCATTATCTTGCGAATCTTTACGAGAGAGATCTCGAAGATTGTACTAGGCCCTTTACCTGCTTCAGGTGAGAACCCAGAACGGTGAAATACGGTTTCGCCACGAACGATCAGGTGCTCCTCGGTGAGCAGAACGAGTTTAACCAGAAGCTTCATTATTCGACGCTCCACTTCCGAGCTCCGTCCGAGCTTGGGGAAGACGGGAACTTGGCCAGTACCGTGAGATGAGAGTGGGCTGATTTACGGTTCGATTACAGACCCCGAGAAGAAGGATCGGTGGGTGGATTGATAGATAAAAGCGTGAGATCGCCGTGGATTATTGTTGGTTTTGTTGGTCAAGTGCTGAAGAACATGTTGTTTAGCTCAAGGGTCCTCCAGCCCTATCGAAGACCCCAAAGGCTGGACATTTGTCACTGAGGTGCCGATTCCCGATTCCCGAGGCGTGCTGAATGTTCTGGATCCTATGACGTGCGATGAAGTTCATCTCCGTAAGTCTTCTTCTTGTGTTTAAACGCAGCAAATGCTTAAACGGCCTCTTAGTAGCACCGTCGAGTTATATCCGATATGACAGGCGCGTCAGTCAGTTGAATCGGACACCCATCTGCGACTCCGTCATCATAATGACTCCGATCCATAAGCGAGTCCACAGTTTCGTGAAAAAGGCGGTGGGCTGATTCTTGACATCTCTCCAGACGAAAACCCTCTGCCTCAATCCACTGCTACAAGGCTTTTATGACGACACTCAGTTCTGAAATGTGAACCACTGGAAAGTTCTATATTTATCCGCGTCTGTACAGATGCCGCTCTCCGGGCCGCCGGCCAACCTGGAAAAACTTGGGAGTAACGAAGAAGTCCATATGTGCAAAATCACCTCTTAGTCAACGGAGCCGTCGCGGGCCACCTCGTAGTACTTATATTTCTTTTTCGCTGTCTCTTGATATCCAACCATGAATCTTCTTTGGGCATCAGTGGGTGTAGCTCTCCTCGCATACTGCGCCGCTTTATATGTCGGTCGTGTGATTCGACGCAAGCATGTGTCGCAGTACACATGTGCCTTGGAGCTCGACACGCTGGGACGAAGGCTTCCTCACGAAAAGATTAAGGGAACAGCGGTCATTTGTGGTGGAAGGTGCGCATTTACAGCTGTATTTGACGCGTCGCCGGCTAATTGGCTTTTAGTGTCGGGGGTCTTTTAGCGGCTCGGGTGTGCCATGACCACTTTGAACGAGGTCGTTATCGTTGAACCGGAAGCATGGATGAACACTCCCGACGCGGCGCGCACTGATCCCTGGAATCAAGGGAGCAAGCGCTCGCGAGTGATGCAGTACGAATCTCTGCATGGTACTTATCTTTTGTCCTCTTGCTCTGGGATCCTAATACGCATGATTAATGTAGGCACTCTAGCGATGGGATACAACATCTTGACCAAGCTCTTCCCTGATATCGAAGAAAAGAGTCATGCGTCTGGCATCAAGTAAGCTATGTTATCAGCCATTCCGTTTCCATTCTATTAACATGTAGTACAGGATCATTCCCTCCGACTTTTATGTTCATATGTGGGGAAACGTGACTCGGTCTCCGTATGCCGAATATGGCGGCAGTCTCCCAAAGACTATGTGCGCCGGCCGTGCTGGTATTGAGACACTTATGCGCCGTTTGGTTCTGGGTGGGGAGTATAAGAACATCCGTCAGATTATTGGCACGGTTACTGGTGTTTCTCGAAGTCCTCATAATCCTGGATATCTAGAGGAGGTCACGGTCCGTACTTCTGAAGGCACACAGAACATCCGCGCAGCTCTTGTCGTTGGTACGATCTCGCGAACAGTGTGTATGTATGCGCGTACTAAATTTTATCATCAGATTGTACAGGTCCTGCAGCTGCTAGTCTGAAATGGCTTCGGCGAGAAGGATATGGATTTGCTGATAAATATACAAGGAATCAGCTTCCTCTCGACGAACTGAAGATTGCTTATGACCAGAAACTTCATTATTCCACGCTCCAATTCCATGTCACGCCTGAACTAGGGAGGAAGGCTCCCTGGCCTCCCGACTTCGTGGGATGAGTGCGGATGGATTTACTGCCTCTCAACGGACCCGGACCAAGATTTTAGAAATGTATACTCCCAGCGTGTAGGATGGAGACATCAGTGAGTATATATTTCGTTTGGACGAACTTTGGATTAATGTTCCCCCAGTACAACTTTGTTTCAGTTCTTTGGGTGACAGCAGCCTCCCGGAGACTCTTGAGGAAGGCAAGGCTTTCATCGCGAAGTCTCGTCACTGAGAAGCCTATTCCTGAGACGTTTTTCGCGATGTTGGACATGCTGGACGAAGTGAAGGATACTATGACTTGCAGTCGAGTTCGGTTCCGTACGTGCTTTTTGATGGTTATGATGAGAAGGAGCTGAGGATTCTACCAGCTGGTTCCAGCCACATCAGATATGAGAGGGCCGTCAACTTACCATCTAATTGGGTAGCGCTGGGCGACAGTGTCATGAGGGTGAACCCGGTTTATGGGTATGCTTTTCGAACTGCCTTCGCTCTTGGGTGCTAACAATTGGTCTAACAATTGGTCTAGACAAGGATGTTCCAAGGCTTTCTATGGCGCCCTTTGTCTAAATAAGCTGCTGTGTAACTCGACGTCTATACCGAAAGACTTTTCGAAGAAGTACTTTAGCAGTCACGCAGAAAAGATCAAACCGATTTGGTGAGGCATTTTCATAATCTCCTTTGCATATTTTACAAACGACCGGTTGTCAGGGCGTCACTCAAAGCCGGTGGTACGTACCCATATGACATTTCTACATAGTCATGGGACTGAATGGACTTTCAGATTACGCTTATAAAACGACAATTCCAGTCCCGGGGGAGACTTTATCTGAGGGCTCATGGGCCCGGTGGTACGCTAAGAAGCTAACCATTCTATCGTTCACTGTAAGTGTCAGTCGGGTATGATCGGCCGACCTGCGCTCACATCTCCCATCAGGATGAGCAAGCGGGCTCGGCGATGTGGCATGTCAGAATGCTCCTCGCTCCACCTATTGATGTGTTACAGTTTGGGCTTATACTCAAAGTGGCTTGGAGCCTCGTCAAAGGGTGAAGAACGTATAAACAAATGTAATTATGCCGTTCATGTCAATGAAACAATATTCCGAGAAGCTAGCAACTACAAATATACGGTAGGTGTTTCTGGAATGCGATTAGACATTCTCCACGACTTGATAAGACGAACGCAATGAGTTTAGCCGATAAGTTCGCTTTTCTGACACGCATGTTCGCTCCTGAGTCCTAAAGTTATAAAAAGTTATAAATTCAAGCGCCGGTCTATCGATCACGTGCAGAGTCAACAGCCTTACGAACGCCTAAATCTTTCTCTCTCTCTCTCTCCCCCTTGATGTCTGCCGCGTCTGAGCTCCCATTCGAATTGCTTTCCGAAATATTCGACCTCGCTTACGATGGAGACTACGATATTGTCAACGTCGGCTTTGTCAACGTCTGCAGCTATTGGAGAGCCGTAGCTCTAGCATCTCCCCATCTCTGGAGCTGTATAACTGTACGCAAATCAAGAGAAGGTCTAGCCGCCATCCTCAAGCGATCTCAGTCTTGCCCACTCACCATTCGCGCCACCCTCAAAGATCAACCTTCCTATGCCGTGCCACTGGAAAAGCAGCCTATCGCAACTACCGCCTCGTCCAGGATTCTCAAGCCGGGGCAAGTGTGGCAAGCTTCGCCGTCCTTGTACGAGATACTCAAGATCCTCTTCTCACACTCGCACCGCTGGAGTGACGTTTCTCTTCGACTCTCGCCTAACCTTTTCCACTTTCTCAACGACTTCAAAGGCCCCCTGCCCATCCTCCGAAAATTGCATCTTGAGATGATCTATACATCGTGTTCTCCTTCAAAGGCTCATATAGTGTCGTTCAAAGCATTCACAGTCGCCCCGCAGTTAACTCACCTTGTTATCGTGAACATCCTATGTGGCGTATCATTTCCTGCGAGTAATCTTCGCTCCGTTCATCTCACACAATTTGCCTCCCTTCAAATGATCTATGAAGTGGTCAGAGACGCGCCCTGTCTGACTAAACTTGTCGCGAGTCGCTCCGAAAACCCCATCAAACACGACTCTATGCCACATATTGGACACTCCATCGTCCACAACTATTTGCGCGAAATTGAAATTCACCGTATCCACAGTGTTGGCTGGCTATTCGCATCATTTATCTTTCCAAATCTCGAGTCGTTTACTTTAGAGGACTTTTCCAAGGTCGAGGATCACAATACTATCCCCCTACTGTCCCATTTCTTTGCTGCAAGTTCGCCACCACTCCGCGAACTGTCTATCCGTGGCATAATGCCAAACGAATTCATTACTCCTCTGCTCGGAGCAGTCCCCACTGTCGAAGAGCTCGTCATTTCTCAAACCATGCTTGCGGATGAGCGTCGGGCCGACCTCCGCTTTGGTGAGCTTGTTGCCAAAACGCTTTGCGCGAATAATGGTTTCTTGCCTCATCTTCGCAGTCTCGACCTTTACGCCTCCGCATATCCTCATGGCGTTGGCCACTGTCGCTGCACCGGCGACATCTTTGCAGACATGGTTGCTTCGAGGTGGGAGAGCTCCTCGCAGGTGGTGAAGCTTGAGCATGTACGCGTTGGGGGTTACTGGAGTGGTTTTGGATCCGATGTCGTCAGACGATTTGAATCGTTCAAGGGCGAAGGCTTGGATATTAGTTGGATTGCACGAAGAACGTCGTACAAAGAAGAAACTCCCCTTTTATAGATGTAAGACAGAATACTATGTCCTATACAAATATTTGTTGTCCCTCTTTACTATACCTGTGTCTGCCACAAACTCGTCGAGGTCTCACTGATCCCGCCCCTGGGAAGCCCGGGACCCGCTGCCGATCACGTGGACGTCGTCACAGTGCGCTGTGACGCGCTCAGCGGTGACAGTGACAGCCGCCTCTCTCCCGATGTCGGCCGCGTCGATACCATTCGAGCTGCTCTCCAAAATTTTTGGCCTTGCTTACGACGACCGGGACATCTCCAATGCTGGATTTGCTGGCGTTTGCAGCTATTGGAGAGCCGTGGCCTTGGCATCTCCCCATCTCTGGAATCATGTAACCGTACGAAAATCAGGAAAAGGCCTTGCCGCCATCCTTGAGCGGTCGCACCCCTGCCCGCTCACTATTCGCGCCACCATCGAAGATGATCCGTCCTACGTTGTTCCGGTACCAGCCCACGCAGTGCATTTCCACCAGCCTCGGATGATGGCGTTTGGCAAAGCTTCGCCGTCGTTGTACAAAATCCTCGAGATCCTCTTTTCTCACTCGCAACGCTGGAGTGATGTCTCCCTTCGGCTCTCCCCTAACCTTTTCCACTTCCTCGATGACTTTCCCGGCCCCTTTCCCATCCTCCAAAAGATGCATCTTGAGATGATCTACGCTACAGATTTTCTTGAAGATTCCCCACCGGTTTCATCTAATTGTTTCGCTGTCGCCCCGCAGTTGACTCATCTCGTTATCGCTAACATTCGGCACGGCATACTATTTCCTGCGAGCAATCTTCATTCCGTGTATCTCACACAATTTGCCACCATCGAAAAGATCTTTGAGATCATCAGTGAAGCGCCGTATCTGACTAAAATAGTGGCGACCCGTGCTCAAAATTACATCCAGGACGAACGCATACCACGTACTCAATCCCCGGTTGTCCACAACTCCTTACGCGAAATTGAAACCCACCGCATCTACCAGGTTGGCTGGTTATTTGCCTCATTCATTTTTCCAAATCTCGATTCGTTCATGTTAGAGGACTTTTCCGAGATTGAGGATCGAGACACTATCCGCCTGCTGTCCGACTTCTTTGCTGCAAGTTTGCCGCCGCTCCGCAAACTCTCTATCCGCGGCATCATGCCAACCCTTAATATCATTCGTCTACTCGCAGCTGTCCCCACTGTGAAAGAGCTCATCATCTCTCAAACTAATCATGGCCATGGTTCACTCCCCTTTGGCGAGCTTCTTGCTCGTACTCTTTGTATGTATGGTGGTTTCTTACCCCATCTTCGCAGTCTCGACCTTTATGTTACCTTCGATCCAGAGGATGATGTTTATCATGAGTTGATTGGCAGTATTTTCGCGGACATGATTGCCTTGAGGTGGGAGAGCTCTTCACAGAGGGTGAAACTTAAGCATGTGCGCGTTGGGGGTTATAAGCATGGTTTCGGTTCCTCTGTGGTCGAGAGATTTGAATCTTTCAAGCGTCAAGGCTTGGACATTAGCTGGGTTGCGCGAGACAAGTCCTTGGAAGAGGAAACACCCCTTATCGAGTAGAATGTGACCTGTACAGTCTCTCTTTGTCTATATACTCAGCGATTTCGCCGTCGCCTTGTCCCGCCTTGTCCCTACACAATCTCGTCACTTGCCCGACCTTTCCTCTGGCCTCGACCTGTTCCGCACGTCGATTCCGCTTGCGGACCGTCCTCAGCTCATATACCATTTCTAAACGGCTACAAGGCTAATATTTGTTGTTTCCGCGTCACTAGTTTAGAGTACAACATGCTACCAACGTCATAAGACGCAAGCTCCTTGGATTGAAGACCCATTACTGAGGTGCTAATTCCGGAGGAGGCAGTTTAGGGCAGTTTGTTATGTTGACCATGCTAAACGCCGGTTCTTCTCTCCTTTCGACTCGGAAAATATTCTGACATAATCCATCTCTAATAATCTAGAAGTGTCCTCTCTGGTCTCAGTTCTCTAGTCCCGACGAAAAACCAACTTGGCACCAAGGCTTCACGCGCAGAGCCAACACAGGAACATAGGTATTAGGTCGTTTACATATGGGACCAGAACATACGGAGAGGCAAATTTAGAGATCAGGCCCGTTAGAGTGGCAAGACCATGAAAAATTTTCGCTGTCTAAGCCATGGTGAGAATCGAAATGAGGTGAGTGGCTCATCGGGCCGGTGAAACCGACAATTAAGTATTGCTCTCGGAGCTTCAGGTTCTGCTGTTCTCAGGCTAGCCATGTTGAGGGCTCGGAGAAAGAGCTAGCAAGCCAAACTTTCTCAAAGGACGTCTGACATGCAGTGAGTACCTACAGGCGTAATTCCACTAGCATCAGACTAACTGTGATGGATTAGGATTTGGAAAACGGAAAATGAGCACAGCGATTTCGCCATTCCTCAGCTGCGGGGTCCTGCCTTACTGGTACTTCTTGGGAGTATGCAAAAAAAAAACACTCTCGGTCAGGTTTCAGAGATACTGATCACCGATTTACCCATACTACCCTGGTAGGCTGAAGGTGCCTGGGCGTTACAATATACTGAGCTGGCGCCTCAGACGGAATACTCCAGGGTTGATGATCTTTGTGTCCCTGGTGGTACGTCGCAACAAGCCTAATTTTGCAACGGCTCGGAGCATACACGGAGAGTTCACAATCCCGATACTACACACTCCATAGACGCCAAAGATTTTGGTAGTACCTAAGCCAGATCGATACACCTGGCATCAGTTTTGGTACACGGTATTATATAAATATCGTAGGCAGGGTCTGGTTCCCTGGAGTGACCATAAACGTCGTATGGGTTCAGGCTGCTGCTATCGTACTAGGCATCTACTACATTGTGGTATCTCTCGAACGTGCTTTACGACGACGCCATCTCCTGAAGCAGACTTGTGTCTTGGATGTCAATACGCTCGGACGTCGACTCCCTAGCCAAAAGATCAAAGGCACAGCCGTTATCTGTGGCGGAAGGTAAGCAGTCCTTCCAGCTTATCCCGTAATTCCTCCATTCACGGGTGGATTTTTAGTATCGCAGGTCTGGTTACAGCCCGTGTGTGCCATGATCATTTTGAAGAAGTCATCATTGTCGAGCCAGAGACGTGGTTGGGCTCGTTGGATGCTAAACGTGCGGACGCATGGAATCAGGAAAACAAGCGCACTAGAATTATGCGGTATGGATCGTTTCATTGTGAGTCCCGTCTCTACTGTCCTATCTTTTGGCTCCAGAAGAGACGCTTTGCCTGTAGCGTTCATGGTCCATCGGGCATATTGCCTTGGCAAGGCTGTTCCCTAACCTTGGAGAAGAATGTAAATCCTCGTCCATAAGGTGAGATTTGCTTTATATAATTTCGTCGTATCCGAAGTCATTATAAAATTTTATATATAGAATAGGACCTAATGGCCTGCACCTTCACATGTGGGGAAGCGAGATTATATCACCCTACGAACAATACGGTGGTTCTCTACCCAAAACACTCTACACTAGCCGTACGGGTCTTGAAACGTTTCTTCGTCGTCTCGTCCTCGGTGGGAGATATAATAACGTCCGCCAAGTCCTTGGAACAGTCGTCGGTATTTCACGAGATGTATCCGATCCCCATTTTATCGACCGGGTGACGGTCCATACTCCAAAAGGAGCCATGACCGACATATCTGCCGCACTTGTCGTTGGTATGACCCCCCTCTGTTTTTATATCTACTTCCTTGCTAATACAGTCTACTGCAGATTGTACTGGATCTGCCGCCGCCGGTCTAAAGTGGCTTCGAAGGTAAGGTTACGGCGTCAGTGATACATATGAAAAAAAATCAGTTACCCCTCGACAAACTGAAGATCTCCTACGAACAGAAGCTTCATTACTCTACCCTCCAACTCCGTGCTCCCCCCGAGCTAGGGAGGAAGCTTCCGGGACTCCCGGTACCGTATGATGAATGCGGGATGATATACGTATTTATTCCAGATCCAAACAAGGAGAACCGATGCATATACTCCCAAAGGATTGACGGGGATTTTAGTAAGTCATTTCCCACTACGCGACTACAGACTAAGCTAATAAATTCTCCCCAAGTACAACTTTGTTTCGGCGCCTCCAGTTCGGAAAGTGGCGAGCTACCAAAGACTTTGGAAGAAGCAAAAGCCTGGGCTCGAAGCCTCATTACGGAGGTTCCGATTCCCGAGGGGTGGTTTGCTATGGTGGATATGCTGAAGGAGGTGCAGGATTCCATGACATGCAGCCAAGTCCGTTTTGGTAAGCCTGTTTCTTCTTTTCTTTCAAGGGTAATATCCTAAATAGTCCGTCCCTGATAGCGCCATCAACTTGGATTCGGTATGAGAAGGGAGTAAATCTACCGTCGAATTGGATCGCTGCTGGAGACAGCGTAATGAGGGTCAATCCTATTTTTGGGTGCGTATTTTCGGCTCTTCCTCAGGTCAGACTTATAAACGCAGTACTTTATAGACATGGGTGCTCCAAAGTGATCTACGGTGCTATTTGTCTGAATAAGCTACTGCAAACCGTCCCTAGTATCGATACCCAAGGATTTTTCCAAGAAGTACTTCGGGATGCACGCGGATAAGATTGAACCGCTTTGGTGGGTACCGGTTATTCTCCTAAGGTTCAAATTCGGCGACTCATGCACGGCGATACCTTCAGGAGTACGACAAAAGTCATTGGTATGCATCTCTGCATCTGCATGGTTGATCCAACTGAACGTCCGCTTTTGATTCTAGATTACGCGTTTGCGACTACTGTGCCGGTCCCAGGAGAGACACTCCCTGAAGGTACCTGGCTTCGCTGGTATATCAAGAAGCTGACCGACCTCTCCTTCACTGTAAGTTCGAATAAACGATAGCATGGTAGCGCAATTGACGTATTGGATAGGATGCCCAAGCAGGCTCAGCATTATGGCATTTTCGAGTGCTTCTCGCGCCGCCAATCGATCTCTTGCAACTGTCCCTTGTGTTCAAAGTAATACGAAACCTGATTAGGTACCCACGTACCTAATATCTAGGGACTGAGTCTTCCTTGATGAAGAATCTTCTGCGCGGGCATAATACAAAGAACGTATCGGACTGCTATATAATAGGGGAAGTTCAGCTGGAACCGGTCCGTGGACACAACCTTTTCGCTGTGTAGAAACTAAGCAGGGATTGCCTTGGTTACATATGAGAAAATGTGTACCTTCTTTTCGTAAACCGAGGGAAAGATTTGCGACTGACAGAAGAGTAGAAACGGAGACTTACCATCAATCACTCAGGTTACATCATCCGCGGCCAGCTTCTCTCTTCCCTAAACGACTCGAACCCCCTACGAGTCAGCCGCCCTGCAACCGTTTTTCACAGACCCTGGTTCAGATTTATCATGAACATCAAAAAGAAAGCTAGGTAAGGATACATCGTTCGCTACACTTCGAATCGCCTGCTTTAAAACACATTATCTTTTATCAGGAAGGTCTATTCAGGAACTCACAGGTACTATACGAGGCTACGTAAGCGAAGGCTAGTACGTTATCGATGTCCTTTTTGACTACGCCGCACGGAACGCTGGTCCACACCTTTTTTTTTCCCAGAAAATCGCAAGCTGAATCAGAGCGGTCCTCTTTCCTAATAAGAGCGTTTCTCACGGAGAATGTGCACAGGGCAGCCATTCGTTTAGATATGGCCGGTCGAATGGGAACTCATGAATTCGACCTCGTCACTTCTGGTACCAACGCCAACGCCAACGCTTCCGTCTAACCCGAAACCCCTTCGGAGTCAATTCGGTACCCCCATCCATCGACATCCACGGGGAGCATATCACTCCATAATAGACGTCAGAGTCTTTCTGAACTACCATGAACTTTTTGTGGGCTCTCATAGCAGCGTTAAGCGTATACTATGTCTTTCTATCCCTAGAGCGTGCTCTTCGAAGACGACTTTCTTCAGACCCAGACGTGCGTCTTGGATGTCGACAGCTTGGGTCACCGAGCTCCTCGCCAGAAAATCAAGGGCACCGCTGTCATCTGTGGGGGAAGGTGAATACTTATCCCCAACTCCGCGAAGCTCTCGTTCTCGTTCTGATTCGGATTTTCAGCATTGCAGGTCTCACTGCAGCCCGAGTGTGCCATGATCACTTTGAAGATGTGGTCATTATCGAACCAGAGGCATGGTTGAACTTCTGCGGATGCAAAACGTCCCCATTCGTGGAATCAGCAGAACAAGCGCTCCCGAATAATGCAATATGAATCGTTTCACGGTCCTGTTGAGTCGCCTAGGGATTTCGTCTGGCAATCAGTGACCCTTTGACCTCTAGCATTAATGACCATTGGCTACACTACAATGAAGAAGCTCTTCCCAGATTTCGTAGAAGAGTGTGAATCTTCAGCAATACTGGTGAGCTATGATGTTCAGCCATAGTTTTTAAATTCCGCGACTAAATTATCCATAGGACAGGTCCTAATGACACACGTGTGCACTTGTGGGGGCACGACCCTAAGAAACCTTACGATGAATATGGTGGCACACTTCCCAAGACGATCTACGCTGGTCGCATTGGACTTGAAACATTGCTCCGTCGGCTCGTCCTTGGTGGCAATTATAAAAACATCCGGCAGGTCACTGGGACCGCAACCGGTGTTTCGCGAAATGCGTCCAATGCCAACTCTATCGACCGCGTGTCAGTCCGAACCGTAGACGGAAATATCGTCAACATTCCAGCTGCACTCGTTATCGGTATGACCCCTCTCCTTTCTCCGTACCTATCCTTTCTAAATGGAGATGCCTTAGATTGTACAGGATCCACTACAGCTGGCTTGAAGTGGCTCCAAAGGGAAGGCTACGGGTTCGCGGATACGTATGCGAAGAACCAGCTGCCCCTCGACGGGCTCAAGATCGCCTATGACCAAAAGCTTCGTTACTCGACGCTCCAATTCCGCGTCCCTCCCGAGCTAGGCAGGAAGCTCCCCGGACTCCCTGTACCCTACGATGAATGCGGTGTAATTTACTGCCTACTTGCGGACCCTGAAAAGGAGAATCGAGGTGTGTATTCTCAGCGGATCGACGGGGACTTTAGTAGGTGGTTTTTCTTTGCGGGGCTTAAGTTGCTGATCCCCTACTTGGAGTGCAAATTTGTTTCGGTATCGCTGGTGGAGATAGGTGCAGAACTACCGAAGAATCTCGAGGAGGGAAAAGTATGGTGCCGAAGTCTGATCACTGAGGTACCGATTCCCGAGGGATGGTTCGCTATGCTGGATATGTTAGAGGAGGTGGAGGATAGTATGACTGGCAGCCAAGTCCGTTTTGGTACGCCTAATTTTCTTTAAGCTACATGGGGAAGCACTGAAGCAGGTGACCATTCATAGCACCCTCGACGTGGATTCGATATGAGAAAGCTGTCAATCTGCCGTCGAATTGGATTGCTGCCGGGGACAGTGTCATGAGGGTCAACCCTCTCCATGGGTACGATTAACTCCTTCTGCTCCCGTGGGGTTTATGATATTCTGTGTCGCAGGCACGGATGCTCGAAAGCTATGTACGGTGCTATATGCCTTAATCGGTTACTGCAAGACGTACAGTCGTCGATACCTGAGGATTTCTCTCAAAGGTACTTCCGTATGCACGCGGCTAAGATTGAGCCACTTTGGTATGTACCTGTCATTTTCTCTCAACATGACTGCTACTTACGAGATGTAATCTTAGGGATACGACGAAAGTCGCCGGTACGTACCATTGGATGGAACAGTGGTTGTCTACTAATCCGTCCTATGTGCAGACTACGCATTCCCTTCGACAGTCCCCGTTCGGGGTGAGACACTCTCACAAGGCTCATGGCTTCGCTGGTATATGAAGAGGTTGATGACACTCTCCCTCACGGTATTTTCGCGCCTTTCTATGCTTTGTACAGAGTTTAATCCTTTTGACAGGATGCCCAAGCTGGCTCGGCAATATGGCACTTTCGAGTGCTTCTAGCTCCGTCTATCGATTTATTGCAATCGCGCCTTCTGCTCAAGGTTATTTGGAACTTTATCAAACACCCGTTAGCGTGATGTGTAGGGCTATCAGTAGACTATTGTGCTGGAACCTCGTAGGCTTTGCGAAATACAGTCTAGTATGCACTGCTCATCAAATACACATGTTTTTCCCGTAGCTATGGTGACTCGATGACTTTTCGACCTCCAATCTCACTCTCATTGATCGATCATGCATTGACAGATACAAATTTCGACGAAATTGGGAGTTACTATGTGAGCTACTATGCTTCTGGTCTGCTACCGTCTCCTGTTGCTCTTGGATGCAACTGTTCGATACACCGAGAGATGAACGTCCCGTTTTCCAGCCTATATCTTATTCAGCAATGCCAGTCGAGGCGTCTGCTTGACTATCAGCTCTATGGCAAACGTGCGCTCCACCGAGGTCTACCAATGTTCCAGGCAATAACGGCCCACAAGGACTACTACTATTCGAGTTCATACATACTTCTGGCTCCAAGATTGCGTCCATTCTCTTACATTTCACCTGCTGGCCCTTCACACTAGTTTTCTTAGCGCAGATGATTGCTTCCGAGCTGTCGTTCTCTCACCTAGGCTGTCAGCAGTCGTGTATCCCTTCTCGCTAACCCGCAACCTGGTACGTTTCAGCAATCATTGACGATTTCGGCAGTGCTCACGAAGGGTATATAGGTCAACCCCCCGGGAGTGTATCTACCACTGGAAAGCCACCAAGATCATGGTATTCAAGAGCCTCTTACTCATCGTCTCCTTCAGCGTTGCTTTGGCATCAGCCAGCGATCCACCGGTAGTTCCGGGTCGCTGTAAGTTCTTTTGTTCCTGAATATCTTCCGCGCATCAATTGTCGTCTTGTAGATGCCCTGATCCCAATCAACGAGGAGAACTCAGGGATGGTCGATATCCCGCTCTACGAGGAAGGTAAGTTCTGCTTGATGTGAATTCTTGTCGGAATTTGTTCATTTCCATACGCCCAATAGTACGTGTCGTGCACTTTTCGGAGCAGACCCCGTTGGCCCAGTGGAACATCCAGCCATGCGATATGGGTAATAACACGTATCTGTCTACTATCAAGTCTTCGCCAGTTTCATCCACAGGCCCAATTCCATCTCCAATCCCCAGGCCGGGCCGCTGGTTAATACTTCCTCAAGGTGAGCCTGAACTCCCAAGTAGACGGTGTGTGTCGACTCAAGTCGATTTGGCTTGTGTTCTAGGTGGCAATAACCCTGTGTTAAGCTCTACTCGCAAGTTTTGCTGGAACGTTTTTCCTCATGGCAACAACACCTGGCGGTATGTCGGCAGCGCTTTTGATATACTCCATTGTTGACCTGATTACACGACCCAGTCTCCGAAGCTCAAACGATAGCAGTGGCTGTAAATCTTCCTCTATTTGTAGTGGTATTTTCTGCAGCTAACATCTACCCTCCGACCAGTATGTCTTGGCACTAGCAATGAGTGGGCATAAGTTTCTCCCTGCAAGTATTCGTGCTACTTACTTCAGAATTTTTTCTAGCGGAGAAGTTGAAAAAGTTAAAGGGTACAAACCAGGCACTGACGGCCATTGCAATGGTGACCTCTTGTGGAAGCTCCAACCGGCTAACTGAACACTGACTCGGCATGGTAACTTATGTTAGAGTCAGAGGCGGGATAATTAACCATAACTAGGTTCAGATAATGGAAGAACCAGTTTTGGTCCTAGCATGATTGGTTCTGGGTTCGTTATCAATCAGTCACAATATAGTAATCACTTTATCTTCGAGCTTTGTAACGGAATGGAGGAGATAGCCACCCTTATCCATTCAAGATGAGAAGTCTGGAGCCAACGATTACGATTCACAGCAGCTCCACCTTCTTTGGGTTTCAATGCGATTACCCTGACCTTGACTTTGCTTCCGCAACCCCTCCTGCCCGACGATCGCCTGCACCATATGAAAATAATATATATTTGGACATCCGCGATGAAGCAAGAGATTTCTTCCGGTTGCCGCTCTTTGCTCACAAGGTGCCAGGATTGCGTAGGATAGGTTTGAATTACTATGCACCCACTGGCAGGCAGAGGGAGCGGAGGCGCGCACGGAGACAAGAAAGAGAATGTTTTTCAATGATGATTCCTGAAGCTGCGGCCTCTAGACTTGACGCGTCTGCTGAGCTCACTATGGTCCCCAAATTGTTTCCACAAGCAGGAAATCGGACCGAAGTGGTTCGCCAAGCTGAAAAAATTTCCTCAGATAGATTTAGATAGATTTCTGTCTGCCGGAAATCAGTGTTTAGCAGGGAGAATCCTGTTCCTGGCTTGACGGAAACCGAATATGGAAACGTTTTCAGTGCCACTGTATGTTTCCTTTGTACGGAAACTTGGGCATGATAAGAGTGGCTGTGCCGCGGTAAGGCCGGGCCGGGAGTTGCCGATGCAACTTAGTTCGAACTGGCACCGCCAACGCCAATAATGAAGCAAAGGCAGGACGCATAGTGACTCGTAGATTTCCTTTTTTTTCTGTTTGCTGAAACAGTCGTCTAGATACTTTCTGTCTATCAGGTTCTGTCTGCTCGGAAAGCTTCTCAAATTCACCGAGTTAGTCCATCAAAAAACTACGTCTACACGCGCACATGATGAACCAGACTCGTCTCGCTCTAAAAACATGAAATATTCTCCTTATTAGAATATCCTCTGTAGGAGAGTCCATTAGCCGCTGGCGTGGGAGACGGCTCGAATTTGTAGCAGCTGCGACTTACGAGGTCCGCCTTACTCCTGACGGCCAACGTTTTATTAACTTCAGTCAATAATCAGGAGCTTTTTCACTCAGGATTCAATGTTTATCCTCCAATAAGAGGTCGTCAAATATGTATATCAGCAGATCAACGGGATCCCGACTCTTGTGGGAATTCTCCGCCAACCATATCTTGACGTCGCCCTGCAAATCCTCCATGCCGTCGTTCCCGCCGAAGACTTTTCTCAGCACCAGCTTGGACTTTCTTAGAGCCGCTCTACTTCATAGTCTGAAGTATCGCGCACGGCGAAGTCACCCAAGCCTCATTCAGCGCCATTAGCACGCCAAAACGTCCCTGGTGACGCAATCTGCGTTCTTCTCGCATACCCATGACGCTAACCTGCAGGTCGATGCCAGAAGCTTGTCGTTATCCGCCAATTTGATAACCGGTACTTTGTATCCAGTTATGTATAAGAAGCGCGGTGGCAAGGCTTTATTCACCCTCCAAACCCTTCATCAGCCGACGCCCACTTCTTCGGGACCTTGGATCAGCATACCATCATGTCTGGAACGCTGCCCTATACAAGCCCAGTCAAAGCTCACTGGTATCGATCGACGTTTTTCAATGCCACGGTTCTTGGAATTACCAATTTCCTTGCACCTGGTATGTACATTCTCTTCTACACTTCTGCGTGAGCGCTTAGCCGAGTTTACGCAGGGATCTGGGGTGCTATGAACTCTTTGGGTGCTGGAGGTTTACAAAGTGAGCTTATGCCTTTTCTTCGTGATCTTTGTAGCTAACTTTTCTACCACAGAACCGTATCTCGTCAAGTACGTCTCGTCAATACTGGGTCTACTGGAGAATGCTGACCAGCTGCCAGCGCTTCTAATGCTTTGACCTTTGCCCTCATGGTCATAACGGCATTCCTCGGCAGTACGTATATATTCGCTCCATACTCCGATTGAGATACTTACTAGGCCTAAATCAGGCTCGATGGTGAACAGATTCGGTATCAGGGCTACTTTGTCCTTCGGTGCTGCTGGCTATGCGCGTATGTCCATCCTTCATTTCATCTATTCTCGCTCTCTGACATTTACGTCTCTTCAGCCTATGCGGCTGGGCTCTACTGCAACAACGTATACGGAACTCAATGGTTCGTCCTGGTCGGAGCGGCATTGTGTGGTATTAGTGCGGGCACATTTTGGATGGTGCGTTCGTTAGCTTCCATCAGAGTCCCCGCAGGTCAGTTGACCGATTCGGTGACAGGCCGAAGGTGCTGTGGCTCTGAATTATCCTGAGGCCCATAACCTTGGCAAGTTCATCGGGTATTGGCTATCCTACCGTGTTGGTGGTCAGATTGTTGGTGGTGCAATCAATCTTGGACTTAACGCGAATCGCTCGCAAGCTGGTTCAGTGTCGCCGAAAGTATATATCATTTTCATCACACTTCGTGAGTTATCAATACTATCATTTTTTCCCCTTTACTGACTTTCTGCAGAGGCGCTTGCTCCTTTCACTGCTTTGTTAATCTCCCCTCCGGATAAGGTCCAACGGACAGACGGAACACCAGTACATCTGATCAAAAACAGCAATTTAAAGCGCGAAGCGAAAGACAGCTTGCGGCTGTTCTTCTCCAAGAATGTATGACTCTGCTTCGCCTCATGGTATTGTTGTTGATCACGATTTTTTAGTTCCTTCTCGTCATCCCTCTCATCACACAAGCCGTATTTAGCGAAGCGTTCAACGGCACATATCTCACTCGTAGGCTCGATTCTACTATATCACGTCAGCTAGACCTGATGGAGAAAATCAGTGCATTTCAGCGTCCGCGCGCGTGCTTTAGGTTCTTTCCTTTCCGCAGTCGTGGCCATCATTTTTGGGAACATTCTTGGTGTAAGGAAAATCTACTCTCGTTTCCGCAATCGTCTGACAGACCTTCTATCTACAAGCGCTTCCTGGATCGCACAACATTGCCCCTGAAATTCCGTGCTCGAACTGCATTTATCGTGGTTCTGGGTCTTCAAGGATGTTGGTGGATCTGGTCGACGATTATACAGGTGCGTTGTGGACTGCACCAAATCATATTATTTAGACTCATGAATATCTAGCACGAATATCAAAGGACTGGCGTGGTTCTCGATTGGTCAAGCCCTGGATTCGGAAGGGGATTTGCCTTGTATCTATTCCTTGTCGGAGGTTTCCAACTGAACTACATGCTTCTCTTCTGGATCGTGGGACACAGTAAGTCTACCGTTCTTTTTTCAACGTCGAACCGACTGACATTCCTGCGTTCAGTTGCTGAAGATGTCGAAGGTGCTTCACGCATTGCCGGGCTCCTGCGCGCTACCGAATCTGCTTCGCAGTGTGTCAGCTACGGTCTCAACTCTATCTCGTCGTTGGCAACGTTGCCGACGAGCTCCATAAACTTTGGATTGTGGGGCGTCAGTCTTGTCCCTGCTTGGCTTGTTATTCGACAGATTGGAGTTAATTTGGAAGGTAGACTGGAGAGGGAGGCTCGTTTGGCCGAGCAAGCCACTTATGATACGGATACGAAATTATCTGCCGACGCTTTAGAGTAGATAGATTACTTTTTCATCTCACGAATCACGATTACACTAAGGGTTTACATTATACAATACAGAGGCTATTAGATACACAAGTGGGGGGACTAGCTATAGTTAGTACGGTTTCTTTACGATGACAGAAAATAACATCTCGATGGATACTGAAAAGTACCAAATAATTCGTTGCTTGCGACACACATATACACGGACCCTCTTCTTGTGTTTCTGTAATAAAGGGACTAAATATAGCCACGATCTTGAAGGGAAACGAAAGGGTCTCATGCCGTAGTAGTAAAGGATGACAATTCGAAACACGAATGAAAAATTAGAGACATGGCAGGACTTCTTCTGTTGTCCCTTCTACTGATATTACCGTATTTTTATGCCACATGTATCCCGTTAGGATGCTCCACGGCAACTTTAGGAGCATCCTAATTTGGCCATGAACGCCGGCATCCTTTAGGGGTCGTCCCTGAATTCTTGAACACTGCTAATGACTTCACTCTTGAGTGGGTAGATGCTAGACAAGAAATTCTTGAAGCATTCGGCGATTATTATAAGAGGAATTCCAGAAAAACAGGATCGAACAGATGTATTTGGATGAAACAAAAGGAAAAATGACGCTCATTACTGATCCTTCAGGCGTCGGTTGATTAAAAACGGAGCGCGTTCGTCGGCATTCTAAAACGATCCACCGACAATCTAACCTCGACATTAGTGATCTCTATAAACACAGGAGAAAGAAGACCGACAGTAGCATTGTCAGTAGTGTTTGTCCTACCGGCCGATCCACCAGTAATCGTCAACTTGGAAAAGTCCCATGTTCTATGAGTAAGGACACAGTTCAAACTCGGTCGAGAAACCATTAAACATCGAATACTTACCCTGAACAAGCTCCACAGTTAATGGTCATTCGTTTGGCCTTAGTGCCGACCCTGAGAATACATGAGACTGGAAGAGAGACAATGCATCGTGTATGGTGCGCTACTTACTGGACGGTGGTCGCATTTCCGGTGAAATTAACGTCCCTGTCAAAACGTATCACACAGGAGGTCGATTCATTCACCGGGGAAACTTACGAAATGGGACCACCAGTTCCAGGAGTGCCATCATCGGCAGGATAAGACTGAGAGATCAAAACACCATATTTTGTAATGCCGCTGATGGTGTTGCTAGAATGATGCGTCAGTCATTTATTTTTAGAGAGAAAGGCGCGTAAATACCTACCCGGAGTATGTGATGCCAGACACTTTAGCGTTCGTGGCCGACTTTTGTACTTTGATTCTGTAGACCGCGGTTCCACATTCCAGAAACAAAGAGGGAAGGAGAAGAGATCATGCAGCCGTACCTGAGACCATACATAGAGTTGGTAACAGTGTTTCCGGAGATAGTAACCCCGGACACTGTTTTGCCTGTGGCGATGGACCCAATAGAAATACCGTGGCCTCCAGAGCACTGATTATTCTTGAAGCTAACAAATGAAATGAGCGATACTATATGCCGATGAGTGGATAGGCTGAAATACACACATAATCGTGGAGCCAGAGTTGATAGCAATACAATCATCCTGATTCTTGACAATCGAATTTTGGATGGTCACGTTGTCAGCGGAAACATCAAAACCCTATATGACTCTTTAGCCTCTCAATCGTAAAATGCGGGTTCATCCTTACGTCAGTATTGTGACCCAGGCTATTGGTATCGCCGGCGCTGTTGTCGACCTAGAAACAAGTAAGCCTATCACAAAGTGCGAGCAAAAATGATTCCGTGTACAGTGATGCTGTCAAAGGTGAGCCCGTTACTGTTACCAATAGAGACTAGCTTGGGCAGGGGCTGTTCAAGACCTATCGCTCGTGAGTCGCATTAAGTATTATCCAGAAGGAGAAGAGAGTAGGGTCTACCGTGAATTGAGAGTAAGTTCCAGGAGCCCTTGAACCTAGACTGAAATTAAGAAAGTCCGCTGTCGTGATAGGCGACGGATAAACCTACTTCAAGAACGGGTGGGGCTTATCAACACCGCCGTTCGTACCATTACCGTCCCAGTACTTAGCTCCATTTCCCTAATGATCCGTTGAACACTGAAGCGTGCTACCGAGAACGAAAATATAAGTATCTTACTCACGTCGAACTTAAATCCAGCGCCTTTGAATGTAATACTTTCGCCGTCAATGGTGAACAGAGGTCCAGTGCCTAAGGTGAGTGTTCAGTAAGCTCCTGACAATGTACCTCGTCAGTGATGATACACACTGGAGGTTTGGGCAAACGTGACATCACCAGCCATGGTGATTGTCGCACCCGACTTGGGCTATCTCCAGAGTCAAAAATGTCAAGCCTCGTAATCTACACAGATACGTACAGAAAGCGTCAATGTGCCTTGACAACACTCTTTAGCGAGGGATCGCGGGCAAAAGTTGTAGACTCACTTCCGTTTGCAACAGTGAAGGCATTGATAGTAACCGCAGAGCAGCTGGAAATCGACGACGCAGAAGAGACAGAGTCGACGACGCAATCGGCACGGGTTACAAGCTCTGCGTCTGGACTAGCTGACACAAGCGCTAGGACGCTGGACGTGAACAAAAACCGGTAGAAAGCAGAGTTGAACATTATCAGTCAAAGGGAAAGATTGGGAAGAATGACTGATACCCTCTGCAGGTCCTACCTTATATACCGATTCAGGAGACTGTGCTGGAAGAACCATGGAAGTAAACGGCAAGACTCTAGGTCCTTTAGGTCTTATGTAGAACACTTGAGTGATCTACGCAATGATCTTCACTGATCGCCCGAATTACGAATAACGCTGTTTGTGTTTCGAATTAGGTAGAACCAGGTCTACCTTTCTGGACTCGACTTTGCGTTTGCAGCTTTATATATTGACGAGCCAGACGTACAGGACCGGTGCGAACTCAGACGGAGCTTCCTCTGAATCTTTTATCTTGGAGGAGAGCGATAAGTGCCTTTGCGCAAAATATGACTCTACAAAACTCACCTGTATTGCGCTCTCAAAACAAAGGTGGTCAGCGAATATGACAATTTCACCGAGCTTGTTGAACCTGGGCCATAGATATTGTTTCAGCTTATAGCATGCTCGTCGAGACCGGCCTGTAGATGCTGTCGATGCGGTAAAAGAATTTCTGTCAGAAGGTCATCAACGGCGGTGATTACATCCAACTCGACATTGCCTTGTGTAGTGACACCACGCCTTTGTCCCGTCTTCCTTGCGTATTTAGTGCCTACTTACTTCCCTTGTTGTATACGTAAATGTCCGGGACTAGCATTCACTGGAGGCTTTGTATGTAGATGCCGCCGAACTAAATTTTACCAGCATCTTTACTTGTGCAGCTTATTACTATGCGTTTTCCTATATTTTTGAGTTGCGAGTGATAGGCCTTCGATATTCAAGGTTTCGACACTTTGGACGTACTCGCGAAAGCTTGTATTGTCCCGACGCGTCTGAGCTGGTGACCCGGGCCACCCACTAGCGAGACAATAAACAATTTCTTTGGAAAGCGCATTACGTTTAGGACTATGCAATCATATAAAATGGTCAACAAGCAACGAAAACTTTACGACCACCTTGAGCCAGTGTCTTTGTTACTGTCATTTTCCGGAGCACCGTCTAGTACGTAGAGGGTGTTACTCAGTGTTCGTCCTTTCTTTAGGCCTCCTATGAGCATACGGAAGTAAGTGCCTGGATAGCATGATAGCATAGGGAAGTTCTCACCGGTATGCCTTAGCTTTGACAAGTCCCAACATCAACTCGGGGGGAAAAGCTCCGGTCGCGGCTCGGAATCGGGTGCCGGAAATCGGTCCCGTGATCGAAACAGCGCTATCATAATTCAAATTGAATTTCATTCCTCCGCCGCTCTGCCCAGTCACTCTGTCTTTCCTTTTATTTCACAACTGATGCGCTGAAGCGTGTTTTAAATGAAGAACCATCTTCGAAGGCTGCATATTTTATTACACATTTGTACGAGAGCAATCCCCTCCAAGCCCGTTCGTACATATTCTGCCATCAGGCTGAGAACAATCACACTAAGTGTTTGTGGTGCTGTAGCGACATGTCCTACTTGAGAAAGTTCTGGTTGATAGAAGCAATGGTAAGTACATCCAGTTTCAAACGACTCGGCCACCCTTAGTGGCAACAATTTAAAATGATGAGAAATAGAAGAAGCACTACAATGAGGCATATATTTCATACCCCAAAATACAAACCAACCTTCCACCTCCTTCAACACCACACCTATTCCAAAGGCTGTTCCTCACCTCCCTGCCCACTTCCATACCCCCCAACAAAATACCCCTCCAGCCCCTCAACTCCACTCCCCCCTCTCCTCCCCGGCGGCTGCGGCCACTCCTCCAACACCCTCTGCTCCCCCGTCAACGTAAAGTTAACCATCGCCAGCGGGGCCGTATCAATCACCACTGCATAATCCCCCGGATACAACACTCTGTTCCCCTGCTCATCATACCGTGCCAGAGACCCAAGCGTCAGGTTCAACCGAGCAGTATCCGCCGCGCCGCCAGCTATATCGAACAGACGCTGGTACGCGACGAGGGATTTCTTAGGGTATGGTGTCGGGACCGAAAGAGCCAGTTAGGAAGGCGAGGGTTACGTAGTCGGAAGCTGTAGTGCCTGTATTGTTAACTGTGACGGAGAGGGGCGAGGAGAGGAAGGAAGCAGCGGTCGAGGTATTTCTCCGTGCAGTTGGATGTCAGAGCCGCGATTTCGTAGCTCTGCATCACGGGGGAGGTGATCGAGGCGCTGAAGTTGGTGTAGTGGAGTCCGGTGCCGAAATCGTAGATCGGGGTGCCGTTGTACCACTTGTATGTTCTTCCTGGACTGTGCGGCCCTGGGTGGAGAGACATGTCGGTCATTGGGACCTCGTTGACGTAGGAGGCGGGGTATTGTGTGGTTGGGAGCCGGCCTGCTGGTGCTGCTTTGCCGGTGATGATGTCTATGAGAGCGACACCACCAGTCCTGGCCGGGGTAGCCTCCCCATATGAGTGCTGAGATGTTTGGGTTGTTTTTTATCGGCGACGAGTCGATTTGACCACCGCCCATCTGCAGTACGATCATTGGTTTGCCGTAACTCGCTAGCTGTCCGATCATGTCGAGTTGGGCAGCCTGTCCAGGAGATGGAGACGCGATCCATGCCCTCTGACTCTACGGAGTCATCGATGCCGTCTGCGAAGATTATGATGTCGGACTTGCTGGCGGCGGTCCAGACGGGAAGCCAGTTGTCGGTTGTTGGGTCTCTTTGACCGCTAACGCCCTGGGCGTAACTGATGGTTATGCCGAGCTGCTGAGCGGCGTACAGAGGGCTATGAAGGTATGGAGCTTGGCCAAAGTAGTTTCCCTGCATCTGCTGGGTTGCGTTGGCCCAGCTCCCGATGAGCGCGATGGAAGAGTTATTTTGGAGAGACAGCGGAAGCAGGCCGTCGTTCTTGAGTAAAACAATGCCTTCAACTGCCGCTTTGTAGGCCAGTTTTTGCGCCTCGGGCGTTGAAACATCGTTGAAGCTTAGCTGTCGATATGGTTGCTCCTCTGGAGGATCGAAATAACCAAGACGAACAAGTGCGGAGTACTGTCGTATCAATGCTTGATCAAGCGTTGACTCGTTAAACAGACCTTGCTCGAATGCCGCTGGGAGGTAATTCGGGTAATAAGTACCGCAGTCCAGATCTGTACCGGCTATTAATGCGGCTGCCACGGCTTCTTCTCTGGTCGCGGTATACTCATGTGGTTGGTAGATGTTTTGCACAGCGTCGCAATCGCTGGTCACGTATTGCTGCTCGTTGGTCCAGCCCCAATGCTCCCGAAGAATTGTTTGGAGCAAGTATGAATCTGCGCAAGTTGGTACGCCGTTCACGGCATCTGAGGATGTCAGCGCAAGATAGTGATATAACAAAAGGTTCACTGACTGTATGAGCACATGAAGGAACCGACATTGGAGTCTCGGGCGCAGCTCTGGAAAGGCGGCATATAGTATTCGGCCAGATCTTGGGATGAGATTTGGGCGTCGAATTGGTATCTGAAGTTCCCATTCCAATTTTCGATGTCGTAGCCTGCATTACGGTCAGTCTGACACTTTGAAAAGTGAAAAATATAGCTGACCTGCGAAATGTTTGCAGGTGGCCACAACACGTTTGTACTTGGGATCGTAGCCCCCTTGCAAGCCGTCTATCAAAGCATGCACGTACGAAGAAAGACGATAAGGGTCTTCACCCGGTGTTTCTACTTCTTCGTCAGACATCCACAGATCTACAAGCTGGAACAATATCAAGACTCACCCTGTCCCCGTCCCCATCGTGGGTCCTTGAAAGGATTGATATTCGGCGTCCAAAAATCCAATCCAGCCCTACCAGCATTGTTAAACACCCTAGCTTCCGTACTGACAACAGTACCAACATCTCTGATCAGCTGATCATCGAACGCCGCACCCATGGTGATGGGCTGCGGAAACGAAGTAGCATAACTGTAGTCCCCGGAGCTAGCGAACTGTACTCCTGGAGAATTGGCAACACCGTGCAAGGCCTCGCTCCACCATTGGTATGGCGGGAGACCAATACGGGGGACGCCGGGGCTGCTGTTGCCGGTGTTGTTGAGTTTTTCTGCGATGGTGAAGAGTGATATTAACGCGGTTGCTCTGTCGAGGGGTGCTGATAGCGCGTTAGAGCAGTGGTCATGGATGGTGAGGTCCTGCAATACTCACATGCTGATGTATTGCAAACATTATTATTCTTCAAAACTCCATTGGTGCAGTCGGGAAATGCGGCTCTTGCTGTCGTTACTAGGAGCAGGGCTGCCGCCGTAAAAGTGATAGACATCTTGGTTGCTATAGCATTCACAGCCAGGGTTACCAAAGGAGTCACCACCTAGTAGCACGAATGTCGTCGGAGTGACGAGGGCGAGGGCAGCAATGCAAGGGGGAGGCAGAGATAAAATAGCGTACATGACGACTATTTCTATTTGAACATACATTCCGAGTCCTACGTATATAGGTATCTCGGTTATTATGCTGTCCTGAAGAACTCGTGGGAAATTTTGGTTCATTGATACCCCCATCACGGCATTTGCCGAATTCCCTACCTGAGCTTTCCGTGGGAAATTTTCCATTCGTTGTCGATCCATTTCACTGGATTTCTCCTTTACTTCTGTTCGCTCTGTTTCTCTTTTATTCTGGCAGTGACGTTGGGTTTCTGGCCTTTTACATCATCTAGTGCGCTGCAAAGGCGCATTTCCTCAGGCCCAGTCACAGGATCGATTATTGGAGAGAATATCTCAATGCTAATTATGTATAATAGGCTACGGATCAGACGATGTTCGTTCGCTCCTACAGGTTTCCACCTATTCCAACGTCTCAGCAAGACTCAGATGTTACAAGCATATGGTCCGGGCTTTTGACTTGGTGTGAGGCGCAAGTCGTTGCTGCAGCCTGCAGATGAAACAAGTCGACCTTTTGTTGTACAGAAGCCCATGAGAACCTCTACTCTTTCTGACTTGTGCAGCAACACGCAATATTACTCTACCAAATTTGGCGGAGACAATTGAGTATGCTCGAGACAGTGAGTGCATTACTCGTTCGCGATAGCCACATAATCACCACCTGCGATTTGCTATCTTTCTCTTTACTATCGCCTTGTCATACGTCAATCTGTTATCATTGATCGAGCCTTCATTCGTGCTCACCAAGGGCACGGCATAGACAACGTACTCGCCCCTCGGCAACATGAACCCCACGTGCAAGGACACCGATCCGCCTTTGCATTGTTACACAAATAGAGAGATGCTGGGTCTCGACTGGGCTTGCACGCTCTTGAAATATCTCATCGTTGGTGACTGGATTTCTACCCTCTTTCCACTGAGAATCATCGCTCGCCGCGATATCGATCATGTCAACGACGTACGACCGTACTGCTCGCTCCACCGAAAACATCATGCTAACACATGCCACTTCACTTCAGGCTCTCTTCCCCCTCCGGTCCTATCAGACCCAAGTCGCTCGGCAAAGAAGAGTTCGTTCTCGGTTTCCCTATCGACCTCAAACGTGTAAAAAAGTCTTTCAAGCCACGGAAGTACCGCACAGAAGTACGCCAAGTATGCGATCTCGTCACTGCCGCGGAGCACATCTACGTGCAACCACTCGTAGAGGTGGGTATCAGGGCCGAGATCATCGCCGTGAGGCGCCAGTCGACGAACTCGCCGGCTTATGAATGCATGTGGGTACTGGCGATCGCGAGCAAAGATCCTAACCAAGGATGGGGGGTTCCCACAAAGAAATGGGTCATGGCGATCATGAAGGAGTACGAATTTCAGGAAAAGCCTCGATGGCTGGAGCGGTTCACTCATGTCGGGTCCCTGTTTTGTGAGTGCCGGCTTCTTAATCTTCAATGCAAAGTAGAAACATAATTGTTACTCGCAGAATTCTTGCAACAGTTTCGTTGGCCCTATATGAATGCTATGGTCAACCCGTCAACAAAAGTAAAGAATTATCCCCTCTATCTCACATGAGAGGTGTTTTCGAGGTGTATTTTGGATCTAGACGATAAATCGAGCTTCTGAAGCTGTATTAAGTTCAATCAGATACCCTTCACACAATAAATTATTTAACCCAATCCTCCGCGACCGATATCACAGGTCCTTCGCTTCTGTCAAGCCCAAGGATCTCTAATGAAATTCCATGCAATTTTTAACACCAGTCCTAACTGCATGTTATCGATCGGAGGCGCCAAAAACATCTTTACATGCCACAGGGACGAACCAGCCTGTTTGTCCTACAGCCAGATAAGCACTCGTATCACAATTTGTAGCAGAAGCAACAATCGTCGTACAGTGAACGCAAGGATATGAAGTTTCCTCATATACCACCGGAGGAACCGCCCCTTCGACAGGTGTTCTCCAGGAACAGGAATGGTTGTCTCGTATCCGTAGTCTCCGGCCTTCACGCCCGTCCTGACAAGGTAAAAATATTACTTCAAAGACCTCAGGTCGCATAATACGCGGCAGGCTTACCAGAGAGGTAGCGATTTTAGCGCCTTGCGTTTCGAAGAACATCTGAGAGAATTTTCGAGGAAGCGCGACAGTCGTCTGAACGCCTACAAGTATCGTGTTCAGACATACCGCACCTATAAGGGCTTTCGTACAACCTTGTCTATGACGAGAAATGAATAAACTGTGCACTTGGTAATGCGGAACATACCCAAAGACAGGATTCACCCTCATCACGCTGTCACCAATGGCAACCCAATTAGATGGCAAGTTGACCGCGTCCTCGAAACGCACATAAGTTGTTGGAGCTGTATGTTTGAGTTAGATTAGTATTGTGTTTCCCAAGAACGATGCAAGACTCACGAACGCGGACGCGACTGCAAGTCATAGAATCCTGCACCTCCTCTAAGATGTCGAGAAAGGAGAAGAACCAATCGGGAATAGGTTCTTGGTGGTCATCGTTCGTACATAGTGCTTGACTTCATCAAGAGTTTGAGGGAGGTCCACATCGCCCCATGCACCACAACATACTTGGACTGCACAGCGTCAGTCAATCGTCAAGTCATAGAAGTAGGATATACTTACCAAAGTTACCCTCGACGTGTTGAGCGTATATGCTTCGATGGTCGACAGTATAATCCGTAGTGCAATTGTAAATCGGTCCACAGTCATCATAATCAGTCGGGAGTCCCGGGAAGCGACTCCCGACTTCCTTCGGAACGTGGAAATGAAGCGTTGAATAATGAGTCTTCTGGTCGTATGCGATTTTGAGGTCGTCGAGGGGAAGCTTTCCTCTGGGGTACTCGGCTGCTATCCCGAATCCTTCCCGTCTTAGCCATTTAATACCAGCACATGCAGGGCCTGTGCAATCTGCGACCGATCTTAGTTAGGTGCTCATGGAATTTTGCCTAGGATTTACTTACCTGCGACCATAGAGGCTTGAATAGTGCGGATGCCGTTGGCTGTTCGGATCGTAATTTGATCGAGGTATTGAGGATTAGAGGTGCTGCGGGATACTCCAGTCACAGTTCCGGTCATTTGCTGGATATTCTCATACCGACTACCGAGTACAAGACGGCGAATCAGAGTCTCAAGCCCGCGACGGCTGGCAAACATCGTTTTCGGAAGGTATCCGTCGTATTCCGAGTAGGGTGTCATGGTCCACGTCCCCCACGTAGATGTGCGAAAATCACCTGGACAAACACTATACGTACAGGTCGTCAGTACACCTACAATTAAAGTCCTAAATGAAGCTGACTGACTTTATATCCGAGGCTTTACATTCGCTCTCAAATCCGGGGAACAGTTTGCAAAAGCCTCTGTAAGCGAACACCTGAACACCTAGGACAGTAATTCAGAGAATGTTATTTCGAAGATCACACTTTGCAGACCTTGCAAGGAGTCGTACTGCATAACGCGTGATCGAATATTCTCCTGGTTCCAGGAATCGACGCGCTTCGCATCGTCACTGTCTAACCATCCCTCCGGCTCGACGATGAGGACATTTTCAAAGTGATCATGGCATACGCGGGCTGTTAGCAGACCAGATATGCTTCGTAGAATATCAGAACACGAGGAAATACAGAACCACTGGTTAGTTACCTTCCACCACAAACAACAGCTATACCCTTGATCTTGTCGGCCGAAGCACGGGAAGATCCCAAAATGTGTATGTCGTCGACACATGTCTGTTTCCGTAGCAGTCTTTGTCTAAGAGCGCGTCCAAGTAGCAGACAAGCATAATAGATGATTAGAATCAGAGCAGGTACCCAAAGCAAGTCCATCAGCGTTGAAAGATCGGTACGACTTTGAAGGCGAAATGCGAGAGACGCTACTGGTGGCACGGCGATGGTTAAACATTGCCGTCGGGGCTAAAGTTCCTTATCATATATGAGGTACGAGAATAATGCGTGGCGAGGATGGTTCGATGCAAGCAGGATTAAGGAAGGGTCAATCTTCGATCAACGATCTAAGAGATTGTCATCCGGCCGCTTCCAGGTGATCAAAAACTTGACTTCGCTTAGTGCCTGAGTAGGAAGTGTTCTGGGCCCCTACAGTCTTGGAAGACAGGCGACCACTGTCTACTCTTAAGACAAACCGTGTTGTACAACTTGGTCCTAGTGGGCAGATTATGACCTAGATGCCATTCATAGGTTCCGAAGAGTTAACCAGATGATTGAACTAAGTTACCTGGACGGGTCCGTTGCAGAACTGCCAGGGCACGTTAAGTGAATGCGACGCGCCAAGAAGAGATTTCCACGGAAAATTGATAACGGTGAGAGAAGCTCTCATCTAAGGTAAATTAATCAGACGGCAATACAGCGGAGGATAGTAATTCTACCAACCCCTCCAAACAGCTTGACGCTTCTCGAGGAAAATATTAGTATCGCCAGAGGAAACGACCACATTAAGTCCCCGTATCCCCAAGGCACCTTCAAATCGTCATGGGTTCCCTGAAGAAGGCGCAGATCAGCGACACATTGCCCTGGATACATAGCTGTTAGAAGATACCAATTCCATGGCATCTCATTCCTTCAGCGTCTTCTTCAGCGCACGTGGACTGGAATAATGAAACTTCGGGCAAATGATCTACGAGAAGTTGCATCCTTTCCGCTTCAAAGAACACCGTAGAGACTCGTTACCCGGATGACGTAGAAGATCAATGAGCAAATTTTGGTAGAACAAATGGCGGCGTTCAGGTTCTTCGACTAGAAAATGTCCCTATGCCACGGATGGTGTTACAGCACGGTGTCGCAATATGATAAACTTCACGGCGAACTTAGCAAAGGCATACCGATGACAGTGAGTCCTACGGAAGGCACTTACCTGTCATACCCAAGTAACCATGTTGGAAGACGGGATGCCGGCATTCACTACGCCTTGAGAAGCTTAGGCGGAAGTCAGCTGAAGATGCCTAGGCATTTTAAGAGCATTTAAGCCATTCTGAGCAACAGATGCGACATCGTGGAGCGATAATGATTCTAGCGTAAATCAGCCTGGCAGCGTAATCAGTGACTCTGATGAAACACGAGAACAATTCACAGGCGCTGTAGTACTGTGGGATGTTAAGGAGTTTGACGTAGAGAAAAATTGGAACTTGGCTGCAAAGTTGCAAGGTGCAGCCGGCGGTAAAATATTTTTCTGCCGCCGGCAGTCGATACCGGCTATAAGAGGAGCCGGTTCGCAAAAGCCGAGACATAAGCAACTCGCGGGAAACAATGATGAGTAACGCCTTGAAGTTTAAAAGGCATCATCATCACTGCACTTTTACATTGAACTCTTTCAATGACTGCTCCGATAAAAGTTGGATTCGTCGGTCTTTCCAAGCAAGGCTGGGCGTCGATTCTGCTTGCCCCGACACTGCTCAAAAATGAAAAGTATAGCCTTACGGCCGTGTCTACATCGTCTCCAGAGTCGTCTCAGGCATCGGCGGAGAAGCAGAGCCAGGCGACGGGCCGTCCTGTGACAGCGTACTATGGCTCGACGGCCGAGATCGCTGCCGATCCCAATGTCGATTTCGTTGCAGTTTCCGTCAGGTCGCCTAATCATTACGACGCGCTCACCCCGGTTCTTGATGCAGGCAAGGATTTCTTCATTGAATGGCCTGCTGGAAGAAACACCAAGGAAACCTTGGAGTTTGCAGAGAAAGCTCACGCGAAGGGTCTGCAATCAATGGTCGGGCTCCAAGGGCGGCACTCGGCTGTTGTGAAAAAGGTTTGAATTTGACGCTCATGTATTCGTACAACGCTTACTCCGAGCCTAGGTCAAAGAAATAATTGATTCAGGAAAAATAGGAAAGGTTCTGTCTACGTCTCTGGTGTGTAGACCTGCTCAAGGTTCCGTCAAGTGCCTGCTGACCGTCAATCAGGTTGGCCTAGCACCCAGAGAGCTAGGATACTGGGGCCCGCGAATTAATAAAGCAAATGCAGCGACTACGTTTGACCCCGCGGCTGGTAAGTTCGAGACTGCTTGCTCTACAGCAGCTCTCATCATCCCACAGGGTCATCTATGCTGGACATCGCTATTGGCCATCATCTTGACGTCTTAACTTACATACTCGGTGATCTCAGCTCTCTTGACGCAACTACTGCGATCCTTTATCCTACAGCAGAGGTAGTAGATACCGAAGGCCACGTCCTCGAAACTACCACCAATACTTCCGCCGACCACATCTCTTTCACTGGGAAGTTCAAATCTGGTGTTCTCGTCAGCGAGAGCTGGCGTGGAGGCGTTGCCGCCACTCCAGGTCGGCAACAACTTCTGTGGGAGATCGATGGAGAGGAAGGATCTATCCGGCTGACAGACGATCAGATGAGCGCCGCTTTCGTGCACATTCGGGATCCGAAACTCTTTTTGAATGGAGAGCTTGTAGAAGTGGAAAGTACTGGGCTTATGGGAAACTTGGCTGCTGGATGGGCTGAGTTTGCCAAAGGAAAGGAGGGTACGCATGCGACGATTGACGATGCTGTGAAAATCCATCGGGTGATAGACGCCATAACCCTTAGCGCTAAGGAAGGCAGGAGAGTGACGCTTTGAGATATCGGGCATTTACCTGTCAGCGGTGTTCTTGTAGCATTTGATCTTTCCCTTGAATGTAACCCATCATCCGTCCTCCTCGCGTTCCATAACAAGTATGATGAAATCCCCATTCGGAATATTGATCCAAAATGATTTGTTGGCTGGAATAGCGGGAAATGGGTAAGGTACCCGGAGAACTTCGCGCCGTACGAATAGATTCTCTGAAGGCTAAGAAAAAGTGGTACCGGATGACTCTACACCCCACAAACATGCTTCATTGCAGAAATATTGAGATGGATACCACGTGGTATATCAATGATATCTCTGTATTCTATACTGGACTATGTTTATGATAAGAACTTTACTGCGAACCTCTTGAAGGCATGCCAGACAACCTTCAAGACAAGTCCCGGTTCCATAGCGTCGATTGGTGGCGCAAGCATCATATTGATGTGCCACAATGCAGATCCTGCTCGCAAGTCCTAAGAAGGAATCAGAATTTTCTGGCCAGGGTATAGTATGACTTGTATGAGCTTACATCGAACGAAAGGATGATAAGTTGTCTCGTATACCATCGCAAAAGCCAGCCATCAGATAATGTCTCCCCGGGTATAGGAACAGTGGTATGGTACCCATAATCTGGACTCGCAAAATTAGTCTTGATTCCGGAATTGAAAATAGGACGCTCTATACCCCAGCTCTTGTCTGCATCCCTGATGACAAGGTTCAACGTAACAGGCAAGGATATTCTACGAGCAGCAACTCACCAGAGATGCGAAATCTTGTTCTTCTGCATCTCAAAGAATTTAGTTGAAAAGTCTTTCGGGATGGCACCGGTCGCGGCACATTTCTGTAGAAGCGTATTGAGGCAAATCGCACCCAAGAGCGCCTTTGCGACTCCTTGCCTGAAATGTGGTGTACAGTCGAAACGCGGCTCTATAAGGTCGGCGGAAAAACGTACCCGAAAAGTGGATTGACTTTCATGACACTGTCTCCGATAGCTATCCAATTTGTGGGGAGGTTAACAGCTTTGTCATATCTTATATAGCTCGCCCCAGCTTCAAAGGACCCGTCAGTACATAACAAGATTTTAATAGAAGTTCTCGTACAAAAAGGAAGATGACTACAAGTCATGGTGTCTTCGACTTCCTCCAGCATATCGAGCAGCTCGAATACTGATGGGGGTATAGGTTCCCAAGTGACCATTGTTTGCGCATACCTTTTGATCTCTTCGAGAGTTCGAGGAAGCTCGTTCTGGCCAAAAACGCCACAGCAGATATGTACTACAAGGAAGACGTCAGCATGTTAGTCACATACGGGGGAAGAGGCTTTCTAAAATTTCCTTCGGAGCGCTGAATATGCATCCCACGACAGTCTAAAGTTGGATCAGTGACGCAGATATAGATGACACCACATTTTTCGTATGATGCAGGAAGGCCAGGGAGCCTATTACCGAGTTCAAGTGGGACATGAAAACTGGAAGTCGAATAGGTGATCTTCTGGTCGTATGCGACTTTGATTTTTTCTAGTGGAACTTTACCGCGAGGATACATATCTGACCGACCGTATCCTTCACGCTTCAACCATTTTAAGCCTGCAGACGCTGGACCGGTGCAATCTGGGCTTTCGTAATTAGTTCCGGTTCCCGGAACAGCACGATTTCGTTCACCTACCTACGACCATTGACGCTTTGATTTCCTGGGTGCCTCCCACAGTTCGGATCGTCACACGGTCGAGACGCCCAGGGCTGGAAGCATCGCGAGAGATACCAGCTACGGTACCAATCATTTGTTGAATGTTCTTATAACGACTCCCGAGGACCAGACGACGCATAAGAGTCTCCAACCCAGGGCGACCGGCAGTCATCGTGTCGGGGAGCGTCCCAGTATACTGGTTACACGGCTTCTTTTGCCATCTTCCCCACGTCGAACTCCGGAAATCAGAAGATCCAACGCTGGCAAACCGATTGCTCAATATCAAGCAAGAAACCAAACCGTTCAAACATACGTTACATCCGAAACTTCGCATTCCTTTGCAAGGCCGGGGAAAAGGTTACATAAAGCCATGAAGGCAAATGGTTGAATGGGACCTGCTCCTAGCTGGTCAGCCTCTCGAAGCGGTTCAAGAAAATCCGAGATAACCTTGTAAGGACTTGTACTGCATGACACGAGAACGAGGCTTCGCTTGGTTCCATGCATCCTGACGCTTAGCATCTGAATCGTCCGCCCACGCTTCTGGTTCTACGATAACGACCTCGTCGAAGTGATCGTGGCATATCCTGGCTGTGAACAGACCGGCAAGACTTTCATACCATTCGTCAGTATTGCGTAGGTAGTGATGGTGAGAGCCAGACTCACCTGCCGCCACAGATGACCGCTGTGCCATGGATCTTCTGGTCTCCGTTTCTGGATGATCCTAGGTGTTGGAGGTCCAGTACACATGTCTGCTTTCGTAGTAGGCTATGTCTGAGAATCTGCCAGAATAACAATCCAGCGCAGTAAACAGTTGAGACTGCAGCTAAGATGGCTAGTAAAGTCATGATGACTACGAGAGAGGAAGGGGAACTCATCGATTTCGGCACTATATAGTAGTCTAATTCTGGATCCCGGTTTGCACGCGTACCTTTCCTGACCTTTGATAATCTAGAGACTGAGCAGAGTCCCTCCTACGTCCAGCGCTTGATTTTGAATAGAGCTGAAGATTGGTGACCTTATGGAAGATGCTGCCTTTGATTGATTTCTGAAAGTGCATCAAGTTACATACCCAACGTGATCATCGGACATTCAACCAGCGAAGGAGACACTGCAGTAGGTTACTTCTGGAAAGTACCGCGTACTTAATTGAGTGATGCTGAGATACTTTTCCAGGGCTTCCCAAGATCTGATGTTAGCGACTTATAAGCTATAATAAGGGTCAGATATCACTCGCGTGAAGAGAGATGGTCGAGGGCTTGCTTAAGCACGTACTGCAGGCACCGACATGTTCGTATCTGACAGAACTGAAGCAACTGTCATTCCTTCGGCGTGTGCGCTTCACCATCCATACAAGTATCGGCGCTCGATCGGCAATCTATCCTAGACCGTTTGACAGCAGCGATCTTTCCATCAGCATGCATGAATACTCCAGCCATCTGATGACACTCCGTGGGAGCAGTTAACGAATGAACAAAATCAATAATAACAAATAGATATCGGAATAAGAGAAAGATACTAGTGTTGATGGTCTACGTCGGGCATATCACTTGTCAGCCTATCTACTGCGCTTCAAGCATAGCTACTCCTGTGATGCCCTCCCTTCAGTTTTCCATATCGCAACAGAGATAGACAAGATACGCACCATCGTGGATGATAACCTTATAATCAGATAAAACCCGCACGATGACATCGGAGTCATCACCCTGCCTTGAATGAACTTTTACTCTGAAGAGTTCGGGCCAGGACACTCACCTGGCTCAAGGCCGACAACCATTCACCGGAATGCGTAATTGCCACATTAACATGCAGATGCTGTAGGTGAGATGTGAGCACGAGATGTGTACTACGTGCAAGTAGGGTCAATGCGAACCGTCTCTAGGATAAACTCGTTGATCTTTGCGCACGGGTTGAGAAGTTCGGTCTGCAGTCATTAACGATGAGTACCCAGAGAGAAGCTACCTGCGGCCGGAAGAATCCAGCTTTCTCCATGAGATCCGCAAGGTCCGAAGAACTTTGAGCGAGGGTTCGTCATGATAATCTGCACCCCATCCAGGAAAAATCGGGGGACTGCTAGCATAATGATTTGGCGGAAGGACACGTGTCATAGGCGGAGGTGACACCGGCACAGGTTCGCTGAGCAGATCCTCCTTCTTGAAGCGCTTGCGAGAACTGTGGAATGGGATTCCGGAGTACATAGACAAAGAACCGCTTCTTGTCTGAATAAGTGGACTAAGATAAAACCCTTTGTTATAAATGGGCGGAGACTCACTCTTTTTCTACGCGAACCGGAGTACGGCATGCCATTATCGAAATATGGCATTTGATCTTTGGATGACTCGGAGATTTGCGATACCTCTGTAGGTCCGAACACCCACCGGGCAAATGCGCTTGTACGGATTGAGATGCCAAATCCGCGCAGAAAAACGCATTGATTGGGGCGAAGTGAGTCGACGAGATACGCGAATTCACCATCGGGATATGCCCTGACGTCCGCTGACGAAGTACTCTTCCACGAATATCCCAGTTTGATGTTTCCCTCCGCTACCCCGCCGACAAGGAATTTGAGCGAGAACGAACATGTGCCAGCTGGGTTGAAGAACGAGGCCGCCCCCATGAGCATGCTTTGTCACAGCCCGTAACGAGATACAGTGATCCATTGAGAGCTTCTCTACCGCAAGTGATGTTCGCAAACTGGTACCATGCATGGGCATGTTGAGCAGCATAGCTACGGCACTGGGATATATCGAGGGCACCGTAGCTTGCTCCACCGTCGGGAAGTACGAGAATGGCGCCTTTTTCTCGTGAACATTTGAACTCGAATCCTCCACCGCCACCAAGAAGGAATCTGGGAGAAAAAGATTAATTTCTGAGGTCGGATGCAAGGCAAAGAGACGTACGGGTATTCTGCCGCGCCACCCATACTTATCTCTATCTTGGACACGCTGGCGCTACAGATATCACAGCCCCGTTTATGCATCGTCTCGATCTCCCGTATATCGCCACAGATAATGGGTTCAAATCCGTCGGGAACGCGACCTTGATTGATGGGGTCATCCGCTGGTTTGCAGACATTGAACAAATAATCAAAGCCTCCAGTCGTTCCGCAGAATACCAACATCGCCAATCCCGACGCCTTTGCATCGATACGCCTTCGGTAAACGTCCATCGGGTTCTGGGATCCACAGAGGATATCCATGTTCCTTCTGTAGTAGCAGCCGGGTATATATTTCGCGAGATGACTTTGACTGCGACAACTTCATTACAGAAGGTGAGAGAGCGTCCTAGTTCACTTCATTCGCGGCTGTGCAGGCGGTTCATTGAGGTAACCTGATGAGAATGCTGTGATGATTGGATGCTGATTGCACCACATATTGCCTTTCAGCTGCTGTCTCCGTTACATAAAGCAAGGGAGCCCAAGCAGGTAAGGAGGGCAATAACATTCGAGGTGGTGGTAGTGTTGGTGGTCATAATCCGAAGCCCGGAAAATGCCGTGCGCTCTTGTCCACTTTACGCGCTGAGTTGATCCCGTGGCGCAGCGCTGTTCCTTCTCGACGCGTCGTAATCTGCCAATTTATTCCTGCTCGTCAATTTTTACTTATTCAACCTGAACTGAAAGTACGTTATCAAGTTTCTTCCATATTCTACAACGCCCGCTCCTTGGATATTCGGATTTTACCTACCTCAGTTTCCTCTCGCTTGAGGGATTTTGCATGTAATGGCCACCCGTTACATACCTTCAATCTAAAGGCGGTACTAAGTCAAGATTGCAGCATTTCTGCTACTTAAGTACTATTCGATAACGCGGTGAGCGGTCGTTCAATTCAGTTCTTCCGACGACTTGACTGATAATGACTGCCCTATTTCTCTACGATAGTACTCCGAGCGGTCTCTAGCTGAGATTTCCATTCGTGTAAGTCACAGCTATCGTCTTCCAGTCAAATAGTACTACACGGTTTGTCACTCTGCCATTGAAAATCTTTCCTCTTGGGGTAACCCTGAGCTTTTGTAGAAAGTTAGAAACAGTGGCTTGGAAGGACTATATCCGAGTCACTGGCAGAAATGTTTCTTCTTTTGTTTCGGACGTGATGGTGAGCCCTTTCAAGTCCATCAGATCGATATTCCACTGTATCAACTCACGTCGTAGAATCTAGACGCGTGGATTCATGCCGCGAGGGGTGGTCTTCTGGTGTATATGACCCAGACGGCAAAGCTCATCGAATGCATGCATGCAATAACAGACGTTTCAGTCGCACAATGAGACATCTAGCGAGAGCCATTGCTTAGCGCTTAGCCCCAAGTATCATGGGGTTCTGGCACGAGGGTTGCTAAATCTTGACCTGCTGAAAAAACCGCGGTCCTCAGCCTCAGCAAAAAAAGACGTTTCCGCGCTGTCAATGCCATTTACAGACGGATCGTGGCTCGAGAGTAGGAGCAGTGGGGTTGCCCGGGCCGCTTTGAATGAAATCGACCCGGTCGGAAACATCTCATGGCAGCTCATGCGGTCCTTCGAGTACTGTTCTTGCCCATTACTGGCTTGCAAGTATGCGGCGATAGCAGCTCGGAAAAACTGACAATAGTGTGGCATGTGTCGTCTGTGTGAGCTGGTTTTCTGTCGGCGTATCTTTTGCTAGCCTCTGACATCGCTTCGGAAACAGAGGCCTATTTCGATGACGAGGCTGATGTCGGCATCGCTCCAGGTTGGCAAGCAACAGGAATAGACGAGAACTTATGCCGATGCCAACGCCAATACCAACACCAGCACCGTCCATGTATACTTATGACCAGAAAACCGTGATACTAGATGAATTTCTGGCGCCGGAGCGTTAACACATGGTGAGCACGCTCACTGGCTTCTTATTCTCACATACAAAGCTCCTAATACTTTATCAGCAACGAGGTACACACACGATGTCATATGGGACCAGCTTCATTTATTTTGCTGGTGACTCTTCTAAGCGTCCTTGTTTGTAAGATGAAGAAGACTGTCAATCAAAAGGGCACTTATCCCTGACAATCGGCAATTTGTCGGGTAGGCGGAACGGGCCGCGCGTCATCCCTTCATTTTTGAAGACAAAATTACGGTCAAGACTGCCCGTATTTTGGTCGGAGGTGAAAATTCTCGCCTATGAATAGTAGCAAAATTTTTCCAGAGGAACAATCTTTCCCGTTCGCTTTGCTATAGGGATGGTCTGGACAATTCTGGAAGAGGAAAGGTGGAACCATGAAATAAGGTGCTATCTATTTCTGACGTGGAGAGGTTATGCAGCATTCATTGTCACAAGTACAGATACGTCGAAGTGATACTAGGATTTTGGGACAACTGGGGTCAGTCTTATTACTGTGAGATTCGTTCGAAATCTCATCTCCGAAGATAGGCACAGTTAAACTGCAGGGAAGACCCTGACACATGAAGTTAACGCCTAATTGATGCTTGTGGTGCACGCGAATCAATGTGAAATGCGCCAAAAAAAAGTTTACCCTTCCAGGAAACACGTGTGACAAATTCTAGGCAGGGAATAAAGCAATGCTCATGATTCAGATCTATGAGGATCCCGGTCCTTAACAGAGCTTGAATTGTTGGTAAGCGTAATATTATCTCCTGAGACTGTGGTAGTTTTTCTGATTTATCTGTGAACGTTAGTATGGCAAGGAATCGCCATGACCTAAATAGAGCGTGGCCGAAGTACCTGGTTTGTGCGAATTCAAGAGGACAACAACCGGAAATTCTCCATCGCATTATCTTGGCACAAATCAACGGCTCGACGACCCTGCCGTCCTCCTGCTTGCCAATTTTGTACTGGTAAACCTCCGTAGTTCATCCAGTACTGTGATATTTAAACCATACCCTAGTGGCAACATAACCAGCATCCCTTGCTTCCCTTCACATCTCGGTCAAATGTTCGGACACGCTTTCTACCAGTTCATCTTCACCGCCGCCGTGCTCGCTCTCGTGTCGGCTCTGCCAGCAGAGGACCTTGAAGCGCGCGCGAGCTGTGTTGTTGACTCCGTCTCTGCTGCTTCCTCGATATCCAGCTGTTCGGCGGTCACTATCAACGCGTTCACGGTCCCGAGTGGAAGTAAGCTGGAGGACATGTTCTCTTCCTAGTGTCTTCTTGCTGATATATGTACTTTACAGGCACCTTGACGCTCTCCGTAAGATCCCGTACTTTTTTGGAGTTTGACGCGCTTGCTCATGTATCCTAAACAGCCCAAGGCCGGCGCGACTGTCACTATGGCTGGCGATATTACGTTCGCCAAGACCTCGAGTGCGTATGGTTCATGAGCAGTCAGTCGAACGCTCAATGCGTCTTTCCTTTATAGGCTCCGGTCCTTTGTTCACCATCGACGGAGACAACGTCACGTTCAAGGGTGCAGGGCACAAGTTTAACGCAAGTCGAGCCACTTTGTCGCACCTTCTCCTTTATAATTTGTTGCACAGGGAAACGGCGCCTCATACTGGGATGGTCAAGGAACGAACGGCGGTGTTACCAAGCCTCACCCGTTCTTGAAGTGGGCTCTTTCATTACATATCATATTCAAACGTTCTAATCTTGATTTAGGTTCAAGGGCTCCGGTACCTACTCTTCGTTCACGGTCTGTCTATCCGAGTTTGCTCACTTTGAATGTGGCCACGAACGATATTTAGGTCTTGAACAGCCCTGCGCAAGCCATCTCTATCGGTAACAGCGACGGTCTCACCTTCGACAGCATCACCGTACGTGAAAGACTTATTCATGTCTTCTTGGGCTTATGAGCCAACTTTAGGTCGACAACAGCGCTGGTGATACCAGCAGCCTGGGCCACAATACCGACGTGAGTGTGAGCCATTGTTTACTGAGTGAAAAGCTGAGCGTTCGTCGGACGTGTAGGGCTTTGATGTCTCTGCCGACGATGTCACAATCAAAAACTCTGTCGTCAAGAACCAGGATGACTGTATCGCCATCAACTCCGGCTCCAACATCGTGTATGTGTTTTCAACAGTCCTACCGTTAGCATATGTCACTCAACTCAGTCTTCTAGTTTCCAAAACAACCAGTGCTCTGGCGGTCATGGTATTTCCGTTGGTTCAATTTCCACAGGCAAAACGGTAACCGGCGTGACTGTCTCTGGAAACACTGTGACGAACTCTATGTATGGGCTCAGGTATGATAAAACGCCTTTTCCCTTAGCTTGATGTGCTGATGTCCCGCGACTTGCAGGATCAAGGTCAAAGCAGATGCCACAAGCGCCTCAGTGTCGGGAGTCACGTACTCTGGGTGAATACTACCCTGTCTTTTTCTAAGACAGTATACTAATCCATTCGTGCAGTAACACTATCAGCGGTATCACCAAATACGGCGTCTTGATCTCGCAGTCGTATCCCGACGATGCTGGTACTCCCGGAACTGGTGGTCCCATTTCGTGAGTCGCTTTGCATGCAATGAGTCGGTCATCTGATCCAATCTTTTACAGGGGCGTGAGCTTCACTGGCAGTGCTACTACAGTCAAGTTCGTGCCTCTCACTAACCTCTGCTCGTTGACAGTATACTAATGCACTTGCAGGGTTGGAGACAAGGCGAAGCGACTCACCGTTGACTGCGGCAACTGCTCAGGGTAAGTCCATTTTCTGCAAAAGTATTTGGAATAGTGCTAAACGCGCCGATTCGCAGGAAATGGGATTTCTCCAAGCTTACAGTTACTGGTGGCTCAGCCGGAACGATCGCTAGTAATTCGGCTACCGTATGTCTTTTTCCATTGTTCATCTGGAAATAATTACCTGACATCCATTACAGATCTCTGGTGGATCGTACTAGGCCGAGCTTGGATTCAAGTGAGGTACAGAAACAACAGTTCTATATCCTATTACAGCATTCTTCTAGGTATAATTTAGTAATAAAAATATACGTTACCGGAGTGGTCATCTTTTTGTAAGGTCCTTCATATGAGGTAGCTGAGAGACTCAAGGAGGATTGAAGGAAGAAATGAAGATAATGGCCTAATTTTACTGTTCTGTTACGTGTCGTTCGCACCTCTCTGTCTATGTACATTTCATTACACTTGATTGCATCTTCCTCCAGAGTTTCCAAGCCACAGTGACTAGTGGATGCATATATCCAAGCGATAAGATCGTCACGTCGAGAACTCTATCATTTCCAATATGATCGTCAGCGAAAATGAGGTCAAAAACTCAGCTCGCTATACAAACGTAACGTGGTTTGGACCGCAGTTCTGCTTCTGCACTAGCTGGAGGCAGCTGACGGTAAACGATGCTCAATTCATGGGAATTTTGTGTACAGTTAAGCTGACTGATACATGTGTATCGCTTTGTTGGTGATATTCCTATGCTGAAATGGAGTTCGCGTGACATGATACCGTGACAAGGTCGTGCGTATCAAGGCCGCGTGATAAGCATCAGAGCGTATTTGGGGACCCGCAGTATAGTCAGTTTGGAGAAACTGTTGTAGATGAAATAAGCAAAGGAAGGAAGAGGAAAGCCAACCGTACTAGAAAGAGAGCATGGTCAAAGGACAGCACATCATCCGGAGCTTTTCATATATCTTCAACAGCCTGAGGGTCCGTGACGACAACTAACCAATGATCCAGCATTGGAAGTTTGAACAAGCCGCCTTTGTGCTGCAATAAAAAATCAACATCGCGCTCGGACAAGCGGCCAAGGACGTTCGTTACCTTGCGATAGCCGCGTTCGATTATGTGTTGGCTCTCTGAGACGAATTGCAAGGCAGTGATCCATTATAGAATCCCGCGATATCCAACGGTAGGTATATTACTGAGCTGCAAGAAGAATATTTCCTCAGCTTTTGCAGGACATCGGAAGGTGATACCAACATTTGGACCACAGTTGTTATACCAGCGAACAGCACATAGTAGAAGTATACTAGTCCCACAAGCAATGCAGACCGACGAGAGCATACCCTTGTCCATAACACCGCACGGCTGATCTTCCAAGCTATTGCAGTGCTACACTCGAGCTTAGGCCGGTTGGGATATGCCCAGAAGATCGTCTGGGAGGAATTATGTTGCTAGTAGTTCGTTATATTATGAGCCGGTAGGCACATGCACGGTCCAGTGAGCAGCCGAACATGTGCATGAATCATCAAAACAGCGCGAACCCAACGCGAACCTGATGTGGATGGAAGGGTGGCAGGAGTCCTCAGGCCAGGTCAACTGGTACGGCTCCGGGACTGCTTCAAACTCCGCCGCGCTTTCGTTTCTATTCAACATTAGCAACAAGCGCTGCATCATGGTTTCGGTCCCCAGCCAAGGCTTGACACATGCAGAAAGAAGTCGGTCCGTGATGGGAGATTCGGTGATGTGAAGGACCACGGAGCCCCACTTCAGCACCGAAAATCGAGCTTGTGGATTCTATCATTCTCTGCTTCACCGAGGGTTCAGAGAGGGAAGTCCTAAGGATTCCATGTATTCTATCGCTTCGTTTGTCCTGCCAGCTATGCACTCAATGGATACTCGACCTTCACTGCAGTCTGCCAGTTATTGGTCATATCATATTTCCCGACATCATCTTAGTATGCCTGGTCGCTACACATCCTCCTCTTATACTTCGCCTCCTAGGCTTCGGCATCTTTTCTTATCTCACTTTTTCGTCCCTGGCCTATACTGCTGGCAACCCGACCCATGACTACTTCATTGGCTTCGTTTCATCTTCACAGTTCCTCCTAGCGTTTTGGCTTGTATGGATAATTGTGCCCTTGGATGATGTTCGCCACGAACGAGACACAGTCCATCCCCGCGAAATGCCTCTTTTGAAGCGCTTGCATTGGGCCTTTTGTTTGGATCATAATGTTCGTGCGATAGGGTGGAGCCACCAGGTCAGTTTACAGCATTCAAGTTGGTGATATTCCGATATATTAAATCCATCTTGCACAGGTTGTGTATGGTCCTCCTCGTCCCCAGGAGATGCGTTGGACTTTCGTGCGCTCTCGTCTTATTTTTGCAACATGGAACTTTTTTTTGGTTGATACGGCCAATACATATATAATAACAGTCGCGGAAACTACTCTAAGCCCGGCGTCATCACTAGCAATGTATTCACTGCATTGCTCAACTATAGTGGCCTGGGTGTACGTAACCTACGGCATCTCGAATGTCCAGTACTCTGTGCTAGCCGCCTTTAGCGTTGCCTTTGACACATCGATTCCCGGTGATTGGCATAATGTCTTTGGAGAGTTGGCGGACGCGTACACGCTTCGATGTTTCTGGGGGTAGGTCTACATGCCTTCGTGTCGTAATGGGAATCTGACAGTAAGGTGAAAAGGAGATTTTGGCATCAAAATTTGAGGCGAGTACGTCTGTTTCATTCAGGTGTCTACATAGGTGTGACAACTTTTGCGACTAGCTTTTTGCAGCATTTGGCATCTTTATCGCGCGCAAGCTTGCGTTCAATCGAGGGACTAAAGCCTCCTCGTATACTCAGCTATATGTAGCCTTCTTCCTTTCAGGATTCATTCACAGTGTCGCGGATGGAATGGTGGGGTGGCATTGGGCTGGTACCTCAATGCCCTTCTTCCTTATGCAAGCTGTAGCAATAACAGCTGAAGATGTCACTATCGCGCTTTGTAATAGAATCGGCTTTCGCAAGCGCTCCTTTACGACTCAGTTATTGGGATATGCCTGGGTGTTTGCATGGGGAGTGTACAGTTTTTCTATGTATCGAGATCTGGCCATTCGGGCAGGCTGGGGTTGGGCGACTAAATGGGCTTTTTCCCCCACCGATATCTTCTACAAATTGGTGGTTCAAGTTGGATAATCTGGGAAGCCAAACATGTACTTATTAAACTGCAAACTGCTATTTACATGAAGGATTGGCCGGTCTACGAGACGAAATCAACGAACGTCATCCAGGCACTTCGATTCCAGGGGATTTAAGTAAGACAGGTGCTACAGGCTCCCGCGGCAATTCGTTTGACATCCTTAACTCCTTATGTGAGCGCGCTCAAAGCTATTCACGTCCAGGAGGTCGATTTAAATCACAGTATATAATCGACTGATAAGTTCCGCTCCTTCTTGAGGCCCGAGAAGAAAACTTATTCATGTATGCGCAAAATGGCGGACACATAGTCGCAATAAGGCTTTCCTGAGACAGTCATAGGAATCCCTGGAACTGATTTATGTATGTACCGATGGGATGAAAACTTCGAAACGCAAGGAGCAAGCGGGTACTGTTCTTTGTGGAGACAGCTGCTGAGGTAGCGTTGCAGCCGCCCTGAACCAATCCACTCGCCATAGGACATGTTGCAGGCATCACGAAACGCTTCAAGTCAAAGTCTACAGGCATAATCGAGCGTGCAACGGCAGAGAGATTAATGGCAATGATCTGGAGCGTCGAGAGGAAGACAAGTGGCGTCATCGATCGACTAAACAAACAATCTGATCTTCTCTTCTCATCTTCACTGCGCGTCGCATGTTTCTCTCAGTACTGCCAGGTGGAGGAGGAGGTCGAGGATCTGGATATATGGATATGTATCTTTTTGGTGCGTTTTAAACTACTCTGTTATTTTGGCTAAATTTCTTACACAGTGTTAATTTCAGTAAACTAGAACTCGGGTGTACCATATCGCATTTCACGACCTCAATTCAATTTCTTTCCTCTTATCTGCTGCCACTATTTCTTTGTCTTTCTGCTCAACCCTCCAGTAGGTCGTCCTCTGCCGGAAACTCTGGATCATGCCCTTTTCTGAACATTTCATCGTCAAAACCTCTCGGAAGCCGTATAGTCTCGCGCCCAGATCTTCTTGACAGCACAACATAAAAGCTGAAAAGGTTCATCTTGCCTGTAGGTGGCTTTGCAATGTCAACTATGACACAGATGAGTGATTGACCTTGCGACCGGTAATCTGTAAAGCCGTAGATAGTTGTCATTGGATACTACAGCTGGAGGTCGAGGCATCAAATTACCTTCAAGCATTGATGTGATACCCGCATGTCAAGCTCGTATGTGCTATGCATTGACCTCCAAAAGCCATCCATATTATTCCGTAGGTGCATTTCGCACACCCCGGAACGTCTTGGGAAGATGTTTGAACACGTAGACCCGCAAAGATACCAACATCTATCTGCGACACTGAGTGCATCGACCCCCCACGGATTCTCCCAATCCAAAGGTTGTTGGCTAGGAAAAGGGTAGGTGGCTTATCCGAGGTCTTACAAAGGTCAGGGAGACACCTCGAGCACACTGTCACGAGATATTTCCGCAGATCCCAGAGACTTCTGCTTTTACCATCTTGTTGAATGTTGCGTTGTAGAATTCTCGATAGGAAGCCTTGACCTCTGCGTCTGAAGGCAGGCGTAGATATTGGGATATGTCAGCTATGTAGGGTGTCTCCATTCCCTTCAATGCGGGGGAGCGGCTTTGCGCATATTGCGAGTGTCTTCCCTTTTACGCTTCTTAGACGCACTAGCAGTGATCTTGCTACGCTCCTTCTCAACGCCTGCCCGGCACAATGCATCAAGTACCTCAGAAGGAGAATGTGTTATCACGTATTCAATCAGCGGTCCTTTGAGGTGTCGAATCTTGCCGGGGACGATGTGTAGAAGACGCAAATGTGACAAAATCTCTTCAATTGTAAGGTGTACGAAGGATGTCCGAGTCAGGGCTTGACATAACTTGCGAAAATGTTATGCAGTTGAGATATGTAATTCTATAATAACCTGGCCACTGGAACAAGGTGGTAAGAGTGTTGAAGGGTGTTGACAAGTAGAGCTATCGCACCTTCGAGAGTTTCCCTATCCCAGATTCTACCCAGTGTTAAAGGCCGAACGATACCACAATGGAAAGAGCCGGAGAGGTTCCATAACGACCGATAGCCAGCAAAGGCTAGGAAGGCTAGGAAGGCTAGCCAGAGGTGGAACGACGGTGACTCAGTAGCTGTGCAAGTTAATTTGGAACTCCGACAAGCAAGGTACCTGCCGACGGCACAACGACATTCCCCAGTGTAAACCCCGCTCTTTCAACTTCCACAATCTTGTCAATTCCTTCCGACCACTATCATTGGTTCAAGTGAAAAATTTGGGCCAATATCTATATATACTGCCATTTTTTTTAATACCAGCTAGTTTTGGAGATGATGACTAGCAGGTGCCTCCTTATTATGATGAGATGACACTCTTACTGGCATTTGACTGGCATAGAGAATTACTTCTGCAGTATGGGCTGATGTGAAATAAGAATTTCTGTCTAACCATCCGAGCCCATTTGTCTTGTAAGTGCTTGACCAGTAATCATGCTATCTTTGTTGATTCACAAAGGTTAGATAATTTCGCATCTCGGTTTTCCTTGACCTGTCGAAGCGATGCCATAGGTCGTTGGGTACATCACTTATGTCGGAAATCTCAACTCCGAATCGAACGAACTATTCAAGCGCCCAAGGTCTACCTTGACCATTTTGTACAGGAAATTTCTTACACTGATAGCTCCGACGGACACTCGACTTGCCACCATCTGAGAGCTTAGTGTTGTTCTGCTTTGCTCAAGACACTAATTGATGCCTCGGTCATTGACGAAGACAGCTGAGATGGAAATTAGGTGACGAAGATCTCCAGGATAATGAGACTGGGCGAGGTCGCTGGTAATATTCACCGTGCAGCACGATGATGCAATTTTGAGGTGAGTGTCAGTTCGGGCATCGCTCTCATCAGAAAGGATAGATGCGTTGCTTCGGCCATTAATATCGCGGACAGACCAAGTATTCACAAAACTTGAATAGATTATCCGGTCCACATCGGCTGTGAACACCCTCCGCCCGTCTAAATCTCCGACAGTACGATGGCCTTTGTTCGTAGCGAGAAGACGGCGATATGAGCTGCAAGATTGCCGATGACATTTCTAGAGTGCGATATATGTTCCTAGTGCAGTGTGGGTTGATTTTTTGTCAACTGACCGTTCTTTCGGGCGCTGTCCACGTCTGATGGCGCCGAATCTAACTGACATTGTCACAGGGAGAACAGACCAGTGATTATCATGGAGTCAATATCTTAGATCACTTATCGTGAGTAGGCTCGGTTTCAGCCGTTGTAAACATGCTCAAACGGATTCCAAGTATTGCCAAACATTCTCAGACAGCGATTCCACGCTCTCCCGTCATTAATCTCTCTCAATCGTCTCCTTCGAGGCGGCTGGAGGTTGAAGACCACACTACCAAAATGATACGTCAAGATGATCTACGTGGGTCATACCCCCGGTATCTAACAATCGGCAGTTTGTCGGGAGAGAGGGAACCGGGTGGCACTCATATCATGTATCTTTTCGACATAAAAACAACAGCCAAAACTTCCTGTCCGTTCATTTGGACGTGAAAGCTGCCTGTGAATAGTAATGAACGTTTTCCAGCGGAGTTATTTGTCACGGTGTTTTGTCATAGCAATGATCTCGATGATTCTGGATGGAGGAAAGGTCAGGGACCGCGCGTAAATGACATTCATGCTGAAAGCAGAGCGCTTTCGTGGTATCATTAGCAATCTCAGACGCGTTGGAGCGATTCTAGAGCCCTGAAGTCTGTGAGTCTGATACTCTAAATCCTTGCTCTAAAACTTATCTATCTAAGGATGTGCGCCGTTGAACCCTTGCACCAGACCTGATAATTGGTTCGCTTACAATGCTCGCAAGTTTCCATGGAAAACATACTGGATCAAAAATCTCAGCCACCTAGGTGCGGGTGTGCATGACCATTCTGGACCCAAAGGATACTGCGAGTACTTGGTCGAATGGTACATCTATTAACGTGTGAATACTCAAAGTAAAGGCAGCGAGCGGGCCGCTATGATTTACTTTGAAATGGAATCATATGTGTTCCACTCATAATTCAGGCTTCAATTATCGGTATCCAGGAACGACAATCCCACATGGTACAAGCAATCTCTTGGCACCTAATTGCGGATCACTGTCCTTGCTCAACCGAGTCTACCCTACTGTTCTCTGTAGGTCTGGGGTATTCCGAATAGCTCATAATCCTCCGCGGTTCATCCAGTGTCATGGTATATAGAGCAGGTCGCCGAAGGCTGGATTGACAGTTTCCTTTGCTCTCAGCTCCTGGTCTCTTGCCCCAATGTTCAAACACGCTCTCTACCAGACTGTCTTCGCTGCCGCTGTGCTCGCGCTCGTGTCTGCCGTGCCAACGGAGGACCTTGAAGCGCGTGCGAGCTGCACCGTTGACTCCGTTTCCGCTGCCTCCTCGATATCCAGCTGCTCGTCAGTCACTATCAAGGCGTTCACCGTTCCAAGTGGAAGTAAGTCAAACGGCATCTTCTCGTCCTCGTAGTGTTGACAGGCATGCTTTATAGGCACATTGACGCTCTCCGTAAGATCTCGTACCTTTTTTCGTCAGACATGCAAGGTTCACGTATCTTTACATGATAAAAGCCCGCATCTGGCGCGACTGTTACCATGGCTGGTGACATTACGTTCGCTAAGACAACCAGTGGGTTTCACTCATGATGTTAATAAAGCCAGCCGAGATCACAATGACTTTTTTCCTTCTCAGGCTCGGGTCCATTGTTCACCATTGACGGTGACAACATAACATTCAAGGGCGCTGGATACAAGTTCAACGTAAGTCGAACCACTTTCTCAGGGTCTTCACCTTTGCAATGTTTCACAGGGAAACGGTGCCTCATACTGGGACGGCGAAGGCACGAACGGTGGTGTTGATAAGCCTCATCCATTCTTGAAGTGGGTTCTTCTATTACACGACATGGTATACAACATTCTAAAACTTGACTTAGGTTCAAGGGCTCTGGCACCTACTCTTCGTTTACGGTCTGTCTACTTTCCTTTGCTTTTTTGAACGAGACTGATCTCGCGCAATATTTAGGTCTTGAACAGTCCCGCACAGGCAATCTCTATCGGCAACAGCGACGGACTTACGTTTGATAGCATCACCGTACGTCGACCTGACCTAATCGTGTCTTGCTGGGCTCACCTTTCCCACAGGTCGACAACAGTGCTGGCGACACCAGCAGTCTGGGTCACAATACCGACGTCAGTGTGAATCTTCATCTAATGAATGAAGAGGACTAATTGATCTGCAGGGTTTCGACGTTTCTGCTGACTATGTCACGATCCAAAACTCTGTCGTCAAGAACCAGGACGATTGTATCGCCATCAACTCTGGCTCCAACATTGTGTACGTGTTTCCAACGGCCTTCTAGTTAGCGAGAGGTGTCACTCAAGTACCTTTTCTAGTTTCAAAAACAACCAGTGCTCTGGCGGTCACGGTATCTCCGTTGGTTCGATTTCCACAGGCAAAACAGTCACCGACGTGACTATCTCTGGCAACACCGTTACGGACTCTATGTATGGACTCAGGTATGACTGCGCATCTTGTTTCGTCGCTGAGTGTCTTAACATCGTTCGACTTGCAGAATCAAGGTCAAAGCAGAAGCCACAAGCGCTAAGGTGTCAGGCATCACGTACTCTGGGTGAATGCTACTTGATCTCCCTTTTACGATGGCCTACTAACGAATTTCTTACAGCAACACCATTAGCGGTATCACCAAATATGGCGTCCTGATCTCACAGTCATACCCCGACGATGCTGGTACTCCTGGAACTGGCGGTCCCATCTCGTCAGTCCCCTTTGTGTAACTGAAATGAGCCAATTGCCTGATCCATTCCTTTTACAGTGGTGTGAGCTTCACTGGCAGCGCTACTACAGTCAAGTAAGTTGTGCCTCGCACTGACTTCTGGGCGCTGTACTCATACACGTGTAGGGTCGGAGACAAGGCGAAGCGACTCACTGTTGACTGCGGCAACTGCTCAGGGTAAATTCAGCGGTTTATCATTGCTACATGGCTCTTGATGTTGAACGCATTTTGTGACAGAACATGGGACTTCTCCAAGTTGACGGTCGCTGGTGGATCAGCTGGAACTGTCTCTAGTGATGATGCTACTGTACGTGTTTTCCTTCTTGTGCTACAAGAAGACCATGCTGATGTCGGTCTTAGATCTCCGGTGGATCGTATTAGGTTTGCGTCCATTCATCCAAGTCGTGTCCGGGTGGAGCGTAAGGAGATATTGATATCTTCATATTTTATTGTATGATATATATTGATAATGGAATGTTCGTCTTCCAAACTAGATTTGTGTATAAAAAATAAGCAAGGCTGCTATATGAAGATGCTACATCCATCCAGCCTTTACTGAGCCGAGTTAATGTACTGCTTGAGATCGGCCCGCTTTCATGAAGATTCTTTACTCATTCTCAATCACGGGGCCGGTTTTATGGTGATTCAGTCCAACAGGAGATAATCTGGACGTAAATCAGAGCTTCAGAACTCGGAACTCTACAATAGAACATTTAACGCATAATAATGTGGAGATTGGAAGATTTTCGGTCAAATATCATTGGGTTTTATTGTATTAAAATGATACTTGGTGTGAGATATTCGAGTAGACGGGAATCCGGTAAACGATAGTTACAGTCTTGGCGCACAATGTACTTGGCTTCTTCGGTGCCGCGAAAAGCTTTTGACTTCCTTTTCTACATTCCTTCTTATTTTTTCGTGGCTGATGTTCGGAACTGGAATTGTCCGTCCGGACCCCACCGCACCCACGATTGTCACCTGAACACGAAATTTTCACCCATGGGATAAAACCCGTCGCGAGGCTCGAATGTCTCGTGGCTTCGTGAGAATATAGCATCGGGCATTACGAGTGTTATCATTGGCTTGTCAAACCGGTTGCTATTGCTGAGAACTGCGCGACTTTACTGCAAGCCTTACAGCATATACATATAAGAAACCTGCGGAAGAATGGGAAAGTTTGTATCTTTCTCCTAGCCCCCCATCATGGACTCGGGACCTCCAGCACCACCAGGTAACAACCTCAACGCGGGGTTTCTTCTCGGTCCGTGGGTAAGGGTTTTCACCTGTTATCGCTCCATCTGGCACTGAGAACCGCAGCTTGTCGGTCTTTGCCTCGAGTTGTACCTCCAGGGGATCTTGTCTGCTCAAGTTCGAACGGGTGTCATTGTCATATTACTGCGACTAATCAATCCAAGCAGATGTTGAATTACTTTTCGTGGTACGGAAAGAACGACAGAGCAACAGTTCGAGCTTCTGTTGTGTTCCTTGCTTTGATAACGACGCTCAAGTCAATTCAGGTCTGCTGCCTCTTTCTGAGAGCTTCTTCCTTTAGCCTGACATCAACATCTAGAGCTTGTACGTGTCGTCGTCAAGGTTTACGCGAGAGGCTAATCCGGAACGCGACTTGTAGCGCCATCGTCTGGGTCGGGCAGATCGAAAACTTTGCAGATATTCAAGGCGCCAGTCGAAATTTGTACGCCCCAGCCCCCACAATACTACTCATGCTTGACCATCCTATATCAGATCTGGGGCGTGGTACGAAGCCGGTTGGTTGTGTACCGCTCCAGTTACTTCTCGTAATAATAATCCGACGAGCAGGAAACCCGCTGATGGTCGCTCTCATCAGCCTTTACGTTCAATGCTATTTTTGCTATAGATTATGGGTTGTATCAGAGAAGTGGTGGGTCGTCCTGCCCATAGTCCTGGTATCCATATTTGCTATTATCGCTGCCATATTGATCGTAAGTACGCGAGTATTCCAGGAGGATTCAATTCTCACTGTTTCAGGTCGAAAGAATTGTTCATTTCGACCCCACCACCTTGCCTTACTGGAGTAGGTGCTTCTTCACATTATCATTGTATCAGCTAATCACTCTTTCTGTTAGTGTCTGCTCACTTCGCAGCCGTTTTCGGTGAGTGTGGTTCTTTTTATATTGAGCCCCAACTCAACTCTGTCGTAGTCACAGATGTGCTGCTGACAGCGACAACAGCATTTTTTCTCCTGAAAACCCGGAGAAATGTTATGCCACAGTCAGTCTTCTTGTTGAAGTCGCATCTGATACATCTGATGCACGCATTAGAACTGTAGGCATGATCAACGCTTTGGTACGACTCACATTTCAAACAGCAATGCCTGCCGTCATATGGTGAGTAAGGTTGCCTCGCCTAGGCCCACTCACGCCGATTCAATAGTGCCCTTCTCACATTGATCTGCGTCTACCTTCCGACGGATAAACCCAGAGTCGCGAACACCTTCAATCAGGCTCTGCCCAAGCTGTACGCCATCAGTATGATGTGGACCCTTAACGCCCGGAGGGAAATTCGTGTCTTCTATTACGGCGACTCGATGTCCGGGACGGATTCGCGGGCCCGGAGACCTACTGTCACGGGTACGGGTAATTATTCGATTCAGGTTACCACTCGTACGGAGATCCTCCAGGTGAGTTGTTCCTGCCGGTCGCTGGGGAATGATTGTTGACGTTGACCAGATATCAGATGCGGATACAAGGACAGAGGTAACTACGGGAAAAGGCGAAATTGATGACGAAGAATCGTACATTCGAAAGCAGTAATTGCCTAAATTTTCAGTTTCTGAAGTGTATCATGAAAATCAGGACGTGTAGGAGTCGCTTGCAGTAATGTATAGATAGCTAGTGCAGAATTGAGGTGGTGTCAATGTCGACGTCTCCGTCAAAGCTCTTCATTTGATGGCTTTCTGGTTTGACGTCTAAAGTAACATGAGAATGTGTCATTCCTCATTGTAAAGAAGAGTTACCGCCACCACATATCCTTCTCAGATCGGTCATCGCTATCCCATTCCCTTCTTGTTTCAAACACTTCGACTGCTCTCTCAACCGGTAACAGAGGCTTCCTGGCATCATAGTTCGCTTTTGAAGGCCATATGAGACGGACATTCGGATGAAGACGCATAATCCTCTCCATTTCCGGGAAAATACTGTCGTACTCGACACTTGGTGTGGCACAGAAACCCCTGCTTCTCACTGGATACGACGGTTGGAGGATGATTGTAAGATTCGAGGGTATAGACATCCTATTGAAACATCAGCCAACGAACCCTACATACAAAAAAGAAATTGACCGAGTGATTGCACGCTCAGGGTCATAGCCAAACATCCGTTCTCTGAGCGTATCTACAACGCCTTAAGGAACATATTCGGGTTGAAGCTCCCTGGGAAGCCCGGACATGCTACTGAACCCCGTGAGCCAGACATGTGTGAGATCGGGAAAACTTCGTGAAAAATCATCGAGCGACGGCGGTGATGACATATGAAGATGCAGATGAGTGACCGACGGGAACTTGGATGAATCGAAAGGTAGCGTTCGAGGAAACGTCTCTGCCATTCCACGGAGGGTATAGACGGTGAGCTCCTTCAGTTTGGGGAAGGCTTGTTGTAGGACGATGTCGAGGCGCACATCATCGCGGCGCACGGACCAGTCAAGGTCGTCCCATGGCGGCTCCTTGTATTCCAGATATGAAAATGCCTCTAAGTCAGGCGCCACTCTCCCCAGAATCCGCCCCAGCAACGCTTGCTGACGGTAAATCGCGTGCTCCAGCTTGATTTCTCTTCTCGCCCTTTCGTGTCTCTGCTCCTCATCAGCCAACCTTGACAAACGCTCTTCATCTTCCTTCTCCAGTTCCTCATCTTCACCTAGCTGCACTTTGCCTTCTTGACGACAACCCCGGCCATACATCATCTCGTCGTAGTATACGTCCATGTAATGATTTATCTTGACTTCGTGTGCAGAAGAATCGGAAATCAAAAGTCGAGAGACGTGGATTGCTGGATTAGATTCGAGGTGGTCAACCAGCTGTGCAAGGCCATTGTTGAGGCCCGTAAATGCCCTCAGAAGGGTTGGTGAAATCCAGGTTCTGGCTTGCGCTAGCCATAACAACAGTCATAAAGATAAACGAAGCAAATTTCATGACTCCTCAGAGTAAGAAAGAGAGTTTGGTCGTCAAGCATAGCTTCTGGGTGCGACTCTGATGAGGGTAGGAAGGTGGGTTGTGCCTAATCCTGATTAGGCAATGAACGTCAACCTTTGAATACTGTAGTAACATATAAAGGCCGGCGAGTGAGAGGGTCCTTGTGTCACTGTCAGACCGATAATCGCTATCCATTCATAGTTGTAAGTATACGGACGCTAGTTCAAGAAGTACGTCTAGATAATTTATACAGTGGCATATACACGGTCCAATCAACGTCAAACACCAGTAGATCCAGAATACTTAGTATTCAGATTAAACTGAAGTGCTGAAAATCGAAAGAAACTGAAAATATGATGTAAGAGAGCGCCTGACATTACCGTCGCCAACGGTATCTAGATTATCTCGTCCTTGCCGTGACGCGTGTCGTGTTCCGAGGCTTTGAAATTAAATTGCGCGCCCCTGTTGCCGGGATAATACTCGTCACCTGCCGCATCCGGTCACACGGTTGCCACGCGTACTTGATACTTATCTCTCCAATCTCTCGATCTCAATCCTTTGCCAGGCCCTGAGTGTTTTACATCAAAAGCGATACTGTACTCTTGGCGCTATATCCTTCACAGGAAGGAAACTTCTGCATAACTGCACTACGAAACGCAATGTACGAAGCATCAACCAGCAGAACGAGGCGCTATTCTTGTCTGTTTCTTCTATCTTCTCGGTGCGGTTTTCGCAATACAACCGAGCATCGGCCCGTCGGCGGATGGATAATATTTAAGTTGGATTCTGCGTGAATGTGTAAGCCAACTACTTCTCAGTTCTCACCGTTGACCACCGCCATGTCTCAGGCTTCTGCTACTAGTATGCAATACGGTAAGCACCATCTTGCCTTGTCCTGCAGCACACGTCTTACTTTGTGACTAGTGCGCCTCGGACAGTCTGGTTTGAAAGTGTCCAAGATCATCTTAGGATGCATGACCTACGGCAGTCCTGAATGGCAAAAGTGGGTTCTGGGAAAGGAGGAAGGTATTACGCATATCAAGGCTGCGTAAGTCGTCTCTCGATCCAGGCGCGCCTCTCTAATATAGCTTAGGTACGACGCTGGAATCAATGCTTTCGATACTGCGAACGTGAGTTTATTCTCCTCTGTTGGAACCGGCTGACCAATACTGCAGGTGTATTCCAACGGGTTATCTGAAATCATTCTGGGAGAGGCTATCAAGAAATACAACTTCCCTCGCGACAAGATCGTCGTCTTGACCAAGGTATGCATCCTGGATTCTACTCCATGATAAGACATTCATCGCACTATATTCAGGTGTTCGGCGTCGTCGGCAATGAACCTTCCACTCATCTCTTTGGGGATCCCATATCCGACTCTTTAGGTTATGTTAACCAGCGTGGGCTAAGCCGCAAGGTTCGTTATCAGTTTTCTTCACCGTTGATCTGCTTCTCACTCTATCGTATCGCTAGCACATCTTCGATTCCGTTAAGCATAGTCTAAAAAGACTACAGCTCGACTATATCGATGTCCTTCAGTGTATGTTCAACGCGGTTTTTATGTTCGTTCACTCATTTTGTTGGCAGGTCATAGATTTGACTACAATACTCCCATCTCTGAGACGGTAATATTCTTTCTTTGTCTCATTCGTGAATAGGAATGTGAATTCACTTTCTTAGATGAGAGCCTTACACGATGTCGTCCAGGCGGGCTATGTTCGTTACATCGGAATGTCATCATGCTATGCCTATCAATGTACGCACTCCTCCCGTTTATCTAAAGAGTTGACTAACTCCGACCTAGTCCACGCCATGCAAAGTAAGACCATCGTCAAGTGTCGCTTCACAACTAACCAATACACGACGAAGACTATGCAATCCAAAATAACCTGACGCCCTTCATCTCCATGCAGAACCACTACAATCTCATCTACCGAGAGGAAGAAAGGGAGATGTTCCCCACCTTGAAGGTACTGATTCACCAATCCCGTTTGATTTTCTCCCAACGCGTTTTAGATGTTCGGCGTGGGTGCCATCCCATGGTCCCCCCTCGGCCGAGGAAAATTAGGAAGGCCGTTCACCAAGGAAAGCGATACAGTACGGGGAGAGACTGATCCGTTGAGCCTTTATTTCTTATCATCGTGGACCTTCACTTACCCATCGAATGCAGACTCCTCTCACGATACAAAGGAAACCAGGCTGCTGAAGCCATTATTAATAGGTATGGCTAATGTCGGGGCGGAAGAATACTCAAATCATTGATTGTCGTAGAGTCGAAGAGCTCGCAAAGAAGAAAGGACTGACCATGGCCCAGCTGTCGATCGCGTGGATCCTCAGCAAGGAAGGTGAGCTCGCTCCCTGTTTTCACTGTTGCGCCCCGTGGACCATATCCTTTTCAGGTGTCACCGCACCGATTGTTGGGACGACTTCGCTTGATAATTTGAAGGAGCTCATTGGTGAGATTCGCTTGCATGATTCTTGAAACGAGTACCAGCGTAATAACATCTTATTAGCCGCGACGAACGTTGAGCTTACAGCGGAGGATGTCAAGTTTTTGGAGGAAGAGTACAAACCGGTGGTGATTTCGGGTCATTCTTAGTGGGGATTACGAAAATCTGTCGAGCAGAAAGGTATCGTTGTAAAATTGTTACTTGATCGATTGGATAAACAAATATACATTGTAGCCGCTGCATTCACATTGTGTTCAAGCAAGTACTCTGAAGTAAACAACAAACTAGCTCTTTGAATTTTCCTACGCAAATTATCAAGGATCGGGCATACAACTGAGCGATGGAAGAGTCCATCTAACCGACCGTCTGTTTTTCCACGGACACTCCCATCAGCATGCATGAGATTACATACACTAGGCGTTTCACTTGATCAGACAAAGAGGCGCTAGGTGAACGTAAAACCAGTGCTCACAATCTGCAGCGGTTTGTGCGGGTTCCTTGATATCCTTTTGGGATGCCCCGACAAGACAGATCAAGCATTTAGCATACGCCTTTCCGCTATCGTTGGAACACAAACAGTTCACGTCGGAAAGAGTACAGGCCTGGCAACAACCATCAGAAGGAGAGAAGGGAGGAATCATGACAGTACGAACACCAAGTGTATCCACTATCGTGCACTGATCCTGGCATATTGTCAACTCAGATGAGTCTTCGCCGTCAAGTGGAAGCTGAAGGGCACGTCGAATCGGAGGTACAATAGAGGAGAGGCCTAAACATCATACGACTTAACTTGAGATGATAGCATTTTGGGGACTTCAGAAGAGACTCACCTCCGTGAACCATCAAGAGAACCGAGAATGCACACAGAAGGGAACGACTGCCAGTGGCGAACATTGTGGGCGAGTGATACAGAATAATAGGGCAAATACCACTACCTTATGTATGTTTTGAATGTAAGGCTAAGGCTATGCGCGTATAACGGAAGGCTTACGGTAAGCACTGGGTATGACGGCCGTCACATCAAGGGAAACAGCCCCAGTAACCAGCTAGGACGATCAAATTTTTCGGGACATCAAGATGAATACATTTTGGCGGGAAGAAACTGCTACCTTGAAGCACTGGATAGATGGCGAACTAAATTGATATCAAATATATATAGTACTATGATATTTGCTTCTGAGTTCGAGCCATGCTATTCACTGGCAGCGCTTATCGTTAAAAGTGAGGTGCGGTGAGAAGGAAACTGACCATAGCCCGCACTACGTGTGCATTACCTACCTAGTACACCATCCACTACGCTACGGTACCAGACAAATGTCGGGCCTCACTGATATAGTCGCGTCTGGCTGCTGTTGTGGTATATAACATGTTTCCTCTATACTTTCATAAACAGATGCATGACCAAGGACAGAGTAACAATAATAAGTGCAATGAGTACTAGAATGAGCCGATTCTGACTCATGCGAGAGGCCGACGGCTCTTTCTCCGCTCGTATATGAGTAACTGGGGTAACGTCCACAGCATCCTTGCGATCACGAACGGTAACTGGCAATTCAGTTTCGTCAATCTCGTAGCCTGTGCGCTTTTTTAGCAGAGCGCGAACTCAGAATGCTAATTCTTCAACTTACCAGGAAAGTGTTCAATATTTGAATCCTCGAAGATCTCCAGACGAGGAAGATCAAAATATTCACATACATCTGCACCCTCGAGGGCGGGATCGAATCCGCACATGGTGTTTATTTCAACGATTGTCGAAAATACCTTTTCCGGTATGGAGTACATACGTGGATTAGCCCCGAAGCTGACTTGAATTCCGAAAAGAGCTTCCACCTCCTCGACCGATATCTCATTAGATACACTCGAGTGACAAAACCAATGAATGACAGGCCAGGAGATTACGTTGGATTGTGAATCAAGACGGGGTTCACAGATTGTTAACGAGAGAGCAAATGTATATTCGCTGTCTGCCATAAACGTGTCCTGTAACTGGAAGGGATCGTAACATGGCGTTATCTGAAGGTCAAAGTACACAGCTAGACACACTGGACATTGGTCAGTATATTGCCCAGTTTCTCTATTATGCTATACCAACCTTCGACGCATTTTATGTCATGCATCCTACAATCAATGCCCCTTATGTTCTGAGAAAAGGACAATGACAGTCGCGAAGCTTGTGCAAGCCATGAGGACATCATCTGCTGTGTTTTCGTATAATATTCGGGGGTCCGGAAGTCCCGGGGGGTTATGTGAAGAGAATGCTTTTGGTTGACAGACAAGTTATGAATGGTAAATGATCCACTGACGGGTGAAGGGGTCAACAGAGAGTACAAATGAATATTCATGTCAATCGCACCTGCACGTAGAGAAGGGCATTGAATGACCATTCCATGCTACTGCCCATTCAGTCGGCTCAACTAGTATCTTGCCGACCGCCATACAGGGAAAGATCATTTCGGACTCTGCCTGTAGTACAAGTCCTCGGCTGCAGGGATATCGAATTCCAGGCGGGTGTGAAAACGTATACTCAACGCCTATGAGATGATAAAAAGCATCGTAAATCTCTATGAGATAGCTTTTATCCAAACTTGTACGGCGCATCAGCGAGTTCCAATCTCTGATCGAATTAGTGTGTGATGCGTCTGGAGTTATCTGGCGTGGGCGCAATGTCACTGCAGACTGCGCTTCGAGGTGTTGAGCTATATTCACACTAAAGGCATTAAGAAAATAGGAATACGAGAGCTCTGTCAACACGATTCGGCCTCTTTCATTGATATACATATCGCGAGGGTCAGTATCCTTTGAAGCATTGGCTGTTAGTTGGTGCATGCATTTTGTCAAGGCAATCGCTCACAACCACATCGTTGGTCCAGCCCACGGGAGATGTACCACTGCGGTAAAACTTACTGAGGTAAGCTGAGGTCGACTAATTCAACTATTCAAGATTGATATGTAGAGAGTCGAGAAATGCGGCACCTCCAGGTCATTGAACTATAGAAAGGCACTTAATTTGAGTAGCATTACAGCAGTATATTTCGGAGAAACGCACCAATTGAAAATGGAAGTACAACGACTGAGTCGCAGTCAAGGATGCAACGTAGTTGCGCATCGACTTTCGTGTGGTACCTCCAGACAGGCATAAGCTTAGAAATTCAGAATAAATTAATGGTTATCATTACCGTGAAATATAATCGCAGTAAAGTCCGGAGACCTGCATACACCAAAGACCTGGGCAATATTTTGGTGTCTGGACCATAAGATCAGTACTGCATGAACGCCGTCACAAGATATTGCTAGCGTACTTAAGTTTTATCAGCCTATCCAAGTCTATATGGAATTGCTGGAAGACGTGTCAGCACTGCTAGGAGATCAGACAGGGCGGTCATAACTCACTCTCATGACATCTTGTTCGTTGTTGTGTGTGCATGTATATACACGGACAATTTTAGGCACGTTACTGTTATCAACGTCAGCGCTATAATCAGAAAACGCAACCATCTTGTTGGATAGGTATGGGTGCCAGCCTGAAGGAATAAGGAGATCTCTCAAATAGATGTCCCCTGGAAGGACATCTCGAATCTGCGATCATGCAACGATCAATCAATAGATCCCCCACATAAGAAGAATCAAGTACAAATCCTTTATACGAGCCCCGTTCCTTCAACATCTGGACGTCAGCACTAAGCTTGTCGGTTTTCTTGCTTTGTAAAACACCCCATGTGTGTATCTCTCCGTATATACTGTCTGCGTGCTTGTCGATATCAGACATGGTATGCCTTTGCGACATCTCGATGACACTAGTAAGAGCATCTGTACTGGCCTTTAATCCATCTTTGATATCTGAAATAACGATACGCGAGTCGATGGCTGTTCGAATCTATCAACCAATTAAGATAAGCATATATAGTTAAGGTCCAAGCCAAGACGCACCAGAAAGTCTTCCCTGATCGCGCGCACGCGTTCCTGATAACCACTGACAGTGTCGGATACTTTATTTGTCTTCAAGAAACGCTTGAACCCACAGGACTTGTGCCGAGTGCTGCTCAAATCGACAAGCAAGTTCGTCAAGTATCTAAAATATTTCTCATCAAGGGGGGGCTTCATGATTCGTTTCCGCACTTACACTTGAAGCTCTGCACAAACATCATGGAAACGAAGAGCGCTACTTTCGCCGTGTTCCTTAACGGTATTCTGAACCGTCTCTATAGTCTTCCCTATACTCTCTGCTAAAACTCGTAGATCTTTATCATTCTTATCGGCTTTCTGCAATTCTTGTTTAAGACGATGAAACGCCGTGCGTGAGTTTGCCACATACCTGGATAGTTTCCAGTATGAGTACAACACACCCACAAAGACCTTTGATGTACAGAAATGGTGCCATTTCCCCGGCGGTCGCGGCAACCTTAGCGATATCAACCCGAGTCTCCAGACTAGACGAGCGAGTCATGCTAGATGAGCGTTCATTATCAAGTTGATCTCAAAGCAAAAGCAATAGAGAAGATCACCTTCTTAGGAGGAGGGTAGAATAGCAGGTAGGTGGGCAGTATTACAGGGCGACGGTGTTGAGAGGCAAGCACCGAAAAGGGTAATAAAATATCCTTTCCACGGGTAGCTATTTCTGCATTCCATACAGCATTTTACAGCGGCACGCATAGCATTGATGTCCAAACCGTGTCGGCTCCCAGAACGTCGTTTCCATCGCCATAATCGTCCTGACCAGGGTACCAGTAGACTATTGTGATGTGTTGTGAAGAGTTGAGGTGGTTGAAGAGAAGTCACGTCGGCCCGATCACCGGCGGACTGCCACTGATTTCCTACTATCATCATGGACGCGACCTCCTCCCGTTTTCTAGGGTATTAGTCCTCGCCTCTTCTCTTCATCATCTATTCATATCACCCAGACCGGTGTCACTGTTCTTGGGAAGCGGAAGAAGCGCAAAACAATGGCTTGGTTTTTGGGCATCAGATTCAGGCGCGTTCTTAGTAGGATGTTCATACCGTAAAGCTGACCGTTTCTTCCGAAGATATTTCTTTTGCATCTAGATTTCTGTCAATGAGGTGGCTACTAGACTCCCGATATTGAATACCGTCTTCCTACAGCTTGAGGTTCCCTTCGCTCAGGCTCAATTGGAGAATGTTTCGATCCAGCGGCAATACGAAAGCGAAGTCTCGAGAGGGATATGTGGGCAGGGTGCTGTTCAATTTTCTTCAATGTAGCCTTTGTCGGCGGTGGTCTGTGTGCTAGTTGTGTGCTGGTGTTTGGGGAGCCGTTTCAGTGCGTCTTTTTATCGCCATGAAAATGAGCTAAGCCCTGATTGCTTTCCTTAGGAAGGATACGATCATGAATAATGCTCAACGTGAACTCCGTACCGGCAAAGGGAGCTTCTTGCCTTGAACAACCCGACTGTCCACCGAGCGGAGTACCCCGGATTTACAGGCGTCGTCAACTACTTACTAGTCATTGGTTATGCAAGCCTGCTTTTTGAAGTCTTTCCCCTTCTACACTTGGTGGTACCGGCTAACATTCTGACCATGCGATATGACGACTAACAGCATGTGTCTGGGTCAAGTCGTAACTAGCCATCACATGTGACGCGCCGGGACAGTGGTTCCCTCGATACGGCTTCCCCTCCTGATCACCGCAACCTTAGAATTCTTTTCTTGTTTGGCTATGCTCTTCCTGGGAACATCGACAAGGCTTTCGAGTTTCAAAGACACACACGTAATGTCCGACCCGAGGTATTTTTCCGGATCCGATATATAAATCCGGTTTTCCATCTACGACTCAAGAAACACTACGACCAGCCTCTTCCTTAAAGCTATGAGATCGGAGTTGCTGCATTTTAACTTGTCTTCGGGGTATGTCTTTTAGGTCTTTGCGCTCGAATTGGGATTGCTTGACAGGAATATGAAGAGTCCTTCTGGTCATTTCGTGGTTGAACACGTTGATGTACACATCGCAGGTCGCTTTGAGTATCTACTACTTATGTCGCTTCACGATGACAAAGTGGCTGCGCTACTGGATACTGGCATCGTTAGCCATTGACGGAGCTTGTTCGATTGCGGTTCTCGTCCACACCTACGAAGTGCATCCTCTCATGCCCTTGATATATCCCGCGCTAAATTCTAATATAATTTCCAGTATCTGGTTAACACTGCTGGTTCGTCCTTGTAATACCTTCGCTTTCACACACCCACCGCTCGATCAATATCGGATATCCAGGTATAGACGACGTAGCCGCATGGACTATACCGATTATAGTCTTGCTCACATACGCCTCCGCCTCAATTACACAAGCATTTTTCTGTTATCGGTGTTGGACAATGTGCGTCCCTCCCGGGTCTCTTTCATCTCATTCTTAGGTTCGCCTAGCTCCAGGAATAAATGGATTGTTGGATGCATCATGTCTATCATTACAATAAACGTGAGTCCTTCTCTTAGCTTACACGACATATGCTTTGCAAACAGTGGATGTAGATGCTTTTCACTTTGTTTTTTGAAATCTATATTTCCCTCTATCCGAAGGAACTGACGCTGGCATTACCGTTGACGATGCAAGTTTGTACACTCTTGGTTCATTCCTGCCAAAAACTAACACAATACAAGCTCCGCAACACGTGCAGCAACAGACATGATTATCACGGGCTCCTTAGTTTGGATATGTTGGCACATAGAGTCACCGTACGCAACTACAAGAAAGTGGGCGTTTTGAGTCCCGAAGAGTCTGTTTTTGAAAGTAATGGTTATAGAATATTACGTCGTGTCATGGTACAAGCCTTGGCTTGCGGCTTCACAACGGCCATTTCAACAACACTCCTGACTATCTTTCTTCTTCTCACTGTCTTGGATGGTGCGTATGCTTCACCGCTTAGTCTTCATTGTTAATTGTCATGAAATAGCACACTATTCCCTCCTCGTTACACTCGGACGCATTTACAGCCTCAGTGTTTTGTTACATCTCATTGTGTTGAAAGGTATGCATCGTAATGATCCGTGCACAATGTGGATAGACGGGAACACCGGTATCAATGGACCTGCAGTCCTGGATTCGATTTGTGAGTCTATCGCTATGTGGTTTTCAGGGAGGGACTGATGGAATTGACTGTTGTAGTGCTTACGAATACGTCAGGTACTGAGACGAGCAATACACAGTTAACGGTATGGCACAACCCTTTTGTTTATGATTGAATCTGACTTGATTTTGTTAGCCTAGTGAAACTAGCCATCACTACCCAACGCATCTTCAATCGAGGACTTTAGCGAACGATCAAAATTCTACAGTTTAATGTTACTTATATCAGCTCACCGGTCAGAAAGGACCGCATTGAGTATCCACACCATCATACTGAACCACCATACGATGTTCAGTGTTCCACGCCTATATCCCATCGTACACTGCATAGTTTACGCCTCACATAACTTCTACATACATAATTATTTGGCGTGAATATCCGGCTGCCGTTAATACACTTTCGGAGCCGCGGACCATCTGGAAACCCGTACCACTTGTGAGTGCAGGAATACCAGATTTTCATAACGGGATGGATCGTTATTACAGCGCAAAGTACGTTTCGTGTTCTCGATACCTGACGGAAACCTAGACGCTTCTGCTCCCTGAGTTCATACATGATTTCTTCACTCATTCGACCGAATTTGCCGATAGTAGTCCACTTACGATGTGGAATTATCTTCATTGACCTCAGAGCCATAGCTGATAAGAGCTAGCATGGGGCCTGTTATCTGCTACGGACTTGACGATCGCGAGGTGAGTCCTTGCTGACCGGATCCAAAATTAAGTTGCTCTTGATGAGGGCAAACTGCTATGGAACATCGAAGTGGGAGTGTGGCGCATCGGTGCCAGCCAGGATGACAGTGGGTGTTTCGGAGCAGGTTCTGTTGAGATACCGGACGATGGCTGCTGACTCCGAGATGAAGGCGCCAGTAGAGACATCATGAGAAAGGGGAAGAGTATAGTGGAGTGTTACTTTCGTAGCGGTGCCTTGCACACCAAATTTTTTGTACACGGGGGAACCCAACCTATTCAGTAAGGTTCTGGAAGACTCTTATAGTTGAGTAGTCACAGACGAGTCTAGCACCGTGAGGAGCCGGGAGACATGACTCGTTCTGGGTCATAGTATGAATTTGTGTCAATCGGACGCTGTATTTATCGATATGGCCAATTGTCTTGCCAGAGATACCCGATTCTGGCGAGTCTGTGGTTGACGCCTCTTTCTCACGAGTGTTATTCAGGAGATGTGGTGCGAAAGACATGATGTCCAAGCCATCTCAGCTGATAAAAAATCATTATTGTCGACCAGACCAGGGGACCAGTAGACTATTATAATGTGATATGAAAAGTTGTGTGCGGTTGAAGAGAGTCACCTCGGCCCGATCACCCGCAGACTGTTGGCTCTTTCCTACTATCATCATGGCCGTGACCTCCTCCCGTTTTCTACGGTATTAGTCCTCATCTATTCCTTCTTTTGATATTTAACTAGTATTACTATTCATCATCCATATCTATCACCCAGACCAGTCTCTCTGGTCTTGGGAAGCGGAAGAACTGCAAAACAGTTGTTTGGTTTTTGGGCATCAAGTTAGTAGGACGTGATACCGTGAAACTGACCGTTTCTTCTGAAGATATTTCTTCGGCATTTGTATTTCTGCCAGCGAGATGGCCGCTAGACCCCGGTGTTGCATACCGTCTTCCCACAGCTTGAGGTTTCCTTCACTCAACTGGAGAATATTTCGATCTAGCGGCAATAAGAAAGCGAAGGCTCGAGAGGGATATGTGGGCAGAGTGCTGTTCACTTTTCTGTCGACGTAGCCTTTGTCGGCGGTGGCCTATGTGCTAGTTGTGTGCTGGTGTTTGGGGAGCCGTTTCAGTGCGTCCTTTTATCGCCATGAAAATGAGCCAAACCCCAATTGCTATCCTCAGGAAGGATACAGCCATGAATAGTGCTCAACGTGAACACTCAAACGCTCTTCGTTGGTCGACAGTTACTGCTGCCTTCCCTCATATGGCCCCATAGAATCTACATCATCGTATGTCCTTGAATCCACTCATTGATGCCCAACAATCGCCACCTTCAGCTTCTACGACACTCCCTCCGCACCATTGCCACCAACCCTGTCCACGGGATAAGCCCCCTTGCCCTCAATTCATTATCTCCAGGAAGGATTTTGGTCATTGCGTGAGCGCTGTCCATATGGGAATTACCACTGACCAATCTATCGGTCACTTCCCGTCCTATCAATTCTCTCTACGTTATCGGCTTCGGCTCTCAAATTGTGAGCTCCTGCCACACGAGGCAAAGACTATGAGCCCCCAGCCCCCGGCTTTTGCAATCATTGGGAAGCGGGCCTGTAACAGTGCCTATCTGGAACTACGGAACTTGGTTACCTCCATACAGTCGTTTTAAAAAACTGTATGAGTGGAGGTGGGTACCGCACTCTACCTACATCCATACCGACAGTACGGGGATTGGCCATGGTCACGGGAAGCTACTGGTAAACGTCTGCTCCCGGTATCCGTTGCATTTATATGGAGTACACTCAGGAAGATGTATTTGAGTTGCCGTACGCAAAATTTATAGTGGGGATGGGAGTCGAAGGTGGACCCAATCTTCATGCCGCGGTAGATTTGTTCTGATACGATTCTAGCGCTTTGGGTGACCGTGGCTGTGATATCGTCCTCAGCCGGAGATTGAAAAATGTAGCAGAGCCATTGACAACGGCAGAAGACACAGATGCACAATGAAAACAACAAGGTTATGGCATGGTGTAGGTTTATGAGACTCTGTCTATAGCCAAATAGTTGCATATGCTAATCTGATCCGCGGCTAGTCCCTCCAATACCGTGACATTGGACCCGGAAGTATATACTAACAACAGCCGCCTACCTAACAAAACCCTTTTGGACTTCATTCGCTCATGCTTCGAGAACAAGCAATGCCGTGTTCCACGAATTTCGCCTAATGTTTTAGGAACACCATCAATACCACCGGAGTATGCCATCTGTAGAAGTGAGAAACTGGCCTGCTCTTCCCTTTCTTGTGATGCTCCGGATCTCAGTTCGCATGGATAAGTCCGGACATGAGTGCTGGACGTGCATCAGCGATGCTCTCGCATTCTTTAGAGCTGATTTCCCCCTTTTTGCTGCATCTTCTTGTCGAGATGAACTTCTTTATGTGGCCTATAAAACGGCCATCGAAACTCTCACCGTTTCATTCCATCGTTGTCAAGTGGTCATCTCCGAATGTCGTGAATCTACCTCATAGAAGCGTCCGCTTATAGTGAATACTTACGTGTCGGCCTCTGTTTCTGCACATTTCCCGACACCGGCGCTTTCCCGGTCTAACCGGATCTCCCATCTCATCTCTCGTCATCCCACGGACTAGATTCTTCGTGTTTCGCCACCCCCACAACATACCCCGCAGCCGACGGTGTGCTGGTTCGCACGCGAACCTGATCTCTTCTCCATGCATTCTTTGTTCCGGATCGATGCATTTCTCCGGTTTCTCAATTCATGTATTCCACGCCACTGACATTCCAATCTCCTCGTGAGTGCTGCCCTACTTGGGATACAACGGGTATCGAGATTTAACGTGAAGGAGCTCTGGATAACTATGGTAGTTATTCTTCTCGTTTGGATCCGGACATAATTATGATGAGTTCGCAGTTATGGCATTACCCCACGTCCGTTGTCCTTCCCCTTTTGACCTATCATTGATATTCATTCTGTAACGGAGCATATCTTGTTCTCTTCTGCTGTACAAGAAAGTGTATGGCATTAATGGGCGGTTCGCAGCGTTTCGTTAACGGATAGGGCATCGGCATTGTCGATGGAAGCTCGGGCGCGCGAATGTTCTTCGGCAAGATTGAGGAGATTTTGATGCGAATATACTATCAATCAATATGAAAGATATGATGAGAACACGTGAGCGTCAAGCCCACCTACAATAGCACATGGTTACCAAATGATCAAGAAAGCGCCGAGAAAAGATTTTTCGAACCATAGTTTTGAATGAACGTTATTCGTTAGAAGCCTAAGGGTCGAGATAAGCAGACGTTTGACACGCCGTGTGCAGTAGAGAGCGTTGACATGTGAAAATAGATGGCTAGGCACCGGCCGTGATGTGAAGAAAATGCCAGAGAAAACTGCTCGCTCGGAATACTAGCAGATAAACGCATCGTGAATTATCATCGTCCAACAGTTTGACTTTGTATAGACGATCGATAGAGTAGTATGTCAGAAATTCTTCACATGTGAGTTGTCATCTCGTACAATTTCACATAGAAAAAGACTCCCGATAGGTTCAAGCGTTTGCCATGCATGAAGCAGGATATGTCCAGAAACCAGGCCCTACAGTTGCTAACGAGGACTGAGACCGGAAGATAAAGACGAGATGACAGCTTTCAGAGTGATTCTCTGACCGTCAGAGAGCCCATTCAGTGAATAAAAGCTCGGACGCTGCATTCAGCTTCGCAGTCATATGCTGTCATACACTAGCCAAAGGGAAAGTAGAGCCCCTATCAACGGAAGCATTTCTCAGCTTAGTCAGCATCGTGCATTTCTTTTTCTCTCGACCACGGTACCAACGCCAGCATCAACCACGGTGAACCAGAGTGCTCTCTTTTGGCTCGTTTGCTTCAGGCGCCAAAGAAACATTCTTATAGCAGACCCCAAACTACGTGTTGCTGGATTGTAACCTTTGCAAGAGAACCACAAATCGTGTTGGTTGGAGGATCATCTGTTCGTTTTCGGTCGCGTTTTGAAGTGCCCATGATACTGACTGTGCAGTTCCATTTCAGCGTACGGAATGATTTTACGGATATCTTCTTTGTCGTTGAGAACTAGCCTCAGTCCTGGATACCCAGTGACATTCCGTCGTACATTCGCCACCCCCCTTTCGCTCAGACGTGACTTTCGAACATGCCCAGATATCTCGACACTGAACGCCGCTAATTTGTCACGGAATGACCTTTGCGATTTCTCAAATATGATTTCAGTCAGCACCCCGGAAGAGCTCTCTTCTCCAAGACAGCTCAGGTATTTGCGGGTTGGCGCAACTAATCTTCCCTTTCCTAAATCCTGTAAAGGGTTTCTCTACTATTGGACACATCCCGATCTTCCTGTTGCTCTTGGCAGTATTCGCTTCCGTATCATTCCCGAGGGCGATCCGTCCTTATTTAGTGCGGGGAAAGACCTACTCCTGCCCAACGGTATGCCATGGTCGATTCCCCTACACCAATTAGTAGTGTGGAAAGGGAACATGCTGCGACTGCTTTTAAAAGACAAGCTCGTTGACCAAAGTTTAATCAGCTCGGAATATATACGTGTGTTTGTGGAGCTACGCTTGAAGAAGGATTCGACACTTCTGCGGTCTCCGGAAGAATCATTTCCCATAAGCCTTCCCCAAGACTCGTTACACCTGCATCTATTATCCGAAGATCACCAAGCTCAAAAGGTGGCTTTCTTCTTCAAACCTATGGTCGAATTTCAGGAACTTGTCAAGCCTGGACAACAAGGTCAGTATTCTTGTTATGATATAATGATATTATATTGATTCTTTTTTACCGTGTAAGTCTATGCTCATGCCCGTCTTGAGGTTATACGCCCTAAGGGCAACCGTCTCGCGTTGGGTCTTCGCATTTCGAATGTCCTTTTACGGGGTGTCCAGGTTGACAGGGAGTTCCCGCTAATCGAGTGCAAGGCAGTGAAGGGTCGTTCCGCTCTCCAGTCTTGGTTTCCAAATATATACGAAATACCTGAAAATTAGAATTTTGCCAGTTGAAAGATCAGGATTTGAGCCATGAGCCCGGTCTCGTTCATTATCAAAAATGCTCACTCTGGTTGCTGTTTCAGGCCCGCATATCCAAAGACAGGGACTAGGAGGCAAACCAAGAACCGATGGACAGCTATTTCTCTATATCTCGCCCCATTGCCACCTGATCCTGACGATATCTCCATCCAAACATCTGGAAGTAACGCGTAAATGGGCTGAACTCTTCCTATCCATTATTTGTCATTTCCGCGCCGAAAAAAATCTGCCGACGCTTAGCATCATGAGGATACTATAGAGCTACCGTTCATGGGAGGTTATTTAACTCAATTCTAATTAAGGTATGAAGGAGGCGCAGGTAAATATTTGAGCAGTACTTCTGAATGGCCGCAAGACCAGTGCATCCAGCACTGCAGCAAGGAAAAATTGTGGCGTTGAAATCGTTGGTGTTCTCCTTCTTGGTCTATGTCAATCCCCCTTCCCTAACATGAAAGAGGGAGAGCAGGTTTTCCCCTGTAACATGTACCTCTCGAACACCCTCTGATGCTGCAACTGGGGAGGTACAGATGGTCGATGTTTCATCCATTCCTCTCGGTGCTGGATAATCAAATTTTACCCACCCAGAGGAAAGCGTAACATTTGCTCTCTTTCAGGCTTATCATTGTCTATTCATGTGCGTAAGACATACTTGGAAACAAATGCATCCATCTGCCGCTAAGAGAAAGAATAAATACGCCGAGGACGCGTGTTGAGAAGGCACCTAAAAATAGTATGATTACGTAATCGATGATTTGAATCAAACATGCGCAAAGGATGCAGCCGTAGCGACGCGACGCGCGCAAAAAATCTTGCCTTTCCTCCCACACTGACTCTCTGTCTCCGTCCATCCGCGCCATCCCATCATGGATTCCGACCTCATAAAGTTGGTTAACAAGCTCCAGGATACCTTCAGTAATCTTGGTCAGTTCTTTCACATTCTGGAGATCTTCAAAAATTGAAATGATCCTTAGGAGGGGAACTGGATATGCCGCAGCTCGTTGTAGTGCGTATATATTTTCATTGTTCCTTTTCGCTTTCCTGAAAATATTTTTAAAGGTGGGTAGTCAGTCGGCAGGCAAATCCAGTGTTCTGGAGACGTACGAAGTTCTCAGTTTCTTTACAACTGTCCAACTCATGGTTCTTTTAGCATTGTCGGTCGTGATTTCCTTCCCCGTGGTCAGGGAATCGTAACAAGACGACCGCTCGTCCTTCAACTTATACATACCCCGATACCGTCCGAGCCGTCACCCAACAACCCGCCGTATACCGAATGGGCCCAATTCCTTCACGTCGATAAGCGATTCACCGACTTTAACGAAATACGAAAAGAGATTGAGCAGGAAACCTTTCGTGTTGCTGGTCAGAACAAGGGTGTCAGTAAACTACCCATCTCGCTGAGGATTTACAGTCCGGATGTTCTCGACTTGACATTGGTGGATTTGCCTGGGTTGACAAAGGTGCGTGAAGAGAACTTCATTCTACTTCCTCTGTCTCAATGGATGCCCAGATTCCGGTCGGGGACCAGCCCAGCGATATTGAACGTCAAATCCGTAACCTCGTTGTGGATTATATCTCTAATCCGAACAGGTATGTAATCGCTTATGCTACTTAAATTGCTTCATCTCATCGTCCGGTAGTGTTATACTGTCGGTGTCAGCAGCCAATGTCGATCTGGCTAACTCAGAATCTCTCAAACTTGCACGGACAGTCGACCCACAAGGCCGTCGCACCATCGGCATTCTAACGAAACTCGACCTCATGGATGCGGGAACAAACGCGCTCGACATCCTCACTGGCCGCGTGTATCCCCTCAAACTTGGCTTCATCGGTGTTGTGAATCGGAGTCAGCAAGATATCAACGCTGAGAAATCCATGAAGGACGCTTTGGATAGCGAAACAGAGTATTTCCGTAACCATCCTGCCTACCGCAATATTGCTCACAAGAATGGTACCAAATACCTAGCCAAAACACTGAATCAGGTGCGTGCTTTTTATACACGTGGGAAGGAACGAGGCTGAAGGCTAGACAGGTCCTGTTGAACCATATCAGGGAGAAGCTTCCTGACATGAAGGCGAGGCTCAACACACTCATGGGACAAGCTCAGCAGGAACTCAACTCGTTTGGCGATGCCGCCGTTTTTGGGGACAAGAATCAGGTGCGTTGACTGCGCCCTCTGCTCATTATTAGTATTAACGTCACCTGTGTTCATAGCAAGGATCGTTGATATTGCGACTCATGACCCAGTTTGCGAGAGACTTCGTCTCATCGATTGACGGCACCAATATTGACATCTCCACAAAGGAATTATCCGGCGGTGCACGCATATATTACATCTTCAACGACATCTTTGGCCATGCGTTGAGCTCAATTGAACCTACACAGAACCTGGATGATCAAGACATTCGAACAGCTATCCGCAACTCCACTGGTCCACGGCCAAGTCTCTTCGTTCCCGAAGTTGCTTTTGATCTTCTCGTGAAACCTCAAATCAAACTACTAGAAGCTCCTAGTCTTCGGTGTGTGGAGCTGGTATACGAGGAGCTGGTGAAGATATGTCATAATTGTACTAGCGTGGTATGCAATCAGTCGTGTTTTATCATTCATGGTCTTATCGTTACCCTCGCAGGAGTTGCAACGATTCCCGCGTCTTCATGCGCAGTTGATAGAGGTGGTATCGGAGCTGCTAAGAGAGCGTCTGAGTCCGACATCAGAATATACACAAAGCCTCATTGCTATCCAAGCAGCCTACATCAATACGAACCACCCGGCATTCGTTAATGGGACGATATACGCAAACCCACAACCCACACAATACCCGAGACCATCAATTCCTCCACGGGCAAGTACAATTACAATGATGCCATGCCGCGTCGTTCTGATGTAGGTTCTCTATTAGCCCTCGTCCGCCGAGCCTATAAATGGTGTCGCTTCTTCGGCAGACGATGAAGACGAGACCTCATCTGAAGATACAAACAGCACCACTAGTGGAACCCATGGTGCTCGCAGTGATGGTCGCTCCGTGTCAAACACCATCCATGACCGCTCACGAACTACTCCCACATTACCTACCGCCACTGCCAACTCTTCCACACCCACTCTCAACAAAAAGACCCCATCTATTTTGCGCAACCAGCCTCATCGGCCGCACTCCGTCTCTGGCTCAGGCTCATCATCCTCAGCCAGGGAAACCTTCCTCAATTATTTCTTTGGCCAAAACGGACCTGGGCCTGTGTCTGGAGTGGGGCCACAGGAACGGCCAGGCAGTAATACCATTGTCCCTGTCGGACGGGATACATCGGGTGCGGATCCTGCCATCTCATCTGGTTTGATGGCTGGACGTCGTAATCTGGATGGGAACAATGCCGCGTACGACATGAAGAGTCTCGGGAAACATATAGAAGCCGTGAGTGAAACAAGGTGCTGCCCTTTTCCGTTGGTAACGCCTTACATGTCTAGATCTCTTCGGAACCGAATCATCTTTCTGCACGAGAAGAGATGGAAACTTCGCTTATCCGGTCTCTCATCACCTCGTACTTTGAGATTGTCAGACAGAGCATCCTTGACTTGGTGCCTAAGGCAATCATGCATTTCCTTGTGAATCACACATCGCAGCAGGTGCAAAACCGGCTCGTTGCGTCACTGTACAAACCGGAGCTGTTTGCGGATATGCTTAATGAAGACGAGAGTCTCGTTGCTGAGCGGACGAGGGTGAAGGCTCTGTTGGATGCATACAAGGAGGCGTTTAAGACACTTTCGGATGTTAACATGAAATCGATATGAATCTACATGACTTGGTCTTATTAACGTTACATCGTGCTTTGTTGTCCCATTCATACACACTATACATAGTCCTGCTATGCATAAAATAATACATACGTCTCATGCTGTTGATGCGTTGATGGCTCATAACGCCATATTCGTCCCTTCCGTGAATAACCGACATAATAGTCCAATAGACGCTTTTAAGACGCCTCTTGAATGAATTCTAATTGCAAGCCAAAAACATGAGGACAGGGTAGCAAACGTGAGACCACTAAGGTGTATATGGAATGAAATGAGATCGTAGCAGTGAGCAGTGAGTGACATGAGCTGGAGCAGGGAGACCTTTCGGGCCGGAACAAAGACAAGAGAGTGACAATCAGACGGAGGCTGTAAATAAAGTGAGATGAGATGGGCCGCATCACGTTGATGCTGCCGGCTCTGCGGCGACATCAGTAGTCTCAGTGGTCGACTGACCCTTCACCGCGACCCACTTTTCCTTCTTCTTCTCGTTCTCCGTGGATGCATCCTCCTCTTCAGACGTCACACTTTCTTCAGTATCCGCGTCCACACCTGTAGTGTTCTCAGACTCGGACGATGATGAGGAGGAATCACTGGTGGACTCGGTAGTGGTCGCGGTAGACTCAGTGCTTGCAGTAGGTTCACTCTTCACGACTACCTCTGCTCGCAGGGCTTTCTTGGCCTTTGCTCGCGCTTCTTTCCTTTCGAGTTTCTAGTAGAAGGGCGTTGTAAGCATATGGAACGAAGCGGATGCAAATAGAAGAAAACACACCTCTTTAGTTTCCTTCTCTTCCTTCTGAATAACGAATCTTTATAAGAATCAAACCAAGAGCAAAGAAAATGTACACCGACCTCCTTTGCTTCCTTTTCCTCCTTCTAAATTACACAAAAATGCATTCATCAGCATTGAACGGGGATGAACGTCCGAAAAAGGCGTACCTCTTTCTGTGCCTTTTCTTCGGCCTCCTTCTTTTCCTTGGCCTCACGCTATAATGAAAATCCACGTCAATAATCCAAATCCCATGACTCGATCTAGGGGAAATGAAAAAAACCTCGGCTTTCTCCTTCTTCAGCTTTTCACGTGTCTCGCGTTCTTGAATGACCCATTCTGCGACTTCTTCGACACACTCGCGAGGACGCGTCTTGTTCTTCAGCAAGTACCCTTGTAGGGCCGCGACCTTTGGAAACGTTAACACAAGTGTCCGGTACAGATACACAAGAAGACTTACACTCATCTCATCCTCCGGAATAGCCTCGGCAAACCGCTTAGCCAACTCTGAAATCTCGTCCTCGCTTAGCAGAGGGATCTGATGCGTAAACTTGCGCTTCGAACCCGGAAGGTTCTTCTGCGAAGAGTCGGACGCGGTAGTCGCTGCAGCCGGGGGCGTGGACGAGTTGACAGATGAAGGCTTGAAAGGGAAGAAACACTTGAAGATACCCTCCGCCTGCCATTTAGTGGCGTGCGTGAAGTTGACCCACACATCCATCCGGCCCGGTCGGCTCAGGGCAGGGTCGAGGCGTTCGATGTGGTTTGTCGTTGCAAACAATAGACTGTTAGGGTAAAAAGGGACTGTATAAGCGGGACAGCCGGATCTAGGGATGCAAAAGTACAAGCTCACCGACCCTCGGCGGCGGCGACACCGTCGAGACTGTTCAAGAGCCCACTAAGACTGAGAGTCGACCCATCGTTGTTAGTGTTGTTGCTGTCGGAGGTTCCGGAAGTGGTCGTCGTTGTTGTGGGTGCTCCGGTGGAATTTGAGTCTCGGCTCACGGAGCGGGTGAACGCCGCGTCGAGATCTTCCAAGAGGAGTATGCATCTATACAATCGGGGTTGATGTCAGAAGAGAGATGGGAATGGGGTATGTTTTCGGAGACCGACAAACCTTGATGGCACGTGTCCCATCAGTGTCGTTAAAGTGTTGTCGCTCATTCTAAGAAGCACGGGTTAGAAATGATATATGATGACACGGCACATTGTAAAGGGCGGGATGTAGGGTACGTACCCCTTTGATGACAGCGAAACGACGTAGATGTCTAGCCCTAGTTCTCCAGCGAGAGAGTGGATAAGGGAGGTTTTGCCGCTGTAAGATGAATTCATTAATTAATACCAGTAGCATATGAAAGCAACGCACCTTCCCGGTACACCATGAAGAAGGTACCCACGTCGAAAAGGGATTCCTATTCTAAGTTTAGCGTCATCGAATTCCTTCTCCCATCATCAAATTGATATTACCTCTCTCGGCGTACCTGGGAAAAGAAAAGTATTCAGACCTGTAGAATTCATTGGGGGTATATGAGAACACACCATTCTTCCGAACACAGAAAGTCTTTGCAATCAGCGAGAAGCATATCTTTGACACCTGGTTGGAGAACGATGGAACTCATTGGACGCTTTTGTCGAGCGCCGTTCCAACGCCAACAAGGATAGGATCTGTTATTGAAGTCAGACATCAGAAATGTCACCTCCAAGAGGGAGGAAACATAGACTTACGTATCAGCAAGGAATATATGGACACGGTGTTCGGCATCCTTTTCATACTCCCGCTTTGCCTCGAGGACTAGCTTCTTGAGAATGTCGTTATTTCGTGCTACGACACTGTTGGAGGAAGTGTTTGAGTTTGATGGAACGACAAGATCGGAGACAAGACCAAGTAATATTTACCTGATCTTGAGGGATGATCCGTGGCCGTAATCGGGATAGCGCTTGGTTCTAGTTATCTGAGCCGTAGGGTAGAAAATTAGCCGCCGCGTAAATTAGTTAAGGGACAACGTACCCTCAGCCAGTGACCACGGTAATAAATGGTATGTGTCGTGTCTAGGGTCGAGTACGTGGCGACATCAGTCAAGGAAAGGAAGGGCCGAAAAGAATACATACCAATACTTGGCATGAAAGCCACCTTGCGTTTCCGTCGACCATGAACAAGCGCGTCATCCTCTTCCTCATCTTCTTCGTCAAGGTCACCAGTCGTAGACTGCGTGAGGCCATTCCGACCCGAGGAACGTGTCGTGATTTCAAACTCTCGGCTCCGGCCCCAAGCGGGTTGCTGTAAAAAAGAGGAGTCAGCGCTTAGCCCCAACCCCAACTCCCCCTTCCCCTCCCTTCCGACGGCAACGTACCTTGGATAACCAGTGCATCAGCCTAGGAACGACCAAGGTAAGAATAGACTCGCTAATAGCTCAATAGAAGTTGTCATACCAATCATACGGGTAATCTTCCTGGCTAAAGTGCGCTGTAAGGAAGAAAGCTGTAGAGGACTCAAATAAGTAAAGCAAGTATATAGGGTCCGAGGCCGTCACATACAATCCACAAAGCCATTCCAAGCCGATACCGACGCTCTCCGTGCTGTCTCGACGGTTCCCCCGATGACGACAAGTTTCTGTTGTTGGTGGCGCGGTCAGCGACGACGACCCTAAGCAGGTATGAAGAGACTAGAACGCACAAGTGTGTCCTGGATGGCGCCAGTGTTCATGCCCAAAGGCGACAGAATGCTTTTTATGGCATCCATTGGCAGTGAAAAGAAGGGGGATGGAGGGGAAACAAATGGAAGTGGGACGCGTCGGTCTTATATGGGCTGTGGTGAGGTGCCTCGTGTTAGAAAACAGGGTCGATGCAGTGCCTTTCTGGGTAAGATTCCAATCTAATCCCCGACTGCGCCCTTTTTCGCCTTTTTATTCCCCTTTTCTTTTACGTCCAATGGCACGCAAATTGGATGGCATGCTCAAGAGATATTATTACTTAGTAGTAGCAGCAATAGTAGTACTGAACGAGGCTCATTTTTCGCTCTCGGGAGGTACAGCCCCGCGGCGGCAATTTGGGCGGCTGCGAATGGCAGGTAACAATGACTCACGCCATGCAGTGACTTTTTTTGAATGATACTTACACTCTTTGCCGCAGTGACATGAAAACAACACGACATTGCCTGCGTAAATTGTCGGCCGATCCAATTATGTATCCTTTTACACGTGTATGATATACTTGCAGGCTCAGCCAATTTTCAATCGCCAGGCCTCTAAGCGTATGTGAAAATAGTCTTTCTTTGTCGAATCTTTCGCTGAATTTCAGAGATGTGAGTGTATGTCGCAGCCCAAGCGCTAATTATTGCGATTGCCGGTCAGACAATTAACCCAATCCTCTCGTGTTCCAATCACGCCGCAAGATTGATTCTGGCTTCTTACTCGACCTACGATCAGTATCCGAGCGTTCGGTTTTCGGGACTAGTAGGGGCCTCTGTGGCGGCTTTTTTACTCCTTTCCGGTTACAGCATGCGCTTGCTTACCATTACTTACCCGCGCCGGATATGAATGTTTGCAAGTGGAGGGCGAGGCAAGGCATAATCTGCTGTAGCCTACACAAATTAACCACGAATGGTAGTATATGAATCGTAGATCAGCGTAGTCCCTGTGATTCAGAATCAAGGGTACGGCAAGATTATCCCGGAGTTAGGGCGGTAGCCAGACCCTCATATCGGAGGCGTCTATCATGAGCCCTGGGCAAGTATAGGCGTACATGGATCGATTGCAGTGGCGGCACCGAAATGACTCCCCTTTGCTCATGTCCAAGGAACTTTATCCGCCCCGGCAGAACTGATTTGGAAAACAAAGCTCATTCCTATATCATTACTAGGAGTCTATTTCCAGCGAAAGGTGAACATGTGCCAGGAATTCCATTGTCCTTCAAGACATGCCCCGAGCAAATCGGGTGCTTTGAGCCACGTAAGCTCCTACCACCCCACCGATACCGAACCCCCATTCAAGTACAACCGATACCGAGACTCAACGAAGAACAACCGGCCCAGGATGCTGATCCAAGAAAAATACCCAGTTACGTGTTATAGAGAGAGGTCCGTCAGTGGCGTGCGTAGTGCGGATACGGATATGAACACGGGGGAGAGCATGAGCATATGGATAAAGCCAAAGATTGAAATTCATCGGACATAGGAAAGAAAAGGAGCGACGGGCCGTTATCAAGCACATGTCGGCGGCGGGTCATGTCGTCCGAGAAACCCGACAGTTTGGAGGATAAGGGAGCCGCCCCCCTCCACCGCTCAGCTTTTACGCAATCGCCAGAGTCGTGCCATGAAATTTCATCGAATCCCATATATGAATACGGCACCATCCGTGCCAGCCGCTCATCTCGATAACGCAAGGGGGAATCAGTCATCAATCTCTTTACGAGCGTGTAGTTAACTCACCCGAGGGGGGGGAGAGCCACCACAAATCGGAAACACTACCACACTCCAACAACCAGAAATACGATCATCGATGGGCCCATCGATAACTTGAGCTCCGCCTCAATCGATCCCACCAACCAAAGAGAGTAGGTCAGCGCCAAAGGAGGGTAAGGACGGCCAAAAATCGTTAATCAATCAACCTTTCGGAAAACATATGTTGGCGGGTCGATGTAGGAAGGGGACAGTCCGGGAGATAATGGATCAGATTTGGTGGAAGGTAAAAAAAAAATTCAAGGAGCAAAGTGTGGTGCAGAGGGTTTTATACTAGCTGCGGGTGTATCCGAGCTTGATCGATTATCGATCTCTCCCCTAATCCGGTACAGGGGCGGGGTCGGGAATGAGTATTTCCGGTAGGCTAAAGACCGATTCCGCAGGATTGCTGTGTCCGCCTGTATTGAAGGGCGGGAGGTTGGAGGTACTTGACATTGAAATCCCGCCTTTGATTTCCTGAAACCGCAGCTAAGGTTAGAAGCGCCCCGCACCGGTACTGCACTCTTAAATAAGTTTTCCCGGGTATTTTCCCATCTTGTCTGGTGCCCTCGCATCCGAATCAGCCCGCCCGAAATCTGATATACTTAGACTCAATCTCTTTCATTTGACAGTAATAATATTATAGTATTCTGCCCCCGGCATGTAAAGGTCATCAAGCGTACATTCCTCGTACGCCGTGCGACTTCACCGTCCATAGGTGCCGAAGCCATGACTCAGAACTTTGACAATGACAGTAAAATCCATGTGTCCCCGGACTGTAAACGTTACCGGTTCCTCCGAATTTTCTCCTTGAATGACAAGCCCAAGCAGTATATATAAACATATCGGTGGAAGTGCTGCAGCGCCACCAATCCTCCTTTACGTGTACCCATCTGTGGGGAGGGAGAATCCTTGTCACGGTGTCGACGAATGTTCGGCGCCACAAGAATTCGAAGGGAAGGGAAGTACGCTCTTCTTTCTTCCGTGCGACTTATGTTTATCCTCAGCGTCGGAACAAAAGCGCGTGAGAGGAAAGTCGTACTACTCTGGGGAGTTGCTTCTTGGGGGGGGAAATGATCTGCGATCATCGCAGGAAAACCGTCACTACGTAGCTGGCGATGGCAGAAGTAATCGCGCGCGTGCAGATTGGATTGCGTATAATGAAGAAGAGTCGGTTATGAATGTCGGGCGCCACGACTACTGAAGTGGATCGAGGTTGCATCTCAGTACCTAGATCGCAGCTGCTTAATGTACCCCTGATACGAGCCTTGCACCCTTGGTGGCTTGGGAACAACGTCGGACAGATGTGGCAGTCCGACATAATGAAGCGTACCCATGACTCGGGAGATCGAAACTATAATCTTTCGATCCTGCCGCTACAATGTAGTTGGGACAGAATGACCGGAATGAGTATTCGACAAAAAATGAAAGTCCGTCTGTTGAAGCCTGACAAGAGAGGTGTCAATAGTTGAATGATTAAACTTTAAAGGTGACGGTCATGCGCGTTCCAGGAGATCGACTCTAAATAAGTGCCTTCCACAGATCGCGGCTATAAACGAAAAGGTCTAGTCGCATGAAAGCAGAGGGGGCGACGCGGTTCTTGAGGGAATATGATATTCATATAACTATTGCCAAGGGGAAACGAGACAACCTGGGGCTTCAGGATAGGGAGACTCCGTGTCATGATTGAGTCATGAGCTTGGGAAACGAGACGGTATTTTCCTTAGATTGCTGTTATAGTTGTGAAATGAGACTAGCAAGTCTCGACCTCCAGGTAATAGCCCAAGTTCATATCGTATCGACCAAATGAACAGCGAGAAATCACACGAAGATGACGCAATTTAAGAGACAGGCGGTTTTTGCGTGTAGGGTCGCAGGTGCTGATCGAAGGTAATCCTTCGACCATCACAGCCACGGGGCGAAAAGCCAAACTTGAAACTGTCCTGGGAAATACGTGGGTAGGAACCTTCATGTGAAAAATCGGAGTTTGCCAAGATCGAGTGTAGCGCAAGGTAGTGGGGGTTCGCAGTAAGATGAGCGGGGAGAACTGCAAGAAGCTTCAACCCCGAGAGGGAAGGGTTGTATGTACCATGTGGTTGAAGTTATGATCGAGTCAGGTAGTAGGTAAAGCGTCAAATGAACTTAAAAGAAGTTGGGGGTATCTCTTACTTGAGATCAGGTAATCGTACGTCATGCGAGTGGGCGGCGATCCTCGCAGGAGGGTAATCGAACGTGCAATGAATGCGCCACAGATAGGGATGAAACGGCTCGTTGACATACTCCTGATTTACGTCCGTTGTTGGGGCGTGGGGAACTTGGAGATAATAAATTGTTACATGCTCTCCAAGTTGATTCAGATAGCCTGATGCGAACCCATGCACATGGTCGGCGCGATATTGTTAAGGAGGAAATGTAAGTAGGTCCTGAGCTGGGACCTTGGGAGTTGAAGTAGGAAAGGTACGGAAAACATCAAAAAAACATTCGATTGCAATGTGGGATCCGAAAAGTGTAGATGCTGTCAACTTGAAAGATTCCGAGAACTGATCGCAAACAATTCCTTACATCGTGAGAGTGGAGGCAGAACCATTCAGCACGCATCCAGGGGCTAAACTTTCACGTGTCTGAAAAGAAAGCGAGTGAGGTAGTAAGAGAAAGTCTAGGCCATAATTTCCTTGTGCCGGAGATGAGAGCAAGTAATGGGTACGTCACTATGAGGAGATCGCAGTAAAGAGTCCACGAAGTCGGGGTTAATCGTTATCTTCATAAGGGTCGCAGTTGAGCTGGGGTGTAGGGTTATTAGCTCAGAGGGATGGGTACGAGAGGTACGTCATGATGGTCCGCAGCCTGTTGAGATGGCACCGTGTGGTAGTCGAGTAAAGCGTCTTGCCGACGACTTAGCGGCAATTCAAGACGGCGTAAGTAATACCCCAGACTTGGCGAACATGAAGCACCCAGAGATTAATGGCTAGTACGGACCGGACGAGGCATAACGTTAATTGCAACGAGTACTCGCGTAGACTTCAGAAACTTGAAGTGTGCTTGGCATCATAAGGTTGGAGAAACCGGGCTACTGTAAAAGGCAGGTCTCAGGTGTCAGCTGTGAAAATTCGCGTACTTCGAGGAAATACCTATTAAGTGAAATGACGTCGGGCCGCGTCCCGTCTCGAACCTAACGACACGGAGATGAGAGTCCCGTACGAGAATGCTGGGAAGCATACTTAGTGGGGTAAACATGCTGGGACGAGAGCAGGTAATAGGCCGCTTCATTCGGACAGGCGTCGCGTCCAGACACCAACAAATAAAAAATGAGGGGGTAGGAGGAAATGAATGACCGTTTTGATTCCCAGAGCGGGAAACGACACCCGCTGAGATTCTAGGGATAGGAAAATATGAAGAAGAGATGAATGCCGCACATTTCGGAGGGGGCTAGCAAGCCTAGCAATGAATAGTCGGGAAGCGTCCCGGTGACAGTGAATATTCGACCAGTGCGCTGGATTCATATTTGACGCCACAGAATGAGAGGCACTACAGAGACTTAGTGTGGTTTCAATAACCTTAAATGAGGGCGTTTTTGGCCTCAGTTTTTACGCCCCCGTTTCGAGCCCTGTGAAACAAAAAGGTACCTTATCATAATCATTCCATAGGAAGAAAAGCCTTTCATACCTATTTATTGACGGTCTTTTCAGGACCGTGAAAAGACTGGTCAATACAAAACTTTTTGGGGTTTCACTTTCAACGAATTAAAACGCCCTGACCGACGCTGCGAGGAGGGGGAATGAGCGAATAGTGGGGAGGCGGCCCGGCAACGGTGAATACTCGTCTGCGTTGGATTCATATTCGGCGCCCCAAAATGAGGAGAGCTAGTGTGGTTTCAATAACCCTAAGTCCGTTTTTAGCTTCGGCCTTTACGCCTTTGTTTTAAGGTTTGTGAAACAAAAGGGTACCTTGTTAACCGTTGTTCATACCGTTTTATTGACGGCCCTTCAGTACCGCGAAAGATTTGGTTAATACAAAACATTTTGGGGGTTCGTTTTCTATGAGCTAAAACGCACTGGTCGATGCCGCGAGGAGAGAGGATGAACAGAACACAATAAAGCGCCTGATCTGTGTTGGGGTAGCGCTTGAAGGTAAATATCTGACGAATGAGAGGGCGCCTATCATGATTCCTCGACTCGGAGGTCGTATAGCCCTACTTACCTATCGATATTCTTCGATGGAAACACACATCATCTGATATAACCGGCGTGACTGCTTCGCCCGAGCCATATAAACTCTTATCCTAAACTCTTGAAATGAACATTTCATGTTTCCTCGACTCTAGGTCGTACAGCTTTACTTACCTATCAATATTCTTCGACGGAAATGCACTTCGTCGGAAGGGGGACATGGAGCGGTGATGAAACTCAGATGATCATTGATAACCGGAACGCCACAATAAAAGAGAAATTGATGAATCGTCGCGGGCGCATACTGGACGAAAGTGAGCGCCTCTAGGTGATCGTTGGCGTTGCTGGTTACAATTAAAGAGGTGGGCTAGTCAGTCTAGTCCATGTGTCAGCGTTAATGAACCCCCCTTTCCCCCCTACCCAAATGAATTCGCCTCGAAACCATAGGATGGAGGAAGAATTACTCACTTGGAACTGAAACGACAAAGGAAAGAACTCATCATCAATAGCCACACGCGTGCATCATAGAAGCCGTGGCGTCTAAGGTAGATCCTCGAAGCCTTTAGAACTCGTGGATGAAAAAGCTTACGGGGTCGCAACTCCCAGTCTAGGTTAAACAGCCCGGATACCTCCAAGCAGAGCGTTACAGCGCACGCGACCCGGTGGGTAGAAGAAGAGACGATTTGGGAATACTAGGTAACCCAGACGAGAACGAGTAGAAGATTATTGTCACGGTGGAGCGTTGCAAGAGGGAATGAACAACGGTTCGCGAGAAGGGGGAAGGGAGGAATGAAGCTGGGGGGATCAGAAAAGCTGCATTTGCCTGAACGTGGCTTCGTACATTCTTCCACTTAAACCTCGAAGATGAATCCACGGCATCAGGGAAATAGACTGACAGCGTTGTTATGGCGAAAGAGTAAAGATCGTCGCTGGGCGAGTACAAGTCGGTGGGTGAGTCTGTCTACCAACATCAGAGGGCCATAAGTATACCGCGGGGACCGAATATCGTACGGAGAAGAGATTTACGGTGTGGAACCACGTGTTGGGAGCCGAGAGTACCATCGTGGATCGTTTGATGGGAACCAAATCGTGGCTTGTGGCTTGAGGTGAGAGACAGAGAAAAATGCGCGCTAATCGCAAAGCGGATAAGATTTGGGAAGAGGAATTTGTATACGCGCGATCCGAAAGGTCGGTGCTAGTAGCCAGCGGGCAAGAATGATTAGGGAAAAGAAATTTGAATACGTGCGATCCGAAAGGTCGGCGAGATGTTATTAATGTGAGGATGCGGGTTCGCGTTAGGATAATGCAGTAAGAATGATTGGGTTAAGAGATATTTGTATAGCGAAAATGCTTGGGGATCCGAAAGGTCGGCGAGAGGGTGCGGGTTTGCGTTAGTATGGTACTGCCCCAGCAAGTAAGAATTCGGTTGAGAGGAATTTGTATACGAATAATTTGGGGATCCGAAAGGTCGGCGAGGTGTTGAACAAAAAAAGGTGATGCGAGCCTGCAGGTTTGTGGTGTAATAGTTGAGAAGAAGGAAAGGATGGCCGTGATAGACTTTGGAAGAAGAAAAAAAGCGAGTGAGAAGACGTTCGACGAGATGAGCTGGGATCCGAAATTTAATGAGCTTGCAGGTTTGCGCAGATGTTGAGAAGAAGACACTAAGCAAGAAGGAAAGTGCGCGCCAATCGCGAAAAAAACCCACGCGAGCCTAATCCGTTGGAGTGCGGTGTATTGCAAGTTGAAGGAAGCTGATTCCGGACCCGAGGATGGGAAGGGATAGATAATTGCGTGGGACCCACATGGGGGAAAAGTCAAATCGCATCACTTCCCCGGATTTGATGGGGCGAGGTACCACATATTAGTGGCAGATCTGGAATTGAAATACTGATGGGGCCGTGACATGGGAATTTGAAGAGAGTGATTTAATAAGAAAGATCACTTCCGTACTGGGCCTCCAAGGATCACCGAGGACATACATATGCGTATACTTGCACGCGGGTAGAGTTGAATGTCGCATACAAATTCACTCCTGGCAGGCGGCTGGGGAAACGAATGAAACACAGATAGCATTTCGACCCAATTGCAAGCTTTTAGTGACCCCAACAAAATGCGTCGGCTTTACCATTAAAGGGAATCCCGAGTCATTTTGCCAGCCCTTTTGATCTCTTGTTCACCCATTTTTCCAGGATTTTGTTCTGTTTGAAACAGTCGCTTACCTACATCCCGGTGAAAGCAAGACATTCGAATTCCCCACCTTCCGATTTGATTTGAAATGGACTGCGATAGATCATTCCTCTGATGATTGAGCCAGGAAGCAGCGTCTTCCTTCCTTCCTCCGAGCACAAAACACGGAATGTAGACTAATGCACTTTCTGAACCTTACACTCTTCCCTTCCCTGTGGCAGTATCAAACCCGTGAGACGTTCCCAGCTCGCAACTGGTGAATATCACAACGGCACGGTGCTGCTATGCGTTTCGTGGCGGCACAGAACCCTGGTTTTCAAAACTCTAAACTCTGAGCGGCCTACCCCCCGGAGTTTTGTGAGCCAGCATTCAGATCTCTGTAACAAAGAAAGAATTCCCCCGGTTGAGTACGGGAAAAAGTCTCGAGAGTATCCGATGATCGTGGTATCTGGGGAGTTTTACACTCTATGGAGAACGCGTATATGAGCGTGTAGGGCCTAGGTACTCGAGATCCTATTTGATGTGTACGCGCTTAGATATCGCTCAGTGTGTGGGACACACTAGTTCACGTTGTACAGAGTGTGGAATTTGGATGGTATGTACATGTCTGAAGCCAGGAAACAACGCGCCTGAGCTCCGACTCCGAAAGCAATTCGTCCTCCACGTCCACGGTGGGGGTTTCCGATTTGAGCAAGGTCTTTCCTTCGCCCTAACCAGCTTGGAGGTTGCATTCGATCTAGAACGCCTGCGGGATTTGATACAGTGCTCACTCCCTCCCCCTTCCCCCCCGGAGCAAGTCAAGGAAAGAGAACCCCCCCCCCCCCCCCCGGTTTGCGAGTACGGGAAACGCACGTGGATTTGGCGCGAGAGCCTATACAATGTCTTGTGGTGTATGAGGGTCAGAACACGGATGTGAATCTGTACGGGCTGGTGGGCTCCCTAGGCAAGAAAATCCAGTTTAATGTGACGGTTGACCATATTGCGCTTGAGGAAGTTGGACGTCCCTCCACAGGTAGCGAGTTCGGTGTTTGGCACGGTGACGAGCACACTAGTTCTGGAACTCGAGATGCAGTTCCTATCGGCGGAGGGTACGGTGTACATGTCTGAGCCCGGTCATCTAGTATATGAAGTCAGATAATGAGCATGAGTATGCAAGAATTAATCTCCTCCAAAAGCACCTCATCCTCCTCGAAAACAAACATTCTTCCATGCTTGTTAGTATCATATATAGCGCTTGAGGTACGGCTCTCGTTCCCAGACCTGCGTTGGAGAGACTCTGAATTGGCGGAGGGTACGTCTCCAGTCGAACTGAAATGTACCCTCCTCTGTTCATCTCACCGAGAAACTTGATATAGTGCTCGAGGTCAGAACATCGATGTAAACTCACGCACTATCCACACATCCACGTATCCACGTTCTCGTTTACTTAATTTCCGCGCTTGAGCTTGAGCCCCAGCCAAAAGTCTATAGACGTGGGTGGACAGCCATTGGTATCCAATGATTTACCCATGGACGTCAACAGACGTCCAAAAATGGGCCTTTTCGTAGCCTTTGCATTGATGTGTATTGTTGTTCATGGACCCGTACTGATGCTCATCTGTGTACCTCTCCAGACATCCACATACGTATATATACATTTCATGCACTACGATACATGTGATACATCATGCATACAACACTTCCTGCCCGACCACCTGTCCCCACATTGCCGCTGCAGTGTTCCATCCACCACTCGTGTGCGTGATTCGTCGACGCTCAACGGAACATAGATCGAAGGCCTCGAACTGAGGAGTCGTTCTGATAATGAAGATAGTCAATATGAGAAAAAGAGACTGAACAGAGGCATACCATGCTTAGAATGCGAGTAGGAAAGGGTTTATGCAGCTCGTGATGAGCGCAACTGTGTGCGTCCTCAAAAATGAAAGAAAGAGATCAGTATCATGATATGGGACACTGAAGCGGCCGATATCGTACCTGGAGCATTGAAGCTAAGGCAGGGAGCCGCCGGGCGCAAGGAGCGGGTACCAAAGTCGTGTTTGAGTCGTGTAGCGACGGCGGCAAGTCCAAGGGAGGGACATTTGGAATGGAACACGTCTGTACTGCAAAAAATGCGAAAATGTGGCAGCTTATACATGAATTGAACGACAGCGACTCACCTAGGACGCACCAGCAGTGTTTCGTGTGCTACTTGCTTCATATCCCTCCATATATGCGCCCAAACTGAGAAAGTGGCGACCTAAACTACAATTCAGTACGTAGATAATCGTTCTAAGATGGATGGTAAGATGGACAATACCGACAGAAACAGAATGGGCATTGGGCGACATACCATTCCGTCCATTCCCAGTGATGAAGGCAGCGCGCTTTTGCTGGCCTATGATAGCAGAAACCGCACATATGCTCAAGTACCGCTTGACATGGAAGGTGAAACGAGGGCACAGAGACAGTAAGAGGCAATACGACGCCTACAGCGGCAGCGGCAGTGATGGCAAGAGGGAAGATAGGAGGCGTGGGAATCCTGACTTGGACTTGGGAAACTTCGCTCCCGGCTACCAACAGCAACACCATGCAGACTGCTGTGACATAGCTGTAGTGAACTTGCATAACCAAATATCCAGGAACATCGAAAACAGACCAGAGTTACGATTACTGCGAGTTGGTTCACGTATGTATGCTTCTTTCTCGTTCTATTTATGGTACATTGTCGATGAACATCGACGGACATATATAGGTAGATAAAAAGTCGACACACGTCTCTACCCATCGCCTGACGTCTCCAGACTTTTGACTGGGCTTGAGCCCGTGAATCGTTGTCGAGTAAAGAGTTTGTGAGTATGATGAGCGCCTGAGGTATGGAGCGTGACTTGGATTTGGGACGAGGGTATATGTTGTTTGGGATATCGTACAAGCTGATAT